TCTCTCTCTTTCCTCCTGACTAGCTGCATGTGTCTCAAGCTGCTTGTTCCTCTCCTCCTTGGATCGCTCTTTTTTTCTCTTGTGCTGCTTCCTCCTCTCTCCTTCCTTCTGTTTGCCTCTTCAGCTGAACTGCAGCACGCTGTCTGGCTCCTTCTTTGAAAATATACAGTGCAGCGGAGGGGTCAGGTTATGATGCTGGGAAGCAGCTGGCAGAAATGGTTGTGGTAGCATTGGATAAACAGAATATACTCACAAATAAAATATAGAGGAATTAAAATAGATGTAGGAAAAAAGCTCTTTTTACTAACATTAACTTTTGGCAAATTAAACAAACTTCCATTAACACAGTGTTTATCAAGTCCAGTCCTCGAGCCCCCCCCCCGTCCTGCATGTTTTGGATGAACACACCTGATTCAAATGAACAGCTCGTTATCAAGCTCTGTAATGGCTTGATAACGAGCTGATCATTTGAATCAGGTGTGTTGGAGCAGGGAAACATCCAAAACATGCAGGACGGGGGGGCTCGAGGACTGGACTTGAGAACCACTGCATTAACACATGATTCATGCTGTTTTCTTCTCTGCTTAACAGGGGTGGGGGAAAAAATCAATGCAGCATAGTACCGCGATATTTTGTCTGGTGATATATCATATCGTCTCATTTACCAAGTATCGATTTATCAAATTAATTGTTAATATGAAGTCAAATCTATTATAATGGAAAAATAAAATCTACTGTTTGTCCAGTGAGGTTGGCAGAGGGGACATCACAGAGCAGGAAAAGTTAGTACAACAAATATATAAAAGGTTTGCAAGATGTGCTACGTGAAAATAAAATACAACGTAAATAAGACAAACATAAAGGAAAGACAAATGCTAAATTGGCTAAACAGTTGACAAAATTGTAAAAATTGCAATATATCCTACTGCAATACTCAGTGTATTGCAAAATGTTAAAAATAATAATAATATCCTATCGTGGCCCAAGTATCGTGAAAATATATAGGGGGCCACTAGTGATTCCCACCCCTATTGCATAAACCATAAAATGAAGTTGTTGTTATTTGCTTTTTTGATTAGGCTTGGACAGATAAAAATATGAAAACCTTGTTATATACGAGTACCATAAAGTCTGGACAGAATGTGCGGAAGAAAGAAGATTTAATGATCAAGAAGTTCTGTCTTACTATCCTTCAAAAGGCAGATAAATCAAAGTAGATATACTGTAAGTCTTATACGGATGTCCTTTCTGTGAGCATGTTGGTATTTGTCTGAATATCTCGCAGATTTATGGCCGCCCGCAAATCACAGGGGGGAAAAAAAATACCCCATTGTAATCGAATATCTATTTGCCATACGTCTCCGACAAACATTGCACATGTGTCAAGGCCACTGGAGAGCTGCGATGTGTCTCTCCACTCTGCGGCGTCTCTGCCTCACTCACAGTGAGGAGCGACAACACCACAGGACCTCTTGCTGAGGTGGAGGCTGAGTGGCAGAGGGCTGCAGCACACAGAGTTCAACGAGTGTTTAATAAGTGACAGTAAAAGAGGATGTAGGCCGGAGTTTCTTTAAGTATATACAGCCAGAATGAATTTACTGCATATTTCACACTGTTTATTTCATGTCTGCATCATACTTCACAGATAAATCTGCACTTTTCACCCAGAGATGATACTACAAATGTTTTGCATTTACCACATATTTTTGCTGATAATTATTTAAAATCCCCACCATCTGTAACCCACCGAAGTCAGCTGCCGAGCATCGGAAACTGCTGCTTTGCATGCCTAGAGTGTATGTGCTTTTGCATGTATGGATTTAAGTATGTGTGTGATCTGTTTGCTTATGTGCATGAGTGAGTAGAAATCTGCAGCATTGCATGCAGATCCAGCGACATGAATCATAGCTCCATCTGCCTCCTGGTTCTAATGAGAGGAAAAAGCAACTTCTAACTATGCAGATGCTCCTGAAACAGCTCGCTAACCACTCTGAATTTATTACAGATCCAAAGAAACAGCACAGATTAATCACAGCTAGCCTAAACTAAATGGCTGTACTGCAGAAAAGATCGTTATCCGGTTTGATTAGACAAACTTGCCAGTAGATTGAAGACAAAGATCTCCTGGTTCTTTCAGTTTGGCTAATTACACACCAACACACAGCCTGTAATGCAGCAATTGCAGGGCGGCCAGCTCAGCTGCCAGATCCTCGAAAACCCGAATCAAAGCCCCGGCTAACAGAAGCTCAACCTACAGTCGCAGCTCCATAACCTAATTAACATTGAGTCAGCAAGCATGGCAGAAGCAGCAGCAGCAGTGGCGGTCAGGTTGTGGTCAGGGCTGTGGGATACAGGAATAGCACGAGCCAGGCTGACACGCGGGATGACACACTGGGCCATGACAATAGAATCACACACTGCTACACAACTCAACATGCCGCCTGGCCCAGGTGACACATCCTGATGCTCCCACTGTGGATTTTTGTCTTTATGTGGAGATACGGTTGAGAGGTTGTGCTAACACTTAAGCTGTGCGGCTGGGAGCAAATGTGGTTTGAATATTCCTGAATATATGAAGAACACGAGGAGCTATCACACCGCTGGATACTGTAAATGTCATGTATTTTTTATGCTGCCTCCATTCTTACTCATGGAGTCTAAAAGCATATTTCAGAGCTCATTACACTGGACTCACGTGAATTCTAACATGCTGTGAAAGCCTGTCTGTGTTTTTAGAATATTTCAGGATCTACATGATAATACAAAACATTTTCAGTGTTTGGTTTTCTCTCGAGTTAGGCAGAAGTCAAAGCTCAGTGAACCTCAGTACTATTAGTAAAAGTATTTTATTTCTGGACTGTTTCATCAGTCACATGCCCCTTTACTCTGAAGACAAACAAATATTAAAGTTATTGACTATTTATTATCAAAGACAAAACAAGATGAAAAAAAGGGTTTTAAACTTTCATTGTGAACCCTTTTAAAAGATACAAATTTCTTCTTAATATATCTTTTTGTCCAATAAACTCTGATATGAAAAGATAAGATATCACTTTATTTATCTGAAAGGACGCAACATTAAATATGTTTTTTTCTGTGGTGAGTAGTGATCTGTCTGTTTTAGTAATGCTGACACAAGTCTGTTCAGCTGCACCTGTTTGCTTAACCCGCAGACTGTAACTCAAAGTACGTCCATCCAACACAAACTGCACTTTACTTTGCAGTTGTCAACTTGAGTCTTCAGACAGTTTTTTCAAATGAAATGTGCCATCCCAAAACTTAGTGATGTTGCTATTTTCCATCACAGCAGCAAGTGGCAGGAAGATGCTGCAGCCACTTTGCTATAGGGGAGAGTGGGTTAAGATGAGCCATTTTTCATATTTCGGATCACTACATCAAGGCAATCATAGTTTTGTCTCTAACTAGTGTATCTGCATATGTATTTTTGAACTATGACTTTTGTACTATGATGACTTTGTTAGTCCTCTAAGCTAAAATGGTGGACTTTTATGTAAGGTTTTTGACCTCATGTTGAAGCTCATTGATACCACAATTGATGAAATTGATAAAACAAATTTAATATGATCTTTTTTGGTCTGAACACAATTCTAATAAAACTTATGACAGACTAAATTCACTTTCAAGAGTAAAACGTATTTTTTTGGAAATAAATGTCTAACCCCTTCACTCATGTGCTTCTAACCTTCACAGACTCCATGAATTGATGCCCAACTCCTAAATATTTGGTCACATGATCAATTTCTTTTACCATTTCCAAGCAACAGGGGGTGGCTCAACTTACTCCAGTCTCCCCTACTGTGTTTGTGTGGAAAGGGAAATAATAGCACATGGTTTAAAAAGAATGAAACAAAAATGTGTCAATTTTAGGCCTCAGTCGCATCCAGACAACACGAACAGCACCTGAACAGTTCAGCACTTACTCTACTATGACAGTAAAGAATATTTCCATGTGATTTCACATGATATTTGTATGAAAGAAACATCATTTGATTTTTTCACACAAAATAAAATGTAATTTTGCACATCACATAAAAGTTATGATAGTCCAATGTAAGTAAGGTTTGTGCTGCACATTAGATGGAAAATTATTGCACATGAACATGAAATGGATGTCATGCTCCACTTTTTCTGCTGCAGTTAACTTATTAACAATGTTGCCGACACTGTATAGGAAGCATCAGCTTAGAGCATTATAATGAAGTGACACATTCAGTTTGGTTTAAACAAGCTTAACTTGCCAAAAGCACCATTGCTAATGTCCCAGTGCCCACCAATAAAAAACCTCCAAACTGTTTCTCAGTGGTGAAAAAACACTGCAAATGTGCATCAGCTGTAGCTGCGCTTTTCTTAGCCAATTGCGCTGCACATACACATTCTCCAACGTGAAAACACAGTTGGGCCCTCAGATATCTGCCCCACAACAAGCCTGACTCCTCATGGGGTGAGCGTGAGTAGGAAGCTGTGCATGCGCTACATATGACAAACCACATTACTGTCTGGCTAGCAGACAGGCTTAGCTAGGCCATCCCAGGGCCCGCAGCCAGAGACGTTGTGCAGCTGAGTTACCATGCTTACTCAAATATTCATAACGGGATAATGAAAATATAAATAGTTTTCATGTGATACGCTAGAGGTGGGGGTAAACAAAACTGCATCCTGCATCATCATGCATCACTGTGTCTCTGCACTGAAGGCTGCCAGTTAGAGTAATGGGCCGGATTGTTTGCTATGACACAGCAAGCATGATAAGCAATGACTCCCCTGAAGTTCTGACAGTAATTTGGGTTTGATTATTTGGGTTTCATAGTGCGTCACCACATCTCAAAGCAATCACTGTCAATCCTGTCAGTTGAAAAGTAGGCTGGGACGCTGTTCAACATGTTTGTAAGTGATTAATGAGCTCAAACATTGCCCTTGTTTCCTCTTGTTTAGGTGAGTTTGAGGAGGCTGCCTGTAACATTCGTCCCTTCTTCTGTACCATGAGCTCTGGCTCTGCCCAGGATGTGGCAGTCGAGCATTTCCTGCGTGACATAGAGCGGCGAAGCAAGCGGCTACACTGCGCTGTGATTGGCTGCGAGGAGGAGCGACCCTGCAGCGACATGAACCTACTGTATCGTAAGAGCCGTTTGGACTGGAGGCAGAGGGACCAGGAGGGAAGTAAAAAAAGGTGAGAGGATGAGAACCCAGGAGCTCTGCATGTGTGAGATTACATTCGAGTTCATTTCAGGGGAAATATAAAGCTCTTAACCAGTCTGAGGGAGTTTAATTTCAAAATCATACTTCCAAGCACAGTTCAGGAAGTCAGACAGGTTCACACCGAGAGTCTGGGGACAAATAGCAAAGCTTAGTCATGAAGTCAATATGTTCTGTCGATGAGATAAAGTGCTGTGATATCAGCCATAATAACAAGTACAAAACAAGGTCAGAGAAGGATTTCAAATAGTTGTGGTCGCATTTGTCTTCGTTCAAATGTGATTATTTTCTGTTTCCATTAAAGGCCTCTGAGCTTTAAACTTGTTTGTTTTAATTTACTGCAAAGTGTCATAAAACCTGGGTCAGCGGCTCACGTAAATCGATAAGAATGAAAAAATCAAGGTTTGGTTGCTGATTTGCAAAAACAAATTGGATGCACTAGTTGTAAAAAAAAGTGTAATTCACTGTCCTCATTAGGAATTTACAGGACATGTAAAAACTATTAGAAGTCTTCTTTTTACTTCACAGAGACATATAATACTTTTCCCTTTAAAACATTAACTGAGCCACATAATACATTTTTAAATGCTTTTTAAACATAAGTCAGGAAGGCTTGTTTTTGAAAAGTTTTGTTCTGCTCTGGACCACAAGTGCAAAGTCGCAAAAATGAAAAACAATAACAGTCTGGGCTGCCTGTCATGATCAAGATGACCATGCCAAAGCAAATGTATCTAATAAGACATTGCCCTATCAACATTTTAAATGGTATCTATTGTAAAGCCAGTTTTTAATCAAACAGTCATCTAGCTAGATTAGATTGAATTAATTTACAAACCACTGTACATAAGCACACTGGAGACACCCCACGTTCACTGTAGTGACTATGCTGACCTGAGTTTTAGTCCATGTCTGGGTGTGGGAGTGAGGTGTTTTTAACGCGCTTTTTGTACAATCCAATGTCCAATCCAAGGTTGTTGTTGAGTTATATTTTTGCCATTTATTGATTAAATGAAACACAAACAAAAAAAGACAGATACGTCCAACTTACTACGATAATTATGTTTGTGATGAGGGTGAGAGTGGTGTCTGAGATTAGCGGTAAAAAAGCACGCGCTCTTCCAGTTCCCCAGATCACTGCTTCACCTGTGTCCCTTTACCTGCACATTCACCTGAAGTTCCCCTCGTGGTGATTGTGCACGTAACAAAACAAAACCCAAAAAATAATATAGATAAAATGGCTCATACATTCACAGCAAATTGAACAAATGGCAGTACAAATGATCTGAGGCTCCTGTAGAGATTTCTTGTTTTATGTTGATTTTGGCGCCCTCTCTGGACAAAACAGTAACTCTTTATATCTTTGCTGATCTGTTTCATTATCAGGTAAAAATTCTTCACTGGAGCTTGAATTGTTGCAAAAAACAGGTATCAGCAGCACAACATCATCGCAGTCTGAATCTCAGCAGGTCGTGACAGTCTTGAAAAATGTGTGGGTGCCTGTGAATGAGTGATTCGGTGTATCTGTGTGTTTTGGGGTCAGAGTAGCGACTTGCTGTTCAAATGTGAGTCATCTTTAACTCCCCAAACACCAAGCTGTGCACAGGGCCATTTGTGCCACAGACCGGGGAGGAGCATTAAAGACAAGAACTTAGCTTGTTTAGAGGCGTCATCCACTGCGTTCTGACTCCCAACGTCACTAAGAGACCCCCTCGTGTTGGCAGGAGAGATCAGCGTCATCATGGCAGCATCAGGCCTGTAGAGGTGTAGGACAACCAGTGGGACAGAGAGACACGATGAGCGATGAAAGCAGAGCAGGGCAGAATCAGAGCAGCAGAGGTGAGAAGCAGGACATGACCAGTGATGATTGTGAACAGGAAAGGGTCAGGTACAAAAGCACAGAGGGAGGAAGGGATAGAAACACAGGACCAGAGATGACATCAGAGCAGAGGGAGTGAGGGAGAGGAAGGAGAGGAAAGCAGGAAGGAGGGCAGGGGTAGGCAGTTTGAGATCTTGGGGGCCCTCAGGAGAGAAATTACATTTATAAAGTCGATGACTGTGGAGATACAGAATGGTAAATAGGTGAGTTTAATATGAGTTTTAAAAATAGACTGTTTGTTTATGGTTCTAATGCAGACAAACAGACTATTCCCAGCAGTGACCAGAGGTAGAATAAAACCTTTCTGCCAGCTGAGGTTTTGTTATTTCTTGCAGAGTGAAGGACTTTGAGTGTCCGGCGTGTATGCAGATTTATGGAGGATTAATAAAAGCCTGCGTTTCCCCCCTTTTATGCAGTTTAGTAAAAGATCTTTTGAAAACACATTTGACAGAAAAGCGAATAAGAGACAAACTTTTAAAAAAAGTATGTTATGTTTATTACAGAGTGAATCATCATATAAATCAGATTATGGATTTAACAATCACTTTATCCAGTAATGGATTTTATAAATTAAGTTATTTGTCCTGTTTATAATAAAACAATGTAAACTGGAAAAAGTCTGTTTATCAATATGAATTTTAAAGAAGACCCTTCTTAAGTTTGTGTTCACTCAATTCTTAGTGCTATCGTCCACGTCCCACACAGAGGTCTTGTTTTGGAAAACTCAAGGCTATAAATGAATCAGTCATGTTATGCAATCTTTAAAAGTTTCCAAAAGTGAGATTATAATTCATTTTTGGACCTTTGTTAGTCTCATTCATAGACTAAAAAAATATGGATGTGGTCTGAGCTCGATGATTCAAAATGGATTAGGTACGAAAAATATTAGCCGGTAGTAAAGAAGAATTAAAGAAGTGAGATATAGAAAACAAAACAGTTTGTTGTGCGCTCGCTGGGTTGTTAACGGGTTTCATTTTTGCAGTAGAAATGGACCTTTTTAGAAATACTGTTTCTGACAGGGTTTCTCCAGCTGTTGGAGCCACACAGGAGGGGGCACTCAAGGAGCTGCAGTTTTTTCACTTTGATTTTATTTTCAACAGCTGAGGTTGCTGCATCATTTCTTTTGATATTTAAATGGAAAAGAACTGCATTAAGCTACATTTGGAGACATTTTCTACAGTCTGTATATACTTTGAAGAGGTCAGTGAAGTTGTACGGTATGCAGTGATAAAATGATTAAACATACCCATGTATCTGTGTTAACATTTGCCTGGAAAAGGCAGCTTTGGAGATGTTTTTATTACAGCTTTTCCTGCAAATCGATGAACCACTTTAGTCATCTTGGTGTATCTTGGGACCTCGAGTCATGACTTCATTTCGTACAGTCAGAAGAGTGTTTTCTGGAACAGATATATAAATTAATGGATTTTAAATTGAGAGTGATGGTAAATCAGGCTGAGCTCACATTAAGATGTAGTGAATATGTCACCGTATTGAATTGGATTAGTTTTTTTGCTTTATTCAGAATCAAGACAGACTTGACAGAATTGACCTTTAAACTAAAACTCTCCAGTTTGCATCTATCAATGACAAATACAATTTAGCACAATTAAACCACATGAGGATTCAATAAATGTCAAATTTATCCAATCCTACGAAACCATGAATGTGAGACTATGAATCTTAAATCACTTTGAAACTGCAGACTACATCTCAAAAATGAGTCCTTCAGTCAGATCCCTGTCATGTCTCTGTAACGCGCTCATCAAACCCAAAGAGTAGAGGCGCTCTTCATCTAAAGCTGCACCTTAATCAAACTGATCAAAGCTTTTTTTCAGACATTTATTAACCTGCTCTGATTGATTCACTCAGTCAGTTTTTATCCAGTTTGTTACAGTTTATTGCAGCTATAAGAAGAGTTGAATGTGTTTGTGTGTGTGTGTATTCCTTATAACTTCCATGGAGAGAGAAGTTTAGAAAACAGTCACCATGGGGGATTAAAATGAAATACACTTGAAGGTCAATGTGGGAAATAACTGTTGAGTTTCATGCAGAGAGAGACAAATATTGTCCTCATATGGAAGTGTAAGGCAAATTTATCATTGCTGTGCATTGGAAACACAATACTTCTTCATATTACATGCAAACAAATAATACATAGAAGCCAAACTATCAGTCACTTTCACTTTTAGGTATTTTTTTTCCCTTGATTCTTTCAGATGAGTTTTAAACCATGCTGGATTAAACCCATAACTCAAGGCTATCAATTAAAGTTCCGTGTTTTGTGTCAGATGTGTCAGTAAGGTCCAACAGAATGAGGACAGCTACACACTTAGTGTCAGCAGCTCAACCTTAATCCATCTGAAATTTCAACAAGAGACGATTCAGCTGCTCTGATATGCCCTGAAACCAGATAAGATATTCTCAGAGATTACAGGAACAAAGTGTCATTCAGCTGTTTAAATATTACCCACTCTTAAACTTTGCCCCTGAAAGGTAAATTAAAAAATAGGACTGTAGCTGCTAGGGGCAGATCTATCAAAACTGGATTGCTTCAGCTAAAGCTTTATCACCACTGTCTTAAACACTTTTGGGAATATCTCCCACTCTAAGGAGGAGGAGGAGGAGGAGGAGGAGGGGGAGGCACTCAAGAATCTGCCCAAGGATAAACCTGGCAAAGGTGCTGTTCAGAGGAGCAGCACATGACCTTGTGGTTTTGTTAACTGGCAGGATGGAACAAATCTTTTTGCTTCTTTTGAGTAAAACTGTTGAAATATATGTGGAAGCACACAGAACATTGTCTTCCTGGGACTACTGTACCATCTGAAATGAACAGTTTTGAGAAATAATCAATGTATTCTTTAATTTGAGACTTTATTTTGGTTTGAAACCTTTAGGAAATATTCCTGATATATTTATTATTTCCAGAGTAATGAGTGTCAGTGGTTAAATCACATCATGTCAGAGAATCTATAACATTTAGCTCTGTGATTGTCAATTACAGGTCTATATTTCAGACAATGTCGTCATCAGGCTGTTTAAAAATCACAATAACCCCTGTCAAAACAAGGCATTTTGTCTCCTCTTTTCACTTTTTGTTATGAAGGGGGAAAAAACGAGCCACCTCTGTTTGTAAGCATTTGAGATGCTTTTTGACAAAGATAGGCTTCCATATCCTGTTTCACAAAGCTTCCTATCTCCTGGCTCCAGTTTGATATTCAAGCATGATATAAAACTACACATAGACTAAGCTGTGCATTGTATGTATGTATCCCCACTGACTGTGAGGGACCAACTGGATGTGTAGAAAGTGCGTGTTACTAATCAATATCAGATTCTGGTAGATGTTGTTGGCATGTCTAGAAACTTGAATTATTTATAAAGTTATAGCGCCGTGTCATCAGTGAATACACACCCCTAATGAAGCCCCTCCTAATGAAAAGACACAACTATTGATTACGAGGTGGTGGGATCACTGCAGGTGTCTGATGAATTCAAAATAGTTTCACTCACTGTAAACCAAAATTTTGACCAACAGGCATCTTGTATTTGAGTTATTTTAAGGGCTAATGTTACCGTGTGCTTGCTAACAAAAACATCAGCGTCTCATTTAAAGTTCTGGATTCATCCTGAGAAGACGTCTGCTGAATCTAGGTTTCCCCGACTTTTTCTTCATGTTTTTTTTTTTATATACAGAGCATGTTACGCTGCCTCTTGCTTCCATTTACATTAAAATCTTTGGAGGATGTACGATTTATGGCTCCTCTTTGAGCTTCATAGCAGTAACTGTTATTAAATAAGGTAGCATGTGAACACACATTGAGGTGAACACAGTGCCAGCAGCTCCAAGCTGAATTATTTAAAAGGGTTTGATTAGAAAATAACAAACAAAACATTAAAACAGTTTGAGAATAGGTTTATCATCTTGCAGTTCCTGAGATTGAGTTTAAGAAGGCCTACTGGAATCCAAATTGGGTCACAGGTCTTGAAAGTCAAGATTTGAGTCCAAATCCAAATCTGTCCGTGGCTGCTGCAATATTTTACACATTTATATATCAGACACACGATAGAGAGCAGCAGAGTAAAGCTGATAATGTGCACAGAGTCGAGAGAATAGGATACTTTATAAAGAGCTGCATCTTTAGCTTCTGTTTTGAAGATGCTCAAAGCTCCTGCTGCCCCAAGAAGAAAAACAAAAACAGATCACTTGCGGCTGCCCGAAGGAGCAGCTCAGCCTCTGTTCTGGGCTAAATTTGGCCCTGTAATATGTATGCCGTTTGTGAGGAGAGCATCTTCATGGCATTCAAGGACACAAGCATACATGTAAAGACGTTCACACAGTCTGTGGCCATACTCCACACAAAAAATATATATATATTCAGACATACAAAAACAACATGTCTTGAAGAATAGTGGTCTGTTGAACAATAAAATACGAGCCTTTGTGTTGGTCATGATAAGTTCTGCCCCGGCTGCTTACCATGTTGACCGTAATTTGTAAGCTCCAATTGTCTTCTTCTGTGCTTCACTGCCTTAAAGGGATCGCCACTGATCTAAAAGAGAACGCAGCATGACCCAGAGTCATACACACCATGAGCAAAGCTGCATATGAGCTATCAGTCTGCTTACTCAGAAACACTATATTTTGCAGATTCAGATGTTTAGAGAGAGATTTAATTTTAAAAAAAGCCCAGAATAAAAATCATACCGTTGAAGCTGTTGTTTCTTCTTGCTTCTGTGCAGTAAATTCTTTCATCTTTTACTCTCTTGATTGTATTCCTACTACAAAAACACAACAAAGCTGAACCCCACTCCACCCCCAACACTTGGTATGAGCTCGGTAACCTCTCTGACGCCACGTTAATAAAATAAAGTCTGTTTCTGCTCAGCTTTAACACCGTCTGTTGGGATGTAAGTCAACCTTGTTCAGGTGAAGTTACCTTAAAGGCCAGGGGCTTATCGGGTGTTCCTGTGGGGTGATGCAGCATAACACTGTGGGGAACCAACACATCATTGCAGCACCTTTAGCTAAAGTGAAGGAGCCAGCAGAGGCTTATCAGAAACCATTTTATAAAGCTTTAGTGAACTCAGCGGGACATCAAACCCCACAGTTTGATGTCAACAACTTGAACCACTGGCGCTGATGCCTGAACTGTGAGTGACCTCAGACTGTAAGCAACTACCATGTTACTGAGGGGGAGGATTTTGTTCTGGTTTAAAGTCCATTCTTTGAAAGAATACATGAAAGTGAGTGTAAAGTCTGGGGTATCTATAATGCCTGCTTTGACAGCAGATCAATGTAAATAAATAACAGGGTTTTGCTTTTTAGTATAACTATTAATAAGATAGTTTGGTGCATCCACTCATCAGTGGTATAATCATCTAGATATGGTACTCTTCAAGAAATTAAAAGCATTTAATGTATTTTATATACCCCGTGATTACACCATAATTATCCAAACAGAAATACAGCTCTAGCTATTAGTTATTTTGATTGATTGTTCAGTTATTAACAGAAGTTTTTTGTTAGATGTGTCTCTTTGGTCGTTCAATTTCTTGCTGTGCCAGCTCTTATCATAAAGGATTTCAAAGACATACTATCAAATACATGAAAATCACAACTGTTCCCATGGTAACAGATTAAATGCTCTTAGCGATCATGAGAGCAGACTACTGATGTGGGCAGAGGATATAAAAATATAAAGCAAAAAAGGAAATCCAGCAGCAGTGTACAGGACTGAGAGCACTTTGTTTTTGACGGGGGAATTGATTTTCCTAATTGAATGTGTTTGAGGAGGAAGCAGATGTAGAGGAATTCAGATGGAAAGATACACAAAAACTGCAGAAAGAGAAGCCTCCAGGGCTTTCCCTTATGCAGTGAAAAGCCCTGCAGGCATTTAGTCACTGCAAAGTTGATGTTTGAAGACCAAAAGAGAACCAGGGGGGATTGAGGTCACTGTAAAAAGAGGTCCATGAATATTTGCTCTAGGGCTGGGCGATTGGGAAAAAGTTTATTGTGATATATTTTTTTCATATCAGTGGATATCAATATATATCACAATATAAAAAATGACATTTAGAAGTGCTTATTGGTAGCATGTCTTTTGCAATTACAATGAGCTACTCCATCTGTGAGGTCTTTGTGTCTCGTTGACGTTTTGTCATAAGGCGTTGCGCTAGAGAAAGCAGACTGAATGGTCGGCTGTTTCAGCTGCACAGGCGCCATGGGCTCCTTGCTCCGCTCAGGGTTTGTAACCTTTTGCACCGCGCGGCTCTGCTTCAGGAGGTGAAAAAGACAGCGTTGTTGACAATGTCGTCATCTGTTGAGCCTTCATCTGCATTTCTGCCGGGGGTGGCACTCATTTTCTTTTTTTCTCACAACAGTACTGTCGGTTTCACGTGTTAAAGTGCTATGGTTGCGTGTAGCTGCAGCCTGCTATTACGTATTTTTTTGCTACATTGTTCTAATTCAGACTATGATTGGTTCAGCGAGACGTGGACCCGGATCAACTCCTCTTTTTATTTGGTATCCGTATAGTCTACCAAAACATGGCAGAATGCAGACTATCAAAAAGCATATTGACCATGTTTCATATCGATATCAGGGGAAATTAATGTTTATCACTCAGCCCGATTTGCTCCTAACTGGAACTTCTGTGTTTTTCTTCTTCTCCTGCAGCTCCACCCAGAATGACCCATCAGCCACTGTTGGCAAAGTCCGAGACTTGGCTTCTTTCCGCCGGCACTTCCGGATGGGTTTCATGACCATGCCAGCCTCCCAGGACCTGTCTCCTCACTCTTGTGCCTCCGCCATGGCGCCACGCTCACAGTCCTGCCACGCTGTTGGTGCCGGGGACACGAGTCTGGAGAACGGGGATTACTCTGACACCCAGTCCCAACACGGCGGCCGCTGTCCCCCGGCTAAACCCAAACGTCACCCCAGCACTCGCCTCAGCTCCTCATCCGCTGATGGCAGAGGACTTCCTGAGACACCGCCACCATCTTCATCATCCTCTCACTCGCAGGGCAAACACTCAGAGAAGAAAAATGGTAACAAGGAGACGTTTTTTCAACTTCACAGTTCACATAGAAGATTTCCTTTCTCTCTAAAATGCTTTTCTTTCTCCTGCAGCCATGAAGAAGTCTGACTCTGGGGAGATCGGCTCCAAGAAGGTGCCTCCGTTAAAGCCCAAAAGAAGTCCAAGCACCCAGCTGACCTTTGACCCTCTCCCTCCACGTGTGCCTGGCGCTGCCACATCCCTGCCTTTCCAGGGAGCTGACTCTCAGATGCGGACAGGAGACGGGGATGACGAGCCGGTTTATATTGAGATGGTGGGCCAAGTGTTCACTAGAGACAGCCAGACAGCCACCCCCCACCCTGTCACCCCTGTGGCCACCACCCCCGACTCTGACTCAGATCAGAGCGAGGCCATTTACGAGGAGATGAAATACCCACTGCAAGAGGACAAAGACTCCCAGAGACACTTCCCTCTGAAACACGATAAACCAAAAACCTCGAAACACTTTCATGTCGCTTCTTCCTCCTCCAACAGCTCCTCGTCTCTTCCCCGCCCCTCCTCTTCCTCTCCTTCCTACTCCAAACCCAAAGCTACTGTTTCCATCTCTCATTCATCTCCTCTGCCTTCCTCCGCATCCTCAACCCCCGTTCCACAGGTGCTTTCGACCAGTCCACACACTCCTCGAGCTCCTACTCCCTACCTGCTGCAAGGGAATAAATCTGAGCCGGAGTCAAACACCAAAATCCCCGCCCCTTTTCCAAATCTTCTCCAGCACCGCCCCCCTCTGCTCGCCTTCCCACAGCCTGCAGCTGCCTCTAGCGGGGTCGGCGTGCAAAACAAGTCATCTTCATCTGCCAAACTGGGAACTCAAACGTCCAGCGGGTCGACTCAAGCTAGCACCTCCTCCTCGACTTCCTCTTCTAATGTTCCTTCATCAAAAGAGTCGTCAGGAGGGAGTTCATCTCAGCAGGATAAACACAGCAGAGAGTTAGGCCCCGCCCCCGGCCTGAGAGCAAGGAGTCACTCCACGCCTTTGCCTCCCTCATCCAAATCCACCTCCCCTTACTCCCATCACCATCACCACCCACACCACCGGCCTTCACACTACCATCACTACCGAAAGCCAGACAGAGGAGACTCGCCCGTTCCAAACAAGAGCAGCTCACAGGGGTCAACCCAGGCCACAGCCCAGACCCAGACATCCAGCACAGGCAGGGAAGGGAAGTCAGTGAGCTTCCTGTTAAAGTCTGATAAAGGAGAGAGGGACAATAACAGGGACAGAGACCGAGACAAGGATCGGGAGAAGGAGAGGGACAGGGACCGAGATAGAGATAGAGATAGAGACAGGGACAGGGACAGGGACAGGGACAGGGTTAGGGACAGGGACAGGGACAGGGAAAAGGATAAAGAAAGAGACCGAGACAGGGAGAGAGAAAGGGATAAGGACAGGGAGAGAGACAGAGACCGAGACAGGGACAGAGACAGGGATCGGGACAGGGATCGGGATCGGGACAGGGACAGGGATCGGGATAGTGGTCCCTACTCTCTACCCCTGGAACACACTCACTCCTCAACTTCTGGCACCAGCTCCACCCCTACACCTTTGTCCTCATCCCAGCGCCCCCACTCCCGCCCTCATCTTCGCTCTCACACCCCTCACGGCCTGCCAGCATACAAGCCCCCTTCATCGGACAGCCCCCTGCTGTGGACCTACCCATCCGGTGGCTTCCGAAGACCGCCGGCCTATGAGAGCCTCAGAGGTAGCTCTCAGACGCCATCCCTTCAACAGCCCTCGAGTCTCACAGGCGTGGGGGAGGGAACATCTAAGAGTAATGGCGGGTCAGGGTCTGGGTCACTTCAGTCAAAAGTTGGCTTCATACCCTGGGACAGCAGTGCGAGCTTAGCTGCAGATGACGGCTCTTACTGGCCAATGCAGAGGAAACTGTCCTTCAGCCATGGGACCAGAGAGACAGAGAGTAAGTTTGAAGTTTATTTCACACAGAGGCTAAATCTAGAGTTGTATTTGTGTTTTTTTTTTAAAGTTGAACAGACTTTAAAATATTAATTCTGTTCCCTCTCCTGTCTCAGAGGATGAAGGTCGTGCGTGGAATGGCAGCGCAGATGCTTTACTAAGAATGGACAAGGAGGACCTCTGCATGGGGTCTCGAGGAGGACACTCAGGCATCCCAGTCCACTTCTCTAGCGCCACCAGCAGGGCCCTGGGTCACAGCGAGTCCCTGGCAGGTGTGGACAGCAGCCCGGGTTTCAGAGCGCTCCCCAGAGTGGGTCTGCCTCTTCCCTGCCAAACTTTCCCTGCCTGTCGCAATGGAGGTAAGAAAACACACATCTTCTAGTCCGAGCCTCTAACCACAGCTTCTTTTAAGAGAAACTATGGCACTGGATTTTCATGGGGATTCTTTTGCTGACTCTGTGGTCTCTTTAACTTGGAAAGCCAACTTGTTTTTTTTGTCCTTGTCTGACATCAAATGCAACTTTAATAATGTTCTCGAAGTGAAGACTCTGTCCTCTTCTCTCCCCTGACTGTCATAACAGAGCCACCAGCTCTGCCTCCATTACAGCCTCTTCAAACAAGCCAAGAAGCTTTTGGTTTCTTTGTCAGTCTCTTTACATCTAAACTCAAGGCCTTCCCCTACGAACAGGGACTTGGTTTACCTAGAGGTTGTGTGCGATGATTGTAGTGATGCAGAAATAATGTCTATAGGCTTTGTACGTTTCATAAGAGGCACACTTCATGTTTATATACCTTCATTACTCTTGATAGTTTTGGTGGTAAAATGTACTTTAAGACTAACTTTGTTTTTCAGTTATATGCGCTGCATGTTAATAAAAGATGGAGTGCAATGTATGGTGCATTTAAGCTACTCATGTTACTACAATACTACTGGTACTTGTTTCTGTGAAAATACAGTTTTGTGAATCAGAAAATTGAGATTTTGATGTGGATAAACATTAATTGTGTGGTAGTGGAAATGACGGATTTGCATCACTTTGGGTTACTGCTGAAAAAAAAGAGTAGAAAGCTGTTTTTAAGTTATTCCAGTATAAATATCTGACAGATTGATACAAGATAAGGAGCTCTGCTAAATTGAAAACGTGTATCCCATCATCTTATTAGCAGACACCCAGTCTAATGTTTGTCTCCCTACAGAAGTGGGGCGGCTGGGCCGCTCCTCCTCTGCTGCTGGAGTGAGACAAGTGGGTGGAGGAGACGTCCAGAGACAGAGCAGCCTACCAGCACGAGAAGCCCTGAATCAGGTGAACATATATCAGCCAGATATAGCTTTACACTCTATTAACTTCATTCATAGTAGAATGAGAGGGAACATTAATATTGTTCTCATTATTACTTCCTCTTCTGCTGGAGACAGTGCCCCACAGATCTATTTATAGCTGTGAGATATGCCCACTGAGCAGAATGAGACTCTGGCTTGCCTCTAAAAAATAAGAGCTGCAAAGGTATTTGACGTAGGCTCATATGTAATCAGGAAATGAGAGAGAGATAGAAAGTGGGCGAGAGAACAAGCTGTGCTGTGTTTTGGAGTGATGAGCTGCAGTCCTCTAGCAGCACATTTTGCCCAGATTCTGGCTGCATAGCAAGTGCTGACGCAGTTTGAGCGTGCTGCAGAGACAGTCTGCATGCGGCTGGTTGACCCTCCCTCAACCTGTCGTAGATGAAGTAGGGCTGCATCCTGGTGGCTGTGTAGAGGAACTGCAGCTGTAATCAACTCAGAAGGAAGAGTAGGCTGTTTCTATTGGTCACTCCATGCAGAGTATTTGGAAATTCAAAGACTAAGAAGAAATTCACTTGTTTTAATGTTTCTTGTGTGTTCAGCTGCACAGTCTGAGCCAGTCACAGGCCCCCTGCAGTCCCAGCAGCCCCAGCGTGTCTCGGCAGCAGCAGCAGCTCCAGCTCCACCAGCAGCAGCTCCAGCTCAAGCAGCAGCTCCAGCAGCTCCAGCAACAGCACCACCTACAGTTGCAGTTCCAGCAGCTCGCCCAGCTGGCACAGGGACAGCCTCCTGTCGGCGGGGGCACCACCCCGTCTGCATCACAGACCCAGAGAGACGGCAAGCTGTTGGAAGTCATCGAGCGTAAACGCTGCCTGTGCAAAGAGATCAAAGCCCACAGGCGCCCCGACAAAAGCCTGTGCAAGCAGGACAGCATGCCCATCCTCCCGAGCTGGAGACGGACACCTGAGCCTCGCAAGACTGGCACGCCACCCTGCCAGAGGCCACAGGCCGTCGTGTGGGACACGGCTATCTGAGGTGGAAAGACAGGCTGATGAGCACAGCACTAAAAAGAGAGAAACACACAGAGGAGATGATGGTTGAACAGCCATGAGGACATGAGGAGAGTAAACATGGTTCAGTGGAGAGAAATCTGTAATGCATTTTTGAACTGATATCACAGCAGAAATGAAAGTTATCACAGACTTTGAACCTGTTTGCGTTAAAAAAAAAGGAACAGGTTGATAAAAGAGGTGAAAGAAGTATTACAATCAGACTAAATTAGTCTCTTTCCTGAGTGATTTGTATTGCTCTGTCCTTTCGGATGTGTTCTAATTGCCAATGATTTTTTTTGCCACAAAACGCCAGTATTGTTGCCACAAAACAAAAAGCGCCAACCTAACAATAATTGGTGGGATGTTTTCAGAGATTGGTGTTGCCAAATTTCCTCCTGACTACTTGAGACACAAAAGGATCATGTATTATTTTTTTTTTCCTCCAACATGCACAGAAACTACTCTGTGAGTGATGAAAGGCAGGACTCATTGATTAAAGTAATCGAAGTGTTTCTTGAAATCGTGAATGCATTATGAGATGTCTTGGTATCAGTAGATTGTCATTGTGGATGCAAATAATCATCACTGAGGAGTAAAAGCTACCTACTGTATCTGTTTGCATATTTGTAATGTAAATCTATTTACTTTCTCAACGTTTCTGCAATTTTATAGCAATATGCTCGCGACAGTGGAGCAACATGATTAAAACTTGTGTCAACTAGCCTAACATACATATCTTAGACTTGAAGAAGTCATATTTACTGTGTCATTCTCTGCATGTCACGATAGACATACAGTATTGTAAAAGAATATGTGTAGAGATGATCATGTGCGACTTTTACATTCAACAGATCTTCACTATGATAACATGTGGTTGTATAAAAATGACAAATATATCGCTAATAAAGGTGGTGTGACAGATCCAGCCAAATATAGATACAGGTCAATGGTACAGAACCGTCATCGCTCATGCTTCTCTATGGTTGCACATTAGTGATTGTTCCACTACACAGAAAAACAACCACTGACACCCATCAACACAGACTGTAATACATGGTGCAACTGATGAGACTGTGAGTAATGATCACCTCAAACAGAATGCTGGAACAATCTGCACAAAAACATGGTATTCGCTTAGGAGAAATTAAACCCTAATGTACTGTAAATAGATATGTACAACTGTATTGAAAATGTAGCAATTATTTCCATTTTCATACTTGTAATCAATACATATTATGTAGCATATACTGTATAAACATAACTTTGTTCACTTGTTTTTTCTAAAAGAATTAAGTACTTTATCTGCTGCAGCCAGTCCATGCATTACTTATAGTTCTACCAGTAAACAGTAAGCCCTCTGAAGAAAGGCACAGGCCAACAGTTGTTTATTTAAATTTATGCAAGACTCCCTTTAAGCTGTGTTTTCTTTTATTTATGCCTTTTTTATGACATACAGTTTTATTTGTGTACAGATTTCAACAGCTCCTTGTCTTGACATTTTAACTACTTTGCTGCTATCTTGAACTACTGGTGTTGTTCATTGGACCACATGGTGTTACCATGGGAAACATTATCAATATAGTGGTTATTGTTACATATTTGTTTTATTTCTGAAAGCCACGTGGACTGAAGTTTGTACCTTGAAGAGTGAGCCCTTCTGTACTTGTATTAAGGCACTTGAATGTCTCTTGGTTGTTGTTGTTTTTTAATGATAGTTAGCACCAAGCTGTACAGTTACAGTACACCCTGTGAGAAGACGACCTATCTAAATGTTTGAGAGTCACTGCTTGGCCTTTTTATTTTAGTCCAACCTGCTGATGTGTTTGAGGGTTGAGGTTTTTAAAGTGTCCATTTTCAAACAAACACAGGTCAGGGTGAAGGAAATAGGCGAGTGCAATGCATGCAGAGTCCTTACACTGACAATGTTCCTATGATGCTGACTATTGTGCCCGATTTAATTTCAGATACTACTGAATAATCACCTTTTTTTCCTTTTCACAGACTGATATGAACCCTAGGTCTCATTTCCAAACTAGTTTACAGAAGCTGTTGGTTTTGTGTGTCTTCTAAAACAGTGGCCATTATATGAGTGCCATACTACAGTATATTGATATGGTAAGATACGGTGTACCTTGGAAATCACTGTAGTGCTATATTTGCATTGATATTGTCATTCAAAATAAATTTTATATAATGAACTTTACACAACAAAAAGACCTGTTGCATGTGTCCATGCCCCGTGGTGTTTCTAAGAAAAGATGGTGGACAAAGCGGACATCATGTTCCCTCTGCACTCCTGCAGCAGGTGTTGCAGCTCCCTCGGTATCCAGGTGAGGGAGCTACCTTCTCTCTAACGTCTGCTTCTGCTGATGGTGGGGTGGTTGCTAGAAAACTAGAGTAAGCTCTGTAATATACAGTAGCAGGCATGGACAGTTGTATGTTGACTCAGAATATCCTACACGCTTTGCTGGAATCTCAAGTCACTGCATCCCCAGGTGTAATTATGATGGGGACAAAAGTCCAGTCCAACCTCTATTAATGAACTACCTGTAGCTTCAGTATGCAATCAGTGTTAAAAATCTCACACAGGTTGGTAAAAGCTCTCTCGAAATCCAATAATTTCCCCAAATATTTTATGACTGTAGCACTAAAATCCCAAATGATGAGTTTTTTGTTTTGTTTTGTTTTAGAACTTAAAACATTTGCTAGGATCCACAGTATTTTAACTATTTAATCACAAATTAAAGGCAGAAAGAATGAAAAACCTCAGGCAGGCTTCTGACAAGTGACTCATGGCACATTGATGTTAAAATCAGAATCAGAATCAGAATGCCCTTTATTGTCATTATACAGAAGGTGCAACAAGATTGGAGAGCTTCTTCATTTTCAGTGCAATACATACAAAAAAGAAAACAGACCAGATTAAAAGTACAAAATTAGTTGTAAGGAAAAAAAATAGGTACAGACTTTTAACAAGATAAAATCCTCTAGTCCAGCATAGACATTACAATGTAATGAAAACTATATACAAGAATAGGAAAGGAGACAAATATTAATAATAATTATTATAATACATTTTATTTGCAGTGCCCTTTACATCAAGCGACCAAAGGGCTACAACTTAAAAACAAAAAAAAATCACAGTAAAGGAATATAAAAACAGGTTATTGGTTTAAAAAAAAATCTCATTAAAAGAGTAAAAGAATCTAAGAATAAGAATAACTTTATTAATCCCCAAAGGGACATTTAATTGTCTGTTGTCTCACATCACATGTCTCTAAAAGTCATCTACTATTTACATAAGAGTTATAAAGTCTGATGGCTGTTGGTACAAAAGATCTTCTGAATCTGTCCTGCAGCGAAGAGAGAAGAGCCGTCCACCACCATTGGCCCTTTGGTCCATCAAGGTGTTATGAAGTGGGTGATCCATGTTCTTCAGAATAGTCTCCACCTTCCTCAGTGTAGATCTCTCCACCACATCCTCCACTGAGTCCAGCTTGAGTCCCAACACAGAGCCAGCCTTTTTCACCAGTTTGTTAAGACGTCTTGCATCTTTGTGTTTGATGCTTCCTCCCCTGCAGACTGCAGTGTAGAACAGAACACTTGCCACCACAGACTGATAAAACATCTGCAGCATCTTACTACAGATGTCTATTGATCGGAGTCTTCTCAGGCAAAAGAGGCAGCTCTGCCCCTTTCTGTAGATGAAGTCTATATTCTTAGACCAGTCCAACTTATTATCCAGATGTACACCTAGATATTTATATGATGTCTCCACTTCGACGTCCACTCCACAGGTGTTCACTGGCTGAAGAGGGGGTTTGGATCTACAGAAGTCTATGACCATCTCCTTTGTCTTTGAGGAGGGACCACTACCCGAAGTCCCTACTGGAAGTCCCTTCTAAAGAAGAAAGCCCGTCCGCCGGAATTAATACGGGGATGACCCGGAAGTAATTCTGAGTAAGTATTGCGGAAGTTCATCCTCTGGGTCCGCCATCTTGGCTGCAGCTGGGTACTCTTGAAACTTCTGCTAAAAAGGTAAGTTTTGAGTCCTTTTTAAAAACTGTTAGTGGGTTGTGGTGCCTTCAGGGTGTCGGGGAGGGCGTTCCAAAGGTGTGGAGTGGCAGTACAGAAGGCCCTGACTCCCATGGTCCTTAATTTGGTTCTTGGGGGTATCTATCTATCTATCTATCTATCTATCTATCTATCTATCTATCTATCTATCTATCTATCTATCTATCTATCTATCTATCTATCTAAATGAATATATACATAGCAGCAAGTCACTTGTTACTTATATTGAAGGCTGGGGTTGTCTGCTATGGGAGTTCAAGGTGGTGATGAAAGTAATAAAAGTAACATGAGACATATAATTCAATAATTCAACTAATTTAAAATACGTTCAACATCCAGTCAGAGAGAACCACAGGTGCTTTAGACTTGTACAGATATCTCAGTTAGGTTTTATTGGGTTTTGTTCGGTGACACCACTACACACTCCTCAGAGCCAATGACAGCATGTCTTCAGACAGCATATGATTGGCTCTGAGCACTGTCAATCGAATCATGCGACGTAGCTGATTGGCCAAGCGGGGGCGGTATGACGCGAATAAGGAGGGAGCAGCTCTGTTGGTGTTGGAAAGCGGATGAAGGTTCTTGGATGGAGGGCGATGGGGAGGGGGGATGATTGGAGAGGGCGGGGGAGGATGTAGAGGGAGGCGGAGGGAGTGCTTTACCGCAGTATCACTGGATTTCTGCACCACTCATCAAAACTCTGCGGCATGCAGACAAGAGGAGCAGGGGGGGAGGGCAGATACTAGACCTGTACGAAGAGTAGAAAAGCTACCTCTTGCTGTCAGTTTTGTTTGTATAAAATAGGCTTCTGTTCACTTTAACTTTCATTTTCGCTTTAGTTGAAGTCGAGCCGTTTAAATACCTCTCTTCTTCGTCTCTCAGTGGAGCCTAACTAAGTCTCTCTCTCTCTCTCTTTCTCTCTCTCTCTCCCTGCTAATTGTTCAGACCCGGCGTTTTTCTCATTAGGGCGCGCAAAGTCGAGAGTTTTGCGCTCTACTTTTTATGATAAAATGGCAAAAGATGGAGAAAAAAGCGAGTGGAAGGATTTTATATGGAACCCGAGGACGAGGGAGTTTCTGGGCAGGACGGCGAGCAGCTGGGGTGAGTAGAGTCCAGCAGCTCCATACAGCAATGCAGCAAACCCGGTCCCCCGGCTCTCTTACAGGTCTATGTCTGAGTCTAAATGAAACCTAAATGATAAGAGTAATGCTTCAGATGTCACTCATTCAGAAAGAACTGTGTGTAACCATGATGTTTGTTAAGCTTGTTATGAGTTGGGTGATTATGCTTCTCAGGGTTCAGGTAATGAGATAGCTGTCGTTGTCCACTACTCTGTGGTACTGAAATCCGAATGCGGCACAACTCCTGAGAAAGAATAAAAAGCCTTTCTGCCTCAGTTTCTGTCTTTATTTATTAATTTATGGCACTGCTTTTCCATGCGCAATGCGCTCAACATAAGGGTGGAGGCAAATGGTCTAATTTTTACATTTGAATGAGGCAGATTACTGCAGCAATGCTGAGGCAGGTTCCACTCTGTTGCACCATCAGCTCCTCTCTGTGGAAGACTGCTGTAGCCAGCGTTAATGTGATTTCCTCTGCAGATGAGACCTTTTTTTTTTTGTTCCAAAGAGATGTGTCACTGAATTTCAGCAGAGTAAGGATTGCAGCTTTATGTAATGAGCCTTCAACATGATGTCATTCATTTTCAGGGTTATCCCCCCGAGATTTCAAAGAGGAAGATCCAAATCCAAGTCTCTGTTCAACACAGTATTACAGATAAAATGTCCCCTTTCTGTGATGCAACCGGTCTGTAACTTTATCCCAATGATTGGGGAAATGATAGGGCACATATGGCTCTGTTCTAATGACATTGGAGCGTTTTAATCTGGGTAAAGCCGTGGGCCAAATGCTATTTGTATCACCTCCAACCCCCCCGGCCCCTCCCAATGAGTGTAAATCAGCGAGGGATTTAATCCTAGTCTAATGACTTCATTGGCTGATGGAGAAGGTATCAATTCAGGGTGGGAGCCAGAAAAGTAAACCACTTTCAGGAATTTGGGCTATTCTGATCTTTCCACCGGTTGACACGCTCACAGTGGGAGAACTCAAAGCTCAGTGTCTTGGATTGGAGTAACACCAAGAGGGATTGTACTCGGCGTGGTATTGTGGTGATTATGTGTCATCAATGGACATTGTACTATTAGTGCAGGAATCATTGACTGCAGCTTCCTCTGCTGGAATCCTCCCACTGTGGACGACTTAATCCAGCTCAGTGCGTCCCAGGTGCTTTAAGGTCTGCTGGCCTTTTTAAGCTGTGCTCTCTAAGGCTTGTTAATTAGGCTATTTTTGTCCTTTGTCACTACATGGAGGCCTGCTAAACTTGGCATTTCACCTCTGCACTTCCTCATTGTCCCATGACGCAAACGCAGCAGGCTAGGTACTGTACTGTCCTGTACTGTACCTCCACGGTCACTTCCTTGAATTTATTTATTTATAGTCAAACCTTCTATTTCCTTTGGCAAATTTTGTCAACTTGCACTGAAAAAAAACCTCAACATTATGCAGAACAATGTAAACTGAGACTGTAAGATGAAAGTCTGAGGATGAAACACTGGAGCCTTTTCATGTGTTCTTCTGGGTGTCGGATGATGTACTTTTAATGGAGAGGGCCTCGATAAAGACAACAATCCTGATATTTAGATATCTAGATGTTACGGCCCCATCAGAATCAGGGCAACATGGTTAAATGACTGTCATCTTTTTGAAATGGTCTTATTAACAATCCTGCATGAAAGACTTTCAAAACAATGAAAGACTTTCAAAATGGTCATTTCAAAGGAAAACATTTCTGGTTAGTCTAGCTACAACTTAAATCTATCAAATCTGTCTTTTTTTTCATTCCTTGAGGTCTTTTGATGACCAGTTTTCAAAGCAACTGCGGATCATGTCTTCCTAATTAATTCTGATAGAAGACAGACACCTCTCACTATTATTAACGAAGAAAGAACAGGATCCTGAACCGTGCCGCCCTGGCCTCTCTGTTCTTTGCTTTCAACTGCCATCTGCAAACAAAACCCATCTGAAAGAGAGAGGCTGCACTGTCCATCATCACTGGAATTGAGAGGGACAGACTGTAAACCCAACACCCTCTTTGCCAGGGGGGAAAGCCACGAGTGCACACTCACTCTCCCCCAGGTGGTATCATGTTGTGGTGAGCACAACCCCCCCTCTGGATGACAGAGAAAACCACTTAAACACTTTGTTTTGCCACATCTTATCTCTGCTGCCTCTCTGTTCTTCTGTCTCTTGCTGTAGTGCCTCTGGCGTGGTCCGAAGCCTGGAGAGCTGACTCTGTGTATTTTTAATGACTCAGCTTGGGTCTTTTCCATGCGACAGACGGGATGCTCACTGCCATGTTACTCAGCCGTTCATTCATTTCTTCACTTCAACTCAGATTCTAATAATTTCAGAAGCAGTTTAAGGAACATGCACACGCGCTCTAAATCACCAAGGATCCTCTCTGAGATCACCCCCCGTGGAGAAGCTTCCTTCTTGACATTTTGTTGTAGATCCTGCGTCTGTGTGGGGAGGCAGATGCAGCTGCTTACGGGTGAAAGAGCTCCACACTGGGGGGTAAGGGGGTGGACAGCAGAGGCACAAGGTCAGGGTGCTCAGTTGCTACCCGAATCTGGCCCCAGGTGTTGATTCTCAAATTGACAGATATGTCAGAAAAATTGTCATTATGTTTCCCTGCTCTTCAGATAGACAGGGGTGCATGAGTTCAGAAGACACAGCTGCTCCCAAAGAATAAAAAGACATATCATCAGTTTTTTTCAGGGTAACTGGCACTCTGAGAATTTTAATAGAATACGGCAGGGGCAAAGTGAGACAACTTCTTTGGGGTTTCTTCATTTATAGTTAATGATCTCAAAATTACTGTGAAGCAATTTTTATTTTGAATGTATTTTCAGCCATCAAACAATTGTTTACAGATAAGCTTTATGTTACATTTCCACCCTGTAAACTCAATACTTCTGGATTCAGAGTGTCAATTGAAGTTTTGAGATTTTAGATTTTAACTTTACACTTTACACAATTACACTGTCTTTTTCAGAGAGACGTTTTCCGAGGCGTTAAAGCCTATTTTAGTGTCGGCACTGCTTTACCTCTTACATTGAGTTATTACCAGGGTCTCTTTACATCATGAATGGAAAAGGAATAGTCTATGATGATCTGCAATCTCCTGTCTCTGGTGCCTGGTCTCCAGAGGCTCCTTTGGTGCCTCCTCCTGCCACCATCCCCTCTCTTTGCAGATGAAGTAGCTCCATAATCAAACACATCAGAGACTAGTCCTTCAACCTTGGTGTATTTACACATTTCCCTCCAGCTCTGCCTCATTGGGGTCAACAGATGGTGAATTTCCCTCATTTCAAGCCATATTTTGCAGTTACTGTTATTTAATGTGCTGAGATGACAGTTGTGTATTAGTGATTGAGAAAGAGAGGGGCAGATGCTACAGACTCCAGTTTAATGAGGATTAACTGACTCCCTGTCAACATATTTGACCACACAAGTGCATCACAACACAGCCACATGGTTTTGTTACTGTCAATACTGCAAAATTATTCATATTTAAGAATATCTTGCATATAACAATAATTTTAGAGTGGATTTCCCGCACCTACCTACAGCAGTAGATGTTAGCGTAATGGAGCCTTCATGCATAAATCAAAAGCCTGCCTTTCATTGTGATGCGCATCATGAGATCAAAGAGTCCTGTGAGACACTGAAGTCTGCATACAGCAAGCATTACAGAGAAATAATGGGTTTCCCTCACCATTTAACAACAACAATACATGCAGCATCTGCAAATAGAGTTTATGCCTCATTTATATGCAAACATCGGTGTCCTATACTGGATAAAAATACAATGTCAAGATGAGGGCAATGTTTAGTTTTGTAAATGTGCGTCCATTTAATGACTAAAAATGGTCATAAGGAAAAGGACGTTGCTTGAAGTGCTCCATCATCTCATTTGTTGTGCCATTAATAGTATTCTTATTAAGCTAATGTGTTAATATGTTGCTCTTTTGTTCATAGAGACTACATACATCTCTTTAGGAGTTTAAAAGCAGAGCTGGAAATGAATTTTAATTAACAAAGGTTTCATACTTGGAGTGTTAACATCAATAAGGATGTCACAGTTTGGAGTAACTTAGAAAAACAAATTAAAGCAAATGTTAAATATAATTGAAACAAGATGAAGTCTTGAATTTCACTTCCTAAATCACCTGGATGTGTGGCTAACAAAGTAACAACTCTAAACAAGTGCTTTTACTTCGAGATATGAAGACAGGATTCTCTTTCTGTATTAAATCTGAACAGCTTTGAAAGGAGTAGACCACCCTTTTCCCTCTAGAGTAAAAACTTTTTGATATATTGCAAAACTGAAATAACTCTTATTTCTCTATTTCTGCAGGTCTTATTATACTCTTCTACATAGTCTTCTACATCTTCCTGGCTGGTCTCTTTGCACTCACCATGTATGTCATGCTGCAGACGTTGGACGACCACAAACCCACCTGGCAGGACCGGCTCTCCACACCAGGTGCTGTAGCTAATGATACAAACTGCATGAACACAGAGGTGAAAGTCTGTACCATGTTGTCTTGACCTGTCTCTGTCACTCACAGGCATGGTGATTAGACCCAAAGCAGACGAGACCTTTGAGATTGTGTACAGCATCAAGAACACTGAGAGCTGGGACATGTACGCTCAGGCCCTGGACAAGTTCCTGGCCCGTAAGTTTGGATCCACTGTGACTTAAAAAAAAACTTTCAGTGGATTACCCAACCACCCAGAATGAATTGTTTTTACCTACTAAGAGATAATTCCCTCACAGTCTGAGGGTAGGCGATTGCCTTGCATCATAAGCCTTTAAATAAACTCAAAATGAACCCCACCCCCACCATCTCTCTCCCCCTCCATGCAGCCTACAACAACTCAGTCCAGGCCCAGAAAAATGATGAGTGCACCCCGGACAAGTACTTCTTCCAGGAAGACAGCGGAGATGTGAAGAACAACCCTAAGCGCTCCTGTCAGTTCAACCGCACCATCCTGGAGGACTGCTCTGGAATCGATGATCGTTACTATGGATACCAGGAGGGCAAGCCATGCATCATCATCAAGTTGAATCGGGTATGAAAGAGGAAAGGGAAAAAGAATGGTGTTGCTAGGAGACATGGTGACTGAGATAATATAGTGGTATGAAGAGAGGGAAAGATGATCCTCGTACAGAAATAAAGGAAATATTGACATTTAGGCATCTGAGGTTATTTCTGGTGTATATTTGGGCAGTTTTAAGATGGCGTTCTATTTTCTCTATTTGAATTTAAGTGAACGTCTAATATTGTTGAAGATTTCTTGTTATTTTTGTCATCAGGTGATTGGGATGCTTCCAGGAAAGGACGGACAGGCTCCATTTGTCACCTGTGGTGCAAAGGTATTCTTCTGCCTTCTCATACAATGACCCGTCTAACATAACAACCTGGATTTCAGCCCACCTGAAGCTTTTGTTTCCCCATCTCATCTGCAATATGCCACCTTTAGTTTACGTCCATCCTCTTGATTCTCTTTCATGTCATTTTCTCATTTCAACCACTTGTTTGTGTTGTTTTTCCACTTGCTTTTTATTTATTTGCAAACTCACAGAGGTACAAAGTTGGCAAAAATGAATGGGTAAGAACAGTGTAGGACCTGTGTCTTTGGATGTTTCAATAGGTTTAGTAGTGGTAGAGTTTGTAGATTGGTGTATTTTCTTATAGTCCAGATAGTCTTGATTAAAGAGATGGTGGGAGCGGAGACTTAGAGCAAAGAAGATTAGAGAGATTCACCTCTTCTTGTCCTACACACTGAATAAAGGGATTTTTTCAGCTGTAACTAATTAAGTCACTTCACCTCCTCAGAGAGAAGACTCTGACAAAATCGGTCAATTGGTTTACTTCCCACCAAACGGCACTTTCAATCTAATGTATTACCCTTACTACGGAAAGAAAGCTCAGGTAAGATTGCACTACACCCAGCATCTTTGGACAGTTTATTGAAGATGTGTCAGACAGAGAACATCAGCTCCTGTGTCCTTGAATCTATCTTTTCAGGTGAATTACTCTCAGCCGTTGGTCGCCGTCAAGTTCCTCAACATCACCACCAATCAAGACGTCAACATCGAGTGTAAGATCAACGCCAACAACATCCCCATAGGCAGTGAAAGGGACAAGTTTGCTGGGAGGGTGTCATTCAAGCTGAGGATCAACACTGTCTCTAACTAGGTTGACCTTTTTTCCTCTCCTGAAAAAATACTTTCTCCATTCTCTGCAACATTGCACATACACAGAAAGCAATCTCAGTATTCACACCCTTTTGTAGGATCTGTTTACAACCCCCATATTTCAAGGGGAAATAGTTAATCTTAGTGTTTTGGAGAAGAATAAAAGGGTGCTAATTCTGTCATTATTTCTGTCTGTGAGCTTTGGGACAAATTCTTCTCTGTAAATTAGTCTGAGGTGACGTCTATTTATACTGCATGACCAAATGTAAAGGGGATGTAAAGGATGTCGACGTGTGTTTCCAGAGTTTGCAAGGATCAGCAACAGTACCACTTTAATGCTGCTCCCCCTCCTGCTGCCTCTTACAGAGTCTCCCTCTATATATGAATATACACAAATTACAATACAAGATGTGTATATCTACAGTATTTATACGGCATCATAACCTTATATCAATATTTTGTCGCACTTAAAAAGAATAATCCAACAGACTCGCAAATATATCTCAATGGATGGATGCAGAGATGAAGCCATGTTGCATGTGTGTATTGTCTTAAGTGTGCTATGAGGGGCGGGAGGCCCCCCTGTGTCCCACCTCTCTGCTCAGTGTGAAAAACAGGTACATTCAACCACTGACCACCAGGAGGGACCACACTGTAATAGAACAAAAACATCAGTTGAGATAGGCATTTTTCCTAAAAAAAAAAAAAAAAAAAGGAGTTGCAGGAGAGCTCAAAACCTTTAACAGTGTGTGTGTGTGTGTGTGTGTGTGTGTGTGTGTTTGAACGTGTGGTCCATTCTCTCACAGGTCCCATTTCATACTGTAGGTCGGGAAGTTGCATGCAATGTGCAATATTCATTACATGGCATACATAATGAATGTGTAAATCAACTCTTTAGATGAGGGGGATATCGTTTGAGTAATAATTTATTTGGATCATTTGATATTCAGCGTGTTAATTTGACATAAGAGCAGCTAATAAACAGTTGGGTTTGATGCAGTTTTTGGTGCATTTAAGGAAAATGAAGGCATTAAATTACATCGGTCCTTCTTCATTCCTTATTCAGCCGTCTCTAACCTTATGAAGTTTTTGCAGTCCTATCAAAATCCTCCAACATCGCATTAGATTTGCAAAACTAGATTTTCACCTGCTAAATTGTAAAATAAGCTTAAAAACTTAAACTCTTGGTTGAAAAACATCTGAATATCAAACTGCTAACCCCTCCCCCTGCTGCAAAATGACACTATTCTCACAGTCACGGTGTCTACCTGTTTAGATTTCGCGTGAGTGTGCGTGTGTGTTTGTGTATTTCATCTATTTCATGTGTATCAGAAATAGATGCTGTTGTCATGTTTTGTATTGAATTGCACTGAAAGTGTGCTTTTTTTCCCTCTTTTTTTTTTGTGAATCCGAGTTGAACTAACTCATGTACAGTTTTTGAGTGATATAGAGTGATTGTTCTCTTTGTTTCCATTCATACTTATTATCAAACTTTACATTTTCAAAATATGTAGTCCAAAGGTTCTGTTAAAGGAGAGAGGAGTTTTAAATGTGTGAGCTGGTAGTGCATTAGAGATAGGTTTTAAAGGCCCGCAGGAAAATAAAGGAAGTGGAGATTTCCATCCATGACCACATAGACAGGGTTTTTTCATGTGATTATTTCTTTCATAGCTTTTCCACTGTATTATATAGATCAGTCTGAAAGTACAGCCATGGTGACAACAAGTTTGAGAGAATCGTACCGAAGTCCTGAGTTTGGTGCTGAAGCTGTTTACTTTTCTCTCTGCAGTCTCAGGCATACAGAATTGTAAAAAAACACCTGCAAATGTTGGCAGGAGAAAATCTGTGGAGTCACCCTTTTTCCAAGTCAAGCACATTATTTTATCACAAATTTAAGATTGTGAACCTGTAATATCACCGCAGCAAATGTGGCATCTGTTCACTCGCATTACAGCCTGGCCCTACTCCGCAGTTAAATTTCTCTCATAGCGACGTATCTGAGTCTGCCTACAGATATCTCACACAGCCCTGAATGGGACTTCACTGCAGATTTGACAAAGAGAGACAGAAAGCCTGTGAGATGTAATATGATTATCTGATCTGTATCTGGGGAGTTATTCACAATGAATTAAGTGATCTATAAGTCATCAGGGTTTTTCTTTTTTTTAATGCTTTTTGAGACTGTCCACCGACCAATTCACATGCATTTCTCCTCTGGCATTCCTGCAACACTTACTTAATTTCTCTGTAATCTCTTAATCTGGTCGGCTAATCCAAAGCAGGCACGCTGAACTTCTTTACCCTACTTTGTCGCTCCTCCTCCACTTCTTCTTCTTCTTCTTCTTCTTCTTCTTCTTCTTCGAAATGCTCAGTGCTTTCACTCCTATTTTATACTACTTTAACCATTAAAGAAAAAGCAAAGTCCATTTAAATTTCACCAAATCAAACCTGCTGCTTCATCACCTGATCAGACATGTTTGTTTTTAACCCATGAGCATGTGAAGATTCACTCTTTGACCAAAGATCTTCATCACACTCTTTTCCTTTTTTCATAAGCAGCAGCAGGTGTGAGTGAGGATCTTATGTGGAGTACTGTAGGAACCAGGTGGAGGGCTAACCACCTTGGGTTATTTAAAGGCCTACTCTTATATAATGAGAATACGCACAAAAGGAACCTGTTTCACTGCAACATAACAGTGCCTCCTGGTGGACAGACAGTGTTGTTCCCCAGCGTCACAGAATGTTTTTCCTCTCGTCTCCATTTATTCGTCTTTTTTTCTCTCTGATGATTTGAAGATGTTCTCAAAAAGCAATATATTTATTTATTGTGTGGCCGTATGATCTGTTTATTAGAAACAAAATCAGCATATTGTCAAGAGCAAGGAAGATAGTGCACTCAGGCATTCTTGTCAGAGTGTATTACAGTGTTGGAACAGTATAGAAAAGTAGAGTTTTGTTTATAAAAAAAAGAGTATTTTTATTGCTATTTTGTTGTAAAGAGGAAAGAATGTATAAGCTTGGATTGTATAACAATGTGGGATCTAGCTGGTAGGTTTTCATAATTTATTTCCATGAAACGGCAACAGCTTGGCTGGAGAAGACTTTTGTTTTTGTTTTGTTTTTTGTTTTTTTTAAATGCAGAAACATTTTTAATGTCATACTTTGAGTCCTTTCTATCTTCTTTAATGGAGCTTGTGAGGTTTGCAGTGAAAGTTCTCTGAGCTCTGCAGTCCGTCCAGAAAACTTGTTTGAAGAAAACCATCTGACAATGCTCAAAAAGAACCAGTGCAGGCTGTGTTTACAGAGAACTTTTCACTCCAATAAAGAGAAACTACAACAGGGCCCAACACAGACAGAGAGAGTCCATTATCCATTCTTCAATTAATGAAAATTTCAGCAAACCCTATTTTCCCAAACTAACCCACCCCCTCGTCTTAAATCATACTATTGCCTAACCAACTGTGGTGCACGGATAGTTCAAGAAAGAAATCAGTGAAATATATTGAGATACTCACACACTAAAGGATGATAATCTATTCTGGATCTTTATTTTTTGCTTTAACTGTATGTATATTTTTGCTCATGTTTACTGCAAACCAAGATAGAGAAATAAATAAATGTCATTTAAGGGAGATCAGACTCGCTTCATTTGTGCCTCCTGAACATTTGATTATCATGACAGAGATTTCTTAGTCATGGTGAGACACTCAGATTAAGGTGGTACCGCAGTCATGCCTCTGTCGATTCTTTCACCTTGGAATAAAAAGGGAGTAAATGCAACCTTGGTCTACCAATGTGACAGAAAAAGAAACCAGCCAGTGTCAAAAGTAGCATCAAGTGGATGTAATCTAATGTAATCCCATTCACCGTAATCCTAACAGCCTGCAGTGCCAGTGGACAGCAGGGTTATCCTGTAGAAATACTGCTGCATAGTGACAAGTGAACACAGAGAGAAAGAAATGTGATGTGATGTGTTTTTATGGTCTTGTAGCCTCTGTAACCTCTCCCTTTATTTGCACATGAGGAAGTGCGTGTGAAGTAGAAATACCACAAACACCACGTCATCCAAATACACACACCCCAGGTCAAAGTTCGCAGATTGAAGTTCTCTCTAGACTCCAGTACTCTATGTTGTTGCTCCTAACAAAAACTGACCCAAGCTCTGAAATATTTATATCCTGTCTGGAGTTGGACTTTAATTTCTCTTCTGGGAGCAGTTTTTATACAGTCTGCTGCCAACAGCTTGACAAGATTTAAAAGCTGAGTGTACTTCTGCTTTCTGACCTTCAACCAGGTCCTGTCTCCAGCTGGCTCTATGGCTGAAGGGTCTATCCTTATCTCTCCTTTCCTCACTGTCTCCACCTTGGAGAGAGAGAGGAAGAGGACAGGGCAGGAAAAGGGAGAAAGCAAGGATTACGTGGCATTAGTGGTATTTGTGGGTTTAAAATAGTCTGATCAAGAGTGGAGCTGGTGCTTTCTTACATATGTGCCTACATATACTACCCTCTCTGTTACTCATACATACTATTATGATAATCCTGACTTTGTCTCAGTAATAACCATGCCTCAACATCAAATTAATCATATGTAAAGAGATGTGTTTAATGGAGTTAAACCCTCTACATTTAGACTCAAAGATCAATTCTTCAAATGTGTCCAGGTGAAAGCCGTAGACACAGCAGATATTATCCAACGTTGTACAAGGTGAGTTAATAGAAGTGTGTTTTAGAGCACTGGAACCTCTGCTGGCTGCTTGATAGTATTACACAACAAAATAGTGGTATTTAAATGTCAAAGTAATCACATATCTGAACCAGACTACATCAGAAAACAGACAACTGCCTTTTCTCTCTGTCCCCCCACCACACACATGCACACACACACACACACACGCACACATTTAATCATTCAAAACATGGTACAAAAACAGACAATTTAAAACTGAAGTTTCTCACCACGTGAACACTGCTATCAGTGTGAAGCACCACATTGTTCGTTTTTTTTTATCATACGTTGATTTGTCAATGTAACTTTTCTTAAATCAGGATTGATTGGTCCAAGACTCTAAGGCTAACAGGCATATTCACCCAGCCCAATATGAGGTAGAGTACTAAATCAAGTCAAATGTAAGTATAATAGGATTCATTTGCAGCAAAATTTGAATGTAAACTCAATCATGAGGCACAAAAACATTAACAAAACCATCTGATGCAATCTGTAATTCATACACCTTTAGACTGTAAAACAGTCTAAAGAACATTACAAGATGTGTGTGTTGCTGTGTGTAAATGGCGTCCATGCTTTTATGTCCACCTGCTTCGATAATTTAGTCTGTGATCAGACGGTCTAAATGCCTCATTAGCTGCCCTAAAAAGAGTCTCTAACACTTGAAGCACCAGTTGAGACACAGTGTGGAATGACTGCATACTAAAAGCAAGCTTTCAGCATGACAGTTGATTGTTAAAAGCACTTTGGTGAGTAGGAAAAATATGTCACATGATTTCCAGAGAAGTTATAACCCTGTAGGTAATGAGGTGCTTCCATGTGGAGCCCTGGGTACCACGGGGACAAGGAAAAACATGGTCAAACAGTAGAGGTCCAGTCCAGGAGTAAGGTTTTCCTACGGCAAGTCCAGCATGCCATTTTCCTCCAGGGCTTTCTGCGTCCTGTCGTAAACCTCTCCAGTGGCCTGAACCACTCTAGTAAGCACCGCACTTAGCTCCTCCTGGTTCTGCACACACACCAGCCTGAAGAAGTAACCCCGCTCTGGCAAAGCAATAAAGGCAAGCTCAGCAGCCCTGCGGACAAGCCAGGTGTGGTGGAGTGAAAGAGTGCTTTGGTAGGACTCACGACACAGCTCTGAAGGACTCTTGAGACGCCCAGTCACTGGTGTCTCAGCCAGCTTCTCCAAGAAGAGCTTCAGCCAAAGCAGGGCGCGATGAAGACGCAGGAGTGTCCGACAACCAGAGTCTGTCTGTTGGTGGAAGTCCACCAGGCCTTGGTTCAGCTCTGCCACGATCATGGAGCGCACAGAGTGGTAGGCACCTGGGTGCTCTGAGGCCTCTGGATCAGTCCCTACCTCTGCACCCACATTGTTTATTGAGTTTACACCTGCAGCCAGATCTACTTCTGGGCTCTCTACGGTCATCGCAGCCAAATGACGGATTATTGAAGTCTTAGCTTCTATTTCTTTCGATATCAGTCCAACCATTGGGCCAAGAGCCTCCATAAACCTAAAAAAACGGGAAAAGTAAGTGCATAAATGTATCTGTGTGCTTCAGAGACTGAAATCATAATGGGATTTATGATAATACTACATTATTGGATGCAAAAGCATACCGGCTACCATGGCTGTCTGAGCTATGCTAATGCATACATAACTTGTAGTACTGAATGATAACCTGGTGCTATGAACAGTGAAGAAAAAAAAAAAAAAAAAGCAAAGCTCACAAACAACATTTAAAATATGCTAACCAAAGAACATTATCCAAACACCACAAAGCATGAAGGCTTAAAGCTCCTGCAAGGAACTTTCTGTTTGTATCAATTTCAGCCTAGTGACTGATGTTGATCATGTTTGTCACCATTATCAATTTCATTCTGTTCAAGACCATTAAAAAACTCCTCACAGAAAGAAAAGTTTCACAAGTACCATATAGTCTGGGTGCTATGGCCTTAAAAGCTTAAAGGGATATTCCAGCGTAAAATTAAGTTATGGTCTGACACACCGTAACACCGAGTTAGACATCCCTAGAGAGATGAATGTTGCCGACCGCTTGCTTCTCCAGTTATACCAACTTTAGTAACGACCCGAGATCGCAATACAGAGAGCCACACGCTCAACCAAAAAGCCACCCTATAGCCACAAATAATTCTTAGAACAGCACCTAACTTCATCAACTGTACATATAGGGTCCTAGCACTAGCCACCACACGTCTTTTTAACTTTGCCTAATTTCTTTAGCAAAGAGACTAAACACAACTCACATCTCTCTTCCAGCAGCTGCTTTTTTGTACGGAGACTTCAGGCCAGTCCAATACGGACTACAGCGGGGTGACGCAGCTCAAGGAAGAACATTTGCGATTATTACTTCATGGAAATGCAATCAGACAGAGACGCCAAGGCAGAAAAACTGATTATTACTTCATGGAAATGATAAAGAAATGATCTGCGTCACCCCGCTGCATTCCGGAAGTTTCAGTACAACCAAGCGGCTGTTGGGAGAGAGACGTGAGTTGTGTTTAGTCTCTTTCCTAAAAGAATCAGGCAAAGCTAAAAAGATTTTTGGTGGCTAGTACTATGACTGGGACCTTACATGTACTGTTGATGAAGTTAGGTGCTGGTCTGAGCATTATTTGTGGCTGTAGAGTGGCTTTTGAGTTGAGCACGTGGCTCTGTGTATTGCTATCTGCGGTCGTTACTAAAGTTAATATAGAAGCAAGTGTGTGGTGTGTTTGACCCTAACTTAATTTTACGCTGGAATATCCCTTTAGTCATCACAAGTCCAGGGTGTGTTCGAGGACCACAGAGCAAATTGACCAGCACAAAGGGATTAGTTCAAACCTGTATTACTAGCCGGGCTGTGGCTCTGCGAGTAAAGGTATACATTCTTAACTTGTGCCACATGAAAACTGTGAAGATCTTAGTATAGAAGTTTGACTTGGTGGAGGAATAGCAAGGCACCAGGTTCAAAGTCTGCTGAACACCAGAGAGAAACCAGACACAACATCTCCTGCTATGATGAAAATGTATGCATCATTAAGCTTGTTACACCCAACCGATCATGCTATAAAGCAGTATCTCAGAGGCAGGATTATGCCATAAATTACTTCACTGTTTCCAGTAGCTGTAAATTCAGATTTCGCCTGTGTTATCAGCTGATATTACCTAACGAGTTCATCCCAGCTGGACAAATATGGTTGAATCAGCACGTCAGAGCTGTAGGCCGGTGCAGCCAGCATGTTGGAGAGCAGCAGTGACACCTGGAAGGTCTGACCAGGGCATTCTTGAAGGACCTGCGGGCCCTCAACTCCTTCGGCCCCGCTGCTGTTGTACAGCTGGTTGAGCTGATAGCGGGGGGAGGGGAAGTGTGTATGTGTGTGCGCAAGTGTGGGGGTGATTGTGGACAAAGAAAGAGAGAATGCGGAAGTGATTTACTACATTCAAATTGGCCATCTGCTTCACAAGATCAGCCTTCAGAAGGAAATGTAATAAGGAGCTTTCTGCTCAGTCATTGGCTTGTACTCTTACCCCATTGAGTTGATTGTAACCTTTTAAACAGGAATCCCAGTGATAATCCAATCCTCCATCTGAGACACACATCGAAAGAGAAAAAATAAATGGTGATATTTCTTTGCCCCACAAAACAGCTGCAATATTTGTCTGGTGATTCTGCAACTTTACCCCCAAACAAAAAATAAGGACATTGAGCGCAGCATGGGGCTTTTGACACAATAAGATAAAGATTATAGATTTGCACATCTACATTAATCATTAACAACAATGGATCAATGAAGCAAACACTTTGTGCGCATTTGCAAAGCAGGACTCACTGATACCATCCTTAAGTGGTATTTGGTGAGCTTTTGAGTGAACTGCCCAAATATGCGCCTTAAAATTGTGTGAAATATAAGTGCCATGGTTTCTTCTTTTTAGTTCTGATATGGGTCTCTATACATAAGGAAATCTGAGTTTTAAGCTACCAAATGTAAGTGTGTCTGTCTTTGGAGAACTCTTTCTAAACAGTAAAATTGTGGATTAGACAGCAAACATTCAGATGTATATTGAATATACTGATTTTAACACAATGACATTTTTATTGGATGATGCTGTCTTTCTTTAAATGGTTCACAGCCATTATCCTCTTAAGATGCAAAACTGATTATGGATGGCTGAATTAATTTGTTGCACATTCCTCATTGATTCTACTTCTGCTAAATTCAGCCTTTAGTGAAGCAATCTCAGGACTCTAACCAACCATGTGATTCTAACCGCAAGTCTTAATATCCAAAAGCATGCCATAATTATACAGGACAGGGATTTAAGTTTGCAGCCATGGAGGTAATTATAAATCTAAAGCCCTTTGAGCCTGTAAAACCATCAATTTTAACACAGCCTTTAACTGTTGTTTGTTTCTATACCAATTTCCCAACATGTAATTCAACTGTATGCTTTAGTGAAGTCAGCTGACTGAAGTACAACTGTTTTGTTTGTGACCACCTGATATGCCCTCTGAGGCAGTTGAAGGTTTCCAAAACTATGATGGGAAGCAGCATCCAGCCAACAACCAGACACCCAGATCAGCCAGTCAAAAGTGTCTGGTCATCAGCTTAGCTTGCAAACCAACCGGTGTTGACTCACAAGAACTATTTGGCAAGAAAGCCTGACTGGGAAACCAGCTCCCCTTAGTTCAAATTAAACTCAAGAGCCTGTATAGCAGCAGTCGAGATTTATTTCAGCTCCTGTCAGTACAGACTTATGAAGATGAACTGCTGGTTGTTCAGTTCAAACCTTTAAGCTGAATTTACGCTTTGTGACCACTAAACTGAACCTACACCCCCAAGATGAACTCATTGACCTTACTACATTTTCCAAACATTGGGTGGCTTAAAACTTTTCATTGTGGCCACTTTAACTACAAAATAGTAAGGTGTGCGAAAATTTCTCCTGAATTTTGGCAAAAGTTTGTCCCACAGAAATGTTTCTATCATGTTGTCGAGTACAAAAGTCCAAATGCGTGACCAAAATGCTGGATTCTGCAGCCTTCACACCATGTGACACATTCCTCAGAGAATATGCCTTTAAACAAGGAAGGGATTGTACAGATTAATAGTATTACATGGGAACACACAGACTCAGATAGAGAGAGAGAGAGAGATACTCACGTAGCCACAGGGAGCCGAGGAACAGCAGCAGGACTAAGATAGCAGCAGCAGCCTTACTCTTCACACCCATACTGAAGTCCAGTTTTGGGTCTCTCAGTCCCTCTCTCTTCCTTCTCTTTGTCCCTGTCTTTTCATTCCTTTGAGTCTCACATGAGTCCTTGTCCCCTGGCACAGGCTGTCACCACAATTAGTCTGTACCGTACCCCTGCCTCTGACCCCCCCGGTCCTTCCTCTCATGCTCCTCAGCCTGTTCTTCCTCTTTCTTTCCCCTTCTTCTTTCACTTTCTTTGATCCCCGTCTTGCTCTCCTCCTGCCTTTGTGTCTCTGTGATTTTGAAGCCGCATGTCTCTTGTTGTGTTGCTCAATCTAAGGGTCCAGAGATCAGCCGAGAGCAGCCACTGCCTGATAAAGTCAGTGTGGCTTGACCGTCAGTAACCTCCTTCCTCCAGATTCATCTTCCAGATATGCACTATATTCCTGGTCACTTCGAGTAAACACTTGCTTCCACTCCTCTCCTCCCACTATACCAACACCCTCCCTCCTCATTCATCCCTCCCACCCTCTATAACTCATTCACACACACCATTAGGAACAGCCCAACACCCAGCACCGCATTTGACAGCAGAGTAGACACACATTTCTGTGAGCATGCATATAACAAGAAACAGATTATTCTCAACACAAAAACAAATATATTTAACATCCCTCTGTAAAATTCTGACAGCTATGACAGCCAAGTGAAGTCTTTGTAATTTAATCTATTTTTTTTGTGAATGAATAACAAAGCTTTACCAAGCATTTCCTGCTTCAAAGAAACAAAGATGTTTTGATGAGAATCCAATAAATCACAGAATAATCCAACAAACTTTAACAGCATGTTGAGAATAAAGGAAAACAGGAGATTGTTCCTTTTGTGACGTACTTTCCACATGAGATTAATCATTCTTTTTTAAACTCATTTACTTTTCCATTATGCAAGTGGCTTGATTTGATTATTTTATCTCATTATTGGGGTCTAAAGTCTAATACGCGTCAGTAAAACCTGATTATCACATGCAGGGCGTTTCTGTGTTTATCTCTATCAGGGGGAAACCCAGTGACTGCTCTCTATCACTGGGTTTGCTGCTGCTAATGTGGGGGAGGTGAACAGACATTGAACTCCACGCTCAAGCCGAACCACATGTGAGCTCGTGAAGAGGGGGAACTTAACAATGGTATTTTGGAGCGGAGCAGAGGAGCGGGAAAGTAGTGAAAGCAGGCCCAGAACTGACATGGCAGGGAGGGGCTGATCATGGGGTTTTCACTCTGTGCTCTTGAATGGATGATCCCAGCTGAAACAGACAGCAACTGACATGGGGAGAGGCGAAAGCCTTGAGGAAACATGTGACCCTTTCTGAGGACTTGAACTGACTGACTCCCCACAGCTGCTGCCCTCTCATTAAAAGTAACAAAATAACATCAATTTATAAATGTTGTACTTAAGAATGAATGATAGTGTGAGGCGAAATGAGATGCAGCTGATATACATATATATGTTCTCTGGTCAACTCAAGCTCTTGGTATGCATTCACACTGTGAGAGTTTGTTTATGGAGGTTCAGTAGAGCAGGAAAGAGGTATTTTGTCACTGTCAGGTATCATAACGCTGGGTTTTCTATCAGGAGAGAGAGAGAAAACAGAGAACTGCAGCACCAGGATTTAAGATGCTCTACAATTTGTCTCTGTGAAAATGGTCTGAGGCTTGATAAAGCATGGGAGCTGGAAGAAGAGCTACTCTAAAAGTAAGTGAAAGCACACATGATTGTTATTTAGCCGTGGGTGGGAACCAATTGACTTGTGGGCTAAAGAAAAAAAAATCTTGTTTTGAAGCTTTAAAACTTTGTTTGCAATAAGCTTTCTGAATAACATTTTAAAGCCCTTAAAAGTGGTTTACACTGACTGTGAGAAAGAATAAGAGTTAACAGATTCACAAAACATTCAGAGACATCTACTAATGGGCTGGACTGTAAAAAGATCCATGTGTTGTCATTGCACGTTTGACCTTGACAACCTTATACCCACTACATTTCTTCTGCAATAGTTTGAATGCTCTACATCCTCTGATGGGGCTATTGTTATAACAAGACACATAATGAAACTGTTGGACATGAACTGGCTATGTCTATCATTTTGCAGTATCACTGAATATAAATAGATGGATTTGAGGGGGGGGGGGGGGGGGTACTGTTTTAGCCAGAAGCTAGAGAAAAAAAACTGGAATATATATATATTTGTTACAGGCACAATGTGCTGAACTTGTTACATTTAGCAATATTCAGCAGATTGAGTGCTCTATGCTCACCTGTTTCCTCAAAGGGACAAAAAGGTCCTGCAGTACTTAATAGGTATGATCCTCCATTTGTCATATTTTACCAAAAAAATACCGATTAGTACAAGTTCTTTTGCAGTCAACAACCTTACTTCTTCTCCATCTTGCTGCTGATGCATTTCACACAGCCACTCACTACAGACAAAATACAGGTATGTTAGTTTTCTGTGCTGCGCTACAATAAAAACATGGTGCGACAAGGTGGAGGTCTCTGTGGAAGGGGGCTAACTCCTGATCCGGACATCAAAGGCTTGTTCTCATTGACCAAAAAAAAAAAAAAAAATTATATTCATGTGATTATACACCAAGTTTTACATACCTGAGAATATTATTTTCCATTTCTGCCAACTCTGCCCAGCTAGTTGCATACATACTGCTCCATTGAACAAGTGCATTGGTTAGCAGTAATGCTGTGGCATCAGACTCAAAGCAGATCACTTTTGTGCATAAGTTTAGTTAAGGGATCCAGCCGATGTGCATTGAGTACGCAGTTTTAAGCCAACTTAAATATTCAATATTATTTGAAGAGTTTTTTTCCCAAAAATTGATCCCACAAAAGAACTTTCCCTTAGGATTGTTCAGTCCCCTTGTTTGGCTCTTCACGTGCCTCTGGGCCAAAGTGTGAGACAAACATTCTGCCTTCTTGAGGCTCCTATTACCTTAAAGAAGCTCATCTCTTTTTTCCTAAATATATTTTTAGAAGTCCGTCATGCACACAGGCCAACTCACATGGTGCATTCCAGAAATCAGTGTGTTACTCTTGTTGCTACACAGTCACTCTGCTTATATTATTCACAGCAGTCATTATCGTAGCAAGCTCAGTCTTTGTATTCAACCCACGTGAAATGTCTCGACTGTCTGGGTTGCATTTCTTGGAGTTTTGTTGAACAAAATTACCAGACAGATGCAGAGTCAAGTTGTTTAGCTCCTGTCTTTGAGTTTTGAGTGCGGTGTTGGCCACTGGCCCTGGCATCCCACTGTAGTCTGCAAATGGACTCTCTCCACTGGAACCCTTTTGCTGAAATCTGCTGTGAGTGTAGATACCCCTGCCCACATAGCAAGGAGCATGCTGTCATCTGTTCACCCCTCAGTATCCTCGGGTGACCTCAGGCTCACACTGCAGCTGCACTTTTTAAGAAGGCCGAGAATTGTTGGTGTGTCCTGGAAAGTGCAGCTTCTCTTTTACCGCGCAGGAGTGGAGAGCCTCAAGCAATAAGGTATCCCTGCTTGGTTTGGTCATTTGAATCCTTATTCAAAAACCAAAATCAATGAACTCATAAAGTTGGCAATGAAAATCATAGGAATCTGTAATCATGCCAGTCTGCAGGACTTGTTTCAACAAACCGTAATGAGACAGGCCTAAGAACTAATTTCAGACCCATCACGTGTTCTCTTCTCTGAATTCCAGCTCCTCCCTTCAGGGTTTCCTTTGGCAGACACTTCCACCACAAACACTCCATTGTCGCCCTCTCTTAAAAGCCCTCAACAACACCTAGACTTTAATGTGTTTATGACCATATACTTGCAGCTGTTTTTTTATTGTTTGATACTCCTCTGTATGCAGTATATTTGCTTTGTTGTATTACAGCTCTGCAAAGACCAACACAAATTTCCGACTGGTACAATCAATCCCATCTTATCCTGTCTTATCTCACCTCATCTTAAACTGCATCCCCCAGAAAAAACAACAACAATCCCAACGTGCATAGCTCTTCATAGACCATAGCTTACAGTCAAATAGTATGCTTTATAATAATAAGTCTATGTTCTACCTTGGACATACCCAGTGAAATATAAGAAGACTCAGCAGCGCAGATAATTACTGTCTAATGATCATGATGATGGTTATTGTGGTTGACCAAAATGTGACTTGAAGTCCTGGTTTAGTGTCATGGACAGAGACAGCTGCGGTGGACAAAGCCCGGGTGGCGTGACATTAAGGGCTCCTCATCTCCATCTTTACTCTTGCTCTCTCAAACTTAATTTTTAAATATAGTGCGGTGCTGGGCAGACGCAGGTCCTGGAACACGATGGCAGGGCACAATTTCTGGATATATTTTGGAGTTGTAACTATTCTGGGGACTCTAATGGTTCAGGGTAAGTGGCGCAGTGGCAAACTTTTGGCACATCTTCAGCGGCTGGATGGTTGCCCTCTTCTTTACCAAAATAATCTTCGGTCTGCCATGTATAGGCTGCTCAGAGAGACATCTATCTCTCAAACTCTTGAATTAATTTTGAGCAATATTCACGTCATTATAATGGAACAGCCTCCACATTTTGGTATATTATTTTGGACTGGCGTCATAACAGGTCAGAGAAAATGCTGAAAGTATGGCTGAGGAAGTGCTTTCAAAACTCATACTGTGGTTATCCAGATGGAAACTGGAGGGGGCTGTGTGTTGAATCATTTGAGATCAGAATCAAAATTAGAATTACTTAATTGATCCCAAATTGGGATATTTTGGAATGTGGTGAATGGTATGGTGTTGGATATTTAGTTTGTTGTTTGGTCTTCATTTAGCATTAGATAGACACGGGTACACACTGCCCCACGACCCTTAACCCCACATAAGGGTTTCTTTTAAAGGGGACTGTGTATTGTAGAAGAGACACAGTCACTCAAGGTGAGCTTGAACCCCAGCCAGCAGTGATGTTGAAATGTTTACCAGAGTGGTTATCTTGTCCTGACTACATTTTGCTGCTCGCTTCATTATGACCTCAAAGTGTCGGGTCAGCTGTGTGACAAAACTTGAACAACAAATCTGAACTACAGCGACCGAATGTTACCAAAGGTTTGATATATCCAACCTGTCTGATAAACACCACAGTCATCATCAATAGTCACGCTTTTCAGCATCCCTCTGTAATTACTCATCATTGATTAAAAAAAAACAAATATCAGCAGCAGAGAGTGATAAGGTTAAAGCATAGTCACCACACACTGACTGTACCTTGTGACCAAATATAGAATAATACAGCTGATCTGCCTTATGAGGAATAGAGTGCAAGCTGAAGGTATAAGTCTAAAGTGAGTGTCTCTCTCTCTCTCTCTCTCTCTCTCTCTCTCTCTCTCTCTCTCTCTCTCTTTTATTAAAGACTTTTATGAAGTCCTCATTGTATGCATTTGTAGTATACAGGATCTAAAGTTGTGGTAAAAAAAAGTTATAATAAACTCCCCAGAGTGTTCTTTCAGTGGATAAAATGTGTTGTGGTGCAGTCTAGAGGAAAATCTGATACCTTGCTTCCCAGAGGGCCAAGTATCCTTACTTGTAACTATAGTGGAGAAAATGTGTCCTCCCAGCTGCACATCCAGTGGGACAAACTTCTGACATGGCCTCTAAGTGGAGAAAACATAATACTGTGGTTGCGGGAAAGACAGAGCATAGTCAAATGCCATACACTTGACAGAGCACCAACTGGTTTTAACATTGTCCTAAAAAAAAATTGTTTAGTTAAGTCAAGGTTGTCACTCTGGTCACATTGTAAGACAGCCCAATGTAACCCAACCCCAATTTGAGGCGTACCACAGGGCTCAGTCCTAGATCCCCGACTGTTTCCTGCATCTGCTGCCTCGTTAAACCACGCTCATCAGCCGAATCACCAGACCAAGGTTCAGCTCACCATACCTGCTGTCCATTCCACAGACAAAGTTTAAGACTCAGGGTGATCAAGCATTGGAGCCCAAACCTATGGAACTCTAACTCAAACCTATGGAACTCTCCTTCTCCATCACTGCATTCTGCTGACTCTCTTAAGACTTTTAAAAACAATTGGGGGCATTGGAGTCGGCTGGGTCATGCAGTCAGCTTGCTGTCTAAATAATAATAATATTTTTAAAAATTCAAGCTTACACCACCAAAACAAAATCTATTTATGGTTTTAAAGTTGCTCTCTTATCTTCCTTCAGGAAGTGTTGCTGTTTTTCTCTGTGATGAACTGTAGAAGGTGGTGTGGATCTGTTTACATAGTCTGACATACCGGCCTAGTTTGTTGTCACAGTCCAACTGCATTTAGATAAAAACACAAGGTAAAGAAACTACCTCAATGCTGCATTCTCACACCATATGTTTTTTTAATCAGTTCTCACATTCATGGGTCAGATTATGTATTTAACAATAACTAATAGTTAATAGTTGTCAGGCCCTTGGGAAGTCAGACATTTCACCACTGTCATCCACAGTCCACTACACCGACTGTCCCATGGGAGAATTATGATAAGAGCTCCAAACTATGTGACATTCATGTGCAAGACTGAACCTGGCAGACTTGGAAATGAATTGAACATAGGAGTTGACATATTCACTGCTCTGTTGTATCTGTAACTGTCACCATTTTAATCTTACAATGATATTGATGATTTTGTGGATGACCTGAGAGTGACACAGAGTCCTGGCTTAGAGCGACCCAGCTGCTGTGTAACTTGAGCTGTGGGTAGTGACAGTTGGCAGGAAAGGGGCTAAGTGTCTGCAATAACCTCTGCTTTTCTCCCTCTCTTCGTCTCTTCTGAAGTTCATACTGAAAACATGAGAAAATCCCAGTGCTGCAGCGTGATAGTTAACAGACTCCAAGACAGTCTTTGTAATCTGAAGTCTTTTGATACTGGTGCAAAGCATACAAAATGATTTTTTTTTTAGAAATACACTTAAAATCTGGACCACTTGATAAAACATAAATGGTCATTAGAAAAATAATATGACTAAATGGAATTATTGGTTTTACTAATTATAAACCCAAGATAAATCGTTTTAACATAAATACTTAAAAATATCTACTGCATATAAATTAACATCTGTCACATAAGTACTTGTTTATTCTCATGTTTATGACAGTATCATTTGTACTTTTCAGAACTGGATTAGTGTTTTTCTTAGATAATGTTAAATAAAATCCTGTATATGAATTGTTACTTGTGTTAAATGTCTAATCTGTGATTGTGCATGTTAGTCAATATTTTATGTTTCTTTTTTGTACATAGAGCAAGCGAACTGAATCATGGTATGTGCACATCAGCTCGGCCAATGAAACTGATTCAGACTCTTACAGGGTTGAAAAAAAATGTAGGAGTTATAACAAGATGTTGGGCCCCCCCTGGGTGTCAATGCAAGTATTTGAGAGTACTGGTGCACACACTACTGAGTAAATGAAAACATACTTTACAAAAGAAAAAAAAATGCTGCACAGTGAAATGACTTTACTGTGACTTTATTATGATTGAACTATGGTTTTCGCCTGTAGTTTCTTCAGGCTTGCCCATCACAATCAAGCAGGCATTCATAACTGTGACAAATATGCGTGGTCACATGACCGGTCGCTACAACTTTAACAATTAAGTGACATATTACACGGTTCATGGCATTTGTAAAAAGAACATGGTATGGTTAACACTGTTTCTATTTTATAAACGGTTGTTTTTTTAAACACATTATTTTTTTCAAATAACAAGGCATATTTGTAGAAGACAAAAAAGAGCTGCAAGCACAAATACAACAATATTGATATAGAGAACAATATCCTAGTGGCTAGCTGTGAAGAAGTGTGCGAAACTTCACCAAAGTGTGTTGGAACAGTGTGCATACATTCCACATCTGTAAGTGCCATACACTTAATCAGGACACTAGCAGGTTTGTGTAGATTCTCTGCACAAACCATCACCCTGAAAACAAAGTCTCTGATATTCTTACCTCTCCTGAAACAGTAAAAGATCTGGAGGATGTAAAATGGTTCAAACTGGGGTCACATTGTAAGATAGTCCTATGATTGTTTATGACATGGACAAACATCAAACTGGTTAAAAAAAAAAAAAAAACCTGGCTAAGTTTTCTCTTTTTCTAAATGATTTTGACTGCCACACATAATCCCCCAAAAATGTACAAAAACCCATACTATCGTTCATCTTTCTTGTCCATGCAGTTCAGTGTAATGAGGAGAAACTTCTGATCAAAGACCTGTTCCAAAACTACAACAAAAATATCCGCCCTGTTGTTCATCCTGAAGACAAACTGGAGGTTCAGATCAAGCTAACCCTCACCAACCTGATCTCTCTGGTATGGAGTTAACCTTTTAATGTTAATTTTTTTATTCTTCTTTTTCAAATTTGAGTATCATTTTTCCTGTTGAATGGAAAATATGTATAGCTCTTACAAAGGAGCATGACCACAATTCAGCATCATGTTTACAGTACAGTAGCATAGATCATTATTCTGGCCAGACCTTTAATCACGAGCACAGCGAATACAGCTTGCTGGAGTATGAACTGAGCAGTCCACTTCTAATTTTATTCTACTTGTTCTTCTCTTTTATGACAGAATGAAAAAGAGGAGACTCTCACGACCAATGTGTGGCTTCTGATTGTGAGTGTTCAGTTTTTACAAATCCTGGCGTGACTGTTTTTAGAAATTTCTTTTTTTTTTTTTGCCAAAGAGACTTTGTTTCTTTCTCAGTTTCAGCCTTCAGTCATGTCTTGTTGACCTCTCTCTCAAATGTCACTCACAGAAATGGGCTGATTATCGTCTCGCCTGGAACACATCTGATTATTTTGGCATTGACCTTATTCGTGTCCCATACAACACTGTTTGGCTTCCTGACATTGTGCTTGAGAACAAGTAAGACAGGACAAATCAACTCATAAAATTATCGCTGCATGAAGGGAAATCAAATCTTTTCATTGTTGATTATGTCTCTGAATTTGTCCTGTTTAAACTGTTTTTGTTTTCTATCCTAAATCACTGCAGCATTGATGGGCAGTTTGATGTGGCCTACTATGCCAATGTATTAATCGACAACACTGGTGGGATGTCCTGGCTGCCACCTGCTATCTATCGCAGCACTTGTGCCATCGAGATTACCTACTTTCCATTTGATTATCAGAACTGCACACTAATATTTAGGTACCTAGAATTAATCTTATTTTTAATCAGCAGAATTGAGAAACATCCAAGCTATTAGTATTTCTTCTCTTATACGGTCTCATGTGCATTCACCTCTAGATCCCAAACATACAGCGCCAGAGAAGTGGAACTCATCTTAGCTGTTGGAGAAAAAGGTGAAACTACTGAGTGGGTGGACATTGACCCTGAAGCCTTTACAGGTAAAGTACACAAACTCCATATTTAACACATACAAACACACACTCCTTTCTAAGCTTAATATGTTTTCAAATCTCAGAAAATGGTGAGTGGGCTATCGTCCATCGTCCAGCACGTAAGATGATCAACACACGGTATTCCCCTGATGACCTGGAGTATCAAGAGATCATGTTCAACATAATCATCCAAAGGAAGCCCCTTTTTTATGTCATCAACATCATCCTGCCCTGCTCCCTCATCTCTTCACTGGTCGTACTGGCATACTTCCTTCCAGCACAGGGTCTGTAAGCCATGTGTATTTTCCTGAAATGATGTTACACTGATCTTTCAAGGGCTGTTTAAGAGTTTTAGAGTGTGTTTTATTAGCTTTTTTCCATAAGAAACTATGACAAGAACCAAATTGGAGTAAACCAAGTGAATTTGATTTTATTATATTACTTAATTTTGAAGCCAGGTTTCATGATATTTTGTTCAGTTATCATTTTTCAAAAGATTTATAAAATATTCCAAGCTAGCATTGTTAGCTGCATGTTAGGTTCCTGAGCTCAAGAGCACAAAAGGTATGTGCTACTTAGCAAGTGTGGTGATTTATGTGATGTGGATCTCTGTTCTCCTAAATCTCTGCTATCCTCTCCACAGCTGGTGGACAAAAGTTGACTGTGTCCATTTCTGTCTTGCTGGCTCAGACTGTCTTCCTCTTCCTTATTGCTCAGAAGGTCCCTGAGACATCTCTATCTGTTCCTCTCATTGGCAAGTGAGTCAGAGGGATCTCTGCTGCCATCTGCTGGATTTTATTTTTCTTATCAGTTCAAACAGTTTGAATCTCTACTTCAACAAAGGTCTCCCCTTATGCCTCCCTCAGGTACCTGATCTTTGTTATGTCTGTGACAACTCTCATTGCCACTAACCAAATTGTGGTGCTAAACTTCTCTCTGCGTAGTCCCAGTACTCACACCATGTCTCACAGCATCAAGCATGTAAGTACATTCTGTGCAGCTGAGTTACATTCGTCAATCTAAAAAGTTGTTCATGTAAAGTAACTGAGATTACTGTAACTGCCTCCTGCAGCTATTCCTGGAGATGGTACCTCGCTTTCTAGGCATGTCCCCACTTGTAGATGACAGTGAGGTAACAATGGAGATGAATGGAGTGAGGGAACGGCGTCGCAGTTCCTTTGGCCTCATGCAGAGAGCAGAGGAATATGTTCTGAAACAACCTCGCAGTGAAATGATGTTTGACAAACAGAAAGAGAGGCATACTCTCAAGGGATCGATTGGTAAGAAATCTCTTTGTGTAATCAAGTACTAGGTTCTGACTTTCCTTTAGGCCTCAGTCTGATTTATATACATTTCTGCAGAAGATTACAACCAAAATACTTGGATCAATGTTTCATAGAACTAATTGACAGATAATTCCTTCATTCAGTTTGCCGTTGCCCTCCCACAATCCAGTCAACATGCTGCAAATGGTTTCGTACTGTAGAAACATCCAGCCTCTTGAGCCAACCCAGCCGGCTCATGAGGTCCTGGCTGCCACCCCTTTTCTCCCCAATCTCTGTTAATGAGGCTGCAGACAAACTCAGCTCCTCACTGGTCTCCTCTCTGGATAAACTCTGCTGTCTGGTGGCAAAGCCTGTCTGCAAACACCCTCCTAGTCCCTGGCTTGGTTATGTCATCAGAGAGCAAAGAGCAGGCCTCAAAGGGAGATCTTTTAGAGTATTTTGTATTTTGGAGAGGAGAATAATCCAAACTGCACTACCTTTCAAATGGGGTCCCTCAAGGGTCAGTGCTTGGTCCCATCCCTTTCTCAATGAACACCATGTCAGTCAGTCCACTAGTTCAGCTTGAATTTCATCATGCCCCAGTGATATTTCAAAATAAAGGAATGCAACTTTCAGCTCAACCAGTCCAGCTTCTGGTCATTCCAGCCAGTCCTTCCAAACAACCCCAGACCAAGACCCAGCTTGGATCAAATGAACTTGTGCCCAGAAATTGGGTGTCATGATTGTTGACCCACAACCCTCCCCTTTAAGTTTCATGTGGCCTTGTTTGCTTGCTTGGTCTATAACATCTGGAGGATCAGACCCTACCTGACAGAGCACACAACGCAGCGCCTAGTCCAGGCTCTTGTAATATCACACATTGACTACTGCAACTCCTCTCTGGCTGGCCTCTCTGCATGCACAGTAAAATCTCTGCAGATGATCGAGGACATAGCAGACAAAAGCAGTGCATGTTTTTTACATCAAATATAAAACCTACTTCTTACCAACAAAATCGCAAAAGAAAAAAAAAAAAACAGTTCCTGCCTACCTGCTGTCCCTCATGCAAGTCTACACCCCCTCCTGCCCACTGCTTTATGCCAATGAAGCATGCCCAAGTAATCCTCTCCTCTGTTGTACTACAGAAGTGGAATCACAAAATGCTTTGAGATCAGTGGAGTCCCTCTCTATCTTTAAAAAAAAACTAAATACTCAGCTCTTTGGAGAACACCTATGCACTTAAGCTTAGTTGGTAGCACTTGGTAGCTTGGCATTTGGTGATGTACCACCACACTAATGATGATGATGATGATGATGATGATGACAGTGTCATTGTGACTTTAATAAGGATGACAGTTCATTTTAGTTGATTGGGTGATGATGATACAGTATGACAAAAAGGTGCATTGCTTCTTGCACTGCACGACAGCACTATGTCCAATTGTACATGTGGCAGTTTGTAGCACTTACTCAGGTTGTTTCCTTTCATCTAGATCTTTGCGTATGTCGTACTTACTCTCAAATGTACGTTGCTTTGAACAAAAGGCTCTGCTAAATGACATCTCTTTGATAAGCGACCCTTTGTTTGTACATACTGAGACTGTATATTCTTTCACTCCTTATTATTTCCCCTTTTCACTGTCAAAGATGTCTGCCATGGATATCCCTTTTGCATATTGAGATCTAACTGTCAGCATCCTTCCCTCTAGTGGATAATACTGACGTCAGTAGCACTGCCAACCTCTATAAGAGTTTGGCCCAGACTGCACCTGAGATCAAGCAGTGTGTGGATGCCTGCAACTTCATCGTAGAGAGTACAAGACAACAAAACGATATTGGATCTGTGAGTGTTACTTTCAGCTGTATATGCTCAACCAACAGTTTGGGTGTAGTATTATTCTGTCAAGCAATCTTATGTTTAATGATCTGGACAATTACTGGTTTTGGTCAAACTTTTATTTTAATTTTCAAATTTTGACTCACTTTTTTTCTATTAAAGGAAATTGAAAGCTGGGTACTGATTGGGAAGATGATCGACAAGGTGTGTTTCTGGGCAGCCATTTCCCTCTTCACCATTGGCACAGTGTGGATCTTCTTAACAGGACACTTCAACCGGGCACCTGACCTTCCATTTCCTGGGGAGAACAAAAGATATGCTCCAAGTTAAAATTTTCCAACATCAATTATTTTAATTAAACCTTTCCAAGGCCCACTGAGCCTCATGCTGTCTTTAAGAGTTGGGCAGCCCCCAGTCTGAAGATGAGGATAACATGAATACATACATACAATCACCATTGTAATGAACTGACTTCATAGGCAGATTTTAGGACTGCACATTTACAGGTTTCAAACCCGTCAAGTGCTTTGTCTATTTTTTATTAGCTTGTAATACACATGATCCATGTTGCACACTGTAGAATAACATACCTGCTAGAGCCTGGATACGTTTTCCTGCATGTACTGTCTTATGTGAAGGAGCTGTGTATGTAATCTGAGTAAGCCAACTCTGAATTGAAGCCTTATTCTGTTTGTACTTACACACAAAAAAATGCTGGGTTGTTTTTTCAACCCAACCGCTGGGTTGAGCCAGTTGGTCAATTTATTTGGGTTATTTTCATGGAGTTGGGTATTCTGAGTACCCAATTTGCAAGGTTATTTATGTTGGGAACAGAGTTATTAGCTAGAGTTATTAGGTTGTAAATTTTATACAGTTTTGTTGGTTTATCGTGGACTACCCAACACATTGGGTAGACGTTTGGGCATTTGAAACCAAGCAAGCACCACCCACTCACCAGATTCATGCCACAACTGCCGAAGCGAGGAGACGTACAAAGCAAGATTTGTTACATTCCCACGATTACTTTACCATATAGATGACTTGATATTATTATATAGACCCTCATTTTGTTGTTAAGATGTAAGTTTATGAAGCACTGTTGTGAACCAGCTTCTGCCTTCAGGAATCGATAGGTAGGTGAGCAAGCTAATAGTTAGCCAACGTTAGTAGCATAAAGTACATCGCCTCAAACGTAGCAAGCTAACACATTAGCTGGATGACTTTGTCACGTGGAGTGGAAACTATCCAAATTGGGTTGTTTTTAACCCAATGTTTTTAAGAGTGTATTAAGCCGCAACAGACTGTGTTTTGCTTCGAATCGGCTGTGAGGCAGCCTGTTCACTATGTCTCTGTTACCTAAAACACTTCCGCATAAGATTTTTCAGTTCCCGAGTTTGGCTATATTTAAAAGATATATTATTCAACTACACTATCCTGCTGTTCTTCCCAGTGAAGTATAGGATTAAGCTCTTCTTGTGCCTCTGGGCTAAAGTGTGAGACACACAATCTGCCTTCTTGAGGCTCCTATTACCTTAAAGAAGCTCATCTCTCTTTTCCTCAATATATATTTAGAAGTCCATCACACACAGGGCAACTCACATGGTGCATTCCAGAAACCAGTGTGTTACTCTTGTTGCTACACAGTCACTCTGCTTATATTATTCACAGCAGTCATTATCATAGTAAACTCAGTCTTTGTATTCAACCTGTGTGAAATGTCTCGACTGTCTGGGTTGCATTTCTTGGAGTTGCCTTTGTTGCTGGATCCATTTCTGTTGAATGAAATTGCCAGACAATGTAGAGTTATGTTGTATATCTCCTGTCTTTGAGTTTTGCATGTGCTGTTGGCCTCTAGCCCCGTCATCCTACTGTGGTCTGAAGGCAGACCTCTCTACTGAAGCCCTGCTGCTGAAGTGGTAAGTCTGCTGTGGGTATAAATACCCCTACACACATAGCAAGGGGCTGCAGGCCTGGGCATGTTGTCACCTGTTCACCTTGCAGTATCCTCTGGTGTCCGTACCTCTCAGGTTTGTATTCTCACAATCACAAACTGAGCATCACACTCAGCATCCCCCAGAAAAAAACAACAACAATCCCAACATGCATAGCTCTTCATAGATCATAGCTTATAGTCAAATAATATGCTTTACAATAACAAGTCTATGTTCTACCTCAGACAAACCCAATGAAATATAACTAGACTCAGCAGCGCAGATAGGTACTGTCTGATGATCATGATGATGGTTATTGTGGTTGACCAAAATGTGACTTGAAGTCCTGGTTTAGTGCCTCTCAGCTGCTGTGTAACCTGAGCCATGGACAGAGACAGCCGCGGTGGGCGACAGCCAGGGTGTTGGGTGGCGTGGGATTAAGGGCTCTTCCTCTCCGTCTTTACTCTTGCTCTCTCAAACTTAATTTTTAAATATAGTGCGGTGCTGGGCAGACGAAGGTCCTGGAACACGATGGCAGGGCACAATTTCTGGATATATTTTGGAGTTGTAACTATTCTGGGGACTCTAATGATTCAGGGTAAGTGGCGCAGTGGCAAACTTTTGGCACATCTTCAGCGGCTGGATGGTTGCCCTCTTCTTTACCAAAATAATCTTCGGTCTGCCATGTATAGGCTGCTCAGAGAGACATCTATCTCTAAAACAAAAAATTAAATTCTCTGGTTGACTTAAAAAAACTTGTTATAATACTTCTGAAAACTTGGTGAATTGCACATGTACTGTTGTAAAATGTTATTTGTGTGTACATTTGAAGTAGTTAAGTAACATATAAATATCTTTCTCTCGTTGAAAGCACGTCTCTAAGCAAATATCTAAGATCTAAGGTATGTGATCATACTGCTGTGAAATGGATAAAAACATGGTTATAGTCTGAGTTCTCTTTTGTGTGCCCATATCTGAACCTCAGCATTGTGAGATTTTGTCTTTGTAATAGGGGAATTTGCCTTAGCATGTTCTCTAGACTAAATCACCTGTACCATTGAGTATTGCACATGCATTCCATTTAATTTCTCTGACAAGTCATTAAGCACAGAGTCATCTGTGCTTTGTCATGAAAACGGCAGTGCAGAAATGTTTGTGGTTGGCATTGATGGGCTTGCACAACAGCAGACCAGACAGTTTGCTCATGCAGTGGAAGCTAAGGGAAAAACAGGGTTTAATGTACATTTGAAAAGCGTGACAAGGCTGTGTTTTAATAAATCTGCAGAATCACCAATGGAAATGAAATGACATTTTTGGATTCATCTCTATGACAAATATTAAAAAACAACTTGTGGTGTTTTACTGGCATTGACAACATTTATACTGAATTGATGTAGAGCAATATTCATGTCATTATAATGGAACAGCCTCCACATTTTGGAATATAATTTTGGACTGGCATCACAACAGGTTAGAGAAAATGCTTAAAGTATGGCTGAGGAAGCCGTGCTTTCAAAACTCAAACTGTGGTTATCCAGATGGAAACTGGAGGGGAATGTGTGTTGAATCATTTGAGATCAGAATCAAAATCAGAATTACTTAATTGATCTCAAACTGGGTAGTTTTGGAATGTGGTGAATGGTATGGTGTTGGATATTTAGTTTGTTGTTTGGTCTTCATTTAGCATTAGATAAACAGAGGATGATGGGTACACACTGCCCTACGACCCTCGACCCCACATAAGGGTTTGTTTTAAAGGGGACTGTGTATTGTAGAAGAGACACAGTCACTCAAGGTGAGCTTGAACCCCAGCCAGCAGTGATGTTGAAATGTTTACCAGAGTGGTTATCTTGTTCTGACCACATTTTGCTGTTCGCTTCATTATGACCTCAAAGTGTCGGGTCAGCTGTGTGACAAAACTTGAACAACAAATCTGACCTACAGCGACCGAATGTTACCAAAGGTTTGATATATCCAACCTGTCTGATAAACACCACAGTCATCATCAATAGTCACACTTTTCAGCATCCCTCTGTAATTACTCTGAGAAAACTTGAATGTCAGCAGCAGAGAGTGATCAAGTAAAAGCATAGTCACCATGCACTGACTGTACTTTGTAACCAGATATAGAATAATACAGCTGATCTGCCTTATGAGGAATAGAGTGCAAGCTGAAGGCACAAGTTTAAAGTGAGTGTCTCTCTCTCTTACTGAAGATTGACACTTTGCTGTTGACTGGGGTTGTGAGAGTTAAAAAATATGCAAGAAAAAAAAAAAGGGTATTGCTTTGAAAATGTACAATTGAACAGTACCATCTTATGGCGGGATCATGATACAGTACCATCCAGGGTTCTGGCAGTGGAGGAAAAGCACAATTGCTGAGAAAATAAGATGGAATATTTTCCAGGTTGCCCTACCTGTTGGAAAAAATTTTAATCTGGTTATCTCCAGATTTCACCCCCCAGAGGACAAAAATACCTAACTTGGACTTCCAGTTGAGGAAATCTTATTTAGGCCTCACTGTATGCATTTGTAGTATACAGGATCTAAAGTTGTGGTAAAAAAAAAAATTATAATAATTTCCCCAGAGTTTTCTTTCAGTGGATAAGATGTGATGTGGTGCAGTCTAGAGGAAAATCTGATACCTTGCTTCCCAAAGAGCCAAGTCTCCTATAACTTACTTGTAACTATAGTGGAGAAAATGTGTCTTCCCAGCTGCACATCCAGTGGGACAAACTTCTGACATGGCGTGACATAAGTGGAGAAAACATAATACTGTGGTTGTGGGAAGGAAAGAGCATAGTCAAATGCCATACACTTGACAGAGAACCAACTGGTTTTAACATTGCCCTAAAAACAAAGTCTAGATAAGTCAAGGTTGTCACTCTGGTCACATTGCAAGACAGCCCAATGTAACCCAACTCCAATGTGAGGTGTACCACAGGGCTCAGTCCTAGATCCCCGACTGTTGCAGATTACAGACTATAGAAAGTTTTAATAATTTCTTTCTCCAAATTATTCACAGCTTCATTTTACATTTGAACCAAGTGAAGCCTTCAGGCTATCTGGGCCTTTGGAGTGTGGACTATAAGAGACTGGACTTCTGGGAAACACTTACAGTTAAATGCAGAAGTACCCATTATTGCTCAAGATAGAGACATTCCAATAAGTATGAAAAACATTGGGCATTTCTCTTCTCCAGTTCATCCCAAATTGCATTGATTAGGACTCATTTTCTGCTACTGTTCAATATTTGAAAGTTATGCTTTGCGGCTCTGGATCAGGCCTCTACTTTAAAAGAAATATCAGCAAATTCAGAACAATTAGTCAACAAGGAGCTTGAGATGGCTGTACTTGCTGTAGTCTCATCTCAAATTCACTACCAAAATCTCTCTTCACCTCCCTTAGCAAGTCAACTCTTAATAATCATCTACGGTCAATACAGAATGCTGCAGCAAGATTACTCACCAGGTCAAACAAATGGTCCACGTCCCTCAAGTATCAAAATCACTTCACTGGCTCCCTGTTGCCTATAGGATCATGTTCAAAATTCTCACCCACACTCTTAGAAATTTACACAGTGAAGCCCCAGAATACCTCACCGAGCTGTTCGAACCACACTCATCAGTTGAATTACTAAAGGTCCAGCTCACATACCTGCTGTCCTTTCCATGGATAACGTTTAAGACTTGGGGTGATCAAGCATTGGTGGCCAATAGCTTCAAACCTACTGAACTCTCCTTCTCCATCACTGCATTCTGCTGACTCTGTTAAGACTTTTAAAAACAACTGGGGGCATTGGAGCCGCATTTGATATAAATTTCAATACTTGATATTTGGAAATCATACAGTCAGCTTGCTGTCTAAATAATAATAAAAAAAAATCAAGCTTAAAAGGTGTAGAAGGTGGTGTGGATCTGTTTACATAGTCTGACATACCGGCCTAGTTTGTTGTCACAGTCGAACTGCATTTAGATAAAAACACAAGGTAAAGAAACTACCTCAATGCTGCATTCTCACACCATATGTTTTTTAATCAGTTCTCACATTCATGGGTCAGATTATGTATTTAACAATAACTAATAGTTAATAGTTGTCAGGCCATTCGGAAGTCAGACATTTCACCACTGTCATCCACAGTCCACTACACCAACTGTCCCATGGGAGAATTATGATAAGAGCTCCAAACTATGTGACATTCATGCGCAAGACTGAACCTGGCAGACTTGGAAATGAATTGAACATAGGAGTTGACATATTCACTGCTCTGTTGTATCTGTTACTGTCACCATTTTAATCTTACAATGATATTGATGATTTTGTGGATGACCTGAAAGTGACACAGAGTCCTGGCTTAGAGCGACCCAGCTGCTGTGTAACTTGAGCTGTGGGTAGTGACAGTTGGCAGGGAAAGGGGCTAAGTGTCTGCAATAACCTCTGCTTTTCTCCCTCTCTTCGTCTCTTCTGAAGTTCATACTGAAAACATGAGAAAATCCCAGGGCTGCAGTGTGATACTTAACAGACTCCAAGACAGTCTTTAACAAACATTGGACTGGCTAAAAAAAGCCTGGCTAAGTTTTTTTTTTCTAAATGATTTTGACTGCCACACATTATCCCCCAAAAATGTACATAAACCCATACTATTTTTCATCTTTCTTGTCCATGCAGTTCATTGTAATGAGGAGAAACTTCTGCTCAAAGACCTGTTCCAAAACTACAACAAAAATATCCGCCCTGTTGTTCATCCTGAAGACAAAGTGGAGGTTCAGATCAAGCTAACCCTCACCAACCTGATCTCTCTGGTATGGACTTAACCTTTTAATGTTAATTTTTTATTCTTCTTTTTCAAATTTGAGTATCATTTTTCCTGTTGAATGGAAAATATGTATAACTCTTACAAAGGAGCATGACCACAATTCAGCATCATGTTTACAGAGCTGTAGCATAGATCATTATTCTGGCCAGACCTTTAATCAACTGAGCAGTCCACTTCTAATTTTATTCTACTTGTTCTTCTCTTTTATGACAGAATGAAAAAGAAGAGACTCTCACAACCAATGTGTGGATTGAGATTGTGAGTGTTCCCCCTTTTTTGTTTGGTTTGCACAAATCCTGGCGTGACTGTTTTTAGACATGTCTTTTTTTGCCAAAAAGACTTGGTTTCTGTCTCAGTTTCAGCCTTCAGTCATGTCTTGTTGACCTCTCTCTCAAATGTCACTTGCAGCAATGGGCTGATTATCGTCTCGCCTGGAACACATCTGAATATTTTGGCATTAGCGTAATTCGTGTCCCGTACAACACTGTTTGGCTTCCTGACATTGTGCTTGAGAACAAGTAAGACAGGACAAATCAACTCATAAAATTATCGCTGCATGAAGGGAAATCAAATCTTTTCATTGTTGATTATGTCTCTGAATTTGTCCTGTTTAAACTGTTTTTGTTTTCTATCCTAAATCACTGCAGCATTGATGGGCAGTTTGATGTGGCCTACTATGCCAATGTATTAATCGACAACACTGGTTGGATGTACTGGCTGCCACCTGCTATCTATCGCAGCACTTGTGCCATTGAGATTACCTACTTTCCATTTGATTATCAGAACTGCACACTAGCATTTAGGTAACTAGAATTAATGTTATTTTTAATCAGCAGAATTGAGAAACATCCAAGCTATTAGTATTTCTTCTCTTATATTGTCTCATGTGCATTCACCTCTAGATCCCAGACATACAGCGCCAGAGAAGTGGAACTCATCTTAGCTGTTGGAGAGACAGGTGAAACTATTGAGTGGGTGGACATTGACCCTGAAGCCTTTACAGGTAAAGTACACAAAGTCCATATTTAACACACACACAAACACACACTCCTTTCTAAGCTTAATGTGTTTTCAAATCTCAGAAAATGGTGAGTGGGCCATCGTCCATCGTCCAGCACGTAAGATGATCAACACACGGTATTCCCCAGATGACCTGGAGTATCAAGAGATCACGTTCAACATAATCATCCAAAGGAAGCCCCTTTTTTATGTCATCAACATCATCCTGCCCTGCTCCCTCATCTCTTCACTGGTCGTACTGGCATACTTCCTTCCAGCACAGGGTCTGTAAGCCATGTGTATTTTCCTGCAATGATGTTACACTGATCTTTTAAGGGCTGTTATACAGCACCAAGTTTTAGAGTGTGTTTTATTAGCTTTTTTCCATAAGAAACTATGACAATAACCACATTGGAGTAAACCAAGTAAATTTGATTTTATTATGTTACTTAATTTTGAAGCCAGGTTTCATGATATTTTGTTCAGTTATCATTTTTCAAAAGATTTATAAAATATTCCAAGCTAGCATTGTTAGCTGCATGTTAGGTTCCTGAGCTCAAGAGCACAAAAGGTATGTGCGACTTAGCAAGTGTGGTGATTTATGTGATGTGGATCTCTGTTCTCCTAAATCTCTGCTATCCTCTCCACAGCTGGTGGACAAAAGTTGACTGTGTCCATTTCTGTCTTGCTGGCTCAGACTGTCTTCCTCTTCCTTATTGCTCAGAAGGTCCCTGAGACATCTCTATCTGTTCCTCTCATTGGCAAGTGAGTCAGAGGGATCTCTGCTGCCATCTGCTGGATTTTGTTTTTCTTTTCAGTTCAAACAGTTTGAGTCTCTACTTCAACAAAGGTCTCCCCTTATGCCTCCCTCAGGTACCTGATCTTTGTTATGTCTGTGACAACTCTCATTGCCACTAATCAAATTGTGGTGCTGAACTTCTCTCTGCGTAGTCCCAGCACTCACACCATGTCTCACAGCATCAAGCATGTAAGTACATTCTGTGCAGCTGAGTTACATTTGTCAATCCCAAAAGTTGTTCATGTAAAGTAACTGAGATTACTGTAACTGCCTCCTGCAGCTATTCCTGGAGATGGTACCTCGCTTTCTAGGCATGTCCCCACTTGTAGATGACAGTGAGGTGACAACGGAGATGAATGGAGTGAGGGAACGGCGTCGCAGTTCCTTTGGCCTCATGCAGAGAGCAGAGGAATATGTTCTGAAACAACCTCGCAGTGAAATGATGTTTGACAAACAGAAAGAGAGGCATACTCTCAAGGGATCGATTGGTAAGAAATCTCTTTGTGTAATCAAGTACTAGGTTCTGACTTTCCTTTAGGCCTCAGTCTGATTTATATACATGTCTGCAGAAGTACTTGGATCAATATGTCATAGAACTAATTGACAGATAATTCCTTCATTCAGTTTGCCATCTCTTTGATAAGCGACCCTTTGTTTGTACATACTGAGACTGTATAATCTTTCACTCCCTATTATTTCCCCTTTTCACTGTCAAAGATGTCTACCATGGATATCCCTTTTGCATATTGAGATCTAACTGTCAGCATCCTTCCCTCTAGTGGATAATATTGACGTCAGCAGCACTGCCAACCTCTATAAGAGTTTGGCCCAGGCTGCACCTGAGATTAAGCAGTGTGTGGATGCCTGCAACTTCATCGCAGAGAGTACAAGACAACAAAACGATATTGGATCTGTGAGTGTTACTTTCAGCTGTATATGCTCGACCAACAGTTTGCGTGTAGTATTATTCTGCCAAGCAGTCTTATGTATAATGATCTGGACAATTACTGGTTTCAGTCAAACTTTGATTTTAATTTTCAAATTTTGTCTTACCTTTTTTTTTATTAAAGGAAATTGAAAGCTGGGTACTGATTGGGAAGATGATCGACAAGGTGTGTTTCTGGGCAGCCATTTCCCTCTTCATCATTGGTACAGTGTGGATCTTCTTAACAGGACACTTCAACCGGGCACCTGACCTTCCATTTCCTGGGGAGAACAAAAGATATGCTCCAAGTTAAAATTTTCAAACATCAATTACTTTAATTAAACTTTTCCAAGGCCCACTGAGCCTCATGGTGTCTTTAAGAGTTGGGCAGCCCCAGTCTGAGGATGAGGGCTTTAAATACAGAGATTCAACAGTTATCTGTCTTTATATTCACAGCTCAGCCTTTACTGACAGACAGATGGGCAGAAGAAGGATTTTGTTTAAATTTGCAAGTTTTTTCTTCTAATCTAAGGTCTTGGGATCCATGCATTGAACAGGATGACGTGGTCTGAAAGAGTTAAGCACCACTGTCATTGTCTAAAAGTTATACAGAATACAAACTTGTATTGTAGAATAACATACCTGCTAAAGCCTGGATAAGTTTTCCTGCATGTACTGTCTTATGTGAAGGAGCTGTGTATGTAATCTGAGTAAGCCAACTCTGAATTGAAGCCTTATGCTGTTTGTACTTATTAGATCTTTTTGAGATGACTCAGACAAAGATTGTCTTAATATGTCATGCCCTGTTTTTTTTTTTTTTTAATAAATATTTTATTTTGTGCATCACGCCTTTTTGAAATTAATTGATCAAAAAGTGTTCATTTGACGAACTACACATAACAGTTGGAAGTGTTTAAAAAACATTAAGAAATTGGAGCAAATGTTAAAGTTGTTGGGTTTCAATATCTCTATTGTTTTCAAACCTTGCATTATAATTTGTCCCCCAAACAGAAAATACTCAGATACATGTAATATGGAGTCACAGCAGCACCATGGTTAAATCTACCTCTTCTGCTGTTATTCAAAGATATTTATTCCTTTATACAACTTAAATCCCAAAAAGTTGGGATGCTGTGTAAAATGTCATTAAAAACAGAGCAAAGGCTTTGATGGCTTGAAATCATTTTAACTTTATTTTCAAATGACAACTCAAGATAGGTGGCACAAAAGACGAAAAGATGATATCAAGTGAGATAATATATCCGTTGTTGAAAATGAAAATTGTTGTTTCATGAAAAAAAAAGTGTTCATTTTAAATTTGATGTTTGCAGCATGTTTCAAAAATTCATAATTGGAATAACTACTCTAAGTCAGTAATGTGCTAGTGTCAGTCATTATAAAGCTGCAATACTTTTGATGTAATTTATTGTGTCTTAACACCTCCATGTGGTGCAAAATTGTACTACAACAATGTACACAAGTATTAAACCAGAATTTATTTACCTGACTTCTTTTTGCTTGCCTATCAATTATTTTACCAGCACCATTGTCAAACTTCTCCTCTCAGAAATACCCTTATTATAGACAGCCCTTTCACACAATTTTATATTTTTTACACCTTGCTTCAAGGTACACAAACTCCTTTAGAGGAAGAGGACAATTACTGTTATGAATACTACCTCATAGAACCATGAAAGGACCTTAGCAGAGGAAATAAGAAAAGACCCCCACCTTCTGGGAGTGTTTCGTGTAAAAAGGAAGTTGATTATTTGAAGTTATTAGCAAGTTTCACAATAGAAAGAAACAAAGGGTCAAAGGGATAAACCTGGAGCAGTAAGTCTGAATTAATTGCTTTTAGGTCTTTATTAGTTAAAGGTCTCTAAAAAGGCCAGGTCGTCGGTAACAATGTGATCAAAGAACCTGAAATTTAATGTTTATGCCTGTACAGCTTATTTAGTGAATGTATTAAAAGCTTTTGAAGTTTACAGATCCGTTATTTCGGTTGTCTGGCGTTATCTTTCTAATGTTCATTATTATTCAGCCCTCAGAAACTTAAACCCATCGAAAAAAAATAGCTGATATGATGTTAAAACGGATACTCTGCGCTGAACCGTTGAAGTCTGACCGTCTTGAAGTTTTTATACAGTGTAGCCTGTTTGCCTATAACAGCAGGAAACATGCAAATCTTTGAGATTGAGCCAGCCCCTGCTGGGTTAAATTTGCTTATGCACATTATCAGTGTGGCTCTGGTTTAAACGTGGATAGTTTTAAACTTTTTTTTACAAGTGTAATAACCCATTCTCTAAATGTTTAGTGTTTCGGGTGAAATGTAACTGTCAGTTACACTTTCTCTCAGCTGCTAAATTTTCAAAGATATTCATCAAAAACGACAAAAGCAAAGTAAAAATTGATTCAACTACAAATGGCGCTACATGTACTTCCGGTGTGTCTTATTTTATGCAGTATTAAAAGCTTTTGAAGTTTACGTCCGTTATTTCGGTTACTGGCGTTATCTTTCTAAGTTCATTGAGTCACTTTACTAAAATAAAAACCGAATTAAACCCATGAAAAAAAATAGTTTGATGTTAAAACGGATACTCTGCGCTGAACCGTTGAAGTCTGACCGTCTTGAATTTTATTTTGAAAGGCTTAACCAGAAGTTAAGCGGTATGCCTAGATATCGCTGACCAAGTAGCAGTGGCCGTGCTGGGTCTTCATGTCTGCACATTCCTGTGTTTGTTTACCTGAATGGAGATCAGTTGGGACTTGTCAGGGACATTTGTTTCACGACAATGCAACCGCTCCAATAAATGAAACCCCCACTCAAAGACTATCTACAGTCGAAGCTGCTAAAGATAGAAAAAACACACTAGTTCCACGACATAAATACCACGTGATTTCCTTCAAAACTCGCATTGCAGCCACAAAACTATGAGTGCTTATCACCCCCTTCCTTCCGTCATAAAGCTGGAACATTGATGATATTCCTCGTCAGTTTTCCTCCATACTGTCCCACTGGACACGAAATGGGTGGGACTAAAGAGTGCATCATCTACGGGGAATAGTACTAAACTATCCTCTTAGAAAACACTGACTGGAATACGATGAAACCTTATTTGTAACCTGAATGTATATTGTACCTGTTTGTGGAAGAGCTGCGTGTGCTGAGCCTGGCTGGTGGTAAAACTGAGAGTAAGTACATTTACAGGCCTAACTTTGTCGCATATTTCACTCCCGTGTGTGTGTGTGTCTGAGCTGAGGTAGCGTTACCGACCGCAAGAAGAATACCCAGCTGCAGATTTCCTATTTCACCCCACTGAGGCACCAATTCTTGAAACACCGTCGGTATGATGTGTAAAAGTTGCTGGCACCTTCATCCTTTAACATTTGTGGTGTGATTTGGTGGATTTGTGTGTAGACTCATTGAGGAATGTGGCGTTGTAGGAAACCAGGGTATGGGTGGAGACGACAGCGCTCTGCTTTCAAAATTTTCAGCCCTGACGGAGTAACCTTCATGTCCCAAGTGTTAAAAGGACTAAACTACTAAAATGTTGTCTTTAATGGTACAAATGATGGACTGTGCTCTTTGTAGTGTTGAGGAAGATGGAGCAGTAACATAGTGTAGTATGATCCTTGATGAAACTTCAATTCACTTTCTAAAAGGTGGTAAAGATTTAAGTTTCCCCATAATGAATCCTGTACACATTATTATGTTGTTGCCACTGCTTTCAGGTGACTGTAATGGGCTAAAACTTAGTAAAACGTTTAATAAAAAAAAAGTTCCTGTTTTTGACGACTATTGTGGGCACTAGGGGGAATCTACAGGGCACCAGCACATGCAAGAGTTGACTCAGCACCGTTGTTTAGTCATGTAGGAATTTATGACAGATATAACATCCTGTCATTCGGTTGCAAGTTTGAGGCTGGTGCCATTTATAGGTCCTGTGCATATATTTTTTAAAGGTTTGGAACAAAACTTTTTCTTACAAGTAGAAATTGAAAAGTAACTCCCTTTTTGGTCATTATTACTCTGTACCTTTTGACCCCTTGAGGCACACACAGGAAAAAAATAATCCTGTCTATTTATTTAGGTTCATAAAGTAGTCTTCTTGCATTAGGAAAAAAATAAACAGGGTTCAATATACTTGAATTTAGTAGCTCAATGTCTAATTAATCTGTATCTTGGAGATTTGGAAAGATACTCTCCTCTGCAACAAGTGGCCGTATTGTAAAAAGCAGCTTGTTACCAGAAGGCAAATGTGCTTTTACTGCCTTTTAAAGGTCTCATCTTGCAGTGATTATGTAAGGGGGGGTAATCAGTCAATATCCCCTTGTGTCACTGCTGGGTGTGGTTAATAAAGGTGAGACAGACCGATGTCAATGTTGTACTTGAAACTTAAAGCAGAGGATGCAAGCAAAACAAGGCTTAAGTTACTGTTTTATACTTATACTATATGTGTGTGGTGTTGTCAGGTGGCTTTTGCACTCCTACTTTGTTCTAATCTAGGTTTTGATTTGTGGGAAAATTTAGACATGGCGATAGTTTGTTCCTAGTGTCCCTGTCTTTTTAAATTTCTTAAACTGCGTTATTTTTGTGTTAGCCAGGTAAAAGTTTTTGACCAACTCTAAGTCTCCAAGCTTGAAAAATTCTCTTCCAACATCAAGAGGCTCTGAAATTGAAATGCACCTGGTATTGGCATGCACATCTGCTTGCAACTCTGAAACAGTCAACACCACTGATACACACAGAAAGATTTATTATGATAACATGTGGCTTTGCTTTCAGTTATGGTTCTGGCTACCTTGGCACATGTTGTAGAGGACCCAGTGTGGGTGTACTGTAGAATTTCACAGGTAGGATGATGTCTATAGTTTGGACCAAGATTCATTTCAACAAGCGAAAAACAAGAAAATCGTGTGACTCTATTGATGGGTAAACATAACATGTTTCTAGATAATTACACTTTCCCCGTGGACTATTAGAAAAAAAATGTTGTTTGATCAGTATTTAGTTTTGCCATGATGGTTTTGTACAGCATGTAATGTATGACCTGGAGAAGGCCTGAACAGAAATAAAGACTATCACTTTAAGTTTTCATGGCACTTAACAGCCCACAGAGTGTGTTTGGTATAATAATGTTTGCCCAACATTAACATTCAGCATATCTATCAACAAACAGTAAAGAGTGAGTTAGAATTACAGTCTAAATGGCCTGAGAGATTCAGGATTGTGAATGAAAGTTACTTGGGTAAAATACAAAAGGAGACAGAGGAATTGAACGGAACTTCTCAGAAATCTGGGAAACATCTGGTGAAGCTCAGTCTCAACGGGAATTCAATAAGCACTGCTTGTACAAATGATTTAAACTTAAAGAAGTCTTGTGCTGCAGCTGTGCAGCCCTTAAGCTCTGGAGAAGTAAAATCAACACAACTACAGGAAGAAATGTATTTGCTATGATGAAAAACTTTGAGTCGTTTTAGCTGAAATAATGATGCAAAATATTCATCCAATAATTTGGCCAATCTGTATCATTAAATTTATAAAATACAAGGGACAGTCTCCTGTCCATAGGCTGCTTGCACTCATCTCAGCGTGTGTCATAGTCTGGATGAAACCTGATTGGCTGCATTCCTAACAATTGCTAAATAAGTAAAGTTTTTTTGTAGAATCGGTCTAAGGTATGTACAGTGTTAGACTTCTGCCAAAATGCTGATACTTTTAAACTTGAGTTGGCTGCTACCAGTACCAATCCACCATTCACTTGACAAAGTTTGCATCTTCCAGCACACTAAGTGGCTGATTATTTTCAATAATGCTTTCAATGATTTTCTTGTCAAGCTCCTTTAGCTTTGGGCGGCTGCTGTATTTCATGGCAATGTCTGAACGACTGGAGTAGAGGCTGCTGACAAGGTCTTGCAAGTGCTGAAGCTTTTTCATTCTTACTTTTCAAAAACTCATGGTCTCTGTTCAGAATGATGGGTCTTGAGGTCCACAATTAAACTCATTGGGTTAGAAAGGTGTAGTTTTGCTCTTCCTCCTCTGACCGGTCCTTTGCGAGCTTTGGAAATTGCTATTTTGCTGCCCAAAGAGTTCAAAGTACTTCCATGTAGCTGACATGTTGAAGCCTGTTGGAATGTATCAGCTGTCAGAGGCTATTCAGACCTTGTATCAACATGTGATGTGCAGTGATACGGACACAAGTGACCAGCTTGAAGTATGTGCATTCACACTCTGCATTAACCATGGGTCTCCAGTCATCAGATCTTACTCTCTCCCACTTCAGATACGGAGTAACACCTTAGAAGAGCTCTCTCTGTTAGACTTATCCAGGCTTCAGGTGATTGATACTAGATGGATATTGGGGTTAGTGTCGCCTAGCACACATAGGTGTACGCACTGCCAGACCAATGCGGATTAGTGTCTCCCAGTTGGGTGATCATATCTCAGCATGCATTGACGAGCATTCATACATAGACTCAAAGCTTGTCACTTGCAATCAGATCACCCAGACCTGCATGATTAATGTGTCTCCCGGTGGACTGTAACCTATATATTAACAGAAAGTTTGATATATGACAAAACCAATCATTTACTTTTTAAACTGTGTTTCTGCAGTGATATGATGCAAATGATATTGTGCATTTTCAGTGTAGCCTGCTTGTTCATCGTTCAAAGTGAACAAGCAGGCTACTTACTACTGATATTGTCTTCACCAGAGAAACAGGAACACGTCAGACAGCTTTCAGTATAAGGCTATTTTTCTTATTATTACATACTTGTTATGGTGAAGATACATTGAAAAAGCCTATTGAGTGTTACAGCCTATACCAGGACTCATTTAAATGGTGTTCTTCTATGATGGATCAGTGCCATGAGCTGGATTAAGGGCTAGTTAATGTCTCGACAGGGGACTTTGTTTAGCTCAACTGTATCCATACATAAAAAAAAATGAAAGTGTACCTTTGAAGCACTTGACCATTTGTATGTGCTAAATGATGTCAGAATGTCAGATTGATTGTTGTATTTCAGTCACTTGAGACTTGTCCTCTGTTTTTAGTGCCACTCCTTCAGTATTTAGATGCTGCCAATAGCCTTTGGCCAGTAGACAAAAAGCGACGTACCCACCCAGTGTTAAGCTTTGCCCCTGCCTTAACCTGCTCCAAACTACTGAGCCGTTTGAAATTTTCCCTGAGGGTATTCTTCACAAGTAACTTAAAACGCATGTATTTATATATCATGTATATTTTTTATTGTCATATTATCAAAAGTAACAATAAATTGTCGGCCTCTTCTCAACTTAATCCAGTAGTGCCTTTAACAGGTGGGAGCATTTAATTTTGAGTTTGGTTCTCAGACGTTCGTTTCCTATTTTCACTCCCGGACACGCGCGCTCTTGGCCAACACTCACACAAATACACTTTGTCCCTTCCCTTTCCTCCTTTCGTTGCCCAGGAAACATCCAGCCATTCAAAGATATCTGCCCACACACTACACAAAAGGGTTCACACACACACCCTAATCCCTCCGTGTGCTGTGTCCTACACTTCTTGTATGTCAGTTTTGTATGTCACGCAGTGGATGAGCTGATCAACAGGTAAACAACCCAAGATGCCTGCAGTGCCTTTTTACTCTTTGTGTCAGTATTCTAAGAGTAGTACTTAAAAAAATGACGTAATCTTTGTTGAATAGTGAGAAACTGAGTTGTTCTTGAATGCCTCTGCTTGTGTAACCCTGATACGTTGCTCTCCTCAGGGATTAGATTCGCTTCATAAAGCTGCTTGTGCTGTTTGATTATTTCACTAACTTGTCAGATTCTGCACCTAGCCGTGTTACCATCAGTCTGCATCTGACTCTATTTTGGCTCTTTTGACTGCAGCAGCATGTTACAGCTGCTATTTCTTTTCCAACTGCAGTTTCTTCATCTAGAACTCACATTGCCATTAATCATTAAGTCTGAGACGCAACAGCAGAAGTTAAGAATTAAGATGTGACCAATTTCCCATACACTATGGTTTTGAGAGTGCAAGATATATACAAACTTGTACTGACTTTAGATGTGACATTTTCCTCTCCATATGAAATAGTTGAACTCACAAAGTATAAATAGTATTTAATGATTTTCCCTACAGTTAAGTCAAAATTGGCCAAAGACGCAAAAACATAAGTACTTTCTGCTGCTTTTGTTTAGTTGAAATCGTATCAGATTAAAAGTGTCAGTTGTAATGTGTATAAACAGAACGGTTTCAGTTCTGCCATTCAAGCTGCAGCTCCACCGTGTTTACTACACTGTGTATGTTCAGTGGTAAGGAAACATAAAACTCCCTACAGAATATACAGCCCTCTTCTCCTTCGCCTTTGCAGAGCAGCTGCTATTTGCATCAGCGGAGCAATGGCCAGTCCAGAGGATGTGATCGAGCCAGCGGCTCTAAGCTCTACGTTCCAAAACCTGGGAAGAAGACGCTTTATGCATGACACACACAACCTGACTCCAGATGAGATAGATGGCCTCATGTCAAGTAGTGGTAAGAAATGTGTCTTTTTTTTCTCACAAGATGAAAGTAAACATATGCGCTGCTAATAGATGTAACTTAACTCCATCAAAATGCTCTTACCCACCAAACCACAGACGGCCGGCCTTTTCTGGTGGTGCATCACCTCCCAGAGCTGAAAGAGGAAGGTGTGCCCTACTTAATGCCTGGTACTCCAGTTACATGCAGAGTGGACAACACAGAGAAATACACTACACGCTCAAAGGTTCACCTTTCAACCTGCCTATGATATGTTTATTTCAGATGTTATTCAGATGGAGATGGGGGGTGGTAGCCACATGTTGATTTGCTTTACACTGAACATAATTTAGGTGTAGATGCAGAGTGAGGGTAAGGTTATGGCAGAAATTAAATAAGTGGGGGATTTGTTTACATGCCTCATTTGAACATTTGCACTTACAAATAAGCACATAAGATGTTTTATGGTTGTGTATTATCCGGTGCTGACCTGTTGAAAGCATCACATGCTGCATTTTTTCACTAAGAAACACACTTAAGAATGTACAGGGATTAGTATCAGCCAATTTAAAGATGGCTGGCTTAGCTTAGTCAGTTTAAAGTTCTCTGCTTGTCTTTGTACCTATATGCATCTAATAAACACAACAAAGTGATTATCTTTTCAATCTGTAGTTAATTTATGATTTGTGTGATTGATAAATAAGCAACTCAGTATCCAATGTTTTTTATACAATGGAACAATATCCTTCCAGGTCCATGTGGGCACCCTGTACACTGTGCGACTAACACACGGCCACTTCCATTGGACGGTAAAGAGGAAGTACAAGCACTTCCAGGAGCTGCATCGAGACCTCTACAAGCACAAAATGATGCTGCACTTGCTGCCTATTGGGAGGTTGGTGTACCCATCTGTTTGTCTTAATGATGCAAATGAACTCCTCACTCTTGACAGGCGTGCAATGGAAATATGAGTGATGGGCTGCTGAAAGTTTTTATTGTCAGATTTCTACAACACAGAGCGGTTTGAATATTCAAATTCCTCTCATAGGTTTGCAAAGGACAGGCAGCAGCTGAGAGCCATGTCAGAAGAAATGCCCAGCCTGCATGGGACTGAACGTACCCGAAGGACCTCCAGCAAAATGGTATCACTCGTACTAATCAGATACATAATACATAAGTGTTTGGTGTCTTAAATTTCCCTTTGGGGATCAATGAAATTCTTCATATCTTATTCACAGCACTTATTTTTGGAGAACTATGAGCCAATTTTAGAATTATGAACTACATTATACTTATTGTTTTTGTACAATGACTTCTGTACATAAAAAAAGAGAAATGGGGTCTTAGATATAGAGATAAAAAAAGAAATGATGGAGGTAAATGATGTCAGTTTGTTGAGAATAATTGGAGACCTACAGATCGAATTTGATAAACATGCTAATCAAATTTCGGAAAACAGCGAGTGCAGCCTAAAAGGTTTCATTCATTTCTCTTTACACCTTTTATTTAGTTGTTTTTTTAATTAATTGATCCACAAAGTCAAAGAAGGGAGACAAAATATAGACTGAATATTGGTTGGGGGCGTAAATTTGAAAATGATGTACATGTTTGATTTCAGATTCTTCAAAGAGTCACAAAAACTGTCCATTCCTCCCATTACTAAGTAAAGATTACTCCTTGAAGCCTTTAAAAGAGAAGTAATCCTTTCCATTGCAATGATCTTCTTAACTATGTCCCTTCAGTCACTTTGGGGGGGCCAGGATTGAACCATTTCCTTGTCATAGCTTTTTCATAAGCATCAAACAAATGACGCTATTTACACGAGTTTTACATGATTAGATACGTCATCACCCAAAATCTTACTCATGGTTAGACATTTATTTGTCCACAACGTCTTTACTTCTGGACTCATCCAAAAATGTGGGAGCGGTTAGCGTCTTTGTGCTCACACCATCTCAAACGCTGTTTTTGAAACACATTATTTTCATGTATTTAAATGACTGTATGTAGATTTGCTCTGTTCCCATCAAAAGAACTCAAAATTCACTCTCATTTATTGTTTGTCATTCATTGTGAAGTACTTTTTTTCATCAAGTTGCATTTAAAACTTTGTAACTTTACAGTATTTAAATATAACTTGGATTTTCTTCTGTCGTATCACAGAAATACCTGGAGGAGTACCTGAACGGTCTGCTGGATAATGTGTTCTGTCGGAACGATCACAGCATGGTAATAACTCTAAAAGCTCACAAACACATACCCCAAAGTAAACGTTGTGTAGCTGAAAGTGTTTTCTTCTCTTCCTCTTTTAGCTGGAATTCCTCTCTGTGGGCGCTCTCTCCTTTGTCACCGATCTTGGACCTAAAGGCTTGTAAGCAAACCTCTGGAGATTGGTGTGCTGCAAGTAGAAATTAGGAAGGGGATGTGTGTGGGTGAGATTTGTTGTGTAACATGTGTGACTTGCTTTCAGGGAGGGACCCATCTTCAAGAGGTCTGGGGGTCACAGGATTCAAGGCCTGAACTGCATTGGCCATCATCAGTTTTGTTTCCGCTGGTCACGGCGCTGGCTGGTGGTGAAAGACTCCTTCTTGTTATACATGGACCGAGACAATGGCAGCATCAACTTTGTGCTGCTGTTCGACCCTGAGTTCAAAGTGAAAGTTGGCCGTGCTTACACAGACACCAAATATGGTGTCTGCATTGAGAACTTTGCTCGGTGGGTCTCCTGTGTTTTTGTTTGTTCACTCGGAGCTTCAGTATATTGCTGATATTTATGCCTGGGGTTATGTTGTGTTTATGATTCATACCTGGTCTGTTTGCTGTTCTTTCAGGAGTCTGATCATCAAATGCAGCAGCTACAGACAGGCTCATTGGTGGAGTCACGAAATCAACCGACTGGCAGAAACCTGTGACTTTCTCAAACTGCAACGCTTTGAAGGCTTTGCACCACCACGGGACAACACACTCACAAAATGGTCAGATATATTGTGTGCTTTAGATTAACAACTGTGTACCTTAAGACGTGATCCCCAGCTTCTAAACTTTTATGGTTCATGGATGTTACTTGAAGGTACGTGAATGGAAGTGGCTACTTTGCAGACCTGGCTGATGCACTCGAACAAGCAAAGGAGGAAATCTACATCACAGATTGGTGGTAAGTGCCAGCAATACGTTCAAGACATCATACCTTTGTTTGAAGTTACTTTCTTCTGTCAACGATGAGGAGATTTTTGCAACCTTATTTTCTCCCAGGCTCAGCCCTGAAGTGTTTCTAAAGAGACCTGCAATAGAGAACTACTGGCGCCTGGATCAGATACTCAAACGCAAAGCGGTAGGGCTGCTCTCTGTTTTGTTAGTTTCTTTTTTTGAATAACTACATGAACTCGCATCAAAATTTTAATACAACCGTGAGTCTTTTGACTGTTTTCTGCAGGAACAAGGAGTCAAAGTGTGCATACTGTTGTACAAAGAGGTGGAGCTTGCACTTGGCATAAACAGTGATCACAGCAAAAGAACTCTCATGAATATGCACCCAAACATCAAGGTGGGTCACGTGTCTCCACATCCTTTGATTTACAAGTCATGGGAATAAAATGGTCTAAGGCCTCATGTTTAAACCATTAATTTTGTCCCCTTTTTTCATTAGGTGATGCGACATCCTGACCACGTCTCCTCTGTGGTGTTCCTGTGGGCTCATCATGAAAAGATGGTGGCCATTGACCAAACAGTGGCATTTGTGGGGGGGATCGATCTGGCCTTTGGGAGGTGGGATGACAGCCTGTACCGGTTAACCGACCTGGGTTTGACAGAGAAAGTTGCTGGTGTGACAGATGAGGCCCCCAAGCTGGATGTCGTGGTAAGGAAGTTTTTATTCTGGTATTTCTATGTCTTTTATCTTGTATTTATCATATTTCTAAACCAGTGCATAGAATTGTCTCCTCACTGATGGAGAATGACTCTTTGATGTCTCTGTTAACTAGGACAGTGGTGTGGCTGATGGTCAAAACCCCCCTGAACCAGATAAACAGGCAGAGCAGGACCCCGGGGATCTGACTGGCAACACTAAATTGTGGCTTGGCAAAGACTACAGCAACTTTATCAGGAAAGACTGGGTGCAACTGGACAGGCCGTTTGAAGGTGAATTATCTAAATCTTCCTCAGTATCTCCGTCATACTGAGCGTCTCTGTGCAGGGAGCTCAAAGGATTGTTCTCTGTATTTTTCCAGATAACATTGACCGTTTGCAAGTCCCTCGCATGCCGTGGCGCGATCTGTCTGCAGCGGCTCATGGCAAAGCTGCCAGGGACGTTGCCCGTCACTTCATCCAGCGCTGGAATTTCACCAAGGTTCGACCCAAAGGAAATGATCTGTCCGTTTGAAGCTGCCTAGATTTTACTGTCATAGTTTGCTTAATTTTATAAACATCCTCTTCCTTTTTACACCAGAGTTTTGAAAATGATTGTGTGGATATGCAGATTCACTCAGTGGATTTCTCATACTCGTCCTGTCAAGTATTCTATTTTTCGGGGCAAACACAATCACAAAGTTGATTTTTTTTTTAATCAAAGGTGGGGTAGGCAGGATCTGAAGAGGTGCCAGTTTTTGGGAGAAATCTTGAATGTAAACACTACCCCTCCCAACCAGTTTTCCCCTCAGCTCCTCCTCACCCCGCCCACAAACAGACGCTCCTGCTTCAGATGTAATGCAGATAAATACTTCAGATAATTACAAATGGGGCCCAGTCAATGTGAAAGTAAAAAGCATTGGTGCTACTGTAGATGCCAACAGACTACCAGCAAACACAATGTTTGCAGGACTTCTAAAACTACGATAAAGTGACATAGTCCAGGACCCGAGGTAAACAGTTTAGTGACGCTACAACACGCAGCAGGTCCTGTTTGAAAAGAAACACTTCTGCTACATACACTTGGCTTACTTTGTTAAAGCAGTTTACCTGTCCAGCAGAAAAGCTACAGGGTCCTTGAGATCCCGAAGCGTCCTCCATAATTTTATGTTGACCCAGCTTTTTAGCTCTTGTCCGGTCTACCTCCTTTCTAAGCGCCTGTTATTCCGCCAGTGTCTCTGATATTTACTTCATTTTCTTGCTTGTGTTGGTGGTCGTGGCCAAAGGAGGATTCAGACAATTTTCTGTACTTTCTGGTTGGTTTGTACTGCTCGATATTGTAGCACCCTAACTTTGTTTGGGCTCCTGAACGTTATTCGTGGACCATGCCTCACAACATGAGAAAGCAGCGTCCGCCTCAAAACCAATCAGCACCAAGAAGCAGTGACTGCCTTACAACCAATCAGGTTGGGGGAGGCGGAGAATGGGTTTGTTTACAGTCAGAAAGAGTGGCCCACTCAAAAATACTAAAATGTTGACTTCACAGACATAACAAAACACAGCGATATATTGCTAAATGTCATCAATAACTAATAGCTATTGACTGATATTAAAAGCTTTTGTGTATATACACCACAAAAAAGATGCTTCTTTAACGGGACCCTGCCTACCTCACCTTTAAGTTAAAAAATCACAAAAATTGTAATCATCAGATTTCCCTGTAAAAAATAGACTGACACTTGTGGCTGCCATTTAAAAGTTGTAGGCCACTGTCCACAGTCTCTTGTCACTCTTGGATTTATTTGCCACATTTATGTCCATGTGGTTTGGTATTCTGGCTGTAATAACTTTGCTTAAACATTAAAATAAGCCCTTTGTGGAAAAGCAGAGATCATCAGAAAGGTCAGTAATCTGCTTGTTTGTCTCTTCCAGATCTTCAAAAACAAGTACAAGGATGACTTCTACCCTTACCTCCTACCCAAGTCTAACAGTACCGCTGACAACCCCTCATATACCGTTCCTGGCTCCACAAAGGCCAAAGTGCAGGTATTTATGCACACATATTCACCAAGGACCATGTTACAATGTGTGTAACACCTGCATGAACAGTAGAAAAAAAATTTGCATGCTATTTCATGCAGTATAAAACACATCAGCATCTTCACAGTATTTCACATTGTGTTCTGCTTCTGGTGTTGATCCTACAAGGCTGCAGGATGCTGTTATTTGGGCAAAGTAGTGCTTTTTAGCCTCTACAAGTACATGGAGTCTCTTATACAAAGACTGTTCCCACGTGATGTTTGTGTGCCAGATAAATCAGACTTTCTGTTCACTGTGGGTGGCAGTCCTGCTAGAGAACAGTGGCAAGTTGTAAAACAAGCTCTCCGAGCCATGAGTAGAAGACAACAAAAAAGGCTCCACAGAAAAGCCGGCCAGAAACTTGTACCATGCACAGAAAAATCCCTGCTTTAAGTCACCCCTTTTGCACACACGATGACAACACAGGAAACTCCTTATACAAGAAGAGACATTAGTGAGATAACTTCAGTCTCTGTAAACACGCAAGACCATTCGAGTTTCTACATTATACATTGTACAGCACCAAGATCAGGAAGACAATCAGATGGCTTTCTGTACATACAACAAAGAGACAGTGTTCTGGCTTTTGAAGAGCAGCTAGTGTATTCAAGAGATTTTTGCTGCAGCAGATGGTGGAACAAGAGTAAATCCTGTTGAGAAAAATCACTTCCAACATGTTTATCCTCTTCAGTAAAGCCAGAGAAAACAAATACGCTGCCAGAGATGGGAAGAGGGGAGGGCAAGTGGAGGCATCTTATTTGCATCAGGCATCATGGGAAATGTGGTCCAGTCAAAAACCAAAAAATAAAATTTGCAAAACAGCCTGAATGAGTCAGAGCTCATCGTAATCATCTTACTGTTTAAATGATATTGAAGTAACTCTGCAGAGGCTGTAGTTTAGTGGTGTTCCTTCAGTAAACATTAGGCAGCACTGGCTTTCCTGCGTTTCCTTCTTCTGTGTCATGTAGTGGCCTGTAACCCTAAACCTCGCTCCCCATTAAGGGATAGCTCTCCTGTGAGGTTGGGTTGATCCCTTATTCAAGTTTCAGCTCCTTTGTTAGAGACTCTGACCCTGTAGAATACTCATGTATGTAAAGCAGAAGTTTGTGCAACGAAAAAGCAACTTGAAATTTCTTCTGCATACAGTAATAGTGCAGCTGAAGCTTAGGAACACTAATATAACTGTGATGTGAAGAAGTGGTACTTCTTTGGCGTTTTCTTTACCCTGTAATTCTTGTGCTACATATGGTCTTTGCTGTGTTTGGTGAGAGTAAATAATTGCATTATTTAGATGCATCAAGGAAACATTTGATGCAGAGAATACAAACTGTATAAAATTAGTTTGAGTTTGAATCACTGTATATCAACATTTAACATGTTTGTCCCATTACTGTAGAGATTTGCCTTTAAAAACACTCGGCAGACAAATCGGTAAATATAGCTGAAAATAAACCAGTGAATTCAAATCAATTCAATAAAAAGAAAATGTATTTGTCCCTGAAGGGCAATTCAAAGGACAAAAGGCAGTAGTATAAGACCTTCTATAAGGAGAACAAAGAATAGGAAATGGGGTGAAATTGTGCACAATTGAATGCAGGTAAGACAGAAATTTAATTTATTTTTTTATGTCTTATGATCCGCTTTTGATTTTCTTTTTTCAGGTGTTGCGGTCTGCTGATCGTTGGTCTACTGGAACCTGTGAGAACTCGATCCTCCAAGCCTACATCCACACCATCGAGAACAGCGAGCACTACATCTATATCGAGGTATGCAGGACTACCAGGGGATTCAGAGACAAATACGAACCTTTTGGCAAAGACTCAATTTTTTTCAGTTGATTTATGCTTAAAGTTCATTTGTTGAGTTTTTATCTGGTCATGAAACAGACTGAAATTCTGATGAAGAGTTTATTTGACCCACAAAAGCAAATAAGACCATAAACAACAATGTTGGGTATTTCCATATAGTTATTTTTAATGCTTGGGTGTCAGAAAAAGTGATGCACAGCATACTGCAGGCACAACCTTTTTCTCACATTTTGCAGAGCCAAGAAAACCTGCTCAAAATAATTTGAGGCTGATGTTTGATGTTGTTAAATTACAACACCTTTTCATGATTAACATTTTTGCTCTAAAGTAAAACAGAAATGTGTTAAATTCTAATTATACATTGACTTCCTTTTACTTCTCATGTTTCAACATGTGATTTTCACATACTTTCTCATCATTAATATGTTGCTTTCACATTTAGAGTTCCTGTAGCCAATGTGTGTCCAGCCACAAGGTTTTCTGAGTCTAAATTCAATCATAGCTTGGACCCTTCTAGCCAGCTACCTGCCTGTTTAAGCTTTCACCTCATACTGAGCCACCATCTGCCTTCTCTCTGCCCTTAGAACCAGTTCTTCATCAGCTGTGCCGATGGGAAAACTGTCTATAACGGGATCGGTGATGCAATTGTGAACCGAATCTTGCGTGCACACAGGTCTGGTTTTACAATACTTGCCAGGTTTACAGTATGTGGCACTTCATTCATTTTGTACACACATTCTTGACTATTGAAGTGATAAAGCAGCTTTCCACGTAATCTGTCCCCTGAAAGTGGATTAAAACATGTTTACCAAGCACCGAGGAAACTACCCCCGGCATATATGACTGAAAGACTATTTGTGCTACATATAGAGTATTATTCTTAATAGTATAAATGATCAATTGGCATTGTTGTTTTGCTGTCTCACGATTGAAATAACATTGACAAACCAGAGACTAGAGTATAAAGATGAGTGACCTTGTGCTGCTATTGTGACTCATTTCAGAGAGAATAAAAAGTACAGAGTGTTTGTGGTGGTTCCTTTGCTTCCTGGGTTTGAGGGAGACATCAGTGCAGGAGGTGGAAATGCCATCCAGGCTATTCTGCACTTCACTTACAGGTGAGAGCCTTTTTTCATCCCATTTCCATGCTGCGCTCAGCCCAGCATGGACCAGCAGGCATCGAAATTGCAGGAAAACACAACCTCTGAATGTTCATCTTCTGCTAATGTACGGCAGATCACAATGTCCTTGAGAGGTTGTTATGGACTGGTCAACCATATTTCCTTTGTTTGTTACACTGCAAGAGCTTATTCATAGTCTGACTCTGAAAGTTTATTTATTTCTCATTATTATATTGTTTTCCCTAAAGTTTAATTTTGACAGCAAGCATGTATGATTAGCACAAATGAGAAGCTTTTATAAACCAAACAGTGTAACTGAACAGACCCTTGCTGCGTTTTCTTTAATCACACTAGCTCATAGTTTTGTCAAATAAGGCTGTATTAAATAATAGCACATTATGATCCCAGTCAGTCTGTCGTTATTATAACAAAGCTCCCTCTTTGCATTCATTTAAGTAGTTTATAAGTTTGTTGTGCTTATTCTGACAAAGAATATACTCCCTGGTAGTCACTGCCACTCAGTTTAGAAGATTTTTCTATAATTCTTCTTTTATGCCAGATTTTTATATTTTTATGTCTCATTTTTTTATGTCCTAGGACCATGTGCCGAGGGGAGCACTCCATCCTGTCAAGACTAAGTGAAGGTCAGTATTATTCCTTATACTCCTTTCTTTGTAAATCTAAATCATCTTTTTCCGCTCTAACTCATTTGTCTTTCTTTCTCCTCGTGTTGCTCCTTTAAACTGAAGCTCATGGTGCTAGGTACCTTCACTTCTGTCTTCATTTCCATCACTGACTTATTCATTTCTTTCACACCCACTTTAAAAGTCAAAAAATCTTTGTGCGTGTTATGAGACACATTTTTGTTTTTCACCAAGATTCCTTCTTAATACTTTGTATCTGGTTTTGCATCTCCAGTCAAGGACCAGTGGACTGAGTACATCTCACTCTGTGGCCTGAGAACACACTCCCAGCTCTCCCAGTCTCTTGTCACTGAGCTCATCTATGTTCACAGCAAGACCCTCATTTGTGACGACCGCTGCTATATCATTGGTGAGTCACAGCCTGCAAAAACTCATTGATAGTCAGAATGACATCCGAGCTCCAAAATAGCTAATCAGCGCAGCTCCAAGATACAGTAAATAAGTAATCAGTCAGTGTCTCTAATCTACAGTTTGGAAGCTATGAAAGTTAAGTGCATTTTAAACAGTTGGTTAAAAATATGCAAATAAACAAATATATGTAGAATTTTTTTTTTTGTTTATTTTAAACTATTATTTGTAGGAATGAATATTTAGAAGTGATTTTGAGCCCATGCAGTGATTTCTGCTACAAAGTTATGAATTGTTTTTAATGCAGTGCCTCCTAAGGGCTTGAACATTTTGGCCATCTAGTACTTGTTTTTACTTTTATTCTCTCTGTAGTGCCAGGATTCCTCTTGGTTCTCTAAATATTTAATGATTTTATGTGATATAGATGATAATATCCCAAATTCTTTGCAATTTTATGCTAAGGAACATGTTTTGGAAGTCGTTTGACTATTTTATTATTTTTTTTTTTTACCGTTTACACAATGTCCTAACTTTTTTTTTTAATTGGGGTTATATTTACTACCCTAATACTAATAGTACTTAAAACTTTTAGTATTGGAATATGCCAATCCTTTGTCAAAACTTAAATTTCTGTCACACGAAAATTTTGGAAACAGAGAAAATGATGCATGTAACCTAACATTACTGTTAGTCATCTGCCTTTCTGTTTACTTTCCTAGGACTGTTACAAAGCTGTATTTAACGACTGCCAGTATTTGTACCCCAAGACTGAATGGGAAAAACATTCTTTTCTCTCTTACAAGGACCAAATCATGACAATTAGCTAAAGTCTCAGATGAGCTTTTCTCTTTGCCAAAGTTGAATTGGAATGATTTGCCAGTATCATTTTATCCACAATGTTTAAACTGCATCTGACTTCTTTTAGATCGCAAAAAGTTTTAGCCTTTAACCTTTACAGACCAATCTATTCCTACACAAAAACAAATGCATGGAGAAAAATGTTTAAGCTTGCATAGTCGCCCTCATTCTGAAGAATACTCTTAATATTGAGTGTATTTTATGCTGATTTGTGCTTTCACCTCTGAACTCTTGATTGCGACGTGTCGGAACAAACAGGTTGTAAATGTCTGTATGTCTCATCTATGTTCCAGGATCCGCCAACATCAATGATCGCAGCATGCTGGGCAACAGAGACAGTGAGATGGCAGTATTTGTAGAAGATGAAGAGCGGGTCCCGTCTGTCATGGGAGGGGAGGATTACCAGGCAGGACCCCTCGCTCTGGCTCTGCGCAAAGAGTGTTTCAGGTCAGGAGAGATTATGTAACCCTTGAAACTAGTCTGGGTTTTTTTTTTTTTTCTGATCAAATGTGTACCTCTGCACTGCTCGGTTCGAAAGCAGCGTCAAATTACTTCTATGTCATGAAAAAGATCAGCATTACTATTATTTTCCATGCACTGGGAAATACCAACTTCTAGATGCTAATTTGAAACATGCGAAAAGCAAATTTGGATGAGTTTTAACAAAAAATAAATAAAAAATTCTCCTGATTAAAAACATATTAAGTTGTAATCCTACTAAGGCTGTGAGTGTCCACACAACCTGTCTACATATTAACCTTTGTGCAGTTGCAAAGATCTGACAGACAGGCCTTTGTTTCACTTTTTTGTCCCTTTTGGTTTGCCATAGTTAAGTCACTATAGCTGTGTTGGAAAATAACACTAAGGCACATTTCACCTTGGAGTGGCCTCATTTTGGAGTGGGCACATCACCGTGTACATAAGAATAAAACAGTTTGGAAGATGTTTGAGAGTGCGAAATGGGTGACAACTGACTGCAGGCCAGTCATCACTGTGGAAGACTCTAACCAGAATCTAATGGGACTTCCTCAGATTAGCATGTTGTGACTAGTCATATGTCGAACCATTGCAGTGTTATCCTTTAAAGAAATAAAATTAATTCTGTGTTTCACAGAATAAGACCTTTTAAAGCTGTCTCCAGCTACTTAGTCATGGTTTCAGACTGCACTGATGCAGCATTTATGTTGAAAATAAATCAGTATATAACACACTTTACTGCATTCATCTGATTCCCTAATGAAGACCGTGGTAGGAATTGCTTTACAGTGTGATGTTCAAATGTATTCCTCCTCTTTTCTAGGGTTATCGTTGGTGCTTCTTCAGACCCCAGTATCAATATTGATGATCCAATCAGCGATGAATTCTTCTTCTTGTCTTGGAACGCAGCTGCTAAACAAAATGCCATCATTTATGACAAGGTATGAATGTGACTTTCGCTCATATTTCTCCTGAAAAGTATACATGTATAGTTTAAATCTTCAGTGAGGAGTTTTTAACTAGTTATGGAACAAATTTAGCAAATACAAATGCTTATTTGGAACCTTAAACAGCAGAATAGATCATGAGTAGGGAAATTTGATCTAATTATTTTTTGATACCTGTTGCTGCTGTCACCAAGCCAGGTTTCTCACCTCCCCTTTGTAACCATTTGCTGGTGTGTGCTGCTCTCAAATAGGTTTTCAAATGCCTGCCCCACAACTCAGTCCACAACATGCGTGACCTGAAAGAGTACTCTAGCGAGGAGCGCCTCTGCGACACCGACCCCGAGAAGGCCGCAGAGGAGCTGAAGGGAATCAAAGGCCTGCTGGTCCACTTCCCCCTGAGGTTCCTGTGTGAGGAGAACCTGCTGCCGCCTCTGGCTACTAAGGAAGGCATGGCACCTGTTGGGCTGTGGACATAACCACAGCTCAGACCACAGAAGACCACTAAAGGGCTTATGTTCACCACAGCACACTAAAGTAGTTATGGCACTGGCACTTCAATGGTGGGGAAAACATCACGATTTACTTTTTTATCATTATGCTTTTTTACTATTTCTGACTGACAATGAACTGGTCTGAACATAACCACTGAGATATAAATGTAATGATAGTTCTCTCTCATCAATCTAAATGAATTTATGTACTAGCCAGTTGTTCTCAGTATCTGCTTCAGAAATTGTCCTGTACAATCTGAACCAGCACTGTTAGAAAAAAAAAAACACACACACAAATGAATGTATGAGTCAGGGGAGGATGTGAGGTTCTATTGGTTACCTAGCATCTCACATGATCTAGGAACATAGTGTACAATTATTGGTGAAGGTTTTTGGGTGGGTGGCTCTGTCTTTCTCTCTCCTCTTTTTTTCTGGATGTCTCTCTCTTTCTCTCTCTCCCTCTTTCTTTCTCTATCTTTCTTTCTCTCTTCCGCTCACTCTCACTTTCTCCCTCTGAGGCTTCACCTCTCACTGCAGTGCCAGCAAATCTGTCAGAACATTTGTGGTTGTTATGGTGACGGATATAAAGAGATGACTGGATTAGGGTTGAAATAAAGACTGGATAGGGTCGAAGAAGGAGAGCACTGATAAAGGGGTTAACTTACTAAATCAGGATTGTGAAAGGGAGGAAATAAAGTGATATGGAGAGAGAGAAAAAGAACAGAAGATTTTTGTGTAGGAAAAATCATTTGAGTAGTTTTGGATTAAAAGATCAGGTGGGCAAAACTGTGGGAGGGAAATAAAAGCAGGACAAGATAATTAATGGGTGTTAGGTTGATTTACCGTTAATTGTTGCGTTTTCCACTTTCAAAGTCACCATGACAACCGAGTGAGTTATTATTTCACTATGTTGTCAGCAGTCCAGAACAGAACATTCCTCTATCCACTCTGCTTTGACAAAGCTGTCTGAAGCAGAGACATGAATTGTTTGACCAATGCAATTTTTCATTTATTTCAACAATTCTGTTTCCACGTGCCATAAAATGTGCTGCATAACTACCCAATATTGATGTGCTAACAACAAGCATTTGTAAAGGTGTATTACATTAATTTATATGTTACATTTATTGGTTAACACTCACAGTTTGAGCATTATCAGGTCATATGAATGCAAATAATTTAATGCTGTTTTTATAAAACAATGTCGGTTATTATGCTAGTTCCCTTTGCTGAGCCATGAGGATCCAAGTGACTACTATTGAGCAAATTGGAAAAGTCTAACATTGGATGAATATGTAGCATCAGTGATAGAAGTTGACCCCGTTAGAGCTTTGTAATGAATGATTTTTTTAAAGATCATGTTATAGTTGGACTGATAAAAAACAATAGAAGCTACCTTTCTAATGTAGAAAAACAATAACAACATATCATAAATGTGGCTGCCCTTAACGAAGACATGGGTCTAATGTTGCATATGCAATGTTACTTTAATTTTAAGGTCTTAAAAGTCTTTCTCATTGCACGTATTCTTCCAGAGTCTAACAGTGCCTTTGTAAAGCACCTGTCACAAACCAAAGTTTTCAGTGAATGAACAGCAGAGAAATAGAAATGATCAGGACATGAACCTTGTGAATGGACCGAATGTTTGACATTAGAGCCTTTTGGTAGTGTTCCCACTGGACCTTTATGTAATATTGGAACAATTCCCTTCTTAGCGTTTTTTTATAACAAAAACTTGAATTTTTAGAAATTAGTCAGAGTGACATAATATAGTGTATTTTTATACTTTCACTCCAGAATTTTGAAAACTGGTTGAACCTCTGACTGAGCCAGTGAAAGAGTGCTTCATAATTCTAGGAGACAAGCCCACAAGTCAACAACACTACCTGTGTAGTTTCAATGCAAAGTAGTCTATAAATGTGACAGAGGATATGTGCCCCACAGAAATGCTGCCTAATGTTACATGAAGCACCTTTCACAAAGAAGCTAGCAAGACCATCTGTGTTCAGAAGTGCAATACTGGCTTCAGAACTATTCACATTTTCTTTTGGAAGACATTAAAAAGCCACTATGAACTCTTGCAGACTCAAAGCTGAGAATTTGCTGGCCTCTCTCACACAGCACAAAATGGTAGCCTTGTCTTTGTAGAAAGATTTCTGAAGGAATGTTTTTAATTCAAAGTGACCTTACTCTGTCTCTACTCTATGGATTTTATTTTTATGAAAAACTAGCATTACCCGTACATAAAGATGTCTATCTCACTGATAAAAGTTGTATTTTTAACATTCCTTATTATCCATTTATTAACTTTTGTACATGCTTAGATTGAGGTTATGAAACTGGCTGATGAATATTACTGACACTCAGGGGTGGAAAGGTGATAAATATGTTTACTCAGATGTTGAAGTACAGTTGTGAACAACTCGTCCTTAAAGGTATGTCACTTTTACTGTTTTCTCAGAAACTTTTGTTAACACAATATCAAAGAAAGTATATGCTTTTACATTTATTCCATAATCTTCATCAGCCAAAATAAACATTCAGTTCTGAATGGCAAACCCTCCATGTTTTCTGTGTTTGTTTTTTCATCAAAACACTGTAATTTCAGTTAAAGGTCATCTGCTATACACAGATTTGACAATAAAGTTCTCCAGATATGAAAACGTTTATGTAATTGTGTCTTCTGTGATATTCTATATTTATCAGGTTATTTAAAGAGGAAACTGGATATGTTTTTTTAAGGAAATAGTTTTTTTTTTTCAATAAAAATTACATCAAAATCTTGTGTCAATGCTAAATTGTTGCATACAACTCTAATGAAATATCTTATTTATTAGCATTGGTTTTTCTGTTTATCAGTGTGCATTTTGAGCACTTGGCTTTGAAGATGATTATATATCAACAGCATTGTGATCTGTTCGAGTGACGTTTGGCTTTGTTGCAACGACAGCACTTGCAGTAAAGCTGTTACAATGGCAGAGAGTGGGGTAAGATGAGCCGTTTTTCATATTTCGGATCTCTACATCAAGGCAATCATAGTTTTGTCTCTAACTAGTGTATCTGCATATATGTCAAGATGTTGTGCATCCCTACAAACCAACAGAATGAGTGTAAACATAACTGTCCTGATAATATATCATGCCAAAAAAAGTGGTCTCCTATGGTCAACTTACCCCGTGTATGCGGTAAGTTGACCATACACTCTCCACCCCAGCCCTCCCTCACCTTCTCTCTCCCTAAATAACAGTCACTTCTTCATATTCATGTGTATTTCTATCTATTACATGCTATTCAACTGGTACAATCACTCTTTTTTAGTATTATTGCATATACCTTTTAACATTTAACATTTTAACACGAGAATGCCTTTAAGTGATTCAGAACATTCACAGCTGTATTTTTAAAAAGAAAAAGTAAAACATTTCAACAATCTGAACTGAAACTCTGATCCTCTCATTAGACTCCTTTACTTTCTCAGTTGAGCTGCTGACTCAACTTACCCCAGAACTACTATTATGACTTTATTAGTCCTCTAAGCTAAAATGGTGGACTTTTATGTTAGGTTTTTGAGCTCATGTTGTAGCTCATAAATACCACAATTAATATATAAAACAAATTAAAAATAATCTTTTTTGGTCTGAATACAATTCTAATAAAACTTATGACAGACTAAATTCACTTTCAAGAATTTTGCATATAAATGTCCAACCCCTTCACCCATGTGCTTCTAACCTTCCCAGACTCCATGAATTGATGCCCATTTCCTAAACATTTGGTCACATGATCAATTTCTTTGACCATTTCCAAGCAACAGGGGGTGGCTCAACTTACCCTTTGGCTCAACTTACCCCACTCTCCCCAACATATGCGTAAATTATAAACTTTTAGAGTTACTTGAGGGATGTGATCAGTAACATAGTCATTGCAGGACAGGTATGTCAGAGGATGACCTCAGAGCAGACAGCTTCTCCTTGCGTAGGTTAAGTAGATCCTCTGTAATTTTTTTCTCAGGTAATTTGTCCCTGATGAAGCACCGTAGCGAACCAACAGACGAAAACACTTGAGGAGTGTTGTGTGCAGCCAATAGCCAGAACAACCCTGCAAGACTACAACAAGGCAGGGAGTGGGAGGGAGGATTTTTGGAAGCAAAACATGGCGAAATAACAAGTTTGGCCGTTAGCCGCAGTTTTGAATCTGCGCCGTAGTGGACTACAGCTTCAAGTTTGTCAAATCTGAACGTTGGAGAAAGATAATAACGTCAAAGTTTGAATAGTCGAGGGCCTCTGCTTACAAGTATTACGGTGGTGGCCGTCGAGAACATAGTGCCTGCCTCTCTGCTTGTGTTTTCCCCCCGTAAGGTTGGCAGTGCTAGGCGCGACTGTCAACGCGGAAAATGGATGGAGACGGAAAGTTTATTCTGGAAATGAATATCTAGCCGGTTAGCTTAGCTTCGTTAGCTCGCCAGATAACGTTAGATTGATCGCGCGCACCTGACTCGGATTGACTATCGGTTTGATCCGGACGAAACTGAGGAATATTTAAGTCGTGGTAACAAGTTTGGCAACTACAGCCGCATTGAATCGTTTTTCAATCACGGTTTTTGCTTTCGTTTGCCACACTGTCTTATAGTTGTATTTGTGTAGGTCGTCTCTCTGAGGTAGATAATGACAGCCTGACAGTCGGTTCTGGTGCGGTGCGGACGGACCCGGTGGACGCCATCACATCAGACGTTGCGTTCTCCTTAAAAAACCAAGCACTGCGCTGCAAAGCCTGAAATGACAATCTCTACTTTACGATCTAACAAGGAATGCTTTGCAACTGTTTGTTTTTTTAATTCCCCAGAAAAACCCTATCTTCTTCTGATATGACTGTAAGACTGTAAATGTTGTGTAGCAGCAAAGACGCGGTGTCTTGTTAAAATGAACGCAGCAAGGTGTTCAACAACAGCGGAGGTGCATCGCTTTGAAAACCTGCCAGCTGGCAAAACGGAACCGATGGCCGGCTGAAGCCGATCCGAACAGTTTGTCTGAATCTCTTATTTTTACTTGGACGTGTTTTGATAAAGCATTGCAGTCTGTATTTCTGTGAAAAGAACTGCGGATAACAGTTGGTTTCGGCCGGAGTTGATGTGAGCTAGTCAGCTGGGTGCGTCTATCTGCGATGTGTTTGCTAAGCTGAGTGCTACCGTGTTGTTCCGCAACAGTTTCAGCAGATACGACTGCACTTTTTGGTTTGTTGTCTACACGGATAAGCTATTTCAAGCTCGCTTTAGCAGCTACCTTGAATTCCCTCTGACTCTTCGTTTCCATTAACCGGCTAACTTGGTAGCTAACGTCCTAAGTTTGGCCAGCTATGTCTGAAAACGCCCCCACACGAAGCCTGGATGACATAGACCTCGCAGCTCTGAGGGTGAGTATTGTTATTACATGATAAGTGTACTGCACTTTATTCATGTGTAATTGTGACAGACGGTCTCGTTAGGTGTTATGTCATATGAACTGAAGTGTCAGGTTGTCTCTGACACAAGCACGACCATGTTACACCCACGCAACAAAGTTGAGCTGGGATAAACATCCCTCAGTCTATTGTGGCTCTAGACAGATCAGCTGTTCTCAAAAAGTCTACCATCAAATATCCTTTATCATCTGTCAAACTGAAAACAATCAGCTTATCCAGTGCTGACTTTCTGTAGGTTGTTAGTATGTTAATAACAAAAACAAATGCATTTAAGGCTCCTGTCTTAAACAACACCTGATACATTTTGTGATTTCATGCACTGTTCTTTAAAATACATCCATAATGTTTCACAATAAGGTTATTTTCAACTTAGAAACAATAACACAACCTCTTTTGTTTGTTTTGGATGTTTTCTCCCTTCAAGGCTTGAGAAAAGTGAGACTTAGTTTGTTTGCTTGTGCTTGCAGCTAATAGATTGAGTTATTTTTGATTCCATGCAACACGCTTGCAGCTTTATAACATACAGTACACTGCAGCAGCAGCATACTGCATATTTCATGAAATACAGACATGTTCAGAGATAGAACAGGTAAGTTCTCCAACACTGGTTGAAGGCCTCACTCCTGAAATTTGCCTCTTTATGGCAACTTTCTGAGGTGAGAAAATATTTTTAAATATCACCAATACTTCCAAGACTGCAGTTTGTGAATGGAAAAGACCATTTAAGCACTTAAAGACATTTTGAGTGCTTGAAACTAGTGCTTTGTTGGTAGATTACATCCCAGTTTTCCCTACTTACAGTAGTCACAGCCTTAAGCATAACACAATTTTACTCTTATGGCAGGTAGGTTTTTTTTTTTAGTTAAAATGAATAAAAGCTCCTCAAAATAAGTAACATTTGGACTACAAATTAAGAACTGAGATTACATTGTGGAAAAACTGTGATTTAATGTTTTGGTGTTCACCATAATAGAATTTTCCATAAATTGATGTTAATAAATAAGTCTTGAGTACAGAATAGTGTGCTGTTGGTTAAAATCAGAGGTACATGAAAACATGTGCGCCTCCCCTGAAACAATACTGGTGCAGCTTTAACAGATTTGTGAGGCTTAAACAGAAGATTAGGGGTAGTTGTTCAAATCCCTTTTTGTGGTAGGTCACTGTTACCTCTCTGTCTCTCCTGAGGATTTCACCCAAAAACCCGAGGTCACTGCTCGAGTGACACATTTTCTTGTAAAAGGGACAGTATGTGTTATCGTTTGTTATTGAAATACTTGCATCACAGATTGTGCGTTTCTAAATACAGTGTGTGATGTCAAAGTTCATTTTCCATAAAGTCTGAATGCATTTCCTTCCCTTCATAAAGCTTCTTAAGGGTTTTCCTCACCCCGGCATTTTGAATCCACCGTTGTTTACATCCATGTCAACTAGCTAACATTATTTTTCCTCTGTACTTTTGTTGGTGCACTGCAGCCTGTCTTACGATTGAAGCTCCACCTGTTGATCACTCGAAGTACTTTATTGGCATGCATGTCATCCCCTGTGTCAATGCACAACACAACAAGCGGGGACCCACTCATTAAAAAAACAAAAGCTCAATAGAAGACAAAACTCCACAGGGAACCTTTTAAGTGGTTCAATCACAGCATTTTCAAGATTTTTTTTTTTTTTTGCCTAGTACAGACTCCAGTATTACATAACACCAGTCCACTACACACAGGCAACAAGAAATCATCTCTGCAGAAATTCTCTCTCCAGTGTCAGTTCGATAAAGCTAAGCCATCTGCAAATGGTGTTGATTGCGGATGGCATAAGAACTGACACTTTTAATACAAAGACAACAAAATGTGCCAGATTCGCAGGACAAAACCTGTCGACTGAATTGCACCTGTGTAGTTCTTAGTTTATTGCACAACAGAAAAAACAGTCAACATCATTATGTCGATTCTCTCCGAGGCTATCGAACTGAGACTTGGAGTGTGTTGGGAATATCGGGTGCAGATTAGCTAGAGAAACCGCCCTCTGGACATGAAATTTATGAGAAATTCCGTCTTGTGATTTTATTTTGTTGCAGTGAGCGGAGTGCTCCATGCTTGTTGAGTTTGGAATAAATAACCTTACATAAGGAAGAGAAAAATGAAGGCTGTAATATGAAGAGGAGCTCTGACGGAGGCTGGTTTCCGCTTTACAGAGCTTTTTTTGAAAACATCAGCATTAAGTCATACCTCAAAGATTTAAAAATGTCAAGTTTTCTTCCATGTCATCTTGGGACAAGGAACTTCCACAGTAATCACATCGTATGCCTCGAAGAAAGCATGTAGTTTATCAGAAATTTACTTAAAAATCTAATCTAATCCTTTCTCTCACAGTTATCACACCAGTTCTATAATGGTAGCATAGTACATCAAGCTGGTATTATGGATGAGTTCAAGGACAAATAAAAAGCCAACAGGACAGTTACCTTCAGCAGGAGTGTATTATCTTAATTACAAATCCATACTGGCATAATCAGTCTGAATATAACTATTTGAAACTTTTTAAGGCACCCATAGGATTCTTGATACCACACAAAAGTCAAATTATTCAATCTTTTCCACAAGTCCTGTAAGATTGCTGGTAATCAGGACTCTTTGTAGCCAAGTGTATAGGGCAAGTGTTGAGGAAGTCATTTACTTGGCAGCAGTCTTGAAAGAAGAAGAGTTTTCTTATAATATTTGAGTCATGTTGCAGCTATGTAACCACAGACAGGCCTGTCTTTTTTAGAGCTTTCTCTGTCAGCAAAGTTGACTCTCCTGCAGGAAATGTGTTGTCCACTTCCTCATTGACCTTTTACTAGTGTCTTCTAGTGTCGGGCTATAGTTGGCTTGAAGGGACTTTTAGGAAAATTCCTCGCGCTGCCCCCTGAGGTTTTCTAGCATATTGAGTTACACATTGACATGGCAGCATGACATCCACAAGGACCGTTAAATCCACCATTGATATGACTGGCACCCACTGACTGTAGATTTCTCCTCCGGTCCCCCTGTAGTTTTACTGCTTCCTTGCTACGCAATCATCGTTGACAGTTTGTTTATCTGTGCTGCCGGTGGTTCTCCTCGAACATGACTGTACCCTTCCCCTTCTATCACTTTGTTCCTCTCAAACCACTCTCAGCGATGGTTGTGGGTGATGCTACCGCCCCTGCTTTACCACCCACGCCATCGCTACATTATTCTCCTCATACCGTTATTCTCTTGCCTCCTGCTGTGTCCTCGTATATAACATGCCTCTACATCTGGAGGCTATGTTTATGTTATCGTGTGAGCTATGTGTGTTTGCTTTAAAGATGTGGTCATTTCCCAATTTTACCGCCAAATCTTTCTTAAGTATGTGTGCCTCTTCTTTTTTTTTCTCTCAAAAATGTGTATAAAGAATTTCTCCCCTCCTTGTCAGAGGCAGAAAACCCATCATTGGAAACAGATGAAAGCAGGATAGGCCATGCTGTACGTTCTAAACCCAAAGCGGCAGTCTCACCACCCACACATCTTCTTAAAGCCATATTGAAATTGCATGAAAGTAGAGCTGCTTGTCATTTTCCCTTGTCTCTTGTGAAGGGGGTTGCATAATTAAGTCAACGCAACCTACTCATTACTGGTCTCAATGAGATGTGTTCATTGCAGCGAACAAATCAGGAAAAAGACAGAAGTCGCGTCAGTGTTGTCAGAATTCATCTGTAAAGTAGTATCAATATTTTTGTGTTTGCTTGTCTGTTTCCTCCATGTGAAGTCCTGTGGGTGGGCAGTGAGTGCATGAGTGGGCATCTAGGAGGATTGAGCTTAGATGATTTGTATGGAAATATGGAATTGTAGTCCAGGATTTGAAATAAACCCATTGTAAGCTGTTTACTTGTTTTTTTTTGCATTGATTTTAGCGTTCGAACAGAGGCCTTTTTCAGATGCTCGTATGACCCTGCCTTTGATAGAGTCCATAGATCGGCAGCTATGTTCGCTTTAATGGATGTAAATAGCTTTTATTGCTCAGGAAAATTACCTTAATTGAAGCTGTTCATCATTTTACTAATGCAGAGAACAGCAGCATGAGTCTCTTGTCGAGAAATAAAACAAACCGAAGAGGAAGACTTGTAAAGTCATGTCAGCCTGGTTTTAGTTTGTCCTCCGCAGTGCCTCAGCACTATTTTGAATCCAGCCTGGTTTTATTTCAGCTTTTGTGCCAACAAAACAGGAGCCAGATTGCAGTAGTTACTACAACAAGTGCCATTTTGTAGAAATTTAGTTATCAACGGTAACACTTAACAAAAGAAGCACAAGTGTTTTTAACATTAAAAAAAAATTAGACCTCTACTTGAGGGTCACACAACGAAGTGTGGATGTGTACGATTCAAGAAGAAATAAACAACCGACACCCACTTCAGAAGAGCAAAATAAATTTGGTGCTCTTCAAGTGAAGTGTTTTTAATTCTGTTGTTCCCAACATTTCTAAAGAATCAAACACAGCTTTTTAAACTCAAAGTTTTCTATACGTTTTTTCTTTTTTTGTACTGCAGTTTATACTAGTACTAAATGTCCTGGTTTATATGAAGCAGCACTTTCTGCTTTATGTTTAACCTTATAATCTGCTTGTGTTTCCTTCAGGATCCAGCGGGAATCTTTGAGCTGGTAGAGGTTGTCGGCAATGGGACATATGGGCAGGTGTACAAGGTGAGACATGATTGACATTCAGTAGAACTTACTCTATTCAATTACTGTTCTGTGCCTTTCTTTAGTTACTAGGAGATTTATTTAACTGCTATGTCAGCTACCTGAGAAGTGAAAGTGGCTGTGAAAGAAAGATAAGAGTCCCTGGAACAAAAAGCAAAATAACAGTAAAAATACGCTAGAGCCGCACTGGAAGGGAGTGTGTTGGAGACATGGGATCACAGGGTTATTTCAACTTTAGCTGACAGCTGTTGTGATGATTCCACTTGTTTCTTAAACAGGGCCGTCACGTGAAGACGGGCCAGCTGGCGGCCATCAAAGTGATGGATGTGACGGAGGAGGAAGAGGAGGAGATCAAAGCAGAAATCAACATGCTGAAGAAGTACAGCCACCACCGAAACATCGCCACGTACTACGGTGCCTTTGTGAAGAAGAGTCCACCGGGACACGACGACCAACTATGGGTCAGTTTGACTCTTTTAGCAGCAGTTTGCCCCCGTGTATTATCCCCTCTAAGCGTGTGCTTGTCTGTACGCAGCTGGTGATGGAGTTTTGTGGAGCGGGATCAGTGACTGACCTGGTGAAGAACACAAAGGGCAGCTCTCTGAAGGAGGACTGGATTGCTTACATCTGCAGAGAGATCCTAAGGGTGAGAAGTCACAGTTGCATGAGGCAAAACAAGGCCGGCAGCAGAGGTCGCTCCGTACTGACCTATTTGTCTTCTTTATGTGTTTACAGGGCCTTTCTCACCTCCATGCCCATAAAGTTATCCACAGAGACATCAAGGGTCAGAATGTCCTGTTAACAGAGAATGCAGAGGTCAAACTCGGTATGTTGAAAGCTTGGAAACAGAAAAGTAACCGTTCTCCAATTCCCATCATCTCACTTTTTTTTCTACCTGTGATTCCTCTGTCTAAATTTAGTCGACTTTGGGGTGAGTGCTCAGTTGGATAGGACAGTCGGGCGAAGAAACACCTTCATCGGCACGCCCTACTGGATGGCACCTGAAGTCATCGCCTGTGATGAGAACCCCGACTCCACCTATGACTACAGGGTAACAGCAGCACTGTTATTGTGTGTGTGTGAGTGAGAGAGGGAGGATTGTGTTGTGAGATCATGAAATAAAGAGACTGACACAATCCCTTTGTGTTTTGCAGAGTGATATCTGGTCCCTGGGGATCACAGCCATAGAGATGGCAGAGGGAGCTCCTCGTAAGTTTTCACCTGTTCTTGGTTATATCATGCATATCCTCAGTACTCCGCAGCGGATAATTAGTCATCGTCTCTGTGCTCATTCTGAGAGACCTTGTGAATGAGTCTTGTCTTGCATATGCAGCCTTGTTGTCTGTGTTTTCAGATGGACAGCTGACTCACTCTAATCAAGGTAGTGTAGTCGTGAGCTGGCAGTTGGCCTGTGGAGGCTGATTGCACAGTTTTCTCCGCCTAAAGTGAGATCTGTCTGACTTAAGATTCAACATCAAACCTGGCTACAAAGCTATAATCTGTCATTTTTGTTCAGATAAATCCACTGGTGTTCAGTATTTTCAGCAGGCGTACTCTCCTCTCCTTATGTTCGTATCCTTTTGTAAAGATGTCTGAAAGTAATGTGAATAACAACAATATTGAGAGATGAGATTTAATAGGCATGTTGCATATCTGTGGCCATAATAGACTGTATATAGAATGGACGCCGCCTGCCTGACTCCGCCCCCCTGCTCTGGATGTTGACATGTAGTTACTGTAAGACTGATTTGTGCTCAAGTCCTCTTTTTTTTCTGTGCAGCTCCATCTTTAAAAGTTATTAGGGGGTCATGTTTTCTATGATTGACACAGATACAGCCAACGAAGATTGTGTAGCTCACCCAGGGGATAAGTTGTTTGAGCCGAGTGTCATCGCTGCAACTCTTGGCGACTCTCCCGCTGAATGCGTACAATGCTACTGCGCGATGTTGGTTTCAGGAAATGAAGAAAATTGAGGGGAAGAAAAAAAAGGTGGAACCAAGTTGTCCATATCATATACAGTCTATGGTGGCTATTAAGTCCCAACAATCTTTAAAACTAACCTGCAAAGGCAAAGGGAGACACCTCGGTCTGCTGTGATCAAGACATTTCAGAGTCAGTGGTATCCTGTCACATTAGGAAACCAAAAGATTGGAAAAATAAAGTTAAAGGATCTATGAGTTACGATGTCCCTGCATGTCCCTCCTTTATAGTCTTTCTTGAATTGTTATTTGGACTTGTTCTACAAAATGAATGTCGCTGATCTTCCACAGAGAGTGTAACACTCTCACACTTCTGTCTTCTGACATCAGCACATGGCACATGATGTACAAGACGGCCAAACATCACCCAATACTGATCGGCTGATTCAACAGATACATTCATCTCAAGTTACAATAATGATCTTATTCCTTAGTCCTTGCTCTCTGGGTTGCTTAGTATTGCATTAATTTAAGCAGGTTTCACCGGCACTGTAGGGCTAGTGCTTTATATTCTCCCAGTTTTTACGAACCTGGTTGCAAACTCTGCCTGGAGTTTACATCCACAGGCGGCTTATTGTCGAGTTGAGGACTAATTAAGCTCTCTTGAATAAAATTATTGTCCTAAATAATTCCTCCTCCAATCTCCAATTACTATTTCACTCGGTAATTTAAGATTCTCCTACAATTATGAGGAGACTTGTAAGCCTCCAGGGCACGCACACTTGGAACAGACATCTTTTTTTCTAATAAGTTCTAATAATTTTTGATGACTGAGAGGGAGCAGATGTTATTTTAAAATGAGGTTAAAGAAGTTTTTTTTATGTTATAAACATACCACACACAAAACACTGTGAAAAGCACAACATTGTTCTACTTTTCCTTTTCAAAGCAAGTTTTCTTTTTCCCCTCTTAAGTCTTTTATAAGCTCCTGAAGATCACTGGCACTGCAGTGGCTGACATAAGGCATGTAGGCCAACTGTCAAGCTGGTGTTGGTGTACCGTTGTAAATTATGCGGTGTGAACTTACTCACTTCACTAATCTGATTACTGAAGTATGTTTTCCTCCAATAAACATGCACATTTACCCATGTTTTTAAGTAGAGCTTGAAAGATACTTTCCAGCTGAGTTAATATACTGTTTGATAAAATTAATATGCTGGTGGCAAATAAAACAAGCAGTGTTAAAACACCGTAATAGTGATGCATGATATTGGATTTTGACTGATATCTGATATGTAGACACATCTTTTTTTTTTCCCCTGTATTGAAACATTATTGTAACTCTTACTTTGACAGTCTTTCTGTTTTAGGTATAAACATAAAATAAGACAGTCAACATTTGACTCTGTCATTAAAAGTGAATGTACTCTTTTTCAAATGTGGACATTAAGAAATATGCTCACTGCTATATTTCTTAGCTTTGCTGAATAAGTGCAGTAGAAGCTGCTGACAGGTTTATGGTGCCGCTGACACTTTTTAAATTCTCATAATTGAGAAACTCTTGGCGCTTCAGGGTGACACTCCTGGGGATACACACAATTAAGTTGGGATTGTCGACAGAGTTTTGTGTAGCTCCTCTTTGCATCCCCTGTGCTTGAAAATCATGGCACATACAGAAGCCATTTTGCTGTGTGTTTCCAACACTTGAATATACTTCCAGACAGCCAACATGTTGAAACTCATCGTGTGCACAAAGATTTGTCACCTTATCAGCCATACATAGTAGTGGAAATCTGCTGATGTTTTATTTTTGGCTTGCACTGACATACTGCCAATAACGTTGTGCATCTCTACACTGTTTTGATTATTTGATATTGATTAACTTTAGGTTTCTATTTGTCTCTAACTTCATGATCCATCGTTCTGTTGCTCTTAAGTCCCATTTCAACAATGATAAAACAGCATGTCATCATTAAGCCAAACTTCTATTCAAATAATTCAACTTCTGTTCATAGCCAAATTGTTCCATGAATCGTGTGTATTGATCACATGACACAATGAAAGTTTCTTTATGTCTTCCACAGTGAGATGAGGGAAGGTGTGAAAGGTTGACTATTATGGTTGTCAACCAAGTTTACTGCTGACAAACATTTATCTTTAATTCTGGAAATGGCAGCAGTTGCCAAAGAGGAGTGCCACTCTTTTTATAATATGTGACTTTAAAATAGTGGAGAAAGAGAAGATGCAATATTTGTTTACCATGAGTGACAGGAAGTCATTCTTCTGTCTGTATAATTAATCTGCTAATAGTCTAAATAAGCAGATGATTTCACTCCAGACACTAAATTGAAGGCTAATATAGGACTCTGTGTACTCCATCATTTCCTCTGACAACACTACGACAAACCTGCCAACTACCTTGCACTAAGTGTTCCAGATCTTTGAGATTAAAAACAATGCAACTTTGCTGCACCATCACAGTTTGTTCAAAGGTTTTTATCTGATGTCAAACATGCATGTAGTATGGACTGTCATGAGTATTGCCAGTATGACTGAGCCCCCATCTGCTTTGATGTTGTTCTTCACATGTTGAAATGAAATTAACTACTTGCCTTCAGCTGTCTGAATCTCATTACATACTTCCAAAAGACTGCTTCACAAAAGCCTATTTACTGTGAAACTGTAAAGCTAACCAGTCAGGTTTTGCTACCTACCTACGGTGGGAACACAATGACTCACAGGCCTCGCTCTCACAGTCAGTGTAACAATAAGCCTGGGGCACCAGGAAATATTGGATAACAGCAGCTGTAGCCATGTTTGAGAATATGAGGAATGTGTAATGGTGGGCTGTATCATTTAAAAACCGCTAAAACAAATATTATGTCACATATACGTACAGTTTTTTTTTGTTCATTTTGTCCTTTAATGTTTCAGCATTTGTCGAAGGATGTGATAAAACTCTGTCTCTTTTCTTTCAGCTCTGTGTGACATGCATCCGATGAGGGCGCTCTTCCTCATTCCAAGGAACCCCCCTCCAAAACTTAAATCAAAAAAATGGTGAGTTACCAGCCCTCCTGCTTTCTCCTTAAACTTCAAGATCCCAGAAGTCAATTCCAGCTGAAATGTCCACCCTTATATATCATTAAAAGAGTATAAAATCTCTAAAACCATAACACACTTTCAGAGAAAGTCCAAGTTCTATCAAATTCCATTATTTTGTCCGTTGGAGCTTTTTAAATCACTTGGCCTGTGGATTATGATGGCACCAGTACTTTGCTTTAATTCCTCAGAATCCTGTTAGGTTCTGATCTACCATAAGAGGGTGACCTTATTTTGATACAGCCAGTCACACTCAACACAAAGCAGTGACATCAGCTTTCCCTCAAAGGCAGTGCAGACAGTCACGCTCAGCCAAGGAGCAGTCTGCTGCACGGCACATGAAAAAAAAAAGGACTTAGAGCGATATTAGATCTCTACTCACTTGCTGCTCTTACTTCAAAACATGAGCACAAACCTTGTCCTTGTTAGAGAAGTGAGTAAACAAACATTCATGAGGATATGTGAAAAGTGCACCGCCATTGTTTAGCCAGATTGACAACAAACTGCTGAGCTGCAACACGTGGGACAGCATGTAAACAAACTTTCAAATGTCACTAAAAAAATTCTTTACCTTTAACACTGTTCACATCATGCTATGTGTACAGGGCCTGGACTGAGGCATAAATTTCTCTCTGCTGATCAAACTGCATATCCCTCTTTACCACAGATAAAAATCTTTGAAAAACAAATGACTAATGTCTTCAGTTGAACTTTAAAACAGTGAAAGAATGTGCGATTGTTCCTGTTTGGTAGTGTGGTAGACTAGAGCAGGCTAAATACTTTGAGTCAGTTGACTCTTCAGGGCTTGACACTAACTTTTTTCACAAGGAGCACATGTGCTCTTAAGTTGAAGATGTAAGGAAGACACAAAGAACTTAAGGGGCACAATGAAAATTGATCAAATAATGTGTGTCTGATTTGTCGACACAAGTTCTATTATTTGAAATCAATTTTAGGTCTTTTGGCCACATGACATGGAAGCTATTGAAGAAAATTTTCAAAATTCGCCTTTAAATTTAACACCAAAATTTTTAGAGGACAAATTAGGGAAATGAAGAGGTGTGTCTTATTGGTCGACATAAGTATTATCTTTTAAAATCAATTTTAGGTCAATTGGCCACATGACAGAAGTGATTGAACGACAAAAGCCTTTTTTGAGAACATCAACTGGTAATTTATTGATGGTCCCTTATTCATCACCCGATGTTGACAGCGAGGGTGCAGAGTAGATTTAACTGCACTGCCGTTGCTATTCCCAGCTATGGAGAGTGAGAAGACACCGGTAGATCCGCAGTGAATGTCCATCGAATATCCAACCTGTAACTAACTTCGCCACAGTATTTACATGAAAAAACATTTGTTGCCTCAGCTGATTGTTTTTACGCGCACATGTGCACCTAAATACATTTTCGCACACATCTATTTTTAGTCGCAAATGCGAGTGAATCTGTCGCACTGTCGAGCCCTGCTCTCAATCTGAAGGTTGGAGGTTTGATCCCAGATCCTGCAAACCACTCGCCAAAGTGTCCTTGAGCAAGACACTTGACTTGACCACATTCTGCCTGGACTGGCTGCATCCAGCATTGTGCAAATACAATCAGTTAAAGTGGACAGCGCTTTAGCCTCTGCCATCAGTGTGTGAATGTGGTGTGTATGTGTGAATGTGATATGTAATATTAAAGTGCTTTGAGTGGTCAGAGGCTAGAGTAAGTTTCAATAAACATAGTCTACTTACCATTGGTCCATTTGTGTGAGATAAGATACTACATAGAAAAAAGCGATTTTTTAAAGAAGATGTGGTTCTTCAGCTGATGTTGGGTGTAAGAGCTGAAAGCAGTGATAGTAGTCAATGATTTTCTTTCTCCATCCCTCCTGCTCTAACTCTCTTTACTTCACCTGGAGTCCTTAACAGATCTAACTGAAACTGTTTATGGTCCCACTGCATTTAGAAGGCAATGTTCTTTCACTACGTTTTTATAGCCTAATTATAAAGCTGCTTTCAGCCAATATTGTTTAATGCGAAATGAGCACTTATGCAAATTCAAAACTGTCAGTAAACAACGTGAGCTGAAAAACTCTGGCGGACAATATTGCTTAGCTGCATGTCGGTTTCACTGGGTGATAATTGCAGTGAGCCTGTTGACTCTTGCCCGTCAAACTTTGCTCCCGTATCTCTCATCTTCCTCTACGTGAACCTCCATCTCAGGTCCAAGAAGTTTATTGACTTTATAGAGGGCTGTCTTGTGAAGACATATCCCAGCCGACCATCCACAGAGCAGCTTCTGAAGCACTCCTTCATCAGAGACCAGCCCACCGAGCGCCAGGTCCGAATCCAGCTCAAAGACCATATTGACCGAACTCGCAAGAAACGAGGGGAGAAAGGTAAACACAGGAAAATTACCTTGATTATCTGAAGTATGATGTCGGTTAGTATACCACAAAACTTTTGAGGTAATGTTTCAATTCTCTTGATTATTTTTTTTTCCTACAGAGGAGACGGAGTATGAGTACAGTGGTAGTGATGAAGAGGATGAAAATCGTGGCGATGACAGAGAGTCAAGGTGACAGAAGATTAGCTTGTCTGTGGAGTAGCATGAGACCTCGACTCTGTCTAAATGAAGTCATCATACTCAACCGTGTCATATTTCTACTTTTTGTTGATAGTTCGATCCTCAATGTGCCCGGCGAGTCCACACTGAGGCGGGACTTCCAGCGCTTGCAGCAGGAGAACAAAGAACGATCCGAGGCTCACAAGAGGCAGCAGGCGCAACTGGCAGCTCAGCGACGAGACCCTGAAGAACACAAGAGGCAGCTGTTGCATGACCGACAGAAACGCATCGAAGAGCAGAAGGAACAGCGGCGTCGACTTGAAGAGGTAATAATCGACACCCTTTTCCAGGAGAAGTAAAAAAATAAAAAGAGAAAATATATTCTCCCTCTCCCTGAAGCAAACAAAAAACCTTGAACACTTGTGTTGTCGCTCCTGCTTTGCAACCAGCTCACTCGGAGAAAACTGTTTGAGCACATAATTCAAACCAAAACCACCACTTGACATTTTTACAATATTTTTTCAATGAATCGAAGCAGATCAGATGTGTTATTTTGAAGTGCCTGTGTTCAGAGACTTTCTAATCAAGGTTGTTTTCTGCCCTGCTTTCAATCTTCGAGCCACTCTGTCTCGTTCTCTAAATTCATGTTTAAACAGAGTTCTTTCACTGAAGTACAAACATTCCTGCAAATTCTGGAAAAAATCATATCTGCATGTTTCCATTCAAATTCTGATTCTTTCTGTTATGAAAGTCAGATATTTTTTCTCATTTTTTAACTTTCTTTCACTCTAAACACTTAACATTCCAGTATTGTCCAAAATGTTTGCAACACGTACCTGCAATGTGTTGAACCTCCAGAATGAAATGCGATATAAACTCAACATTGATGATACAAACAAGTATTCAGGAGAAAGTTATATAGGTTCAGTACCAATATGTAGACACCAATATATACCAATACACAGCCTATGCTTTAATCCTCTATCTACTCTGTTCTATCCAGCAATCATCCCAGCAGACATGCACACTAGTAATACATAACACAACACCTAACCCCAATTTTTCTGTCTAAACTTGCAGCCTATAACTGTGATCTGCTTTTTGGTTGCCTGCGGTCTGATTTGATTCGGTTATAAATACATTAACAAAACGGGGGTCGACCTTGATTTCTTTTGGAATAATTCTGCACTTCTCTTTTCTGCACACACGCCAAAATCTCCAAATACTTCTGCAAAATGCAGCACAGTGGTTCATTTTTAATGAAATGAGATGCCGTACTGAGCAGTGAAACGATCAGGTTTATTGTCTGTTCTGTACCCGCTCATGTCCTCACCCTTCAGCCACTTAACTCCTCGCTGCTGCCCTTTTATTTTTTCTAATCCTCGGGTCAGTGTTTTCCGTTGCTTGGTTATGAGTTCCGAGCATTTATGATTGCCTTCTATTGCTGGCGCTACTTAACTGTTTTTATATAATGTGTTAAATGTAGAAACTCTGAGCACTTATAACAGGTTAAAAAAAAGGTTTGAAAAGCTCACATATTGCATTTAAAAATAAGGCCCGTAACACATAAAGAGTCTACTTTCTACATACAAGAAACAGAAGCTCTGCTTACTTGTAGTAGCTATTGTTCCTTTTCTTACATTTACAGACATTTCAAGTGAAATGATTTGTAATCCCTGAGGAATTAAGTGAGTTTACCTGAAAGGAAAGATTCTAGTTTTGTTCATCTCGAGTATGAATGTGTAATTCTGCAAATATTTTCCCAAACGGAGACAAATTTCTCTACCAAAGTGGGATGTTTTGGAGTTGTCTGTGGCATTGAAGCTGTTACAAAAAATGTATCTCCCCCCCTTAAGGAGAAAAGAGATTAGCGAGTTGTATTAGTGGCATAAGAATCAGACTTTTTCTTCACTAAGAACACTAATCTGCCTGTTATGAAGCGTTGAAACTGCCCCAGAGGCTGCACATGTTCATTTGAATAATGTAGTGCAGAGAAACCACACACATACCAAGTCATCTCTTACAGCCTATTTTTAATTTTAACAGCTGCTAAACAAAAGAATTGAAGCAGGCCAGTTCACATGCTAGCAGCAGTGAGGCTGAAAGAAAATATTCCCGATAGAAGAGTTGAGAAGTAAACGCTGAAATCATCAGAACGAAATCCCTGGAGAAATATCATCAACTTCCCTAACCCCTCTTGTTATTTGATTTTATCTTTTGTTGTCAGCTTCTCTGGAAGTTTTAACTCAGGAAATTGTTGTCTGTACATGTTGGCTGTTGGAGTGGTTATGTAATGGTGAAGGTGTGCGGACCTGACATTGGTTAGGTTTGACCACCTCCAAATAAACCCCCTAGACTATCACTGACTCTTCGCCTTATCAGAGGACTGCTGTTTTGCTGCTAAAAGCTTTCTTTGCATTTTAATTTAAGCATTAAGATTGCAAGAAGACCACCAATCTCATCAGTAGGTGTGGTTACCAGATTGACCAAACAAATAAAAATAAGGACGATATTAATGTAACTTTTTAACTCCTAGCTAAGCCGTGATTCCAACTGTACATTTCAACCAACCAGTTCCTTGAGTGTCCACTTCAGGCTAGCTGCAAGGCATCAGAAACCATAAACACCCCCTATCTAAAGAGCTTATGTTTAGAAAAAAAAACAAGGTTTGGTCTGATAAAGCTTATTTCTCTTTTAGCAAACAGTGTAAATGGGATTACTTTTCTTAAGACTCAATTTTGAGCGTATTAATGCTTTATTAGAGGTACTGCTGATTTGATTGACGGATGGGCACCCCATAGCTGTCAATGAAGAGGCTAAAACTCCACCTCTTTGTCAATTAGGCTGAGTCAGCATTTCCAAATTGTCGTTTTTGTCCCCCCAATTTTGTAGATAAGGCTTCAAAACTCAATCTTAGTTGTGTCACCCTTTTGTTTCTGAAGTCCATGCCTTCACTTAATGATTTCAAAATTACAAGATTAATAATTAAACACATCGCATGACTTGTACCGTAAAGTAGATACAGTGAATGTGATAATGGACATAAGCGCAGAAGTGAAACAAAAACAGGACATTTGATCATGCTGTCTGGTGTTGTTCTGCATGTATAAACTGCAGTCTGGAGTCTCTGTTAACAGAAACACAGTTGTCTTGTATGAACCATCCATAAGTTAGTTGAATGTGCATTTAAAGGTCAGCTTATTTTTTGGCGGGGACACCTTCAGCATAAGATGTATAATCTTCTGCATCAGTTTTTTGCAGCTCCTTTTCTGCTGCACCAGCCTGATTTTGCTACAGCTCTGCCACCACATCATTGTAATGCCATAACTGCAGGTAAAAAAAATGACAAATTGAACAAGCCCTGCCCTTGGGAAACAGAGTTCTCCATGAAACCAGTCGGACTGTGACAAGAACCGGGGCAGAAATTAGGGCTGTCATAGTTTAATATGCTGAGTAAAACCCTCTGTGCTGATCTAGCCTATCCCCTAGACAAGAAATATTGTCATTATTGTCACACCACTGATGGTTGATGCCAAAAAGGAAAAACAAACAACTGAACAATGTGACTCAAATTTGTTATTATCATTAGCTGATTAAAGGACCTAAAAAGAAATGGTTTCACTCTTGAACTGCCACGATCAAGCACAAAAAAAGTGCATTTAGACATGATTTCAGTCCATGTTTTGTACTGTGCTGGAGATTTCTAAAGACATTCTCACCTAACTCCGAGCACCGGTGGGCTGTGAAAAGGGTCAGCAGCTGTGAAATGTTTCAGGAGGTATGTGGGATTTGAATGAGGCCCACATAATTACACTGATATTGCTATTGTTATTGAGCGTTTTGCTGCATCAGTACGGTGCTGTGTTGCGCTATGATTGAACACCTTTAATAAACCTGCTTCTCCTTCATAGTCTTCTCTGGCAAACTGTTTGAACTGAATGAGCTCAAACAAGCTCTTGAGTGCTAAGTGTCACCTCCGAGTAGGAGGTTCTCAAAGGAGACAAATCTTGTTCTTTTAATGTCCCTTCAAAAACAGCAAAGTGCCACCTGGGGAACCGACAGTCAGTTTAAATCTATATCAAAGCAGCACACTCAGAGAAGATGATTAGGATGCTTTAGGTGTGTGTTAGTGAGAGTGACTCACAGCCTCCGCTCCTTCTATTTCTTTCTCTCTTTCTTTTTTTTGTTACCAGCTCTTTGCACAAAAAACAAGAGAGGGTTTGCTCATAAGCAGACTCTCCATTATAAATTCCCCCGTGCAAACATAGCCTCTCTGCTCATTTTTCTTTTTCCTGTCACCCTTCCCTCCCAGCAACAGAGAAAGGAGCGAGAGATGGTGAGGCAGCAAGAAAAAGGTCCCCACCGGAGACTCGACGATATGAGACGAGAGGAAGATAGGAGGCTGGCTGAGAGGGAGCAGGTAACCAATCACAGGAGACGTGGGGCTGCAATCAACCAATCAAAGTGTAGTGTGGGCGTGTCCACCAGCAACACTGTGCAAGTTGCTCTGGTGGTGAAATTCCATGAGTAGGTTGCCATAGCAGCAAGGGTCTAAATTAGTGTATTTATTCAGAGATGAGTTTTCTGTGGGTGAGCTCTCTGCGTCTCTTTTGCAGTTTCCAGTCTACCCTCAGTAACACAAGAGTCTGGCTTCACAGTAGCATCAACTAGTAGTGCTAAATACTGTTTTTATGTCATTATCAAACCTTACACCTCTCAAGATTTACTGCCAAATATTTGATTTTACTCAATCTTTTTCACAATCTTCTTTTAGTTGAGTTAATGTCAAAATGATGTCTTATATTTGTCTCTAACTACTTTGTGCATGTTCTGTTATGAAAACCTTAGTTAGAACTGTTAATTTTTCATAACATAGCCTGTATTGTTAAACAGATTGACATTACATAACTGTTATTTCCCCCCCTTTCTCTACCCCACTACCATGTTTATTCTTATTTCTTTTTCTCACCTCCATGCTGCCTATCATTCTCACTCTCCTCCTTTTCAGGAGTTTATCAGACATAAATTAGAAGAAGAGCAGCGGCAGTTAGAAATCCTTCAGCAGCAATTGCTTCAGGAGCAAGCTCTACTTATGGTAACAAACCCTCTCCACTCCTTTTATCATTTCCTGTCCTGAACACACGTGTGTCCATGTCCTGAAAAAAATCAATCGATGGGTGCTGAAAAATACTGACATTGAAGAAATGTTTCATATTTCTATTTTCATCAGGATGCTCACAGCAGTGTTGCTCTTCTGATTGTTTTTAGGAGGGTTTTTTTTTAGCACTCCTACTGCCACACTTGTAACAAAATGTAGATGTAGGTTCTAGAAATGCCCTTCCTCCATATAAAGATGCTCTATATGTTGCAGAGTGTGGTTGCATCTCCTACAATATGGCATGTCTTGAAAGGGGTGCACTGACCTACATTTTGGGGCAGTCCGGGCAGATTTTTTTGTGTCTTGCTAACTACGAAGGGAAGATTTTCCACAATCATGACATCATCGTTAAAGCCAGCTTCTTTGATGGGTTCGGTCTTTGTTACTTGGTGTTGGAATTGTAAAAAGAGCCTTACCAGACTGAATGTGTGATGTATTTAAATATTTTTCCTATTTCCTTGTAAAGAAACACACAAACACATACAGCATGTATGTTATACAGTGCCCAGTACATCCCCTATTAAAAGTGCAGTATTACGCAATATCTAGATGAACAAAAGTACAATTTCCAAAGTTTTGACAAAGCTGAGTTTAACATAACATTTTATTTACCATAAGATGGAAATAAGAGTGATATGGTAACTAACATTTAGCTTTGCTCCCAGAACTTTGATTGGGGTGTACTCATTTTTACATCCCGATTTTAAATTTAAAAAAATACTGTTTTGTATGCAACTTAAAAAATGTTATGTGCAATCAATTGGCTTACATTTGGGGAGTATTTTGTTGTATAGTCTGGCATAGAAAATGTTGATTTTGAAACTAAAGGTTTTCTGACAACTCTGAAGGGGTGTACTCATTTATGCTGAGCACTGTATGTATGTTTGTCTTTTCACAGACCAGATCACACAGCCAGGTTTTTGAAGTTTATTGCTATGCTTAATGATTACAAGCAGAGATAGTGCAGTAAAATCCCAGACCAGTGCTGTGAGGCAATTCTTAAGTAGTTTATTATTTCAGATTGAGGTCAGAACAAAAGCAGTGAACTACAAAGCTTAATTATTATTATTATTATTATTATTATTATTATTGGGCCTGATATTTATGAGGCCTCAAGGAACCTGAGGACAGGAATGTTTGTGTCCTATTGGCCGACTTTTATTGGAATGATTAAGACACATTATCTTATTACATCTCTGATGAACACTTCATGTTAACCGTTCCCCCTCAGAGCTGTTATACACCTGTAATAAACTCCATTGCCTTACTTACATTTTAATCAAACCCGCCAGTCAAAGCGTCCCTCTCTCCACAGCTAGTTCATATTAAAAACCTACCTGTGGTGCTTTTTGCCAGATGTAATGAGGTTGGTATCAGTTATAATGCCAGCAAAATTGAACCAACTCCCCTGTGGGAATCTAGAGAAGTCTAACAAAAGCCTCGAATAAAAAGGAGAGACACTGATAGGCAGCTGCAGGAAGTGCTAAGTCAACCACAGTTCATTGCTCAGAAAATTATGTCTTAGTCACTATTCAATTTGTGCAGTTTTTATAACAGGAACATTTCAAGGCCATTAGGGTAACTGTAGATGAAGATATTAATAGATTAATGAGTGTGAACGATAATTTGGGATGTCTTTTCTTAAACTAGTATCAAGCTTTCATCCAGGTCGTCTTTCAGGGAAGAATAGCAGCCCTCAGCGGTCACACATTTTGTGTGGAAATTACTGTGCTAGCCTTTTGAAAACCAGAAACTGTGATCTTTACAACTTAATACACGCTCTATCATAGTTTGGTGTCTTGTTTTAGTCTTGATAGTAGCAGTGCAGTTAGAAAAGCTTATGTACCCTCTTTCACCAAGGTCCTTCAGAAAACAAAAATACTGCAGTGCCTCCATTGTGTCCTCAGTTTGCTTTCAAGTCCCTACCAACACAGGGAAGCACCTGTGTGAGGCATCCTCACTTTGTGCTAGGCTGGGTTTTCTGACGGTGGAGGGATATTTCAGGAAACTTATTTTAGTTGTTTGTTTCCACAGTCTCACATCCTCACTCTCCTCTCAGTATGGGTTAGGTTCATGTGCAGGAGGTTTATGTTTGAATTTACAGCCTCATTTGGTGGCTCATAGTGTTAAAGCTGAGGAATGAATGAACAAATGAGGAGTATCCAACATCAGAGAACGTCTCATTTGGGTTTATGTTCGTTTAAGAGTATTAGTTGTTCAAAAAGTCGATTGAAACTAAAAAATCTGATCTCTCTTTTTGCTATATTTAATGTAAACTTCAGACTACATTTGAGTGGCTTATGACTGACACATTCACTTTTCTCTAGTTCCTTTTTTCCCTTGAAAACCCTTTAAAGCCTGGGAGAAGTGTTATTACAACTCAGTAAAAAAACAATAGGTTAACTGGCTCATTTTACCCTGTTAAATGCACATATAAATGGAAATGTTCAGATATGGACCAGTCAGTATTCTTCAGCTGAAGGATGGTAATTTAAAAAAGCAGTACACTATTGTTGTGTACAGGCATTTAGGGCTTGGTGATATGGCCTCAAATCAATATCATGATATATTGAGCAGTTCACCTCAATAACAATAAATGGACGATAACTACTCCACAAGCTGCTCCCTCCCTCCCACATTAACTTCGTCTACTTTAGCCGCTCCAGCTGCTACAACTTTTGAACTGTCCTCCATCTCCTCACTTGTCTTTCCCTCTTTGTTGCGGACTGGATGGGGACTGACGTAGGACAGCGTCTTAAAGGGACATGAGACTATAGCCTACCTACACTAAGGCTGCACGATATTGGAAAAAAATAATATTGCGATTTTTTCAACCCTGCGATATATATTGCGATATTAAAAATACAGTATTTTCACCAGATGACCTGAATAGCACTTAATGTTATGCTGCACTGCTGAAATCTTGAGGACAGTTAATCTGCTCTGATCTTACCTCTTTTTGTGAATGTTAGTAGAATGGCTTCTGTCTGTCTCAGAGATATTTTTAGCTTTTATTGTGCTGGGACGTTATTGTGGCAACAGATGAACACAGAACACGTGTTTTGGTCGACATCATCCTTCTTTTAACCGAAATAATTCCAGATAACTGACTTTCCTTTTCTTTTTGGCAACAAATCTTCATTTTCGGTGGTTTTCGCTTGTTCGTTGTTCATTTTGCGATCGTTGTTGTTGTTGTTAGCGGTGTTGTGCCGAGAAACGCATGTCCTCCGAGAATTGCATGCACCTCACAAAACGCGCACCGCTTATAGTAGAGTGGTCCACGGAAATGCACAATTTAAAACCCATACAGTTCTTATTTGTTGGGCTTAATAGTCATGAGTAAAGTTCCGAAAGTAATTCTCAGCGGACACACGTCTCCCTCCATGTGCAGAACATGTGCAGGGGTGGGTTTTCTCCTCCCTGATTTTGATTGACAGCTGGCAGGGTAGTCTGATTGGCAACTGAGAAGTGAGTCTGATTGGCAACTGAGTTAAGGACGAAGGCGATTGGTGGATCGCTGGAACAGCACATGCAGAGTCACATGGAGTGTATCTCAGTCAGCTACCCTTGAAATTAAATGAGTTCATTCACCTCCAATATCGCAGGCTCTGCGATGTGACTATCGCACACACGTACATCGCGATGACGATAGTCAAACGATATATCGTTCAGGCCTAACCTACACACATCCAAAACCACCTTTTTTTTTTTTTTTTTTTTCGACACGAATATATTGACATGTGCAAAATGACGTTGGTTACTGTTGTATATTTCAGTATCAGTAAATTTTCGGTTTATCGCCCAGCCCTAAAGTCATTAGAGTCTCTCCAAACATTTATCTTTGTGGATGTAATAAAGATAAATACACAAACTTATGCAGAAACTTTGAATAAACTTGTCTGATCCTTTTACTGTTCAGCGTGAGGGATCAAAATGCTAACCTGCAGTGTGTTTGTTTGCTCAGGAGTATAAGCGCAAGCAGCTAGAGGAGCAGCGCCAGTCAGAGCGGCTGCAGAGGCAGCTGCAGCAGGAGCATGCCTACCTGGTGTCTCTGCAACAGCAGCAGCAGGAAAAGAAACCCCAGCTCTACCACTATAACAAGAACCTGGAGCCCAACAACAAACCCACTTGGGCCCGAGAGGTAGCGGTGTTGCTGATACCTCAAACATAAGACACCAAGTAATGAGTGCAAATGCTTATGAAGGTCATCTTTCTTTGACTGTCGTCCGTTATCCAAGGTGGAGGAACGAAGTAAGCTCAACAGACAGGGCTCACCCAAAATCTGCACCACTGTCTCCGACACCGCCATCCAGTCACGCTCTGACTCAATCAGCCAATCAGGAGTGGGGCAGTCTGCTCAGACCCCACCGATGCAGAGGCCAGTTGAACCCCAAGGAGGGCAGGGAAAGGTGGGTGAAGTTTAAAATCTGGAGGAGCAAATGATGAAACTGTCACTTGTGTCTTTCTGCCTGAGCTTCTTACCTCTTCATGTTCTGTGCTAGCTTATTTACAACTTCTTTCTCTTCTTTTCTCTCTTTTCCCTCTTCACCAATCTGCAACCCTAAATGTTAACAAAATCACTTCGGATTACAAAACAACCTCGCACTCTTCTTTATTGTGGCCTGCTCCTGCTCCTTCGGCTGTCCTCTGCACTCTTTCTTTCCCCGGCTGCTCCTCCTTCTCGATCTTCTGCCGCTGTTCGCCTCTGCAGTTCCAGATGGCTCACTTGGTCCCACTAAAGCCTTACGCTGCCCCTGTCCCTCGCTCCCAGTCTCTCTGTGACCAGCCCACTAAGACCATGTCCGCCTTCCCCACCCAGGACCCCTCCCTTGCCCCCACACCTCGCCCTATCCACTCTAGGGAGCTGGTGCGTCAAAATTCAGACCCAACTTCTGAGACCCCAGCGCCACAGGCACATCAAATCAGAGAAGATCGTGGGCCATGGATCCGCCTCCCTGATGTGGAACTTCCTCCTAAGGTAAGAGTAGTGGCTGGATATGACTGAGGAGCAGGTACAAAAACAGTCCTCACAGTCCTTGAGGATAATGCCTTCATTTTTGGACACAACCAGTGTTGTTTTCCCTGTTTTTTTCCATGACGAAGACGTGACGTTGACGAGCTAAACATAAGTCTTAGATGACTAAAATGTGACGAGACAAATGTGCGTTTACGTTGACGAGACAAGTCTAGACGAAAACGTTAGTGGTGGACAACGAACAGAGTTGCAAAATTCATGAGCATTTCATCAGTCAAACGCTAAACATATATTCTGCAGTGTTGTTTTCGTTGACGATGACAACACAGCACTATGAAACTGAATCTGTAAAACAAAGGCTCATGTTTACACATTACAGTTGGTATGAAATACTTGGAAATGTCTGACTGTGATATTTCTTTTCCACAGATCCCTCAGAGGACAGCATCCATTGCCACAGCACTCAACACTAACCTGTCTTCTGGCATACGGCATCCAGTAAGAGCCAGGTATGAACACGGACCAATGATCTGATCAGAGGTTTCCTTAAACAAGTTCTTCCAAAACAATGTTTGGTGTAAATGACAACGCAAGATAACTCATTGGTATCCTTCTGGCAGCAATCCAGATCTCAGCCGCAATGATCGCTGGGAGAGAGGAGACAGTATGAGCATCATATCCAATCTGCCTCAGACTGGCTCTCTAGAGAGGCACCGCATCCTCAGTGAGTCCCCGGCGCTATTTCTCTGCAGACCGTCTTTGCTGTAAGCCACATTTCAGAGTTCTAACTACACTCCACGTTTTAACTCTTTCAGGCACCTCCAAGATGGATTCACCAATTCTCTCTCATGACAGTCGCCATAAGCCAGGAGAGTCTCGCACCTCCTCGCGCCCTGGGCGCCCTGCTGTGAGTTCACCCTTCAGACTGACATTGTATCGTCTGACTTTTCAGTAACCCCTACTTATTCAACTATTATTTTTCACCACTGAAGATGTGCATGAAACACATTTAAAAACTTAACTGTGTGCACATGCATAGATCTCAAATGCACTTGCTCTGTAACTTAAACCCATCAGATCCCAACTGAAGCTTTCCCCTCACACTTTTCCTTTTTACACAACACTGTTGATATGTCCCTTCACGTTTCTCCTCTTCTGTAATCTCCCTGTTTGTTGGCTTTACCTTGAAAATACAGAGTTACAAGAGAGCAATAGGGGAGGTTAGTATGACTGTCTCTGTGTTTGCTTGGTGTCCATGCATGACTGTGTACATCGATTCACTGGTTGTATCACGTTGAATGATTTGCATGCTTGACTGTCTTTGTAAATTCAGTAAATTGTGTTTTGATTTTGTATGAAATTTCACTCATAATTCACAATCAAATGCGAGGTATTTAAATGTTTTTAAATGTAAGTATGTTGCTCAAATTCATCCTCACAAGTGGTCAGCCCTGAGTTAAGGTAGTATTGGGAGTTTACACTCCTGACTTAAAGTCCCACTCTGATCGTTTTTTTACTACTTAAAGTCTTCTCAGTAGTCTTTAAATTGTGATTATGACGTTTTTAGCCAAAATCGCGTTACCTGTGTCATTTTCAAGAGCTTTTCTTCTGCATAGCTCTAGTAGCTCATTAGCAATTCGCTTCTGTGTGGTGGGCGGAGACAGCGCTGCTCTGCACACTCGTCTTCATGTTAGCTTGTAGCCTAACGTTGCCTGTGCAGCAGAAGTGGCAGGTAACATAGGAGCTGTTCAGCTTTTAGACACTAATGTCTTTAGGGGCACGATGAAAGCTAATATCATAATCAGCTTTCTTATGAGCGTTGAAATCCGCTAACGCACACGCTTGTTCCACGATCATCCTCTGTATTTCTCCTCTATATGCAGAGTGTGGCCTGCATAGCGGGGCTCCGGGGGCGGAGCTTAGATTTGCTACGTATGAAATCTCGCTGTGTCTGAACCCGCCGCTTGGATCTGCCAGAGATTCACCGTGATTTGAATGAAGAAATACTCAGAAAAGCAATTTCGCATTTATTTTTCTCATGATACGACCTGTAGCATCAGAAAAATGTCCTATGAACATATAAAAAACAAGAAAAACATGATTTTCATCGGAGTGGGTCTTTAAGCTCATAATGACGCCTCAAATCATCTTGGGTACAAGTGTTCATGAATTATTGATACCCTGTTTGATACTTTTCTAAATCCTGACGTTATATTTAGAATATTTTCATGTGATTCTTGAAAGTAATGTTGTATCTGTGTGAACAGGATCACGGCCTCTTCGCCAAGGAGCGTGCTGAGGAGCAGCCGCGGCCTCCTGTCAAGGCCAATGATTACTCCTCCTCTTCGGAGAGCAGCGAGAGCAGTGAGGAGAGTGAAAGTGGGGAGGGCGTTGAAGAGGAGGAAAGCCCAACTGATCGGTAACTCTAACCCAGTGGTTTTCAAGTCCAGTCCTTGAGCCCCCCGTCCTGCATGTTTTGGATGTTTCCCTGCTCCAACACACCTGATTCAAATGATCAGCTCGTTATCAAATTCTGAGATGGCTTAATAACGAGCTGATCATTTGAATCAGGTGTGTTGGAGCAGGGAAACATCCAAAACATGCAGGACGGGGGGCTCGAGGACTGGACTTGAGAACCACTGCTCTAACCCCATTGAACAAAAACAATTGATGAGTCGGATGTTTGAATTTGTCTACTTTTACTGAAGTGGTGAAAAGTTCCTTCTGTCATCCTTAACTTGTATTCCTTGTTGGGTTGAAGTCACAGGGATGCAGACACAGACTCAGTCAACACCATGGTGGTTCATGAAGATGAAGGCGAAGTGGGTGAGGGGGAGCAGGCTGGAGGATATGGGGATCAGACCATGCTGGTGCAGAGGGTGAGTCATCTGTTTATGTAATGATACTTCAATGTATTGGGACAAATCAACACTGTTCATGTGGATATGTCTGTTTGTTTGAAATAACACCATCAAGGGGCATTTTTTTCACCCTGACCCTAACCCAGGATGCAAAAACAAAAAGATGGATTCCCTTAACATCGATGAGGACTGTAGGTTTCTGAAGATAGCTCTCCTCATTCAGTGGTGTGCACCATTGTTCAGCAAGCACTCAGGATAAAATGAATCATCGGATATTCAGACATACAGTACAGTGCCAAGTCTGCTATCAATAGATGTTAATGCTACGCAGCCACAGCTCCACTATCGAACATCTGCTCTCGGTAACAAAGAGTGTCAGGAGAAGTATTGCTGCTGTTGGTTGCTCGGTTTTCCATCCAAGCATCGAGCATGACAACTTCTGCAAGCCGGAGTTACAGCACATCTGTCCCGTACATGTTTGTGTACAGTCAAATCCGAGCAGTGCATCTTTTCGAACGGAGTAGATTGTGTAAAAAAGCGCCCTGTGTGAAGCAAGAATCTGTAAGATTTTCAGAGAGACTGCGATATGATTCAGTGACAGACTTTGCAGGTGGCTGATGATGATGTCGGTGTGGGAAGTGTCACCCTCGCTGAAGTGCAATAGTTTGATGTGTTTAAACGATAAAACGAAGTGTAAAACGCTTCTGCCAAGCGACAGTTACATCACGAAACATCATGGGATAATATGGACGTGATAGCTTGGCTGCTGTTATAAAGAACAGGAGACATAAAAAAAGTTCACAAGGTCAAATTGAGATTTTCTAGGTAAATGTGGATTTCCTGGAGAGAGTCTTAGAAGCAGTCCTATTGACAGTACAGGCGCTCAGCTGCATTGTAAAAGAACAGTAGCAGTCCTACATTTTTAACACCTACCAGGCTGAAGGGTTCATTATTCTTCTTCACCAGGTGTTTATTTTTCATTTTGCTTGTGGAAATCATGACATTCCTCTGGCGACTTTTATCCCGAAGCGGCGGCTCAGGTTCAAGGCCCAAATATAACTTATTTGAAAAACTCCAGGTTTTACAGGTATCTTTTTCTAGCCTTTTCAAGGACAGTAGTCAGTTAAGAAACTGTGGGGCGACGGTGGTGTATTTTTCGCTCCATTATTGGGAAATAGTCCCATATTGCTTTTCCAGCTTTTGTAATGAAATACAAGGTTAAAGCATCCACTACGGTTTAGTTGTGCCCGGCTAGTAGAGGCAGGGCTTGATGAAAACTTACCCATTCTTATCGGTAATTATAGAGAAGTTCCCTTTTTATTTACTGCTGCTTGTTCACAAGAGTGACTCATAAAACATTAAACAAAGAAACAAATGTGCTGTCTCTCTGTGTAATGAAGAACTGAACTCTGTAAAGCACATCAGGACACAACTATCACTGTGCTTCTGGAGGTCACTTTTTGGGCTGGATCAGATAGGTCAAATCCAGGTCATTGGTGAGGCAGATTAGCCTGGATCTGACATTATGTAACCAGTGTGCTTATTTCACTTTCTCCTAAAAGACCCCAGAGAAGCGGAGTCATAATGGGTACACCAACTTGCCAGATGTGGTTCAGCCCTCCCACTCCCCCACGGATTCAGCCTCTCACTCCTCTCCAGGGAAGGACTCTGTTTATGATGTGAGTTCAGTGATGCTAAATATATCAGGCCTCAAATCCTGCTGTATTTCCATGTGTTCCCTCTCTGCTATTATTCCACTTAGACAGTCTTTCAAAAACACATTGAATTCCTTCTTACATTTGCAAATCTTTATTCTCAAACTCTCCCTCTCTGCTCCTGCAGTATCAGTCCAGAGGTTTGGTTAAAGCATCTGGGAAGTCCTCCTTCACCACCTTTGTAGACCTGGGCATGTACCAATCACCAGGAAGTCAAGGAGATAATATCTCTGTCACCAGTAAGTCCAAAGCTTTTTAGTCGTAGCATTTGCCACGGGGAAAGAACCAAACTGTTTTAGGACTAAATTAACCTGTAACATAATTTCTGCAACAGTCTATTGGATACAACAAACTGCTGTGAAGGATGAGTTAAAAAGATCACAGCCCAGCTTAGTCTGAAGCTTTCATAATTCTGCCCCGGTTTGACTTTTCTGTCCTCAAGCTAATTAAATCACTGCATCCATATGAAGGCTCTAGGTTTGAACAGCTGAAGATGGAGGTGAGGAAAGGCTCCATGGTGAATGTCAATCCCACCAACACACGCCCACCCAACGACACACCTGAGATTCGCAAGTACAAGAAGAGGTTCAACTCTGAGATCCTGTGTGCAGCACTCTGGGGTAAGAACACAACCAAATACACTGAATGAGGCTTTTTAAGTGTAACACAAATGAATGTGAAAACTGTGTGTGATATTCATGAGTGTTTTAGGATCTTCTGTGTCCCATTTGCTCGTTGAAATCATCCACAGTCACATAAAATATTCATTGAAGTTTCCTTTATTTGTAATTTTCCCCTATTACAAAATAAAGTTTAGAAAAAGAGGACCTGCAGGTTATGACGGGGGGATGGCAATGAAAAGTGAAAGAGTCACAACACAGATATACTGTTGCAAAACATACATTTTTCTTTGTGGTGTGACTATTATTCTGATGACATTTAGACAAAACTAAAGGCACTTCCTTCGCACTTGTGTCCTAGGTGTGAACTTGTTGGTGGGCACAGAGAACGGTTTGAAGCTGCTGGACCGCAGTGGTCAGGGCAAGGTTTACCCCCTCATCAACTCTCGCAGGTTCCAACAGATGGACGTCCTGGAGGGCCTCAACCTGCTCATCACGATATCAGGTCATTACTGCGACTTTCTCTCACCACAGTCAGTTAAAGCTGTTTGTGCTTCTGGCTTAAAGGACTGCGAGGTGCCGAACGCTAGATACCAAATTGTGCGTGTTGTGCATTTTGACTTTGCACTTTATGACCAGTAGCTTTTCTATTTCTGTACAGTAGAAGTTTTAATCAAAGGCTTTTGTCTCGCTCTCTCTACATAATTCTATGTTTTTACCTCTTTCCTAATGGTGAAATTTGACATTTGTTTAGACCAGGAGCTTAATCGATTCAAACTAATTGACTTGAGTTTGATTGAAAAAGATGTAACTCCCATTTCATGAGTGCGTTCAGACAATAACCAAAATCATGTCTTCTCTGTGCCAACGAAGGCAAGAAAAACAAAGTGCGTGTCTACTACTTGGCCTGGCTGAGGAACAAAATCCTCCACAATGACCCTGAAGTGGAGAAGAAGCAAGGCTGGACTACTGTGGGGGAGATGGAGGGCTGCGTGCACTACAAAGTTGGTGAGTGACAGATGACGGCCGCTTATCTCTTCTGTCTACTCAACTCATGGATCCTCATAAATGCGTCTGACAGACTGAATTATTCATCAGCAGTTTCTGATGCTGGATGGCCTTGTGGTTCTTTTCTGTCTAGTGAAATACGAGAGGATAAAGTTCCTGGTGATTGCTTTGAAGAATGCAGTGGAGGTGTATGCTTGGGCGCCCAAACCTTATCACAAATTTATGGCCTTCAAGGTAAGTCCCCTCTTTTCTTTGAGCTGGATCAGTTATGCTTGGTCATTCAACCGGGAGAGGATTCAAGTTTCATGCTCACTTTCTACTCCACCCAGTCTTTTGCAGACCTGCCGCACAGGCCCGTGTTAGTGGACCTGACAGTGGAGGAGGGTCAGAGGTTAAAGGTCATCTACGGCTCTTGTGCTGGCTTTCACGCCATCGACGTGGACTCTGGGAACAACTACGACATTTATATCCCTGTTCATGTAAGTGATGCCACAGTCGGACAGCGCCGCTCTGCGAAAATGTTTGACCTCCAGGAGTTAATCCGTTTTTGTTTGGCTCTCAAACAGATCCAGAGCCAAGTGACTCCACACGCAATAGTCTTCCTGCCCAGCTCAGACGGCATGGAGATGCTGCTTTGCTATGAGGACGAGGGCGTTTATGTCAACACCTACGGACGAATCATCAAGGATGTGGTCCTGCAGTGGGGCGAGATGCCCACTTCTGTTGGTATGAGTCAACGGCGAAAAACTTGAATTGACATAGAAAAGAGCGCCTCATCTGTAATCAGCTGAGATCTGAGCCTGTGAAAAAGCAATAAATGGAGCCCCCAGATCTGAAACACATGAAGCCAAATATGAGAGTGACAAAGAAATCCTGCCTTCTTTTGGATGAGCTGGTAAAGGATGACAATACTAGTTACACAAAGAGAGAGAGGGGGACTGAGAAGAGATTTCTGAATCATTCACCATGTTGTCAGTGGTTAGTTATTGCTCTTTGCAAACAGAATAGTGGCTGTTTCCTGAGTAATGGTCCTAGGTGGAGTCAAACACTCAACAGACCATGGTACACTTGCGGTCATTGCTATATAGACACAAAGGTAATGTGGTCGGATTGAAATTGTCAGATTGGTTCAAAAGTTCAGACTAGGTTTTTCAAATAAAAGAAGGATCTTGAATGCATAAGGACTGGACAAGGTAATCCTTGTGTAGTTCAAAGATTTTGGGTAGGATTGGCTCCAAGAAGATAGCTAGATTCAGGCTCTATTTTATGAATAAAATGTTGAAAAAAAACATTAAAAAATATATACTGCAATGATGTTAATGCCTGTTGTGTAAAAATATACTGTAGATTTTTATTCCCATAATTAAACATAGAATATTTAATCCAAGGCATCCACGAGAACCTTTACAGAGGTGTGTGAATTCAGCATCCCCCTGTGGTCAAACTTATCAGTCCCTTCCACCCGAGGCCTCGTGATTAAACAGGACCTGAAAACTGACATGTTAAAGGACTTATTAAAACAGATTGTGGGTAAAGGGCTCTCAGGTGGAAATTTTTAATCTTACAGAGTCCACCACTCTCCTTAGTGTCACCTCTGCTGCAGTGTGCAGGACATACAGCAACAACTTAGTTAACAGTGGCAAAGAAGGAACTAATATGTCTTATGTTTTTAAGAATGCAAGGACACTCTTTATGAAATTTATTGACAAAAAAATACTGAGCTCACTGAGCTATTTAAAACAGTTTATGGTCGCTGCTGAAGGAAGCAAAAGTGCTGTGAGACTACTATTGTAACCTAGCAACAGTAAGCACTGGTAAAAGGTGCACTGAAATTGAGTTTGTGGGCACTGTGAGCCTAAAAAACACTGTCAGTGAGCACAGGCCCTTAAGGCCTGAACATGAACCAGTGGGTGATGTCACCATGGTTACGTCCAGGTTTTATACCAGTCTTAAGGTTGTAATCACCTTGCCTATCAACATTTCATTTTGCCTTGCAGCTCATATCTGTTCAAATCAGATCATGGGATGGGGAGAAAAAGCCATTGAGATCCGGTCTGTGGAGACCGGTCACCTGGATGGTGTCTTCATGCACAAAAGAGCTCAGAGGCTGAAGTTCCTCTGTGAGAGAAATGACAAGGTAAGAGAAGCAGTGAGTCACAAAATCACTGCAGCTGAATTCAAAAGCGTTGCTGACACTCTTCTTCCCGTCTGACTGTGTCGCACTTTCAGGTGTTCTTCGCATCAGTGCGGTCCGGAGGTAGCAGCCAGGTTTACTTCATGACCCTGAACAGGAACTGCATCATGAACTGGTGAAGGATCATCCGCTCTGGTCAGTGTGCTGGACCCAGCAGGGGTTCGGAGAAGGAAGTGCATCTTTAAAAAAATCTGACAAAACGCATGCACACAAATGCGAACACCTCTGTATTTTCTCTCTCCAGCTCGCTCTTACTCAGCACTCATTCTCTGAAGACACACAAACACACTAACTCTCATAGACAGACACACACAGAAAAAGAAAAAAACAATCCATTCCAGGCTACACTACTTAAGTTACAGTTTCTACCAAGGCTCCCTGAATCATCATGAAAATCTCACATGAGCTTCAAATGTTGACACCATCTCTTAATTTTTAATATATATATTCTTGTCTTGATTTACTTTAGTTGGTGAACCTGTGTTAAGTCGTTTCTAATCGTGAAGTATGTTAAAGACATTCCTTGATGGTTCTTCAGTACATTTTGAGGAAGGCATTATTTACCCTTACTGTATGTCCAAATGAAGCTGTAAATAGGTAGCACCTAACACTTAGATCTGAATCATTCGCAGGCCTAGAACATAGCCTCCATTCAGTCGGGACTTCAAATAATAACATGCTGGAACGTCCACCTGCAGTGGCTGGTGGACCCCCTAAGATTTGGGCAATTAGATGGAGGCAAAAAAAAAAAGAAGGAATTAGTACAAAAATATGACAAAGGGAAATTGAAGTCGGGAAGAAGTAGCGTGTTTGATAATCGTTAGACGATACAGTAGACTGTAATCTGAAGTCCTGCTTTGCTTACTGTTTTTTCTGATCGGAAAAATGACGCTGCATCTCTAAATCATGGCACGTGAGCCGTGACTGCTTTAGAAGTAAAACACATTTCAGTTTGGATGAAAATCAGAAGCCTCAGAAATGTGCAGCACTGCAAAATGAGTGCTGTGAAATCCTCTGCTTTGCCTTTTTTTTCTATAGTTTGGATAAAGTTATTTGACTCATCAGGCTTCTGTCTAAAGTTTCTGTTTTCATACATCTACAAAATACAAAAATTTGATATTTATATGTAGTGATTCTGTATTGGTATTAGCCTACTGGTATTCTTAATTTTACTGTAATTATATTGCCATTATATTGCAATATATGCTATTCTTGTGGAGTCTTTGTTTGAAGAGGGGAGTTCATGTGTTTGGCGTGGTAGATTTAGGGAGTACGATGATGTTGAAGAGACGCGTAAGGAGGGTGTCACTGAGTTTCCAACAATTAAGGGAGATCATTTTCAAAGTCCTTTCACTCTGCTACCACAGAGATCCATTCTGCTGTATTATATTTCGGTTCTTAGACTATTTTGTGGATCTTTCTGTGAGAATAGTTTGTCCTGGACACCGCAGAAGAACAGGTCTGGGTGTGGTATAGATTATATTTATCTTCGGACAGAGGAAAGATAAAACCTTTGGTGACTCTGTTATACAACAGAGGACTCCATCTCATCCAGCACTTTGAAAAACACCAGCTGGAGCACGTCAGACTTCCTATATTTTCTATCTGCACATTCTGCCAAAGTTCACATTCTGAAACAGAGGTCAGACTTAAGGCCAAAGGAGACACAGCTTATTGACGACTACAGGGATGTTGGGAGAGGTTCTTCCTATTGATCACTTACCAATAACCCCCTCTATAAAGAAGATGGTCCAAAAACTCTGCTGTCTATTACTTGCATTATGGTAAAATCTTGACTTCATGCCCTCGCTCGTAATGCATACTAATTTTGTAAGATAAAGCGGATGAAACCATTTGCCCTAACATACCATAGAGTTCTGGAGGAGTAACCAGGGAGTAGCTTGGTGGTTTTCTGTCATCAGTGGGTAGCCTGACACATGAATCAGGCTTTTTGTTCTGTTGATTCACAACAACATGCTGCCTCAGCACTTTGGTATTAACAGGTGGACATGTAGAAGTCGAGATGATTTATGACACATCTTATCACTTTGTAGTTGTTGGCAAAACATCTCCATATTTCAGCATGTGAGCTCATCTGCTTCGAAGCTTCAAAAGCTTCAGGATAAAATGAGAGGAATCTTGGTGAGTGATCAATAAGAGAGTGAACTTTTTTGCATAAGAGTACTTTATCTGGTGGGAAAACGCTCTAAAGATCGCAGCATATGGGTCGGGACAGATGGCGTTTAATCAAAGATTCTATAAATAGATGGTTGATTTATGGTTAGATAAAACAAATGTAAACATACTTGTACAAATATATCTCAAACAAACACTTTGGTGTGCATGTGGGCCATTCAAATGGAGCATATAATAGTACTGTTGTCCCCTTTTAGCTAGTGTGTTTTTACTCTTAAATAAATGTTATGTGCCATGACCTATGTGTCATAAAGTATGTCAAAATTACAATCCACCAGGAGCTCTGGCACTCACGCTTTTTATGGTTCAAACATAATTTTATATATTAATCTGTTTACAGTTTAAGCAGTGCCTTGGAGTTGGAAAGGTTTAAGGATGGGTTACGAGGCCCCACCCCTGTCGTCTCTTACTTGAAATCTCGAAAAGAAGAGGCATTTGCTCCCTTAAAAAGACTAACACCCTGTGCCAGTTAAGTGCACTTAAGTCAAATCCACAATATGGTGTAGATGGACTTGAAATGCTTTTTTGGCACCCCTTATTCTTCAAGCAAAATAACCAATGCCGATAATCCATTCAGTAAATTGCAATAATAATTAGTGAAATGAATCCGGTGTGTGTTGTAAAGGATCTACTCACAGTGGGGGCCGGCATAGAGTAAAGCCATACGTATGAAATGCGTCTCTAGGTAAACTTAGTACTTGTGGTGTCCGCTCAGAAAATGTAGGTTTGTGCAGCAAAGACAAGGACCGCACTTGTTCTTCAAAGATGTTGATTGTGTAATCTTGTAGTAGGAAAATTAGCTTGATATATTCTGAGAAGCCTATTTTATAAAATATGTAAATTAGTCTATATTGAGAAATAAAAGTGAATGTACATCTATAAGACAGATTTGTATTTATATAAAAATGTGTATCGCTCTATTAATCAAAGCACAATGTATTTTAGAGCTGAGAGATCAAAGCTATAAGTGAGTCGAACAGAGAGACCGAGTTTTTTTCTCCCTCCCTCCCTCGTTCATTCAGCAGTGGTCAGTCTTGTCGGTAGGTAAACAATAAGTGGTCGATTCAAAGGAGACAGCTGTCTGTGTGTCAACCTGCATTTCTACTGAATTGTCCAGATGGAAAAATGATATCTGAAGGGTCAGCTTTGGACGCTTGTGATACACAGATTATGTTTCATCAGGTGGTTGACAGGCTGTTCAGAGGCCCGGGTGTGGATACAGATCACCGCACAGGTAGTGAAGACATGACGTGAGGGCACAGCGGCCCTTGTTGTGAGGTCGTCAGCTCTTGGCATCAAAGAGATTGTATCAAAAATATTAGCATTTAGCGAGTGAAAAGTGCACTTGTTGAGAATTACTGAATACAAATAAAGACAAAATGAGTTCATGACAAATCATTTGACCATCAGGTACCACTCCCACAGATGTGTCAGGACATTTCTGCACCGTAATCTTTCTAATAGACTGATAAAAAGTATCAAAAACTGAAGTAATTTATCAGACAGGTTATTGCTTCCTCTTATCCATCTGTATTCTCAAAGCCCTGTAAACAGACTCTAATGTGAAAATAGTCAAATCATCCTTAAACACACTGAAGGCACAAGCTATAGCATTTACAAGAAATACAAGAAATTTACCTCAGCTGTTGTACACAAGTGAAACAAAACTGACATGACTCATTGAATCATCTATGCTGCCTTGTTGGACGGGTTCTTTCCTCGAATAAAAGGAAAAACTGACTGATTAAAGACCGACGGGTGATTTAAGAAGACCCTTATCAGGATTGAAAATGAGCTCCAATGAGCTGTGGCTTCACACAAAGCTAATGCCTTGTGGTTAACAACAGAGTTAAGTAACACACTGAACTGAGACACATCACTTACATTGAAGAAAGCTTTAGTTGTTTTTTTTTTCTCTCTGAAGAGTTTTTCTCTGGTTATTAGTTTCCTTAAGATTTCAAAGTGCTATTTCATTACGTGCCAAGAGCCATTAAATGACCTGAACCTCACAACTCATTATTTTAGCAACCCTCCATGTGAGTCTGACCACAATATGAACAGATCTGACTCTTCTTTAACAAGAGCAATATAAGTAGGCATTTAAACTACACCAAGCTGTGGGTTTCATCTCAGCGTGACTTTCGGGAAGCGGATCTTCAGTTGCTTTAGGCGGACTGGAAGTAGGCTGGTTTGTGTGTCGCTTGTTACAGAAGTCCTTCTGTAATGACTTTTGTTTGTGATCTAAGGAAAAACGACTCCTCTCTGACAGTTAAACGTAGTCACCTGTTTGGATGAGTGTTCTTGTGTTGCTGTAATAGCATCCCACAACCTGCCTTTATGAACTCTTAACAACCGCTAAAGGAATGATTGATCATTACTGAAGAGACGACACTCTCTATGCTTTTATTTCTGATGAATAAGGTATGAATGGATTAGCAGCTGTAGCTGGTGTGAGGCAGATCAAACTTGGAAGGCTCTAAAATGACATGGATCTTTGGACAGAACTATGATATTCTTTTCACAACCTTTTTTTTTTTTTCAAACAGTAAACATCTTTGCAATGTTTTCGTGTGTGTGCGCGCGTCTGTGTTACTTGTGAGAGGTTAACTCCAGATTGTATTTCATAGACTGATAAACTTTAAACTTTCAAAAGATTGTGTTGAATGAATTCATGTCTTAATACAGAATTGTTTGAAAAATAAAATACCTTGATCTCATGTTAGTCTGTTGTGTTTTCTTTCTTTGAAATAACCTGTAATTTCCAATAAGGTCCTGCTTACACTCCACAAGTTAATCCACTTCGATCAGTTTTCAGGCTGAAGTTAAGATAAGATAAGATAAGATGTTCCTTTAATAGCCCCACAGGGGGAAATTCCACATTTTCTAAAAAAAAAGTTTGGCCGAGCTGTGCTGGGATTAAAGATAACAAGTGTGTGTTGCCCTCCCCTGACTGCTGCAACACGAGTAAAAAGAGAGTAAAAACCTAAAAACAAGCTGTGTTTAAAAAAAGAGAAATTCAGTTCACCTGTGTGTTTTGCTGCAGCTACAAAGAAGTTTATGAAACATGTCAGCAGTCGACCACATGATGGTGCTATTAAATTCTTCGACCTGCTGTTCCTGGTCATGAGACGCCCAGTGAGCTGCTGCGCCCTCTCGTGGCTGAACTCAAAAACACTTGTGTTCAAACTTAAACAGCAGAGTGAGTTATTCCTATTCATCTGTAATAGATAAAACTTTAAATATATGACTATATTTACTCTTTACGTTGATGACATATTGTTGTTGTTGGAAGAGTCAAAATAAAGTGTCCCGTTTTAGAAAAGAGGATTAAATTCCACATTCCCCCCACTAGACTCATGTTGATTTCTCACTTTATTTTGTAGCTTCTGATTTTGTTTTATGTTCGCTTTTAAAAAATGTTTTGGAACACAAAGTATCTCCTCCACTTTTCCACTTTTACTGAGAACATACCGTTCTGTCTGCCTTATTAATAAATCTTTTGAAATGCGCTCGTACTGAGGTCTCTACAGCAATAAATAAAAGAAAGCATTGAGTGCAAACTTGAATAATTCAGCACAAAAGTTTGAAAGAAATAGCTGAGCACAAGTAAAGCTGATTGTTTATCATCCAATTGTGTTTAATTCTTGATTCTGATTGGCCAAAACTTCATGGCAAGTTCTTAATTTTGAGTTACAGGATTAACTCTATGAACAACAAACTCAGGGAGGGACATTTATAAAGTCTTTGATTTCACTTTTACCTGTAGATAATGAGGCAAAATGGATACATATCTTTAATTGGAAAGAAACCACAATAACAGGCAGGAGAGGCTTTCTTTTATTAATATTATATACAGTTATACCATCATAATGTCCAGACAATACATTGACAGAGTCAAAGTATGAATACTGGCTCCTGCTTTTTTAAGATGCGTCTTACAATGCTTTAATTTTCACCCACCTTCTAAATCTCAGATCTTTCTATCCTCTCTCTTTCTCCTCAGCTTCATCATTATCTCTATTAATAATCCTTAAAGTGTATCTGAGGCACACAGGGAGAACATGAATAAAATGAGTAGAAAAGAAAAACTAAAGAGCAGATGTACTGTACTGTATGTTGGGGTATATATCTATAAAAACACTGACTTTATGAAGTTTGGAGCCAGACGGAAACAAGAGTCGATCTTTTCCTCGGACTCTGTGGATCGTCAGCCTGGCTCGCCTGTCAGTGGTTGTTTGTTTTCAGTATTCACAGACTCACATGACTCTGCTGCCACCACCACCACTTTTCTTCCTTCACTTAGCATCGCTGAGATACGTGTGGTACTGAGACAAAAATAGCCAGGAAAAAATTTGTCTGAAGTACATTTTGGACTTCAATGTAAACAAAGACAGAATTGTCCAATAATGTTTCTCCCCTGTTAACTTGAGGAGCAGTGTCTCTTAGGAAAAAAGTGTGTATTTATCTGTATGTGTGTATATGTGTGTGTGTGTGTTTGTATCTGAATGGGCATGTTTTATGTGTTAAAAGGCTTTAGGTAAAAAGTGGCATTTGTGTTTTATTTGAGCAGCTGAAGTTCAAACTTTATTTGGTTGCTTTTTTTATTTCATTTTTTTTACATTTTACAACAGTGTGTCTAAGTGTGTGTGTGTCTGTGTGTGTCTGTGTGTGTGTGTGTGTATGTCAACTCAAACCTGAGTCAGTGTGTGACCGTTGCCTTGCTGCTGTGCACTTAAATCAGCTGAAAGAATTGTGGCGTGTGTTCAGGGCTTATTCTGCATACAGCGTGAAGTGTTCATGTGTGTAAAATCAAGAGTGTGTGTGTATGTGTGTGTGTGTGTGAGTGAGTGCGTGCGTGCGTGTGACTCATACCTAAGTCATACATATTATGTACAGTAAAATGTTGCAGTTTCAATCTTACATACAGTGAATACAGGGTGCAAACTGTGCCCCAAGCTGTGGGAGCGGTGCCTGTTTGTCGAACATGTGCGTGCATGTTGGTGTGTGCATGTTTCTGTGTGTGTGTGTGTGTATGTGTGTTTGTATGTGTGTTATATGTTTCTGTACATGGCTCAGTTCCAGATCTTAAGGAAGCTGTCCCAGGATCCAGTGCACACCGCCATGCCGTCATCCGTCACACCCAGACAGCTCACACGATTGTCATGGCCAGCTAGGACTCCTGCAGGAGAAATGAAGACAAACAAAAGAAGACTTGTTGCTGTGAAATGTTTTGCTCTTTGCTCCGAGCTCAAACTTTAAAAACACACACCGAACAAAGCGACCTAGTGTTTACTACTGTTTCACTCCTAACACAGATCGGGACGTTTGAACAAAATTTCTTGCTTTCAAATTAAGGCTCGAGAAGTAAAAACTCGCTAAGTTCGACATGGAGATCCAATCCCCAAAATTCCAAGTCATGATAGATTAGTTATGAAAACTTTGTGCTATATCTTGCAGGCAAATTTATAAATAGAAACTGTAATTTCTGTACATATGAGACAGAGTTTTGCTTGACGCCTCTGGAATCACTTGAGTTTGCTTCTGTCATACATTGATTTATTTGCAGCCCATTGAATTAACGACATACTCCTAGCATGTGCACATTCCTTGACAAATTAATTAAAAAGTAAATAGTATGACAGGACTTTCTTTTTAAATATAAAAAAGACACTTCTACTGTGAAGTTAATTTGCATTCAAAATCTGGCGCTCCATTTTGTATCTTGAGATCTGTATTAAAAACAAATGGTGAACAAACACACATCTTGGTCCTTCTGTGAGAGAAAGGGCCCAGGGTAAAGTAGCTAATCAGGTTTGAGGAATCAAAGCAGCAGGATACTCAAAAAGCAATTAAAAGACCTGTAATGTTTTAATAAATTACTGTAGCACTCAATCCTTAGCATCAGATTTGACCTCGCCAAACTTTTTCACCATCGCACCCGCAGACATCTGCTTCTTTTTCCACCCACCTGCTCTGTCTCCCTTCATGGCGTCCCAGATGTTACAGTTAAAGTCATCATAACCAGCCAGCAGCAGGCGGCCGGAGCGCGAGAAAGCCACAGAGGTAATGCCACAGATGATGTTGTCATGGCAATAGAGGCTGAGCTCCTGGTCTGCACGCAGGTCGAACAGCCTGCAGGTGGCGTCGTCGGAGCCTGTGGCGAATGCGCTGCCATTGGGAAAGAACTGAGGAGGAGCACAGGAGAGAGAGTGAGGAATGCAAAGTGTGGATGCAAGCAGGTAATGGGGGGGGAAACAAATGCATCACTTTCAAGGGAGAAGGTGAGGAAGGGGTAACACCAAAACAATACTTTGCCACTTTTGAAACCATTAGATAACCTGACTCCAACGTGAGATGGTCTCAGCTGGAGTCTGGACTGATGGTGGGTGTTTAAATATGGCGTTAATTGATAATCTTATTAATCCTCTAGCATGCTCCCTGGTTAAATCCCTCACAAAGCTGGAGTCAAGACAGTATGTTATGTCACTGAGGCAAATCCTGGAGCTGCTCTCATGATGGTCTATCACACCGCACACAAATACGTCCACCTGGAAGGACCACTTTTAGGACTGAAACCATCGGTAGTTTATTGGAATTTTTAATTCCTGGAAAATATGTGTAACTGATGACAGCACAGTCAAGAAACTTTCAGGGAGTTTTTTCTCTTCAAAAATATAAGAAAACTGAGGAGTAAATTAGAAACACAAAGCTCTGTTCAGAATATTTGTAAATGTATTTTTAAATCTCTGGATTAAAGTCTCTCTATGGGGTCTTAAGAAACATTTTGAAACAGTGGTCCAATCAATGCTCTGGGGACAGATTCTCCTTCCTGCTCATATCCTTAAAGCTTATTTTCTGTTATTAATTTATAAGTCTTTCTTACCAAGCTGAGATAACCCTGGTTACATCATCTGTGCTATTTTTAAGATGTGCCAGAGGTCTGTTTTAGAGAGCTCTTAGGGTGGGCAAAGTGTGACTTCTTTTTTATATTGAGGCTCTAAACTTTTCCAGAATTCATGCATAAAAAAATAACTCAGCTATATACTAGTATACTAGTTTAATTATAAGGTCTGCATCGCCCAGGCACACTCACACAAACAGCGTTGATGTCTGACTCGTGGCCTGCAAAGGTCTGTCGGCACATGCTGTCTCTGATATCCCACAGTTTGACCGAGGCATCGCAGGCTCCCGACACAAAGGTGCGGAAGTCTGGTGACAGAGACAGACTCATGACGTCCCCGCTATGGCCGGAGAAGACTGTGGTCTGCTGACTTGTCTCGATGTCCCACAGTGCACTGGGGAAGAAAGCAAAGAGTAAAAGACACAGATCGGCTTGTGAAAACAAGTTTGAACTGTGTGTGTTTTCTGATCTCTGCCACTCACCATGTGGTGTCTCCAGAACTTGTAATGATTTGATTGTCATCGATGAAACGGCAACATGACAGGTAACCTGAGAGAGAGAGGAGAGGGTAACAGAGAGAACAGGATGAGTTTCTGTTATTGAGGAGGGTAAAAAGAGCATGATGATATTCATATACACAATCACTTTTCCTTTACTAATACATCAAAGATCAGAATTTAAAAAAATATATATTCACACAAAGTGGTGAATAATTTTTACTGAAGTGGTTCATCAAAATTTTCTTTTGTGCTACTATGACCAAAAAAAAGTCACTTCTTGCAGTATTAAGAAATATATGTGGAGTTACCCCTGTTTAAATATGCTTTCTTGGGTTTATGGAGCATTCAAATCCATCTTATAAAACACACTGCCCTTCAGAGACAATTTCAACAAAAGCATGTGGTGCAAAGTGAATTAGGGCATGTCCAACTGCATGTTGCCAGTCAAGCCGTGCACAATCTGGGCGCTAAGTGAGCTGCAGGGTGGAGGTTTGAAGATATTTAAAGGGTGTAACATGATTTAAAGCCCCTGTGAGGAGTTTTTTTGGACAATCATGAAATAGACCAAAAATTATATTGATTCTCTTTTCATGATATAAAGACCATCAGTGCGAAGCTAACAATTTTTAATGCCTGAAACTGGCATAAGAGGATGGGTGTCAACCAAGCAGCTCAACCATCTCTGTTTGTAACATTTCTACATAAGATATTCACAATAGATGTCACTTTTTACTGTCAAGAGTAAGCGAGATGAGATTTTTCATCAAAAGTCTTAACTGCCAAAACTGACACAAACAAAAAAAAGTTTCTCAAAGGAGCTTTAAACCGATTTGTGAGTCTAAGAGTAAGTGCAGGAAAGGGTGTTGTGATTCACACGGCAGTTCAGACTTTATACTTTAAAAGACTGGGCTCCAGCTGGAACATTTAACTTTTATGCTCTTGTTGTGCACCTAAGAATCTAGAAAACACACTCTGGTTACTGTATTTAAAAAAACTCTACAAGTCAAATTCAAAGAGTTCATTTCATTGCACTCATTAGATTCCAAAATCAACACACCGGTAAGGATCGCTCCACATGTAATGAGAACTAAAACTGTTCTGACATGCAGAATAATGGAATTTTAAACATGCAATTAAAAATGCAATTAAGAAAAGTAATTTTCCAGCAGCCCTGTTAAAGGCACTTTCTACTAATGGTCAATTTAAGGATCCTATGAGGGATTTTTTACAGGATATGCAGAGAAGTAGCACCTTCCGTCTCCTACCGTTAAAGTGAAATATACATAACCTGATAGGCAGAACTGGGGGATAACACAAAGCTTTATGAACAGCAATGTAAAGTTAATCTTAGACCATCGTTACAGTTGACTGGTATGGGACAGTCTTTGTGGAGTTTTTTGTGTCCTGGGTCACTTTTCTCCCTGTGTCATGTGTTCAATTACACTAAAGGTCAAGTAACTACAAACTAATCCATGTTGTGTCATTAACTTGAATTCCCTCTAACAGAAATCTTCATGTCTGCAGAATCAGCTGTGTTCAACTTAAAGCATTCGGCAGCAGCCAGCTACAGTCCCACAGACAGGAGTTGATGTCTCAGCTCATTAAGACTGTGTTGCCCTGCGATTAATTAACCATGTAAATGAAATCTTTATTGTTCAGGGGTTTGGGAGCGAAGCTTCCCCATGAGGAAGACGACTGGTGCTTATCTAAAACGTGTCCTCAGCCTGACTCCCAGGAAGACTCAAATAGAAGTGGTTCAGAGTGCGCGGCTCTTTCACCTGTGTGGCCAGGTAGTTCCCTGCTGACCCTGACGTTGCCTTCACGTGTCTTCAAGCAGTAGATGGAGCAGATGTTGTCCAGGCCTCCGCAGGCTACGTAGTTCCCAGAAGGAGCGTAAGCGCAGGTCATCACCCAGGATGAGCGCAGGGGGATGGCGTGGATCTAAAAGAGGACAGGTATCCGGAAATGGACCACAATTAACCTTTGGGATAGAAGGACAACTAATGTACGCGCTAAATAAGGACACAAAAATGGGTTAGTCATAAACTCGAAATCCCCTGTTGATGCTGCTTTTATAATACCACAATAAGTCATGGCTGCAAATAAAGCTGTTATACAAGTCAACCACACCCAAACAAACAAACGACTTTATTCAAATTTGAGTTTAGATCGAGGAAAGTTCGAGTATCTATCCAGCCAATGACACGACGACAAGCTCTCTTTACCTTGTTGGTGGTGTAGCTGTCCCACACGATAAGTTTTCCATCTTGGGAGGCACTGACCAGAAGCCTGCAGACAAAGAAAATAAAATCAAATCAGCCATATCAAACCTTATCTAACCTTAGACAAAGTATTACTTTCATTAACACAACAAACAGTCCGCCCTGGAGACTGGAGAAGGATTGATGATGAGTTATACAGTAAATATATTCATAGCCAAATCTCCTTGGGTTTACCTAGTAACACAGAAAGCACACACCTGTCTGGGTCAACAGTTCTTAACGCCTAACTCCTGAAACTGCAGGTGCCCCATATTTATGCTTAAGACACCTGCCATGGATGTTTTAACTCTGCCCTCTTGAAATCAAAGTTTCCAGTTTCAGAGATTATACTCCAACACAAAGTTCGTTAAGCTAAATGCTAACATGGTCTGATCTAGAAAAGCTACACCTCTCTTTACCCTCTCACCTTCACCGCTGTGATTCACTCTGCACCTGTCTCCATTAGAAATCAATCCATCACCTTCACAAGGTTCAATATGCAGCAGCTCGGTTTTCAACTAAAACAAACACACCGGCTACCTGTTGACTTTAGGATTTACTTGAAGATTCTTTTGATCACATTTAAAGTTCAACATGGACTGGCCCCTCCCTCTACTTCTGAGCTTTTATCCTCCTTTTATCTTATGCAGTCTGAGATCCTCTGCTGCTGTGCAGGTCTAGACTAATAAACCAATGGTGAACAAGCATCCACACTCAGACTTTCATACCTTCACAAAAACAAAGATTTTATTCCAAATGTTTAATTCCTAATTTTATTTGGCTTTGATTCTGTTGGCCTCCATTTGTGAAGCACTTTCTTACCTGATTAAAAAAGTGCAACAAATACCGTGTGATGTCTAGCATTGCCACGGTAACAAGCTTGCAATGAAATGCTGATGTGTAAAAGTGCTATCGTATTTCTTGTGCTTGAGTGTCTTAGCATGTTAAAATTAAAAATAAATTGTCATTTTAAAGCAGACAGTGCTTGTTGAGAACAAAGGAGATAACCAAAGGCATGACTGTGACATTTACACATGTACAACTTTCTATGAGAGGTTTAAAGATCAGAAAAATGTTTGGGAGAGTATTTACTAACCTTGAGTCTGTGCCCCAGTGCATGGCGTAGATCTTGGCAAGGTGGCCCCTGAGGGTGCGTCTCGTCCGCATCTGAATCCTCCCCACAGGATCCAGACCAGCAGTTATCTGGGTTAGGGAGGAGAGAGAAATCAAACATGAAAATTTGCTCTTCAGTTGATAACTGAGAGTGAGTAATGAAGGGTTCACAGTAAGATTTCTCAAGATTGTGGAAATAAAACTATTAGACATTGAAGACTAGAACATCTCCGGAGCAACTATCAATTCAGGTCAAACTTGAGGATACAAACTCATGTAAAAAATGAATTTATAACCGGTTACAGTAAATAGATAAATTCAGAACACCACTGAAAAAAAACAGTCACAATGTTTATAATATTACAGATGTGGATACCAAACAATCTTAAATCATCATTATTTTTCCAAAACTGTGCGTCCTAAAGAAGAGACATAAAATTAGATTCAAAATTATTTTACATATTCTCCTTTTCTTAACTATTTGTGTGCAAGCTCAGAAAATTGGGTCTTAAAATCACAAAGTTTACCAAGTTTTTATTTTGATTGCTTTTCCATATTCATGACCCCTGAAAAGGACATTGTTCCCATAACCCAAAAAAGATAAATATATTCATGTATGTTTGTCTTACCTGTGTCAGAGTTGAATCTCCACATGCTTTCCTGGCATCCTAATGAACACAGAATTACAGGATAAAAAAAACACAAATACATAATACAGCAAGTAAAAACATTAGCATTAGCATGCTAAAGATGAGACCTGATCTTTGAAACCATCAGACTTACTCTGATCTGGTTCCTCAGCTGCTCGGCCTCCTGACGAAGCTGCTCCAGCTCACTCATCTTGAATTGGTCCCAGCAGTTACCTGTCCAAAGAGCAGATGTGGATTTAAGCATCATCTCTAAGCGCATAAAAGTAGCTGCTGTTGTTTATCAGTAGGGCCGAGTGGAATTAGCATACTTTCATGCCCCCTATAATCCAGTAATCTGCGAATCCACTTTTATCAAAAACAAACAAATCAATTATGTCAAATAACTTCCTTTAAATGCTGTTTGTTCCAGATTTGAGTGAGAAATGTTAAAATAAAGAAATCACGTTTTAATCTCTGAGGTTTACTGAACCCACACACAGTGAGAAAAAACCTTGTAATCTGTTTATGCCAGTGCAGCCATGCCTGGTTTTTACAGAGGAGAATAATCTGTAATGACTAAGCTGCCATTGAGCAGCCAGCACTGCTACCAGGCAGCAGCAGCAGCAGCAGCAGAAACTGAGTGAACACTCCCTTTATAAAAGCAGAGGGAACTTGTTACTCTGCAAACTCACAGTCAGTAGCGTGTGAAGTGCAAACTTGTGCTAATACACAGTCATCTTTATGGTTCTCTTGTTATCGCAGGCAGTTTGGCTCCGATGATTTACATAGCATGTAAATATGCCAAAGGCTCGTAGCAGATCCTTTAGCTGAGGGCCAACCAGGGTCACACACACATACACAGACACAAACCGAAAAAGACACACACACACACACACACACTGTGTATCACATCACGCCCTTCATAGGAAGCAGCGTTTCCTGTAACTGTCAGGGGCACAGTTACACATTCAAACAGGGAGCTTCTATTTGCATTTGAGAGGCAATTCAAACCCGCGATAACGCTCCACAGCAAACATGCATACAGTGCGCGCTGCAGAGGGAGAGCAATTAGCTACAGTAGGTCACTGTTCCCTGGAGGGACCTGTGACCAGATGGATCACACGGCACTAATGGAGGCCAAAAGGGGTGTATCATCATGGGTCTCGGTCTCCTGGCACAGCTGCTCATTTAGCCAATGAGGAGCAAAGCATGAGGAGAGGGGGGCTGAGGCAACAGAGATCAGGCCTGGATCAGTCCAACCAGATGCATGAATGCACTTTTGTTATATGTGAGTCGTTTTGATACTTATACTGATATCACTGCCAATACAGATATCACTAACATTATCAGGCACTAATATGAATGTGTGATAGCTAATCATATTTTGTGGGGGGAAAAAACAATGCAGTATTGGGTTGCTGTAAGTGTGCCAGCTATTGATCCAACTGGAACCAGCAGTACAGTGCTAGCAGAGAGTCAGAAGTGACTAAATGTCACTGATCGGTATATTTCCTCTATGTATTTCTCTCTAAAATGAATGTTGGGAACCTCAGAGTTGCTTAAATCTTAAGGTAGGCACTCTACAGAGGCTGCAGTCCTCAAGGTGTAACTCCCTGCCTTGTCTATCCCTCCACATTTTCTGTCACTATTCAGCTGTCCTGTCAAATAAAAGGGATATCATGACAACCAACCCAGCCTGACCTCTTGGCAAATATTTAGTGCTAGTTACCACAGGGTTGGGGAACGGACACAAAGCTCAATTTGGAGTTAACTTCCACTTTTTTATAAATGGTTCAATATAAACTAACTAATCACCTTAACACTTGTTATAAAAATATGGTTTGTGTGATAAAAACGGCTAAATGTCCTCCCACTTTGAGTTTAACCATCACACCTTATCAAATGTTTGATAGGGTATCAGAGGGTCTCTCTGTGTCGGCTGATACTAAAATCTAGGAATCAGAATCTGCATCAGGAAAGACTAAAATGTCACCGAAACATCAATCATGCAAGCATTGACTCTATTTTTGCCAAAGAAGACCCCCCACATAAGCAGGCAGATCCCACCTTCACTCATGCACCGACTTAAAGCAGACAAGTGACTTCAACCTCGCTCACTATGAGGCTGTTGGGGAAGATTACCAGGATTAAGCAACAGCATCTGCACATGTAAGGGAGTGTATGCTTTATAACACAAGCGGTGAGAAATTAACAGAACAGGATGCAAAAGTCGAAGTGGCCCCACCCCTTTGGATGCACATCTGATGTGCAATCCACCGACATGGCATGGTTACAGCTGCAGCTGGAGGAGAGGCAGTGCTCAGTCAGTCAGTCAGTCAGTCAGTCAGCCTCCCTCCAACCACCGCATGTTTGACAAGAGTAAATGTTAAAGTCGGGGAGGGAGGCTGCTTACTCCCTGGTTAACTAACAAACAAACACTGGCAGGAAATAAAAAACCACGGGGAGAGGAATAAAACGAGTACAAGCCGGAATCAAGCGTCGGCTTCTCTTTTCTCTCTGCATTGAGAGCTTCCTAAATGAGCGTCCAGGAGGGCCCTGTATGAATGCAGGCTACATCACATATTGATCAGCACACAGGGGCTGATGGAGGCCCTGAACGCATCTTGTTTCAGCTCCAATCAAATGCAGATGTAGATTGTTGAATTTGCTCAAAATGATCCTATGAATAGACACATTATAACCCAGCCATCTTACACTCAATGGGCTGGCCTACAGCTGCTGTCACTGCGTTTGATAATGGGCGGCTACCTGTTAATTCTCCCGACGATTCTGCTGCTTCTTTCCGCCGTCAAAAAAAAGGACCGAAAGCCCCTGTGAAAAAAATCCCACGCAGGACAGATCTTATATGTCTTTTCCAGTCATTAAAAAACGAGCTGCAGCAGAGGAGGTCCACTTCTGTCACGATTGAGGCAAATCCTTCAGCAAGCAGGCAAACGGAGGAGGAGGAGGGCTCCACACATTTCCATTTTCTCTCTCTTCTTTTAGTGGAGCTCCTGAAAGAGATCAAATCTGCTGCTGTTGGGTTGGTTTTTCCTCTCCGAACAATCTCCCTTTTTCACGTCTGGTGAGTTTACAAAAGCATCCTCGTACAAAAAAGAGACAAATCGGCGGAAAAAGCAGCTGTGAGCCCGGCCCGCATCAAGGACTGTCCATATAACACTGTTGAGTCCGTTTTACTCCGATTCTGCTTCTCGTGACGTTATCCTCGCTTCCTTCCTCTCTCTGGTTTCCTCCTCCCTCCTCTGCCTCTGACACTTCATCAGGGCAAACGCCTCCAAACCCACAATGAAGTAGACAGGGGGATCTGCAAAGTGCCTGATATAGCGAATAATGGCTTTAGAAAGGCTTAGAGCTGCGTTTCATCGAGCTAATAACCTCAAAGATTGCGCTAGAAGTGGATTTCCTTTTAGTTAAATGAGAGGCTGCTGCCCTCTCAGTCACTTTCCACACGGTTCCTGTTTTTTTCTTCTTCTTCTGTGAATATTATCATTGAAAATCAGGCTTGCAGATCACGCGGTGAGCGCTCGCAGGAGGATCCTCAAATCCGGGCACGAAGCATGTGTCAACCACACCCATCTTTTAAATACTAATAAATCCCATGACCCCCTCTGATCTGTGCACATCGCCCCCTTTTACAGCATGCATCAGGCAGTGTGAACTGGTAGAAACGGTGTAGGGGAGAGTGGGGTAAGTTGAGCCACCCTCTGTTGTTTGGAAATGGTAAAAGAAATTGATCATGTATTGACCAAATATTTAGGAGATGGACATAAATTCATGGAGTCTGTGAAGGTTAGAAGCACATGGGTGAAGGGGTTAGACATTTATTTACAAAAAAAAAGAAACATTATTCACTCTAGAAAATGAACTTAGTCTGTCATAAGTTTAATTAGAATTGTGTTCAGACCAAAAAAGATCATTTTAAATTTGTTTTATAGATTAATTCTTGTATCTATGAGCTACAACATGAGGCCAATAACCTAGCATAAAAGTCCACCATCTTAGCTAAGAGGACTATTAAACTATTGAAACTGAAACATAAATTTTTAGTCTTGTTTTTAACTAAATTTTGTATCATTAGCTTTGTTTAAGTGTTTTAGCATTTATCTCTTCTAGTAAATGACAGGATAATCTTTTATTGAGCTACTTTGGTGCTCTTATTTTAGTATCTTTTACTTTTGTTTTTATTTCATTTTACTTATTATTTCTTCAATTTCATTTTATGCAACTTTGTTTTTAGATTTTAACCTTAACCTCCAGTGTTTCTTTATCTTGAGTTTTAAAATGCATGGGGGTGCTAACCCTCGTATAGTCGCCTATACGACACAGCCGTAATAGTAGTTCTGGGGTAAGTTGAGCCCAGAGCCGGCCCAAGCCTCAATGGGGCCCTAAGCAAAATTTGATTTTGGGGCCCTCTATTTCTGCCAATAATATTGATTGATGATCATTTACACGCCTTCACAAATCTCTTTGATTAACATTCCATGATATGCAAACATACCTTTATCTTGGCGTTTTTCTCTTCTTCCTCTTTCTTTTCTCTGCTCCTGAAGGATATGTCCTTTTTTGTGACATTGTTTTGCCCCACAACTACCTGCGCTTTGGATGCTCAGTGCACATTGCACAGCGGCAGGCACATAACGGTAGCAGAGCTTTGACATATTGGCAGTAAGAACCACAGGCCTACATCAGCAGCAGCACTAAAATATTTTTACTTTATTTTATTTTTACAATAATATATATTTGATCGTACAGGAAGCATCACTCGTACATGCAAAAAATATATATATTATTATACCAATTATTGTACCAGTTGAATAGCGTATACTAGATAAAATACACATCCTCTGGGGTGTTCAAATCATAGAAATCACAATATGAAGGCAACCTTTGAGAAACTATAATAGGGATTGAACTCTAGAGGATGTAGAGCAATGAGAAAAGTGTGTGAAAGTATGTTGCACAATCGTGTTGACTTTGCCTGTTTGCATGCATCACCCAAAACGAAAAGTAAAACAAACAGTTGGATCAGGTGACAATTCAGAGTTGGCCTACTAAAAGTGATTGTAATGATGGATCAGGAAGTTCAAGAATGAGCAGCTCATATAATATTAATATCAGTACATTGTAGAAAGACATTCTACTATCAAAAATCATGCATCTCTGCAAATGTGCAAGTTGATTCTGTCCTGGAGATGGAGACATGTGCAAGATTTTTAGCCCACTTCTAAAAAAAAAATCAAAGAAGTTAAAGGTAAAAAAAAAAAAGAAGTATATTCAGCAATATTATAATATAACTTTCAAAAATGATCTAGCATCACTTAAATGGTTGACCAAGAGTGCAAATATCAAAATATGTGTCCTTCAATATTTAATGTCTGGTTTAAATTTGTTTAATTTGTATCTAATTGACATGAAAACTAAAGCAGGTGCACATATATTGAAAAAGAGATTTAAAAAAAATGATAGAGGCACTTTTCAAATGAACGATAGGTGTAAATGCAAAGTTTGAGACATAAAGAGTTTTCATTTTAAGTCCTTGTAAGAAGTGTTAAGCTGGTAATGAACAAACTAATAAAATAATAATACATTGTATTTATATTGCGCTTTACATCTGAGAAAACAGATCTCAAAGTGCATACAGTGTGGTAATAGTAAAAAACAACAAATGAAAATAACAGTTGTGAAAGGCAATAGTAACTTAAGAACAACACCTACTGTATGTACAACCTGCAAAAGCAAATGAGAGATTGAACCGATCTTTTCTACAAGGTTACAGCTAATATTGACTCTCACTCTGTGTCCAAGAGTTGTATGATCACAACGGGACACAGTTATTACACCGCTCTGGAGTGTAGTGTGTGAGGACATAAGTATAGTGACAGAGCTCTGTTCTAGCACTGTCGCAGTTCTGCAATGTTAAAGAGGCTTCAGTGAGTTACAGAAACAGCCTTTTACTGACATTTTGCACTCTGTGAGTGATCCACAGGACAATGTAAGCCTGTATTTACTGCTTCATCCACTAAGGGGTGCCAAAATCAGCACAAATTGTTTCTCACAGGAGCTTTAATTATTGGATGTTTTTGTGACTTGTAAAATTAATGTAGAGGGTTTAATAAATTCATCAGGATTTTTCAGACAGTGATCGGAGCTGAAATGTGACAGCCCTAAAGGAATCACAGGACAAAATTAATGAAGTAAAATAAAATATACTTTTGATATTTAAACTAATTACTGTATATCACTGGTCAAAGCTGATTACAGCTGTGTCAATCTTTGGTATAATGCCACATCTCACAGTGTGATGTTGCTTTGTAGCGAAACCAGGTTTGGGTGTCTCACAGGTTTGTTGTCTCATGGCTTATTACAGCCAAACCCTGAGGTTGTGTATCATCATGTTTATATGTTTCAAACATTTGATAAGGTGTGATGGTTATCTCTATGTGGCCAAACTTAAAGTCAGGCACAAAACAGTGAATTTGGAGGACATTTGCCATTATTATCACACAGACCATGTTTTTTATTGTAAGTGTCAAGTTGATTAGTTAGTTTATATTGAACCATTTATTAAAAAGTGGAAGTTGAATGCAAACTGAGCTTAGTGTCAGCTTGCCAACCCTGTGGTGACAGACACTAAATATTTGCCTAGAGGTCAGGTTGGGTTGGTTGTCATGCAATTGCGTAACTTGAACTAGTTAAGCATAAATATGCTACTATCAGGGTCATCTCTGTAACCCCAGGACACTCCTTGTCATTTTGATGTTTATTTTTCTGTACAAGAATTCAGTTAGACAGAATAGATTAGATTAGATTAGATCAGATAGGACTTTATTGAATGGTCAGTATTCATGACAGACATAATTTACAGTTAGTATAACAAACATCTGTTACAGTCCATTTGGTCGCAGATGTTTATGATAAAAACACAAACACCGTTCTCCTTACACACACTCCTACAAAATAATTGTTTACTGATTATATAGATTCTTAATTTTAATACCTTTAGCTTCTGTTTTTCTTGGTTAAAGAAAATAAATCAAACCAACAGATTAATGCTAAGGGGCCATCACAAGTGATAAGCATTTAGCAGCTGTTACTCTAATCTGGTGACTCTAGCTCAAAAACCAGTCTCTTGATAGAGCTGGTTTGACATTGTGTCGAGGTGTCTTTGAGGGTTTATAACTTCTTAAAGGGATATTCGGGCGTAAAATTAAGTTAGGGTCAAACACACCGTAACAACAAGTTAGACACCACCTCGAGAGATGAATGTTGCCGACCGCTTTCTTCTCTAGTTATGCCAACTTAAGTAACAACCACACAATAGCAATATAGAGAACCATGCTCTCAAACGAAAAGCCGCTCTATAGACACAAATAATGCTCAGAGCAGCACCTAACTTCATCAACAGTACATATAGGGTCCCAGCCATAGCACTAGCCACCAAAAATCTTTTTAACTTTGCCTAATTTCTTTAGCAAAGAGACTAAACACAACTCACCTACTCTCTTCCAGCAGCCGCTTGTTTGTAGTGAGACCTCCCGGCGAGTCCATCGACTGTAGTGGGGTGACGCAGCTCAAGGAAGAACATTTATGATCATAACTTTATCATTTCCTTGAAGTAATAATCACCATATTGATCATTTTGCACTGTAGACACAGTTGTTCTTCTGCCTTATTGCTCGGTCTGATTGCATTTCTATGAAGAAATGATCATAAATGTTTTTCCTTGAGCTGCGTCCCCCCGCTGCAGTGGATGGACTCGCCCGAGGTCACCCACTCTGCTGGAAGAGAGTGGGTGAGTTGTGTTTAGTCTCTTTTCTAAAGAAACTAGGCAAAGCTACAAAGATGTTTGGTGGCTAGTGCTATGGCTAGGACCCTATATGTACTGTTGATGAAGTTAGGTGCTGTTCTGAGCATTATTTGTGGCTATAGAGTGGCTTTTTAGTTGAGCTCATGGCTCTCTGTATTGCTAATGTGCAGTCATTACAAAAGTTGGTATAACTAAAGAAGCAAGCGGTCGGCAACATTCATCTCTCGACATGGTGTCTAACTTGGTGTTATGCCGTGTTTGACCCTAACTTATTTTTACACTGGAATATCCCTTTAACAACTTCAGCTACAAGAACACAACAGAGGACAATATGAACTCATGACTGCAAGCTGTTATCTAATGTATGAATGAGTCCTGTAAAATTGACTGGTCACAGGTAATTCACTCGAGAATAAAATGTGACAACCAACCCCGGTCTCCCCTACTGATGAGGACAAAGTAAATAACAGCAATAATTGTTGTTTTTCAATCTTTGGCTTTTCTGCATCCCTCTGTAACACTTTTCAAACTGAGGAAATTTATCTCTATCCAGTTGCTATAAAATACTTTGCCCACCATAAACTGTTAGGTATACACACATACAGGGACGGTGAGCTTAGGCCACAGTCCCAGTTCTCTATATCCTTAAATTCCCCGCTGTCAATAAATTAATACCAGGCCTGTTTTTATTTGGGGGTTAATTTCCTAGTAGCAACAAGAATACAGACAGGGAAAGGCTGTAAATTTTTGTGTAAAAAGTTTTGCAACTTTGTCTTTATGTTTTAGTTTTATCAAAACAGACAAAAGAACAACAAAAATATTTATAAATAAGTTTGACTTCATTTGAAGTTAGGCCTGCTGAATAATACTTGTCACAACAGTGACCTCTGGTGAGAATAAATGTCACTACAGGACAGACTGTACAAGTTTACAGTCTACTCATCAGCGTGTGATGGCCACTAACAGGATGCTTACTTTTACTATGTTTGACCTGAGAGAGCACACCTTTGTCTCTGTGAAGGTGTAAAGTGAAATCGCATTTTTACTGCTGTACATTCAGGGGGTGGGGTTAGTTTTGATCAGTGGTACCTTTTTGCTCATATTTGAGATATTTTGCCCTCCCCTTTCGGCAGTCACATGGCCTGTTTGAGCTCTCCCGTGACACTTTAGAACAAATAACAGGGAGACGAGGCGTGCCATGGCTGCAGTGTTGTTATTGGGCAGCACGTTATCCGCAGCTTCAAACACTCGGGACACTTCACTGCTATCCACCGGGCTTCTGTGGTCACGTTACACCGTCCTCTGCGCATCCGACCCGAGACATCTTCTTCTCCGGGATACTCTGAGCTGAGGCACGCAGAGAGAGAGAGAGAGACAACCGGGCTCACGCAGAAACAAGGGGGTGTCAAGCAGGAAGTGGGTACAAGTGTGGAGCAGGCACAGAGCCGGGTAAGTTTGACCCTTCTTTGTGTGTTTGTGAGGGGAAGTGAAACATCTCAGGGTGTGTCGTTTTTATATCCTGGATGTTGCTGTTTGAATGACACACCGCCGCACGAGCACTTCACTCCGGGTTTGATGACAGCCTGCGCAGCCACTTCCTGACACACAGCCTCAAAACGTAAACAGTCATTTAGCCACCCCAGGATGCAGCCCTAACTATGGCGCATTTCTTTTTTAACATTATTGACCTCCGGGAAGACGTTAAGTTTTACTGCCGCAGTTACTCCACCCAAATGCTACGTAAATGTGACGGTAACGGTGATTTATTTTGGTAACAGGCTTGTTTGTAAGGTGTGGTACGCGGACCTAGGAGGGTCAGTCCTTCTCGTTACAGCGGCCGGTGTTGTGCCGTAGAATGCACCCCTACCGTAGAATGCACCCCTGATGGGAGTGCGGTTGAAATATAACAAGGCGAAATAGTCCAAGTTTTCCTTATGTTGGATGGATTCAAAAGCGTGTGCCTTTTAATGATTTCATTTGGGCTATTCAGATAAACTGAAAATAATAGCCCTCTGATTCGGATTATTTGCTGTCCTCAAAATGCAATGTTCTCTACCTTGAGAGCTTACTGTACAATTTACATACCCAAGTTCACCTCTATATGTGCATTTTGAGACACATAAAAACAGAACAGAAGTTTGCTGCTCCATTTTACATGTTATCATGATCCAATACTCGTGTTTTTAAAATATGAGATTATTTTCTTCCACTTTAAGAAGCAAATGAGTGGATGGGATGCAGGGGATGCTTTCTACGGCACAACACCGGATCCGACATCACTAACATCTGCCAAGATCATCACTGACAGCCTCGTGCAGAGCATGAGCCCTAGCTGAACACTTTTCTTTATGTTTTTCCTAATAGTGGGCCTCAAATGTCTTACTTCCCTTTACAGAAGAGTCAAGTTTTCTCAGTGTGATGAAAGAGGAATAATCTGTCCTTTATGAAGGCTATAATCTAACAAATATAAAGACTATGCTGTGCAGTTGCATCAAAAACATGTTCATTAAAAACATTGTTAAAGGGACTTTCGGTTGGTCACTGCTTAGAAGAGTGAGCTGACTTGATACTTTAGTAACATCCGTTATAATCATTATTCTTATCAAGCTTCAAATTGCTCCTTTAACTGGAAATATCTGACATATTCAGTTCAGTTGTTGAAGACTGAAGAAAGACACAAACTTTGAGTAAATGTTTTTGATATGACTGCTTGCAGTTTTATTTTAAAGGTTAAAAGTATCAAGATGTGAACTGATCGATAAAGCTACTTTCTCACGTTCATTGATCTAATGTTTTTGCTCCTCATTCAAAATAATAGACACCTGTAGTAGAAGAAAAAAAAATCTGGGTGTGAACCATACAATAACTCAGAGCTTATGTCTGTCATGTGCAATCATGCTTTGTTGTGCCAGTTGGGGATCATGTGATTTTCATAGCTGATTTAAAACGGCAATGGCAGCAGCCTCAGTGATAAAAACCGCCTTCGTTGGAGGGATGGCGAAAGTGAACCAAGACACCTTTGAGACAGAAACCAGTCTAAGTACCTGAACACAAAGAGTTGAGATGTTTGATGTTGGTTTGAGCTGGGTGTAAAAGCAGACAGGCTGCTGCGAATCAGCTGACTGCAAATACCAGCGTGAGGTGTGAGCAGAAGCTTTCATTATGAAGAAGCTCAAACCCAAACAGTCTCTCTCTCTCTTGGGAGGTGTTTCACTGATGATTATTTTTGTAGTAAAGAGATGCTGGAGAAAAAAAAGGAGACATGTGTAAGAGAAAACATAACAGTACCGTTGAGGTGTCTCGTAGTAGCAGCAGCAGGTGACTGTCATACCCGGGTGCTACTGAACTTGATATTTTTCAAACTTCTGCTGTGCAAAATGAATCACAGTTGGATCAGAAACGGACACACATAATTATTGATCGTGTTTAATTTGTTGAAATTGCTCCAAGAATACAGTACAACTCTTTACAGTAGACAGCATGTTTACCTGAGGCTGGAGGCACTCACATTGCAGAGCAGGACATGTGCTGCTGTGCACATGATGATCTTCAAGATTGGCTAGAAACATGAGCACTCATAAGGGCAAAGGGATGTGTTTGAGCCAATGCATTTTGATACATTCAGTAAGAAAAGACAATACATTTGGTAAATAATAGCTGTTTGTTTTTTAATAAAATTCAGATGAATTATGTCATCAGGAAGTTTTCTTACTACGCCTAGACTAAGCACATGTAATAAAAACTTGGATAGAGCCAGACTTCAGTTACTGCGCGTTTTGACCCTTACTTTGATGGCTTTCTCACAATGATCAGTACATGTCTGGTGAAAATAAGTTTGCACCAGGGTTAATAGGCGATATGTCTGTGAGGTGTATAAGGTGTAAGTGTATAAAGTGATTGATTGTCCATAAAAAGTTCGCACAGAAATACTGACGCTGGCAGACTTCTATACCAAACAGTCAACTATTGCATCTTCGAATTTTCACCTCTCTGATGTAAAGATTAAGAATAAGAATAACTTTATTGATCTCTGATGGGAAATTCCATTAAAATTAAAATGAAAATTAATTAACTAAAATCAATTCAAAATATCAATTACTCTTTTGCTATATTTCTGTTTGATGTATTTTCTGTTTCACAGGGCAAGCAAACTACTACAACCATGTTGAACGAACGCACCCCCCTTATCTCCTCGGGGGTTTGTGGTCTGAATGTGGCCACAGCAGCATGTGGTGCAAAGGCAGACACCACCCCTGATTCTGGCTCTGACACACCCACTAAAGATCCCCGACAACTGGACACGTTTTTTGGTGTGATGGTGCCAACCATCCTCTCCATGTTCAGCATTATTCTGTTTCTGAGAATGGGTGAGCCATGCATAAATGAAAAGATTATAAAACCAAAAAGCTGATTTGGTTCGTAGACAGTGTGTGTTTGTATATTGGAGTATAAATGAGTCATTGTGTTGGTTTTGCTGTGACTAACATAGACGTGATCTCTCTCTTGCAGGGTTTGTGGTGGGTCATGCGGGGCTGTTACAAGGACTTTTAATGGTGTTTGTAGCCTACACTATTATATCTCTCACAATACTGTCCATCTGTGCCATTTCCACCAACGGGGCTGTACAGGGTGGTGGAGCCTACTGTATCCTTCTAATGTCCAAAATGTTATTGTAACTATTTTGGTATTAGTTGATCCTGCTGAAAAGTATTTAATTTTTTTGGTTAAACTTCTGATACCTAGACTAAAGTATTGGCTGAAACCTCCCTGATACCAGCAGGAGTTTCGCTAAATGAATGTTACATTAGAAAACCACTTAATTGCTGCCATTTTGATGGCCTGACTGATATTAAATTAACAGACAATATATTATACTATTATAATGTTGTACAATCCATCCATCCAGCCAGCCAACTTATCCAACCACAGCCTTCAATTGAGAACTTAACATTTGTATCTGTCATATGCAGCTGTTTGTCTTTTACACTAGTGTAAAAAGGAGAGTGTAGGAGCTAAGTCGATACTTTAAGCTACTGAGATGCTTGACCTGGAGTAACCTGGTTGACGTGCCGCGCTACTGAGTTTTACCTTGAGTTGTGATGATCATTGAAAGTGCGGATGCTGTTCCTCAGATTCAGCAAACAAAGATTTATTGCCATGAACAAACCAAATCCATTTGCAATAGATATTCAACACTGAACAAACGAGGAAAATGCCGACAGTTAGCGCCACGATGGTCAAAAACCTTTCACCCCTCCGGGTCACACACCTGCCCACAACAATGACATGGCTACCTTTATCCCTGAGCCCCCAGATAACAAGACACGGACACCCAAGGCACACTAAGTGAACTGCAACTCATAACATGTATCACAGCAAAATATTTGGCTCCTACAGGGAGCAAAGATGTCAAGTGGCAACCACCTAGTGATGACTTGTATCATGTGATACAAGTGATCTGCACCTGCCCAGCACATCCTCTGAGGTGGAGGCAGCATTTGTTTTCTTTGAAAGTCCTGTCTACACCCACTGCTGTGGTTGCTGAGGTGGCAAAAAAGCTTCTCTGTGGTAGGGTGGTTGGTGTAGGTGCCTGTAAAGCCAAAGGCTCTTCTTGACATTGCTGGGCTGTGCGGCTGATATACCTCTTCAATATGGTGTAGAGGTTTGAGACAGTACCGCCGTAATGGGAGTCTAGATGGTTTTCCCTTTCCCCAATATTGGAATCCCATTACATAACATCTGGAAAGTAGGCTGCTGCTTATCATTAACCCTACAGAAGGAACAATACTGATGATTCTGTCCTGGTTGTGGATGAAGTCTGTACATCTGTTTTCTGCTGCTACAAGCCATTGTATGAAGGACAACGTTTGACACATTCACTGCTGTGGGTGTTAGCCTTTGCAAAGGCCGCCCCTCCTGTCACCCACTCTGTTTGTGTGTTGCGTGGAGAAAACCTCAAGGCAAAGTAAAGAATACAGGAAGTTTAAGCGCACCAAACTGCATCTCTACTTTTAGCAGATTATTTGGTGTTGGTTTGTTGGTTTGATTTGGCATTGTTTGATGGGACACAAGATACAGTATAACATGACATGATACAACTATACAGCTTTGCTTTGGAACACCTCTAACTTTGGTTTTATTCACCTTACTTGAAAAGTCTACCTTAACCAGGTGAAACCAGACATGATAAGTCGTTCTTTGGGCCCGGAGTTTGGAGGAAGCATTGGTTTGATGTTCTTCTTAGCCAAAGTGTTTGCATGTGGAGAGTATGTTCTTGGACTTGTTGAGGCTATACTTGACGTATTTGGGACAAATCCTGGTAAGTATTTTTTTTAATTTTCTCATACTCATTTTTAGACCTCATCCCTTTAACCTCAGTTAAATAATAATATGAAAAGCATGAAAACATGTTCTTGTGATTTCCACTCATATAGACACACACCTGGCTGAAGGGTTCCGATTGCTCCCCCATGGTTACTGGTACAAAGTGCTGTACTCATCGGTTGTCCTCCTGCTGTGCCTGATTGTGTGTCTTGTGGGCGCCCACATCTACTCTCGCACCGCCTTCGTCATCCTGCTGATCGTCACCGCATCCTTGCTGTCCATCTTCATCAGTTCTGTGGCAGTCAAACCTTTTGATTTCATTATAACCCATCAGGGACCTGGCAACGAGACAGTCCAGTACAACGTCAGTTATACGGGCTTCAGCACTGCCACTCTGAAAAACAACCTGGACTGTGAGTGTTGGGGCACCTCAAGGGGGTTGTTAGTGAGGATATGAAACCGACTTTAAATAAGAAAGCTAAATGAAAAGTCTAAATCTGGCAGCATCTATCAAAGGCTTTGCTTACGTTCCTCATTTTTCTACTTGCAGCTGGTTATTCTTTGGACTACAGCACCAACACTGTCATGTCTTTTGCCACTGTGTTTGCCGTCTTTTTTACCAGCTGCACGGGGATCATGGCTGGAGCCAACATGTCAGGTGGGTAGTATTGAGTAATATGCAACACTAGATTATCTTCTTTTTGTAATTCTTCATTTGGCCCCGTTAACAGGACTAGTTAGCCAACTGGATCGGTAGTTTTATTGCCAAGTAGTACAAACATTTTCCTCCGCCCTCACTCCTTTGTGTGTTGTTATTTGCTATTGCAGACCAGTTATTTTGTATTTGTAGTAATCAATATCTTTTCGTTTATAGTACATCTGTAGAAACACGAGTGTGTTGGCAGCTGATTTGATGTTTTGTCTGACCTGCTGCAACATTAACTATAAAGTTATTAAAGGTGATGTCTGTAGTTAGAATCCCCTGTGCTCATGCAGTCATGAAGAGTCTCTTGTCCGATCAAAATGCTTCGTTTGGACTGATGTTTATCCCTCCACGTTTCTCTGTAGGGGAGCTGAAGAATCCAAGTATTGCCATCCCTAAAGGGACCGTCTCTGCCGTCTTTTATACCTTCTTAGTCTACGTCCTCCTGCTCCTCATGGTCAGCGCCACCTGTAGCAGGTAGGAAGATGTTTATTTGAGTGATGTTTGACACGACTATAGAAAGGCAAATCAGCCATAAGTCCGTTTTTCTATTTTCTCCAGGACGCTGTTGATTCAGGATTATGGGTTCCTGCAGAAAATAAACCTCTGGCCACCGTTTGTCACCGTCGGGATATACTGTGCTTCTTTATCAGCTGCAATGTGCTCTTTGATTGGAGCGTCACGCATCCTCCATGCTCTTGCTGTGGATCATCTCTTTGGTAAAGCCAGAATTTTCGACCCAGTCATTTGCGGTTTCTTTCTAAAGAGAGGTTTTTCCCTAAAAGGTGTTTCTTTTCCCACACAGGTATGCCATTAGCCCCAGCAACCATCACCTCAAACTCAGGGAATCCATGGGTGGCAGTACTGTACACCTGGGGTCTAGCACAGGTAAGCAGATTTTCTGCAGACCACTATAATGTACAATCCCAAGCAGTGTCCTGAGGTTTAGTTTGTGCTGCTTTTGTGTTTTAGTGTGTAGTGTTTGCTGGAGAGCTCAACTCTGTAGCCGCTATGGTGACGGTTTTTTACTTGCTCGCCTATGCTGCAGTTGACCTGGCCTGTTTGGCTCTGGAGTGGGCATCTGCACCAAATTTCAGGTAAAACAAAGGGATCATTTACTTCTTAAAGAGAAATCAATAAACCTTTAATGCATTATGTCTGCAATGCATAATGCCAGCATTATGTATTAAAAGTCTGTAAACTGATCAGACAGTGGAAGTCAGATTTTCAGAATGAGATTGTGAAGAAATGTTGTGGTAAAAAAATCCCAAGAATTGCCTGCTATTTACTTATGTTTCAACTGTTAAGTGAAGTCATGCAATAAGGCTTAGGATGTAAGAAGAAAACCCAGAACTGCTTAGTAAATCTGGAGAGGCTTAAAAACTGGGGTAGTTCAAGGTATTCCCTTTCAGCGAGTACAGGCTGAAAATATGGAATTTGATAGAAAAATGTAATATTTGTTTTTTTCTTATTTTCGTCCCTTTGTGTCGCTCAGACCAACCTTTCAGCTCTTCTCCTGGCACACCTGTCTGCTGGGAATCCTGAGCTGTTTGGTGATGATGTTCGTCATCAATCCTGTATATTCTTCGGGCAGCATTGTCCTCCTGCTGCTGCTGCTCCTTTTCCTCCACTACAGATCACCCACCAGCAGCTGGGGATACATCAGCCAGGCTCTGATTTTCCACCAGGTACTACTGTCTCCGGTGAACAAATACACAGAAAATCAAACACAGGCCACAGTATGTCTGTATCATGTCTTCTTTTTTTGTTTAGGTGCGTAAGTACCTTTTGATGTTGGATGTGAGGAAAGACCATGTGAAGTTCTGGAGGCCGCAGGTGCTATTGATGGTGGCCAACCCTCGCTCTTCCTGCCAGCTCATCCTGTTTGTCAACCAGCTGAAAAAGGGAGGACTGTTCGTGTTGGGCCATGTGCAGCTGGGAGATCTGGGTAATTCTCTGTAATGGACATCTGCAGCTAACAGTATTAGATGATGCTTATCTTTCAGCCATTTCCCCCGTGGTTTCACCTCTCCACCTGGGCTTGTTTTATCTTGATATGCAAGGGTGGTCTCAGAAAAATGAAAGGGGGCTGATCTTGATTTACAAATAATACAGAAAAATGTAGAAACTAAACTCAGGGGTCTGGATTTTGAACATGAGGTTCTGGTTTCTATTTTAGATGCAGAGTCCATGATTTCCCCAAAGAAAGCCAAGTTCTGGGTCTCCAGTTGAAATGGGTTCAGGTCCAGAAAAATCACTAATTCTTTGAGATTATTTTAAATATGGTTTCCTCTTTGCATGCTATATTTTAAACCTGCAGTTTTGGATTTACTGTGCTCATAGACATTGTTTGTTTTAAGCCAAAACTGTGATGTCCACTTTTTTACTTTCACTACGATACGATACAATACCAATATTGTTGCCTTCATTATTGGCCAATACTGATATTGATTCGATATTGGCACAAACTTGTGTATGACAAGTTTTGCACTCGGATGCAACATCCTTTTTGGACTTTAACAAAAAATACTGCCACAAGGGAAACATCATCTAGATAGAGGTGCTGGAGCGGAGTCTGGAACAGACGGCTTGTATCGGTGCTGATATCTGAGATTTTAAATGCAGGCCAGTATAATCAGATATTTGTTTTTTGCTGATATCAGACAGATATCAATATCGTATCGGAACACCCCTAATAGACACCCTATCTATGCTAATTGTTTTCATACAACAGATCCTTTTCTAGTTTGAGTTCTTCATTTTGCCACTTTTGCATGAACTCATCTTTCAGGCATAAAACTTAAGTGAAAATTGCGCCAGTGTCATTAAAATACAGACCTTAAATGACTTGCAAACAACCAAAGTTGTTTTTTTTGTCCCAACTTTCATGTAAATGGGGTTGTAACGTCCTTCCAAGTAATCAAATTTGACCCAAGATTGTCACGATTAACAAACCTGCACCATGAAGCGTGCTGAAATAAAGATAATTGTTTTTTATTATTCGTACTGGATTATCGTTTTCTCACTGCTCGTGCCAAACATTCATAAATAAACAATTAGGCCTATTTCACAAAGCTGCCAAACCATATTTCTCAACAAGAGATTGATTTAATCCTTTCATGTTCCCAAGAAAACCATTTAAATTGAAAGAAACCTTTTTATGCTGACTTCACTGTTTTTTTTTTCACATACCATCTTGGGTTCGAGTAGAAAGATTTTCCTCTTGACGTCCAGGAAATACTGACTGATCTTGACTAACAAGTTTGTACTAAAACCAAATTATAATGTACAAATCAACAAATGCTATTTGAACCTGTGCAAATGCTAATCGTAATATACAAGTGTCTTTGGTGTCTGTGTTTGGTAACTTCAGACTGGACTGTAGTTCTTACATCTCAAGGTGAACCTGAGAACAGTTTAATAAAATGACCAGTGTTTTTTTGGCATCTGCTCTGCCTGCATGTGTGCACACTCTCAGTCTCCCTTACTTTAACTCTTTAGGCACAGAGAAACACAGTAGACTGTGTCCAAACATTAATGAAACAACAGAGAAAGAAAGCCCAGGTCTGTCATACAAGGTAAAAGTAAGAAATGCTACAAATAGCAGGAACCAAAAGAGACACAAACAGGTACAGTGGAGGTTATTGTTTTAGTTATGTTATGTGCCTCTGTTGCCTTTATCAAAGGAGAACAGGACAGTGGACAGAGCAGGAAGTGAGCAGAGAGCGCAGAGAGGGATATGCCGGAAAGAAGCCCCGGTAGAATCGAACCTGAGCTGTCTATCTGAGCCTTAACCTCTGTACATGAGGTACTCGTAGAACACAAGGCCAGCAACAAAACTGCATATTTGACGTACTGTAAATACCGTGACAGTTTTTCACACAAGCGTTTGGTAAAACACAAGCATTGTCATGATGGATAAGCTTGGAATAAAATAGTTAATTTGAACTGAAGTTGTTTGGAAACATGAAATTGATTCCTCTTTTGAAACCTAGGATTAGACATTGTGTTTCAGCAGTTTCATGGTTTGTGAAATAGGTCCACAACTATGCAATGCATATTTTCAGCCTGAAGCAGGTGTTCACGAAAAAACAGTGACCTCATTGTAGTGTTTCTAATACCTTTCTTCAGTATGGTGCTTAAGGAAAGGAGAGTTCAGATGAGGTGAATGAAGCATTAAACTGAATTTTCACTCTCATTTGACTTGTTTATGAACTAAAGTAACATTAAACTACACAGGGATTAAATGAATAATCGCACCTTTAGAAAGCAGACTGTTTGTAGGTATACCATTCATTTATTATTTATTATTTTAACTATCAATCTTTCTTTTGTTTCCTCTAATAAAGTAAGACTCTCTTCTAGAAATGTGCAGCCTACTTGGTAGAAAGGGGGAAGTTGCACAAAAAGACTTTATATCTTTTGTATTTTGGCACTTGTTCAATCCCGTAATCTGCCTGCATGGGTTTTAATTTCGTAATTTCTAAATGTGTAGTTTAACAACATGGTGGTATCAAGTTCTAGTTATTGTAATTAAGTTACCAAGGCAAGACCAGTAGTGAATATTTAATCAGGTTGCTCACCATTGATGTTATTAACTAGTTGTGGTTGGACTCTCTGAAATCGGGTCCCTTCATGGACGGCTGCCCTCTTGACTTTCACTTTCCGTCTGCTGCCTCTCCTTCATTATTCATATGTGTGAAGCCGCAGACCTGCAGGTTCAAACCAGACAGATGTCTTGCCTCTCCTTTTTTTACTTCTGATCACTGAGAAAATATACATACATATGGTGAGGCCTAAGGCGCAGAACATGCTGACATAATCTTTCCCTCTTTTATTCTTTTCCTTCTGCCTCCTGGTGTTCATTTGGAGCATTGCAGTGTTCACAAACCAATGATTCTCATCAAGCTGCAACCTTAAGGGGGGGTTACACTCAACTTTCATGTTCCTGTTTTTGCCAAGTTGATAAATCCAAATTTATAGCACTATAGTAGTAAATATTATGCTGTCAACATAACTACATAACTTTGTAAGCTGTAGTTTGGAAGTTCAGTTCAAAGTTCAAGTACAAGCAAACAAAGTAAAATACTGCCAGAAACAGAGACATGTTTTTCTGGTGAACAGAGGTTCTGAAACAAACCTCTGCATTGAGTAATTCTTTTTTTCATATCTTTGCAGTGCATTAATTTCTGTGTCTCCTGTCCTTTAGACACTATGCCAACAGACCCGGTCCAGCAGCAGTACAACTTCTGGTTGAGTCTGGTTGATAAACTCGATGTGAAGGCCTTCGTTGACCTCTCATTGTCCCCTTCAGTCCGGCAGGGGACTCAGCATCTGCTGCGCATCACAGGCCTAGGTGAGCTCTGCTGTCTCTTCTCATTCAGCACATGATGTCATGCTGCTTTCTCTGCACATGGTGACCCTGCTTTTTTTAAATTATTATTCAAGGTGGAATGAAGCCCAACACCCTGATTTTGGGTTTCTATGACAGCTGCACTCCAGATGACTACTTTCTGCAGGATTCTGCGTTTTGTAGCTCCTCCCTGGGACAAGGGAGTGAGGGCGAGTATAATTTTGGGGTGGATCTGCCGTCATTGCAGGCGCACTTCCCCCCAGTCCGCCATGTAGAAAGTCCACGTTCACTGTCACCTGAGGAGTATGTAGGGATCGTCGCTGACGCCTTGAAAATGGGAAAGAACGCATGCCTCGCCCGCTATTTCTTCCAGTTGGAGGGCGAGGATAAAGAAAGCAAGGTCGACGGCTCTGAGCGGACTATAGATGTGTGGCCTCTCAACCTGCTTCAGCCTGGCAGTCGTGATTACGAGGATGTGTGCAGCCTCTTTCTGCTGCAGATGGCCTGCGTGCTTAACATGTCCCACAAATGGCGTCGTGCCAGAATGAGAATCTTCCTGAATGTGGAGACCGAGTCCAACGACCAGGGCTGGGTGGTAAATGAAGAGGCATTCAGAGAGCTGCTGAAGAAGCTGAGGATCAGGGCGTCTATAAAGATCGTGCCTTGGGACACTGTGGTGCAGCACCACATTCAGCCAGCTGGAGAACCAAAACACACTCTGTCTGAGGACTTCCTGTCTGCAGTGAACTGCATGCTGCTTGAGCACAGCGCACAAGCTGCTGTCTGCTTCCTGTATTTGCCTCGACCTCCTGCTCACCACAGCCACTCGCAGCAGTATTTGGCTCAGTTAGAAGCAGTCACCAATAATCTAGGGCCGACGCTGCTGATTCATGGTGTCACCCCGGTCACATACACAGGACTGTGAGCATGAGCAGTCACCACTTGTCATGTTTTACCACTTGATAACAAATACACAGCTGCATTTTATCTATCAAGTCATGTTAGCACTGGTATAAACTCTAGTTTCATGTCAAATTAACACATAACTTAATGAAAACTGGAGTGTGGGGGTCACTGTGTACTGTATGTTTGTATGTTTATGTTTTACTGAAGCTCAGAGAAGACCACAGTTGAATGCAGTTTTTAAAAACGCCATTTGAGGAGGATATTTCCCTATTTTCTTATACTTGAATTGGCATGGTGGGTGAGCCAAGAAATGGGACGATGCTTTTGTTTGTTTGTCTGCCTGATTTACGTTGATATAATCGCAAATACACATGTATCAAAGACTCTTAAGAGTGAAAACCACAGTTTATTTTGAGCTTTACCGACAACTTAGGACATGACAAAGAATTGTCTATTTATGTAACTGCAGGGATGAAAAGATGAATTTGTAGTGTGTATGATAACAGTTCACCACGGTGAAAACCTCAGTCCTGGTTCAGTTTCTCAAAGATGTAGTGTTACAGCAAAATCATTGTTTCTAAAAGTTGTGTATTTTTCCTGCTCGGTTTCCTATTTTCACATTTTTGCTGGTGTCAGGACCAACGATACAAAATACAATTCGTTTCTGAGCTGATTTTTATTTTCAATGCAAACGTTTTCTTCTTCTGTTAAATGTAAAGCTCTGAAAGTGCTCATAAAAGTAACAATTTTGTTTGTTTGACCTCATATAAGGAACAGTGTTTTCTACTGTTGTATGTGCTCACTTGAAATCACTGAATATTTGTGCGCTATGATGCAGAGAGTCAAAAATACACAAAAAGGAGTGTATAAATGTTTATATTAGTTCTTTTTTAGGACATCTCAGTCAGGACGTGGACCAATGATGATTCAGACCAAATCAAGAGTGAACCCAGAGCTAGTGTAGTATACTTTTACTGCCTTCTTGTCATGATGCGTTTTAGAGTATGCACCAATCACTTGGATCTTTCAATAAAACACAACTAGCTGCTGAAAAGGCCATCTGCACTTTTTGGCATGTTCCACCAGGAATGATATTTAATGGTCAATAAGAAAGCCTTATATTTGTTAATGATGCTCTTTACTGTAGATGTACATAATAAATGGCTGTCAAAGGAGTAAAGATGTGTATTGTCAACTTTGTAGCTAATACCTCAAACTGATTTCTTCTTTAAGCTTTACTTAATTAAACGTATGTTTTAAACTATCTAGAAAACAGTGCCAGTCATGCCTGAGTGTATATATCACTGAGGCTGTTTAATATGTAAATCCGAGCAATTTCTGAAATGCAAAATATAACAAAAATATTCTTTTTTTATTGCAGAAACGGTCTGTGAAGTAAGAGGTGAGACACCAGCCTAAAACAGCAAATGTTACTGATTCTTGGTTCAACTTTCAGCTAAAAAATGTAAAAAAATATATATTAAAACTAAAATAATTTCATCTTCTTTGCACGCAGTGATGTGAGTCTTCATTGCAGGAGCGGGTACATGACTCCTCCTCCTTTCACTTTTTACTCTGACATTTTGTTGTTAATCTTTCTTAAGGTTTTTCAGTGTTTTGATGAGGGACGATGACATACGAAACCAGTCGGGCAGGAGTACTCCGAGGGCCATGCTCTGTGGGATGATGTGAAAGAGAAGCAGAGATGTTAAAACGTTACAACAGCTGAATTTCGGTAAGTGGTGCTAGTGTGTCATCCCTCTGACCTGCAGCGCGTGGGACAGACAGCCATTGGTGTAGTTGGAGTGACCGACAGTATTCAACGCCTCCCGAGCAAAATCTGGAGCGCTCTTTATGAGGCAGCTAGTCCTCACTCGTTTTGTCATGTTAGTGGACACCATGAAGGGGGCCACACACTGAGGAAACATTAACAGAGGTCTGACAGGTTGAACTTCACTCTACTTTACACATGATATAAGTGACTCGTAGTGGTAACTCTCCAAAAATGAAAAACATATAGTCCAAAAGAGGAAGACAACCTGAGTCAGTGAAGGTGTGTGCTTCATGTTTGTTTATGAGTTAATCACAAGATTCAAATTAGCTTTTAACTGGATACACACCAACTTCATGTGATGGCTCTTACATATATTTTAAAATGATCAAAAGCTGAATTAAATCATTAAAATTAACAGTATGTTGCTACTGAAGATAACCATGTGTTTAATATCAATGTGCATATGATTTATATACAACTTTCTCTTATCTATCCCTTGTTGTTTTCTATCCAGAGGTCCTGAGAGAAAATATTTTACTGAGTTAATAGTTTTCTATTTTTTTTAGCCCACCATTTGTCTCATTTGTTAGTATTATTATGTCATTTTGTCAAAGGCAAAAACAGACCCAAAAATTGTGATATTGGCCCCTACTTGTATGTATAAGAAGATATTGGTATTGTCTTGAAGCAAAACATAAAATAGGTATCACTTTACAAAATTGTGTTTTTAAAAATTCATTTTGCCATTATATAATATTAAATATAATGACAAAATACAGGCAGTAAAGGTAACAATGAATGTAAGGTGTTGGTGTATAAAATAGCTAACAGTTTTCGTGCTTTACCTGGACAATAATTCCCTTTGACTTGTACTCTGCATGCAGACACTGAGAGAAATATGATACAAAACTCTGAAATAAAGAGGAAAGTCAAAGTCACAAAACAAGCCAAGTAGTGATCGAGCTTCATGGTAAGTATTCATTATTAAATGAGTGCTTGTGATGTGGTCAGGTTGATTGAATGAATATGCACACACACCATGATGAGAAAGTACCTTAGATGAAGAATAAATAGACAACAAAGGCTGTGGACGGCAGCCCACTAAAGAGGAGATATTGATGATCAGGCCTTTCCCTCTATGAAGACAGAAAAGGAGGACATGCATTCATGGATTTGACCCTAAAATAATCTCATTAATACATTTCTATTATTTATATTTGGTTATTTGTGAAAATACCTCTGAACCATGGTAGGAAGAACTATTCTGGTCATCTGTGTGAAAAAAATCATATTTTCATGATCACAAACAGAAAAAAAAGGTCACAGAGATGTCTGATTATTTATGAAACTCATAAACACCAAATCACAAACATCTTACCTGAGGGATGGACAGCACATTACAGTTGATGATCTGAGTAATTTTCTGGGGAGAAAAAAAAAACACCCAAGGTAAAAATGTGAACCTTAGAGGCCAAATGAAATAATGTATGACTCAAAAGTGCAGTTAAATTACACAATGTACCTGTTCAGCATCTGGTACATCCAGGAAGTAGTCAAAACCATCAGAGTAGGTCATCCCTACATTGTTGACTGTGTGGGTGACAAAGGCAAAAACAAGATCTTTTGTTACTTAACATCTAGCTTGTAATACAACCTTTAAATGTGTTTCTTTATCCTTTTATCATGCAGTTAAATCAACCCTCTTTTGCTAATCACAAATAATGAGCCAGCCTTCACCGACATATTTCATTTCTTAGGAAATGCACCTAGTACCGTTTCCAATTTAAAATAGATTGATCCAATTCTACGGTCATGGTGATCAATCTGAAGCTTCAGTCGGGACATTGTTGGACCCAGCGACACTGGGAAGGCTTGGTTTTGTCAGAGAGGTGAATAGTAAACAGAATGTGTTCATTTAAAGTCATGTGGCCATTGATTTGATCAAACTCAAAAAAAAATCTCTGTGTTCACTGTCAGTGCCCGGCTGCTAGACCTTTTCTCAGTCTGTGAAAAATGTTTTACTTCTGCTCCACTACAGTCTTACACTGCCCCTTAGATCCCTTATAGTGCTATTTTCTTACATGCATAAGAAAATAACCATGTTGGTACAAGTTAGTGTTAATATTATCACAGCCAATAAAAGGCCTTCATTTGCCATAATTTCTCAGTCACTGGTATATTGATTTTATGCATACTGTTTATAATGTATTCTTATTTGTGGTCCACTGGGATGGACATTTTGTGAACAACATGAGTGCCTTCCACTAGGGGCCCTGATAACAAGAGGCCCCTAATACATTTATGATAATATTGATAAAATAATAAAATAAAATAAAAATAAATTAATAAAATAATAATAATAATAATAATAATAATAATAGTAATAATAATAATAATAATAATAATAATAATAATAATAATAATAATATGTTCATGGAAGAATAAAATGCCAAGTCCATCAGAGAATGCAAAAGACAGTACACCTCCAAGAACACCAAATCTGTTCCAGATAAGAACTATCACAAGATAAACAGAACATGAAAAATAATCTCTTTTTTGGTAAGATTACTTGTGCCCACATGATTTTATCCTCATAAATGTGTGTACCATAAAGACCATAAAGGCTCCATATTTTCTCAATTTCTTAGACATCTGAGAATTTCTTCTGCTGTACTCTGCCATGTATTTAGTGTTCATATTACCCAGAATTCCTATTTCCAAGTCCTTGAGTCCTTTTGCTATTGTAGGGTAGATACTGTGGCCGTCAGTGAAGTCAACTTGGATGGTGCGAGTCTTCTGTCCATATTGTTCCTCTGAAAAAGAGTTTTAAGTACCTGCTCTGAGTTTTATGAAAATCAATGTGTTTCAAATACAAATGTACAATATTTTGATTTAACTCACCTATCTCTTTGGCCACAGTTTGAAGCTTATCATTACATCTGCTCACCAAAACAACATCGAGGCCCCTTTGTGCCAGCTTAAAGAAAAAAATGTGGATAAACAAGTTCAGTGGTTCTCTTTACCATCAACAACACAATGAATGTACGAGTGAAAGCTGACACAATGGAGCTGAAAAATATCAACTGACTTTCTGCAGCTGAAAACTTCACGTTTTAACCACAAGAAGAGATGTGACTAAAGGATGAAAGATAGAGACTCACCTCAGTGGCATAAGCTTTACCAATGCCAGACGTGGCACCAGTTACAACTGTACAAAGGAGAAAACAGTTAGAGAAATCAGCTTACTAGTATTTAAAGCTCATTAAACAGATGTATTTAATATACATAAATCAGTTTTGATAGAAGTTTTTCAGGAGTTTTACTATCTATAACTCTAAGGTGACATGCATTACCGAACTATGTTACCTTTTCTGCTCAGATGCATGTACATATTGTATTTTTTAGCACTTTATTTTGCAGAAATAAGCCCAATTCTGACTTTCAAACTGTCTGCACTGCCAAAACACTGCAATTCAAAATTTGGGATCAATGTCAGCGGGTGGCCACTCTGAGAATTAGGTCCAAGATATCAGATTGAGGCTCAAGGGAGAGGAAAAATGAGATGAGGAGGAGGAGGAAGACCTGGATCCCCATCGCTCAGCCAAAGACAAAACCTCCTGGAACTGTTTGCTGACACAATCCGGGTTAAACTGCAAACTCCTGACAACCTGGTCGTCACGTCAGGTCCGTAGTGTTTTGTTTACAAAGGTTCCAAATGCATAATAGGGTGAAGAAAAACAAGAGTTTTACTGTATGTGTTTGTAAGCAAGTGGATGAAAATGTCCCATCAAGAAGGAATGTGAAGTGTTTATCGAACGTACCCACGCTGAAAGGAAGACTTGAGTGTGCTCTTAATGATAAAAGAAAATCTAGATATTCCCACACCTTAGCTTTCTGTTCTCTGCCCTCCACTAAACTAAAACCTCATTTAAGAACTAAACTGGTTCAAACCTTTGTACAACACTTACAAAATTACAAACTGCACAACTTACATGCACACACAAACACACACTCAATGCTTCATAGATTTACTTACTGAATGATACATTAGCTCTGATTTAAAATAAAACTTTTGTGCAGAAGCATCTTGTGACATAGGATATAGCACTGTTTTACATTACCTGCCCATTGTCCAAATTTCCTTAAATCCTCTTGCCAAAACTGTGAATAAACATACTCTCTGAATCCACACCAAACTCTCCAGACAAGATAAACAACTGTAAATCCCCCAACAATAGCCAGTAGTCCAGTGAATGGCATTTTGCAGCAGCACTGTGGACTGAACAGGATTCTGCGCTGACACAATGGGCAAAGGCTTGTAAAGGTTAATCCTTCTTTCATATCAGAAGAAATGACTTTTTATGTGCTGTGCTCCTCCCACACTGCTCCACCCCCACCTCTACTGCTTTCAGAGCTGCACTTCACCAACATCTGAGATCACTGTTTATTTATTTTGACACTCGCTGAGAGTTTAAAGAGTATTTGTGGTAAATCTTTAGTTAAGAGAGACGACATTAACAGTTTCTGCTGTATTCTTGAACACCCCCAATACTCCCCAGTATTTCCTTTAAGACTATTTTAAAACCTCCCCTTTTGAACCAAACACCCTGTAATTTTTAAAGTAGACTTTCTGTTCAAACTTACCAAAGCTGAAGTTACCCTAGTGACACCCATGAGCAAATATCAAGCTACTGAGATTGTTATACAGTTGCTTTTCTTGTTTCCCAACATAATCCCAGTCATTACATGTGTCGAGTTTTTATCTAATCACATACACAAGACCAAAACAAAGCTTTAACCCTTACAGAAGCTGCAAAAAGATAAAACCGGTAACGTAGTTTTAAACGTGACACAGTAATTCGGTCAGTTGATAGGTCTTCACTGCAGTTACAATCTGCCATGTTTAACATCAGCAGAAACAGTCCTACTTCTGCATGTAAAATCTGTGTCAGTACATAGATAAGCTAACAATGCTGTTGACTGAACGTCACAGTGATAAAACTAGTGATAGTGAATAAATTCTTGTACTACATTATCATACTGGAGTACAGTGCTGTGACAGTGAGGAAATGTGCTTATCATTTAAGGGAAATCTAGTCGTAGTCGTCATGATTCCTGTCACTGAAACTGACCTACTGACTCGCACTAAATCTCACTGACATTAATAAAGAACTTCTTTCAAGTTTTTTCAACTTTTTTCCACAGTTTTAAGTCACAAAATATGTCTAATTTTTATACATAGATTAGCTTTTCTACTGTATTGTTCCAAGAAAGTACAAAAATTGATAATGATTTATCTCACTAAGTAATGACTAAAACTAAGATTGCATAAATGACACAGAGAGAAAAGGGGACTTGCTGCTGGTGGTTTGGAGGGCTGCTCTGTTGCCATCTGATGGGTTAATCCAGTCCAGAGTGATCTCAAGTGACCTGTGGCCAAGTGTTACATCTGAGGCAGGTTTAATTGTCAACAACAGCAGATGGCTGTCTAAAGGTGAGTCTGGGTCTGATCAACATTTCTAACCTTTTAAAAGTGAGTTTCTGCTTCTATTGTGCCAAGCGTTTACTCACTGGTAATTATAATGGATCTTCATAAATAATGTTATAGACAGTGCACTCCAGACCTGCTCTATATTTTAAGGCTAATGAAATAACTTTCACTGAGCTCTTAAGCAAAATAAATTACATAATGTGGATTATTGCCAGGCTCAGACAGAGGCAATGGCAGATTCCATAACGATGGTGATAAATTCTTAAACGCAAAAGCAACACCAGAGCCAATCTTATCAAGTATGTCATATTAAGATTATCGACAGGTAGGGACCAGATGGGGGGAAAGTGGAGCCATATCCTGGCCTGCAAATCCAGGCAACAGCAGCATAGTAAGTAAGTAAATAAGTCAAACCATGATATTTAGGTGTCGACTGCATAAGTTCCAGTCATCTTGTGTAACAGTACCTTCAATGCAAACATTCAGTTTGATGTGAATTATAACATATAAGCTGTTTGCTGTCCACACAACTGTGAATTGAAATGTTTAGTTTACTGTTCATCCTGTAAGAATGTTGATAAAAAAAGGTTGCCATGGACTAGTTACTAACTGTAAAATTACAGGAGACATGGGTTTTTTTTTTGGCTCAATTGGACATTTTAAAATCACTATATTCAACTCTAAATTAAGATTTTTGTGTCACCTGGTTTGTGTTTTAGCTGGTAGCTAAGTGTAGTGAAGAATTACATATATAATGATATACATAGACAATATATACCTGCTTGTAGTCATTCTTCCTTTCTTGATTGGTAAGGAAAATATACCTCTATAAGCGTCAGTTAAGTTCAGATGTTCGGTAAGATCAATATAACATTAACATTCTAGCAAAATCCTGGGAGCCGAGAATAAATGCTGATTTGATAGAGAGTTGAAACTGCTGGTGTCAGAGGATGGTGATGAATTTCTGCTGCTGATACACTTTCAACCATCAGAGGGTGCTGCTGCACCCCTGAAAGGCCACAGCTGGAGCCGGACCTGACAGAGAGATGAAGTTTTCTGTGATGGTACACCAGCACAGCTGAGACTTATTAATGTGCAGAAGTAGTCTGCAGGGGGAAATCTGTTGTCATTTGACATGTCTTTAATCAGCGAACGAGTTCCAGAGTAAACAAAATTAAAAACAATGAAAACTTCGCCTCTAATACTGTACAGGGTTTATAGTTAGGGAACGTTCAGTCAAATCAGTTGTGTGGGGGTGGGGTGGTGTGCTCTGTATTTCTAATATTAGCATTGTTTCAATAATGGCCCATACTCGATATGCTGACTAGATTGGGCCTCTTGGCTTCAGTTGTAAATATGAAAGTGCCTTTTAGCGTCTTTTTTTCCTGTAAAGAAAATTACATAGCTGCAAAAAAAAAAAAAAAAAAAAAAACTCTAAGGAAAAAAAAACATTGCTGCATCTCGTGTTAAGTTGTGTGTTAAGATGTGCATTTGTGCAGGACACGCCAGACTTCTCTGACCAATTATTAGAAACTTCCTGCTTCCTTTGCACGCCTATTCTAGTCTCATCTCCATGATCAAAAACAACAGCTCACGATTACCAACTCGACTTTCTACGAACAAAAACAGGGGGTTACCATTACATAACGACCAGGTTTAAATATCACGCACAAATACTTTCATGGAAGATTTCCTGGTTCCTACAGCTCTGAATCTGTGATCCAGAAAAGACTATGTGACGTCAAACGTAGGAGGCAGCCAAATTAATTCACCTGATCAATTAAGTGGGGTCAGGGAGGAGGCAAATGTCTAAGCTTCTCTATCGCTCCTCCCACTTTTTTTTTTTGCTCAGGACCTGATTAATTAACAACGACAAAAAGCCCCACTAAAGAAAGTAAAGCACTCCAAGAGACATGTTCTTCTAAACCAGTGAAACCACAGGACAGCTTTGAAAGTCATGTGACTGTGCACATGCCAGCCTCACACGTCTCAATTTGTCACATACATTTTTTTCTACAGTTATATGTTCTGCATAAATGGCCGCTCCTTTACAAGGCCACAAATCAAAACGAGACTACTAGGGCTTACTACAGTTAGAGCGTCACAGGTCAAAAGTGCATCTATACCCCTGTCGATATAGTGCAGAGGAGTGATGCTGCCTCTGCAGTAGGCCAAGCTGGCGCTCTGTGCTCAACTGGGCTAGCTGTACGTCTGACCTTGCTTTGAAGTGATCTCTGTCAGTGCCGTTAGTCATGTTGCTAAGAGGCTTGCAGGCAGCGGATCAGTTTAGCACAGCCTCACCTGTCTAATCTGATTACTTCAACAAGGCTGCTATCAATCTGCAAGGCAGGGCAAACAAGAACAAACACACCATCACACTTTCATATGTTGGGGACCCTCATAACCCCTCATAGAGATGAGCAGAAGCTTTGCCATATGTGTTTGTTCTGTCTGTTGTCTTTTCCTCTTATCTTTCGGTCTTATTTCACAATTCATTATGCAGTCTCACTAGCCATTCAGCTCACCCCATCCCACCCCACCCCACCCTCAAAAGGCTTAGATTCCAGCTGTACATGCTACCAGGTCAAAAGAGCAACAGCGGACTTCCAGTGGCTTACCTTAAGATATTTCTGCCCTCTACCCCCAGCTCACATACTTCTTATGCTTTTATTAGCATTTCTGCATATGTAAGGTGCTCACACTGACCTCTGCTCTCTGACAGTTATCTATTAATATGAGGCCTGACCCAGGGGAGAAGGAAGGCTGCAGAGATGCTGGCAGGGCTGTGAAGATTAAAATAAAGGAAACTTCAGTATAATTTAGCTACCTTTTCCAAGCATCACCCTTCTCTTGGTGTGATACAATCCGAGTGGTAAAATACTGAATTTGTCAGTGTGAATGGAATTTAAGTCAGTCTACATTTTAATTAGCACTTTTAGCTGCTGTATTGTGCCTAAAGGAAGAGCCTGAGTGAAGGTCTCAGAAGGATTTGAAGTGCAGCAGCAGGGTTATATGAGGCTACAGACTTGAGCACCATAATCACTGCACCAGATTCAAGCACAGGGTGGTCACAAGCACTTCCATCATTTCAGGAAGCCACCAGGGATGAGTATGCAGTATAACTATTGTAAAGGCTTTTTTTGAATGAGGAGCTTTGTTCATGAAATTTGTTCTTAATCATTCCTTGTTACATTATGGCATGAGGTTTCTTGCTGTTATTAGTACTGCTGTGGTGAATGTATCAACTTCATCTTACTTATTGCACATGTTGGTCTGTTTAAGATGATTCTTAATCAAATACAAAGTTTTGAAGTTTTGGGTGATGAGATTCTTGACAAGATCACAAACCTTTAGTGGTGTGCCCCTCTTCAAAAACAAGATGTCAGCCAAGTGATCTGGGGAATTTATCTTTTGTTTAACAGCTTGACTAAATTGTTCCTCCTCCTTGTACTTTCATTTAAGGAGGGACAGACTATCAGAATATATTGATCAAGTTACTTTTACTATGCTCAAGTTTTTTTTTTTTTACACTTTTGAATATTTAACTCCATCAGCACCTAGGTTTACATGACAGGCCTCTACTTTCACCTTCTTTTTCGTCTCCTACGGCCCTCCCCCCACACACGCTTCCCACACTAGTATGGATTAAAAGCTAAAGAGGGCTGAGGAGTCAAAGCTCGCCGGTCCTTCCCACTCTTCCCGTCCTTTACCTGTTACCTGTTACTTCTCCTGGTCTCTGCCAATCTTTTTTTTTTTTTTAAACCAATCCAGACCCTCGATAACCCTCGCCTCTCTGCTCACGCACCGTCCCTTGCTCTGTGGTTTGGGGTGGGTCCCAGTCCAAAACAAGGACAGTGAGAACTATAGCAAAACTATTCTGCTGGAAATATTTTTCTTCTTTTCTTACCATCTTCAAGGAGCTTGGATGGAGGAGGAAATAATTTGATTCTTTTTTTTCTTTTTATGCAACATTTGGATTACCTATGATATTTTTTTCAAATGAGGGGACAAAGATAACTTTTTCTGCTGTAAACTTTTGTTTACAAAACCCACCTGGAATTTGGATGGTGCTAACCAACAACAGGCTCCAACTCTTACATGGCTCCTGTGTAGAAAAACTGCTCCAGGTCAGAACTGTGTCTTATTTAACTTTGTGTCATTCATTCTTCTAGCATTGTTTTACCACAAACTAGAGTTGTGTAGATGAGGGGTCTCAGGCAATGAGAACATTTCATCCCTTACGCTCTGTCCTTTTAGCTTTGTTTTAATCTGTTTGCAGCAGAGCTACTCCTGTCCACCAATGGTTGTTCAATCTGCTCATAAATTTGATAGTTTCTCAAAAATTACTGTGTTAATTAAATGTTCAAGTGCTTTAAGGATGGAGTATCAATCGACCCACTTTTTATTTTCAGTCGCACTTCTAAACGGGGCTGGAATATTAGTTCGTGCTCCTCTTAACCTATTAGCAACTGATAAGCCAATGTATGTATAAGCCACTCGAGAAGGCTTGTTGGTCACCTTGCTTGCTGGCTGTATTTCAGCTCAAAGACAGGGAGAGAAATCTGATCCTAGGAATTTTGTTTTTTTGAAAATGTTTCCCAATCACCTACAGAAATGGCTGCTTTACATTTATTCATACATTTAGTTCAGATTAGGCCCCATATTAGATTGTGCAAATGTAAGCTTTAGCTTCAATGACAAACAAGTATGGCCAATATATTAACTATAAGAATGTTTAGTCTACATATACTGTACATTAAAGACAGTGCTTACTGTCTATTAGTAAATGGCATATATTTCAAACCAAGGTGTGATCAGTTTTATAAAACAGTAAAGTTTATCAACCAGAGGCCACTGACAAGTTTCTGACAATGACATGTCCAAATTGATGTTTATACTTTCAGATATTCTTTCAAATTATGAAAAATTACGCAGATGAAAAGGATGGGACCTATGAAATCTTGTATGAGCCAATTTGTAACATCAGAGGCAGATAACACTTTTCTAATTCTATGCTGTGGATAACCCAAAGTCTAAATTTTTGTGAATTATTATTCAATCCATCTTGCAATGAAGGCTCATATATTTACTTTTTATTTTTACTTAAATTATCATTATCATCGGCAGATTGTTGAGGCCTTTTGCTCAAATGCCAATGATGAAACACAGGCAGCCATTTTTAAAGATTGTGAAGCAAGGTGCATCTTCACACAGTAAATGATTGCTGTATCTGCCGTCAAATAGAGCCCGACTCTACTTTTCTGTTAAATATCGAGCACTGATGTTAGCGCCATCACGCTATGTCGGTTGGGCCCAGAGGTCACTTAATCTTGAGACAGTCCCAGCAGCCGGTATAAATTTAGACCTTGGTTTCAAGAACTTCAGGGTTGACTGGAGTTAAAGAAGAGGAATCATCCAGAAAAGGATGGCTGAGAAGATGTCAAGAGCTTGACTTAAGAAGGCAGAACAGATACCAAGACCAAATTAAGACATCAAGTCCAGATTTAGCCCCACGTTACCTGGCACTTGATTTGTTAAACTCTGTGGCCTCGGCAGGGCTAATCAGCTTGCCACACACATGGCACTAATTCTTCAAGGAATTGCATTGGAATTCTGGGCACCATGTCTTATTAGAGACAGATGGATGTTGATAAGATTCAACATCACATTCTGTAAAGCAAAACAGCTTAGGATGGTGCAAGGTCAGGTCAGAGATCATTCAATTCAATTCTGAATCTATTCACTTGTATACATATTTTTTAAAATCTAGACTGGCTTGTTCACCTCAAACAGAAATAATATGTGTGTTAGAGGGAATTGCCTTAGTTTCCTGTATCACTTTAGTGCTAATCAACGTGTGAAGTTTCCAGAAGGAGTCCCTATAAAGCCCTTTTGTGTGGGCCACTGTCAGGGCCTACACAAGCTAGCTTGATAGCCCTGAAATTTTGGGTTTGGCTGCTTGTTGTTATTCACAGCCTCATTTATAACCTTTGTTCAATAAGTTATTACCTCTTATCTTTGAGTACACAATCCTAGCAAGAAACTCCCTCTGATTTTGATTCATAGAGGGATTTTGACAGCTTTGTTGTGAAGGTTTCATGAATAGAGCTCCTCTGAATCAGTGACAAAACTGGACCTACAAATGTATTTTTTTTAAACTTGCATGTATCTCAGAAGTTAAAAAAATTATAATTTCATTGACACATTTTCTAATTCTTTCCATCTTTTTTTCTCATTTTCTGGGGGCAGTGATGGCTAGGGGTCGTCTCATCACCAGTCCAGCTTTGGACTAGAGGACGGCAGAGTGCCAAGAGTGCCATCCACAGAGGCACACTCCCTGTCACAACAATCACCATAGACTCTCCACTCCTCTTCTGTGTCTGAAGCATCAGAAAAGTTGTGTGTGAAAAAAATGGCCAAATATCGAGACCCTCGCTTTCTGCACAACTTGTCCTACCACCCACGGTGGCAGCATGACTCAATAAAAGTGAAAAGAAAAAGGCATATGCGGACAGTAGCTTCAAACGTTTGCAATGAAAATAGTCGGTTAAAATCATTAGAATTATTATCATCAAAACCACAGTTGCCATGTTCCCCTGTTCAATACTCCAGCAGCAGCCGGTGGAACTGGTTTCTTATTCCCTTATTCATGGTCTCATTCCTGCCCTGTCAAGCCTGGGGGACCACTTTCAAGATGGCCCTGGTTGGACCCTGGACGTGTGACCTCTTATACTCCAAAGCCCTACCTGACCTTGCAGCACGACTAGCCACTGCCCGCATAAACAAGGACCCCTACCTCAACAAAGGCTACTGGTATGACTACACGCTGATCACTGAGGACTGCAAGTCATCCCGTGCCCTCGCTCGTTTCGCTGAGCTGGAAGGTTATGGTGCTGCCATCGTGGGCCCTGCCAACCCAGGCTACTGCTCTGCGGCAGCTTTGTATACAAAAGAGTGGGACATTGGCCTTCTGTCCTGGAGCTGCCTCAAACCCAACATGGAGAAAGGAAACATGCATCCCACTTTCCTGCGGCCTCTGCCGTTGTCCTCGCATGTGCTTTTTGCTGTGTTGCGCTACTTTCGTTGGGCTCATGTGGCCATAATCTCTGAGGAGACAGATATATGGGAAGCCACAGGACAAGAGCTTGCCTCATCACTGAGGGCCCTTGGCCTGCCTGTCAATCCTGTGGTCACTATGGATGATGACAAAGATGGGCCTCGGAGGGCCCTGACAAAAGTGAGGGATGCAGACCGAGTCAGAGGTAAGTCAAAGATGAGGAGACTTTTGCAAGAAGAGAAACGGAGCAAAAAATGTATAGCAACATTTAAACAACCTCTTCACTATTATTTTATCACATCAGTTTTGTTTTCCACCCCTTCTTCTCCACAGTCATCATCATGTGCATGCCTTCTGTCCTCATTGGTGGACAAGCCCAGTACCAACTACTGACAACAGCCTTGGCCATGCGTATGATTGACCGTGGCTATGTGTTCATCCCCTACGACACCCTCCTCTACGCTCTACCCTACAAGGATGCTTCTCACTATATGTTAGGTAATGACACCAAGCTGAGGAAAGCCTATGACGGAGTCCTCACCATCACTATGGACTCTGCAGAGCGCAATTTCTACGAGGCCTTCAAAGACGCCCAGGATAGCTATGAAATTCGTAGCAGCAGCCCTCCAGAACAGGTCTGATTCCCTTGAAGTGGTATGTGAAATATGGAAGAAAGATGAACAAGCCCACTAAAGTAAATCATCTTCTCGACTTCTCCTTTGACAGGTTTCACCATTCTTTGGCACAATCTACAACATGATGTACTACACAGCTATGGCTGCTGAGCAGGCCCGTTCCGGTGGAGGCCGTTGGGTAACTGGTCACATCTTGGGTGAAAGCAAGGGCAGCTTTGAATTTCAAGGCTTCAATCAGCATTTGAGGGCAGGCAAGGACGGCGAAGGCATGCAAGGCGACTATGTAGTACTGGACTACAGCGGCATGGGCTCCACTCTCTACTCCACTCACATTTTGAAAGCCAGTCACACAAATGGAGGGGTTGGCACTTTGAAATACCTCAGCCGCTCAATCCATTTTGCAGGAAGCACCCCCTACACAGATTCAGGCTGCTGGTTTAGCCCATACTTTGCCTGTACTGGAGGTAAGTGCACCAGGTTGCCATATCAGGAAATGAGTATATGCTGTTACACTGTACATTCAGTCCATATGAACAATGTTTTTTCTTCTCTTCTCCTCCCCAGGGATGGATTCTGTCACTCTCCTCTTTCTTTTCCTTGTGTTCATTGCATTTGCAGGCTGTGGAGTTAACTTCTTCATACGTTTCAAGTATGTACAGCAGAGCATAGAGACAGTATCTCATGTATCTCCATGTGATTATATCTCACACCTTCCAAGTGTAAACTTAAGTGATGTTTCATGGAAAAAAAAAAAAATGACTGTTTCTCTTTGTGGCTGCACAGGAAAATGGGCCGGGTCGGGTTTAGCTTCGGAGGCAGCAGTGGGTCATCAAAGGTGGTCCTGACCCTTGATGACCTAGTCTTTATCAACACGCAAGTCAGCAAACGGGTCAGTTCTGGGCCAAATTCCTGACAATACTAACCATGTTTTATGGTTTAACTCTGTTTTTTCAGTGAATGATAAACTGTTGCTATCTGACTTTTCTTCTCAAACTGCATGTGAGCAGAAGCTGAATGATGACAGTATCATGAAAAGTCAACTTGACATGAAGACACCTCACCACTCAGTGTCTGGTCGCAGCTACTTGGCCTCCACACCTGACAGCTCAAATGTTGCAGTGTTTGAGGTACGCGAGTGTGTTCTGATACATTCATAAACTTCCCTTCTCTGTCTTTAAATTCTTTAGTTTCACTAAGACTGTGTGTTGTACACCTTAGGGGGACTGGGTTTGGTTGAAGAAATGCCCGAGTGGATCAGTATCATCTATTAACAGCAGCACGGAGTACATTTTTGTTAGGGTAAGTAGATGTCAGCGTGTGTCACTTATTAAGTCAACTGATTGATGATATTTTCACAAAAATGATTAATTTCCATAAGCAAACCTCATTTCGCAGCATTAATGTTTCAATTGTCTTTCTCTCAGCTCAGAGACATGAGGCACGAGAACCTCAATCTGTTCCTGGGACTTTTCTTCGACTCTGGGATCTTCGGCCTTGTGACTGAACATTGCACCAGAGGCAGTTTGGAGGATCTGCTTATCAACGATGAAGTGCGTCTTGACTGGATGTTCAAGTCTTCCCTCTTGATGGACCTGATCCGGGTAAGAGAGACACCAGGAATTAGACTGTCCCCTTCTTTCTATTCCTTCCTACCACTTATACTGAAAAATCTGTCCTCAGGGAATGAAGTACCTGCACCATCGTGATGTCATCCATGGACGCCTCAAATCACGCAACTGTGTGGTAGATGGTCGTTTTGTATTGAAGGTTACAGATTATGGGTATAATGAGATACTAATTGCCCAAAGCATTGACAATGATGACGAAAAACCAGAGGGTGAGCCCATGAGCATCTACCAACTGATTTACTGAGTTAGCTTGTGCAGGCTGACTGTTTGTTTATTATGGTTCTTTTTTTTCCCCATAAAGATATGCTTTGGACAGCTCCTGAACTGCTGCGCAGTTCTAGTCAGAGAAGGCGAGGCACTTTCGCAGGAGATGTCTACAGCTTTGCCATCGTTTCACAGGAAGTCGTCTCTCGCTCTGCACCATTCTGCATGCTGGACATGCCTCCCAAAGGTTAGTGACATTGAAAAAAAAATCAAGGGTTTTGGAGCACATCTTTACTCCTTATTTGTACTATCTGAAAAGCTTGAGAGCCCTTGATAAAAAGTCATGCTTTGTCAGAAGAGTTCCCTGTGCTTTTCTCTTTGTGTCTAACATTCCTGCTCTATCTTGTGTGTATGTGTGTTGGATGATTGTGTATGATGACAGAGATCATCAACAAGGTGAAAGATCCTCCTCCTTTGTGTCGGCCTATTCTGTCAGTGGATGAGGCCCCGCTAGACGTGATACAGGTTTTAAAACAGGCCTGGAGTGAAGAGCCAGAAAAGAGGCCGACCTTTGAAGAGATTTTTAAACAGGTAAAGACGCGTTTCAGATTTATAATGCTGTGTACAAAAGCAGAACGCTGAAGGTGACATCCACGTCTCTGCCTTTTTTGTGACAGTTCAAGAGCATCACCAAGGGAAAGAAGACCAACATCATTGACTCTATGCTGCGCATGTTGGAGCAATACTCTTCCAACCTGGAAGATCTGATTCGAGAGAGGACAGAAGAGCTAGAGGTGGAGAGACAGAAGACTGACAGATTGATATCTCAGATGTTGCCAAAGTAAGTGTCCAGTAACTCTAATGGATGAAGGGAAGACTTACTAAAAGTGTTCAGTTCTGTTATGTATTACAGTCTCTGATCTGACAGCCCAGCATTATATTACACTACTGTAGAGGATGATGCTTTAGTTGTGCTTTTATTAACTTCATTAAGTTTGTCAAAGACTCAATCAGATTCAATACTCATTCCAGCTCAGTTGCTGAAGCCTGACATACAACAGCCGTTCAAGGTTCAATCATTCAACCTTTTCTAAGAACTTAGCTTAATCAGAGCCAGCAAAAATGTCATTGAATATAGCTTTTATCTCTTGAGCAGGAAATATCAGTCGACACAGTGAAAAAAGTGTTTTTTTTCATCCTGTCGAAGTGTCTGAATATTTCATCAGCACAAATTGCAGTGGTTTTGCTGCATTAAGCACCTGAAGGATTATTAACTCCACAAGCAATTATACGGATGTGATCAAACTCATACTTATTCTTTGCTTTTGCATATTTATCACAATTGACGCAAACGAACACCAGATACATTTGCAGGCTGTATTCTGTGGGCAGACTTTTTTTTGTTTGTTTGTTTCAGTGTTTATGTTATTGTGAGAGAGATCACGTTTATGACTCTGTTTGTATTCAAAAGGTGTCTTCCACTCTTTTTTCTCTTACAGGACTGTGGCTCAGGCGCTGAAGACAGGCAAGCCTGTCAAGCCAGAGCACTTTAGTGAGGTAACGCTGTACTTCAGTGACATTGTGGGTTTCACCACCATCTCAGCCCTAAGCGAACCCATCGAGGTGGTCGACTTACTCAATGACCTTTACACACTCTTTGATGCTATCATCGGCCTGCATGATGTCTACAAGGTGGGTTTGAGGAGTCTTGTGTAAAGCAGTGGTTCTCAAGTCCAGTCCTCGAGGCCCACTGTCCTGCATGTTTTGGATGTTTCCCTGCTCCAACACACCTGATTCAAATGATCAGCTCGTTATCAAGCTCTGTAATGGCTTAATAATGAGCTGATCATTTGAATCAGGTGTGATGGAGCAGGGAAACATCCAGAACATGCAGGACAGTGGGCCTCGAGGACTGGACTTGAGAACCACTGGTGTAAAACACACATAAAAAAATTCTAGTTGTATTTTTTTTTCATGTAGTTTATCAACATAGTAATTAAGTATTCTTTCTTTGTTGTTTTTTAGATTTTAGGTATTTTTAGTTTTAACAAAACTCTTTTGGGTTTGTACTCACTAAATTTGGATCTTTATCATGTGATATGTTACCCATGATACAATACAACACTGTACAATACCATGTCATGTCAGGACATGACATAAAACAACATGGTATAATGTGTTTCTGTTCACTTTGCAATGGTACACTACAGTACTGCAGGATTTGATATAATACATTATGATACAGCAATGTATGATATGATATAATGCAATAGGATAAGATACAAAATGATATATTATGATATAATGCAATATGGCACGGTACCACATTAAACAGTTTGATATTATATGATGTGTTACATTTATATGATAATAGTCTTTCCCCTCTTTTAGTATATTATGGAATTCATTCAGAATAAAACCTCTTCATTTTAGTGGCACTTGTTCTTTAAAACTTTGGAGCATTAATTCATAATGTAACTAAAAACCATAACATTAAATATGTGTTTTAAATGTGTTCTTTTTTTATCTTAAGGTGGAAACTATTGGGGATGCCTACATGGTAGCCTCGGGAGTCCCAACCAGAAACAGTAACCGCCATGCAGCTGAGATGGCCAACATGTCTCTGGACATCCTCCACTGCATAGGAACCTTCAAGATGAGACACATGCCTGAATTAAAAGTTAGGATCCGTATTGGCCTGCACTCTGGTGAGCAATATCTGCATCTATACTGATGTGTTTCCACTTTAACCTTTGTGACAAATATATATAATGAAATCAGTCTTGACTTCATATCAGAGTAGGTAAAAGTTAATACGCTGCAGTGAAATACAGGGACACAAGCTGCTAAGGCAGAGGGGTATTTTTACCTCCTTTATCCTCGTCTGGAACTTATTCCTGGAACAGTGAAACGCTATCCACTTAGAGAGCTGTCATCCAATTAACACACTGCATACTCTGTATTTCTATGATTTTGTGTTTGCCTATGGACTAGATGGTCAAATTTCACCTGGAAAATTTCTTCTCTCATGAATTTTGTGGATTTATTAAAATACAAAGTAGTTACAGAATATTAAACTAACATAAGTAATTAGATAAAAGAAATAAAAACAGAGTTGTCAGGGTGCCAAAATTCTAATATTTGACAAGCAAATATGGTTCACTGTTTAGTACATTGTGTGCCAAGAGTAACCGCCTGAATCAAAGCCCAGTTAACCTTTGTTTGTATCTGTATGTCTTTTTGCACGCAATGTTTGCAGGCCCAGTGGTAGCAGGAGTGGTGGGTCTTACAATGCCAAGGTACTGTCTGTTTGGAGACACTGTCAACACAGCATCTCGAATGGAGTCCACAGGGTTGCGTGAGTGTCTCATATTTGCTCATGTTTGGACCACAATATTCTTCTTTTTTCCCACTTTTTTGACTGAGTGGTTGGGAGGTCAGGTGTAGTTAGTGTGCATGCTGCTTGAGGCTAAACAGGGCTTTAAGTGCACAGTCCTTACTAATCCTTTAAGGCTATCAGCAGAGTCAGAGGCCAATTTGAAGTTTCAGTCAAATGTCGTCAGTGACCAAGTTTGCCTCAGGTTCCCTCTGCATGCTGTTTAAATCAGAAATAAAGGCATGAATTTACAGAATATTAACTATGATTCATATAAAATACTAACATTTGATTTTGCTGCCAGGCATAATGAATGTAATTATTTGAAAATATTTATATATATTAGTAGAGCTTTGTTAGACATGATAGAGAAAAGATACCTTAAGTCTGAGAATTGGGGGCCAACATGAATAAAAATATGAACTAACTTTTAAAATACATATTTTCTAGATTTGTGAAAATAGTTCAAGCTAGATATAGCTGGTGATAAAAAGTAGCAGTATTGTAGTCTACAAAACCGCATATGAAAAATATTCATAGTATTTGTCTTTGCATCAGTCTAAATTTGGTTACATTGGTATATACAATAAAAATCTATATTTTAATGGAAATAATTGTCTTTTTATTCATATTTATACATACCTTTTACCAGAAGTTTCAGTTATATTAATATAGCTCCATTATATCAGTGTTTGTGCTTTAAGTAGCGAAGCAGTGATGAGTGGTCTACTGCCACCAAGTGGTAGAATATAGAAATTGCAACCTGATGCTTTTAATTAACTCATATAATCGTTTTTAACTTCAGTAAAGTTCAGAGACCAAAGCAGACTCCACCTATTTACCAAATGACAAAGATATCTGACCATGAACAGTCTGATGAATTTCTGTATTGTTCTATGACAGCTTACAGAATCCATGTCAACCAAAGCACGGTTGATGTCCTGAATAGCTTGAAGTTGGGATACAAGATTGCAGTCCGAGGCATGACTGAATTAAAGGTAAATTAAAAATATATATGAAAAACATAAAAATGTACTTTTTTGTCATTACTATATCTCTTGACCACCTGTAACATCATTTTTAGGGAAAAGGTATTGAGAACACTTACTGGTTGGTAGGAAAGGACGATTTCAATAAGCCTCTTCCCATTCCTCCAGATCTTCAAGGGTAAGAGATTGTTTTGTTGCCTCTCAATTGTATCACAATGATTAGTCCAAGATAACCCATACATTGCATGTGCCATATACTTGTGGTTTGAGATTACAGCAGTGCAATACAGCTCTATAACTTACTTGTGTATATGGCACATTGTGTTGTGCACTAAATCTGTGTCAAAGTACCTAAAGAGCTTTTTTTTTTCTGAATGCAGGGGAAGCAATCATGGTATAGCTTTAGAGGAGATACCTCCTGACAGAAGACAGAAATTCCTGGACCGACAAAAGAAGATGGGCTAGCATGTTTTTATTTTTTTTCCAATATGAACAATACGATTTTCTCAGTCGAGGACACGAGGATGCACGGATAAGGAGTCAAATACACAACGGCAGGTTACTCCAACTTTGGATATGCTTAAAAATGAACTCCAGCAGCAACAGCAGAAATGCATCTTTTCAATACACTGAAACCATTTTCTGTATAAAAATAATCTTGCTTGGCGATTATCAGTCCCTTGTTCGTAGTTTTAGCAGATTGATGCCACTGTAAACCCTTCATGGCACTGAGACGCAGGAATAAGGAAAAACGGAGGCGACAGTCCATACTGAAGAGTGTCAAGAGTTGTCTTAGTTCTGAAAAAGGTGTTGGTTTGGAGAACAGCGAAGGCCTGACAATAAGGAACTGTGCTGGATGTGTCCAAAAGGGAGACGGCATCATCCAAAAGGTCATGTACTGTATATATTTACACTGAACTTTGTGCTCTGTAGAAGTATCGGAGAGATAATTCATCTCAGGTAAAATGGACTCTCACTTGAAGAACATTCACTCTTCATTATTCAACCCAAAGTATATTCACAAGCAGAGGATGTCAGGAGGGAGAGTGACGGACAAAGACTGGCTTTGGTTTGAGTGAATGTTTATTTACACATCTGATGTATGAAGCCATAATATCCATGTCAAACTAAGCACCTGGTTTGTTTAGCTCTAAGCTATGTAAATATAGATGTAAGAAACTGTATCTTTGGTTGATGGGTTTGTTGATATTTTTACTCCACTTCTTAGGAGTTATTCATCCTAACTAATCAGTCTGACTAATTATATCTAGAGACAAGGATGTGCTTAATGACAAATAAGATTTAGAGAAACACCATAATGGGACTGACATGGTATTGTTCTTTAAAAAACATGACTTATGTGCATGCACAGCTCATTTTTTACCTTTATTATGCCCACAGTATGTGTCATTTTCAATTATGTGTGTATTGCTTTGACGTTATTATCACACTTTCTACCAAACTGTAAAAGACGCACACAGCATGCGAACTAGCCCTGAAGCTTTTTTTTCTACCATCAGTGAGGCACTCTAGCTTGTCCTATAACTGAAACCTGCTGCTATAACTGAAACACTGTAACACTGTGTATCAAATTTAGCCATGTATGCTGTGTGTTGCACCAGGTCTTGATAGGAGGGTCTGATTACTGTGACATACAATATATTCTCTTGGCAGAATAATGGGTCAGATGTCTGGAATGATCATCTCTAGTAATGTGCTGCAGCAGATCGAGCCTTTTCATGTGCATTGCTGTCTAAAGGGACATATCTGGCTCCATATTGAGCTTCTCAGCAGTTATCATTTCTTTCTGCAGTCCAGGGCCCTAAACAGAGACTGTACCTGTAGGTCCTCTGAGGAAAAATACGCACTAAGCTCCTCCTGTGCCCAACTCTAGGGGGACTGTGTTGATTGTTGCAGAAGACAGCGAGGATGCGTGCACACAAAAAGGAGAGTACAGGGTCTTCTGAGTCATCTCTCTTTTGCTGGGAGATTTGTATATTCTGTAAATTTGTACATATAGCTTGTCTTTGTGTCCTGCATGGTTGGGACTTTTAGTGAAATTTAACTTTTATTGAACTCCCTAAACTCCTGACAAAAAAAGGAGATATCAACAAAACAGGGGTTTAAATACAATGCATTCTCTCTTGCTTTTGTCTGCTGCTGCACTGATATTGACGCAACAATGGGCAGGCGAAGTCAAGACGGGCTTTTTCTCCAAAAACAGTTTGTTTTTTTTCTTTGGGAGCTTTCTGCTGACTGCTTCAACCATACACTGACTTGTCAAAGTTAGCTCAGAAAGAAAAGGACTTTTGATGTCTTGATTATCAGGTTGCTCATGCTTTGGTGTTTAATCCCCAGCACTCGATCTTCAAGCATAAATTAACCCCTGACTAGGAGGAAATATTGGAATCTGGATGAAGATGAAGAAGATATCTGAACAATATTTTGATGGGTATCTTAAGAACAAAACAAGTTACTCTATTCCATAGATAGGCTCTACTTTTCTAGGTTTTTATTCAATTTGCCAAATAGATAGATCTCATCAAAAATGAATGGACTGTATGGTTCATTTTGAAAGTGATCTCAATGTGTGTCTGTAAATAAATGATGGTTTTAGTGAAGATGGTGTCTAAGTATGATTATCTCATTGTTTACTTATGAGTCTTTCTGTGTTGAAGCCATTCTCCCAAATGTTGCCCTGGCTGCACACTTCATTAAGAATCAGAACAAGTGGAACAACAAATTAAAAGTTCAATAAAGGACAGTTAATCACACTGTAAATTCTAGTCAAGCTATTCTCTGCTTGGCATCCATACATTTGTGGCTTATTTCCTCTAATCTGATTTATAACATTAATTATGACAATTGTTTTTAGGCAGGTTTTAACATGGAGCTAAAGAGAATGACATCCTTAAAGCATCAGCTAAATTTAATCTCCTCATATGAAGACGCAGCAGCAACACAATTGCAGTCTGCTAAAGTGACGCGTCACCATAAATCTTTAAGCAAGTTACAGGGATGTTAACAAGATTAGGGCTGGCTTGTGTTTTACTTTGGCAGGTGTGACTCTGCTTTTTTCATGGTGGAACAATCCCATGACAAAGTAGGATTGCTTTACCCAGTGTAACTCTGGAGTAACATGCTGCGTGTTGTAAACAGACCCCATTTTGTTAACGTTTGTCCTCAAATAATGCTGAAGATTCAACATTTTTTATGAGATTCAAACTGCCTTGTGTGACTTCCAATGACAAACTTAAAGCTTGTGTAAGTTTTGAAACGAAGAACAGCTTTTCACATTTATAAAGCATAACAATTAAGGAAATCATGAATTCTAGAAAGTAGCCATTTGCTTCCTGTAGCAGCTAATTAATTGTCCTATAAGGAGTTTTTTTATCATGTTAATGAAGTAAACTGAAATTCATATTGATGCCTTTCATGATATCCAGGAGCAAATATGACTGAAAGGGACAAGATGTACAATTTGGATGTTGTCATTTTCATTGCCTGAAACAGGCATAAGGGGGTAGTTGGCAACTAAGGAGCTAAAAAAAAGCCGTTTTTACAGTTTCCACATAATATATTCACAAGGGATTAAACATTTGACTGTCAGAAGTTGGCAGGATGAGATTAATTGTCAAAAGACAGGATTTAAGTATTGAAAGAATAAAATAAGCAATGACTGCTTTGTCCAAAGGTGGTATCAAAACTGGCAAAAACTGAAAGTCCTAACAGGAGCTTTAAGTCAGGGGATCGTCTCTTAAGAATCTTAAAATAGAATCACAAAAATACTCTAATGCGAACTATAGCAGCATAAAATACGAAAATATTTTAAAGGGAACTCTGTAAAGTTATTAAAATGTTATTTTGTGAGTCAGAATAGAAAAAAAGTCATGTGTATATCAGTAGGGGGATTATCTACAAGCTCCTATTTCTGCCACTAGCAAGTCACCATGTAAACAACAAGTGTTACCGGCTACCTCGCCAACACCATTTTTGGCACTTTGGCTTACAGGCTGGAGAGCACCTCTAAAAACAAAAGTCAGGGGCATGTTGCTTCAAAAGGGTAGCATGAGGGGCAAAGTCAATACAACCAGCCCTATCTATGAAAAATACTCATTCCTTCATTAAAATTGGTTGACAACACAAACATCACCCTCACGTTATATCGGGCGTTGTGCAACAACAGGTTTTGGAAATTACACTGGGGACATGTAAGCTGATTCAAAGGTTAAATAAAAGCTTGTTTTATTTTATACCTCACCAGGTTTTAAACATGAAGTAGAGTGAAATTTTACAAAATGCAGGACCTCCCTACACCCAGTGAAAACTAACCAACTATTACCTTTACTTTAACCTCATCAAAACTCTGCTCATAAATGTTGAACTTCAGGCTATTTTAATGACACAACAACCTACATAATCAGAGTTTTGGCAACCCCACTGACCAGATTGCTTGCTAGTGTGTTTCTCTGTCATGTTCTAGATCAATCTGTTAACTGGCTTTACCAACCTGCCTACTCTTGCCCTAATGTGACCCACTGAGCTACCCGGTGTTTCTGTCAGGTTTGAGACCGCTCTGTTTTCCTTTGGCTGCTTGACTTCCCGGATGGCCATCTCTTTTTTTGGGTGTCCTTTACTATGCTTAGACCTGGCTCCGTTGCTGCTGCTCTCATCTGGGTCAGAGAGAAGATCTGTGTCTGCACTATCTACAACACACACACACACACACACAAAAAGAGCTTAAGTATCAATATACAACTTAAACTATAACAGTGGCTTGTAATGATGTTGGCTTTTAAAAGGCTGCTCCGCAATTTCATCATTGGGGAGTCTTCTAGGGAGATCTCTGCTCAGGGAGACTCTGCTAAACAGCTGGCAACGTGTTTTAAAAACCCAGATTCAGTTGGCAAAAACTTTCTTTCTACCTGCTTTAGAGATGGGAACCTCCAAGAGAACTAAACCTAACCCCAGTCAGGGTACAGCCTCTCTGTGACACAGGTTTGCTTTTTGATGCTTCCTGGAAATCCACCCATAAAAGGAGTAAAAAGAAAGTCTGATTCAACTTGACTCATGAAAATTTTATGCTGGTCTAAAAGAATCCTGTGCTAGAGTACAGAAATGCAAAAGTACACAAATGAGATGCCACTTAAGTCAGAAAAATTTTGTTTTTTTGAGTTAGCTAGTCCTAACAGACACTGTGCAGGAAGAGATCATTTATATTCAGTTTCTGACACTATTTAAGCATTTCTGAGATGGCTCTTCAAACCCTCTCCTTTAAAGCTTTTACTCATGTCCACCAACAAGACAACAGGTGACTGTTTCAAATGCTCTTTCTGTTCATTCACAAGCTCTTTGACTGAAGGTTTGTATCAGACAAGCACCTCCAGACCCGAGGCCACCCTTAACCCAGGATCAAACCCTACATGGTTCATCACGACCACAGACATCAGTCAGAAAGAGGCACTCCAAGCTCTCTGGTGAAAGCTGGCATTCAGACCACCTGAAGGGCTGGCACTGACTCAACCTGGTGTTTGATGTAGCTCCTTAATGAAACTGTGGTGGACACAATTTGGGTTGAAGTGCCACCTGCTCAAGACATCATGACCAGCTAATTGATGCCAAAGTTCTATGTTGTTAACTTGGTAACCTACCTTTACATGCACCAATCAGGTTTTGATGTAGTCGGTCAAGGGGGTTTCTCAGTCCATCCAGCAAGTTTGGAGGTTGCAGTTGTGTGAGTTTATGTATTTTATGCAACCTTACAATTATGGCCAAAAACTGCAGCTTTTCTACAACTTGACCAATCACCCAATTTTTCCCATAGGAACAAAATATTGAATTGCCTCTGTAATCTTTAGAAGCATGTCAGGTTAGGATAGTCTGGCATGCCAGAAACTCAACCTACTAAGGAAACTGCCATGCTACTGTACTCCCTGGCCTTTTGTTAGTTTGGGGGTCTTTGTTTAGTCACAGCCAAGCTGGGTCTCCTGGTTATCTCTCTCCTCACTCAGTCAAAACATCTTTTGTTGAATATCTTCTTTGTATTTGTTTATCCAAATTAAGAGCCAATAAGTGCCACTCTACATACTGTACATATTGGCAGATAATAGCCTTGAAGGTTAGTTTTCAGTATCAGCAGATCTGACCATTTCCACAGACAAAATTGTCGACCAGAAAGGAGATGCACAAATTCCCCACAGTCAAAGTTTCACTTTTGTGTTTGTGCTCTGACTGTAATGTAACCAAACCCTAAAAAAAAAAATCCTCCTGAAAAGATATTTGTTATAGTGTTTGAATTTCTTAAGGAATAGTCCCTATGAACAAATCTGAGAGAAAATTGTAGAATCAGTACTCAGGGGTCTAGATTTAAATTGGCTTTGGTGTATGCAGGAAAAACAGCCTTTTACAATGAGCAGAAACATCTGTGTAACCTAGCAATGCTTTCTTTACCTCTATAATTGTTATCTGCTTACAATCCTTCTTCAAACAACAATTCAACTTGTGCATCAAATCTGCCCCACTTTGTGTCACCAAAGTCAGGCACACTCACCGTGTTCCCTGCTACATCAGAAATTATGGATCTGACCTTCATCCTAAAAAAGACATTTCATTTTTTTTTCTCTACTGCACAGGATGGACTTGATCAAGCCTAAATTTTAACACTATCCAACATTTTGATATTGATCTTAAAGGGGATCAAATACATGTAAAAAAAAAAAATTCTCTGTCATATCATTGTATAACATAACATATGAACATAAACTTAAATACTAGATATCAAAACCACTTCAACGCAGTTTAAGAGTTTTCCTATTTTTGCACCTTCACTGTGTGGATCAGTAAACTGCATGCATTTAATTGCCATTTTACAGCAAGACAACTAAAACACGACAGTTCATGAGTCTTCATCAGCCCTGACCACTCCAGCAGCATGTTCTATGCCACTTGTCTGCCTGTTTTTTTTGTGTGTGTCATCCCTCATTTGGTTAAAAAAATACGACTTTAGCTGTCTGGTCGTCCGCAAATTTACAAACAAGGTGTTTGTCTGCTGAACACCGTGTTCCTCCGTGGACCTCATCAGTCCTGAAGCCTCCCCTGATATTTGACTGGCACCGGCTTAGAGGTGCCAGTCAGGCAGAGGCTGCGTCAAGTCAAGCAGTAAGAGCTAGGAGAAACCGGAAACTGAGCGCATGGGTTTTCAATATAAAAGCATTCAATGACGCTCGCGACAGTTTGCTACAGAGACAGAATAATGGTTATTAAAATGAGTTTGTAAAATGTCAGTTCATTGTATTTAAATAAATGACATTACTAGAAAAAGTCAAGTTGAAGCAGCTATTTTATGTCTCTGCTGTCCATTTGGTAAGCTGGCTAGTACACGGCTAACTGGAGCTAAAACTTCAATTACAGCTAGTAAATTGAAAACACACTGTAGGAATTCTTATGTCAAATAATCGTACGACAGTTTTAGAAAAACTGACTTTGATGCACAAATATAGCAATGAGGTAACGCTTAGTGACAAGGTCGACTTTGCAAACTGGCTTAACGCGCTCCATAAACATAAACTCTGTCCTAAAACACATCATGTTCCAAACTCCAACCGAAAAGGAATATTCCGGCGTAAAATTAATTTAGGGTCAAACACACCGTAAGACTGAGTTAGACACCCCCTCGAGTGATGAATGTTGCCGACTGCTTGCTTCTCTAGTTATACCAACTTCAGTAAGGACCGCACGATAGCAATACACAGCAGTCTGAGGAGCCACACACAACCCTCAACCAAAACCCCACTCTATAGCCACAAATAATGCTCAGAACAGCACCTAACTTCATCAACAGTACATATAGGGTCCTAGCCACAGCACTAGCCACCAAACATCTTTTTAACTTTGCCTGATTTCTTTAGCTAAGAGACTAAACACAACTCACCTAATATCTTTAGCAGCCGCTTGTTTGTAGCGAGACCTCGGGCGAGCCCATTACGGACTACAGTGGGGTGACACAGCTCAAGGAAGAACATTTATGATCATTACTTCATGGAAATGCAATCAGACCGAGACGCTAAAGCAGGAGAACTACTGCGTCTGCAGTGCAAAATGATTAATATGATCATTACTCTAAGGAAATGATAAAGTAATGATCATAAATGTTCTTCATTGAGCTGTGTCACCCCATTGTAGTCCGTAATGGACTGGCCCGAGGTCTCGCTACAAACAAGCGGCTGCAAGAGGGGAGTGGGTAAGTTGTGTTTAGTCTCTTTGCTAAAGAAAATAGACAAAGCTTAAAAGATGTTTGGTGGCTAGTGCTGTGGCTGGGACCCTATATGTACTGTTGATGAAGTTAGGTGCTGTTCGGAGCATTATTTGTGGCTATAGAGTGGTGTTTTGGTTGAGGTTTGTGTGTGGCTCCTCATCCATAAAGTTGGTCTAACTAGAGAAGCAAGCAGTCGGCAATATTAATCTCTTGACGGGGTGTCTGGCCCTAAATTAATTTTACGTCGGAAAATGCCTTTAATGGGTGGCAGATTTTGGCATTTTTTAAAGATTTCGCCTGTTTGTGGCCGAATGCTACGGTTCACCTTGGATTTTAATTTGAAAGCGTCTACCGGAAGTCCACTTTCCACTCCGCCGTACTTCACAGTGGTTAGTGGACTGGCTGTGGGCAACCTCAGACAGGTGGAGGAGACGTCCTGAAGCAACTGAACTGCGCCGTGGACGGGCTTGTTCGGGCAGGACTGGGACCGGTACTGGGCGAGCAGCGGCGGATGCTGTGCACGCTGTGCGCGGATCCTTCTGCAGCTGCTGGATTCAGAGAATGAGACCAGATGCAAAACATGCTTTGGTTGATTTTTCCATCGTGAGCCTTCGCTCGTATGCTGGACGGTTTAATGTGGACATGGGGAGGACGAGGGATGTAGTGGCAATGGATTAATGAGGAGTACACTCAAACTTCGGCATTTTTCCTCAGATTACTGGCTTCTAATATTTTCACCCTGCTTTGGCCATGGAGAACCAAGCAGCAGAGCCGCAGAACTATGAAGACGTACAGAAAAGCGGCTATCTCCGCAAGCATAAATCAATGCACCGGCGGTTCTTCGTGCTGAGGGCGGCCTCGGAGCATGGTCCAGCTCGACTGGAGTATTATGAAAACGAGAAGAAATTCCGCAGTAAATCACCTGTGCCCAAAAAAGTCCTGAGCCTGGAGACCTGCTTCAACATCAACAAGCGGGCAGATTCCAAAAACAAGCACATGATAGTCCTTTATACCCGCAGCGAGAGCTTTGCCATCGCTGCAGACAGCGAGGAGATCCAAAATGAATGGTACCAAGCGATGCTGGACCTTCAGTGCAACTGTAAGACATGAGAAGTGTGATGTGATTCCTACTGTCTGTTTCTGCATCAGGCCTATCCTGCCGTAGGCTGTTTGTTCTCCATACTATTTGGCTCGGCCATTCCTGACTGCTTATTCCATATCACCTGATAGAATTGCTTCAGTATTTTGCTGCAGGTCTATTAAACACATTTAATCTAAAAGAAAAAAAAATCAACATCCTAGGAACAGAAATGCAATTTGAACGGTGTGTTTTTAACCAATAGGCAGGTGGATCCTTCTGAACGGGGTAGACCAACACGCTATGGGCGGCATGTGCTGTGTTTGTGCAGCACAATCCCAATTTATTACAGTTGTAACCTGCGGATAATTTTCAAACAGAAAAAGGCAATTTTATGCATCAAATTACATCTATGTGCAATAATAATAATCAGAAGATCGTCTTCTCTGTCTTATATGCAGCCCTTGTCACACGACGGAGTATTTTTGCATGGCGCAGTGGGCATATAGCAACCATCCAACGGATGCATCATATAGTAGTAGCCTATCGTGGTGCACTCCGCTGAAGCCTGTGTTTTTGTTTTTCTGCACAGCGCTGACTGCCGCTCGCCTAACCTACATTTGTGTTGCACGGTGCTGCTGCTGGTAGGGAGGAGAGGGCATCGTCAGTGCGCTCTCAGTGAAAAATGTGTTTCTGTTGGTTATCCTCGTGTTTACGTTGTTATCCTTATGCTGGAGCCAAACGCCGCCACCCACCCTCCCTGTTATCCTCAGCATTTCAGTAAGAAGAGACTGATGGGCTTGCCCAGCTTTAATGTTGTCAAGTAGAAGGACCCTGAATAGATTCACATCAGAGAACTGACCCCCATTTTGTTGAGATTATTTCTTAAGACTGCCACAGTGAAACATTTTTTTCTTTAATTCAGCAAAAAGCCGTTCTTGTGCGCATATAGGGCCATAAATGAAGACTGGAACATATGAATCTTTACAGTGGGTTAAGAGGGGATCCTCTCATCATCTCTAATACATGTAATATTTTCAAAGGAAGAGAGAAAAACACTAGATGTTGCTCAGTGGATGGATTTTGAACAGCACTATTAGTCACCAAATTAAATAGCATTTTTAAAATTAAATCCTGTAATTTTTGATGTTGTTGGCTTTGGACTGAATTAAAACACAGCATTTTAAAACACAGCGTCAAGCTGTATAATTATATACATATTCTGCTCTTTATAAGACATCAAGAATTAATTGTTATACTGTAGTGTTAGTGAAAATGAGTTTGCTGCAAAATAGTTACATTGCACTTGTAATGTGTGCATGCAGCATTTTATTCCAAAAGATGGACAAAAAATGTTATATCACTATATTTAATACTGGGGTTGTCATTATAGCCTTCATGAACATTTCAACAAGTTTTGTTTTTAATTTAGATGCAGAGTCCTTAGATTAATATCGATGATGTGCTTTTAATTTCCCTCCTTTTTGTTTTTATTTACAGTATTTCTCTTTTTTTTTCTTTTTTTTTTTAGGTAAAACTCCTGAAGATTACGGCAGTAGTGGGGAGTGTAGCTCACCATCTCCTGTTCCAACTTTCAAGGAAGTATGGCAGGTCAAGGTTTGGCCTAAAGGTCTCGGACACGCTAGGAATTTAGTGGGCATATATCGGCTGTGCCTCACCGACAAGACGGTCAACTTTGTCAAGCTCAACTCTGATGTGGCATCTGTGGTGTTGCAGCTGATGAATGTTCGCAGGTGTGGCCATTCAGAGAATTTTTTCTTCATTGAGGTGGGTCGCTCAGCAATCACCGGCCCAGGAGAGTTCTGGATGCAGGTTGATGACTCAGTTGTGGCTCAGAACATGCACGAAACCCTGCTGGAGGCTATGAAAGCCCTGAGTGAGGAGTTTCGTCAGCGGAGTAAATCTCAGTCTGTTGGCACATCATGTGGAGGTGGTACTGCCTCAAATCCCATCAGTGTCCCAAGCCGTCGTCACCATCCCAACCTACCACCCAGCCAGGTTGGCTTTTCCAGACGAGCTCGCACAGAGACCCCTGGAGGCAGCAGCACGAGCACTTCACCTACGTCACGCCACGGTTTCCCAAGGGCACGAACTGCCAGCATCGGTGCCAGGTCAGAGGAGAGTGGAGCAAGTGCAAGAGGGACATGGGCAAGCTCTAGCCCAAGTCTTAATGGTTCCTGTTCCACTACACCAACACTAAGGCCCAAGCCCACCAGGGCCCCGACTCCTGCTAAGATAACCCTCAGCCTTGCACGTTACACTCCGAACCCTGCCCCCTCTCCTGCACCAAGTCTGTCCTCCAGCTCTGGGCATGGCTCAGAGTGTGGCCTGGTGGGGGCAGCAGTGGGAGGCATGACAGTCTGCTCCTATCCCCGTGTTTCTCAGAGAGTCTCTGTTTCAGGTTCCCCTAGTGACTATGGCTCATCAGACGAGTATGGTTCAAGTCCAGGGGAGCACTCTCTGCTTGTTCCTAACCTCTCTGGTCATCATGTGCATGGAGAAGGCTCCTCTAGCTACATTGTGATGGGACAGCGGGAGGGCCTCCTCGGTTCCCACCACCGCTCCAAAGGTCGTCGGATTCTGAGGCGTGCATCCAGCAGAGAATCTGAGGCAGAGCGCAGACTGCTGAGTAAGAGGGCTTCACTTCCTTTGGCAGCTCACGAACGACTAATTCCACACAGAAAAGATGAAGATGATGAGGATGATGAAGAATACGCCATCATGTCGCAGAGTTCCAACCAAGGCAGGCAGCGTGATGCAGGGGAGATGAGGAGGGCTGACAAGAGTAGGGGAGAAGCAGACCCAGGGGCAGCTGTGGACAGTGGCTATATGTCCATGTTGCCCGGGGTGACGTCTCCTCCTGTCTCTCTCTCCCTCTCCATAGGTATGTCTGACCAAAGTACTAAACCTGGGGCAGATGATGAGTACATGGCCATGACCCCCAACAACAGCGTGTCTCCCCCTCAACACATCCGCCAGCCCAGCTCTGAGGGCTACATGGTCATGTCTCCCAACAGCAGCAGCTCCACCGACCTGCACGGACTGGGCATGTGGGATGGCAGGGGCAGCATGGAGAGCCGGGCAGCCAGTGATTACATGAACATCTCACCTGTTTGCAGCCGCTCTGCCTGCAGCACGCCACCCTCACATCCTGAGCAGCACCAACTACAACCAAAAATGTTCAATTCCTACTTCTCCCTGCCACGAGCCTATCAGCATACTCTCTATTCTCGCTTTGAGGAAGACTTCAACAAAGGAGAAGGAAAAAAGGACAGCAGTGGGCATGAAACTGCTGGGAGGGGAGGGGGAGTAGGATACAGCAAGAGGAACAAAATTGCAGTGGGCTCTGCTGGAGGCTGTCAACTCTCCATGTCTTCCTCCTCGTTCTCCTCCAGCTCAGCCAGCAGTGAGAGCCTGGAAGACAAATCCATGTCAGCAGGGAGGGGGTTAAGTTTGTTGAGAACCGGAGCGGAGTTCAAGAGTGCGGGAACATGCACAAAAGAAGGGCGTCACCATCAAAAGCGTGGATCAAGCAGCAAGAGCCCTAAGCAGCAAAGGAGGGGTCGTCCCCTGAGCATGGCTTCAGACATTGCTAAAGCAAACACTCTGCCCAGGATGAAGGAGAATCTGCTGCCGTCAGTGTCTCAAAATGTTGGTGAGTATGTCAGTATTGTGTTCAAGGAGGACAACAAGTATGACAGAGGACGACATGCGGGATCAAAACACGGACAACCTGTGATCCATGGGACTCTCCGTCCCATCAATCAACCACTCCCCTGCCACGATAATCCCTCTAACCTTCCCCGAAGCTTCTCTGCACCCTTGTCCTCCTCTACTGAGTACGTCAGCATGGATGTTGGGAAGCCCTCAATGCCCCTGACTATTGTGAGATCCACATTCAACACTCCACAGGGCCCACCAGCTGTTGCCCCTAAGGCCCGACATGAACAGAGCACGTCCTCTCCTCTGGCTGCAGAGGGCAATGCCAGTTACAGGACAAAAGTTAAGATGGCAGCATTGCCAACAGACACCCCTACCCAGTTTACGGACAACAAAGGTTCAGATCCCAGCATTTCAGCGAGACCCGTGCACTCTGGTCAACCCCTATCCATGGATCAGGAGACAGGCTTGGGTTTTTCCCCAGTCAAGTCCTACCAGTCTCCAGAGAGGAGCAGCAGATTGGTGCGAGGTGACCAGCAGGGACGACAGACCCACCGCTCAGAGACTTTCAGCTCACCTCCCTCTCTTCCACGCCACCCACCCTCTTCTACCTCCCTCTTCCCAGAGGGCAGCCAGGCAGCGAGCCATCGGCACGGTTTGGATTGCTCACTGTGGGAGAACAGGCAGCCAGCTGGTTTATCTGCCACACCTCCACCAGAAGCCTCCACCTCGTCTGGTGAACAAGGCCTTAACTATATTGACCTTGACTTGGCTGTTAAGGAGAACCCTCAAGCTGGAGTGGAGCGAACCCCTGCCGCCTACAACATCGGAGGAGGCGCGATGGGCGGCAGTACTGGCTCAAGCCTCAACACTTACGCCAGTATTGATTTCTATAAGTCAGAAGAACTGAGAGCACACCAGACCAGCAGAAAAGATGGTCAAGGTAAGACAAACTGACAACACAGACTCAGCTTATCTTAAAATATCTATCAAATAATGAGCGAGTGAGGCCCATGACTTTTCATGTGAGTCCTGACCAAGGTATGGAAAATAAATCAAAGTCTTTTTGATACATTTTTCATCCAACGCCACACAATGTAAACTCATGGGCTTGGTCCACATAGCAATAAAGCAGTAAATAATATTGGTTATTACATATTAAATCCGTATATCCGGGCTGTTACTGCTTTTATTGGACAGGACAGGAAGGTGGAATGAGGAGAGTGACCACAGCCAGCATAACCTCTGTATGTGAGAAGCCAGGCCAGCGGGGCCCTGATACGGTGGTTTCTTAGTAACATTTAAAGTGATTACTGAGCTGCGGCTGGTTGGATTTATCTGAAATTGTACAATTTAAAGGTTGTATTGGGATTTTGGCACCCATTCGTCAACAAAAAAATTGAACTCAAATTTGTGAAATTATCGTCTTTTGTTAGCGAAAAAGAAAATAATTTCTCGCTTGTATTTCTTGACTCCTTAGTCATGACAAAAGACTCTTTTTTTCTCCCCTTTCTGGAAGTTTATTTTAAGTGGTGCTGCAAGAATAAATTACCTGGCAAAAAAAATTTTTTTTTTTTTACTACATTTTACTTTTCACTGATTCAAAATGCTGTTTTACAGTATCTTCAGTATCTTCTGCCTTTACTCTGGTGATATGATAAACAAGAAAAAGAGTTAACAGCTATAAACGTCTTTAAAGAAGGGAAACAATGAATTTATAAGACAATAGTTATAGATAATTTGACATTAATAGATAATTTCAAGGTTTTTGTCAAAATACATTTTCTTTTAGCTGAAAAAAAATTAACTTAAGGACATTTTGAAAATAATTTGTTCAACCTTTTTGGCCTGTCATCTCCTACCCCCTGCTCCTTATATTGTCAGTCCTCCTTCAGCTGTCCTTTCTAATCAGAGAAAAATACCTGAAAAAGTGCTTATTGTGCCCTTTTAAGATTAAAAAGATGAAATATTCAACAGTTTTATTATTCATACACATGTGTTCTGATTGATGAAGTGATCAATAGCTACATCAAGTACAAATCCGCTGATCGACCAATAATTTTGGTATCTTAGATGATAACTTTGAAAAAATAAGAATGCAGAATAAACATATTTCAAAGTAACTGGATGGAAAAACTCTTCAACCTCTGGTTCTTTGTCGGATGTAAGCCTCTAACATGATGTGCATAATCCACAGACAAAACTCCTGTCTGGGTCTTAGTCACTCCTTTTCATTCTCCTTTTCATCCTTTTCCTGATGTGTACCTTTGCTTCAAGCTGGAGGGCAGCACAGTGTTTCGGCTGTGGGTTGTCTGTAGAGTCTCTTATTAGCGCAAGTGGGTGTTCAGAGAGCAAAGCCAATTGATTTGTCTGCTGGTAATGAGCCATTTCACATAAATGGAGGTAGAGGGGACAGAACACAGACAAGGTGTTTATGTTCATGTGTGGGTGTGCTATTGGCTGCGGGATTTCACACGGTAGCTCAAAGGGTTGCTTTATTGCATGATTCTTTAATGGTTAGTATTGTTGAGTTTAGCGCATTTTTAATGGATTTACATGGATACACTGTTTTCTCTGCTAAGAAATAAAAGCTGAAACAGTGTGTAGAAATGCAAAAATAAATATTAATCAGAGGGCCTAATGGAACAAACAACTTGTGCACCTTATTTATTTATTCACAGCAGCTACAACATTTACATGATTGATATGCTAATGCTATTCAATCTGTACGTGTACATGTATAATCATTACAGTTCCCTCATTATTTCAGACGTGGGTAGTAGATTTATATGTTTAACATGCATGGCAAGAAAAAGGGGGCTCTGTAATACTCTGTAAATTACTTTGATTTAATTTCTCACACTGTGATTGGAGACTGAATGGGCCTCTGCTCCTATATGCTACAAACAGTGTTTATCAGGCTGTCATTGACTGCAGCAGTATTCTAATAATGGAGTTCAGTTTATGAAACTTGGTTATAGCGAGGATGGTTTCACTGCACCGTATATATATACTCAAATAAACAGACATGGTTGTCAGCTGCCAAGAGACACACACGATGAGACACTTGGAAGACATTTTTTTATTTTATTTACATTTTATTTGAATTTTTTAAACATAACAGAAACAAGACATACGGTTATTCAAAGAAGAATATAAATAAAAACAAACAAAAACAAAACTTGGTGTCATTGACAAAGAAAAAAAGAAAATTGTCCATGTAGCTTCCATCAAAGTTGTCAATTTTTTTAAGTAATGTGAATAGATTTGTATTTGATCCATTTTTCCCAATTTTGGGTGTTTGCTTCTTGCTGGACTCATAGAGCGTGTGTCAGTTTCTCCATTTCTCCACTTGTAAGACAAATTAGATGTGTATTATAATATCACCCTTTGATAGGCTATACCTAAAGATATATTATTGTTTGTGTGGACATGGACATTTGTGGAGAATTAGTCAATCTACTGCGTTTGAAAAAGATTTATTTTACAATCTGGGTAAGACACAAATGTTTAAATCTGCAGATGTAACATCAGTCTTTTTTTAGGCCATTTGTTGTTGGTAATGTTTCTTTAACTTTTACTTGATTTGTCATATTAATTACCAAACATAAGGACAAATGATACAAATATGTTAGTGAATTTGTAATGGGTAGACAGCTAATGACAGGAAATAAATAAATAAACCATAAATGAATTTAAAAAATGTTAAATGGAAATTATACATAAAAAAGCAGTTAGCTACATAATTAAAACCAGCAGAGCACCATTTTGGATACTATTGACAAAAAGAGTTAAGCAAGAGAGTAAACTACAGAGGAGTGACTATTGACTGCTGTCTGATCAACATTGTGGAAATCTTGGGTGTAAGGGTTGTTCTCAGATTAGCTTGACTGCTTTCTATCATTTATGTGGCTTAAAAAACTGTTTTGAAACGGAAAATCTGGAGTTTTAAACACATTTAAAAATGCACTGTGATTAACTTTTGATATATTGGCTTTAAGTAATGTCTGACAGCCTTTAAACACAAAATAATCCTTGCACTATAAGGATGTTTGCTTCTTGTAGAGGTTTATAATCTTATTTGATCCACTTACAGCAATACATACAAGTGAAGCATTATGAGGACAGAGCCTGGGAAGCCAGCACTCTTGGAAAAAGTTAGAAACCTTTTTAAACAATTACTCACATTTGAACATATTAATGCAACATTAATCATAATACTCAGGTGATGAATGAATGTACTGTATGCAAGTGAAATCATCATTTAACCCTTCAAAGTGCATCTTTGGAGTGGTGATGATTCAGAGCTGCAGAAAGCCACAGGGTGATTTCCACCTTCTCTCTTTCTCCCCTATCAGAGCTTCCCTTGGTGTACAAACATTATTCTTTGATAAACTTATATTATCAGACAACCTCTCCTCTGTAGACCTCAGAAGAAGAAAAAAAAACTCTTTGTGGCTGCGGGTTCTTTGTGTTGTTGTGGTGGTTCGCCGAAAGAAGAAACATTTCAAACATTTCCTTCAAACTGACGAGTCTGACGCAAAGACAACACACGGCTGTTGACATTTACTACAGTGTGCATTAGAGAATCCTTTTAAAAAGATAAGGTGCGCCATGTGATGTTTACGTAAGCAGTCAATGTATGTGATCTGCTTTAAAGGGCATTTAGTGTCGTCTGACCTGTCTCACCCTCGGAGTAGTGGGAGACTTAAAGTCGATTAATGCAGAATTTTACAGAAACTGTAATAAAGATTTACACAAAAACTCAAACTACTGTAAACCAAAGAGGAAAAACACTCCGCCTTGAGTATAAGGGTATAAATGTCTTGTTTCCTTTTTTTCCAGATTGTTGATCTCTCCGCACTCGCTCTGAGAGGGGACAGCCCGCTCTGTTGCCACAACATAACTGTACACTGAAGTCTGAACACTGAAAACCCTGGAAGACTCATCCCCATCCCGTCTGCTGTTTTCTGTCAACCAAATGTGTGCCAAACACACACTCTAAGTCCCACACACACACATCTACACAAAAACAAACACACACACATACACACACAATGGGTAAGGAAAATGTTTACTCCTTAGTGTTATTATAAATGACTTCTGATTATCATTCAGCCCAGTATAGACAAAGGATGACGGTTTGATTTACTGTAACTGTGTTTTTGTGGCTCATGGCCATGATGTCAATCACAGAGTCTTCATTTCACTGAACTCACCTGAATGCAGCACACTAATAATCAGACAGGCAAAGTCATGGTTTAAAAAGGCTTTCAGGGAATTACATACATGTCAAAAATGTTCACCTGTGGAGCTTAAATTCAAACAGGTTTATCGCTGAAGCGGATCTATTGATCTCTCACAAACTCAGTATCAGCTTTTTATGGGTCTAAATCCAATCGTTGATCTTTGAAGTCTTTAGTTTATATCCTTTGTCTGTAGAAGTTAAATGATCATCAGATGCAGTTTTAATCTTAAAATACTAAAGAAATGCAGCTTGGCAGAGGTTCATACACTCATTCACGCTGTCACTGTAAACATATTTGATTTGTTATATCTAGTTGCCAAAAAGCCTTGAAAATTTGTGACGACTTTTCTGGGTATCAGAATGTGCTCAGTTTCTTGGAAGCTTTAAATTACCAGATTAATCAAGATTAAAATCATATCATTTTATGTTTGAATTAAATTAAATATGTTATATTTTCCACAGGGAAAAAAAAGACTTTTAGATAATGACATGCATCTTATGTAATCTTGGTAAAATCCACAGCCCAAACTGTATTAAATTGGATATCAGACGATATGATTACAATTTCATTTCCGATGCTTTTGTGCTCAGAGTTTATCTTTAGGTTGTTGCTGAGCCATGAGAACAGAAGCTTTTGTTTTATCTGCTCAGAATGGTGGTATTGTAATTCTGTGATTTACCTCCCTGAATTGTTTTATCCCTAAAGCTCCAGATGTGCACTCACACAGGAAATATGTTTACACAGTCCCAGCTTTGATTATCTGTAAACTAAACATGTCCTGTCATGTTCTGAGGCCGGTTCTCAAATTTTGCCTAAATGAAAGTCTAGTTGCTGCTTCTCTGCTGTATTTCTGTCTTTTATAGAGACACAGCAGCAAGCCGCTGTTAAAAATTGAGAGAAATATCAAGAAATCTTTCCCAAAAACTCTTTCTTATCTCAGTGAAATGAAATGAAGTGCAATCATGGACATGTCAAAATACAGATGCCCACATTTTATAGACTAACATCCAAGCCTTCATTAAAAGCAGTAAAAAAAACACAATAATCCTTTAATTGAATACCTATTAATTGCTGTGCAGCAGACAAATAGCTGAAAGAAGTCACATGACTGAAACCACAGCTTTGATACAGCATGATGCTGTTTAAGCAAAATGATTGATGTTACATAGATACATAATGCATTTATTCAATCATCACAGTCTGCAACATTGCATAAAAACAACCAAATTAACATAACATTCTTGCGGTTTGCATGTAAACAGCTTAATCAGATCAGCTTCAAACAGGCAGTGAGGACAATAATTAGATTGTATGTATGTTAATGTCCTCAGTGAGATGTGCTAAAGGGACCTGACAACAGTCTTGTTGGCTTGTTAGTAAAAGGAGCTAGATTGCAGTTCTGAAAAAATACCAGTGAAAGAGTTGGGGCTGTTCAAATATATTGGTCTGTGGAGTTTGGCGAATTTTTAAAAAATTACTGTTTTCAAGTCGCTGGTTCGACTCCTTTGCTGCATGTCTTTGTCCACACTCTGCTCCTCATAGTATGCAGTCTTTCACTCCGCGGTTTTCCCATCAACAAAAACCAAAATGCACAAAATTACTTTAGATTACCTGAAATTCTAAAAAGTAAGAACTCACTCTCCAAATTTTAAAAAAGACCCTTTTTATTGTTAAGTTAGTAAAAATCCATGCTCATACTTTTCAACAGGAAGCTTTTAAGTACGTCTTTGAAACTGGAATGAATGAGCACAAGTTCTCCGGCTTTTGCTGGACCCGAAAACACTTTTCTCAGGCCAGAAATACTGCTTACACATGAACAGGACTCAATAAGCAAACATGTTAGAGCTTTGCCCGGAAGGGGCAGCAAAATCACGACAAATACAAAGTTCCTGACAGGGGTTTTAAATAGGGCAAAGAGTAAATGTTAAGGTTTTTCCCTAGTCTTTAAAAAAAAAAGTTACTCTGGCTCAAAAAAACACTGATGCATAAGCTTTCCTATCCTCCAAAACATGTTTGTAGATGCAACCGACAACTGCAGCCATCTAATTTTGCTCATTAAGATGGTAGAGAGTCAGTTACGTAAGACAAGATGGTGTTCTCTATTTTTCTGTTTATATTTAAAATTTTTGCTCCTTGAGTTAACATTACAATCTCAGATGGATGCACCATAAACATGATGCACAAAATATTTGACAGAAAAGTCGTCACAGTGTTTAAAAGGCTTTTTGGCAGCTGAGCTTTTCTATTCTAACTGTATATGATACTATAGTATATACTACAGTGTACAAGTAGAACGACAGAAACTATAGTACATACTGTAGTTTGTTTTCAGTTAAAACAATTCTAATACAAAGTAACACATTACAATGCTATATAAAATATACAGTATACATATAATGATTAATACTACATAGCCTAGATATCTATATACTTTTTTATAAAGTGCCTCATTTTTGATTGTAGCTGTTTTTACACAGATAATCTTCAAATGGGTTGTGAAAATGGAAAAAAAGGTGTTTCTCCCCGGAGTCTAAATTTGTGAATATGTTGAATTTAACAGACGACAGACCAGAAACTTTTTTTTTCTATCAGTCAGCCATAATCAAATTGCCTTAAGTTTGGAAAAAAAAAATCTTTTCTTTTTTTTTCTTTTTTCATTTTTTGCAGTGCCTAACACTTCAGCCACAATGTAAGCACTCACTCGCTCTTCAGTTTGGCTTCTCCAAGCTGAGGTTTGGCCAAAAATTATACAAAGCAAAAAAATAAAAAATAAAAAAATACAAATAAACAAACAAAAAAAAAGGTTCTTGTAGTTTCACACCCTGGGATGTTTCCACTTTAAGCCCTGCTGTCCGTCTTTATTCTGCTACCAAAACAGACACTTTTTTTGAAAAAAAAAAAAAAAAAAAAAACCTGCATTGTATAGATAAACATCATATCATATTTTTAAAACGTTTTGTGTTTTGAAAATCCTTGTTCTTACACCAAGAACTGATAGAAACAGTTGCCTGTGTCTTGTATATAAAATTAATTGTGTACGACTGAATCTGGACCCGAGACCCTAGTCCTAAAACTTTGAATATGTGCTCTTCTTGATGTGCAGTATCTTAAAAACCTAAAAACAAACATGAAAACGGTTATTTTTACCTCAACAGAGTCAGCACTGGTGGCTGACTGCTTATTTGGGCTGAAACAGTATTAACACACGTGTGCATTGCTCTTATTATTTGGACGTTTTAGACGTGGATTCAGTTCCCAGAAGGTGTGAATAGTTCTTCTTCTTTCTGTTCTCTTTATTTTTTTCCTTGGGACTAAACTATGACACAGTGCCATTCCTGCTTACTCATTACTCTCTTGTTTTTCTTTGTTTTAAAATATTCTGCTGCTGTCAAAGTAATCACCAAAAACAAGACAAAGTCAAGACAATTAAAGGTCTACTATGGAGATTATCTGCAAAAAGGAGACATTAAATATCAGCTGTTGCGCTGGCTTAAAAAAATACATTTCACTCGACAGCCACAGGGCTAAGAAACAAGTTGCAGAAGTTTAAATGGAACCTTTTTCAATACTATTTTTTTGTCACGAGGTAGTGTGACTCGTAGTTTAAGACTGGTTTTGACTGTATCCAGAGCCACTGCTGTAGAGTTTGGGCACACTGTGACAAATCTGAAACTGTACATTGAATCAGGACATGTTTGTGTAGAATAAAAATGTCCACTTGATATGATGTCGCAGTGACCAAACTCTCAGCGCAGCGCTCTGGCCGTGTGTATACAGGGTACAATGAGGGAGGCTTTCTCGATGTATTTTTAACACTTGTAGCTTTTCCCACATTTAGATTGAGTTGATATTTTGGGGCTCTGGTTCCTTAACCAAATAGTTTTGACGCTGTTTTGAATAACTACTGCACTTGCATGCTGTTACACATAATGAGAAAAAAAAGGTGTGTTTTAATCACAGAAGTAAAAAGGTGCAGATATTTACTCCGCTTGGTCCAGAGGTTCCTTGCTGACTGATCATGTTCCTCAAGAAAGGACACATGAAAGTGCCTGGCTGTGATTCCTACTAGTGTGTAGTTATTGATCATTTATGTTGCAGTTATCTCGAAGATGGAAACACAAACCAGCTCCTGCAAGTCTTCCACACATTAATTTAGTAATCAGTTGGAAATGTGCGCAAAAACCTGACTCACTTTTCCTTACAAAGGCCTTGTTTCCGGTGCCAAAGTTTAATGTGTGAGTTGTGATCTGCAGGGTTGAGGACCTCTGACACCAAACTGACAAGAAATTTTAGAAAAACCTGATTTTTACAAACTTGTATGGCACTTAATAGTTGCTGTTTTTAATCTTATGAAGTAAAACAAAGTGTATTGATTGAGTGCAGCCCGCTACTGCCAACAGTTTGTGCTCAACACTGAGGACTTCATTGCCAAAATCCGTAAACTAACATGGACCAGCTCCACTTTTCTAACCTGTCTTTTGTTGAAGTGATCTTTTATAATCTCTTTGTTGTTCGATCAGTGCAACTCTTTTAATTGGGGATTACTGAGACTCTGACCGTACCCCATAATCTGGAGCGGGAGCAGACGTAACAGTTGGTAGAAAAGCCCCTTGGAGAGTCTGAGAAGGGTTCAGGATATTACTGACGTCAAATACGGAGAACGCTTGAAATAAAACCTGTGGATTTGAGTAAATATCTTTTGATTTATCGTGCACTCCAAAGTACTTTGACAGCGTGATGCTCTCTGCTGTGTTCCCATTCTCATGACATACAGCAGCTGTGCGAATAAAAAGCTTCTCATCTGCAAAACATCTGAAGTATTTTGGTTGAATGAAATGCAGAGGCTTGTGTTGTCTCTTCAGAATATTTTTTAACAATGTGGCAAATTAAATACAGATTCTAACTGTGGGAAATGATACTGTATGTACAATCAGGATAGCAGTTATAATTACAATGGAAAGAGCATTGTATGTATTTTAAAGCTATTGATACTACTTTGATAATGATGTAAATTGCAAAAAGACTGAACAGGAACTATAGGTATGTAAAGTATACTGTGTATAGAGGAGTTTGCTCCAGGGGAGGGAAGGGCATGGGGTTCATTCTGTTCATGGCAAAATTGTTTAAAACAAAATATTGATGATTCTTGTCTGTGATGTAGACAACGTCAATGTTTGTTTTTTTTGATAAAAGGCAAAGTGATATGAAAAAAAATGGGAGTCATGTGTCTTATTTCGATTTGCATGTGTGTCGGAGTCAGTCCAAATGAGTGGAGGTGTTACAACATGTGAGTCTAGACTGCTGTAAGCCATCGCTGGTCTGAGTTTCAAGGATAAGCCTGTGGACAGAGGGTACATGTATTTAATCCCAGGCTACTCAGCTAAAAACAGATGGTATTTTGGGAGCATTTAAGTTCATGTGTTGAATAACAACAGTGTGAGGTACTGAACGATGAAGAAAATGGCTCACAAACTTGTGTTACACCCCTGGTTGTTGAGATTATTAAATTGCATCCTGAAGCTGACTCTGTGCACAGAAACAACAGAAAAATTTAACTGAATTGCCAATTTTTTAATGCTGGAAACCAATTGGATAAAGAAACTAACAATTAAAGCATGTAACTTTGGGACTAAAAAGACTGGAAATAATTGTTAAAGGATTTTAAAGGTTTGATAAGGAGACTTTAGGTGGTGAAATAGACTGGAATAATTTTAGATCCTTCTACACGACCCACAGAAGCAAACAAGACCACTGGTGATAAGACCGGCTTCTTATATATATTGTAATTATAGGTGCCCAAAGCTGTCAGCAGGGTTAGGAGTCATTAACTGTTTTTTTATCAGAAGGTTATTTATCGGAAATTTAAAGTAAAAAGTAGGACTAATTTTGGTTGAAAGTATCGCTACTGAAATCAACAGAGTACATTCATCCTGTTTTGTCTCCTCACAGGACCTTTAAACCAGACAGATTCCCTTCATCATGTCATGAATCACCCAGTATGACATCCATCCATCCATCCATCCAGTCTACAGTAAAACAAAAAGCTGCGAAATGCTCCAATACACCGCACCAGAGGATATTTTTTACACTATGACAGACTTTCCACATGCAGACTTGACTTTAATGAAGCTTGTGTGCTGTGAGGAGAATCTGTACTTTCTGACACCCCTAATGATAGGTGGGGTAATTATGCAGAAAGCTGTGTATGAAGTTGAGAGTGCAGAACTCTGCAGGGCGGCTCTAATCGAGAACAGCACATCCTGAGAAGTTCTTCTATTTATACAAATTGGATGTTTGGATGATGTTTTGATGTACTTGTTGACTAAATATTTCATAAGTGTTCTTCCGCCTGGTTGAGCAGGGGCTGGTGTCATCTTTTAGCCAAGAGGGGGAATAAAAACTGCATCACATCTGCGTGGTGACCTTTAATCTGAGTTTATGAGGAGGATAAAGTTATCTGGTCATAAGCAGAAAACAAAAGTGAAGCACATCCCAAAATGAAATGCAGACTCTGGCCTTTATTTGTACAACTGTGAAATCAATGATTTAGTTGTAATCAGGTAACTTCTACATTTATAAATATTGGTCAAAGAGATATCGTTGACTTTGGCTCTTTAGTCATTCCACATAATGTATCAGTTTGAATCAACAACAGTTATGGTTTTGTTTTCCAATCTGATTCTCACTATTCAAAGGGAAAAACTTTGAGCTTCATAAAAACCTAAAGCACACATATGACAGACAGTCCTGCTGGCTTTTGCCTCTTAAATAGATAGTGTACCATATTGTGAAGAGCCAAAGGTTGTTGTAGCGAAGTGTAAGTAACTCAAGCAAACATGGTATCCACTGTATACTATCTCTTATTTTTTAGGCCATAAAATAACCAGCAGGGGGTGCTGTATCACTTCACCGCCTACGGGGACTTTATTTTGGAAAAAAAAAATGAGCGTGAACCGGAAGTTTTACGGGCTTGTCCTACTTGTCAGAGATCTTCTATTATAAAGATGCGCCAGTCGCTCTTTCTGTGTTTCGTTGTTCCTGATAAATACGTTGTACAGTAGTAAATATGCGCCAATACGGGGAATTCACACGACATAACATTAAAACGTTTCCAAACCTTACACAGTTTTATCAGTCTTTTATCGTTTTTTAAATTCTTTTAACGTTTTTTCCATGGCTCTTTTTTCTGTCTGACTGTGCTTTAGTAGAGCACTTTGAGCAGCATTTTCGTACGTATAAAAGGTACATATAAATTAAATTAAGCTGAGTTGAGTTGGGGAAACTATTGCAATCGGTTAGCAACAACAACTGTGCAATAAATCTAACTGTCCTTTAATTTTTCAGCCTTATCAGTCAGGTGATTATTGGACTCTATACTCATTATTGAAGAGTATGTGGGTGGTGGTAGGCCTATACTGTTGTGTCTTTTATTTCCGTGTTTCTCATATTTTGTTTACAAAAGGGGGACGAGGGGTATCATTTTTCTTTTTTTGAAATAAAAGGGACGAATGCTTCCATGACAAAGATGAGGGTGTTACATGAGCTGGAAAGTGAAGCTGGGTTTGATACCTGGAATTTCCATCAGAGTGACACCTCTTACTTTTTTCCTCATCTGGGGTCATGATACAACCTCTAGCTTCTGCTCCCCACTCACTATCACTGATGGCCGATCCATTCATTGACCATCACACAGGGTTACATGTTGCAAATGAGATAACATTCGGACAGGTCAGGTATTTGGAGGGGGCGGTGTAATGCAACCATCCAAAAACGATGTTAGCTCCTGTCAGCAGTTCACTTTGATAACGGTACTACTGTTTGTCATATGAATGACAAACCGACCACAGCAGCTGCTCGTTGAAACTCTCCTATAAGGTTCGTATCTTTGAGTTACTTCCATTTCTTTGTCTTTTTGAGCTTATCGTGCTTACTAAGTCACCTTAAACTCAAGGGGGAAACCAGTAACTTTCCTCTGTTTTGCTCGTGTTAACAGCTGCAGCGTCAAACCATCGTCGTTATTCACAGAGCCTGTTATAGAAACACATGTTTCACGTTGTTTTTTCTTCTGGTTTTTCCCCAAACTAATGTGAAATCTTACACGTGTACTCCTGCTGATGTGCTGTTTTAAAGATGTTTCATATCTGTACAAAGACAAGCATTTTGCCGCCCTCTAGCTGTAACCTTGTGTCACTGTTATGGAGAAAAAGGCCTGTCAGCATACATTAACTTTATCTTTGAGTTAGCAGAGAAAGAAAAGCCACAGAGTCTGTAAAAGTGAATATATAAAAAAGGATTTAAGTTTAATTTTATAGAGTAAGTGTAGTTTTCTTTAACCACTCAGCTCTTTTTTAATAAAAGTTTGTCATTTGTCCTATCTAATGATAAAATTGCATTTCATTCTTCATAAAAGCCAGTCTGTTTCCAAAGGTATCCCTTTATAGCTCACTGTAAATAATTACTGTAGCTCCAAAGAGGCCAGGTTTTATTGTTGTGAACTTTATGACCAAGCTGCCGCAGCTGCCTGTCCTGGGCCTTGAACCCCTGCTGAAAATAACATTATATCCGCACCTGTAGGGGAGCATTTGTATAAACAAATGACTGATTAATCCGTGTGCATTTACTGTAATAAAAGAGCTTTTAGACGACAGTGTACACACTATGTTGTTCATTTAATGGTTTTGTTTTCCAGCTATTTCTTGGACACCATGGCCCCGCACCCTGTTGTTCAGGCCATTATTGACCTCTCTGCAGGAGCCGTAGGTAACTACAGTGCAATATTGACCCTTGATTAAACAATCCTGTGACTTTTTCCACTGCTTTACCAGACTGCCACCAGCTAATGCTGATGGAGCAGGAGAGCATGATGACTCCTGTGTTTTTCCGGCTCATTTCTCTCTATGTTTTCATTGGCTGCTCAGTGAAGTGAGCTCTCTCTTATTATAATCTCTCTTCACAGCCTTTTTTTGTGCACACACTTTGATTCTCCTGTAGTTTGTAAAACAGCCTTACTTCTATGAACATATATTCCTTGCTGTGTTCGTCCAAGGGGGAGCTGCATGTGTTTTCAGCGGACAGCCTCTGGACACAGCAAAGGTCAAGATGCAGACCTTCCCAACTCTGTACAGAGGTTTCATCCACTGCATCACGTCCACCTACAAACAGGTCGGCCTGCGGGGTCTCTACCAGGGTACCACACCAGCACTCATGGCCAACATCGCTGAGAACTCGGTGCTCTTTATGAGCTACGGCTTCTGTCAGCAGGTCATCCGCTTCACAGCCGGACTGCATAGTGAGGCTGTGCTGAGGTAGGAAGGGTTAACCACAGCTGTCTTCAGTTTACTCTGATGAATTAGGGCTGAAGTCCAACCGTCACCTGTTTATCTGTCCTTCTGCATCAGTGATGTGCAGAAAGCCTGTGCTGGCTCAGTAGCATCCATCTTCTCCTCGCTCGTGCTCTGCCCCACTGAGCTCGTCAAATGTCGACTGCAAGCCATGTATGAAATGGAAGCATCAGGAAAGATAGCCAAGAGCCAGAAGTAAGTAGTATTTGAACAGTCTGACATTTTTGCATAATTTACTCTGGTATTGCATTCATGTAATTCCACATGGGTTGATGTCAAATGAATAAAGCAGCAGTGAAATATTCCATGGTTTAGTCAAATTAAATATATGATTTATAGGGTTTAAATAAAAGATATACATACCAAGGCTTATAGTTTTAAACCCCATTTAAAGGGATATTCCAGTGTAAAATTAAGTTAGGGTCAAACCCACCATAACATAGAGCCACGCACAGAGCGTGTATTGCGCTCTGCGGTCGTTACTAAAGTTGGTATAACTAGAGAAGCAAGCGGTCGGCAACATTCATCTCTTAACAAGGTGTCTAACTCGGTGTTACGGTGTGTTTGACCCCAACTTAATTTTACGCCAGAATATCCCTTTAATCAACATTCAGACAGTATATTTCACCGCCTTTATGCTAATCCACGTCTAATTATTTAAAGTTATTTCTGTATAATTTACACATTTAGATCCAGTGTTACAGTAATCAATGCTTATTATAACAGGGACTAGTGGCTGATCTATATGCTCTCCTCTGTCTGCAGCACAGTTTGGTCAGTGGTGAAGTCCATAATGAAGAATGAGGGGCCGACAGGCTTCTTCCAGGGTCTGACCACCACTATAGCCAGGGAGGTCCCAGGTTACTTCTGCTTCTTCGGTGCCTACGAGCTCTGCCGTACGAGCTTCGCCAACTACATGAAATGTGACAAAGATGACATAGGTAATGATGGCAAAATGTCTGGTAATCAAAGAAGAAGATATTGGGTTGTATATTTTTTCAGTCCACATCTTGCTTTGCTGGAATAGTTGTATGTTATTCACCCCTCATCAAATTTACAGTTGCTGTGTTTTAATTTTCAACTGTGTTACTTTGTATGATGAAGGTGTGGCTCCAATCGTGTTCAGTGGAGGTTTTGGAGGGGCGTGCCTGTGGCTGGTGGTCTACCCCATGGACTGTGTTAAGTCTCGTATCCAGGTCATGTCCATGACGGGCAAACAGGCTGGGTTTTTCAAAACCTTCATGACCATCGCTCGGGCTGAAGGTAAGAAAAAGTGGGAGTGCCCCCTGATTCTTACTCTTTCAGTAAAGACTCATGATGTAATCTTGGCTCTTGGTTTGGTTTAGGTGTGAGGGCTCTCTACTCCGGTCTCACCCCCACCATGGTCCGCACCTTCCCTGCGAACGGGGCTCTGTTTCTGGGTTATGAAGTCAGCAGGAAGCTCATGATGAAGCAGTTCGACAGCTGAAGTATGCCGAACACTAACTGTGAACTGGGAGTGAATTACTACAGCCATTGGACCTCGTTGAAGCTCCAGCTGAAGCTTCGAACGATTTCTTCGTGGGAGCTGGTTTCTACCATACCCTGCTTTTGATAAACTGACACACTCCGTATTAACTGTCAGAAAGCATCCTTAATGTCGTGTTTACAAATCCTAATATTTATCTAGCTGAAAGATTTCAATACTGATTGTTACTAACACTCCGAAAAGACCGCATTTTCATATGGAGCATATATATACTTGAAGTATATAAAAGGTGTGAGTGAAGCACAGTGTTGACCAACATAAACAAACCTCTTTTATGGTGATTTCTCAACACTCCCGGTTAATAAATTTCTGTCTACCTCAACAAAATCACATTCAGAAAGACAGTTCTCAGATCACTCCTCTCTCGTTCTGTATGTGAGTACATTGTTCAGAAAACACTCTGTCAGATTTTAAAGCTAAGCCGGCTCGTTGCGTGAGTATTTTATTTTGAAGTGTAAAGTGGCATATACTGTCTTTGAAGCTGCCGGAAACATCTAGTGTTGTTTTCAATGATGGCATAATCTCAGACAAGCATGTTCCTCATGTTTCTTGTTCTCATAGGAAATCTCGGAAATTACCAGCAAGTGTTTTAAAAAAGGATCTCCGTTTTTTTTTTCTATGCATCCTGAGTGTTATTCCACTCCTGTTGTGATTTCATTCCCACCCCTCTAGATCCCAGCATTTCCCTTTAAATAACTACATTTTGCCTTTTCTTTGGTGTGAGACATTTATTATTGTACAAATCCATGCAAAACAATCAGCTGCCTTGGTAAATGTGCCATTTGCACACTGTGTTTTTATTTGCAATTTGTTTTTCAGTGGGTTTAAATTAGGATTAAGAAATCTTAGACATGCTTCTTTGATGCGGGTCAAGAAATGTCATTATGTTAAAGCCACAGACGGAAGTTCATGGTCAAACCACTAACACTCCATGATGACAGTGTAATGTTAGTTTTTTAACAAATCCATCTACTCAGTGCCGTGATAAAACCTCCATTAAAAGTGTCATAAATGATTACCACTGTCCTGTATTTTGTGTATTTTAACAGATGGTAAAACTTCATATTAAGGTCCTTTAATAAACATTGATTATTGTTAATGAACCACTAATAAGACCTTATTAGCTTCTTATAAATCTTTAAACAGCACTAACATTTAAAGGTGCACTTTTTCAGTTAGCTTACAGTCACAGTCACTCTTTGTGAGGGAAAAATAATCTTTGGTTAAAGTGACAAACTATTATGTTGAAGAGATAAAGTGTGAAGGATTTGGGTGAAGGACATGACACTTATTAGGAACTCATATGATTCACAATAATAAAGTGTTACTGAAACGTATATTAAGAAGTTTTATTTAAAAAAAAATCATCCATATAACTGACAAGACTTATTTCCAAAATGCCATTTTTACAAAATTCTTCAATATCTTCCAAATACTTCAGATTTGTGTCATGTTATAGTGAAGTGCTAAGCATCATGATATACACATAAAAGTATAAAAAAAAATCTGTAGAGAAATACATTCAACATTTTTATGTGGTAGTTTAAACAAATGTGGACGGAAAATTACTCTGTTGTCCAGCAGGGTGCGCCAGTCAACTGTTAAGACCTCACATGGTTTTGAGTAAAAAAAAATAAAGAGGAAAAAAAAAACAAGGGAAAGAATCTGAAAGAGCACTATTCATCAGTGAAGAGTCTGTTTCCATCTCAGACAACCCCCTTGTTGCAGGTTCCACATAGGCAGCCAAAGAGCCCATTGATCATCTGGATGGCGCAGAGGATCAGCTCCAGACAGCTGGTGGCCAACAGAGTCGCAAAGAGTCCAATGTGAAAATCCACAATGTTTTCAGGCTCTGTGCATATGCCCCACCAGGTTTTGTCAGTCAGGTAATTCCTGTCACTGTGAAACAGAGAAGATCCATGAGTGAAAAGCTTTAAAATGATTCTGGTTATCAAGTCATCATTATCATGCAACCCACCCTCCTTTAAAGGGTGTATTCCAGATCAGAAGAACTTTGCACAGAGGTCCATTCTGCAAACCGAGCACTGCCACTATGAAGCTGTACAGAGCACCAGCCACTCCCACAGCGGCGAGTACAATAGATAGGAACATCTACAAGACAGAAATGATATCCAGAGGTTAGAAACGCATTTTGGATGTACTTTTAGAGACAGCCAATTCAACTCTCACCCATCCTTATCCTCCCCCTCACATTTTTGAAATATGAACTGAAAGGAAACAGGCTCTCAGTGGCATGTGGACTTTTGCACTAGTACTGGTTTGGTTTTGTCTAAACAAACAAGCAGCTGCAAAATCCAACACTGAGACATTTTTTTACAGCAAGAAGAACTGTACCCACACTCAATTTCACATGATTTGATAAACTTTTGATGTTTTCTATCTCACTGATATTTAATCTTTTATCCACATCATTTTACCGAGCATTGTTGAAAACTTTTAAAAGTTTTTTTTTTTTTTCCTATGGAGATGTTCTGCTGTTTATTGCAGTGTGGGTTATCTATCCGCAGATAGTATGAGACAAAGGGTGCAGTGATGACACACCCTGCAGTATAATTTACAAATTGAGTTATCCATTAATATTGGTGACCTCCTTTTTGTACCTTGAATTTGGATTAAATGATTCAGATATAAATCTTTTTTAATATTTAACCTGTCCTGGTACCAGTTACAATCCTTAAATATTTAAGCAACTCAGATACACACCCAAACAGACGCACACACAAATTAATATGCATTTTTTAGTCCTGGCTCACCCCACAGCGATTCCCACAGCAGCCCTGTTTTCCAGTCAAGTGGATGTAAAGTGCTGGGACCAACACCTACAGAAGGACAGAGAAGTTGACTGCACAGTACAGGTACAAATCTGGTCATTTTAACCACAACATGTCAATATTTTTGTTTTATCTGGATAATTTAAAACTTTTTAATATTTATAGACTTGAAAAACAATACTGGGATCCCTCCTAACAGGGTTTAGCTCAAAAGCAGTTTGAATATTTACTTCAGTTGAGATAGAGATACACTGTAAATGAAATACTTTATAGTTTAATCTCAACCCTTCTACTAACACACATATTGCTCTTATTTTCAAGTCACATGCTTCAGTCACCGACAATAAGTAGTTCAACTTACCATTAAACCCCCTCCAATGAGGCCCCCCATGTATTTCACCTCCTCTGTAATGTGTCCATTTTGGGCGTACTTGACATCCCCGCCCGGGAAAAACAGCACTATGTTACAGATGATGGATATGACTGCTAACGGGTACAGAGTCACCGCAATGAAACGAGAGCACTTTCCGGTACACATCTTGTTGAAGTGATGAGTAAGTAACTGCTGCAAAAGTTGCACCAAAAAGTCAAAGCCCAAACTGTTTCTCCTCTCAGAGAGCACTTCCACATGAAACTGATCCAAAGAAGGCAATGAGTCTAGAGGGGGACCAGAAACTAAGTACTGGGAGTGATGTTGGGTGTGGGAGGTGCACTGGCAGGCTGATAACATGGGCAAATAGAGGCAGGGATAGGCTACAGGAAGCTGTATGACTCACTTCATTGTATCTTAGAGACGCACAACTGGGTCTTTTAGGTTGAACTGCCTGTTGGTATACATACTTTGGGCAAAGATGCATATTTGTCCTTTAAGTGAGTCATGCTATTGACGACCACATCCATATCACATATTTGTCTGAAAAGTTCTTGTCATTGTAAAATCTGATTTACTTAAATTTTCTGTAGGATGAACCCACTGGGAGATACTTGAATGTTTGCTTCGGTTTGGACTGCAGATATTGACCGTTTTAACTCCACCTCTTACATACCTGCTCTCATGGTGTATTGACATTGTGACAGCACAATCCCTGCACTGATGGACTTCAGACATGTGGCAGCATGCCTGACAGAGAAGAACAGTATGTCATTGACTCTGTCTGCAAAGGACTGAGAAATATTCTCATTGTGAGCAGCAAAACACCGTCAGTAAAGACTACATTTTTGCTTTCACAAGAGTGCCATTGACTGCAGTGATTTCCATCCTCTGTTAGAAAATGACTGGAAAAAATGGGTAACACAAGAGGGGGAAAAAAAATGAAGAGAAAGCCAAGCCTCCCAAAACATGTGCAGTCTCTTGGCAACGCCTGGGCGCGGCTCTGTTCCTCACCACGTTGTAAATATAATATAGAAGGAGTAAAGCACACTGATGATTGGTTATTCTTTACACGTTGGAAATACAGCATTGATCTGTTCTTTGAATCCAAGCAATGTGGATCATTTTCCCACTCGGAAAAATGTTGTTTATGCCTTTAAAGAAATATACATATTTGCGTCCTCCTTTGTTCTTCATCATGATGAGGATCACTGAAAGAAAACCATACATTAATACTCACCCTTATAATAGTATCTGATAATAGTTAATGATCCTTTTTGCAAAGATACGTGACCAACTTTGTGCTCTAAACTGTTTAGTAACCCTATACTATACCGTGTAAAAACCTTTGAAGAAGCCTATTGCATAGCCCTTTAAATCATAAATACTTGTACATCCTCTTAAGTAAAAAGAAGAAGTGTGCTGATCTGTGGTTCTCATGGTTTTACATTTTATATTTAACTCACTATAATGAGCTGAATGACTTTTAGACTTACATGTATTCAGTGACTGCTTTGAAAATTTCTCAATTAGGCTATTTGAGTTGTTTGTACTTGAATACAGGGTAGAATAAATATAAATCAATCTCACATTACTTCACACTGTGTTACTTCACACTGTAGGTATAGGTATAAATATTTGTTTTAATGCACTTCTTCTACAGCATTGATCTGTTCTTTGAATCTAAGCAATGTGGATCATTTTCCCACTCAGAAAAATGTCCAGATGTTATGCCTTTTAAGAAATATATATATATTTATGTCCTCCTTTGTTCTTCATCATGATGAGGATCACTGAAAGAAAACCATACATTACAGCTCACCTTTAGAATAGTATCTAAAGATAGTTAATGATCCTTTCTGCAAAGATATGTGACCAACTTTGTGCTCTAAACTGTTTTACATCAAACATAGTTATGCTGTTTGATCTGTGGGCGCAGCATGAATGAAATGCTTGTGTTTTAATCATTAACGTCTAGTGAAGTTTGGATATAAATGCAGATTTCATGATAATAATTAGCTGTAAAGTCATTATTTGAGGAGGCATTGAAGAAATTTGCAATTTTTTTTTGTTGTTTTGTCAGTAAAAGTCCAATAAATCAGAAGGTTAGCATTTGCTGTAGCGTAAGTTGTGTTTCAGCAGGTTGTTATTTCAAACAGGTCATATGATCTGTTTAGATTTCCCCATGGATGTGATCTTTACACAGCATATCTTTTTACATTGCAGCAGTGTTAAGCTTTTTGAGCTACACATAGGAAGATTTAACTCTGTTGTCAGAGGCAACAAAGTTTTCAATGTGGGTTTTATTAGCATCCGTCTTTCTGACCACAAACTCATGCTTCATGAAATGAAACGGAAACAGCACTCAAATAAGTTGGCGGAAATATGAGAGGGTATTTGAATTGAAAATTTAACTCCTTGTCTTTACGTCTTTCCTGACAGATGTTTCCATGCAGGTTCTATAGCTCATAGATACCACAATTGATGTGTAAAACTAATTTAAAATGATCTTTTGGTCTGAGCACAATTCTAACAAAACTTATGACAGACTAAATTCACTTTCAAGAGTAAATGTTTTTTGGAAATAAATAAATAAATAAATGTCTAACCCCTTCACCCATGTGCTTATAACCTTCACAGACTCCATGAATTGATGCCCATCTCTTAAATATTTGGTCACATGATCCATTTCGTTTACTATTTCTGAGAAACAGGGGGTGGCTCAATTTACTCTTTGTCTCAACTTACCCCACTCTCCCCTATACTTTGGTTGGAAGAAGGCTCGGTGAAATGAGTGAAAATATTTCAACTTGGAGTTATTTTTTTTACTGATTTTAAAATGATATTTGGTTCCTGATATTTCGTTTATTTTATTTTTTTTTATTTGTTTATTTATTTATTTGTTCCCTGAAAAATGCAAGTGTTGGGTTTTCTTTTGAAAAGCAGGACTTCCGGTCCACGTTGAGCCCCTCCACAGAGGTGTGTGTAAAGGACTCTGCGGCTTGACCCCTCTGGTTGTAAATATTGGGGAATCTTTGAACATCTGAGGAGCACTCCTGGAAGCAGCAGACCAGAGATGGACACGTCTCTCCTGAAAGACTTTCTGGTCACGTATTTGATGCCAGAAAAATGTTATGAGCGGATTTTTGTCAACTTTCTCCTGGACGGTGAGGGCTACTGCTGCTGCTGCTGCTGTTGTTGAGAGATTTCAGAGCTGGAAAGGAGCAGTGAAATCTTTCCAGATGTTTTTTTCAGGGAGGAGTCTGAGGAGCCTCTCCCTTCACGCTGACGGTTTAACATTATGAAGCTTTACCAAATAAACCTTGTTTTTACACTAAGATGTTTTATTAAACCACGTTAATGTCAACAAAATGATGTTTTAGGTTTACAGTGCACCCTAACTACGTTTTGCTGTCCTTTTCTTATTGTTATTATATTTCTTTCTTTTTTTTTATTCCAGCACCTTGTTTTAAGTTTATCCTGGGCAGAATCGTCGGGATCTGCATCATTTTGGACACTTTTTTCGGTAAGACCCCTCCGTGGCCGAAACAAACCTGATTCAATCAGCAGGGGGTGACTAAAACAAAGACAGAAGAGGTGATCGGATTACAGTTTTAATGTTATTTTCACAGCCGACATTTAAAGCCCAATCATTAATGAATTCATTTGTTTTTAAAATATAGTCATTAATGATCATTATCTTAAATCACATCAAGTTACTTGAAAACTTGTGTTAGGGTTATATCACAGATAATTTTTTACACACTTGCAATGAAGTTTTCTTTTAGCTGATATTGACACTTGTTACTTGCTCTGTTGGCTCATTACTTAACATAACACAACCTAACACAATATAACATAACATTACATAACATAACATTACATAACCTAGCATAACAAAACATAACATATCATAGCATAACATAACAACATAACCTAGCATAACATAACGTAACAAAACATAACATAGCATAACATAACATAACACAACGTAGTATAAAATAACCTAGCACAACCTAGCATAACCTAGCATAACATAACATAACATTACATAACCTAGCATAATATAACATAAAATAACATAACATAACCTAGCATAACAAAACATAACATAACATAACCTAGCACAACATAACATAACCTAGCACAACATAACATAACCTAGCACAAAAAAACACAACATAACATAACATAACTTTTACTCATAACTGTACATTGCTGCAATGTCTTGCTCCTATTATTAATATTTGTATTTTCAAGAGCAAGTGTAATGACTGAACTTCTAAGGATAAATAAAGTAATCTAATTCATAATGAACAAATAATATGGCATTTAGCAATTCAAGTTGTCCATAATTACAGCTCTACGAATAGTTTTGCTTAATCTATGCTGTATCTAAGTAAGTAATGTTAGCTCATAAGCTCAATGTTTTCGCTAGCTAGAAGGATTTTTGCTCTCAGCAACATTTAGTGTTAAAGACAAAACATGAGCAGAGTGACGGCCTAAATAATGTTTCAGTTGTTGATTATTCATACGTTAGATTTGTTTTAAATTTTACATTATTTTAACAGCTTTTTATAACAAGTGAAATTTGTTAATTTAATCTAATTGTAACGTAACAGCTTTAATGCTTAAAAAGATTTTGAAGGATTTTGTTGGGTTTCTTTAAAGTATAAAAAGCTCCTTACTGCATCTGTGATTGTAAAGCAGGTTAAAGGGACTTAAGAGGAATTCATTTTTAGGTCCTTTATTATGCAAGAGAATGTGAGGTAAATGTACATTTGTACAGCTAGATGTCTACTTACCCACAGATTGTTTAATGAATATCTGACTAACTTTGTCAGTGTTCAGTATGTTTGTAGTGATGAAGATTGACTCCCCTCCCAAGGTGAAAGAATTAATAACAATCATTCATCATCAACTGCGTCGTCTACAGACAGTCAGGTATGTTTTGCCTCAACTGACATCCCTGTTTTTCTTCTCACTGCAGCACAGCTGCCTCAGCTGTTAAAGATACTGTGGAGAGGAAGTGCAGATGGCCTGAGTCTGCCTGCCAGCCTTCTTCAGCTATATGCCTTTTCATGTCCTGTTGTGTACGCCATAGCCAACAACTTCCCATTATTGTGAGTATTCTGACATGACGGTTCACTGTGTTTGTGTTGTTTTACTGTAGTCAGTCCACTATGTGACATCAAGTTCTGGTCATCACTGTTTCAAGAGATTATCCCATATACTTTCCCCTTCCTTGGAATTCCCTTATCTAATTTTGAGTTTGACCAATCTGAGACACCTTATCAGTTTCAGTGTAGTAAAGACATAATCTCACAGGCAACTGATTCCAACATAAAACTTCTGTATTCACTTCCTTCTTGTGGTTTTAATTGTTTTAACTTGAAACCAGAAAAAAGGGCCTTGTAATATGTGACTGAGAAACTCAGATGTTGACATTTGCTAGTTTTTATGTATGATACTCTCACTACAAGCACTGCACTGGTGTTTTTTTTATCCTTGTGTGATCGTTCCTGCAACAGGTCTTCTGTGCTGCTTTGTAAAAGGAGACGCACGTGTCAGCTGTGATAAATATTAATGTTATGGAAGCTTCTGTATTGAAGAGAGAGGGAAAAAAGATTTGTCTTCACAGCTTCAACATCTAACTAAGCAAAGAAAAGCAGAATTAGACTGTTATCGGTATGTATTGGAAAAAATCTACATGTTGCAAATCTCTAAGCACTTTTCAAACTGAAAATAGTATGTGAGACTTCATAAACTGGAAGTGTTTACTTTTTTCCAATGTGTCATTGTAGTGTCCAGGGATATGCTTTAGCAGAAGTTTTTGTCTCAAGCATTTCCTGCAGCTTTTCTCTGACACTTCTTACCAGGAAGTGGTTTCTGTTGCTATTTTGTGGCAGCACATGACTGACTTTTGTCTGTTAAACCACTCTCCAAACTTTTCCGTCTGTGTGAACCTTGGGATAGCTTAAAGCACATGATTCAACAGCTTTTACCTCAGATGGCTTGTTTCTTTTTTTCTTTTTCTCAAGAGTGACTCACTGGTGGATGTGAGTCATCTAAAGCCACTATGTTTAAACTAGTGACAGACAAACAGCGATTAAATTTATGAAAGATGTATCCTGCAAACCTCTGTGGGTCCATTATGTAAAAGTGCTGCAGAGAATTCTGAGTATTTTCCTGTTGTACCGTCTCTAACATGTGTTTTACTTGAACCTCTTCACAGTGCCTGGGCTGACAGGCTCATCACATTGACTCAAGCAGCCGTGATGGTCTTCCTTATCCTGCGTTATCGTGGGGAGACTTTGAAAGGTTAGCACTCGCATTCTCCAAATGCACATACGGAGTACTGTTTAGTCTTTCAGGATAGCTCTGGAATTACTCTGTGTTTTTCTTATCATAAACAAATTCTTCAAATAAATCAGAGCAAAACCAGTCCTCCATAAATGTACTGACCTCGCCCTGTGGCTCCGCTTAAAGCTCATTTAATTCCCTGAGGACTTAATCTTACATAAACATCAAACAAATATAGACAGTCTTTGTTTGAAAGGATGCTCTTTGACATTTCTTTTTTAACCACAACAGAGTATTTTGAAACAGATGGAGATACATTAAGGTGTTAAATGGATCAGCTACAGCAGCAGGGTAGTGTATGAGGAGTTAATATTGTGTTAAAAGTAAAGCCCATAGTTTCATTACACTGTTAGATGTTTGGTGCAAAACCGTACTGACTCTGTTTCACTCAGGTCTAAAGACATTGAAAGCACTTTTAAGAAACTACATTCTGTTGAAAAAAAATTGCGCAGTGATGAAGTTATGTAAAACATCTTGCATCGCCTAGACTGAACATTACAGAAGACTTGAACCAGCTAAAATAGTGACAAGTGTTTTCCAACATTCATATGTGTCGAACACTTGAAAAAAGAAACACGTGCCTCTTTAAAAGAGGCCTGGAAACATGCTGTTTAAAGCTTGTGTGGGGCCTAATATTGTAAAGCCCTATGATGACTGTCAAGTATAATTTATGAGTTAACCACAGAGTGAGTCACACACATACACACACTCTCCTTTATCTTGCAGCGCCACCCTGTGGGGATGGAGTGTTCTGCTGGGAAATCAAACTTTCAAACATCTCTCTTAAAACAGAGTGAAAGAGGGTGGATTAACTCTCATGAGTTGAGATTAAGTTGAGATTAGTTGAAAAGCCAGTTTTAAGTTCTGTCCGGTTAAAGGGACAAGTATGAACCAAGTGGAAATCTGGTCTTACGAAACAGCAGTGCTAAAAACTGTGGTTCCTCAAATATCCTCTTGAGTACCAGAAGTCACTTAGACCCAAAAAGCCAAAATAAACATGTTTACAAACTTGTTTTGGTCTGAGCCTTTCATTTCTCTACCAGCATTTACCGTTGAGGGGAGTGATTTTAATTTTTGACTTGTGGATTTTAAAGATATTAAGGTTAAAAGATTTGTTTATCTCAACTCTTTCTCTTTTCCTCTGGTAAGGTTGTCTCACAGTCAGATTAAATCAGCACTGATAGGCTTTGAAACTCATTTGTTTTGGTCTTTATATTTTGCTCTGCATAAACTGATCCAGTCTCTTTTGTGTTGTCATGATAGGGATGCTGTTACTCTTGGCCCATAGTGGTGCCGTATTCCTCCTGGGCTCGTATGCAGCTGTAGCAGTCGCCTCAGTGCTGCAGGCCTCCAGACTGGCGGCTCTAATTGCAAGCAAGGTCAGACCTGCTCTCTGATTAAGAACAACTCTGAACTGTGATGTGATCATGAACTGCCTAATCTGATCAGAAACGACTGAATTTGTTGCTCTCAGAGTTTCCAGGCTGGAACAAACTACCGTAATGGACACACAGGCCAGCTGTCCTCTCTGTCGGTGGTATTATCATACACAGGCTCTCTGGGCGTCTTCTATGTGTCTCTACAGGTATGTCATCAGAAGTGTAATTATTGATTTACAAATGCATACATCTTACCGATCCAGTCAGTCAGTGTTTTTTATAACATGGTCGTTCTGTATTTTATTTCTGATGCAGTCTGGAAGCTCATTTGAGACTCTGTCACACGCGCTGTCTGCCTGCCTCAGCTGTGTCCTTCTGGTCCAGGTCGTCTGTTACAGGAGCAGTACTGCGACCGGCAAAAGAAAGAGTGAATAATGGAGATGGAGAATGATGCCAGATGGACATCATGAAAGGACTGAATGAGAAATAACTACAAATGCATCAGGGAATGTTGTATTGACTTTAAATCAAAGCATGAGGACACTTTTCGTACAATTACATATTTTTTTTTATTATTTACTGTAACAGTATGTCAAAAGGGTGAGGGCTTAAGAATATTTTTTGTCTCCCTCTGGTGTTTCATACGAGAACTACTTTTCTCTCAATAACAGCTGGGTGTGTCTCCTGAAAGTCTGCTAGTGGCTGGGATTTGTTCTGTTTAGTTGATTCAAATTTGAGTTAACAAAAGTTTCAGACTTTTCATCCCAGTACAAACTGTCTGACCATGTCAATAAGTAGTAAACAAGCTCAAAGTCCTTTGAGGTTTACATAAGAATTTATTTCAGAAGTCATTTTAGTGAGAGTAACCTCTAAACCACATAGATGTGTTGAAAGAGGGAGGAGGTGCAGTCATGGGGCCGTCATGGGCACACACATGAACTTCCATCAGGTCGTACTTTCACTTTTGGATCCTACACTGTTACAAAAGCAAAACCTGCTAATGATGCATTCATGTCACACAGGATTTCACTTTAAATTTGCTGACATGAGAAAACGTTCGTGCCAACCCCCACAGAGATAATTCTAGTCAGACTCTTTAACGTTGTGGTTTAGCCTCGGGTTTTTCCGTTACGCAACATATAGAAAAAGTCCAGAACAGTCATCGTAAAAACCTTTATGTGTCTATTAACTGAGCTACCAGGCTGCTAAGTGACATGAGCATACAAACATTCACACCGTTAGAGTCACTGAGTAGCTCGCTGGAGCACATCCAGGAGTGTTGGTAAATAATTTCTCAGATTTTTCATGCTGAGGTTTGAAGAAAGAGACAGAAGGGGAAGGAACTTGCTGAAAAAGTGCTTTCATAGCTCAGGAAAGAGCAAACATATAGCTACGTATATTCCAAAGAAAACTGGCTCAAGTTGATGTTTACTGATTCTTTTTCCAGACAGTTTTGAATGGAAAAACCTTCTTTACATGCCTGCCACTGTGAACCTAATGTTAAGTCTTACTGAGTGACACAGAAGTGACTGAAGGAGTTCATGCGCACCATTGGCACATTAACTTGGTTTGTTTGAGCAGTGGCTCGAGATTTTCCATTCAGCTGAACTCAAACACTTGTAATTACTCAACAGGCAAAAAAAGAAAATTAATGAGTTTTTCTAATTTTGTTTTTCTAACTTTTTACATGTTGAACTTAACTGTGAACTGGTTTTAAACATACTGTGAATCTTTTCTCCGAACATGAATTTGATAATAAAATGTCATTCGAGCAGCAGAAAGAACATCATGTTTGCATGTTCTCACAGTCGACAACTTTAACTGTCAGTTTCTTAAAGCACATCATTAAGTGTTAGAAATGACAGTTTTTTTTAATTTGTGCACACCCCCTAGGCCATGTCAGGACTCGCCTTACACAAACATGCGGTGTGTACTCATAGGAAAACCTACAGGCGTAGCAGAGAAGTTTACTGATCTCTGCAGGTAGAACAAGGATTGCTGTAAACTCTTTTAGTTTTTAAAATAGATTTTTGGGTTTGTAATTTAAGAGAGGAGAAATGGTTTTATGGCATAGGTTTTAATTTTTAAACAAGATCCAAGGGTACAAAACCTCAGCTGATTGGTGTTCAGTGAATTTTAGCTGACATGCTCTGCTGAGGTGATAAGGAGGGTTAGCACGCTCATATTAGCACCACTGTCCCTGGCTATAGTGAGGCAGAGAGCATCCCTGCTTGTAACTATTATGCAATTCTTTATCACAAGCTCAAACTTCATGGTTTTATTGTCTTGAAATAACAGCTGATTTTTCTGCAATAACATGTCGTTGTGTCTGATGAGAGCAAACAAGTTCATCTGAAACCAAAAAATCAACTTTTTTTTAAAATGATGGAGTCACTGAACATGCAAAAAATTCTGAATGTTAATGACTTTGTTTTGTTGAACCACACTTGTTCTCATTTTAAAAACTCCAACAGGACCATTACAAGGGATTGATTTGATCAACCAATCAGTACTTGAAAGAAGAATCTGATGCTTTGATTACTGCTCATTTTTCAAAGGGACATTGACATGACAGTTCTCATCTAGTTAGATCTACAGTTGTCAAACACCGATCTCATCACCTCAGCATGGCACACATAATGTCCAACAAACAGAATAAGTGAAGCAGCCTTCTGTCTTATGATGATAACAAGATGATTACTTCTTTATCCTAAGATAACAAAGCTTGTCTTCTAGAGGTAACAGAAAAATAAACCTGTGATCTTCAGATAACAGTATTAAAACGGAGTAAAGCACTGCTGTTGTTTGTTTTAGTAAAACAGATCCTCTTTAAATATTTTTATTCAGCTATTTTATGATACAAAGCCAGTTGAACACTAACAGATGACATAATCACATCTCAAGAAATGTAGAAAACTGTAGAGAAGAAGTTCCTTGTAATAACTTAAAAAGATTCTTTATTATTAATCCTGAGTTCCTTATTTTGAAATGGTTTTAAAGCAGTTTCGTAACTCAAAGAAACACTTGAACATTTTGTCATAGTTTTCTAAATTCTTATAGCTTTAGAGCTTATTTTTAAAAACTAAAGTAGACAAAAGCTTGAAACAGTTTGAGTTACAAACATCACATTTTTACTTCCTTAAACAACTCATGGAAAATAATGAACATTTTTCACAATATTCAGATTTTTTTTTAGATGAACTGATAATGTGATGCTTTTTTCTTTCAAACTTTTCTCCATGTTCATTAAGACCTTTTCTGTTTTTAAAATACTTTTAAATTATTCTTCCTCAATTCTGTTAAAATTTTGTAAAGCCACTTAATCATTTCTCATCAGGTCTTAAAAAAAAAAGAGAAGAGAGAGCTCTGCACTTTCAGTTCTCTAATAAAAAGAACAACCACTGAGGAAATTCATACATTAGTAGATTTTTGGTGATGTGCAGAGGAGAGAAAATAACTAATAAAATTGAGTGACTTCAATGAAAGCAACCCATTTTAACGTATAATGTTAGTATATGGTTAATACAAACTTTGGTACACCACAAAAAAACATAAAGATAAGAAGGGAAAAAAATCCACCATGTGTCTCAGTAAAAAGTCAGAATATTTATTGACCCTTCAACTCATTGCACTGAAATCTTGGCTGCCCAAAAACAGAGTGGGCAATCTCTAACATTCAAGAGACATGACCTGCTGTTTAAACATTCATTGATACCGCTCAGCTGTGACAAGTTTTCATGAGGATTTATCATCATCATCATCATCACTTTACACTTTTACATTTTCTTCAGTCCTTCCTCCTGTTGCGGTGTTGAAATTAAATCTCTCAAGCTTCAAAATAACATCCAGTAACCAGTAACTTTTTCTGTTCCATCCTAATAACACAATATAAATAATAGGAGTGCTTATCAGTCAATTCCATTTCTTTTTGAGAGACTTAACAGTAACATTCTGTTATACTGGCTCTATTTTGGCAATAAAAACTGCACAATGTGGTTTAATTTAACAACAGTCCTTTTCTGGTCAACATTTCAGACAACTTTTAATGGTCCAAAAATGTCGGAAAAGACTATAAAAACTATTTTATACTCTAAAACTCTGATAATTGATCACTTACTGTATGCAGTAGGCTAATACTTCAAAATAAATCACAAAAATGGACCATTCCACATTCATTGGTTTTAGTACAAACAAGCGTCATCCAGAAGTATAAAAATGCTGATGACATTACATGGAGACCCGAACTAAAATCAACTAAAGTAACATTTGCTACTGTGTCCTCAAAGCTGCATGTCATGATAATGATGCTCTACTCAAATTTAAAATAGCTGATACTGTATTATGAAATAGTTTAAAAGCTGTGGAGGATCATACTCCTAAACATGTGGAGAAAGCACCAAATCTGGCAGACACCTTAGAAGGCAGTTCTGCTGGACTACTGGGATCAACTGTACAGACCTCACAGAACCTGAAGTCTGCCACAAACAGGGGACTGAGCCAGACTGAGGGCAGAGATTCACTGTTTCAAACGAACTCCTAATCTGGGTGCAAGAGCTGTTAACCCCTTTTTTAATAAATTTCCCTTTTCTCCTTTTGGAAGTGACTGACTCATGGGTTGTTTAGTGATTAGCAGGTTCTGTCACAACAGACACTATATTGAGGATGAGGGTCAGTACAGAAAATTCCTCGTCCACAGATATCTTCCTCTGTCTGATATTGCATACACAGCATTACCTCCAGCCAGTGCAAGGTGAATGCAGCTCATTCTCATGATTTCTGTCTGCATGTGTGAGCTCAAACATCCACATTTACTTTTTCCTTAGTCAAACCAAGCAGAATGTTTACCTGCATGAGTTAAGGCTATTGTTGGAGTAATTTTTGGACTAAACAGCTGTTCCTGCAAAGCACAGAACTGCAGTATTCCCTATTTATTTGATATCAGAGCTGCACAGTACCACCACTTTAGCTGCTGGCACTATTCATTCATTCAAAAGTGTGCCACATTTGATGCTTTCTGTAGAAGATACTTTCATACGTCTTGGAAAGACATAACTGAAGAGTAGAAAAAGCTATACAAGAGGAGCAATGACAGTGGTTGTGTTTGCCCTGGAGAGGTCTTTCTTCTGAGTTCCTATTTGGCTGTGATCATATCTGTGTACATCGAGTGCCAAGACAAATCTAAGTGCATTTATGGCATGACAGACTGATTGGTCAGCGCTGTTGTCTGCCCTAACATTTCCTCCCTTCTTTCTGACGTATTTTAACCGCACTCAAGCATTTTCATAAAGGAGTGTAAAATCATGACCTTTGCTCTTCCACCGTCCCATCAAGGAGGGAGAGTCTCTCCTGGTTCTGTGTAACCTCATTTTAACAAACTCATTGGATGAGTCTGTCATATTGTGTCCCTGGTGTTATCTGAACTGCCGGTACAGTTTGCGAAGTTCGTCCCAGAAGAACAAAGACAGAATGGTGTGTGGGCCAAGTCGGAAATAAGAAGCTCCCAGGCCTTTGTAGAGTCCCAACAAACCCTCCTTTCTCAGTGTCTTAGAGAAGCAGTCAGCAAATCCTTTATAAAGTTGACCCTAAAAGATGAGAAGATAGCGGTTAGTTGTCCAGTTGGGATTTGATGACTGTTTGAGTAACTACTTTGGAATTGCAAACCTTAAACATGGAGTCTTTATTTCACAAATTGAGCATAGCAGTAGTTCAGGCAGTACACAGAGTGAAGCTCAGCCCACAGTGAATAAGCTGGTCATTATGCTAGTCCACATCAGCTGAGCTATCAGCTCATAAACTTCCACACACCCAGAGGGCAAATGTCAGACAGGGCGTTCTATTCAAACTGTTCAGCCTGTCTTCTCTTGCTGCTTCCTCTGACCCAGCTCCTCCATTTATGCTCTGTCTGATCTTACCATTGACACTGATGTCGCCTCTGTTCTGTTCAGGATTTCTTTTACAACTGCTGCTCTCCCTGCCTTGGCTTGCCATGTATGCGTGCATGAGACAGAGGGGAGGTGCTCTCCCCTCAGGCTTTGGCATTCAGTGTAAGCACGAAGAGGGGCAGGGAGCCCTGAGCACCAGAGCACCAAATATAACTAATGCATGGAAGTATCTGACTCTTTTGACGACAGTAGTTCATGACTGAACTGATGGTTAGAAAATACTAACACCAATGTAGGAGGAGAGGGTAGAGGTGAGGTACTGTTTGACAAAATAGGCTACCCTTTGATGTGACATAGTAATAGAATAATGTCAACATTATCATTTCCATGCTACCTGACTTCACAGTATCAGCAGACAGTACAGGTACTGGTCATATAATTAGAATATCATGGAAAAGTTGATTTATTTCAGTAATTCCATTCAAAAAGTGAAACTTGTATAATGTATACATTCATTTCACACAGACTGACATATTTCAAGTGTTTATTTATTTTAATATTGTTGATTTTAACTGACAGCCAATGAAAACCCCCAATGAGTATCTCAGAAAATTAGAATATTGTGGAAAGGTTCAATATTGAAGACACCTGGTGCCACACTCTAATCAGCTAATTAACTCCAAACACCTGCAAAGGCCTTTAAATGGTCTCAGTCTAGTTCTTTGGGGACTATCTCTGTTGTAGCAGGAGGGGAGGTGAATTATCAACAGATTTAACCTTAACTGTAACTTCTATCAATTCTGTGACAGGTTTCTTAAGAAATTCCTATTGATTGTCAAATCTAAGTACTGATTTGAATGCTGGTTTGTCCACCATGGATACAAGACCATCTCTCTGATACTGTGTATCAGCACTTGTAAGGTGTTAGTAGCTATGTTTACATGTGCAAAATTTCTTGATGCGATTAAAAATTTGAGGGGTTAGATAATCTGAATCCACTGTTTATATGGGTGCAAAATCAAATAATCCAATCATGACGTGCGAATACATGCCCCAAGTTTTATTCAGATTAGGACATGCACAGAGTTGTCTGATTTCCCTCAAACAACTGCAGAAGAAGAGTTTTTTTTTTTTTGTTAAACAACTGTTTTCTGTTTTCCCCCTGTTAAATGTTGTCACTGGATGGCACTCTTGCTCACTTATTTTACGGTTCTGTCAAAGGTTGCACTGTGCGTGCAAATGTGACATCATGACGCTGTACGTACGCCTTATGATGTTACCAGAGGAGCAGACACGGCACCTGTGGTTGTGTTTTATACCAGAGTGTTCATAATGAAACCTCCTGTACTGGCCTCAATAAATAAACCAAAGGCTAAAGAGTGAAGACTGAGTCAGGTAAGAGAGTTACGATCTGAATAGGTGTTTACATGGACGCGTTTCGGAATAGAGATCGGCATAAACCACCCCTCTTGATCAGAATACAATATCTTTCCGATTGAGCCAAATTGGATCTTCCGATTGACATGTTTACATGACGCATTTTTATTCAGATCGGGCCTTTACTCCAATTATTTGCGCCCATGTAAATGCAGCTAGTGTCTGTCACTTTAAGTTTCACAGACTCCACGCTAACAACTGGCACCAACATGAACTGCTCCAAGGCAGCAGCTTTACCTCACTTGCTAGGCGAGACCTCAAATTTCATTTAGTACCTTATTTAACATCGATCTTCTTGACAAAGATTCTACATGTCAGTTTATCTAGTTTAGCTGGAGTGAAGTTAGGTTACAGTGTTAAAGGTGGTCATGAAGGCTTGAGCTGGAAGCCTCCAACAGTGATGGGCAGCAGGCTGCAGAGATTTGCTAAACTCACTTCTTTCCAACTTCCTGTCACAGATTTTTCCCTTTGAAGATTAAGTCTTAAGCACCAACTGCTTTGAGTAACGTCATCATACTTACAATGATTTCTGACATTTTGCAGGCCTACAGCTTAACTTGAAAACATGTGCTGTATGAGTGTCATTCAATGATATTGTTCTCTCTACTCACCTTCCCCAAATGATCCACAGGCTGGTTGTAGAGTCTTGTGCTCACTACATCAAAAGGTGTCATAGCCAGGACCACAACCACGCTGCTGATCATCCCAGCAGTCAGGGCCACCAACCAGCTGTTTTTTTCGAACACCTTAGAATGAAGACAATCAAGTGTCAAGGAAGACTTTAGAAATCTCAGGTCTTGATTCACAAGAGTTATATACGAGATGCAGCACTCTCTAGCACAGTAATACTTCAACAGCTCATCATCTGGGCTCTGCCATGTGTGCAGCAACTTCTAATTTTAACCGGTCATGATCTCCCACATGCAGCGAAACAGAAGAATGGTCTATTTTTAGTGCAGCTACAAACGCATTCCCCAGTATCTGCAGTCAAAAATGTTTTATGGTCTGAAGTATTGGCTTAAAATTAAAGTTTATGGTGCACCAGCTGTATAAGACTGGTCTGAAGACAGTAAAAGGATAATCAGACAACACAGCAGCTTAAAACATTTACCTTTAGAGACTGTGTTTTTCAAGCAGCACAAGTTTGTTTACTGCCAACTTTAACTTAAAGATAATGGATACAACATGTACCGGCTGTGCTCCAGCTGAGTTATAAGGTGGATTATGTAATGGGATGTACAACTGTTGCCTTTGACATTGGGTAGAAACAGACCCGCCTCCCTCCTCACCCACCCACCAACTTCAACAGTTTGTGAGAAAGAAATAGTGAAAGGAAACTATACATATGCAGCAGAATATAATTATCTGGCCATTTCTGTTCTGTCAAAGATTCTGTCAGATTCTGGACCTTTTTCTACTGGAGCTGGGTCAGCAACAAGTACCAGCACAGTGGTTGTATAAGCTCCGGCATGAGGGGCCTATGAAAGGTGTCGGATTTCTATTCCAGAGGAGTCCAATGCCTCATGCTTTGTCAGTGCCACAATGACTGCTTTTGTAATCTCTGCAACACTACTGACTGCAAATCATCTCTCCCCAAGCTTGCAGCTAATGATTATACTTATTACCTTTAAATCTGCTGACTGTAGAGCTCAATTAGTGTCACAGTCTGGTGAACAGACAGATCAGGCCTCAAGAAAATATCTGCAAAAGTTTTAAAATACTGATCTGAAGTTGCAAAAAAAAAACCCTTAATATGTCTTTTACACTCACTGAAGCATGCCTCAACTCATATATACTTAGTTTAACTTTACATAAAGCAAAGAAAAGCTGTAACTCATCAGAGAAGAAACTATGCCTGAGTTATCCCAGATCCCCTCCCTGAAGCAGTCATGTTTATTCTTGAGCAGCCTGCACAAGGAGAAGTCATGCACACATGGTGAACGGTTGAAGAAACAGGATTCCTGATTCCTCTTAAAAGGGATATTCCGGTGTGAAATAAATTTATGCCAGCTTAGAGTAGGTGAGATGTATTTGGTCTCCTTGCTAAAGAAATCAGGCAAAGTTAAAAAGATGTTTGGTGGCTAGTGCTATGGCTGGGACCCTATATGTACTGTTGATGAAGTTAGGTGCTGTTCTGAGCATTATTTGTGGCTATAGAGTGGCGTTTTGGTTGAGGTTTGTTTATGGTTCCTCAGACCACTGTGTATTGCTATCCTACGGTCATTACTAAAGTTGGTATAACTAGAGAAGCAAGCAGTCGGCAACATTCATCTCTCGAGGAGGTGTCTAACTCAGTGTTACGGTATGTTTGACCCTAAATTAATTTTACACCAGAATATCCCTTTAAATTCAGATGATCATTTTCAGCTGGTCTGTAGAGGATAAAAATATTCTAACCTGGAGGTCTATGACCAGCTCTTTGGAGGAGGAGAAGGTGCTGAGTTGCGCTGCTGACCCCACACTGACCCTTGGCACTGCAGCACTGGAGCCTCTCCACAGTCCCACAATGCCATGTTCCCTATAGATGGCTGCCAAGGCGTGGATCATCCCCTGAGAGGAAGAGGAGGAGGAACATGTCATGCAGCTGCTGATGCCTGCCAATCAAGTGTAACACTATCGTGTTGTGTGTTTATGTTACCTGGTGTTTGTGCTGATGTCCAACTGCGATAGAGGAGGTGGCTTGACTCTGCAGATGAGTCTTGACCTGTCAATGGTCAGTGACAAATCTCTGTTTACTATTTTCTGAAAAGGCACTACTTTTTAAAGGAGCATTGCAAAGACAAAGACGTCAAGACACGATTAAAGAAAATTAACTACTAACCAAGTATACAGGGCTGCCCATTACGGCCCCCACGACACCGGCCACGGCTCCTGCTATCGTGGTTTTGACCGCGCTGACCCTTCCGTTCGTGTGGATGTATCCGGAAGACTCAATGACGGCGTACGAGCCCAGTCTGACTCCATTCATAAAAAACTGATAAACTAACCCTGGTGCCAGTCCTTTCTGTAACCCGGCGAGTCCGTCAACCTTACCGATGGTGTAGAAAGCGTGAAAAACGTTGCGGTAGTAAACCTGGTAGGATCCCCGGCTTTTGAGCTCTCCCTGCAGCTGCATCCGTGTTTTGACGACCTCCAGCGGGTTGGTGAAGAGACAAGCGCCGCACGCCGCCGCTCCGCTCAGCACGAAATCCATCGCGATGTGACGGCGGCGGCAGGACAGATGTGGAGTTCGAGTCTCTACCTTGTCTGACCTGTCCTTCGTTTCACAATGTCCTCCTCCTCCCACATTTCTTTACACTCACACAATCACACGGTGTACAACCACCTCGAGGTACATCTGCGCGCAGACATATGAGCCCTTCACGAGCTTTTCGGTGACTCGTAATTTCTGACTATCAAATTTGTAGCCTCGGTGTCACGTGGTTTTATTTGAATTAACGCCACAGTGTATGATTAACACACGTCGGAGAATACTCATTTAATGTCAAGATAGTCATATTCTTTCTTTCTTAATTTATTTTCCTCTTCTTTTTTCATCTCAAAATTTGAGAACATAAATAATGATAATAATAAAAATCAATAATAATAATAATAATAATAATAATAATAATAATAAAAACAACAACAACAACAATAATAATAACAGCAGCAACAACAACAAAAAAAATTAATAAATAAATAATAATAAAATGCATATGTACACCAAACAACTGTACATGTAAAAAATAAATGTTTACAACATATGTACGTCAAATATTCTGCAATAAATGTTCTTCATTGCAGAATATTTGCTTCGTCTATTTGTTATCGCGCTTAAATGTTGTATTTTTTTTTCCTGTTTTGTGACTTTTGCAATTTCATACGTCCACTTTTTCTTGTGATTTTGGACTTGCATTATATTCTCTATTTTCCTAATAATCCTCTGTAAATAGAGGAGACAGACATTTCCTTAAAGCTACTTAAACAGTTCAGAAAGGGACAAGTCCAATAACAGACCTGGCTTTGGGAGTGTCCCTTTACAATGAGCCTTATTTTGGTACATTTTCCTCGAAACCTGTTAGTCTAGTCACACACAAAAAAAAAGCTTTTTTGAGTCTTTCTTTTTACCTCAATCAGCGCGTAATTAAGTAAACATTAATAACACGAAAAAATTCTTAGTTGAGACGTTTTGAAAGGCGACAACAGACATAAAGGCGATTTTTAAGATTAATTGTAATTTTCATATTTCGCATTTCCATTTTTCTCCGTCCCATAAACGTCTCACTACGGAGACTGGTGCCACTGCGTGCGCACGTAGGTTTGACGCTTGTCATCTCAGCCAATCAAAGAGCTCCGTATCGTCTTGTAGATTCTAAAGTCATCTGGTTTGTGACTTGTACGCAAGTAAAGAGGCAGCCATATTGAATTGACACATCCTGTTGGGTTTGGACTAGTTCATCCGGACAAACTTGATTCCACCACCTGACTTCCGACTGCAGCTGTTCACAGGCAAAGCATCTTTTGAGTCACGTAGTTACTTGGGAGGTCACAAGTATGAATGGTTATACTTTGTAAAAAGTAAAATACATAAATAAACAATAAATCAAACATTCATAAGATTCTCATATTGTTGTAAAGGGCACCTCTGTGGGGTTGTCCTCATCCTACAATGAACCCCTGGGGGAAAACCCCTGTGTGGTCACATTAGAAGGCTTTTTGACACTATCTACCTATCAATACATATATAAATACATACATAAAGTCCTTTCATTGCTGCCAGCTTGACATTCCCAGTGGAAAATATAGTCATCAATAATGATAACACCATTGAATGACATGGTAGTCACATTTATTTTCAATGAATAGCTTATTAATAAGCTGAGTTTACCAATAACACAACAGACTCACATAAGACCAAATAAATCTATCTTAATGTGCTTTACTGACATAAGCCAATAATGGTTGCACCTAGTGAAGGTGCGGTGTAGGGGCTTTGGCGCCAGAACAACAACAACAAATCTTCTTATGGAGGTTGGAGTCAGGGGACAGGCTCACCGACAGGCCATCAAAGAACTGGCCAACACCGCTGAAAGGACCAGTGTCTGGCTGTGGTTCTAGAGGAGTGACAGCATCTGAGCTGCTAAGTGAACAGCTGACGGCGAGACACACCCAGGTGTGATCAACCTACGTATGGTGGGCGTGCCTTAGCAGAGGGTGTCTTGTAATACATGGTGGAGACACCCTATGTTGCTGAGGTACACAACTGTGTCCATCCTGTAGAACACTGGCAGCTATCTGATTCATATACAAGGGAATGTGATGGATAGTCCTTTCATCGAGTCTGCATTCAGGATATGTAATATGAGTAGAAAACAGTTACTCTGTACATGTTTTTAACATGCCAGTAGGCCTACAGGTCAAGTAATTTATGTCACACACACACAAATTTACTGGACCCCTACGATAATTTAATATCTGACATTTGATGTTCATTTGATGTTTTACTGTGATGTTCAACAAATTCAGACTTAACACTTTTAGGTTTTATTTACATTTCTTGACATCTAACTTACACCATCAATATGATGCATTCTGTCACAGCTGTGGCATCTCTCAAGAGCAGGGGTGCATAAAGACATTTTTGATGAGATTTGGCTCAACTGGGACACTGATTTTCCCATTGGGGATTGATAAAGTTCTTCTTCATCTGATATAGGAGGGTGTAGCTTGTATTTGTGTGCGCACACAAATTAATAGCATTTACCCTCTCTGTCTTCTCTATATGTTTTAAAAACTACTATTAAAGTATAGTTATAACATTCCTTTGCATAATATTTTTTTTACTTGAATAATAAACATAACATAGTGAAAACATAAACGTAGCCCAATTCTTTAAAATCTTAGAACAATGTTTGTATATAGTCATAATTGAAGGCACAAGTTATCTGCCTTTTACAAGTTAGCTAGCCAAACTAAGCCACAGTCTAGGTTTTTTAAGAGGCTCCTTGGATGGATAATCAGATATCAAGGGGACCACTGCTACCCTTGACCCCCATCCCTGCTTGTATACCTTTTGACTGTCTGAGGTCCAGCAGTGACTTCGAGGCTGTTTTTAACTACATCTCCATTTAATCAGCTGACAAGCACTTGCAGCCTAGCTACCTAAAGATCACACTCACATGTCAACCACTCCAATGTGTGTGAAAATGTAATGGGATTTTTATTTAAAGCTGAAGTAATTAAACAGGAAAAGCTTATCCACTTGGCTAATAGTAAACAGCATCATGTTTTTTTGTGAAGCCATCAGAACCCATTTAAGCTGTAAAATGTTGGAGAAACGTCCTCAACACTCAGAGCATGTCGGATTTTGTCTTCTCACCTGAGGATTTTATGATTTAAGGTATACCTTCTTTATGTCTGAGCGATGGACATATGTCTGGGTGGGTGGGTTTTTTCTTGGCTTCTGAGCTGGATTAGAGTTGAAGTAAAATCTATTTCACCTCTACCCCTTCCAAATAGGATTTGTGTGCAGGGGAATTGGGTTAACTAGCCCTGACAGAGCTTCTTTTTATGTTTTGTTTTAATAGCTTCTTCAAGTGGGCCACATATTTGTCTCATGCTGTCATACGATCTTGTTCTGCCGTGCTTTGCACTGAATATTACATACACCAGTGCTATGTCTAATCATACCCTGTAGACAGCTCCACTACAAGTGCATTTTGTTTTCAAACTCTCAGATCAATTGAAATAATAAAAATATAATAATATAACTTGACAAAGTACAAAAACCTGCAACTTTCAAAACTTTTACCACATTTGTTGATCAATATTTATTGAAGTGTTACACAACCACTGGCTAGGTGCACACTGCAGGGAAAATAAGCTTGATTTGAGGGACGTCGAAAGCTAAATAGGCTTACGTAAACTACTGTTATTATTAGCCCGACAATATAAGTTTGGATTTAGACTTTACGTATATTATTAATCCTGGCAAGGTGACAATTTCAGCCAAACTAAGAGAGTTTCAGTGAAGTGATGCTGCGTGTATCATTATTCCTAAAATCATAGTTTTATGTGCAATCGTGCAGCCCACTCACAGATAGCTGCAGCTTCACCAGTATATGTGATGTACTATAAGTAGCATTTAAACATGCAAGAGTGTGATCATAAATAACTAGCCATCCAATAAAAACAGCGGCTGTGCTGTTCTTTCTTTGCTGTTTGAGGCCGATCTGCCCTCCTTAGCTTCATGATCCCAATCCCTACTTCCTCCCCTCATCCACCCTCTAAATCCGCTCACCTGAAACGTACCCTAATGCTTTTATTCCCTTGCTCATGCATAGAAGAATTCTTTTGTTGGGATCCAGATTTGTCTGCAGCATCCAGAATGAAAAGCATTTCTTGTACAGTGAACACTTACAGAGGTTAAAAGATTAGGTAAAGACTCGCACAGTGTCATGCTCTTTGACACCCACCAGGACAATCCACCTTTGCTCTTCAGCCTCCTTTTGAACCAGACGCTCACTCAGCAGATTATGCGGCTGTATGACATTTAAATTTAGTTTGTCTTATGTTTTTAGTCATGATTTCTTATTCAACTTAATAAACAGGAAAAAAGCCCTGTCCATCATATTTATTTTCACTCTGTAGTCCTTGACTCTTTATTAAGATAAAAAATGATGCTTGAATTGGCACATAAAGCTGAGTGATGCCTTCTGAGTTGCTGCAGTATTCCTCATCCATGGTCACGCCTGCTGTTACACTAATAGCCTCTGCCCAGCTTGCTTCTTCCAATAACGTTAGGGTGTAATCCTCACCAGCTAATGAACAACCAAGTCGGATTTCAGGTGCAGGGTAAACCTCAAGCTGATGCCCCAACCTTTACAGCTCAGTGAGGTGCAGGGACAAGTGGGGACGACGGAGGACTGGGCAACTTTAAATAAAGTATTTTTAAGACTGTCACAGGACAGACATGATTGCGTTTTGTTGTAGTTGATGGGAAAAGGAGTACAGGAGAAAAGGGAGCATATGTTGGATGTCACCCAATTGGATTTAATCTATTGTCTTTGAGTCCTCATTTAGGTCCCTGCTACATCCGGAAAGAACAGTAAGTGCTACTTTACTCATGTTTTTAATCTATATTGTACATAGTGTAAAAATGGATGTTAAATACTTTCTGTTTGAGAAAAGAAGTATTCACTGACATGACATTATCAGAAACTTTTGACATTATTCACCTGAGAAACATATTTTTTGCATTCACCCTTTTCTTTAATCAAAATTAAAAAAAAAAAATAAAACTTTGACATTCGCTTAATTTGTGCAAGTTCTTCAATGACATTAAGTTCTTTTAATAAAGTGAAAAGATATAATTAAGTTCACTTGGTTCAATAAAACCAGATATTTTTTATGACTGATTCAAAACACTTGCAGAGGCACTCCTGTTGAAAGGTCACGTTAAAATAAGTATGAAAATTGAGGTTAATTAACAATAAGGCCAATCGTCTCTCCGAAAATCTCTGGTATCAACAGTCAGTGTTAATTGGATTAAGGGGAAAGCCAAGAGTATCACTACATGTACCAGGTCAAGACGCAGCAGCTTATACACATGAAATAGACACCCTGAAAGACTTAACACTGTCAGCAAATTATCTGCTTTATTCTTCCTGTCTAATTTGGTTGCACAGAAATGTATACTTAGTGCTGCATGCAAAGGACTTTATGTTGGTTGCAGAAGTTATTGACAACCTAAAACCATCCTCATCCACAGTATAAACTTTTTTTCAGTCTCTTGGAGTAAAAAACATAAAAGCTTCTTTTTGATGGTTAATTTTTTGCATGCAAGATTAGCAGACAGAATATCAAGAGTACAATAAAAGCAGGTGAAATCAGGGCTCAATTTAACAGTGTGCTTAGTCACTGAAATTTCACAAATGCATTTTAATTTAATGTTAAACAAGGATCAAAATAGAGAAAACATAGTTGAGCAAGAATACTTGAGCATGCTAAAGCCCACGCTTGCAGCGCTTTGAATCCATTGCATTGTGTGAATGTGTACACATGTAAGTGCACCCATGATAGATAGTCTGTCCTGAGAGAGACCTCTTTCAAGGTGGTTTGACTTTTGAACAGCAGGGTGCAGCATATCACAACATTATTCAATATCATGCTTTAACATCTTACTTGTAAGCAGATATTTTGCTCAAAAGATACGCATGATTTCCTTGAAGAATCTCTGAAAAACCAGGTCATAACGTCTTAAACTACAAGAGAAACTGTGCTGCGGGTATTAAGGTAGTCCCTATTGTGGTCTTAAGGACCAGAGTAAGCTGATTAGTGGACTTCTCACTGTGTCATGGAGAGGGAGGAAACAATATATGGTCAGTGTAATCTCAACAGAGCATGGGAACAAAAAAACAAACAAGTGCTGATCACTACTTCAAACATTTTTAGGGTTTTATTAACCCCTGTGCTGGTTTTGTGTGTGCCTAACAGAGGTGAAGCCATGGACATCGGTGGTTTGGAGACGGTGGTGGCAAACTCTGCATATGTTTCAGCCCGTGGCAGTGTGGATGGAGCTGCAGCGGCCTCTTTGCGTGACAAAAAGATGCGTGCCAGGCTGAAACTCCCGCACATCAGAGAGTGTGAACACATGAAGACAACTGTAGACTCAGCCTTTGACAGCATGTGTGTTAGGCAGCCCATTGGTAAGCGCCTCTTCCAACAGTTTCTGGATAGTGATGCAACCCATAAAAATGCTGGAGAGCTGTGGAAAGACATCGAAGACTACACAACATGCCAGGAAAAGGACAGAGTGCAGAAGGCCCAAAAAATGGTCAATAAATACTATGAGTCTGCTTCAAAGGGTTTTTGCAGCTTCCTGGAGGAGAAGGCCGTCACTCGAGTCAAGGAAGACTACAAGAATGTCCGTGGTGATCTCTTCAAGGAGAGTGAGCAGCAGCTGCTTAAACATTTTGAGAAGAAGGCCTTAGATGGCTTCAAGAACAGCATGTACTTCCTGCGTTACGTTCAGTTCAAATGGCTGGAGAGCCAGCCTGTTGATGAGGAGTGGTTCATGGACTTCAGAGTCCTGGGTAAAGGAGGTTTTGGGGAAGTGTTTGCTTGTCAGGCAAAGGCAACAGGCAAAATGTACGCCAACAAGAAGCTGGAGAAAAAGAGGCTGAAGAAACGCAAAGGCTATGAGGTAAAGTCCTCATATGACATCTGTTGTCCCACCCATATCCTTTCATAACGTCAACGGACAACACAGGGCAAGTTTGTTCTATCAGCAGTGATGAAATGAGAAAGACGGCTCTGTAACTCAGCAAGAGCAGAGAGTTAGTTTCTAATGCAAAGGGCTCAATGTAAAGAAGCTTGTGTGTCTTTCAAAGACCTCACAAAGGAGCTCAGAGCCAGACACGGTGGGCTTGACTGACGCCTACAGCCTTTAAAAGCATTAGTGGATAATGAACTTTCAAAGGTGTTGCCTGTCATTAGAGCAGCACATCACTTTTGTTTCTAGGCTAACAGCCTGGTAGTCTTGACGGTATGTACCAAAATAAAAGACATAAATACTCAAACAAACAGAGAGGCCCATTACAGCTATGGCATGCTTAGATCTTGTTGGATGACAAGTTAAACTCCCTGCTGTCATTTGGCTTGAGAAGAATACTATAATCTGTCAGAGATTAACCTTTATTTTAAATTGTACCTACACATGACTAGGTATTTCGATGTGATAAAATAGCCTATCATGGCAAAAATGTAACTGCAACTTTCAGATGGATAAAGGAACTCAAGAGCTCTTGTGTGATCAGTTATATAGAAAAAGGAATTTGTAATCTAGCTCCAGTAAGAGTTATTCTATTGTTGTTAAGAGCGAAAAAGCAGTCTGCAAGTTTTCAAACTTACCAAATGACACACTTCTTCCTGTATGGTCAATGATCTTCTGTTGCTGGTTTGTGCATAGGGGGCAATTGTGGAGAAGCGTATCCTGGCAAAAGTTCACAGTCGCTTCATTGTGTCACTGGCTTACGCCTTCCAGACCAAGACTGACCTCTGCCTTGTAATGACCATCATGAACGGTGGAGACCTCAGGTACTCTTTATTCCTCTTACCACCAAATGCAACAAATCTCATATACACACATAAATATAAAACACGCTATATACATTGTGTCCCACTGCTCTCATATTCACCCATCAGTTGTATATGGATAAACCATATATCTGGATACAGGGATAAAATCAGGGCTATTGTGTAGGAGTAAATGGTGTCAGATACTACAATAATATCCTTCATTTGTGTGTCACAGGTATCATATGTATAACGTGGATGAAAAAAACCCAGGCTTTGATGAGAAGAGGGCATGTTTCTATGCAGCTCAGATCATCTGTGGGGTGGAGCACCTACACCAGCACAGAATCATCTACAGAGACCTGAAACCAGAGAACGTGCTGCTAGATGATGCAGGTGAGCCATTTCCTCTTTGCTCAACCAGTCCTACAGCAGTTAAGACCCCGGTGTCATGAATATCCCTGGGCTGGTTCATGGGCTGAATGGAATAGGCCAATGATTAGTGATCAGTGAGATTCACTATTCATCACTTTCTCCCCACAGGACACGTTCGCTTGTCTGATATGGGTCTGGCTGTTGAACTCCCGCCAGGAAAAGACAAAACAAAAGGATATGCTGGAACTCCAGGTAGGTGAACACATCCAATATCTGTGAAAGAAATGAAAACAAAAATAGGAACCAGGGGAGGATACACCATAAGGTAAATGTTAAAGTAAAAACAAAGACAGTATTCACCCCTGAAACCATATTGTCTGTGAATTAAGGATTCATGGCTCCAGAACTGCTCCAGAAGAAAGAGTATGACTACTCAGTGGACTACTTCACACTGGGGGTGACTCTCTTTGAGATGATTGCAGCGAGAGGGCCCTTCAGAGTGCGAGGAGAGAAGGTATTAAACCTTTGGAACAAGCACAACAGGAATCAAAAGTTGCCAATTCATCTGTTTGCTCTTGACCGTTGCCAATTCTTTGTGCTTCTCTGTCTTTAGGTTGAGAATGAGGAAGTTATTCGCAGAATTTTGAATGACTCACCTCCATACACACCAAACTTCAGCAAAGACTGCAAGGCAATCTGTGATGGCCTGATGGAGAAAGACCCAGCAAAACGCCTTGGGTTTAAGAACAACAGCTGTGATGAGCTCAAGAACCAGCCCTTCTTCAAAGATATCAACTGGGGTCGCTTGGAAGCAGGTGGGCAACATGTACAAAACCCTCCAACCATAGTCGGCACTAATATATACACTGATTTCTGCAAGAAGTAGCTGGAGTATCACTACCAACAATTCCATTAATTTAATCAGTTGAATGGCAGCAAAAGGTAAAAGAAGAAATAACAAGCCTAATAAAACCCAACATGACTCTCATTTGTGTATGTTCTCACTGTCCCATTTAAAGGTCTGCTAGTTCCGCCATTCGTCCCTGATCCTAAGATGGTCTACGCCAAAAATATTGATGACGTGGGCGCCTTTAGCACAATCAAAGGCGTGGTCCTGGATGACAAGGACACCACGTTCTACAATGACTTTGCCAGTGGCAATGTCCCAATCCCCTGGCAGGAGGAAATGGTCGAGACAGGCGTGTTTGGAGAGTTGAATATCTGGGGAGAGGGTGGCAAGCTGCCCAGTGACCTTGACCCAAACTACGTGGAAGCCAAAGGTGGAGGATGTGTGCTCCTTTGAGTAGCAGAGAAGAAGGGAGGAAGATCTGTTGGATAATAAGCACACTTAGATTTTGTGTGCTCATTCGCTGCTGCTTTCTCCTATCCACATTATCTGTAATTTGAACAATAACCTGATATTGTTGTAATGAATATATATTATATCTCTTATATCTTAATACAGATATACAAATATACACCTTAATTCTAAAAAAAGCAAAACCTTTATTATAACTGTAATAATCATAGGGTTAACGTTAAAAAGGCAGCTTGTAACAAAGTTTATGTAGCTGAAATATCATGTATTTAACAAACTTGTAAATACGGTTGTATGCAGAACAGCTATTAAAATCTTTATATGCCAATTATTTTGTTTAGTTATGATATACACACAGTGCAAGTGTCATTTTGTAGAGACTGTATGAAGTAAATATGTTGTATAAATGATTTGGACCAAAAACAAAAGGTTCTCATGTACATGGTATGTTAATATATCTTTTAAACAACAGATAGTGATGAAGTTAATACTGTAGTAAGAATTGTAGACAGAGGAGCAATCAATAAAACATTGCAAAGCACAAATATGTGTTGAGTTTTTCAATATCTCAGTTTGTAGATCACTACTAGTATATATCTCCAGCAAATAACACTTCTCATATTTTTTCACAAATCTATGTAATATAACAAATTCAAAACGTACTGAGATTTGCGACATTCTTGGAGCCATGAAGCTATTGCAATAAAACACGATTGATGACACTTGAAATAATGGACAATGTAGTCAGTGGGGTGCAGGAAAATAGAGTTTAGTTCATTTTCGTTTTATTTGGGTGTGTGAAATTGAATGTATCTACACACTCCTTTAAATACAGACCAGTACCAACATGGGAATCACAGTGTATTTCCTTCTTAGAGAGCGAGCTCATTTGCTACCTTGTACTTTCTTCCTGTAAGCCTGATTTTACCATTTTAACCAGGGCTCACTCCAGTCAGACAGATTTTTTACAAATGACTGAATATCCGTATTCACTGAAGAGTTCATCTAAACCTGACCTGACCTAAATGAAGACTTTTTTGGCATCCCACAAACCCTAAGCTTAAGTATATCTGTCAACTTGATATAGTGTTGCTGAGTATCAGCAAATGACACCTGTGCTCATAATTGTCAGAACATTTTGCTTAATATCTAATATCTGAAATGTGAAAAAGCCTTAAAAGTGATTAGCGAAAGAGTCAAGAGTCTCCAGTACGTGCCGAGGCTGTTGACTGATTTCTAGCAACTTTTGTCAGTCTGTTTTGTTTGTTTTTGGTTTGATAGTTTGAGTTTCTATCTCACAACTACAGATACAGTTAAGTCTCTGGGTTGGTAGGGTAAAGCAGTATTCCTCATCTCAAGCAGGAAGGCTGTGGAAGACTATGTTTATTGTCCATTATCGTAGTACAATCTCCAGAAAGTAATTCCAGAAAAAAACCTGCTTTCTTTCTCCAGATATCTCTGGAGTACATCATACTTTAGTGACACACCAGGCAGTTCGATAATATCATTTCCAAACCTCTCCCAGACATCTGTACACACAGTGGAGAAGCTAATCGATTTCAACATCACTCATAAGGCTCCACATTTGTGGGTTTTTGGTTGTCTTTGAATGTTTTTAGGCCACCTAAGCCCCTCTAATGAATTAGCTCTCTCCAGTTATCCTGGATATTTGACCTGGTTCTTTGTTCTATTGTGAGATGAAATAAAAGTCAACTGAACCGACCATTAAAAAAAATGTTATTTTCTGAATCTACAACCTAAAACATTACTTTCGAGACTTTTTCTGTCCATGTCTGTGGGTTTGTGAGTGAAACAGAGACACATGGAGCTGTAACCTTTACTATCAATCATACAAATTAATAAGACTATTATAAATCTGTGACCTCACCGAAACTCTGTTGAGTACACAAAAACTGACTGCTCAAATTTACACAGCTGAAACATTATTTGAACAGCTTAAAATGAAAGCTCTACCCACTGACTACATGCACTCATGGAACTTAATCTCGGTTTAGTTCAACAGACAAAGATTTGTTCAAGTATGTGGTATCTGACAACCCCAGCTCTAGAGAAGTCGGGACATCAGTTGTTGAAATTGAAAGATGTTAGTTTTATGTTTTACACGTTTCAATACAATGTGTTTCTTCAAAAACTGCGACAGGGGTTTGACAACATGCTTGTGTAACACCAAAAATGATCAAGAAGAAAAACTTTCAACTAACTGGGTTAAATTGCCGCAGGTTAGTGTCATGGGTATATAACAAGGGCACTTCACAGAGGTAGAGTCTCTCTCACTCAGAGGTGGTCAGAGGTTCGACACTCTGTGACAGATTGTATTAGGGAAATATCTGAATGTTTACAGAGTAATGTTCCTGCAGCATAGAGTTACAAAGAATATCAAAGGAGTGCAATCTGGACTACATAAAACCATTAAAAGGATGGCTGTGATCTTCAGGAGCAGAACTCCATTTTAAAAAAAGGACATGAAATCACTGAATAAGACTCAAAATTACTCCTAAAAAATAAAATGACCATAAATCACAAACAGGATTCAGAAATACCAACTGCTATTTTGGGCTAGAGCCCATTTATGTTGGACTACAGTGGAAAACCATCCTGAGATCTGACCGATCAATATTTGACATTGTATTTGGAAATCACAGACACCATCTCGTCTCTTCACTCAGCTCGTCATTGGTGCACGGTTTTAAAGCCACTATTTATGATGGTACATGGATGCTTAATTTCCTATGGCTTTGGTAGCTTTCACATTGTACGCTTTGTAGCAACATACACTGCCATACAGACAATTAGATTTTCAGGAAAATAATAACTGCATTCTACACTTATTACATCAGCAGAGAGCTGTATTAGAGGAGTCTGGGTCCTAAATGGGACTGCCTGCAGTCCTGGTTTATCACCAATTGAAACCACTTGCCTGCCTGCAGACCGTTTCACCCACTGAAATCTCTTGATGCATGATAAAACAACAACAACAAAAAAAAAACTACAGTGGAGACCCAGAACTGTTGAGCTAGCTGAAATCTTGAATCAGGCAAGATTGGGAAAGCATCTTAGCCTCAAAACTCACCTCTACGGTCTCCCTGTTACTAAATGTTGACTGTACGTTGTTTTTGAAGGGTGATTGCGACACAATGGTAAACATCCCCATCCTAAGTGTCCATGTAGATTCTCATTCATCCAGGTCATGGTTTTCTTGAAGATTCCAAAATCAGGCAACTCTACACAGTCCAGTTGCCTGATTTTGGAGTCTTCAAGATCCCCATCCTAACTTTTCTAATAGTTTCTAATATATACATTAATTTTTCATGAAACAATGAAAATTTTCATTTTTGACAACTGATGTAATATTTTCGCACCATTTCTAATTAGGCATATAGTTTAAATGATTCACAACCCATCAAAATCTTTTGTATCAACATTTTATCATTAATATTGTTTACAATATTGTAAACAACAAAGATCACAAAGGAAATCCCAAATAACCCTTTTTTTAAATGATTTGTCAATATCATTTTGTGGCTAACTGAAGATGATTTTACAGCATCATGATGACAAGTAGTGGCTGTTGGATTCAAGCCTTGAGTAAAAAGACTTTAAATGGACGGTTTTAGGAATAGAAATAATTTAAGAGGGAAAAAAATTAAGATCAAAAATGTTAAAACAGCTTTTCTGCATCCTTTCTTACAGTATAAAATGCAGTGAAAATTCATATAGAATAATCTATACAATAATGTAAATTCAAAATACTCTGTGAGAATATGAATTAATAAGTATTGCCATGAAAATCATAAGAATTGAATATTTCCTCCGGTGTATTGAGCTAAGTACTTAAAAAAAAAAAAAGTCTTTTCTGAGGAAGTTTAGATTTAGTCATTAAGTTGATTTTTAAATCTTAAAATCCTCATAATTGGGTTACAATAATTGTTCTTGGTTACATTGTTGATCTTAACAGGCTGACGTTAAGGTCTAAAAAACGAAAAAAGACTTTGTAGTTCATTTTAGGTGAACTTTCCCTTTAAGTGAAGAGGTCAATGCGGACACAACAGAATAAATATTACAGCTTACAAAGGGAAGGGCAAGGGAAATAAAATATTAACAGACAAACGACTATGATTTAAAGCCTCAATGTTGGCTCATTACTGTTAATATATGACAGTACTTTGAACCGCGCTTCTGATTGCTGGTCGGGCAAAAGAAAAACCCTTTTCGATAAGATATAGACTGTAAATGATGAGAGTGAGGTTTCTCATGATGGTAAACACCAGTGTTTACATTTAAAAATCATCCTCACAGGGTCATGGGTATTTCTCATGTCATGTTACAATGACTGTGTTTCAGAAGCGACACACAAAAGACATGGGTGGCTGCTTTAAAGACGTTCAGTGACCTGCCAGTGACAGATGACGGAGAAAAAAACTATAATTTCTTGTACTGTTGCACATTTCCATAAGTTCCTCGCAGTATAAAGCCACCCAATCCATCCTAAGTATAGCCAAGCCTTTCAGGTGACAGTACTGTATTATTTAAACACAACGTTTGAAAAGAAAGGCATCAGTGTTAAATCTATACGCTCAAGTATACTAAAAAAAAAAAGGGTTTACAGAGTGCAAGAATTTAAACACCTTCTTTTGTCCAGCTGCAGACTGGTTAATGCTTAACCACAACTAAAATAGATACTTTCTGCCTTCAATAAATCACCCTCCTTACCTAGCTTTGACCTCTATTCACTATTTCCACATAAGTATTTGCTTTTGGAACTTGAACTGATCTCCCTAAAATCACAAGCTACCAATTCAAATTTACAGACAAGAGGACAAGATGATATACACGGATTAAACTCAAATAAAACATTGCTTCTTATCTTTAACAGATTAATTCAAGTTCGCATTGTGCTGTAATAAATGTTGCATTTATGGTCATTTATGGTTAATTTATGGTTACTTTATGAATAATACAATCTACTGTCTTCTGAAGAAGCTCTGAAGCATTCAAAGAAATGTTATCAGTCATTAAATATCTCCCGCAATCACGGGTTCAACGCTGTGATAATGTCTCAAATAAATAATCCCTACCTCTCGTAACAATGAAAAGAAAAAAAAAAACTCACTGTATAGCTACATTTCTATGGTAACTTGCCAGGCACGTGAAATGTCATCAATTTTGGGCGGGAATAGCAGACTTATAATGTAGCCACAGCCAACAAATCAATGTTCAAATTAGTCTGGGTTTGAATGCAGGAGAGAAAATTCCTGAGTCAGCTCTCACACTCCCAAAATGTATATCAGATATAGGACTTGTTAATAGAGCTCCTCACAGAAGCAATATCTATTGGTTTTGTTCATATTCAGGGGACAACTTCTTTCAAGATGAAAGAGATTATTGAGATTGTAGCACTTTTTCTAGGTTTTGCAAGCTGGATATTGATTTTAGTATCACTTCAGGATCAGTATTGGAAAGAGTCCACCACAGAAGGCAGTGTAATTACAACGTCCACGATCTATGAGAACCTCTGGATGTCTTGTGCAAGTGATTCAACAGGGATCTACAACTGCAGAGACTTTCCATCCCTTTTTGCTCTCCCAGGTGAGTTAAAGTGTAATTTTCTAACTGCTTTTTCATGATCATAAACTCACAAATTATCAGATACTACAACAATGCTTGGTTTGTATATGGAGCAGCTTAATAATTGAAAATTGACAGTCAGTGACACAAAATACTTGTATGAGTACTTATTTTTAAATATGTATATACATTATCAGTTATGCTTAAATGTATTTCTCATGATTCAGCTTTATGTAAGGGCTGACTGTGCGTTTTCTAATCTTCACTCTTCCTTTGGACGGTCAAGGGAAGTAACTGAATAACAAGAGTCTTTAAACTATGGATACAGAAACACACAGCACCTAAGAACAGAATAGAAAAATAAGACAGGTGAAAAATAAGCTTGATTTTTCTTGGTTGGACAAAGTTGTACTTTTCTCTCAACTGTTGTGATCTATCATATAGACTCACAATGGAAGAAAAGAAACAGAGTTGAACAAAACTTAAAGTCTTTGAAAGACTGAGGCATGAACTTTTGATCCAAGAGTGTAAATACATATGAATATACATAGAGAATCATACAGCCCATTCTCCATGCTCAAGTATTCCTGTATCAATTCCTTAAATTTTGTCAGCAGTGTTTTTTCTTATGCACCACTGTACCACATTCCTTATGTGTTAAAGCCCACTTAGCAGCAGCTGTCTGATTTTGTATTTTAATCTATTGAGAGCAGCAGCTGTGCAATCCAGTATCACAGTTATGTCTAAGGTTGTATAGCAAAGATCTTTACTGATTATATTTGAGTATTAGGAAAGCACAATTTTTAAGAAAGTAGTCAAATTTAAAACCTAGGGCACTAAGAACAATGAACCTATCATTAAATTTACATAAACTTCTCTTTCTATACTATATTTTTTATTGAATATAGTAAATATATATAGTATTTTTTTTTTTATTGAGCTATTTATTCAAAATCTAAACAGTATCTAATCAGCGATTAAATTCAATTGCCCGCAGAAGAATGTCATTCCTGCTGAGGCTTTTACCTCTAAACCCCTAATAGTCATCTAAGACAAAATCCAGTCAAATCAGAAATGTCTGTTGAGGCTATGTTGAGTCAAAATGATTCAGTAAAACAGTTCTTTGATTTAGCTTTCCAGTATTAACCATAAAGAACAATATTCAGGTCTACAAGGCTACAGCAGTGTTTCATTACTGTGAGATAAGCATTTTGGGCACAGTTGTCAGGCGAGCAAACAGAGTTTTGAGAGGGGGGACAGACCCGATCTCCCGCTGGAAATATGTGATCATGCAACCCCAACTCCTGAGGGCACAAAATTGCCTCCTCATCCTTTTGACTCAGGGTCAGGTGAGGAGCCAGATCCTGCCTTAAATCCCATCAATAACGTTTCAGATTATTGACACGGTGTTCAAAAGAAATGTCCAAAAGTGACAAATGGCTTTAAGTCTATAGATGTTAGCGAGCAGGTTTGAAGGTTGGACTTCGCTGCTCTGTGGTCCCTCAAGTTGAGTAAACATTTGGAGCCTTTGAAAAGGTTCAATAGAGTTGAGAACAATAGGGGAAATCATAAGTGGACTATTTGGAATTAATCATTGATTTGTTGTTTTTCGAACATCTCAGCTCTTGGGGTTGGTAGGAACTCGTCTGGCATTTTGAGACTGCGGGGCCACACGTTTGAGAAGGTAGATTCCTCAGAGAGTTAACGTTTGTGAGAAGTGCTTCTTTCTTTGGATAACTTCACTCGGGTATAGCAGACGCAAGAACTATGAATGCTATAGTGGAAGCTTTTGCTTTCTTCTTGGGGTTTCTGGGCTGGCTGATGGTTGGTGTCGCCCTTCCAAATCGATACTGGAGAGTCTCTACAGTGGACGGTAACGTTATCACCACATCAACCATCTATGAAAACCTATGGATGTCCTGTGCAACCGACTCTACTGGGGTTCACAACTGCAGGGATTTTCCATCTTTGCTCGCGCTGAGTGGTATGTTGTCAACATCGGAATTGTATTTGTATTGATGGTGTCTTATCAGTCTTAACTGCTAATCTTCCCACACAAACTTGAAGAGATACAAAAAAAAAAACAAGGCACACTCTTTGAGCCACTGAGAATAACAACTTAAGTGGGTTTCATATGAAGTAGTCTAAGCCTTAAAGATTCAGATTCAATGTAGCTGCATTCAGTAACTCTGGTTCAACCTAAAAAGATTATAAAAATGACTGTGCTTATTTATCATTCCTCTCTTGATACGTGTGGGACCTTGGTGTGGCTATAAAAGCTATCAGGAGCATTCTACTGTAGTGACTATTATCAGTAGTAAAGAAGGGTAATATAAGATATGATAGGGTGAACGAGGATAAGTGAGAAGCACCATAATAAACCCATACAGATACTGAGATAATCTAAGAAAAATAGGACAATACAGTCGATTCCTATTTATTAGAGCCTAATAACTACTTTGGCATTAAGTGCCTGATGAAGTATTACTTGTGATATCAATGCAAACATTTAACAGATAGATAAGACAAGTGGTTTCTGGCATGTGATAATCAGGAATCTGGCTACCCAGCCCTACTCTCGTGTTCTGAATTGAAGCTTGTGTTGCAGTCATCAAGGGCAAAGGCATACTGTCTGGTTTAAATTACAGAGATGGTTTGTTAGATGTCATGAGTTAAAACTGCGGGCCCCCTCTGGCCAATTCCTTTCCACTAAAGCGGGTCAAGAACATGAGCTTAATGATTTTTTTCTGCTTTAGAGTCCAGATACTTGGGTTGACAGTGTTTGGATTCAGTGTTTGAGCTTAAGTTGTGTTTTGAATGAACTTTCAACTCTAACTTCAATTTTGGCACTGCTGGACAAAATAAAAATAAATAGAACACCAACATAGAAAACATGAGAACACAATGTTACAAAAAGTATGTTTGGCCTCTGCCATTCAATGCAAACAGGGAAATTAATCACAAGCTGAGTCATAATGAGCATTGAACACACCTCAATGGATACTGTGAGTAACCACCTTTAGACCAAGGCTTTAGCAGTCATGTCAACAAAACAAGCTTGGTTTGGTATCAGTGAGCCTCACACTTAGTTCAACACAAGTTTTTCCAAAGACTTAATAAGTTACATTTCATCTCCTCCTTTACTAGCGCACTGGTGTATTTTATTCATTTTTCATTAAATATACACCAAAGTTATGGATATATGACTATATATACAGCACAGTGTCATTATTTTACTCTTTATGTTTCAACACAGGGTACATTCAAGCCTCTCGTGCTCTCATGATCGCTGCCATCGTGTTTGGGACCTTTGGGCTTGTGGCCACTCTTGTGGGAATGCAGTGCTCCAAAATTGGAGGTGAAAACTACATCCTGAAGGGGAGGATTGCTGCGATTGGAGGAGCATTCTTTTTACTACAAGGTAAAGACTTGGCCATTGAATTTGATGATCATATAAAAAAACGAGGTGTTGGCTCAGAAGTAAAGATTTTTTTGTGCTTTAGTAAGACAAGGAGCCAGTTCTTTAAGAGGATTCAGGAAAATGTTTGGCCCCAATGAGCAAAGCTGATAATGATTAAATTCTCTTCCATTACTTCAACATGAAGAAAAAGTTTCAAGCCATCTTGACACAAAACACCAAAGGTGACACATATTTGGCACCCCAATCTCTGTGTACAAAAGACAAGCTATCAGAAAATGGCTCACTAGCTCAAGAGGTTATCTCCAACAAACTGGCTGATACTCAAAAAGCCTGATATAACCAAAGCTTCTTACCTCAGGCCCGCGTAAATTCAAAATGTGACACACTAACAGGAGAAAAACAACTACTCTGTTTTTGCAGCCATAAGGGCGACTTGGTATTACTGCCTCATATCTGTTTTGATATGACTGACATTGATTCTATTCTCCTCTGACGTAAGTAAACACTATCTTTTGCAGGGATCTGCACCATGATTGCTGTGTCCTGGTACGCAGCAAACATCACACAGGAGTTCTTTGACCAGTTTTATCCAGGGACAAAGTAAGTCTCTATAACCTGTATCAGCTTGACAAAGGCTGAAACATCAATCACAGTCATACTATTGTGATGGTGGGTTCAGTTATGACACAATAAAACTATAAATCTATATGTTGTTGCATCACAGGTATGAGATTGGAGAGGGCTTGTACATTGGCTGGTCTTCAGCTGTTCTCGCTATGTGCGGAGGCTCCTGCCTGTTGTGTGCATGTAAATACACATCAGACGATGAGAAAGTGTGAGTATCTGCTGCTTCCATGCTACAAAGTAACAATAGGAATAAATGAGTACAATGTGTGGTGCATATTCTTAAATTTATACATCATCTTTTAGGCAATATCCATACCAGCCAGCCTCCCGAGGACATGCACTGTCAACTGTGGCAACATCCCAGACAGCGCCAAGCCACTATGGAAGAAACGCTTATGTCTGAGAAGTGATGGAGTAAGAAGGAGATCTGGGTGGACAGCAGATGATTGACCAGATTAAATGTTTGAGGAGATTATGCACAGCCTTTGATCATTTCAGTGCATTACAGGAGGTTGTATTTACAGAATTCTGATCACTGTACATTATTCTGACAAAAAGAGACTTGATTTGGGGATGTATTGGTTTTACTCATTCTCACACATTCACTTTGTATGGTATTTTTAAAAATATTTATGTACAGTGGAAAATACTTCACTGTTCCAGTTTATATAAAGTACTTAATTGTGGGATTATTGAGAGAAGAAGCCACATTGTACAAACACCAGATGTGCAAATAGAGAGGAACCTGTTGTAACAAGTCAGAATCAGTTTGAAGGAAACAAAGAAAATATTTTATAACCATTTTTATGTGTAATAGTTCTTCATATTATTAAAAAAAAACTTAACTATCTTATTTACTTTTCCCTTTATATTTTTAAGTCTGACTGGAACAAGAAGAACAGATGACAAAAAAAAATATTTGATTTCTAGATTTCCACAGACTGCTTTGCATGTTATTCAGTCTATGTGCCATTAGTATTTATTTGACTTCAGTCTATAAAATGTTGTAACCCACCTCAGGTAACACCCCAGAGAAAAGCACACTGTGTTGAGGCTATATCAGCAAAATGATCTTGTCACCTTTGGTATTCCACCTGCTTGCTTTACTGTCCACCAAAGAGTTTAACCCCAAAAGCGCTACCCACCCAGACAAAACCAGACAGATTTAAAACCAAAGAACAAGTGTTTGCTAATAATACTGATAAATTTGTTTGTTTGTTTTGAGTAAATATTGTTGTAGAAGGTTTAACCATCAATAGGAGTAGTTTTGTGGGGTTTATGCATTGTAAACTGTTTTGGTGTGTGTGTATTGTGAATGTTATTTCATAAGTCTTTATTTAGGGTGACTATTATGTGTTGTTGTAGATTTTGTACATTTTATAATACTCAATAAACGGTATTTCCAGTGACTATTTACTCTACAAGAGAAAGCTGGAGGTATACAATCTTTTAACATGAAGTGTTTAGAGCTCTGAGCGATGCATTTAATACTGACAGATAATAATGCCAGCTGAAATAATTAAAGCTAATATTTTCTCACCAACAGGTCTCATAAAAAATGAACACATTTGATTAAAAAAATAACAGTTTAAGAGACAAAACAGTCTAGTTGCCTTGACTTAATTTTACTGCATGAGCACAGCGATCAGACAGGGTGAGTAGGTGCAAAAAGCCTGTTGCTTAAATGTGCCACCTACTGGAGGGACACGGCGTCACATACAGAATGTGATTTACCTAAAAGAAATCACACTTTGATCTTTTACAAGCTTTCTACAAACTGATGAGAAAAATTTCGATTAAAAAGTGACAGACAGATCAAGCATACTGTAATGACATTATAGTGTACTAGTGAATCACATTTGAATGTGTCAATTCATGAATATTATTTTCTTAAACTGATTGGAAGTCAGGGTAATTAAGCTTATGCTGACCCAAACTTATATATAAAAGATCATGCACAAGTTCTTTTTTGTCAGATTTTCTTGGAGACTTTCAATCTTTAGGTGCTTCATTTGCTAAATTGTCCAGGCTTTGGTTATCAAAGCGTATGAAATGCCAGCCCTCACTTTCAGTGAGGTCTTGAGCTCCTTTAGCGGCATAAAAGTCTCGAGATGGAGTATTCCAGTCGAACACAGACATCTGCAGCCGCACACACTGCTTCTTTTTCCCCACCTAAACAAATCAAACACTTCTTTGGTTAATCGTGCCCTGCTATCACACCTCATCTATTCCCTCTAGGGTCAATTCAGAAAAACTGTGATCAGTGACTGACAAAAAACAAACTTACCTCTGCTACTTTGCTGAGTAAACCTTTACCAATGCCATTTCCTGCCAAGCAAACAAAACAAAATGTTCCAACAGAGGAGCATCTTATCAGAAACAAATCAATTTTTCACATTGCTTAATATGAATGTAGGTTTTTTTATTCATAAACTCAACCCATATTTTACCTCTAAATTCTGGCATCACATACAGATCCTCCAAATATACTGACCGCCCCTTCCATGTACTGTAGGTGTAAAAGTAAAAAGCGTATCCAACCAGCGTGAATCCTATGGGGACAAAAGAGTAAAGCTATCAAACGAGATAATTATGCTAAAAATAATGATTGTAACTTAACTAAATACCATGTAGGAAGCACCTGTGTGCCTGCCATTAAAATCAGTTTAACTCTACATTGTTAAAGTCATTAAAATCTCAGGGAAAGTTTACACATATCCATGCATCATCTACAGTGACAGATGCTATTGATTGTAAAGAAAAGACATCAAGTTGAAGTTTATCTAAGAGCTTTGCCAGAATAACCCTGCCTGTGTGTTATACTTAGCTGTCTCATCATGTCCTGAATAGTATTAACTCAGTTACCATATAACATCATGTGTCTATCTTCAGTTTAAGCACTAAGAAGGAAAAATTAGGGCATCTCTACAAGGAACTTTCTTATGTGAAAATAATGCGAGAGTTTGCAGCAGAGTATTATTGCATGAGACAGACACTTTACCTTCTGTTGATTTATTCTCTTCTGGCACTTCAGCAACAAGACATTCAAAGAAGGGATTCTGGCAGAAACCATCACGCTCCAGTTCTTGAGTCAAAACAGCAGATTATTAACTGAAAATGAACCATTTAACTTGGCCTTGTATTCAAACTTCAACTAGCATTCAAACAAATGGTGATATTGACACAAAAGCATCTTGTGGCTCGTAAGGAAACACTAGTGATCAAGCTTTGGATGACAATTGTCACAAATGGAATAAGAAGTTTTACAAAACTGTGGCTGATTTACTGAGACTGTTGCCTTCTGTAATGTGCAAGTCCACATCAAGCCTGTCTGGGTAATGTGATTTTGGACTAGGATCTTGTTTCCAGACCCCATGTCCCCCTAATATGCTTGTTCTGTCCCCAGGTAAAAGCAGAATTACCTTCATGGGATATCTTCACTTGGTCTGGCATTTTTACATACACTGCCAACTCCTGAGAAAAAGGAAATATTATATTAACATTATATATCTGGTCTTGTCATTATGCAAAATACCACTAACATTGAGGACAGGTGCATTACTGTCAGCTTTCTGAAGCATGGCAGTATTCTTGGAGAGGGGGTTTTAAAACAGGTCTGGGAGCTAGTTCAGTTACAGCAACACACCGAAACTCACCATTATCATTCTTGATATCCCTTTACAGTCTTCTTTAGTAGCAGGTCGAATTTTAAAATTCATGTCTGCGTAGATAACAGAAACAAGTATTTGTTCACCGCAAAGCAAAATAAGGTCAGTGTCGTTCTTTTAATGCGTGTCTCAAAGTAAACATTAAACTCATTGAGCATGTCAGAGGTGGTTCTGGTGCCAATATCTGATTTTCAAAGTAAAAGACCATGAATTTCAATGTCCGAAATAAAATAGTCTGTATGCTAAATTTAACAACTTATTTGTTTACGCATCAGGCGTGGATTTTCCATTTCATATTAAGTGCCTTTAGCTTCGCCATACAATGCTGTACCTTTAACTGTTTGTCATCGCAAAGCTTCGGGAGTCGTAGTTAATGGCAGAAGTAGAGAAAGCACTGACATATTCTACACCAACAGAATTAAATTTCCTTCTACTATTTTGACCAGAGTCTAAGTAAAACCATTTTTGATAATCTTATCAAATAAAAGCAAAAATGTATTCGTTTACCATTAACCTTTGGTAGGCTGTATTGGGACAAAGGAAAAAGTACAGAGAAAGTGAATTTCGTTCCACCACGCTGGTGCTACTTGTTCAATGCATTTTTGCATAGACAATACCCTTCTGGACTTTGGGTTAAAATATCTACTCAGGCTATCTGTCAGACTTTTGTCACCAGCCAGAAATGTATGTGAGTAACTGAAAAAGCATTATATAGTGCTGCTGTTTTTGCTTGTAGAAACTGCTATGTTGATTTTGGCAAGACAAAATCTTTCTCAAATGTCATAAATACATCTACCTAACACCTGAAACAGTTATTGGTGCCTTAGTATACACATAAGTGAATTCATGAGCCCATGACCTCGAGCGAGGTTTCTTTCGTGAAGTTTCAGATGCCGTGGTTGGGATGCATCGGCGATACTGGCTGAAGGGTTTGACTGACCCGCGGCTGCATCACGTTCTTGTTTCTTTTCAGCCAAACTCAGACGCCCTTCGCAAATAAATCGCTGGTAGCATGTCATGTGAATCCCAGCGTCATCAGGAACATTGTCAAAGTCGATATCAACGCAAAGTTTATAAGTTTCTGCGAGGTCCTTTGTCTCACCCTGTAGAGAAAGCCACTTTCTCATACTAGTTCTGTAAGTTTCCCAACATGTTCTTGTAAAGTCGAGAACGTCTTCACTCTGGACAGATAACAGATGCATATAGCATCGTTTCGTTCCTTTTTATGCACTTTTGAAGGCTGTTTTCTTTTTTTCCTTTTCTTTTCTTCCTCATCGCTTGTCTCGCTGCTAGATGCGCTTGTCGCCATGTTTGTGTTGTTCTGATACTATGGCAACGATCTTCTGCTCCTATTGGTCCACGTGACAAAAATCGCTTCAACCCTTTGCATATTCGATTCTGCGTGTGCAAGTATCACTACGCCGCAGAAAGGAAATAGTTCGACACCGAAACACTGATTACTAAAAATCGGCTGGATGACATGAGTAGATATATTTTTTAGTAATTACTATCAATAGAGTTATTTTATGAATCACAGTTTATGTTGCCCCACTGAAGTGGAACGAACCAACACGATCTCACTCAGCCAATACAGCCTATTACAAGCTTTCTACAAACGGATGAGAAAAATTTAAATTAAAAAGTGACAAACAGATCAAGCATACTTTAATGACATTATAGTGTACTAGTGAATCACATTTGAATGTGTCAATTCACAAATATTATGCTGACCCAAACTTAAGTACAAAAAGATCATGCACAAGTCCCTTTTTTGTCAGATTTACTTGGAGACTTTCAATCTTTAGGTGCTTCGTTTGCTAAATTGTCCAGGCTTTGGTTATCAAAGCGTATGAAATGCCAGCCTTCACTTTCAGTGAGGTCTTGAGCTCCTTTAGCGGCATAAAAGTCCCGAGATGGAGTATTCCAGTCTAGCACAGACATCTGCAGCCGCACACACTGCTTCTTTTTCCCCACCTAAACAAATCAAACACTTCTTTGGTTAATCATGCTCTGTTATTACACAGGACACACAAAGATTCTCAGCACCTCCAAAGTGCTTACACAAATTTTTTTTTTTTTTTTACAGGTGTCTTTCCATCTGCAGGGCTATCAAACCACATCTATTCCCTCTAGGTCAATTCAGAAAAACTGTGATCAGTGACTGACCAAAAACAAACTTACCTCTGCTACTTTGCTGAGTAAACCTTTACCAATGCCATTTCCTGTCAAGAAAACAAAACAAAATGTGCCAACAGAGGAGCATCTTATCAGAAACAAATCAATTTTTCAAATTGGTTTATATGTATGTATGTTTTTTTATTCATAAACTCAACCCATATTTTACCTCTAAACTCTGGCATCACATACAGATCCTCCAAATATACTGACCGTCCCTTCCATGTACTGTAGGTGTAAAAGTAAAGAGCGTATCCAACCAGCGTGAATCCTATGGGGACAAAAGAGTAAAGCTATCAAAACAGGATAATAATGCTAATAATAATAATGATTATGACTAAACTTAATACCATGTAGGAAGCACCTGTGTGCCTGCCATTAAAATCAATTTAAGTCTACATTGTTACAGTCATCAAGTTTACACATATCCATGCATCATCTACAGTGACAGATGTTATTGATTGTAAAGCAAAGACATCAAGTTGAAGTTTATCTAAGAGCTTTGCCAGAATAACCCTGCCTGTGTGTTATGCTAAGCTGTCTCATCATGTCCTGAATAATATTAACTTAGTTACCATATAACATCATGTGTCTATCTTCAGTTGAAGCATAAAGGAAAAATTATGGCATCTCTACAAGGCAAAGAACTTTCTTATGTGAAAATAATGCGAGAGTTTGCAGCAGAATTGTTGCATGAGACAGACACTTTACCTTCTGTTGATTTATTCTCTTCTGGCACTTCAGCAACAAGACATTCAAAGAAGGGATTCTGGCAGAAACCATCACGCTCCAGTTCTTGAGTCAAAACAGCAGATTATTAACTGAAAATGAACCATTTAACTTGGCCTTGTATTCAAACTTTAACTAGCATTCAAACAAATGGTGATATTGACACAAAAGCATCTTGTGGCTCGTAAGGAAACACTAATGATCAAGCATTGGATGAAATCTTTCTACTTATCATTTTAAAATTAAAGTTACCTGTCTATTTAATGCTGCATATTTCACTTTCTTTAGCTCATGAATATGCGAAATACATTTTCTGCCCCACCTACCTTTGAAAATTATTTCCTGATTGCTTCAAACTTCAGGATGTTTGCAATGTTCTTCTTTTCCTTGTTTATGAGTAACTTGGTAAAAGCACTGTTGCAGAGTTTTGCACAGCACAGTCATACTCTGTGTTTCTGTTTTTCAGAGATCTTTGCAGTTCTGTTCTGTAGCCGCTTGCTACTCATAGTACGCTTGTAGGTGAAGACATTAACCCCTTTCACCCATTCAACCTTCTGTTTGCTCTCCAGTGGATCTGATCCTCACCAAACTGGGATCACATTGCAGCTGCTGATTTGTAAATCTACGTAAACCTACTTCTACTGACAGAGTCTTGCTGAACCTGCTCTTTGAATGTTCAGCTAATGTCAGACTGCACTTTGCACACTTTAGAGAAAAAAAATGCAAATCAAGGAACTTTTATTTTGGTAAATATGATGTGCAACAGTCCTCATAGAAATGACATTGGCATGCATGAACTTAAAACATCAGGTGTTATTGTTGGTGTTGAAGATTTCAGCCCATTTGAATGACCACTTTCCTTGCATGTCATTTTTTTTAAAGGAGTGACTTCTAGAGACACTAAGATCGATCATGGGCGAAGTTATTGCTCTATGTTAAGTTTTATCTGGGCTTTAAAGTGTCACTAAACAAAACCTTCAGTGTATTTTGCAAAACCTTACCATGTGTTTTTAAAATTCAGTCTCAGTTGGTGTTTTGTTTTATTAATCTGATGATATCTTGGGTGGTGGAGGGTTCAAAACCTAAATTTCTGAAGATAGCGTTGTATTTACAGCTTCCTACTCATCTGTAAGAAGTAAGGCAATGAAAACAGGGTCATGATCTGACACAACATAACCTACACTTCACTAACTACACTAACTACACTTCTCAAAGTTGGACTTTGTACCTATTCAGAGGCTGCAGACTCTTTGAAGTAGTTTCACGTTTGTGAAAATAAAATGTCTTTAAAAAATTTAATCAAAAATCAACTTTTTTTTTGCAATTGTCACAAATGGAATAAGAAGTTTCATATATCTGTGGCTGTTTTACTGAGACTGTTGGCGCCTGTAATATGCAAGTCCACATCAAGCCTGTCTGGGTAATGTGATTTCTGATTAGGATCTTGTTTTCCAGACCCCACGTCCCCCTAATATGCTTGTTCTGTCCCCAGATAAAAGCAGAATTACCTTCATGGTTTATCTTCACTTGGTCTGGCATTTTTTCATACACTGCCAACTCCTGAGAAAAAGGGAGTATTATATTAATATTATATATCTGGTGTTTTCATTATGCAAAATACCACTAACATTGAGGACAGGTGCATTACAGTCAGCTTTCTGAAGCATTGCAGTCTTATTAGAGAGGGGGTTTCAAACCAGGAGCTAGCACAGTTACAGCAGCACACTGAAACTCACCATTATCATTCTTGATATTCCTTTGCAGTCTTCTTTAGTAGCAGGTCGTATTTTAAAATTCATGTCTGCGGAAATAACAGAAACAAAGCGAGGCGAAATAAGTTCTGTGTCGTTCTGTAACCGCGTGTCTCTCAAGCATAGTAAACATTTAACTCATTGAACATGTCGGAAGTGGTTCTAGTGCCAATATCTGATTTTCAAAATAAAGGACGATGAATTTCAACGTCCGAAACAAAATAGTCTTTGTGCTAAATTTAGCATAAAATTTAAATCCGATATTTACCAGATTATAGGTAAAACCATTTTTGATAATCTTATCAAATAAAAGCAAAATTGTATTTGTTTTAAACTTACTTTGGGTATGGATAACTGAGTATTCCCACTCTGATCTTTTTTTCCCCATTACGTTAAGTGTTAGTGGACTTTCAATTGTAATTATTAAGTTTTTAGCCAAAATCACTTTACCTGTCATTTTTCGGGGTCTTTTTTTCTGCAGAGCTCCAGTAGCTTATTAGCAATTCGCCTCTGAGTCGTGGGTGAAGACAGCGCTGCTCTGCACACACCTCTTCACTCTAGCTTGCAGCCCAATTCCTGCGCAGCAGAAGTGGTAGGTAAGATAGGAGCGAGTCAGCTCTCGGACACTAATGTGTAGTTTGGAGCATAGACTGTATATATTATGGACAACTTGGTTCCGCCTCCCGACTGTGTACGGATTTGAAGCCAAATAGCTCTCGGTATTTCCGGGATTTCTTCATTTCCTGAAACCAGCGCCGCGCAGTAGCGATGGGCGCATTCGGCCGCGCAGTCGCCGAGAGTCGCTGTGATGACGCTTGGTCCAGACAGCGTATCCCCCGGGAGAGCTGCGCAATCCCTGAACGCCCATAGGCTGTATCAGGTGTCAATCATAGAAACATGAACCCCCTAATAACTTTTGGAAACGGAGCTTCACAGAAAAAAAGAGCACTTGAGCACAAACCAGTCTTACTTGACCCCATTTTGGTGTACGAGCCAGAACATGTAGGTTAGTTCACATATTAGTCGGATGGCAAAAGTCTGCCAATCCTCTGGTCGGAAGCCTGTGAGGTTTAAGTTTTTTTCTGGAAGTAACCAATGTTCGAAGTGAAGTACAAGACTTTCCACAGAAAATACTCTAGTACAGTTCCAGAATGTATTAACTACTCAAAATACTACATGTGCACAAAGAACTGTTTAAAGAGCATGAGTAAAAGTTACTTTCTCTCCCTAGTAAATTAAGTGTCTTAATTTTCATCCTTCAAATTTAAAAGCAGTGTCCAAATAATTTATTAAAATTGGCTAAGAAATTAACAGCTTTTAAGTCTTTTTACGTTACTCAGTCTTTTAATTTCATACTTTTATTTGCAGTGGCACTGTTTATGGGGGGGGTCCCTTTTATGTTGCATGTCTTAGGAGCCATACTTAGGTCACTCTTAGTGAAGTATTGTAAATGTGCAACCTGATTTTGCATTTCAACACTTCTGCTCTGTAACTTTAAAATTTAGGAGACCTATCATCAAATCAGATTTAGTCACTTGTTTGTTTTTAGATTAGTGAAATTTGCTAATGTCAGACCACAGCTCAATAATAAAACAACCCTTCAGATAAGGGATTTCATACAAAATCTGATTTATTTTAGAGTACAAAAGAACATGAAATCATTAGAATATAAGCTGAAACATTACAGATCTCACAAAGGGACCTCAGTTTTCATGGGGCATCAACATATTTACAACACCTGGTCACATTTGCTTTTTATCAGTCAAAAAGTTCAGATATCCCCCTTCATATCACTCCAGGGTATATCCATCTAAGTTCAGCCCAAACCCAACTTCCCTATGTGTTCAGCTGCACCTTCACGGTTAAAAAATATCCACTACTCATAAGTCTCAGTGTGGTGACTGTGTGCTTGCTCCAGGAGACTCAGATCGGTCAAGCTTCATTCCTGCTTCTAGTGAGGTTGAGGAGATTGAGGTTGGTAGCACAGAGCTTTTGGTCTCCAGAGAGGAAGAGGCAGATGAAGGCAGAGACACCACTATGTACTTTTGAACTGGTCTTGGACCTGTCAATCCAGCACCACTGCCAGACTCCAGTTTTACCAAAGGCTGCAGGGTGGATGTAGCACTGGGAACAGTGCTAGTGACCGGTGAGGCTGACTGTGAGGAGCTGAGGGTGATCACCTAGAGCGAAAAACAGAAAAAGGACGTTAAATTCAAACTTAATGGAGTTGAAGATTTTACAAAGAGGACATGATCTCAGTAAATCCTACGAATTTAAGTCATTAAGCCCTGAAGTGTCATACTAACCACACACAACTATTTAAGTTCATATCGTCACTAGAATATTTTGTCATATCAAATCATGGCTCTTAAAAAGGACCTCAGCAAAGGTTTCCACAGTGATTTCTCTTGACTGTTACTTTTTTTCTGAAACTGGAAAAATAAAATTACCTGCTGAGTTGAGGCAGCCCCAGCGCTGGTTGCCATGACAATGTACTTGGTTGCTGGGGGAGACGGCTGTGATGGGGTCCCTGGTCGAGGCGACATCAGGGTGAGCGAGCTCGGTACCTTGATGATGCTGGGAGTGCGAGGCCCAGTTGACCCACTTAACCCACTCTGAGAGACTGTGAGGGTGGGACGAGGCTGCAGGAGGAATATTAATCATTCATTTCATCACAGCTGTGCGTTGGGTTTCTGTATATGCAATGATTTTTTTTTCACGTTGAGTTAAACCTATAACATATTTTCACTCATTATTTGATATACCTGGGTGATTGTTAATGTGGTTCGGTTGACTTGTTGAGCTTGCAGGGCTGCCTGGGTCCTGGCCTTCATTACATGAGAACACAGCATGGATCCAAGGTAACCATAATCTGTCCGATATGCCTCCATGGTGTCAGGCTGAGGTCGGATCTTTGCTATGACACTTGCACAATGTTTCTTTGAAAAAAACAAACATATTTTTAATTATATAAATAGTATAATTCATTGATTTCATATAGTAATGTATCTTTGTCTACTTCTAGCATATTCTGAAATAGCCTATGTGTGTTCAAGAAAAATTCCCTTCAACATAACAGATTCATTCGCTTCTCTGTCTGTCAAATAAATGTTTCAATCTGGAGTTTTTACCAGTAAGAGGCTTTGAACATGATCAGCTCCTATCTTGTCTATATTGGAAACCACCGGTCCTTCCATCACCGCTTTGATGCGAGCACCCTCTACAGTTAGCCGAGGAAGAATCAAAGTCTTGATCACCTGCATGAGGACAAAATCAAAAGGTTGGCACTGACAGAGAGGTGCAGAAATGATGAAGACGGGCAAAAAATGTAATTACACTCACATCAGCTCCAAGTTCAGCAAGTCCAGCGATACAGCCGTAACGTGTCGTCCACTGTGTTTTATCGTCCAACCAGCTCTAAGAAAGCACATCAGTCTGGGTTAGTATTTGAGCGGCTTTCATCTTCATATCAGACTTTTAATAACGTGGAAAAAAACATACAGCTAAATAACCCACCTTAGTTAAAGTCTTGGTAATACGTGACTGGATGTTGTTGGTTGTAGTACTGAAGGTTTTACAACTTTGGGCCATGAGGCGAGCAGCAAAGTCTCGTAAGGCCCAGTGGTTGTCGACATCCGGTCGCAAACACAGCTGCTTGCTCACAATACACGTTACAACAGCTGGGATGAGCTCATGCAGCTGCAAATACAGATCAAAAAGGACAGCATTGGATTTTGTGTTTTCTGAACTTATACTTATAAAAAATATATAATTTCCATGATGCTTTCACTCACATATTTCTCCAAATACAAAGTTGGGTTGTCCATTAGAGCTTTGACCATCCGCATTAGATAAATCAGCAGAGCTAAGTTGTTTTGCACCACATTTACACGAACCTTAAGAAAAGCACAAAGTCAGTACTTGACCATTTTTCTGTTACATGGGGGGGGATTCATATTGCAGAGATTAACAATAAGTTACAACAGATGCTTACTCCTTCAGATATAAATGTGCTGAATCTTGGCAACATCTGGTACAGTCCAGGATCTGTAGCAATACTCTGCAGAGCTTCCTGCGTGAGGAGAAAACATTGAGCTAGTAAAAGGGACATGAGCACAGGCACAGCTCTAAAATATAACATTATTTTTCATTTGCATCCAGTGACTTGTGTAATGTAATCTCTTTAGAGCATTATAATGGAGCATGCAATACACTGTGGCTTTGTATCAAAGCAAAATGAGAGAAAACAAAGATCATCTCCATAAAGACAGGACTTACAGCTCTCTTAGCCTCGCAGGAGCCAACACATGCTTCTGTGATTTCCTTATAGTAGAGCTGCTGTTCCACAGACAGCTCATGAGTGCTGCGTGGTTTCAACCTGATGGAACCTTTCTCCTTAGCTGAGAAAAAAAACAAACAAATATAAAGCGCATATATATATGATTACAGAGTATTGGGGAGGGGAAAAGGAAACGAAGAAGTAGAGAACAGAAGGATGATAAACTAACCTTTGCCATCAGCAGCTGCTGCCCCCTGACCCTTCCCTTGAATTGCACCTTCCTCCTCCTGACCAGGTTTGACCACTTTAAGGGGCTCAGTGGATTCAACCTTTTGTTGCTCTTTTGTTGCTAAAATGAGAGGAGTAGAACCCAAAACTGTTAAAGCTGGACACTTCATTTAATGTTTGAAAAGGACGATTTAAATAGGACTCACCAGGCGGGGGATTTTCTGGAATAGAAGGCTGCACCCCCTCAATACTTAACCAGTGGGCTATAGATGAATAGCAAACAAGACGTGTAAGCTCACAAATCATCTCAGCACACAGTCTAACAGAAAAATAACATCTCTCAGCATAACTGTGTATGAATCTGGATACCTTTTAGGGACACGTCTAGAGGAACTCTGGGGAGGGGGGTATTAATAATGTCACTAAGATCCACTTCCTTTTCCTCATAAAAATGAAGCTCTCTTCCACCACCACTTGCAAAGCGAAAAGGTATGAACTCTTGAGACTGGAACCCATACATCGGCTTAAACAAGAAGAAAAGGGTTGGGTTAAAGATCAGTTTTATGTTGCCTTTCAAATCATGTCCATGCGGTGGTTAAATCAAACAATAATAAAAATGCCTTCTTAAAATTAGATGATGGATATTCTCTCTTACCTCCACATTTTTTAGTTTGAGAGCATTATCAATGTCACTGGTGGTAAGTTTACGTCTCTTGCCGTGATGCATGAATTTAAGGGCATCCTGTACAAGAGAGAGAGAGAGAGAGAGAGAGAGAGAGAGAAAAGAGTACCCAGTTATAAAAAATTGAGGTGATGTCTTGGATCCAAAACAGATCTGGACAAGAAAAGAAAAAAAAAAATCTAAATATTTGAAAGAATCATCTGGATTTTAACCTGTGCGATTTCCTTAATTCTGTAGCTGACTTCTTCACTCAGGGCTACGCAGCTTTCCTCCTGTAACTGCCCCACTCCCACAGATTCTGCCATGGCTTTCATGGACTCTGTGGGTAAGACCACCGAGCATTGCTTCTGCCGACGATCCTCTGCCATAGCTGACCAAGAACAGAGATCTATGAGTATCATATTATGTTAATCCATTAGAAGTATGAGTAACGATTATCTTCACAAAAAATACTTAGCTTCAAATAAATACATTCAGTTTGTTCTGGAGACTGCAATAAATTTGAAATCAACTTGTTTTTGACATTTTCTCTGTGGCAATAATTAAAAAAGTCAAGATTGTCACAATCTTAGAGCCTGACAAACATTGTGAAAGCTGTGTTAAAAATATTAGGAGTATGCAAATATGTGAGTCTAATATTACCCAGTGCACATAGAAGGAGGGCCATCCAGACAGACAGACACACCCCTGTGTGACTCTGATGAAAAACCATTAAATTCTAATTTTGTCCTTTATAATGGTACTTAAAGGTGTTACATCTACACTACATACATGAGCTCTGACACAAATTCTTATTTTAGGAACACTGAAACACACATTTTTGGTTTTAGTTGACATGAGCAAACAGGTGATTAAAGCACTTGTCAGTAGTCTTTACCTGGACTCTGCTCACTCACATGCCTACAATGTTACTATTTGTGTTGTTTATAGTGTAAATACTTTTATATTATCTCAACATTTTTGCTTATTTTATCTATTGATCTCTATATTTTTACTTATTATTATTAATTTCATTTATTTTATTTTTTATTTTTGTTTATCTCCTCTTTTTATAGTATTTGCACTGGAGTACTGTAACAAAAGCAATTACCCCTTGGGGATTATTAAAGTAGTTCTGATTCTGATGTGGTGTACTAGAGTGGGCTGAATTTAAAAAAGTGCTTCTTGTGTTTTTGTCCACTTCTATATCAAACATGAGAGAGTCAAATATAAGGAGAAACACACAAGCACACCACCAGCATTCACGATGACTTTGATAATTAATTCAAAGAACAAATATAATCTGTCTGGTCATGTCAATAATAAATGAACAGGCAGATGTAGTAGAAAAAAAAGGTGCTGCTGTTGTTGTATGGGGTACATTAGACTGCATACATGTTTGCGATTAATATGTTGACCAATATAATCTTTACTAATAAACAGTGAAAATACTAACCGTGACCATTATGATTATTTTTCTATAATATTTAAATACCAGCCGAGTGATCTATTGAAAACGAGAGCCTATTTCATACTTAATGTGTTTATAAACACGCAGCGGAAAATACAGCGGGTTTTCCACTGACGGGAAACAACCAACTAGTTATCGACAATATACAAGTCACATTTAATGATTATTGAGTGAGATGCAAAGGAGGTCACTCAAAGTAAATAAAAGCGTTGTTTTCAACCACTTCGCGAGTTAACATTTAAAACATTTACTTAGAAATCTACCTTTGCTTAATGTTAGCTCAAATGCTAACAACTTAGCTCCCGTTGACGTTTTACCTGTTTGAAGTTTCCCTCTCCTCTCCGAGTTTGAGTAAGTGAATAAAAACAGTCGGTGTTAAGGTTTGCAGCAGCGATTTATCCACGAAGCCGATTCATTTCTACGAATATCCATCTCTGCGTATAAAATAACAAACTAATTCATGGGCTGCAGCGGGGACTTCTGCTTGAGAATTAGCGCTTGGGTTCCATCGCCATTTTGAGTCACGTTCCACTTGCGATATCGCGAGAGTACAACCTGGAAGGATTTTTCAGTTAACCGTTTGACCACACGTAATATAAGCGGTGACAATGAAAAATGGTTGGGAAACCAACAACAACAAAAAACTTACATATTAAGATTTAAAATATTATCTTTTTGCAATATTAGCTTCCCATGTTGCATATCGCCTGTTTTACCTTTACATAAGTATCTTTCCAGTTACAGGTGTTGTGCCGTAGAATGCACCCTTGCCGTAATGCACCCATTACGGGAGCGCGGTTGAAAGTACATAACAAGGCGAAATATTCCAAGTTTTCCTTACTGTTAGATGGATTCAAAAGCGTGTGCCTTTAATGATTTTCATTCAGGCAAGTCAGATTAAGCCGAAAAAATAGCCTTCTGACAGCCTTTGCTGTCCCGAAAATATAATGTTCTCTAACTTGACAGTTTACACAGTTTATGTACCCAAGTACACCTCTATATGTGCATTTTCTAGACACATAAAAACAAAAGTAAAGTTTGTTGCTCCGTTTGACATGCTATCATGATCCAATATTCGTGTTTTTTTTTAATATGAGATAATTTTCCTCCACTTTAAGAGGCTAATGAGTGGATGGGATGAAGGGGGTGTATTGTAGTGCAGGGGTGTATTCTACGGCACAACACCCGGAACCATTGTGCTGAGCTAGTACACGGGGGTTTTTTACTCCGTTGCAACACAGATACATGTCAGGAGCGTGGAAGGACGTTGCGGGTAAAAATCATGTTTAGATTGTTATTACGGACCGCACATGCGGCCCGAAAGTCTTCATTTAGTGTTTATGAGTCCTGTTTGGCCACATCTAAATGTGACAAGAATGCAGCTCAACATTTCAGGTGAGTACCTGTGACTGAACGGCGAATATGACAAAACATTGACTGAGTTATGAGACAGAAAAGCCCTTACAATGATTGCGATGCATTAGAATTAATGTTTTATCATTATACTTTCTTCTAAATCAACATTTTCGTAATTTAGGGTTGCAAATGGAGGTGGAGCAAGAGCCCTCAGCACAACTTCAGCCAGGCACTGTGAGAAGAAAGACGAACCTGCCCTCTCGCAGGACGAGGAGAAAATAAATGAAGCTAAAGATGCTGACCCGACTGAAAAGTCAACTTTGGTTATACATAAAACTGAAAACAACAAACTCACAGAACAAAGTGAGCAGCCAGAGGGGTTAAAGACAGATGAAGGAGGTGCAATGCAGACTGGTGTTGGAGTTGAAGAGGTTGTTGCAGCAACAAAACAAGTAGAAACAGAGACAAAAGCAGAAAAGAATGGGAAAGAGAGTCTCATAGACCTCCTTGGAGCAATGAAAGTGGACGTCACTACAAAGAAGAAGAGAAATTTAAAACCGAAGAGAATTATTTCAGGCTCAGCCCCTCGGCCAAATCCAGCAGATATGGAGAGCACCATCAGTATGTTTCAGAAGGCAACCATGGAGGCAGCATCACAGAGGTATGACAGGACTTCTCACTGATTTGCTTCTCCCTCTTTAAGTTCAGGTTTCTTCACACTACACTGCTCCTGTTTAAGCTCGTTATGATGAATAACTTTTGAATATGACAAGTTATTGGATGCCCTGTCTGCCTTCATCCGCTGATTCCAGTCTCTTTGCACTGCTCTTTTAGTGAGACGCTTGATCCAAACCTGGTTGCAGCCGCCTCTGCTGCTGCCTCCACTCTGCCAAACAGAAACCAGGCCCAGTCTGAGCTGCTCAGACAGCTTAGGGAAAACGAGGCCACAACCCAGGCTCAGAAAAAAGGAGACATCAACCACCTTGGGTATGTATTGGACTTTCAATTGCACAATGCAAATACAAGGCTTCTTCTAATGAATTCAGCAATGTTTTTTTCAGGATGCTTATAGCTGACATGAAAGTAGGAAAGCATTATCGCAGACAGAACTCTCGACCGTCTAATCAGATCCGGTTCGATGAGGATGGAAAAGGATACACAGAAGAAAGACGAGAAAGAGGGGTCAGTGCTGAACTGGATGGTGTCCGAAGGAGGTAAGAACTTGTGGCTCTTCTGCATCCAGATAGTTTTCCAAGCAGTCCAAGTGTTTTACAGATTTTTTTTTTCTTTTTTTTGAGAAGAGACTTGTTCTCAGGGAGAAGACTCAACATCTTCTCCACTGCTTCTGATGAAGGGACAGTTGAGACCGCAGTTGGTAATATATATTTTTTTTCATCGAGGTTTGTCATTTCAGAGTCCTCTTCAATAGAGGATTAATTGTAATATGTCGAGTTTTTAGCTGTTCTTTAGAAATAATGTAAGATTTATATCAAACATGTTTTCTTCTAAGTTGAAGTAGTGTGTTTTCTAGCTTTCTTCCTCCACACCACATTCATGTTGTTACACAGGGATTTTGTTATTCCTGCTCAAGCTGGTGAAATGTGATACTTGAATAAAACTGTATGTAAAAAATAAAATAATGATGTTCACTCTTGCTGTCATTATAGTTCCAGCTCAGCCAACTCTCTGGGACATAGACTTTGCCAATCAATTGTCCCTATCAACCAACCAATTGCCCCGGAATGGGCTTGAGGAAGTGATCCAGTGGACCAAAGAAGGGAAAATATGGCAATACCCAATCAACAATGAGGCTGGTAAGTCACTGTAGTTAACCCTAACATAAATGAGATACAGAATTAATACTGAGTCCAGACAAACCATGCCTTTTTTTCTGTTTTAGGCCTCGAGGAGGAAGCCCAAGTAATGTTCCATGAGCACATTTTCTTGGATCAACACCTGGAGGAGGGTTTTCCTCGCCAAGGACCAGTACGACACTTCATGGAGCTGGTAGTGGCTGGTCTATCCAGAAACCCCTACCTGACAGTCCAGCAGAAGAAGGAACACATTTCTTGGTTCAGAGACTACTTCCACCAAAAACAGGAAATCCTCAAAGAGGCTGATGTTTACATTAGCGAAGCTTAAGATAGCTACTTGTGTTTTCAGCACTTGTTGGATGTGGACAGATTAATATAAAACCTTGTAAGCCTTGTAAGTGAGGCTTTGCAACAGAGATCATCTTTTACCTTGCTAGTGAAAAACCCTGCAGTGGTAACCGTGGAGACCAGTTTGAGTAGAATAGAATTAAGTCTGCGTTCAAATGCAAGAAATTTTGTTTCAAAATTAAATCAAACAATGTTAAATATCTTTATCATCAGCTTGTAGCAAAAGATAGAGGATAAAATCTGTGGAACTTCTTGCACACAGTATAAAAATGTTACAAAACAACAAGAGTACAGTCAGCTTTGCTTGTTTCATTTTCTGCTGAATGCCCAGTGAATGTTAACATTAGCCATTATTTACCATTAGGACTGAGGATCACAGGGTACAAGGGCTGGGACGATATGCTTTTCTCCCAATTTGATTCTTCTACGATTTTTTGGATGCCAATTCAATTTAAATTTCAATTCTACGATATTGTTGATTTTCTCGATCTTTAGTCTGCATTTTAACACCAGTGAAACAGCCGAATGATTATGAATGTCTACCGACTTTTTCAGTAACCATATTTCCCAAAAAAATACACGCCATATGTAAGTCAGTTTTTGAGATTTATTCTTAAATTTGAAAAAAAAAAAAAATTTGAACAAAAAAATTGATTTAAAAATTGTAAAACAAAAAATCGCGATACTTATGTGAACAACATTTTTCTCTCACTCCTACAGGGTACCATCCAATGAGAGATGATACCCAATACACTTCCCATAATAACCATTGCATCACAGTACAATAATTATGCAGTAAATGGTAAGACAATAACTCATTGATAAACCACAATACATATGAATCTAAAACTACCTCCTTAGGATGAAGTGTGGAACCAACATAAATAGCACTTATGTCAGGAGCAATGGAGTTGTGATGCAGTGAGTCAAACTGAAAGGGAAATCTCAAAGTCTGTAATTTTCAAAACTTCATGTTGAAACTTGATGCCAGTGAGAAGATTGCTGTGATGCACAAACTAGGACAAACATTTTGAGCCCTACCAATGTTTTGCCTGCCTAACTGTTGCGCATCACTTCTCCATGTGGAGGCATTGAAAGACATTTTCGGTGTCTCAGTATTGTCAGAGGATGTCATGTGAATTGAATTCAGAAGTTTATAGACTTTTTCAATACGTTAACACTTAAAGAAAATATTAGATGAAAACGTAGTTAACAAAGCTCATTCAAACATTTCTGAATGTTTTCCCAGGAAGGTAATTAAATTTAACACTGAACAGCATGTCAGATTTAAGATCAGGGTTATTTTAGTGTGGAGTGCCATTAGACCTTGATCCTTGTTCCCCTTTTACAGGAAATGCTCTTATAGTAAAATGGCATGCTGACAATCTACCCACTAAATCCATTTGGGTGAAAAACAGTCTGTAGTCTATGTATTGTTTAAGAGAGATTAAGAGACCGACATTCAAAAGAGCCTTGTTTCCACATTTTGTTCACATTTCCTAAAACACTTGTATGCTTGGCACGGTGACATGTTGGCAGCACTTACGGCTGTTAAAAGCACATAATTGTGTCTACAGAAATAACACCTTAATGGGCAGAATGATCCACTAGAGGGCACTGCTGATACATGTGTCTAAGTGTGAATTCTGATTCAGTTTGGCTTGAACATTGGTAATTTCATTATATAAAAAAAAAAAACATTCGCAATTCAATGCAGTTACATATAAAATTGAATTCAGTGAGTAACCTTTAATAGGAGCTGAATTGGTATCTGGGTATTAAAATTGTCTGGACAGAAAATTGCCAAAAATTGAGATTTTGCACAAAAATAAGCTAAATATACTAAGGATGTAATAAGGATGTAATGACGTTCAAATCCTGCCAAGGCTTAAGAGGAGCCTGAATTGAGGCATGGATGTTAAAGTTAGGGAGCAACAATGGAAATAAAAAGAGACAGTGGGGAGGTAAGAAGGGAAAAAAGAGGAGCAGGAACAAAGCAATTTTTTTTTGTTTTTTTAACGAAAAAGTTGTAAAATGGTCTTCACTCTTGAGAGGAATAGAGAGGGCATCAATTTTGTTGATTAGCACCTTGTAAAATCTTAAAAAGTTGCTTGTACTGGGCCAGTACAAACTTTTAAGTACTTTAATATGTAAAATTACACTTCAAAAAGTTACAACACAAATAACACTATCCATGAAGTGGCCCTTTGAAGATATCTGTCAATTACAAGTAGGGGATTTTATGACCTTTCCAGAAGGTTGTTGAACATCATAACAGCCTCTTTGCACAGTCAAACAGCTACAAAAAAACAACCTCATACTCATTTTAAAACTCCTTTCACTGCAAGATTCTAGGTCAAACTTGGCATAAAACACAAGTAGCCTATATGAGTGTAAATGAAAGTGATATTAATCATTTTAGCCCACCAGTTGATTAAATAAAAAATGTCACATTTACATCTATGTAATGCACCAAACGGGAATACTGTGACATGTTTTATAATTTTTACGGCACTTGAATGCACCGTCCAGTCGTAAAATCCCGGAAGACGGAGTCTGTGTGTGGGCCGTGAAGGCATCATCAGACTTCGCAGGTTACTGCTGTTATGACAGAGCCGATAGACCTGAGAGCAACGAGTTGGTGCAGGATGTAGTGAACTTTATTGAGACTTTGAACAAAAAAGTTTTCGCATTTTATTTTCAAGAGCCTTCAGCTGAGCAGATAACTGGAACCCGGTGCTTGGAAGAAACTTGATTTTTCTGTCTTTGATTTTTTTGCAATACTTGTTTTTTAAGGGGTTGACTGTGTGACAGAGCAGACAGGTAGGACTCTGATATGGCTGAGGTGCCTTCACAGACACAGCCGGTCGAGATAGATCCGGAATTTGAGCCTCTTTCCCGCCCGCGGTCGTGCACCTGGCCTCTGCCCCGGCCGGAGCCCACTGACCCGGCCAACTCTAACACGTCCTCCCCGGCGCCGTCTGTGCAGCAGGAGCCGGGAGGAAACTCTGAGTTCATTGGAAACCTCGGTTTGTTAGAGGAGGACTATGGAGAGTACGCGGAGCAGAAACCGCCTTTACCCTGCAATGATTTTCTGTGTCGAGAGGGAAACTGTTTGCATCTTCATCGCCACCATCCTAACCACCGTCCTCAGCAGCAGCACCCGGGTCCGCAGCTGCCGCTCCAGCAACAGGTGCCTACCCCAGGTGTCCCACCTTTGGGTGGCTCTGGCCAGAGGAAGACGAGCTCTTCACGTCGAAATGCCTGGGGCAACATGTCTTATGCCGACCTGATTACCAAGGCTATAGACAGCTCACCTGAGAAGAGGCTGACCCTGTCTCAGATTTACGACTGGATGGTGAAGAGTGTGCCTTACTTCAAGGATAAAGGAGACAGCAACAGCTCTGCAGGCTGGAAGGTAAGTGCAAGTGCTCACGTGAAGGGCTCTGTGTGAGTGCACGAGCTCTAACCAGGGTCAAACCAGGCAAATTTGAACCCTGTTTCTCTGAACACTGTTCAAATAAAGCCAACAACACCACACTTTAAGTGGAACATACTAATGAAAGAACTTGGAGTCAAATTATATATTTTACATTAACAGGCTTTTTTAAAACTGTCTTATATACAATAAGCAGTAGAGCTGTATCCTTCTTTTGAATTCTGCTAATATTGCACTTTGATGTGCTCTGCTAGATGTAAAGGGATGCACAGAAGCCAGAGGACACACATGATTTCAGTCTTCATCAAAGCTTGACTCATGCATCTTTAAAAAAAGTTAAAGATGCCAAAGCTCAGGAGTTTTCTGACTTTTTTTGTTCCATAAGCATGCAAAGTCAATAGTCCTATTGCCTTCTTTGTAAGCAACACTGTCACAGTCACTATCAGACAAAACATGGCAGGGGTTTGGAGACTTGGTTTCTATCCTCTATTTTGTAAAGTCTCTTAGGCAGCAGGATTTAGTGAGACCACTCAAGTCAGAATAAGAATAAGAAGAACTTTATTAATCCCTGTCATCTCATTTGTCATGTCTCTAAAAGACATCTACTATTTACAGAAGAGTTGTACAGTCTGATGGCTGTTGGTACAAAAGATCTTCTGAATCTTTCTGTCCTTCAGCGAAGAGAGAGGAGCCGTCCACCACCATTGGCCCTTTAGTCCATCAAGGTGTTGTGAAGTGGGTGATCCATGTTCTTTAGAATAGTCTCCACCTTTCTCAGTGTAGATCTCTCAACCACATCCTCCACTGGGTCCAGCTTGAATCCAACCACAGAGCCAGCTTTTTTCACCAGTTTGTTGAGACTTCTTGCATCTTTGTGTTTGATGCTTCATCCCCAGCAGACTGCAGCCTATAACAGAACACTTGCCACTTGTACTTCTTGTAACAAAGCTCTTATCTATTCTCTGATTAGGGATTTGACATATTTAAATGAAGCTTTTGAAGTTTTAAACTCTTATTTTTGGCCAATATCAAGTGCACATTCAGTGTGATAGGCATTTGTATCATGAGATGGTTGATAATGAAAATCATACTTTTATTCATTCCAGGAGGAGAGACAAAACATTTTCAAACCAGTAACAATGATTGACAGAGTCAGACCTTTTCAAGTTTAAAAAAAATGTTCAACTCAGTAACCTTTGATGTGTTGGAGTGGTTTCCTCTGTCAGCAGCAGCAGCAGCAGCACACACCTCCACACTGCTGTGTCAATGAGGAAGGAGCAGCAGATCTCACTGTAAACATCCCATACATGTGCCTGAGAACATTTCACTCTGTGCAGCGGTGAAGTAAAATAACTAAGAAAAAAGAAAAACAGACACAAAGTATGAAGAACAGAGGGAGTAAGACAATTTCAATTTTTCCTATGCTTTTTTTTTTCTTATTTTAGAATAAATGTTTAAGAGCAGTCAATTTGCTAAATTGTGTTTGCCCAAGGTGAATAATATACACACATCCATGAACCAACATTGGTGGGAACAATCCATCCAGTACACCACAACACTTACTGAGTCATAGTCTGAGTCACAGTAATGGAAAATCCAGTACATTCCTAAAATTTGAAAGCTTTCCTGCTTTCCTGTCTGGAAATGTTTTAAATACAAGGGACAAGTTGTAAAAGCATTAGCCTAACGCCTGCACAAACATGTTAATCCTGTTCTTAATATTGTCTCACCGGTCAAGGAAGTTACTCAGCTGTGATGGATAGAAAATAACTTGGGACAAAAGCAGACAAAAAAAAAGCCAAAGCAGATGCCAATTAAAATGTGCAAACTCAAACAAAATTTGAGTCAAGTTCATATTTCAGCTTTGCAGCCCTTCCTGTTACCCCTGCATTCTCCTGAGATGAAATGTAATTTTGGAGTTATGTCAGGAAATGCCTTTGTGAACCTCACTCAAATATAGTTTGTATTGTTTAACACCCTCTTTGTGAGAAGCTTGATCACAGCTGGCGTTATGAAATATGGCTCCACTAAACCTACCTGTTCATTTTTTGCTCAGTGTTTCTGCAGCTCTTTAATATCACGTCGTCACATACAGTATGTACTGTAATTCCACGCACCGGTGGGAATAAAGTTGATACTCAAGTACATCATGGAGTAAGTCCCTCGACAATAACAGGAGGCGACACAAACAACTCAATCAGTGTTGAGGAGTGTGTCAAAAGGGAAGGGGCTGGGTGAAGGGAACACAGGGAACGACGTCAAACATCCTCCATTCCTGAGCTCTACGCTCATATCTCTGTGTCCCTGTCTTCTAGAGTTTCCTCTGCGGATGCTATGGCTCGGAGAGAGGGATCGCTGCTCTTGATCCCGTCACTTCCTCCTGTTGAGCCTTGGCAGGAGATTCTTGTGTTTGTTCAATTGGACCTCAGACAGTTACAGTTCATAATAACACCAGGAGTCTCCATAACTTTTGAACGCAGTTATTGACATTGGTCTACAAACTTATAACTTCAACATTAAACTGCATTTAACAGTCACCTCCGAGCACAGTGGTTTGAACCTGTCACACTGTAAATGAGTATAACAGACTGTGTTACCCAGCCCTGGTTATGGGATTCATGTGATCCTGGATGTAGTCCTAATGCTCAAGGGCATGTAAGACTTTCCCAAAAGTTAATCAAAATTTCTCAGTCTTTAAAATTTTTTGGCATGCATGGCTCTGGGAACATCAGCGTTGGGCAGGCAGTTGGTCCACCACTTTGGTCTGAATAAACCTTTCAAGATGAATTGCCAAGTAATTTAGTAAAGACATCCATTTTTCCAAGAAGGTGAACCCCTCTGACTTTGGTGATCCCAAGACATGTCCTCCGGTGCCACCATTAGATTGATATTTGATATATCATATAAAAATACAGCTAGCATTATAGCTGTCTCATCTAGTTCAGAGTTCCTCTGCACAGGAATGGACACAGGAGTACTTTTAGTCTGGTGTAAAGTTTAATATATATGGGTCTGTTTAGAAGGTACTTGGTAATAGGTTTGCGAGAATTGTTAAAAGATTAAGAAATGTAAAAAATAAAAAAACAGTCCTGTCTTTGAAATAAGAGAACACCTTAGAGCTTTTTTAATGTTCATTAATAGACTTAAACTCATATCAATGCTTTTCTTTGGTATACAAAAGCAGAGACGACCATTACTGAAGAGGTTGACAAATTACGCACTTTTTATGCCCCAAAGCGGTGTGAAAGGGTAGGTTTCAGATTAGCAGCTGAAAAATCAACAATTTTTATCATTCCTGCATAAAATATTCATTATAAATGGTTTATCTGACTGTCAAGAGTCAGCAGGATGAATTTTTGTCAGAAGACACACCTTAAGTTTGTTACTGCACTTCTAAAAATCATGTTAACACATTAGCCTGACTGAAATAGCACTAAATCAATTTCTCATAGTCAGACTACCATACCTGGATGATGTGGTTGGGGATCGATTTTCCCTGTCAGATATACGACTTAGTCAAACTGAAACTGGCTTTAACATTCTGCGCATGCCTCAGTGTTCATATGCTGGTCTCTGAGCCAGAAGCTGGATAAGTAATTGAAATAGCACAGAGCTGTAAAGGTGATGGCGCATTCATCATTAAGTGTATATCCAGTTAGCCTCTTGCTAATGGGTTCTGTCAATATACTAACCAGGAGACAACCCAATTGTACTGAAATGATGGGGAGCATGTTGCCACCTACTATAGCAGAGGTGAACATGCTTCTGTCAATAATTTGATTCTTTCCTAATGCATGTAAACTGGGACAGTAGTCCAGTTAAATCGCCTAATCCAGCTTTAACTGTAGCTCCATTTAACTGTGCATGTTAACACACTGAGTGTGGAGTGACTTAAACAAGAACACTTAAACAGTAAACTCTGTGGAGCATTTAACCCGGACCTCTGCCACAAAATTATAGTTTTTTACAAAAAAAATTCTAAACCTGAAACAGTTTTTGTGGTTATTTCTTGAAGTGTTTTTCTTGATGTGTCAATGGACTGAGCTTTGCTTTTTGATATTTGGAATTCAAAGAAGCACAAAAGATTTTCACTGAGAACAATAGCTGTAGCCTGTTTATCTTTACTATGAAATCAACACTTCTCTACCTCAACCTCTGCATTCCTAAATGTTGGCTCTCTCTGGGCCTTGGAACCACCGGCTAATAGTTATTTTTACACCTTCCTGTTAAAAAAACACGACAGTCCCCCCACAATGAACTATGATGCATTTCCTGCCTAGTGGATGGAAAACAGTGCCATGTGTTCACTTCCCTGCCTTGCAAAACACAAGGGTCAGGGCTGGGAAAAAAATACAGACTAGATGGTGTTTGTGCACCTAACTCTGTTTGAATCCAACAGTCCCACCACAAAGAAATCATCAGTCTGTCCTTTGTATTGACTTTAGAGTCCACATGTATGAATGTCCCTGATTGTAATGACAGATAGGGGTATGCCAGAGACCTCATGGTGGGTGGAGGGCGTTGAGTTTGAACCTCAGTGATTATATAGCTCCACCTAGAAAACTGAAGGTGGGTGGAGGGCAGGACGAGGGCGATGCTGCTGCCGCTAGAGCTTCCTGTCTCCCCCGCGTCATGGACATGTTTTGTTTCCCTCCAAAAGTTGTGTGGCTGCTCTGTGTTCACTGTACCTTTACTACGAGATAGGGGCCCTTTGCCAACTGGGAGAATTGGTTCCCCTGGGATACTGGTGTGTCTGTAAGTCACAGTGAGCACTCAAGGTACTTCACCAACTTACTGGTACTGCCATTGTTTTTCTCAGTGAACTGTGACACAAAATACATGAACAGGAAGCCCCTGCCTATGAATTTAACTGGCACAAGGGTTCCGATGCATTTATTTGAAATTCAACGGCATGAAAACGTTCATTTACAGTTCCTGGAAATTTCTGTGAGGCACATACAGTCATGGTTTTTAATGTTAAACAAACATGTTCCCTACTTCTCTGTTTATATGCCTTACAACCTGAGGAATGGTATATAACGTAATATATAACACTATTTGAGCTTAATTTGACATGAAAATTGTTGCATTCAAATACCATAAACTTGGTACACTTTCATAAGATTGTAACTCTTTGTGGGAACACCAAGTTGTAAACAGAAATAAATGCGTAAGTGCTAAAAACTGCAGTTTCTTGAGCATCTACCTGAGGCTGGCTGCAGAAGCCATGCACACCACGTACCCATTCAAAAAACTTATCTTTCAGCCTGGTAATTTTTTTTTTCTGAATAGCATTTTCTCTCTTCCCTAAAGATATTAAGTTTATGAGTTTTGCACAATAAAGGGTGAGGCTGACTTGACTGACAGGTGGGCACCTGGCCACTGGAAGGAGTCTGCTTCAACTCAACCTCTTTGCCTCTTGCAAGGTCAACCAAGAGTTTGGTTAAATCAGCATTTCCAATATGGTGGCCGCCATCACTAGACTTCAAACTTTGCTTCAGAAACCGATGCGTGACAACATTTACACTATGTCGGTGTATTCTAAAGCCGGTGGGGAACACATGAGTTGTGTTGTGTAATTACTGACGGTTTCTAAATGTCAGCTTGTAAACTTGCTTAACCAAGATATTGAACATGGTTATGATTGAACATACCAAACATCAGTAAGTTGTTCATGCAGATATTCAGCTCAAAGCACCATCGTGTCAACACAACTTTGAGCAATCGTTTGCCTGCCTGCTGATGCCTTAAAAATCGAAGTACATATTTGGGGGGTTAACTTTGCATATTTAATTGTGTCCAGGGTTCACTTGGAAATGACTCAACCCGTGGAAAAATGTTATACTGTTGGCCTACAAACCACTAAAAGAGGCAAAAAAAATCCCAGAACAACCTCAGGCTATTGGACTTGGGATCACAAGGTTAAAAAGAGAAGCTTGAACTTAAGAGGCCCACAGAAAGCTTCATGTAACTCCATGAAGAAAGGGAGGCTTGGGGCAGGGGTTTTCAAAGAGGAGCAACCGTTGGCTTGAGGGAAGGAGGGGATCAGTCAGCTGACTGGCTGGCTGTGTACCGAGGCCTGTGTACAGTCTGTCGTCTACACATGTGAGCCTGTGGAATCTGTGGCATTTTGGTTTCTGTATTGTCCTCCAGCCTGCACACCCAGGACAATAGTCCCTCTTTTTTTTGTGTTCACAAAAAGAACCTGGCCTCAAGTCTATTATGCAAAATACAAAGGACATGGGTCCTGGAGGGGGTAAAGAAATATGGCCTGAAGAAAGATAAGCTGGATCAAGGGTAATTGAGATTAATGTCCAGTCCTGCAACAGGTTGGCCTTTTGACCCTTTAGAGTGTGTGAAGAATGTGAAGCAGACCTGAACTTAGGCTGAGATCAAGGTCAAGTTTAATCACCTCGGTATTTCTGAATCTTTGATACGATTTACCATTGGTATGGCCGTATATCTGTAAATAGACACATCAAATGATGATGTTTGATGGTATCATTCGTATGTGCCTGTTTCTTGTTATTTAGAGCTGAACTCCCAACACAAAGCTCCCCAGGTCTTTTCATGGTCCAGCTTTGAAGCAATTGGAGAAGTAGGTCACTTTGTCTGATGCTCAGTGTTGATGAAGAAGCTTGCATTGTTGCCGGCAGCCATAAAGAGAGGACACAGTCTTCACACTGAGCTGAATTCTTTTTTTTTTCTGCAGCCAAGCTTGCCTTGTTTTTTTACCGCCCTGCTGTAACAGAAAGTTTAGGTCCTGCCTGCAGTGCATAGCTTGCACTTCCTGGGTCAGAGGAGACAGGGGGGAGGGGTGCACAGGAAGGCACTGTTAGGAAGTGGTTACTTTTACTGTAATCTCTGCAAGTTCTGTGCTATCTGTCTTCTTTACAAAGCAGACAGAAATCTGACTGATTTTCAGTGGCAGCAAGACTACTACTAACAGATATTAATGTTGATTCCTTGTGTGTCACTAAAATTTAACTTTGCAGCTTTTTGGCCAGCAAGGACCACTCTGTATTTTAGATTAAAAGGGACAAACACAACACGAAATTCAGAGTATCAGTGTTATCAGCTGGTTAATTATCCTTTTTCTTGATTACATACATTAAATATACTGTAATAAAACTAAACATTGGTACCATGACATACATTTTACACAAATCTCAATATAAAAATGGCTGCCAATCCAAATTTAAAGTTTGTAAGTCATGTCATTGACTAGATTGGAGGAGTCCATTAGTTTTTGAAGTTAGCCCACAGCTGAACTTCATCTGGTCTTGGCAGTTTAAGAGATTAGCATACATCCTTGTTTCACTGTTAATGTGAATTTGATACACGGACTATGTTTCAGCTGTTACGTCATTTTATATCCCTTCTTTTTAAAAACCTTTGTGTAAAAGAGACACCAGAAGGTGAGCCCTTTGCTTAAGTCATTACGCTCTGATTAGATTAAAGAGAATAAAAGGTTATACAACGTCAAATTGCCATGAAAACATAAGGATAACATAAATTATTAGGCAAATTTTAGAAAAAGGTTAATGTTAGTAAACTTGGAGGAACTTAAAAAAAAATAGGTTGCATATCCCAAAAAAAAATATATATAAATAAATAAATTCTGTTTATGTCTTACTTTAAATCCTGTAATCTGTGGCACGCTAACGCACAGCATGTCATTAGCGCAAGAAACATCTGTGAGCTGATGCAGAGATGATAAAGCATACATAAATCCATAAATAAGATACCATAAGCTCATGGCCTTACAAGGTCCAAAAGGACTATGGCTGCAAAACTTGAACAGGAGAAAGCATGTGGGTTATTATCATTTATGAAAAAAAAAGAAGTATTTTCAAAGACAGGAATACAACAGGCTACTTTTTTGATAGCATTTGCATCTGTAGCTAATTATTTATTAACTACTGGTCTTTTATCATTGCCAGAAATTAGGCCCCATCAATGATAGTAAATTTAGCTTCTGATTTCAGCAGCTGGCGTACAGCAGCTTCTCTCTTGGGAGATCCTCTGTCTTGTCTGTGGTTGTGTCTGGCGCTATATGTAAAACGTTTGGACCTGCTGTACGTGAGGCCACTTTCACTGAGGCTGCACCTGTCCCTGCAATTGGGTCCTGTTTGTTTACTTATCCTGTGACCGTTACTGCAGGCCTCACGCTCCGCTACACAAGAAACAGCAGCTGTGTCAATCTGATTGTTTTGAAGTCCAGAAGGAGGAGTCATTTCAGGCTGTAGCAGCTTGTCTACATAATATCGATCACGTATGATTTCGGGACAAAGGGTTCATTTGAAGCGTTGGAAGATGATAGAGAGTTTGTGGTCTCCTGAAATGACTGGGATAACCTTTGGGTAATGCACTCACCGCTGACATGTACCTCATGCAGCAGGCCGTGGTCCACATTGTAGTAGTTTATCTTGTGCAATAAAGGCAAAATGGTTCAAAATGCAACTTTAAGGACTTCACAAACAGTTTGATTCAAAATGAACTTTAAATATGGCCCCTTTGCCTAACACAAACAGAATTAAAAAAATTAAGTTCCCAAGTCAAGATAAGCGAAGCCAAAGCAGTTCTGTGTTGGAAGACTTTTCCACAAGTACGTAATCTCAACCCTTTTTAATCCTGTGTTGGATCAGTGCACTACTTACTTAATAAACCCTCTCTTTTAAACCATTAAAGGTCACCTAATCTGCGCCTGGGAACTTCCCTGGTTGCCTTGAAAGGTCAATATAGATCATTTAATATTTTTAATACCCTGCATTTATATGATTGTTTTGCAGTGACAGGTTCACATATTTTACCTCTTCAACGTCATTCAAAAAGTGAGGGCCATAACAATCAGTTCATGAAGAAGTTAAGCAACAAAGATACACTTTGGCCACCTTGGGTTGAGCTTTCATAGGCATAATGTGTGAATGAGGCACCTCCTGAATTAGTTAGGCGGGGAACCTCTTTTGTTCTCTTTGGGCTGAGGTGAGGTCTGTCTGAGACAAGGATTATCCCAGGCCATGCAGAAAAAAGCCAGACCCAGGGCCCAGTCATGCAGTCCATGATCTTTTGTTGGCTCTAATCAGAGGCGGTGGGCATTTGCATATCACAAGTGATCTAAGCAATGTTCAAAGAAGAGCGTTAAACAGAAGTTGGTTTACACACGGTGAAGTCAGTGCAGCACGCAGCTCAGCTCTCTACTAATGACTCATATCCTGTCTTTGGTTACAGATTGAGAAATTATGCATTAAGAGAAGAAAAAGGAGCATAAAGGTCACTGGATCACACGTCAGACTGAGAGTTGCATTTTGTAGCAACGCACAGAGTGTTAACTGCACCTTATGTCATTCCAGTATGCATGTGCAGGATGTCCTCTTACACAGGAAGCCTTGTTTAAAAGCTCAGAGGAAAAGACGGGAGGAGTGTGGTTCGGTGGAGGTGGGTTCTGTTGTGGTGAGGTCTGTCAGTCTGGGCCAGTACGTCTAACCTGACGCTACTCCTCCTCTTTTCCCTGTTCGCACTCCATCCAACCTGTTTGCATGTCTCTGTCAGCACCGGCTGAGGAGCTCGTGCTCAGCACTCAGTGAACTCATTGACCCTACGTCTGCGAGCAAAAACATCTCTCTCTGTCACCCTCCCCATTCTCGCTTCGAACTCTGTAACCCCCTCATGCTTTCTTTCTCTGTACAGCTTCTCGTTTGTGCACAGCTCACTGCCTGAGGATTCACAGTGCTGCGGTGATGTATAGACTGAGGTTGAGCTTGTAGAGGTTCAGTGCCTTCATGTGAGGACACTCACTCAAAATAATACTGAGCCGTTCCCTTCAGTCATCCAGGGTGTCATTCGGTTGTGTAGCTTGTATTCAAAATGTTTCTCTACCACTTTAAACAGCTCTTTCTCATATGAATCTGTTTAAAGTTTGATGTATTGTCTTCAGGAAAGTGCCAGTTTTCTTTCATTTAATAATTAGAAAGTAAATCACAATACAAGAAGAGACTATTTGTCATATTAATATGACAGACTGAAGTGATTTTCTGTGCTGAATGCATTTGTCACAGACTGAAACAATCTGTCTATTGTTTCAATGTAACTGTCTTTATCTCCCTGCTGTCTGCATCCCTGTTGAATCCTGTGGTTGAAGACATCTGGCTTTACTAACTGCAGGGAGCTGCTTTTGCATTCACATGAGTATTCGGGGGAATTCCCTGCTAGTGTGTTACAGTTTGGTCTTTTATTGTACCCACAATCCAGCGCAGAAACGGGCCGCATATTAGGAAGATTTTGTTCTTCAGAGAGACCAGACTGTACATTACGTCTTGTGTCCTTTGTGACCTGCTCCTCAACCATCGTTGTTTTTCTTCCTGAGAGAATAACCGCATGAGACACCACCATGTCCTTTTTAGGGTTTCATAACATAGTATTAGAGAAATAGAGTCAATAAGGACTTAGGTGTATACATGTTCACACAAGGACAAAAGTGACCACATGGACATATGTTGGTCAAACCCAAAGTAGTACACTCTGTCCTGTTAAGGAGAGTTTTTCAGTCTTATGTTACAGTTGAGTAGCTTCATGACAACATGCACAAAGATTGTTGGATCATCCAGGAAATTTGACATCAGATCAGATTTTTCTGATTTATATCCGTCTGGCCCTTTTATGGTTCTCCGTGTTTTTTTCCCCCTCAGTTTGGTAGATCAGAGCTGCTGCTGCTGCTGCCTGTGGAAAATTAGACAGGGCTGCATAGATAAAACTTGGTGGAGACACAGGAAACATATGATTACGGACCACAATATGATTACGGACCACAATGGGGGTTAAAAAAAGCTGATATGGCCCATTGTGATAAGAATGCTTTTCCAAGAAGGGGCTTAGTCTGTCAATCATGCATCGCTTGTGATTAGAGGAAAAAGTACATCTAAATAGCATTAAAGGTTTTCTATGCAACTATTTTTCTTTCCGTCATCATATTCAGTAACAGATACTGTAATCTGATTTGGAGTTTTCAAAGATTACTAAATACTGTAAAATACCTGGGACCATATATCTAATACATCACTGAGTCAAAGCAACCAACTTCTTTTGCTAAAGAGCTTGAGGTAGATGTAGAAAAGACTTCGTCAAAATATGAGTATGTGGACGTAAACATGTTCCCTGCACCCTTACTGGCTTTGGTGGTACATTCAACAGCCTAAATCACCACCGCTCAGGCCAGAAAGTATAAACATCTACCCTGCAGCAATACACCATCTCATTAAACTCCCTCCCAAAAACAACATCACTGTATCTTTTCTCTCAATATTTATCTGCATAAAGCAGGGATGTGTGCGCTTAGCTGACTAAACAATTAAATGTTGCCACCTGTGCTGGTTAGCACCAGAATTACCGGTTAGTTTATCGAGTTATTGATATTCTTATTGTCATTGGGACAGGAAGCCACTCACAGCTGATTGCATGGCACAGTGTGGACTTAGTTTAATAACCACCTGGCCAGCGGCAAGATGTCGTCAACTTACGTGAAAGACCAAAGACTGGTGGTTTACAGCTCTGCTTATGTTATCCACACTCTATGAACCATTATGATATTGTTGCCAAGATCCTGTTTAGATGTGTTAAATATGTGTCGTTCCCTGGGGGTTTCTTGACCCCAAAACGAGCTGATAAGTCATAATTTGAATTACTATTAAAATTATTAAGAAATAAGTGAATCTGAAACATCCTTTAACGTAAACTGATGTCTACACCGATAAACAGTAAAGCACATAACTTTGTATTTTGGGTGTTAAAAGTCTCATTCACTGACTCTGTCTTTCTCAGATAACTTACAGTTGATTCACTCTTTTTCTGTCCAGAACTCCATCAGACACAACTTGTCTCTGCACAGCCGCTTTGTGCGCATTCAGAATGAAGGAACAGGAAAAAGCTCCTGGTGGATGCTAAATCCAGAGGGTGGGAAAAATGGAAAGTCACCTCGGCGCAGGGCCGCCTCTATGGATAACAACAGTAAGTTGGCCAAGAGTAGAGGAAGGGCCACGAAGAAAAAGGTACACTCCCCATTTTATAAACAATATTACTCTTCATATTTTTGAAAATTACATATTGTATGATAATTTTTCTCATGATGTAGTCAAATGAAGGTTACAACTGTTAAGAAAAATGTCCTTTTTTTGTCTGTTGAGAGGTAATAATGCATTAGACAGAAATGTCCATCGAAGAAAATGAAGCTTCAGCAAGCAGCTGGCTAGCCTAGCCAAGTACAAGGTCCAGAATCAGGGGTGAAAGCTAGTCTCATTGAGTCCAAAGTTGAACATTTGGCCAAATAAAGGTTGCCTCTGTGTGTTTTGTATTTTTTTTTAAGTTAAAATTTGAAGAAAAAAAAAGAAAGAAAGTGTTTGCAATTATTAGGATTCTTCATGTAACATCATTTGTAACATCATTTTTACGCTGACTGTGTAAGCTGTTAATCTGTTTTCATTCTCAGACGGCTCTACATGAAGGGATTGAGGGAGGAGCTGGTAGTCCTGGCTCCCAGTACTCCAACTGGATGGGGAGCCCAAACTCCCAGAGCAACGAGGACTTTGAAGCCTGGAGCTCGTTCAGGACGCGGACCAGCTCTGACGCCAGCACCCTGAGTGGTCGCCATTCACCTTTCCCCTCTGAACAAGATGACCTGGTGGAGTCTGATGGCCACATGATGTATCCCGGAGTGGTGGGGACCAAGATAACCTCCCCCCTGCCGAGCCTGTCTGAGATTGCTGGACCTGTGGGCCAACATGGCCAAGAGGTGGTTATGGAGAGTCTGATGGATAACTTAAACCTGCTATTTCCAAAACCTTCCCAGCTGGGCCCTGACTCTTCACATTCCCCTCATGCTGCCATGCTTCAGAGTGGCTCCTACAGCTCCCCTGCTTTGACCCCACACCAACAGCAGGACTACCGCAAATGCATGTACAGCCCAGTGAGGATGAACTCCCTGTCCCCTGCTTCCATGCAGACACTTCCAGAAACCAAGCCAGACTTTGGGGCTTATGACAGCCAGTATATCTGCCCTGCCGGTCTCCTCAAAGAGCTGTTAACCTCAGATGCAGACACCAGTAGGGAGGTGATAGCCTCCAGGGAAACACAGATGGCTCAGGTTGGGAGGGGAGGTGGTCTAATGCCAGCTTATAGCAACCAAGGCCACATTGGGGGTCATAACAGGGTTAAAATGATGAATTCTCTACAAAGTCACCCAATGAATCCACAAGTTATACTTAGCCAAGGTCCTTCAACCCCCCGAGACTTGAATAGCTGCAACATGATCCCCCTGACTAGTCGGACTAGTCTTTCAGGGGCCTCTCCTCGGATGACCAGCCTGAGGACATGTATGCAACCACCCCGCGGACACTCAGCACACACTAATGATGTTTCAGGAGGCAGCTTCAGGGCCCTGAACTCAGTTCATCACCACCACAGCCATCAGGAGCGGTTGCCGAGTGACCTGGACAACATGTCCATTGAGAGGTTTGAATGTGACATGGAGACCGTCCTACATGATACCCTCATGGATGGCGGGGCACTTGACTTCAACTTTGACCCTGCAGCTGGGTCTCATGGGTTCCCCCAGAGGGTAAAGACCACCACTCATAGCTGGGTGTCAGGCTAGGACAACAAACAGGTGAGACTGACAACAGTATATCAAAACTGTATCTTAAAATGGTGGTTATAGAGTGTGTCTAATCACTGACATTTTCTCTCTTTCCATACAGGATTGTCTCTTTGTTCGTGAGGTGAATCATCTTTGACAGCTCTGCAGAGAGGAGGTCAATGAGACATACACCTGAACCAACTGGCCTTGTTAAAAACTGCCAGTCAAAAGCCGTGGATATGCACTTATTTGATAACTCTTTTGATGACACACAGCCTCAAATGAATTTGCAGTATATTGTCATTCAAAAGACAGAAATCTGTATCAAAATGCAAAACACAGAGGTCAAAGTTTTTTACCAAAATATTGGATTTGTTGCTTGTCCTACACCGAGCAAACTAACTCTTGTTCAGGACTGAATTTTGAAGAGATTTTAATATGCTAACTTAAACCTCAAACTGCTCTGAGCATGATTAATACTGATTAAAATTTTTATTCCTGACTTGAAACAATTCAGTTTTGAAGTAATAAGAGAGAGTTAAGTGTAGCTGTGACAAGAATTTAGTGTGTACAATGAGGGTGAAGTTTAAGACAACAACAAATGTTTACATTTTCTTTAACTGGGGGAGATCAGTAGGTCTGTGTCCTAGATAAAGCAGTGTATAATCTGCGTAGCAGCACAGCTTGACTCTGATAGAGTAGAACATTTAGAAAAGTGGGAAATCCAGAGAAATGATCATCTCTGTTCAAGTCCATCAATAGACGTCTTTACCTCAACGGGTAGCAGGTTTTGAAATGGGCACCGGTAAATGTCTACAAACTCTTTAAGAGAGGGTATTATGCTTTTTATGGGCTTTATACTCTGATAGCTTCTCAGTAGCTTTAAATAATTCACACTTCAACAAATTATGAACATATTTCGCCCCCGCCAGCATTCCAGAACCCTGCATTCTGGAAGCCTCCTTCACTGCTGCCCTGCGACGTAGCTGTTTCCTTTTGTTAAATGACAGATTTGCCCTTTTAAGGAGATACACTGTCTGGTGATGTTATGATTATAGCAAATATGTTGATCTCACTGAATTCTCATGTGGCTTTTTGAACATTCAGAGCACCCTGTGGTCCCATCTGGGGATTACTTAAACAAACATTATCCTTGCAATCTGAAACTTTGCTCATGTATAGAACTGATGTCCCCCTTTTAATGTAACAGTTGTTTTCATTATATGAAAATAGCGTAATACCACCTCTTCAGAGTGCCTCTTCAGGTCACCTTAGCGCTTAAGTTGAATTTCAGAATTTATTTAAGGAGACTTTGGGATGAACTTCATCTTTAGCTGAAATGAAGGAGTCATTTATTCACAGTAAAAGGGTTTTAATTTATCTTTCATTCAGGTAATAGATGTTAGATTTGTGCCTTTGTACATTGTTCGTTTGCTTTGCACAGTATAACCATACTGTAAATAATACACACACAAAGCTAAAAAGTAGTTCATCAAAAGTCCAAAGCAGTCCAATTTATGTGTATTCTGTCTAATCAGATGTCTGCGTTCTAAAGCCGCTGGGAGAACTTTTGATTTGTGTTCATTTTGGTGCCCCCTTCTGGGCAAAGATGTACTGTACATCCTATCACTTTGCTGATGTTGTCCCGTACATTTGTAAGGTGTTATTTCATGACAAAACTCTCATCCTGCTTTTTTGATGGTTTAACGAGTCACTTATTGTGAATATTTGCTGCAGAAAATTTACCATTTCATAGACAGACCATTCATCAAAATTGTCGGTCTTGTTTCAGGTGATCTTGTTTGCTTCCGTAGGTCATTAAAAATGCATCAGTATAAAAGTCAGTGTGTTTCACAACCAGTTAAAAACAACTCCTTGTAGCCTTAGATTTCAACACCATATAGAGTGTTTACTGATGTAGCTCAAGGCAAGGACTGAATTGATGCCTTTTACATGGGCTGTTAAATAAACTGGAAAAAAACAACTAGCGGCAAGGTTAAAATTAAAGGGAAATGTCATAATTTTCACTGGACTCAAGTTGTGTAAAACAGTGGGCGTAGCTGTAAGTGGAGAGGCTGATAATAAAGTGGTCTTGCAGTTCAGCTCAGACAGCGCACTGTCAAAGGTTTTCATACATTAGAAGAAGTGTGCTGATTCGCTGTGCCTACTTTGTCTCAATGTTGTACATAGAGTATTCTTTTAGTTCATTTTATACATGAATGATTCACATGGCCTGTAAAGGTTAAACTATGTGATTGTGTTAGAAAAGGTTGTTTACATACCTGTCTGAACTAAGTCAATATAAACAGTATATAAACACTCATACCTCGAAAAGATTTACCTCTCAAGATTTGAAGGGATACTTTCCTCTTATTTTGGTGACTTATTATAACATTTGTCCTCATTAAGGGTGTATCAAGTTTTGTACATATTTTTGTCTCTTTTTTTGTACAAGTATTTGAAAAATTCTTGGATCTGTTCAGTGTTTGCTGTGTTTCCTTTTCTTTATTTTTTATGAAAAAGCATACAGCCAATAGTTTATTAAGTAAATATTTTGTCAATATGTTAAATTAAGGCTGAATTTTGTGATATGATACATTTTAAAAGGTTTCTTGTTGTCATTACTTCATATAAAACTCAAGGGAAGGAATTCAGTCAACTGAGTTTGTCTATATTGCAGAAGGAGACATAAAATTGTTAAAGCTTGTTTTTAACGATTATGTGTCAGAGCTCAAGTAAGATTTCTTCAACCTCGAAAAAATGCTCACATCTCTTGCATTTCATGTTGTAAGAAGACAATAAATTGTACCTTTGATGTTATTTTTTGCAATACACGGATGTTTTTCAATGACATTGTGATTCAGTCTTGTTTTGTCTTTGTGGACTCAAGGTATTTTTGAAGAATGCATATTTTCTACATAATAAATCCAATGCATACATCACCATGTTAAATTGCAATTAAAGAGATGATCTGTAACCTAATCTTTGACTCTATTTCAAAACATTTCATAAAGCCATTAAGTTAAAAGAGGGTCTTGTAAAGACCTTCCACTTTTTTTTGTGCTCATGAATTTTATAAACATAACAGGAGGTTACCAAAGTATGAACCTCCCACTGTATTTCTTTAAGTCCAGAGACACAGACTTTCATCTGTGTTGAGATGGAGCTTAGGGTCACATTTATGTTCATGAGATCAATAGATTTTGTAGGAAAGACAAAAACACCAGTGTGTAGATCCAGCTATGATTGAGTGCTTATGCCCAGGGGTCAAACCAGGTCACAGAGATCATTTAGTTTCAGTTTGATGTGACTCATTTAAGGACTATTGACTCAACAGTTGATCAGATCAAGTCTAATAAGCATCTAATCAAGAAAATGATCATGTCTTTCTGTTGTTATATTTGCAGTGCAAATGAAAATACAGTTTCTCTTTTATAGGCTGTGGGAAGATAAGATAACGTGTCATAAATGTAGATACCATAGCTCACTGTGGGCTTCTGTGAGTGTTTCATTCAGGAAATCAATTGTAACACCATGAATACCATAAAGGCCGCCTTTTTTTTAAGTAACAGCAGGCTCTTTTTAAAATTAATTTTTAGCAGTAAGTCAGTAAGTATCTGGTGTTCCTCCAGTGGGCACTGAAGTTTGTCAGTCGACATAATTTCCAGAGCTGAACCAACTTTGTGGGTTTTGTGATTTAGGTGAAGTAGTACTGGATCCTACTTTCTTCTGAATTGTACAAACTATGATGAGTTAAGAGAGTCGTGGTTAAATGGAATCACCATCCAAAACCCTGAAATTGTGTGGTGGCTGGAATAACCGTGTCTAAGCCGTTTCATTTTGATCTCAAAGGCCTGGAAAAGAAGAAAGTCAGTTTTATCAAAGCTCCTGTATGGATCAAAGTAAACAAAAGTCTTTACTTGCCTTGTCCTCTATATGCATAAGGAAAGTTGTCTGACGAAAAAACTCATCCAGCTTAATTCCGTCATCAATCGTTGCATCAATTTTCAGCATTAACAGTAACAACATAAAATCATCAGTCTCATCACAGATAGTCTTGTTTACTTTTGTCTATCAAATAAAGGCAGAAAAAAAGAAATATGAATTTCAGTCTATTCATATGTATCAAATAAGCTCCTCACTGGAGCTTTAATGTTTTCTATTGTTATCATTTTAGATATTTCATTTGTTCTCGTGTGATAAAGAGGCCGACAACACTATTGGATCCTGGACTATTTAAGTTAGTCCACGCAGGCTGGACATAATTATGTATGTATAAAATATATGAATAAAATACAACCTCAAAATTCTTCATATGCTGTAAAAATCATGTAATGGGTCCATTTTTACCCCTTTTTAATATATCTAAATATGTTGGAATCAGCTTGAAGTTGAGTTCAAGCATGTAAAAGTAAATTTTCCATACTTAAAGCAGCGCCTACAAACACACTCAGATGCACACAGCATGGCACATACAAAATATGTTATGTACACTAAATACTAGCTCTAGAAAACCTTTAATATTTATAGTTTCAAGAGCTCCTATTCTTAATTACACCTTGCTCTGAAAAGGAATATGTTTATGTCAATTTTAGGTCAATTTTATGTAACCTATTTCCAGTGTCAGCCAGTCACACAGCCATCTTCACACACAATTAATCACACAGTGAAAAGTTCAGCAGCAGGAGGCAAATCACAAAGGTGCCCTAAGTGCTTGTTTCTAGCATTATGGGGTCACGTTTCCTGCCTGACTGCTCAATAAAGTGCATTAACAGAAGCTGACGGGGGTTGAAGGACCAGCTGTTGGGTGTCATGTGTTTGTTTGACCGGGTAACATCTCGTTAGACTCAGTGGTTACAAAACATGCTCTAAAATGCACATATGACCTGCTTAACTACTTACAGTGAAGAATCAAATTCTGCTGATTAATTGGGGCTATCATAACACACATATGTGGCTTACATGTGTCCTTCTCACTCCTTGTTGATGCTCCTAACTGTCTCAGAAAAACCATAAGAGTCTCAATTAGCCTTGACACAAAGAAGAAGATTGTTTGTTTATTGCACCTCAGAAGTGATGAAGTTAGATACCTTAAATGATTAATTTTCCCTAAGGGAGATGGTGGCCTGGACTGGCTGCAGCAAGCTAAGGTTGCGCTAATGTATGTGTGTGACTCCAGCACAAAGCCAGGAAATTAGCTGTTTCAGGCCACTAGAGCTTTGATAATGTAAAATATTATATGCACATGCACACTCAGCTTCAGACCTGGCATGTATCTCTTAGAGGGAGGTGGGGATGAAGACTAATACATGATAGGATTAACCTAGCAGCAGCTTATCTGCCTCATCACACGCTTCTTTGACACAAAACAAAGGAAACAAAGTTGGTGCAGAGGCTGCACTCGGGTTACCTGGGACTCATGGTTGCATCTGAGCTTGATGTAACTCCTTGCTTGTGCATAAATATGATGCAGTAAGTTAAAAACGTGTGTTTTTTATTGTTAGGGCAACGAAATTATGATGTGCTTTAGCTTTTTCTTAACCTGAACAATCATTTTAAGTTTATTTTTTCAGACTTAATGAAACACTCTACTGACTTCAGCAGAGTGCATACATACCATAAAAGAGCAAATATTCTTTTTGCAAGAACTCATATGACACAGACTCCATAATACACCATGGCACTGTATTTGCATTTCAGCGCAAAGTATTGTGAGGAAAAAACAAGTACAATGTCAAAGAAAAAAGCTGGTGGCCCTGTTCAAAGTTACCTTGAACAGAGCATTAATATTGGTTTAAGTGCTCTGGGCCATTGTTGAGCTCATTTTATTTTCATTCTTGAGGTAATAAACTGTAAACTAACTGTTTAAAGTGAAATAATATGCATTAGTGAGATTTATTAAATGCAAGAATCTCCAACATTGTATACGTATAATTTGTATCATAAAGTATGACACTGTTTGGTTCAAATAACCCACAATGTGGAGGAGGTCTTAAGTCAAAACAAACTCTGTGTACCTCAATAAAACTCTTTCATAAAGTTTACAATGACTGTTTTTCTTTCCTGCTACATTAATCACATTCTTGCCTCTATAAGCACACACAGGCTCAATTGAACAAACTGAATTGTGTTAAAAGGATGGCTGAGTGTTCAAGAGGTCCCCCTGCAGGAGAACTGCAGCAGAAGCACTTCCAGGTGTCAAGTACGGCAAGTAAATGCTGCAATGCCACCTAGTGTTGGAAAATAGTGTACATAAGGTTGCATTGGCTTAAATAGCACCAGTTTTAAGCTAAGACTATTTATCTGTACTGATTTCCAACTACAAATTTCTGCTCATACAATTCTATCTATCTATCTATCTATCTATCTATCTATCTATCTATCTATCTATCTATCTATCTATCTATCTATTGACTGTGATGATTCTGTAGGAACACTGACTTGTGCAGAGAAAACACGAGAAACATAACCGTACGTTCAATTTGTAGTTTTATTTTTCCACTAACATTCATAGAACCTTTGGTGACAGAATAAAATAAAATAAACAAGCCGATCATATATTTGGAAAGTATAAAGACATCTTTGTAATGAGGACCACTACAAGTATTGTAAAATTATAGGTAGCTGTGAGGCACAAAAATAAGAGCAAATATGGGAAGCACTGTGGACACAAATACTGTTTAAAATGTAAAAAACAAAAAGTAAAAAACATCAACAAATTAAGTAAGCAGCAGTAAAAGAGCCTACAGGAGTGCAAAGTTGCCTTAAAAAGCACAAATCTTGAATACTCATTCATCAAACTCATTCACGTTTGTGTATAATTACACATGCTTGCTTGCACAAGACAGTAATACATTTTTTATGCACCAGGATTATTACAGTGAATAACTAATGTTCAAACTTCCAACATATCTTGTCCTCGTCACACAGCCAAGACTCGATTTAAGTGTCCATCAGATGTTATCTGAACTGCATAATGAATTCGTTATCCATTAAAAAGCAGTACAATATGAGTGCAGAGGTACAAGCTCATCTTATCCACATTTTGTAATAGAAACAAACATCAACATGTGTTTTTAGGCTGTACGGAGATAAGCAAGGAAGCACTGAGTGAAACACAGTGAATTAATATTATTGTTTTTCTTCAAGTAAGGAGAAATCATCCTAATTATGTCCTCTTTTTGTTTTATTGCTCTCCAGAGGGAGAAATCTCTGGTATTGTGCTATTCTGGAAGAAAAAAAATATATATGTTTTTGCTATAACATATTGACCTGGGGTATGGATGTAGATGTTTTCATTCTTCTCAAAGATACTAAAGGTATTGGATATTAGCATCAAAAGCGAGAAAGGCAGTGTTTGTACAGTTTTTCATTGCTAGTACTTAATACCTATGTCAGCCACCTGGATACCTATTTAAGTTACATGTTATACGTATAGCTGAGCGCAATTTAGACACTGAAAAGAGGTTTAATTTAGGAGATGAACTGATGGCACATAAAAAGCTGCAACATTACACCCTTAACTGAATTGCAAAATAAATTTAAACTTCAAAGGGCTCTCAATTCTTGAAATCTCAAGGACATATATCCCTTTTAAATTTAGTGCATGTACAAATATTTTAGTGCGTGTTTGGCAATATAAGATGCAATATAAATCTATAGGCAGCTTTAAAAAGAATTACAAAAAAAATTCTTCTAAATAAATTTAATCAATTTAGTTTCTATACATATAGGTCTCTGTGAATCTTATTTACAAGAAGAGGTGATCGTTCAACGAGAGGTTGATTTATGTTGTGTTTTTATGTTGAGGGGTTTTCATGGCTTCTCTTCTCTGTCTAAAAATAAACTGATAGAATTTCAAATAATCAGTGTTGACACCCATAAAGCCAGAATGAAATAGAAATCATTTAAGAAAGGTCCGTTGATTTTAACACTGAAACGTAAAAGGTCATGGACTCAAAAGACCCACAGCAAAAGGAAGTGACATCACCAGCGATAAAAGCCAAGGCGCTGATTTGAACATAACGCTGATGGCGGAGCAGATTGGGAGGATCCCTGCAGAAGATCAGAATAGGAGATTAGATAGTGTTTCTAATGGTGTTTGGAGAATAAAGCAGGCTAATGTGAACTCTACTCACTGTGATGGACAGCCATGCTGTTCTCTTTCCAGGTGTTGCCCTGGTAAACCCTGCAGGTGTAGGTAAAAGGCCTCTCATCAGCCAGCGGGGCCCAGGTGAGGCGGCACAGGTTTGGGCTAACCAAGCTAACATTGCTCCTTCTTCTGTCCTCTGTGGACACAAAGAGGACTACGTTGGGGTAAGTGCTGCCCACCAGCCGACTGTCCTGTCGATACTCGCAGTAGGGCCCGGGGATCTGGTGGGTTTCTGGAAACTCACAGTCCACCCTGACGTTCCTCTCCAGGTACGTTAGACATGGAAACATCTGAGGCCCGCGTGGTTCAAAGAGAAACTTGTACACTGGGTTCACTGAAAGACACACAAACAAGATGTGAGGTACCTACTGCAAAATTAAACTCTTGGAAAAATCAGTATTTTTCCAGAGCGGCTACTCAGTTGTGTTTTCTCTGTGCGTCTTCAGTATTTCATAGTGTCTCAACAATAGTGGTTTTTTTACAGGTTGGAGACAGTCAGATTTACTGTGTGCTTTTGGTATAGGCTACAATTTTGTTGATCAGAGTCATAGACTGTATATAGAATGGACGCCGTCTGCCTCCTCGCTGGGTGAAGCTACTCCGAGAACAGCACCCTCTGGTGACTGGCTGCAGTATAGGTCATAAATCCTGCATCCTCCAACAATCCCTATAGAGCTGTGGACAAATTTTAGAAATTAATTACACAGAACATACCCGCTACTGCGCAAGTGGTGGAGTGCGTACAACACTACTATTCAATGTTGGTTTCAGGAAGTGGAGAGAAAACTCAGAAATACCGAGAGCTTTTTGGCTTTGAATCTGTATACTGGCGGATGGCGGAACCAAGTTGTCCATGGTATATACAGTCTATGATCAGAGTTCATGTCAACTGTCTGGGACATCTAATTTAAATCTGCAGCAAGTATACCATGTAACTTACTGCTTAAATAACACAGAATTGCCGTCCAATGGTTTCTTTACAAATAGTGCCAATCCAACAACTGCCATCAACTTGTAAGCTCCCCTAAGCATAAGAATGAGAAAGTCAAAGTATTTCAAACCCTGAAAACTACCCCTACTTTGGGATGAAATAGTAGATATATCTTGATTTTTAACCTCTAAAGGTCCACTTGTGCCACCTTGCTGACCAAAGAGTTTGCAATTTTGCATCATGAGCGTACCATGTGAGAGTTGCTGGTGTTAATATTCTTATTAAGTTCAAGAAAACAAAACAAATAAACAAACAAAAAAAAACTGTGATCATCAAAGTTTAATTATACAATAAACGCGAACCACTGTGATATGAAACTTGGGATTGCATAACCCCGTATTTTAGCCTTCCCCATCCTCCTGTAATGAATCTAAAGATAAACTTAGAGAAGAGATACCTAACCTTCCGGCAAACATTTAACACTTTAACCCAAACATATGGATTCAACAGTATCTAAATGTAGAGTTACTGATCCTTGTGGTGTAATGTGGTACTGATGCCCTCACTGCCCACCCCTGAGTTTTTATGGATAACCTCAGATTTACCAAAAAATGTAAACAAAACGTACATTTCTTTCATTTTAATACAAGAATCCACTCCCAGCCCCTGATACAACTTAAGTCTAAGTGAATGAGAGAAAATTAACAACCTGATTTTGGGTGAAACTTCAAATTACAGTCGTGTCTCTTTAGCAGAATTCACAGTAAAAAGCAATTGTCAAATACAAAATGAGACATACTGTGTTGAGTTTGATGCGTCACCATTATCCTGCAAAAGAGGAGACAGGCCGCGGCGAACAGATGCAGCTCCATGGTGATTGATTGATTTCTATCCACTCACATCAATAACCTTCACACCGCCTTAACACCTGCCAAAGTTGAACATGGGACATCATGTCAAAGTTTGCACGCAGTCATATCAGAATACAATCAGTGATGCATGCATAAAACACACCATGCTAGTTTAATAACAAACACATTCGAGCTAAAACTGCGCCAAATGCAAAGCCACTATGCCCAAAAAGGGTAGCGTTAGCAGGCCTGGATAACCTGCAGCCCAAATGCAGAAAGACTACGCCCTGCAGTGTCTAAGTGCTGCAGTAGACTGCAGAGCTCCCATCCTCTCCTCACTGCAGGTAAAAGGAGCAGCAGACACCCACGGACATGCTCATCTCACTCCAGCAAAAAACCGAAATGGCCATTTAAAATCATTTCCACTTACACGCTTACAGCTTATTTTCTCTAGTCTGCAGATGAGTCGTGTGGTCTTACCCCAGCCTGTGGTCGCCGTCCCAGGGCGGAGCTGAGCCCGTGTGTTGTTGATATGCGGCGCAGCTTCAGCAGCACAGCGCTGACTTCAGTGTAAAGCTATTCGATGCTCTGAATGCCCTCACTTGTGCACTCGCACTCTCAGACATCTGCTGTTAAACTCAAATGTTCCACAAGATCCCCACTTAACTCTTCCCATGACACGGAAAAGCAGCCAAGAAATTCAAGGGGATTTTTTCTACTCTTCCATGTATCAGGAAACAAAGTTACTCCACTGTCCAGAAAGGTCAAGCGCCCATAATGAAGGCTTTCATGGCTTATTTGCTTCATTTAAAATGGATGGGAACTGGAGATCAAGAGCAATCTCTGTGTTTGTGTCTCATCTTTCTGCAGCTACCATCCTCACAAAGAAAGTAGTTATTTTTGGGGGGCTATCATATCTCGTTGTTAAAGTAGGGTTCCCTCTGCAGGGCAACTTCTGGAAGCACCAGAACTAATATAATAAATATGGCAAACGACGCTTTGGTGACATCTTGCGTAAAAGAGGAGTGAGTGCAGGACGTTTTCTTATGTATTAAAAGGTTTGGGGGTTAGCTTTAATTATATTTTCAATTAACTTAAGGCCTTGCAAAGGGTTTAAGCTTCTAAAAGTTAACAAGAGTGACCTACACCCTTCTCCTGCTGTAGATTTTCCTGAGAAATAGCCGTAAAGTCCTGGAGATGTTCTTCCTTTTTTCCCTTCATTTATTGTACAAGAAGCTTCAGTAGAAAACACTTCATACAAATAGAGACAAAGTGCCAGGTTAATCCATTTAGTTGTTCATTGTGTCCAGATCATAGACTGTAGTATATACAGTCTATGGTCCAGATGTAGCCACAAAGCACGTCTGGTTGTGCTGCTTTGCCTGAGGCTTGATTTTGGCAACAGATGACAGTGTGCTAATGCAGTCTGAACACTATAGCTTGGGACAGAGGGACAAAAATATATATTTTATTTACACTAAACTGCTTAAAAAATGTGTATTATACTGTGATGTATCATACATTTTTCAGGGATCCACAATGATGAAAATTTTGCAGAAGAGCAAACTCTTTAACACTCTATCATTCATTCAGAAATAAAAGCTTTATTGCACTCTTTCAACAATTCTTTAAAAATGTTCTCTGTTACATTTAGATGAAAGAAAGACAGATATCTAATGCACACAGAAAAAGAATAAGGTTAGCCACATTCATTTGGCATCTGTCTGTAACCCACAGAAATGGTGGCCCTGCTTTTCCTCAGGGTGAGAAAATAGATTTTCCTAAAAACATGCCACACGAGGAACAGAAATGTTTACAGTTTGATCAAGAGAAACAACGATTTATTGAAAAGAAACAGTAAGATGAGTGGTAAACTTAAAGGGCAAATTACTGGAAAACTGTACAGCTGAGTGCTCTGAAATGTAGAAATCTTCAAAAAAGGATGGCATCGTTTGCTAATGCAACCCTTGTGTAGTATTATAGTGCAGATTTGTTTGTATTTTTTTAATTCAGTGTACATCACCAAGGGCGAATAGGTGAGGTCTCTGTTTTATCTGCAGTGTTTTAACAGCAGCATCCAGCAGAGGAGCAGCAGGAATCTTGGGCACAGAATCTCTAATGTAAACTTTTGGCAGGGATCACTAAACTACACCTGCTGTCTCTGCTCTAATAGAGGAAATGTAGGAGCCTTAAACCTCAAAAATATGCAGCCTGATATGTTTTATAATTCACAGTCCAAGCAGCAGATATCCCCAGTCTCATTAGTGGCTGTGCCTTTCAGAGAGTGCTACAGCGTCGGTTAGGGTCCTTTGAGACTGCTTCAGAATGAGAGTGTTCAGCAACTGTCCAGCAAAGACCTTGACAATATGGATGAGCAGTGTGCAGAGGATACAGAGGATACAATATATCCAGCTTTGTGGATTTAAAAATCCTGCTTACAATCAATGTGTTAGACAACATGATGCAGACTTTCCATAACCAAAGCCTTTTGTATTTACATCAATATGTTGCCATATACAGAAACAGTCAAAAAGGGCTGCTATGGTGTCTCTGTTCAGGCAGGTGACAGGGAAAATCAGTAACTACTACAACTGATTACTGGGATGTTTCAGGTATATCTCAGCAGATATCTCAGTCCTGAATCCTGAAACTATCCTCTGAGGTGGTACTGCTCCAAGTGTCCTGACAACCAAAAACAAAATGACTCCAGGAATAACAAAAGCTGTGCCATTTGAAGCCATGAACTTCTTTACATATGTTATCATCCATTCTATAATTCAGTTAGCTGCAAAGATACAAGCACTACCAGATGAGAAATGCCTCAGTCCTGCATGCACTTCCACATTAGAGTACCTCTACACCAAGCCAGCTAATGTCAGGCCATGTTTGTAATATGTTTCTCTTGGGATGAAGATGGTTTATCCACCACTTAAATTCAGACTACAAAGTCTCACAACAGCTGATTCAAGTACCAAAAAATGATGGAGGTGTCAAACGAGCTGAATGAAGATGAATTATGACCATGCTGATCCCTGGCCCCTTTCTCTCATGAAACAAAAATATGCATATAACTGTCCAAACAACTTAAAAATTGTGTGCCATAGTTACTCAGCAGTCTTAAATACTTGATTCTAATCGATCATGAAAGTTGTGATTAATTCTCAACAGCGAATAAGATGCTAGGAGTAACTTGATCACATACTTCATAACAAATTGATTTGTGGAATGTCAGGCACATACCTCTGCCGGTTGACACTGTGGCAAAAGGAAGCGTCGATTTAAGGCTGGTTGGGAGAGCTGGTGGAGAAGCTACAAGGCCCCAACCATCTCTGATAGGGGAAAAGTGGAGCAAGATCCTGTCCTGCAATCCAGGCAATGGCAGCAGAACTGGTGAGAGTTTCTCTTAGTTGTTGATTGTCACAAACTCATCTAAATCATACGCAGTACTAATAACAGTTAAGAGTGTGAAAGAATGCTGCTAATTTTTAAGAAAAGCTTCTGGTGTTGACTTGTTTTGGGGGACTATGACTTCATTAGAGCGGCGCATTTTGCTCTCATCTCAAGATTCAAGCTTCTGTTGTCAATGTCAGCTATATGTGAGTACAGTACATACACAGGGATCGAAAAGGATGTTTCTCTCCAGCCTCGGTACAAATACACAGAGAGTATAACTCAAAACCATTATTCAAATGTTGAAGCATGTTAGTGTCAGATACAATATTGATCCTGGATCATTTTCCAGGATGATCTCTGCCAGGTTGACCCTTGAAAAAAAAGCCGTCTTAGGGCTAAAATCCAATGATACACTTTAACTTTCTAATTTTAGCCAGCTTTATGGGATAAGAGACATGTATTGATGCTTTTTTCTGTTTAAATTTGATACTAAAGTGGTGATGATGGGATAACTGACACAGTCCGCAAACATCTTTTCTACTTCAGTGATCTTCTGTTAACGTCTGTCATATGTTAATCCCTCATGAAGATGTTAATAGATCTTTGTTTCATTAGCTGTTGTTAATCATCTGTTTATTTAGTTTCTAAATGTATTTATTCAAATTTATGTAGATGATAGAAGCTGAGAAACTGCTGACACCCACTGGACTGAAACACTGCATAAGGAAATGTAGAACAGCTGCTGAAGGGTCTCACCTAATGAAACCCTCATCATAATGTTTCCTTTTGTCCTCTTCACGCAGGGCATAACTTCACTCTCTCCATGTTTGTTTATTGACATGTGATCCTTTGTTCCTTGGTAAAACAGCAAGTAAAAATCAATAGAAAAGCCTTACACAATACTGAGAAATGTCCCCAAAGTCCAGTGGAGCAGCATTTTCTCCCCCCTTCTCTCTCCTCCTCCCCTCGTCTCCCTCTCTGTCCCCCTCCCTCTCTCCTCTGTTTCGTCTATAAGCCGACCTCTACTGTATCTACCCCTGGCATCACACTGCAGAGCTGTGAGGAAAGCTCAAACTGCATCAGACAAGGTGAGAGTGATTTATGTCCTGTGATTTACTGGATGTGTTCAAAATTTGGAGTGTGCTTTGGTGCACAATGATTTTCTTTGAGCCTCAATGGATTATTTGTTTTAACACTGGAGTCAGCACTAGAGCAAATATTTGAATGAAGGCGAGAGTGGGTTTGCATCAAGCAAACCAAACAGAGGTGAGCAGCTTTATGTGCTTTCTTTACATATTGAACACAAGACGGCAAACAATCTGCTCGTGTTCTCCAGGGAGATTAAGGGCAGAAATGTGTCAATGTTGGCAATTCACCAGAGAAGTTTGCAGTTTATGTCTTTGAGGCTGTATTGTTGTCTAGTATAATGGTACGGTGGCTTTTCTCCAGTAACCTCTGAGGGTTTGCAATGAGCTGCAGAAGTGTGGTATTCATGTCTTTGAAATCTGAGCCTGCTCTTTACAGCAGTGTCAGCTTTATTTGATTCAAACCTCAATATTGTAAAGACGTGAATGACAAATGAATGAAGCTGCTGTGTGGTTGTGGCGTATAGTAAGTGCCTTGAGATTATGTCTTCTGAATGAATATTCTTTCTTTTCTATTTTGCAGGAAAGTTTGGAAAATGTTCTTTTTTACCACAATTTTGCTCTTTGGTAAGAAAATTTATAGTTTTCATGATCAACTGAGAAAATTTCCTCTTTGTTCGCTTGCTTCCTCTCTCAATATGATTGTCTCTCACTTTGTGGACCACTAATCACTCTACAATTTTGTATTTCTAATGGGTTGAGGGAGCATCTAATTCTTTTTGTCATACTTTGTGTAGGCTTAGCATCAGCCCAGAAAATCATTCAGTTATCCTACTGCTCTTTGGATGAACACAACCTCAGGATGGACTGCAAATATGCGCTTCCCGCTGAGTCACCAGAACCGTTCTGCAAGTATACCCATGGTGAACGACTCTTTGACACCACGGACCCAGACGAGGAGCAGCATGCCCCCTTCAGGAAGCGCGCCAAAGCCCGCATCTTCCCAGGCAATATCTGTCGCCTGCTGTTTAAAGGCCTACCCAATGGCAGGTCCAACTTCACCTGCAACATCAAATATGCTGACTCAGTGATCGCGACCAAAACCTCAGTGGTGGACAAAAGTAAGCTACATGTGTTCGAGTCAAGTCTGCATTACAGCTATGCATATCCTTTTGTTTTACTTGCAAATGAAAGTGTTTGATTGACCGCCGAGCTAAATGCTCCTCCTTCTGAACCTGCATTATTGTTCTTATTGCAGAGCTCCTCCTCCCCTGCTCAGCGTGGAGTGTCCTGTTTCAGAGCTGCAGTGGCCTACTGCTGACCTTGATGACACTTCCAATGCTGCTGGAAATTCACTGGCTGTGAACAAGGCATCAAACTGCTGCATATGTTAACGCTGCACCCATAATTACCTGGTGACTGCTGTTGGACTCTCTCTTGAAGTTGTGTGTATGCACAAAGTGCAATAAGTTAAACCACATCTACGTACAGTATATACCTGATATGTCACAGGCCTGCTTACTCTGCATATGTCTGCACTCAATACTAAGCACATGTACTTATGCATAGCCTTTATACTCTACAATACTCTCACAAAGAAACAGCTGTTCAGCTGTACAGCAGAAATCTGTATGATCCGAGTTTGTTTCTGGCAGATCTGCCAAAGAGAGTGATGAGTGAAAAACATGAATCTGACTTACAGGTACTCTGAGTGGAGATGTATATTTTGTTTGGTTCAATATCTACAATCAGTAGTTTTTGTGACTGTATCCAAATATCTTGAAAACAAGATATGCAGGTGAACTAACAATAAGGATGGTAGATGAATTACATTATATAGAGGGATAAAGGCTGCTGCTCCTGAGCCATCTGGTGATTTAAATTATCCCTGCTCAAAAGTGATGTAAAGTTTTACACTGCAATGTGACATTAATGCTGAGTTTCATCACTCTTTAAAGAAGGCAATCTATTTTGCCTGACTGAAATGCGTCCCCCGTGTCTCTTCTTGGCTGCCAAATGAAGAGGGCAGATAGAGGAGACCTTGTGCCTCACAGGCCCTCCAGTGGAAGATTGTGTTGTACCTGTCGATAAGAACTGGGAAGGGCATCAGCGATAGTTTTGGCAGGGATTCACTGAATGAAATGGAGAGAAACTAAAACTTTCAAACAGGTTTTGACCAATGTATGCATGAGCAATAATGTCTGTATTTTACTTTAGTCTATTGTGAGGGGACAATGTACAATGTCCCTAAACTCTTATGACGAAGGAAACCAAAAGTTTTTTATTTGCCTTTCACTTGTGCCTGAGACACATGATCCATGTCGAGCTGAAGCTTGTTGTCACAAAAACACAGTAAGCCTCTGAATGTTAAAGTTTATGTAGATTCACACTAAAGGTTTTGTTAAAAGATTTACACAAAATATGCTTTATATGGTACGCTGATCTCTCTGGTCATTATGTAAAGAATTTTTACTCACATATGTAGTTGAGTAGGTGGTATGTAGCCAAAGCACAATCATTTAATTGCACTGAAGAGCACTGCTGTACTATGTACTGTATTATGACAATAAACAAAACTGAAACTTATGATATTAATAAAAACAATCCTCAATACATGGAACTTTCTGCCAAAATCAAATCAAATGTGTTTATGCATGACCATTTGCATGCAGTTGCACTGTTACTGGTATGAAAAGTACTGAAGGTGCAGTGATTGCCCTGCAGAGGGCAGCACTGCATCAACCAGATTGTACCTGAAAGTGTGACAAAAATGACGATAACGATAGAAAGGTCTATAGTCATGGGGAAGCGGAAAAAACACAAAGGGAGTGTCTTGTGTGAGTAGGTTTTGTACAGGATTTATGTATGAAAATTAGTAATACTCAGCCTTTTATAACTTGTATGCCACAACATGTATTTTCACAAATGAATTAAAAAGAGAATATAAATATACTAAATCTTGCCTGGGTATTTTCAACACTTATAAAATGAGAGAAAAAGAGGACAAATTAATTGCATAATAGGGCAACGTAATATACTGTTGCATTCACTATGGCAGATATTCAGCAGCAATGTAAAAGACAGTAAATCCATTGTAACTATGTTTACCTGAGGCACTAATATGAAAAATGTACTCTGCTAGCAGCCACAGTATCTGTGTTGAATTGTGCTTTAATACATTTCCAGAGAGCAGCTGTACATTTAAATAATGTACAGTGGTTTAAATTCCTGGAAGAATTAAATTTTTTATTTAAGTTAGAATAAATGTAAATATTGAATTGTACCACGAGGAAGCTTGGTATTATCCCCAAGTTATTGTTATATTACATTTCATAACATTTAACCATGATAGTAGGGGAGAGTGGGGTAAGATGAGCCACTTTCATATTTCAGATCACTACATCAAGGCAATCATACTTTTGTCTCTAACTAGTGTATCTGCATATTTTCAAGATGTTGTGCATCCCTGCAAACCAACAGAATGAGTGTGAACACAACTGTCTTGATAATATAGCATGCCAAAAAAAGTGGTCTCCTATGGCCAACTTACCCCATGTATGGAGTAAGTTGACCATAGGAGCGGGGTAAGTTGAGCCGAATCACTTCTTCACATTCATGTGTATTTTTATCTATTATATGCTATTCAACTGGTACAATAATTATTTTTTATTATTATTGCATATAACTGCTAAAAAGCTGTTTTGTAAAAAGACATTTTAACATGAGAATGCCTTTAAGTGATTCAGAACATTCACAGATGTATTTTTGAAAAGAAAAAGTAACACATTTCAATAATCTGAACTGAAACTCTGATCCTCTCATCAGAGTCACATTTCATAATAGTCCTCTAAGCTAAAATGGTGGACTATTATGTTAGGTTTTTGATCTCATGTTATAGTTCAAAGATACCACAATTGATGTATAAAACATATTTAAAATGATCTTTTTTGGTCTGAACACAATTCTAACAAAACTCATGACAGAATAAATTCACTTTCAAGAGTGAAAAATGTATTTTTTTAGATAAATATCTAAACCCCTTTTCCCATGTGCTTATAACCTTCACAGACTCCTATATTGATGCCCATCTCCTAAATATTTGGTCACATGATCAATTTCTTTTACCATTTCCAGGCAACAGGGGGTGGCTCAACTTACCCCACTCTCCCCTATCCTTTGTCATATTTATTTTAAAGGAATTAATGGCATTTATTTTCCATTACTGAGTCAAGACTGTAGTCATTTCAAAATGTAGTGGTTGTTGCATTACGGTTTCACTTCTGCTGTGATGTCAGTAATGACTAATACAGAAATATAGATAAAGGCGATAAAACATCTCGCGAAATCGTTCAGCTGTATCTTATCTTGAGTGAAAGAAGGACTAAACCCAACTTCTCAGTCAGATTTTACAGCTAAGTGGTCAGTGACTTGGCCCAGCTGTTTTTTTTTTCTGTTATTTTATTAGCTTAGCCTACTTTGAGTCTGGCTAATATACAACTTGCTTGCTCCACCTCCTCTCGTCTTTCCTGAATGTGAATGCGCTTTCTCTTGACCTAACCTGTTTTTCCACTCTGTCGTCACTGCGGCACCTGAGAGGATCCACTTACCGGAAGTGAAAGGTTGTTGTCACCTGGGCGGACTCCTCAGGTGAGGCCTCGCAGTTATTGCAGACAGAAACATCGATACAACGAACAAAAAGTTGGGAATATTGTTCTGTCTTTGTGAGAAACCTTTCTGTTCATCTTTTTTGTGTATAGTGAAGAAGGAAAGTAGTCGTGTCTGAAGAGAAGGACCAAACTTATCGGTATGTCTCTCGGCGGGCTGGTTTCGGTGGCTTTGTTCCTCCTCGCAGCTACAGGTGAGTGATCGTAGATCTACGTTATTTTTTGGTTTGAGACCAGTAACCGTCCATTTAGTCCCATTTATCCACAAACTCACCAACAAAAACACGAATATCTTCAAACAATGAGTTAAATAAACAGTTACGTTGTTGTTATTCATCCTCAAATAACCCCAGGCCTGGTCCCGTGTTGGCCTAGTCAGCAATTGTTATGTTGGTCTGATTTTAGGAGGTGAGTAAGAAGAAAAAAGTAGTTTTTTCACTTTTGAAGAAAGAAAGATGTTGCAGGATATGTTGCAATTCTGTTTGAATACGAAATAACAGCAATACAAGTTCAGGAGTTGGAAGTCCAGGCCCAAAGCAGCTGTTATAGCCATAAAAATGTGGAGGTGTGTTGAGATGAGGTTTAAAGTTTCTTCCTTTTTTTGATAAAAAAATAACTCAATCAAGTTTGTTTATAGAGCACTTGAAATACAATCAAGCTCATACAAAGTGCTGTACATAATAACATAAAAAACATACAACAACAATAAATATTTGTTTTAAAATATAATAAATAGCCATAAAAAAGTTAGTAAAATAGTTTTGGGAATACCTGTTATTGTAGTGTCTTTTTACAAAAAGTGATTTTACAACCATGCTTATGAACGTTAAACTGAGACAACAAGATAAGTAATGATCACTCACAAGATTTAAAAAGGATTGATTATTTTTCTCATGTGATTTCTAACCTCTTTAGGAAGAATCTTTCAAAATTCTGTGGTCAAGCAGGACTCTTTCTTTCATTTTGCATGTTATCGTATAACTGTAATAGATGTTTGTCTGTTACACAAGTAAACTTAACCTAAATGTGTGAACCACAAATCCAGCTGCTGGTCCCGGGGAAAGGTATAAGATCATAAACTTGTAGCATGGGATCTGCAAATTCAGATTCCTACAACATGTGCGAATTGAATTTGTAAACCTGCAATTTAGTACAGCTTCTCTGTACCAAAATATCACTCACACATTTCATTGGGGTGTCAGCGTTGTGGGGTTGTGTTGGTAGGGTTTTAAAACAGAGTAGTTCTTCTAGATTTGTTTTGATTATAGTAATTATTCCTCCAGCTGCTCCCCGGGCTGGTCAATGCTTTGCTCTGCTGTAAATCTCATCAGTGCACCTGCAGCACAGTCTGCTTTATGGAGGAGCTTTAAGGCATATCGCTTTGAATCTGTTGCTGTGAGTAGAAACATTTACAACACACTGGTTTTCTCCAGCACTCTGACCTGCAGATACTCCCTCTTTTTTAACCTCGTAGGATTTTTATCATTACCCCAACCCTGAAACTTGCCAAGTATGCAAACAAAGGAGTCATGCAGAGCTCCGGTTTCATTTTACACCAGAGGCTTATCTCACCAAACCAAAACTGTGACTGTGCTGCCTTATCTCTGCCAAGATGCCCGTGAGAAATATCTGCAGGGTGTCATGGAATAACATTAAAGTATCTACAAAGACAACGTGGAAACTTTGATTAATGAGAGTACAATATTAGCACACAGCCTCAATTTAAGTCTTGCCTGAAGTTTAGTTTAAATTTAGCATTAAGTCAATGATTAACTGGCCTTTGCTGCTTATCTGTGAAGCTGAAGCTCCTCTGAATAACACAAGTCTACCAGACAATAAGTAATTACACAAATCCTAACACACCCAATAATTAAAGTAATGGCAGTGGAGTAATGTAACACAAAAAAGATGCACACATGATATGTCAGACACTTTATAACGTAGGCGCATGTTTATTTTGTATGGTAGTAGAGTGCTGCGCCTGAAAAGACCCAGTATCTACTTCAGTGTTGACAGTTTCACCGGAAGTTTTCTGGCTCAGTCGTCAGGAATGAGACACTTTTATGTTGTGGTCACACCCTGAAGGCTTGTGAGCATGCTCAGAGAGTTTGAGATGGTATGTGTGCTTCAGTATTGACTGCTATTTTTTTTTAAAATCTGATTTAGCATGGCATTTTATAAAGTATGTCTTTCAAAGATACAGTTAAAAATAGAGATAGAGGGAGTTGGATGTATGAAAGTATCCTTTCATTCATTAATAATACAACCATAGGCATTCTAACCAATAAAGCTGATTAAGATTAAATTGTGCACTAAAATTTTGCTTGAAAATGGGTTAAAGTTATTAATCCTATTTCACTTATGACCCCACTTTTATAAAAGTTAAATTTACGTGAAAACAGCTAAAAGACAACATATGTGTTGAAACAAGAGTCTTTATGGTTTTATAAAAAAGTAATGCTTAATTCTAATTTGATGCAAGCAACACGTTTCAACAAGGCTGGGATGGAGACTACAAAAATGTGAAAGAGTTGTGTAATTCAGACAAAAACACCTGGAGGGACCTCTTCAGAAAAATGAGTTTAATTTGTAACAGGTTAGTGACGTAACTGTGTGTGCAGGAGCGTCACAGAGAGGCCCAGTGTCTCAGAAGTAAAGATGGGAAGAGGTTCATCAATTTGTGAGAGGCTGTGTGAAATTGGTTAAACAATTTCAGACAACTTGTTCCACAACATAAAATAGTGTAGTGAGGCGATACTTTTCTGAACTGTTTTTGACCAAAACCCCACAAGAAGGGAGATCTACATGTGGTCTCCAATACAAGTCTTTAACAAGTTATCCAGGGGACTCTCATTAGGTCCCAAGAGATCAGACAATATAGGCCTTTCATACTTAAATTCAGGTAAGACTTCCTACCATATGGAGACAAGGACCAACATCTAGACTCTAAAATCTAGATTCAAATCATAACTTATTGGATGAGACACCTGTTACCCTGTTCTTTTGGTGCAAACAGAAGAACTACAAAGGGTGTAATGTGGATGTTTGATGGACTGTACAATATGATTTTCTGTCCATGCATAACATTTGCAGTAAAATGGTCTTTATCTCATCCTTCCAGGTAGCCCAGTAGCCGAGAAATTAATGTGACAGATTAAATCCAGAGTTTATGTACTTTCCAGAGTTAAAATAATTGAATATGAATCATAACCTACGTGACAGAAATAGTTTAGAAATTTTTGGTTCATATTTTGATCATTTGAACACAAACCGCCGCATTTGTGGTTTTAAAGACTGCAGAACTGTATCTGCTGTTGAGGGATTTGTCCCTTTGACTCTCGTTCCTGTGAAGGATTTCATTGAACCAATCCGCTCATGAGGAGACGGTGTAAAGCTCTGGCTGTGTTTGAGGGTACAGATGCTGTCTGCCCTGAGATGTTAACCCTTTGTTTTCAGGGGAGAGACTGACTCATTAAAAGATAAGGTCTTAAAAGATAAGGTCCTTTTAAGGGGGCAGAGCCAAAAGCCCCTTCCTATGACCTCCTGTGACTCCAAACTTCTCCAAGTTCTTAGTTCAGTTACTTGTGTTGAGCCCAACTCTACACTGCCCTGTATGGGGGTTTTTGGTATTGAGCTGACACTTTTATTATCTACCAACTGCACAGTCTCTCTGTATCTTATACTTTTCTCTCCATTAGATATCCAACCAAACAGACTCTTTCTCTTTATGAGGTACTGATAAAGTAGGTCAGTCAGTTTTTACTTTAAGTAAAACCCATAAACCAATCACCTGCATTTCTTAACCGTAACCAAACATGCCTGACACAAGAGAATCCAGTCAGAGAGACCCCCTGAAGGACAAGCCCACAGTGTTGGCAAACATGACCAGTCAGCTGACACATGACTAAAATTCAAAAAGCGAAACCTTCGAATCTAGAGGATGCAGTGGCTGGCCTACTTGAAACAAGCTTAGCCTTGACACTTGAAGACAAAGAGCTCACTCGACGCATGTCCGTCATGATTTCATCTCAGCTCGAGTGTAAAGACTACCTGTCTGTCAAAATGAAGGCGCAAAGAGAGTGTTGTCAAATGAAGAGGTGATGCATGATGGGAAACATGCCCCTGTCCCAACTTCTTATAAAACGTGTTACTGTTATCAATTTATTCACTAAACATTAATATTTTTCAACTTTAATGTGTTATATTTCTACTATTTTTTAATTTGGCTAAGAGTTTAAATATTTGCAAATCATCAAATTCTGTTTTATAAACATTTTACACAACTTCCTTTTTTTGAATGGGGGTTTTATTTTTTGATGATGTCATGGATCACTTTATCAAGACATTAGACAAATATTAAAACAGCCTGTTGCAGGTACTCAATGACCTGACGGATGCATTTAGATCATTTTATATGTCAGAGAGTGCAAACAAAAACACCTGTCATCTACTGTAAAATAACAAGGATAATAAATTTTATTTATAATTTGCTTTTACAGGTGCTCAAAGACGCCTTACAAAGAAATAAAATAAAATAAAATAAAAAGGACAATTTAAAATACCAAAAATTTTGAGAAATAAAACCAACAATGTAAAAGTTTAAAAGAGACAGATTATGAAAAGACAATAAAAGAACAGTTCACAAGTTAAAAGACAAATATTTTTTTTTTTTTTTTTTTGGTTTGGGAAGTGATTTCCAGAGGGTGGGGGCAACAGCGGAGAAGGATCTGTCCCCCCAAGTTCGGTGAAAATCTGGGAAATTTAGTCCGTTTTTGTATCGTTAGAAGAAGAGCCAGATATGTGGTCATTTCAATGTGATACAAATAAATGTAATCTCATTCAGTGTTTTAAACAAACAGATGAAAACACATGTAGTGTCTGGTTCCTGAATTAGTCTCTTCCATGTAGTTATGATAAAATGACTCTATTTTCCAGGCTGACAGAGCGCTCATCTCTCATGTTTTTCCCTAAAGACAAAAGTGTGGAGCTGATGCTTATCTCAATCTGAACTGAATCATCTCAGCTGCAGTTTTTCCAGCCCTCAAATCTCCTGCAGCTTCTTCTGTTCATCTTTATAAATGTTACAACAGAGAAGGCTTTTATCTCTCCTTACAGCCGGTGCTGGCTGCACATGAGGGAAATGAAAATATATATTTATATATCCAAGCCTTCATATTCTCTTAAAACTACATTTATGTCGAATGTTTTTTTCCCCAGTTGCGGAGTACTTATTTATCATTAATATTGTAATATGTCTTAAATTTTGAAATGTCAGTGAGTACAGCTTGACTCAATTATGATTGAGCAACACCCACATAGAAGATTCTCTGGCCAGTCATTTGACGATTGCTTCCACCCAGACTGAGTGAAACCGCAGTCGTGAAGGCTGCTGAGTCTTACATGTTTACTTCTTCTTTTTAACATCTAACACGTACGTCTCAAAATGCGATATAAGATCCTGAGAACTTCGGTGACTAATTTGGTAACACGACTAGTGTTTAAAAAAAGTTTAACAAGTCAAGCTTTGCTCGCACTGTAATACTTCCCCTCTGTTTGCTGTCTCTGCTATTTTTGTGCGGATCCTGTAATGTCTCTCCAGGATCAGTAGCAGCCTATTATGTACGACTTTGAAACCTAATTTTTTTGTTTTATTATATTTTTTGTGTCCAGGTGTGGGTGGCTTTTCAGTCACTACCAGTAACGCAGATGTGCGAGTGAAGGAGAATGTGGGTAAGTCTCAACCATCATGAATAAATGTAATAGAGAGGAGACGCTAGAAATGGATAAATATTTTATTGCTGACTTTTTTCAAAGTATGAACACAAATAAAGATAGAACTACTGAGGTAAGGTTGTCCTGTCTCTTCTGTAGTTATTGGTTAGTGTTAGATTTCGTCTCTTGATGTGTTAAGGCGTATAAGGCGAGTCTACTCATCGACTGACGTCAAACTTAACCAGAAAGAGAAATACTGTATAATTTACTTCGCTTTTTTCTTTTTCACCACTTCCTTAAAGTTCAACAACTAAGAGGACAAATAACTAGACAAGCTGTATTTCCAGTTCAGCAACATTTTCACCAATCATTACTTTGACAGTCAATGTAAACTTTAAACCACTTCCCAGTTACAGAGATAGAATAAAAGCAGAAAATTCTTTTAAGTTCATTTTATCTAGCTTTCACCTGAGTCTGCAGAAGTCTTATGGTACAGTACAAATGGCTGATTTGTATGATGGCGTTGGTTCCTAAAAGTAATCAAATACAGGACTTTACCTTGCTGTATGGCTGGGTGTCTCTCTGGATGTGAACAAATCAGTGCAGCCTCAGCAAACATTTTTGGTGTTTTCATGTAGCGTGTTTTCATGTGGGGAACAAATACTTGTGATTTGGACTTAAGAGTTAGATTTATTTTTTGACCTAAAGAAACATGCAGTGATGTCTACATATAAAATTCTTTGAAAAGAAAAGTAAAATTATTCATGTAAGAGAGTGCTCTTCTATTATTAATTATAAACCCTTTGGTTTCAGGGACCGATCTCACGTGCTCTTATTCAGGTGACTTCGGTTCGAATGCCAGAGTTGAGTGGAAGTTTAAGGACCTGAAAGGCTCTCAGGTGTATGTGGTGTATGGTGGGAAAGCAACAGGTAAAAAGCTTCACAATCTTTGTGTGTGTGTCTGTTTCAACAAGTTGTTGAATGTTTTGGGGCACTTTTGTCTTTTAAACAACTTTTGATCTTATTTGTTGGTCTGTCCATCTGCTTTTCAGTTGGATTTAAAACAACTTCATGGAAAAATTGATGAAAAGTCTGTTGGGGTTAACTCAGAGTGTGACATAGACTTAATGAAAAATGTCATCTGTTTTGCTCGTTGCTCTTGAGCTACAGTAATGAAGTCAAAATTTATATATTAAGTATTTCTTCCTTGGCTAACAGATTATAATACATGATAATGAACTTCACAAGAAAGAATTATTTAAAAAAAAAAAAAAAAGGACCATTTATTCTGGGCGGCTTGAAGTGTTCTGACCAAATCTCAAGTATTTTAAAGGCTCATTTATGCTGCCTGTACATTTGAAAAAGGCTAGGTATGGTTAATGCGATATAGCCGTCACTACCAGCACACTCCTACAACTCATTTACATTCGAATGGAGGTGAATGGTATGTACACCAGAGGGCTCTTAAACAAACTGGTATAGTTTGGACTCCCATCTCTCCTCCACTACACTGTAACAGACATTCGGTTTGTGTACCATCCTGCCCAGCTGTTCTGTTGTAGTCGTCAGTTCCTATACTCGTGCAAGCTAAAATAATCAACTTCCTTAATCCGGTTGTTTCTAGCCAACCTGCACAATCTTCACTCAAAAAGACACCTCAGATGTAATGGTGCTTATTTGGTTTGAACTGTTTGCCACACTGCTTGACACTGCCCCTTAGGTTTTTTGTTGGTACTGCAGCATTTGGTCATTTGGCATTTGCTTCTGTTTGCTCCTTCAGAGGTTAAAAAAATATGGGGATATGTGCTTTCTGAGCTTTTTTGTATTTGTCGTGTAATGCTACAATTTTCCCTCAGAATCGTATGCCAATCGAGTGACAATGTACAACAGCAATCTAAGATTCACAACCACAACCCGTCGTGATAATGGAGTGTACGACTGTGAGGTGTCTGGAAACGGGCAGTTTGGGGAAGTCCGAGTGAAGCTGACCGTTCTTGGTAAGGATTGGTTGCTTAGTCTCATATACTCATCTTTACTTTTATTACCCACCCAGACTCTGTCCACTACAGTAATATCACCTATGATCTGATGTTAAAAGTTGATGTTTAAGTACCTAAATAAAGGTTGTAAAATACTCCACATGCTAACTGACTGTTATGTCTTGCAGTGCCTCCCTCTGCCCCCTTGTGCAGGATCCCCTCTTCAGTAACAACAGGCAGGACAACCCTTTTGTCCTGCCATGATGCCGATGGTTCCCCACCCCCTAAATACAGGTGGTACAAAAACAACGTTCTCCTGCCCCCTGAACCTAGCAAGATCGCCAACTTCAAAAACGCGACCTACAGGATCAATGTTGACAACGGCAACCTGGTCAGCTACAAGCTATTACTATCATCTCCTATTTCCTTGTGGAATCTAAAGCCTTCAGATTTCACATCAAACTCTGTCTTCTTCCTCAGGAATTTTCCAGAACAGCAAAGGCAGACTCGGGTCAGTACTACTGTGAGGCTGTCAATGAAGCTGGGCCTGCTCAGCGCTGCAAAGGAGCAAAAATGGAAGTCCGTAAGTGCTTTTTTTTTCCTTAATGGAAAAACCCCGGAGGCTGAGCTGCTTTCTTTGTTGCCCCAGGGAATCAAACACAGTAAATGACAGACGGTTTGTTTAAGTATCCTGTGGATTTCAAACCACTTTGAGCTGATAGAGTATGCCACCCATCTTTTTCAAGGACTATAGACTGGTTAGTGTTCACTATTAGAATACACCCTTTGGTTTTATTATCCCTCATATTATCAAGATACTCTGAATTTTTGAGGAAAAGATTTAGTGAATCTTTTGCAATGTTTTAAACTTACTGCATCCTGGTGTTTAGATGTACTCAAGCTAATGAGCTTCAATGTGATTTTTTTTTTTAAGGTGATCTCAACACTGGAGGGATTGTTGCTGGAGTTATTGTGGGCCTGCTGTTAGTGGCTCTGCTGATTTTTGGTCTTTGGTACGCCAACAAGAAAGGATACCTACCCAGTGAGTTTTCAGGAATTTTATGTAAAATCCTAAATGTGAAGGCTGATCTTTTTGTTGATCATTGTTGTAACATGTCGCTGATCTGAATGGCAGCACAAGGGAAAGAGTTTGGAGTGGGGTGCTGATGGAAAAGTTGCAAATGAAGGGTTTCTTAATTTAAATATATAACTACTTGGAACAAAATCCCTTTACTCTTGGTCATACAATGGAAGAACAAAAAGCTTGTGCAGTCACATCCTTTATAGATTCACTATCAACAAGAGAATACACCTAAAAATCCAAGTTTATCTACAAGGTCAAAGACAAGAGATCAAAAGAACAGCCAGTTTTAATTCAAATAATGTGGCTGTATGCATTACTGGCATTCAAAAGTCATGACATGAAGAAGATTCAGCGTTAACTTATGATAATAAGAACAAAATAATTTTTATCACAGTTTGGTAATTATTTAGGATCCCCTTTTTCTGGGATGTCCCTCTGGCTTGTACCCATACATAAATAATGTTCACATTTTGTGCCCTCTTTTTTTTTTCAGCTTGCAAAATTTAAAGGTGTCCAGCTGTGCTGAAAACAAGTCCCTTTAAATCTCTTTTATTTCTAATTCTTAAATAATCCTAAAGCTCAATGTCTAAGATTTAGGTGAAAATTTGATCAGCCAAAGTGAATGAATAAGAGAGGCTGTCACAAACACTGCAGTACAATACCATCACAGGCAGCTTCATAAAAAAGGCAGACTGTTGCACATCATTTGCATTTCTGTAAGTACTTCATCTTACTGATGTTTCTTTTCTTCTGTTCACAGAGAAGAGAGAAAGGTAAGATTTTTTTATGCTCTGTAATGGATTTAAGTAGATAATCCACAGATTTATATGCTGTTCAGACTGACTTCACACCATTTTCTCTGTGAATGTTGCCTTCAGATTACATGTATAAACTAGTCTCAACCCATTTTGACATGTTTGACTGATTCTCCCTGCAGCAAACCAAAGCCCAGTGTGGTGTACCAGCCTACAACGATGTATGGCGGCGGCGATGATGATGATGTAAGTATGGCCTGACTTTTCAAGTTTAAGGCAGTTGTGTTGTTTTTCTCACGCTCCTGTAATACAAGAATAAAATGTGTGTCTATAATCTATATTTGTCGAGTTTTTACTCGTAGGAATATGCTTCAGTTCTGATATTTGATGTTTTTGTTTTTTAGGGGGAATTCAAACAGAAGTCATCATTTGTGGTATAGTCTGAATCAAACACCCACGACAGAAGAACACCTCGGTTTTAAGTGTCTGCCAGCGCTGGATTTTCCTCAAGTTCTCAGGAACGTCGGCTTTTAAATTTGATGTCAAGATGCAGTTTTCTTTTTATTGACCAGTGTGATTGTATGAGTTTGAACTGCGTGCTTTAGTGTTTTCATATGCATTGACTTGTGCTCCAAGGTAACATGAAATGACTTAATATTAACAGGTAGAAGACCTCTTATTTTCTTTTGAGATCAGATATTTTTACTTAAATGTTAGTATTGTGTGTGTTGTGTGCATCCCATTTTCTGTTCTTTTTAAGAACACCTTTTTTTAAACATGTTTTAATGATACCACTCATTGTGAACATATCAAATCCATGTTAGTTTCTTATTTAAGTGGACACATGAAGTACTATAGACACAACTATCCACTGAAAAGGCTATGGTTTTGATAAAAAAAAAAGTTAGTCAGATTTTTTTTTATCCTATCTTAGTTTGAAATAATGATAGCTCCTGAATAACCCAGCTGAGTGGCTAGCAATCTGTTGTTTTACTGTTTTCAGCTAACAAATACCTTTTTGTACAGTACTCTCTCTAACAAGTTTGTCACTTTTCTCCTTGTAAATAAAACAATTTTACATCTAAAATTTAGAAATAAATTGACACTGTTTCTAAGATTTCTAAGGCTCACATTGTCTCTGTCATACCCTTTTCTTGTGATGATATTTCAGTTTTTCAAAACATGTTTATGACCTTTTTAACTGCCTTAACAAAACTGAAACATGGTCAAAGGGCAAAGTTTTTGCTTCCATTCGAAGACAACAGGTATCGGCTGTGTTGCTTCTTTACATGAATAAGCTGTAAAAGAATGAAAACATATTAAACAAGCTTTTTTAAGGACTACTGTCATGTTTATAACGCCCCATTTAACTTAAAGACAAGCCGGACTATTATGTTTGTTATAAGAGCAGTTTTGCAGTCTTTCTCTGGACACTATAATGACATTTATACTGACACTAATAGGTATGTTTTTACATTTCTCTGCTTGACTACCCCAATACATTCTTGCTATGCCTACAGTATCGGTGCTGATAAGTGTATTGAAATGTACAACCTACAATAATAAGTGAAGTTCACACACACATTGAGCTGTTTCTAAATAAAATCATAGCACTTGCATGTGAAGTACTAAAACACATGACCTAATGTAGCTGTTGGGCAATTGTCGGCTAACATGAAACCCTAATCTTGTTCTTTGCCAGACTACAGTCAATAAAACAATGTTTTGGCCTTGTTGCATCTAAGAACAGACACCCGGTTACCTTCTGTTAATGTAGATTTATTATGTCTGTTTTTAACTGGGACTGTGGTATGCAGTTTGAATGAAATAACTCATGTTGCACTAGCAAGTCAAAGTCAAATTTCTACTTTTTATTTGCAAAATATAGGCTTTAAGTGTTTCCTTATCTGTACAGGCTTCTGAACTAAACAACATTAAACCTTAAAAAAACATTTTTGGGGTTCGGGGGGTTAAAAGTGGTCGTCAGTTGCTATGACAACTGATAATGGCTTGCGTCTGTCCCTGTCATGCACTGCGCATGCGGGGAATGTCAACACCCACTTACGTTGACAGGAAGTGTGACCAACTTTTTCCACCAGCTAGCCCCAAGTCGACTCTAGTTTTCCTCTCTGCCTCTCTCATGTGATTAAAAATATGCTCAAGTGTCAGAACAGCACGGCTAACCGAGCAGTGGGTGTTACTTTCAGTTTAACCCGTGTTTCTCAGAGATTTCCTGTCCTCTCCCCGCGAGTGTACTGTCTCTTTAAAAGTAAACGGGCCGCGCGCGCAGTGAGAGCCGCAGCCGTCCACGGGCTGAGCCTCGGCTGCGCTCACTCGGGATCCATTCATAAATAAGACATCGTTTGGAGAGGATGCGCATGTAATCGCGTCTGATGTTTTTTTAAGACTTGGCGGACCGGATGCGAGGAGCACAGAGGAACCAGACATGTTCACCTCGGTCGGGGGACTGTGAATCAGGGGCACGACTGAGAGATCAGGAGTGACTTCCCATGGCTGACCCTCCTGCTGATGGTTTTGACTTCATGTGCGAGCCGTCAGGAGGCAGCTTGATCCAGATCACAGCGTTCGTCCAGCCCAGAAAAATGCTCGTTTCGTCGCAGGGTTTGTTGTTTTGCTCTCCGAGTTTCCGCTTGACACGAGAAGTCATGTTTTAAAAGTCTACGGCTTCGATTCTACTTTCAGCTACACTTTTAGTTATTTAATAAATGATCGTCTATCAGAGGAGCCGAGGAGCTCACACACCGATGGAGCAGTGAGTATGGCAGCTAAAGAGGAACTGTATGCCAAAGTGACCCCGCGGAGGCAGCGCCAGACCCGGCCGAGCACCGTCAAACATGGGTCCACTCTGGACATACTGCTGTCTATGGGCTTCCCCAAGACCAGGGCGTGAGTACACAGCTGCACTGTCCCAGGACACACACACACACACACACACACACACACACACACACACACACACACACACACACACACACACACACACACACACACACACACACACAGCATTAACCAGGTTAAGAGGCGTCCCAGCAGCACCACTGACAAACTCTCTGTGGACACAAACTTAAATGCCTCTTCATCTGCTCATCTTAACTTTGGTGCAAACTCTAGTTTTCTGCTCAATGATTTTACTAAACTCAAAGTCCCTCAGGTTGCCCAAGGTGTGGTTTCCTTCAGTTTTTGCTCTTGTTTGTGTGAAAGAAAAGAGTAAGATGTGGTAATAAAAATAAAAACGAAAGTTAGATGTTAGTCTGTAGAGACCCTTGAACCATTACAATGTTCATACACTTTTTTATAAGTAGACCTCCTATGCTCAGGAGTATTTTCTGATAAAACAACATTACCTCTGACTTATATGGAATATGCATTTAAAGTATATAAATATGCAGGCTATTTTATAATTTTTATCATTCCTGCTGTGTGTAATGTTGGAGATAAAGAGCTTTAACCCTTCCTAACAAGTGCTTTGATAGTTTTATCTCTAATGTAATCTCTTGAACAATACAGCACATTTTATGTACTTATTATGTATTTGTAAATCTTTGTCTGTTAGATAAGAAATAAATGCAGCCTGTAAAAAAGTACACAAACATGAAGCACATGACACTTGTTTATGCAAATTTGATCAGACAGTATTACAGCAGCATCACATTTATAGATACAGTATCAGTATCTATGTGCGTACCTACCCGTGTTCCGTATATACAGTATTACCCACTTCAAAAGACAAGTTAAAAAACTGCCATTGTGTTTTGGGTCTGTTCTAATGAAATCCTGATCTCCTCCATGCTTTTTCTCATTCGTCCTGTAGAGGAGATGTTGGAGATTAGGACCCTTGACCCTTTCTTGGAAGTAAATCTTGCAAATCTTCATCTGTTAGATAAGAAATAAATGCAGAGCGTAAAAAAGTACAGAAACATGAAGCACATGTGACACTTGTTTATGTAAATTTGATCAGGCAGTGTTACAGCAGCATCACATTTATAGATTCAGTATCTTCTGTGTGTCAGTGTGCGTACCTACCCGTATTTATACAGTATTACCCACTTCAAAAGGCAAGTTAAAAACTGTCATTGTGTTTTGGGTCTTTTGTAATGAAATCCTGATCCCCCCCATGCTTTTTGTCATTCGTCCCGTAGAGAAGAAGTTGCCTGGAAACAAGCAGTTTTGGCTGCTGAATGGTGAATCTATGGATTATGTAATTACATAAAGAGAAGGATGTGTTATAGTCTGTTTGCTATTGGTGTTTGTTGGCTTCATCACAACAGCACAGTTTAAGAGGTCACAACTGTCGTGAACACATGTTTAGGTATCAGTTTTACGCAGCTCCACAATAGTTAGTTTGAATTTGATACAGGGTTCTTAACATTGCAGACAAAAAAACACCAGCGGCTTTTCTGTAAAAATAGCATATAATTTTAATATATTATTAAATGCTGCATTTTCAATGGATTGAAATGGGACTTAATACTTCTGAACATCTTTATTGTTTAAAAAAAAAAAGCCTAGAACAACCTGCCAGCCTTTTTTATTGTCGAAGCCTGCTGGCACAGAAATGATAAAGCTTTGGATTTAAACCGTTTGTTTAACTAGCTGCCCTTTTATTACAAACCTGCATTCCTTTGAATTTGAATAGTCTTTAGTATGACTCATATGGCTTAGACAACTCTACTTTAAGTTCTGTCTAGCTCAGTTTTTAAGTCTCATGCCCCCTTACTGTCTAAACTCTGCCTAATCATATCGTCTATAATTATAATGTCCTTGTATTGTTTCTGTTTCACTGACTCCCACATTATATTTCAAAACTGATCATTTGAACAGCCTCTTCCTGCACAAAGCCTTTCTGTATGTAGAGTGTATTTCAACATTGTGTCCACAGTAACAAAAGAAATAGGAAATTGTTCACTTTGACTCTTTGTCAGCAGCAGCAGTAATCTCAAAACCCAGAGATTAACTTCCAGATCTATTACTTGTTCCATTGTCTGAACTGCGGGATATAAAACTGTCCCCCATTGTAAAACAAGAGATCAGTATTTATTATAAGTTTGCTAAGTAGGCCAGAAGGGTTTTCTTCTTGTAACCAGACAGAGACAGTATCTCCAAAATGAAGCCTTTTTATCCTCTGCAAACTGACGAAGGTCACCCAGACTTTCATCTTCTCAGACTACAGCTCTCTCCTGCTCTCCTGCCTAATGAACCTCTGCAGACTAAATGAGCCACTGGGTTTGGTTATATTTGCAGACTCACATCCATTATTGATGACAGACTAATACACTTTGATTTGATCAAGTTTATAAATTTATAATGAAGCAGAATAATTTACCGTCATTACCCTCTGTACTGTCTGGACAGGATGGTGGGGATACAGCTAGAGTGATATTAGAAATATAGACCGTGATGTACAACTTACAAAGTAACTCAACGTCAGGACGACTAAGAGTGCTGATGTTTGTGTTGGTTTGGTTCATTTCTTCTCCGCAGAGCTTATTGCAAAGTGGTTATTTTAAGAACAAGTGAGTGAGTAGAGTGAGTAGCGTGAGTAGAACAGGTCAGGCTTGATATATTTTAGAAACTTTTCACATTGTGGTTTAAAAAATAACTGAGGCTTGAACCCAGTATCAATAAGACGCACTTTTAATCTCTAAGAAATACAAATACGTTTTTGATCATTAAAAATAAAACTGTTATTTGACTGAAGCTGCACTAAAGATCTTCTTTTGCAAGTGTTATCAATAGGGCTATGTGTAATCTGAGAGACCCACAAAGAATTGTCCTCTCTAAAAGCATCCCTGAACTTTTTGCTCTATGTCTGGACTCTCTCAACTTTTGTGACTCATCCTAGCTGTCATTTAACAGGATGGCTTTTGCATGTACGGGCAATATGAATTGTTAGAACCTCATCAACGGCTTTTTAAAACATGGATAATGATTCTGTGAGGCTACCTATTATTAGAGATGCTGACTCAACCTAACTTTTCATCAATCCAGTCACAGGAAAGGGGTGGAGATGAGGTGCACGTGTAGCCTCCTGGCAAACAGCTTCAACACGCCCTGCTGTTAGTAAAACCAGCCATGCCCTTGACTTACGCACAAGTCTTAGCCTAGAAATAATCAAAGTAGATGAGATATAAAAATAAATCAAATCCTTATTCGTTCTTTCTGTTCAAATACAGAAAGGAGCTACTGGAGTCAAAGTCATTTGCTTTCAAACCAGGCAGTGAACACAACCCCTTTACCTGTCTAATTGGACATTTTACCACAGGTTTTAGTGGTGCTTTCAGGGCTTTTGCAGCCAACCTCAAGTGGTCATTTGAAGTACTGCAATTTTTGGCACTTGTGCATTTGCTTCAGTTATCAACACTGGAGTTTCCCACTTGGACTGGACTTTTTATAGGGCTAGTTAGCAAGCTGCTCTGGTGATCCCTTCACAAAAATTAATACTTGATGGACTTGCTGCAGTCGGGTGAGTCCATCGACTGCAGGGGGGGTGCACAGCTCAAGGAAGAACATTTATGATCATTTCCTCATGGAAATGCAGAAGAACTACTGCGTCTGCAGTGCAAATTGGTTAATATGATGATTATTACTTCAAGGAAATGATAAAGAACTGATTATAAATGTTATTCCTTGAGCTGTGCACCCCCTCTGCATTAGATGGACTTGCCCGGAGGTCTCCATACAAACAAGCGGCTGCTGGAAGAGAGAGGGTGAGTAGTGTTTAGTCTCTTTGCTAAAGAAATCAGGCAAAGCTATAAAGATGTTTGGTGGCTAGTGCTATGGCTGGGACCCTATATGTACTGTTGATGAAGTTAGGTGCTGTTCTGAGTATTATTTGTGGCTGTAGAGTGGCGTTTTGGTTGTCTGCGGTCGTTACTAAAATTGGTATAACTGGAGAAGGAAGTGGTTGGCAACATTCATCTCTCGACGGGGTGTCTAACCCGGTGTTTGACCCTTAATTAATTTTACGCCGGAATATCCCTTTAAGCTGCAGTTCTGGGAAAAGGATGGGTTTTAAAAAATTTTAGGTTCTGTTTCAGTTTGTCTTTCCTGTCTGTTGCTAATTTGAAGGGTGTTAACCCTTTTGTTGAATGAAAACAATCTGTCAGAATTGTGAAAAGCTAGAATGCCATCCTGGAATTGGATGAGCTTCCATCTATCTTATCTTTGTTTCAGTATTTTCATACCTACATATGCAGATTTGTGAGTTCCATCTGGTTAAATACAATGGACATATCAGACATAATACTTGACCCATCATCAGGATATAGCAGTTCCTAGATTGATGATGGACTAAACAATAACTGCTTGCTGGTTAGCACTAGTCAGTCCCTTTATTCTGGATTATATCTGATCTTTCCCTTTTACCTCTCACAGGTGTGAGTTGCCTGTAATTTTTTGGAGGACTAAGCGAGAACTAAGCAAGAAGGACAGAAAAGAAAAGAAAGAGCTCACCCCAAAGGAATTGTTTTGTTGCTTGATATCGGGTCCATATGCAAGAAAAACTGTTTGCTAATACGTTCCTTATAAGCAAACTTATCGAGTACCAATATGTCTCAGTGCCTGTCTTAATCATTTAAATTATGAAGTGACTAGTTAAAGCTCTACTTTGACCAAACTCTTAATTCCAGCTTTCACAACTGGACATTTTTCATCTTTTTTTCTATTCCACAGACACATAGAAGTCATTACCAGTATTATTCAGGTCTCAAAATACTGTAAAACCTTTCTGTCAGAGTGCTGTCAGTTGTCTAGCAATCATTTCTGCTTGCAGATGATCAATTTCTCCTCTATTGTGAAGCCACCATCCCACACACATTGTAGTAAAATATCAAAATAAATATTTGATTTGATCATTTTGCCACCAAGCCTCTCCTAGACTGAGGCCAGAGAGGAAGAAGGAATAATGGGAAAATCAGTTATCAGTCATAGCTTCAGGGAACAAGGCCACCATTGTGTTTGAGTTTTTTTTTTTTTTTTGCCAGTGGGGAACATGAATCATGTACACACACACACACACACACACACACACACACACACACACACACACACACACACACACACACACACACACACACACACACAGCCTCTTTCTTTTAAATGGGGGATATTTTCTGCTGAGTCATTCAGGAATTGACCGATGTAATCAGATAGGAGCCTGATGGACAGTAGTCTCTGTCCATGTTCTGACAGTGTCTGATGGTCAGAAGCAGGAGTCGAAGGTGATCCGGTAGAGAACATGACACATGCAGTACTCCATAATTTCATCATGTTTCCCCACAAATTTGCTGTTTCTTTCAATAATTTAAAAGATGTCAAGTGCTGGAATTGACCAAAGACAGGTCTAGAGTGTTTTGCTGGGTTATAACTTGCCAAGAAGTTTTGAGGACTTTGAGTTTGGGATCATTCAAACAAGGAAGTGCAATGGCATAAAAAGATACTACACAGAAAGCCTAAAAGGTTATTTATAGGCTGTAAAAGGCCCTAAACCTACCAGTGATCCAAGGGTGTTAATCCTGTCTTGTGTAATGAATTGTAATCTATTTTTACCGCAGTTGCATGTTGACTGGGGATTCAGAAATCCAATATGTGAAGGTGACTTCCTTGTACCATTGTGACCATTGGTTGAATTTGTTTCATTTGCAGTTGACTGGTTGTGGTTTACACCACATTTTTAGCCTTGACATTTAACTGAGCTTGTGCAGCACTTTTACCTCAAACACAGATAATGGTTCTGTTTCCTAGTTCCTCATTTTTTGATTATATAATGCTAAAGTTTAAGCATTTTACATAGAGAACCTACTGTTTAATGTTAATGAGTTATGGCGAATTTAAAGAGTCATCACAGTAACACCTGTGTTCAATTTCAAAGGTTGTGCTTGTAGCCATAATAATGACTGGGCATACACACCTGACAGTTGACAACAATACAAATCCTTTTGAGAGTTGCAGTGCTGGTTGGGTGAACACAGGAACCTGCATTACTGGCAGTGTAAGTATAAAGGGTTTTCTTTAGATAAAGAGCTGAATTTGCCACTTTGAATTTATACAAAATAATACGATGCATGAGGAAGTTTATTATGCCAGAGTAGACAGTCAGCAAGTCTGTGGCTCCTTCATGTCAGCCATGCATGAAGAACAAAGCTGCCTCAGAGCAGCTGGGAAAATTTGAGATTTGATAAACACCTTTGAATATGATGCAGGATACACTTGAGCTAATGCAGAAATGTGTCTCATTACAAGATGCAGTTTTTTCACATCTCCGCTTCGGCTGCATTTCTCTGTTTGAGAAGCAGAAATGAATTGGTTATGCTGCTGCCTTTAGTTGCAACAGCCTTTGAACAAAGTTTGCTGGAGTGTTCTGGTGCTACAAAAACTGAACCAGTTTGAAACGACCGACAAGATTGTGCCTGTTTCAGTAACAATCGCTTCAATAATCCTGGCAGTTAACAAAGTGTAAGGGTGTGACTTGGACAAGGGAGGCAGAGGATGTTAAAAAGTAATCTATATTTTCATGTATAAAAATGAATAAAACAATAAATCAAATTGAATGATAGTGCTCAGCTGTATCTGAAACAAAATGCACTCAGAGAAAAAGAGTAGCCAGAAAATCCTCACATTTAGAGCTAGATCAAGCAAATATTTAGTACTATTTTGTTTTCTGTTAAACTTGAATGTTGAATCCAGTTACACACAGTAAGTTTAACTCCATATAGGCACCCTTATATCTGCTGAAAGAACAACGTGAAACTAGGCCTTGTTCTGTGTTTTATAATGGAGAGTTGATCATCAATAATGACTAATTTATTATGTATTTTTTATGTATTGGTCTCTGCTTTTATGTCAATTCTTGGACTTCTTGAATACTTTAAAGTCACAGTGGTTCATGATCTGTAACACACATGGTTATTTTTTGCACCCTGAAGAAGTCGGTGAATGTATGTCTGTTATGAACCCTAACTCCTCTGTAATGGGTTCACCAACAACCTCACTCCTATCTAACATGCAATTAAAAAATAATAAAGAACTGCTTCTGAGCAAATCCGAGCACCTGATGGTGATATAACTAAATTACGTACATGAGACTTTATGCTGCAGCTTCAAGAACAATCTCTCAGCCTGTGTTCAAGACAGCCAACAGGAAGTCGCCCATTTCCGGAAGTGGCTTGTGACCTTTACTGAGCGCTTTGTTGAAACGGCGGTTTAAGGGAGGCTGAAGCAGGAAAAAGTTTGCTGTGTTAACTGAGCTGTCACAGGCCTGAAGTTTGTAAAATGTGTTCATAAATTACAGATTGGCTTCAACAAAGGTGTTAATTTTTTTATGTAATCTTGATCTTTTGTCAACTGTTTTATTTAAATAAAAAGGTTTTGAATATTTTGTGCTGAAAGTTTAACTTTACAGCTTCGAAATGCCGGCCAACCATAGCAGTGACTCTAAAACTTCTGCTTTGGGCTCATGATGACACATCCTGCTTCTTAAAGCAATGATGTGTGATGCATCATATTTCTGGCTCTGTGCCTCAGTTTTCTCAGTGAAACATTTGCTTTGTGCTCTTTGACTTGTTTCTCTGACGTCAGGCATTGCTAAAAATACAACCCATACGAAAACAACACACTTCATGTTTTATTTGACTGACGCTTTGATAATCATTTGTTAAAGCCTATTAGCTTGATGGACCAAAAACTTTGCAAAGAATGTTATTATTTAGCCACACAAAGACCCATACAGCTCATTAAATGGTGTCAATCTCTGTGTTGCTCTGTCTGCCCTCGTGGCAGTCGTTCTCAGCGCAGTCCTCCAGAAATAATGAAGTGAGAAGGGAAGGAGCAGATCCAGACACTGACTGTACACAGCTATCTTTGTTAGAGGTTAAAGAGAGTGAAGCGTTGCCTTGTTAGCTGGAGAGAGGAGTTTTATAGGTGCACAACACGGAGGGCTGACACTGTTTCTGACCCTCAATAAAATGTTGTGGCAATAAAAAGAAAAGCAGTTACCATAAGTCAGTTCAGCTTTTGATGGAAAAGTTTGACGTTTTCTAAATGACACTTTTTGACTTTCCTCCAGGGAGTCAAATGAGGCTAGTAATACCTACACTCCTACACCTGTACAGCAGATACAGACTGGCAGTGTATGGCAGCAGCTTGTTAGGTTAACGGAAGATAGAGGTAGAAAAAGAGCCAGCAAAAATAGAAACTCAGACTATTCCTCTAACAATAGACAGAATAGTCTGTCATAAGTTTTACTAGAATTGTGTTCAGACCAAAAAAAAGATCATTTTAAATTAGTTTTATACATCAATTGTGGTTTCTATGAGCTACAACATGAGGTCAAAAACCTAACATAAAAGTCCACCATTTTAGCTTAGAGGACTAATAAAGTCATAATAGTAGTTCTAGGGTAAGTTGAACCAGTGGCTCAACTGAGAAAGAAAGGAAGTCTGATGAGAGGATCAAAGTTTCAGTACAGATTTTTGAATTGTGTTACTTTCCAAAAATACAGCCATGAATGTTCTGAATCACTTAAAGCTATTCTCATGTTAAAATGGCTTTTTACAAAACAGCTTTTTAGCAGGTATATGCAATAATAATAATAACATTATTGTACCAGTTAAATACCATATAATAGATAAAAATACACATGAATGTGAAGAAGTGACTGTTATTAAGGGAGAGAGAAGGTGAGGGAGGGTAGGTGGACAGTAGGGGGGATAGTAGGGATACGGCTCAACTTACCCCGCTCCTATGGTCAACTTACCCCATACACGGGGTAAGTTGACCATAGGAGACCACTTTTTTGGCATGCTATATTATCAAGACAGTTATGTTCACACTTATTCTGTTGGTTTGCAGGGATGCACAACATCTTGAAATATATGCAGATACACTAGTTAGAGACTTACCTATGACTGCCTTGATGTAGTGATCTGAAATATGAAAAATGGCTCATCTTACCCCACTCTCCCCTACATATATTACTCAGGACTTATTGCTTTCCTAAAGTATTACAACTGAACCTGCACACCTTTCCTTCTTAAACTCACTGTCATACAACCACCAATAAAAATATGATCAGTCAAGCATAAACTGGAATCAACCAGTGTTATGTTGTTTGCCTAACTTTAAAGGGATTAGCCTCTGGTCTTGGCTTCAGTGGATGCTCATCAGACCAGGACAGGGTCAGCCAGATTAGACATACAGTAGGTAGGCAAACACAGTTTTCTCACAGGTCTGTCGTTTTGATGCTGTCTGGTGTTGGGCGTCAGCGTTTCTCTCAGCTCTGTTAGAGTGATAAGTAGTTAGTGATGAGTGTTTGCCATTGGCCTGTAAACAGGAAATGTTGTTTCGCCCATAGAGCTGAGTCAAGAAGGGGCCCCTGGGAGTATAGAGCTGTCAGTGTTAGTGTGTGTGCAGTGACAGGGTGACACGGAACTCCTACGTCACTCCATGCTTGTGACTTTTGGCTTAAATTTATCACTTTTGTTTTTATGTCAGTTTTGTGTTTTGTCACAGTAACTTTAAATATGATGTTTACAGGAACTCGAGGAGCTCATGAAATGCACGGACAGGAATTTTCAACCCTCTCTTTTTGGCTTGTGTGATGTTCAAGTTTAGTGAAAAGGTCAGCTGCAATAAACAGACTAGAGAATGTTTACATATATGAAAAACCAAAAGCTGCTGTTTAAACACGCTGCAGGCTGCTGAGCATTTCATCAGGAGAAGGGTTAAATGTGAAAACTGGAAGTGGAACACCTGCCATATGTGGGTGAAATGATATGAAGGCTGCTTCCAATATGGCCTGCAGCAGTGGGGCATGTGTGAATGAAATGAAAGGCGGCATCTGATAACAGTCACTATCTATTATGCAAACAGCAATGCCAGTTTGAAACCATAATGAATCCAGAGTGAATTCTCTCCTACTTACTTTAATCTTTTCATCTTTGCGGAGCTGTGAACAGGAAATGCAGTTTATAAATAACTTGCTCAGTTCTTGCTCAGAGGCCATCAGGGTTAGATGCAGTAATGAATGACAGATTGCTGTTTCAACTTTGTTGGCGAGAGAGAAAAAAGTTTTGAACGTCAATATTCACACTTGCAAAAAAAGCCAACTCTTGATGCTAGGTGTTTGGAGGATTTGCTGTTTTTTTAATGCCAAAATTATTAACCAGTTGACCTTTTAAGAGACTCATCAACCTGCTCACCCTCTCCTGGTCTGTCACACTTGCAAGGAGTAATGGAAACTGGACAGATCAGTAATACTATCAAAGGTCTCTACTTTCGAAAAGTAACAGACCAACATTTGCGGCACCTAAAGGGAGCTCCATGAATGAAAGAACTTGGCATGTGTAACTAGTTTTACACACGACTTTGTGCATCTAGCATTTGTGTGTTTATAGACATACAGTTACCCCCCCCCCCCCCCCCTGTAACTGTAGCAGCAGCAATGTGGTGGCAGGGACTCTAAAAATACATCCCACTGTGTCTTTCAACAGCAAAAACCAGACTAGGTATTCTTTTTAAATACCTGGTATTACTGAGAACATTATTGTTATGTTTTTGGGGGACCAAGCTACTGTGATGCTTAAATTGATGTTTCATGTTAATTATTTTAATTAATGTTAATGCAGTCCACAGACAATAGGCAATTTGAATAGTAGTAAACTTGTACTTCATGACATGATGCCGCACATTCTTTAATCCTTGATTTTCAGATATTTTGACTGTCTGTAGAGTTCATCACTTATTTTCAAATACTGTTTACGTGTTGAGGAAATAAGAGGAAGGGCCCCAGACTTTCAGTGTCAACTGTGTGCTATGCCCATGTGCCACTTGGTGAGAGCAACAATGAACAATTCACCTTAGAGCCCCATGTTGCGGTTTACTGAGACTTCCTGTCAATCACATCAGCCCACCGCAGGCCAGGTGTCTTCCTGTCTCAGTGCACTGAAGGGGTCAAAGTCAAGGAGAATATTGTTCTTTATAAAGAATACTGTTGTTGTCTTTAACCAAAATATGCATCCAGAAAGGCATATTTTCTTTTTTTTTCATCAATCAATCAATCAATCAATCAATCAATCAATCAATCAATCAATCAATCAATCAATCAATCAATCAATCAATCAATCAATCAATCAATCTTTTTGAAGTCACTTTAATTCAATCTGCATAGGAAAACAAACTCACATGGCCACTACTCGCATGTTTTTTTTTTACCAGTGCTCTCTGGATAACTTTTGGCCTTGTTCTTTTCAAAATAAAAGCACCGGTCTTTACAACATTGCAGGAAATAGATACGTTGGATTAGGATGATACCTTCAAAGTGAGATTAACAATATCAACCTTTAATATGGGTTATTGATAAAGACCTTATACGTTATATCTTACCTTTATAAATCTTCCAGGAGTGACACATTTAACAACATTTTTGTTTTCCCATTATTATTTTGCCCTACAAAGGATGCTCCTTTCTGAAAGTTTTGTCAGTACCTGGTTTTACTCTGTAGTCATATTACAATGATAAATAAATGAAGCAAATAAAAACAGAAAAAGTTGGTAATTATTTTACTTTTCACGGCTGATGTCAGCTGCCAACAGTGTAATCTGTCGTACTGAAGAGGAAAAAAAGCAAAAAACAAACAAACTTTGATTTAAAGTTAGTTGTCTCTTTTTTGGATGGCTGGTGTAAAAACCAGAAGAAGAAAAGGAAAAGAAAATGGACTGAAACAGAATAGGTAGCTGATCAGTGTTGAACCAATATCATTTAATGCAAACTCTATCAACACCTGACTGAACTACAAGTCGAACTGATATAAAACCACAAAAACAGACAAATTATTAACCAATGAAATGGAACTTTTTCAAGTTTTGCACTCATTAAAATCTGCTCCTGAGCTCTTAATTTCAAGCTTAGTACTGTGGTGCACCATACAAAATGATATAGGATAATATCAAAGGAAATAATGAGGATATGATGGCATTGTTTTTGCATTTTATATAGGCATTAGGTCAAAAACTTGACTGTGGGGAAAATGCAGAATTATTCAAACTCAAGCAAAAAGCCCATGTTTAAGGATTAGGAGCAACTATCTTTTAATTCCATGTTTCACAACCGAAGAGAGCTTATCCGTTATGAACCCTGCCTGCAGCTCAACAAAATGAAAATATGACACATTTACTGTCCCAAAGTTCAAACTGCAGCCTCCTGTTTTATTTCAGAAGATTACTTAAGTCCCTCTGCTTTAGACATTGCTGTTATTTCCCACTTGTAGAAAAGTAGGTCCCACATCTGTGAATAGAAACAGCAAAAAGCATGCTCCATCTCCTGCCTGATCCTGTGTTATTATTTTGTATCTCGAATAATCAAATCAACAGTCAATCAATCAATCAATCAATCAACTCAAAAAATCAATCAATCAAGCGGATTAAATTCAATCAATCAATCTTTTTGACAGCCCAGTGACCTCTCTGTGTTATTTCATCTCTCAAGGGTTCACTCAGGAAAAAAAAAATCCACAGAGATAAGAAAGAAAAAAAAAACAGTGTTCTAACCAGGCTCGGCTTTGTGACGTCTCCGTCACATCTGCTTGTAATCCCATCATGCCTTCAGAGAGAAAATCCCCTTTTCTTCCTCCTCCACACAGAACCAGGTGATGAAGGAGACGAGTTTAGCCGGCAAATGACTCTCTGTCTTTGTAGCTTGTGTTTAATATGTTTGCCTTGCATATTTGTGTGTGTATGTGTTTGTGTGTGTTACAGAGAACTGTGTGAGCCATCTGTTACAATGCTGTTGTTCGGGGACAGTGCCGTATCTAGGACCCTCTCTCTCAGTGGGACAAATTTAAAAATAGCTCATTGAATTCAAACTCCAGTGTGGCACACTTAGCCTTGTCAACAAAGTTGCATATAGAGAGGCTGCATCATGTCTGTATCTGTGTGAAAAAATAGAGGCCCTGTGATGGTGCAGAAATCAACACTCGGCTACTTACTTTCCACTGAACTGCTTTCACATTCAGAGCTGTAACAAGGAGGGATACATGTGAAGAGAGTAAAGTAACTTTTCATTTATGGAGGGTTTGTTCATGGTCATCTGATGAAGTCAATGTGTTTTTTCCCACATTGTCTGAAAAAAGATGAGACTGTAAGGTTCTTTGTTGAATTTTAGAAATTACTTTGGAAATGTTAAACTCAATCATATCTCCAAAGCTCCTGAAGAGAATCTCCTCAGTTTTGGCAAAAAAAAAAACATTTACTTGCACTGAAGTATGAACTGATCAGAATTTGGTGGTTCAGGGTCAAAATTTAAGGTCAAGAAAATGAAGGCCAAGCATGAAATGTCTTGTCATAAAATTTGGCAGAACTGACCTTTAGAATAAAAAATGAAATGATGGGTTTTTCTACAAAAAGTTTAAAAATCATAAGACAATGATTACCTTAAAAAAATACTACAAGGCTTAGCCATTTTTACATTCCACTTGTGAACAACGTCACACAGCAATGCTTGGGAGCAAACAGTTTTCTATTTTTTCACATTCACCACCACTTTAACTGTCAGCAGAGGCAAACAGATGAAGGTGGTGATTGTAGTTTTCATAAATGGAAAAGAAACAGCAAAAAGCATGCTCCATCTCCTGTGGTTCTGTAGATACATCATGCAGAGAGTAGTTTCTTTAATATCCAGTTCCATCTTCTCCACAAAGAGAAGCACCTTTACAAGCACCTGGCTGCCCAGTGACCTCTCTGTGTTATTTCATCTCTCAAGGGTTCACTCAGGAAAAAAAAAATCCACAGAGATAAGAAAGAAAAAAAAAACAGTGTTCTAACCAGGCTCGGCTTTGTGACGTCTCCGTCACATCTGCTTGTAATCCCATCATGCCTTCAGAGAGAAAATCCCCTTTTATTTGTTTTACCTGTGACAACTGTACAGGGGGTAAATGATTTAGCCGGCAAATGACTCTCTGTCTTTGTAGCTTGTGTTTAATATGTTTGCCTTGCATATTTGTGTGTGTGTGTTTGTGTGACAGTTCGGTGTTGTGAGCCATCTGTTACAATGCCTGTTAGGCTTGGCCTTCCTTCCTGCTTTACGAGTGTCAGACTGGCTGCTGCCCCTGAGTCAGTAAGTGGTATCTAGGACCCTCCTCAGTGGGACAAATTTAAAAATAGCTCATTGAATTCAAACTCCAGTGTGGCACACTTAGCCTTGTCAACAAAGTTGCATATAGAGAGGCTGCATCATGTCTGTATCTGTCAGTAGAGGATGTGATGGTGCACTGATCAACACTGGCTACTTACTCCACTGAACTGCTTTAAAACAAGGAGGATACATTAGAAGAGAGTAAAGTAATCATGAGTCGGTTGCTCTTGTTTCATGGCTTATGGATGACACAATAGGATGTTTTTCCCCCCTGAAAAATAATCATTTGAGAAAAACAAAAAGCAGTCTTATATTTTTCTGTGTCACTGTTAGTCTTAATAGAGTCTCAATGTTTCAACAGCTGCTGTGAAAATCTTTGAAAATCCACTGAACCTAGTATGAATATGACAGTTTCCTGCAGTTCAGTGACAATAGGAGGTCAAAAATGTTTCATGGCAGAGATGGCTTGTTTTAACAGTCCTTGTGGTATACGTAATAAATGCTGTGAGATTGTGGGATTGTTATTTCACTGCTCTTTTGGGGCTGTTTGCTTTTTTGTTCACTGTCATGTGGGAGAGCTGCAGTCTCCTCCTAATAAACACGGACCGGAAGAAAAACTATTGATTTTGTGACTGTGTTTGATCTGCCTTTTCTCTCTGTCTCTCTGTGCAGCTTGAAAGCTCTGGTTTCGACAGGAGGGAAAAACGTGCAGGCAGCATGTGACTGGTGAGAGTACCACACACTTGAATTTTAAGGCCCTGTTTTTGTTATTAAAGCAGAGCTAGAATATAAACAGAACAGGGATGAGAGTATAAGTCTTTTTAACATTGTATTGACTGTGTTTAACATCATGCAGTGGTCATTAACAGTTTAATGTTTTCCCATCATCTCTTGTTTTACCTGGCTGTTCTTGATGACTGCCAGAGAGTGTGTAAGGTAAATCATGCTCCAGCAGTGTGCTTTTGAGCAGCCCTTGTGGCAGAATAGACAAGACTTTCCACCTTTGCCAATTCTTCATGGTCAGTGTCTTTCATTCCTACCATCACTGTACTCTGTTCAAACTGCCATATATTGAATAACTGATTTTCTTGTTTCTACGCTTGACTAGGAGGCTCTGATTTGATTCAGACAGTTCGGTGGTTGTATTTGTCCCACTGTTATCCTTACCTTCATCTCTTTGAGGAGCAGGTGTCAGAAGTGCTGTTGGCTGAGTCAGAAAGCAGCCTAGCATTCGTATCCATTGTTTGATCCAGCTATATGTACACAGGTGGTTGCCACTAACTGTTCTATTAAATAATCATACGCACTTTGTGTTTATCTTAAAGTCATTATTTTCAAATGAGAGAGATTGAACTGAGTCTCTCTCGGAAGCAGGCAAACACTTTTTAAACTGCTAATTTTACGGAACACTCAAAGTAAATCATGCAGTCCTTGCTCTTGTTTCATGGCTTAAAGTCAGATAGGAATCTGTTTTTGTCCCCTGGATTTAGGCAGTCTTATATTTTCTGTGTCACAGAAAGAGTCTCAATGTTTCATTTAATCTCAGTGGGGAAAACTCAAATTTTGACCAAACTGCTTCCACTCTAAGACTGTGAATCAATCTGCTTTGAAACCTTGAACCTCTGGTTTTCTAAAAACTCAAAGATGTTCATGCAGTGTGTTTTGTTCCAGTAAACTTGAATTTTACAGTGGGATTGTTATTTACTGTCATTATTTATATTTGGGCTATAAATATTTTTTTTTTCATTCTGTATATATAGCTCCTCCTTAGCTAAAATTAAAGGTCTTCTGTCTTAACTGGTTTTGATCTGTCTCTTTTCTCCAGACGTTCTTTCTCTCCTGTCACTTTGTAGCTCTGGTTTCGACAGGCAGCAGCCAAAACGTGCAGGCAGCATGTGACTGGTCTGTGTCTTCACCACACACTTTGCCAACCCTGTTGTTTCTTTTTATTACAGCTGCTAGAATATAAACAGATTTGAGAATGAAAACTATGATGTTGTTTTAACATCTGTAGCTTCTTAAAGCTGTGCTCTCAATGCTTAACAGCTCTTCCAAATCAGGTATCCTATGCCCCAGTCTCTGGAGCTAGATTTTACTTCATGTCTTAGAGCAGAGCTGCAGTTGAAGTGCTGACAGCTGTCTGGCTGCTCCAGTGTCCCGCTGGCAGCCAGTCCTTTGTCCATTACCACCTGTTTTTTCAGCATCCAGTTTGTACATAGTCAGATTACCCTACCATTCTGCTCATAAACAAAATGCTAAATGGCTTTATTCTTGTTTTTGACGCCAGTTGCTGCAAATAAAGGCTCTCCAGATTCTTCAGACCACAGTAGCCAAATGGAAGTCTCGTATTCCTATGCCTCCCACTGGAGCTCTACACTCCTCTACCTTCATTTTTTTGTAGAGGAGCAGGTGTGCAAAGTGCTGAAGGGATTTTGCTGCTGATTTCGCCAACTGAAGCAGCAGCCAAAGCAGGTTCGTATCCACCTGTTTTTTTAGATCCAGTCTCATTGTACACAGTCAATGAGCCTCATTCACCAACTGTTCATATTAAATGTAATCTTTATACGCAACTTATTTTGTAGTGATATCTTTTAAAGTCAAATTATTTTCAAATTGTTATAATTTTGAAAATAAAAGTTGAGATCAGATCAGTACCTTTCTTGTCTCAGGCAATTTTTCTACAACTTTTTAAACTGCACTTAATTTCCTACCGGGGCAACACAACATAATAAATAAATCAGCCCCTTTCCAAATGACTTGAGTTTCCATGTGCTTAAAGTCTAGTGTGTAATCTGTAATAATTTGTCACCACTAGTGTTTCAGTGCCTGTCACAGATTGAGGTGATTTATTGTCTCATATTTATCTTAAACAGACTTGTTCATGTTGAGGCAAACAGCTCTTCTCAACAGCCTCACTAATTTCTAGTAAAATTCAAAGATGTTGGTGAATGAGGCTTGATGCTTTTGCTCCCATAGTACAGAGATACTTATACTATATTTACAGTGGGATTGATTTTATTTACTGTGAACATTATTTAAATATTTGCAAAATATAAATATTTTTATTTTTCATTTTCTGTATATATAGCTCCTCCTTAGCTAAAAAAAATTAAAGGTACATTTCTTCAAATGTACATAAATCTGGTGGGTTTATTTCTGTCTTTTCTTTATCTCCAGACGTTCATGTTGAGCCGCATAAGAAACAGCTCCATGTCACTTTAGCGTACCACTTCCAAGCAGGTCACCTTCCAATTTTGGAGAAGCTAGCCAAAAGTGTCGATGAAGGCGTCAGGCTGTGACTGGCTGGCTGTGCTCTTCTCTCGTGACATCCGGTTTGCAAATCATGAGGTAGATCTCTTGATGTATGTTAAGGTTAGTTTTATTCTGAAACCTTCAGAGTCAGATCTCATGGTCCTAGATTAGAAAGTTTTAATAGCTGTAATCTGTCTGCCTCCTGAAGACTCTGCAGGTCATGTACCCGTATGCGCCCCAGAATGACGATGAGCTGGAGCTGGTGCAGGGAGATTTTATCTTCATGTCTCCGGTAGAGCAGAGCACTGCCAGCGAGGGCTGGGTATACGGCACCTCGCTTGGGACAGGACTGTCTGGCCTGCTACCCGAGAACTATGTCAGCCGAGCTGATGAGTCAGATACCTGGGTTGTCCATGGGTAAGAAACACTACCATTGTGTTTTTGCAGGGCGATCAACAGTTATAGGTTAGCATAGTATGGGATTATCCCTACCAAGTCCTCTTGCTGCCATAAACAAAAGCATTACCAGGTTTTATCTCAGACTGTTATTCTGCAAATCCCTTCAGAGTTCAAGCACAAATGCAAACATATCAGCGGGGAATTCTCGGCCGAGATTAAAGAGAAAGAAAGGAATCATCTTCTTAGCCTGCTGCTTGGCTAACCTTCCTCAGCATCCCTGTGCCCTACTTTGACTGATTTCTGTCCCTGTGCTGTAGAGAAACTGAAAGCACTGTACAAAAAAGTTTTCTCTGTTTGTCTGCTCCTAAGGTCTCAGTCTATTCTCAACTGTGCCTCTCCGTCCAACTCTGGCAGCACTGTAAGCGGCTTATTATTTGATGGACAGCTGAATGACAGTCTTCTTGACAGTCTCATGGACCCCCCCAGCCTCACCAGTCTCTGTCCTCCTATGCAGGTACAGAACTCTTACATAGAGTGACTTTCCTTAGACTTAATGTGATCACTATTACAATCAATAGTGTTTACCTAAAAGGTTTTTCTTTTTACATCAAAAATTCCTTGAGATTAATTTTGTGGAATGTGTTTTTCTTTTAAAATTGATTCTTAATCTCAGGTTTCGAGGCAAATTACTCAGTCGTCCCTGTCCAAGATGAGGCTGTTTGTGTGTCGTCATGGTGAGAGGATGGATGTAGTGTTTGGCAAACACTGGGTCACTCAGTGCTTTGATGCAAAAGGTTAGCATGCACCACAGATTGAGGACAGATTTTTCAGATTAGGATCTCAAATTAGAACCATTATCTTTAAATCATGAAAAATTCTTGTTTGGGATTTTGTAGGCAGATACATCCGCTCTAATCTCAACATGCCATCCAGCCTGCCAATTAGAAGTGGAGGTCACCGGGACTATGATAAAGATTGTCCAATTACTGTGTTTGGCTCCACCCAAGCCCGTCTTGTAGGTCAGTTCACTTTATATGCACTTTGATTCGAGGTAAAGTGTTTTATGCTTTCAAGGATATTTCAAAACCATTTCCTTCTAGGAAATTTGATTCATGCTTTCTTCAGGTGAAGCTCGTGGATTTTCATTTGTTTTGTTTGACATGGGGCCAACATTTGCACTCCACCTCAATCTTATTTCACATGGACCATCACATTTACAAGTGCATGCAGTTAGGTTTTTCAGCAGTTATGTTGTATATGCATTTCAAAGAGTAACTGCTTGATGTAAATGTTGGAGGTTAGTTGTGGTTATGGGCCTTGAAACCTTCAACCTGAGCGAGATCTCAGTGGGATTTCCAGTTACTCAAAAAAGTTGAACAACAACACCTGTCAGCTGCCAAGAGACATCAGAAAAGAAGAAAGAAACAGGATGTCAACATCCAATTTTTCAACTTACTCCAAACAAGCTGAATGATGTTTTCTGATGCTACTGAAGAACCTTTACACCAATATTGATTTCGAAAGTGTTTTTCATTACATTTACTGTACCAAGAAGTAACAGAAGCAACAGAGTGAAAAGATTACACAAAACTTAATGCTGCAACAAGACAAAAACTATGTGCACACTGTTTGATCCCTGTCTACCTGCTAAATTCAACAGTTTTTTTGAAGTAAGTTTTATAATGCCACATGTTTACTTCTTCAATTTTTATCACCATTCTGCAAAGTAAGTGAACAAAAAAACAAATAAAACACAAAAGCAAAACAAAACATGCTTTTTATCACACTTTGGAACAGAAGCCTAGCCCATGCATAAATTTTGAGCTCAATAAACAGTGTTATCACCAACAGTTTTTGACTTGCTCCTTTAATCTGCAAAAAAAGTGGATGTATAGTGCAGATCCAACACTGTGTGTCTACCTCTTTCACACAGGATTTTGCCATGCTTCAAAAAATTGGAGGCTTGAAAAATTCATGCTCAGCAAACTCACTTTGTCCAAGTCTGAAGGTCAGTTTTTGCTCACTCTCCTTCATCTCGATCACCCGTTCAATAACAGGCCCCTTGCAGATTCTTATTTATTTTGTTCATGTGGAATGAGGTGTGGCACTTTGAAACCTCATCGAACCCAAGGCACTTTAGGAGGTGAAAGGTTTGCTTGAGATCATTTCGACCTCACACGTTTTATTTTCTCTGTAACCCAACGATTCCTTTCTACCTAGTGAGGTGCTAAGAGACAGTTTCTGATGGAGAATGCTGATGAAGAAGTTTTTGACAGAAGAAAGCTGCTTTCAACTCTGCCTGTTGGTGAACTGTGTTACTCAGCTGACTACCATAATTTCCATGTGTCAGAAATGATTATTTAACTTGTAGCTTTGACCCCTCCTGTGAAAAAGCACAAAAGAGATGCTGACAATCAGACAGGGGAAGAACTGATCTTCATTGTTTGTTTCATTGTCCTTTTTATTTGAGCACAAAAGAATTTTAAGTTAACAGAAATCCTTGAACATTTGTTTTTAGCCTCCTCACACACTGCAAGCTTTGAATGGCAAAGAAAATGTTTCCATGTCAGAAATGATTATTTAACTTTTTGACCCTCCTCTAAAAGTTTTAAAACATGCTGACATGACAAGTGAAGAACTGAATTTATGTTATATTGTTTTCCTACTGTTATTTGTTTGTTTATTTATTTTAAGTTAAAACTAAACATTCCTGTCACAGTTATTAAGGTGCAAGTCAGAAATGTTTTGTCTAACAAACATTTTCTTTTGGTCTACTGCCAAATAAAAAGTGCTTTTGTAAATGTTCATGTCTTATAACCCCAGGTTTTTAATATTTTCTGGAAATTTCAGGAACCTTCTGAAAGAGCTTAAGAAGGTACGTTGGTACATAAATAATGGCTTAGTTTCATAGTGGCACAGGCTGTTTTACATTGTATTTATTGGACCTGTTAATGCTTTTAATTGTAGCATAACTTAAGTATGTAATGTTTCATGTCTTAAACCCAGCTTTTCCTTGGCAATATTTGTCACCCATGTATTAAAGACCTTAACCTTTCTACAGAGCAAGAAAGGTACAGAGCCTTTAAGGAAAATAAACATGGCAGTTTCAGAGCAATAAAGCGTGGATTCATAATTGAAATCTTAGTTTGGTACGGGACTAATGAGTTAAGTGCGTAAAAAACACTCGACCCGACCGGAAAAAAAACAAAAAAATTTGCACATGACTCTGCCCAGCATAGAAGTGTCCTTGGGGACTATGGTATAATTTGAGTAGCCTTTTCAGCAGGTTCACATAGGTCTCAGAGGTCCCAGAACAGTCAGATTATAATGGCGATATCGATAAGTTTGTTTAAAATCAGTTAAAAAGGTCTCTTGTAACTCCTTTTCAGCAGGTTCACATTGTAGGGTCCCAGAAGTCAATTTGAAGTTTGATGTCTAAAAACCCAGTTTTTTCCTGGTCTTCAGCCAGCCTTAAAACTCTTCAGTGAGAACACGCTATTTCTGTGCGCAGCGCCTGTAGAAGCTGCAGCAGGAAGACGTTTCTGGTTAGTTACGAATATTAAATCTGTGGCTGCAGCAGGACGTTTCTGGGGGTTAGTTACGAATATTATGTATCTGGATATTTTTCTTTTTACTTTGTTCGTGTGTTGGTACACTTGCATGTAGCGTAACATTAGCTCCTGCTAACGGGTGACAACTCCGCTGTCTTCTCGTTACTTGGAGCTCTTTTGGTGAATGCGCGATATTGAAAGTAGGCTATAGTTATTTTTCGTGACTGTGTTATTGCAGTCTACAGAAAGAGACAGGCTGGGGATATATATTATTGTTAGAAAATAAAACTATTCTAAAGTGAATTTTGCATGATATGGGACCTTTTAAGGAATTGAATGTCTCAACACAGCAAAGCAAATGCAAATTATGGAGACAATTTGGACAGAATATTTGCATTTGTTTGGCAGGAAATATTTCTTGTTACCAAAGAGTGGATTTTAAACATAAATTGAATCAAAATCTGTGAAATTAATAATTAAATTCAATTTAAGTAAAGATACCACAGTTGGCTAATGGTTAGGATCTGATGTTTTGCTAGCCTGAGTATATCATGTGCATGGCTGACACAGGTGAGAGATGATGTTTATTCATGAAAATGAATGATGTTGTAGTCTACCGAAAATGTAAATGTTCCCTGCTACTACGGTCAACTATGAGCTTGAATTTTTTGTAGAATGACTCTGATCTTGAGAGAGAGTTTGAATTTTGAGGTGTTAAAAAGTAGTGAAGACACTTTAGGCCTTTTGGCATTAATCATGCTGATGAGCATTTAAGCTAGCAGTGCCGAGAGTCGATAAATGCAAAGAGCCAATCCTTTAAAATTACTGTATTAACTCCACTTTTTTTTTTTACAAGTATCAGTTGAAGAAGTGTTGATGAAGAGTAATGAACACATTTGTTTTTGTTTTTTGCTCAAAACCCTTTAAGCCGTCAGCTCCTATCAACATATTTATTCCACATACTCAAATTTAGCTGATTCATGTGAACATTTTCTTTGACTTCTGGATATCCCTACAACTGATTCAAACTGTGAAGACTTGCACCTTTAGATAACTTCGATAATGTGAGGACGAGCTTGCAAAGACAACATTATGTATCAAAGAGTGAAAAAGGTGCATTTTGCCTTTTTACCCCTTCACTTTATTTTAATAAGAAGTTGAAAAAGATCTGCATAGCAGACGTAGAAGAAGTACACTCTCATCATGCTCACAGTGCACTGACACTTATAAAGCTAACTTAGATCCATACCAAAAATGTTATATTGAAAAAGAGAGGGAGAGAGAGACAGCAACAACAGCAAAAAAGTAGCGGAAAAAAAACTATGCCACACGGTGAACAAAAAAGAATTAATTGGATGTTATTGAACATTATTTGAGCCATTATACCTGAGAAAAATTGCGGTATTTGCAACTGTAATAATCATCTGGCCTTTCAACAGTATTCAATTTTTTTTAAAAACAGACAAACTTAAGATAAAAGTAGACTTGAACAAAGTTTATTTGACAAGATTGCCAATGTCTAGCTATAAAGTTGAAAGCAGTGCCACTCACTGTCAGCACATATACACACCAGAGCTGGCTAGGTTTGAGACAAACACTAGATGGTGCTATTAGATGAGCATTTTCATCATCTGTTGATCGTTTACTACACACCACTACACTTGAATTGTGAGCCAGCTATTCAAACTCCTTTGTGTGGCCCTTTATTTTTTGTGTGGTACTTTATTTTATCCAATCAAACGGGTTACTAAATATATTCTATTATACTTAAACAATAATTTTGTAAAGACGTTTAGAACATCAAAACATGCAAAAGGATTTGCTTCCCTATCCAGTCTGGCAATAACGGTTAAGGCTACTCAGAACAACAGTGAATAATGAATGAAGAACAATGAAGAACTTAAACTGTATATTTGTGGGAAGAAATGAATGGATATTGTAATTATTGTATTTGATGCTGGTCTCACAGCTAGTGTAGATGATATTTTAAGATCTGTTCTTGACAATCTGTTGGCAAAAGTGACACCAAAACACACCTGTTACTTAAAATATAGGCTGGCATTCTTCATATGTTAAAATAGTAAAATAAAATAGCATGGCTCAGACTGTTTACGTTGGTTCATGTTTCATCCATCTATTTCCCTGCAGGGCTTAGAGGGCTGTGAAGACCAAAATCCCAGCAGACGACAGGTAAGTGATCCACCATGCCACATGCCCCTAACATTTTGAACAGTGTATTAGAAACCATGGAAGTTCCTCAATATTATAAAAAAGGCAATACAACTCATTCAGTTAGTTGTGATAATAATATTAATAATATAAATATAACATCAAGTAAATGACCAACTCAAATCCATCAGTTTTGGCAAGGGGCCATTGTCTTTGCAGGATTAAATAATCTCTTTTGTGTTTCTCATAAACAATTTGTCAGCTTTAGATGATTATTTGATACTTTCAGTTGTAAGTCTTATTTCAGTTTTCTGGCTTTCTCTTGAAACTTATATGAAAATTGTCCTGATTTTCACAATTTTGCTTGACATTGTTTACCGAAACAAAGTTTGACCCTTAATTTCTTTTGTTAACATGCTTTCCCTGAAAATCTTTGAGCCACTATTTGTAGTTTACTGTCTTTGGCAAGAAATTCATATTGATTTATTTTTCAGACATGCAGCTACTCTAAAATTTATTAATCAACACGGCAAGAGTAATAGCGGCTGTCATGTAAGATCATGAATTTCAGAGAAAGAAAGAAATCACTTTCTTGTTTTTCTGAATTCACCTTTTTTTCCCCTGGCAGCATTAGCATGATGCCACTAGAAGCACTGTGATACAGGTTTTGTATCAAAGATTGTAACGTGCCACTGTGGCAGGTCACTGGTTGCTTCTACTGTCATTTTGTCTGCCACCTCTGAAACTGTAGACACTATGTAAACACCTGACGGTACCTGATGGCAGGTGACCTTAAAACATTACCAGCCTTAGCTGGCATTTAGTGCGGCAGGTGCTCATTTCATTTCCTGATGTTATCCGTCAGGTGTGATTTTATTATATATCTAGTTATTTATGGCTAGTTACTATCAGCCATGTTGTCTGCTGAGCTCTATGATCCAGCATCAGCTGATTTTTGGGGTGGCGTCATGATATCTAAACACAACACACAAATAATCAACTAAAGCAAGATATAGTAGGAGTAAGGGGATGCCTCACTTTAACTTTGTCTCTCTAATGGATGGTGTTGGACAGGCCATCATTTGAGTAGTTATTACTGCCTGCTGGGCCTGAAAACAAGTTGATGAGGGCTTTGAGGATCAATCAAATCAACTCAGAAGAGAACAAAAGATTTATTTTGGAGAAGGAAATCTCTTCATCCTTTACCTGTAATGTTTATCCATAGCAGGTCACTATAGCCCAGTGTAGCAAACAGTGGGCAGGAGGGGAGACTGACAACCGTTTATAATCCCATTTAGACCTTTGAGCAGTGTAGAAGCAATCAACTTGGCATGTATGTTTGAGGATTGTGGGAGGAAGAGTGTCCAAAGAGAACCTGTGAGGGATCGGTGTGGAGAACATACAGTATGAACTCTGCACAGAAGTGGCCAGGTGCCCACAGTTTAAACCCATAACTTTGGTGCTAACCACTTTATCATATCTAAAATGATCATTATGTTAAATATACAGAATACATTTTAAAAATACCGCAGTTTGTCCTCTCTGGACTGTTAAATGCTCTTTATTTGTTTGATCAGTAAACCAGGTTATTTTTGTTTACTCTACTGTTAGGCTGAGCTGAACCAGTGCTGCCATAACTGAATACCTGAGGGGGAATTTGCTAAAACATTTCAGGTTAAAAACCATTACTTAAAAAAATCAATAATGAGACATAAAATACAACTTTCTGACCTTGTGGTGGAACAAAAAGTGTGACAGCCTTTTCAGTCTAGCTCTTACATAAGTGAGGCTACACTTCTGTTTTAATTGATACAGCTGTTAACGCTGGTTGCATAACAGCTAGCAGGTGTGGAAAATTGAGTGAATGTCAGTGTAAATACTGAGCGTTTGGACCTCATTTGGTAAATCATGCAAAAATTCGCATTCAAAGTAGATTTTCCATCAAGAACGGCAGACGTACTTAATATTAGTCGAAAACAAATGATGTGGTGATGGTGGAAATAATTTCATAATGTGTCTTAATGATTCAGATTAAGCCGTTTGCTTTTCAACAACAAGACCACTCAGCCGAACAACTAATAGGGTTTGCCACAGTTGTCACGAGTCAGTAAGGCTACTTCGTATTCCCCAAGATGAGCTGAGCTGACTTCAGAGTGAAAGGAGAGGGGATATGAGAGTATAGTAAAAAAAACGGTCATCGTCCAGGCAGCTACAAAGACAGAAAAAAGACCCGATTCCTCTCATTTAGCAAAAACAGCTGTCAGAGCATTTCTATTTAACTCCTGATGGACAGTCTTCATATTTAGATGCAGGAGTGATTTCATATCAAAACAGTGACTGACTGTTGATTGTGAAGGAAAAGAAACTTCTGCTGTGACCCTTGCAAACAAACGTCTTAAAGAACTAAAAAAGCGAAAACTCGCAGGAGCAGTTTTGGGAGCTGTAGCCCAAAGGAGGCACTGAGCAATGTTTTCAAACGTCCCCATAGACCCTCCCTTTTGCCTCTTTTTATAGAGCTGAGATTTTGGTAACATCATGGTAGGATTTCTTGCTTACTTTGCTGAGTTCACTCAGTGCAGACGAACTCTTTTTTTCTGTCAAAGTCTTTCACAGTAATTTAAATAAATGCTTTAGGCAATTCTAGTTTATTTGAGTTTATAATGTGGTGTTGTGGGCAAAGACATCTGTTTTAAGAACATAAACTAATTCATTTTTTGCTTTTAATTTTCACATGGTCGTATAAGTAACGGACATGTCTAATCTGTGTCTTCGTCTTCACAGAGACATAAATTTTAACTCCAGAATGATTGCAAATACTATCTTAGTTTGCACCACTCACTGCGTCTGTTCAGTCATTCTACAAAGAGGCTCCATTTTTGTAAAATATGAGTAGCTTAACTTTAATTTTGTCGCTCATAACTTGTCGGAGAACTTGACAAACAAAGAGTCAATTTTTGTCTTACCTATAACCAAACTGTCAGTCATGTTCACATGAACATACTGAAGAAACAGCAACTCTTGAGCCTTGTTCTGTTCTGTCTTGGAGCTGTTTGGGAGAGAGGGAGGGGAGGTGCGGGGAGGAGGAGGAGGAGGAGGAGGAGAAGGAAGAGGAGGGAGGTGGAGAAAGGTTGGAGGGGAACCACTGGCAAAGAAGTCGTTTCATACTGAGCTGTTTGTGCTCACTGGGAGTCACTGCACCTGTGTATTTCAGAACTGGTCACTCACAGTCCAACTGGTTGTTTATCAACGCTGTCATGTCTGCAGCTCGTGCAGCAAACAGCAGGAGGGAGGCAGAGTTGGACCTGCCAGACTCTCAATAACAAAAACTCAGAGCAAAGGATTTGTGTTTGGTGAGTTTCTGCCTCCATCTTGAGACAAAAGAAATCTGAGGAACAAACTTGCCTGGCTGGAATGAAAGGCTGACAGCAAGCAGACTTGTGTGGACAAGGGTGAGTAACTCACAACCAGCTGAAATTAGTTTGTTTGGTCTAAAAGTTTTTAGCTCTTTGATCTGTCTGTAAGTCACTCCAGTAAACTCTGCTAGACTGTAACATTCATGCAGTTTATCTTGACTTGAGGTTTTATTAGTCTGGTTATATATGTGTGTGTGTGTGTGTGTGTGTGTGTGTGTGTGTGTGTGTGTATGTATGTGTGTCTGCACAGGCGCGTGTTGGGGCTCATGTTTTGTTTGCTGAAATTTATGATGTGTTGGCTGGTTTGTGGTTCATCTTTGGGTTAGACTCAGCTGCTCTGCTCCTCTCAGGGCTTGTCTTGTTTTCTCTTGTTCATTTGTTCAGACATCTCACATGTCCAGAAATAAACACACGCGCACACTTCCACACACAGGAAGCGACAGGACAGTGTGATGTCTTCACTCCACAGCCGACAGGATTTGCTCCTGCTGGTTCAAATAACAGCAGTCCACTTGTAAACCAATCTTCTGTTGTACCCTCGCTCAGTTTTTAACAAAAAAATGGTTCAATAAGTCTGGGATTTTCTGGTGGATTATCTCTGACTTCAAATTAAAACAAAAACAACAAAAAAATTGTTGCTGTTTGTTTTTGAACATTGCAGTGTTATTCAGTTTTTTTCAATTAATTCAAGTCAGGGTACAACCATCAACAGAGGTGAAAATGGCACCATAAATGCTAGTATTCTTGCACTGTACGTGAAAAAAAGAAGCAGAAGTTGTGTTTATGGTAAAGTTTATTGTTAAAACTGCATCTAAAGTCAAGGTGTATTTTTTAAAAGCTTAAACTATTCTGAAAGAAGAGGGTAAAGCCTCTCTGACAGTTACTTAGGGCTAAACAAGCATGCTGAGTTTTGCTGTATAAAAAAATCATCAGACATCATCCCAGCGGTATTTCCAATCCTTAAAGTCACAGATCACAAAAAAGTCATTTTTAGACATCATAGTTTTGGGGCTTCCTTGAGAGCCACAAATTGTTTTTGTGTTTAAATTGAAACTAAACTGACATAAGAAGTTTGTGTAGGAAAAAGATATCGATTTGTGAATATAGACCTTACTGTTTGTCCACTGTGATTGGTCCATTCTTTAAAGCCACTTTTACAAGTGGTAGCTCATTCTAAGATCATGGTTTCTGCTGGTATCTTGGTCCAGGTGTTGAACAGATATACAAGTTTTCATATTTGGAATGTAATATGGTGAAATCAGTCCATGTTCTTGCAGTAAATATTCCCTGGTCCTTAAGTGTCTTGATGTAATACAATTTTTTAACCACTTCGAAATAGATAAATGAGAAGTGATATCCACAAAAAGACCCTGCAGTCAGTCCATCCCTCTTAACCCCTCTTCTTATAAAGGGCTTGGGTTATGGTGTCTGCATGCAAAGAGAGGTTTTCCAGACATCCCTCCTCCATGGAAGTTTCTACAGCTCCTAAACTCTAAGATTTTCTTAGGCCAGATGAGATATAATCCCACCAGAATTTCCTGGTGTCCCTGCCCCCAAGTAGGCTTGTCCAGAGACACTTCAAAGGCAGGTGTGCAGGATGCACCCCGTTTAGTGTTGCCGAAATCACCTCAGGTGGCTACTTCCTTCCTGTGGTACAGGTGCAGTGGCTGTATTCAAATCTCCCTCCTGATGATAGAGCTCCTCACTCTGTCCAAGGATAAGATAAGCACTTAATTAGAGGAAACTCTTTTTAGCTGTTTGCATCTCAGTCTTTGTGGTTCGTAGGGCTGGGCAATTAATCAGAAATGAATCCTAACCAAAGTTCAGAACTGCTAACTGAGGTAATCTTGTCTATATTGGTTGTTGATTTTATGAATTTCTGTTAAAAGTATAATGAGGGTCATGAGCTGTGAAGGATAAAAGTAGGTAATCTAGAGGCTAAAATGTGAAATGATAATAGTTTGTGTGTTGAAGTTGCCATCAGCCAGTTTTTCTGTATTAGATACACAGTGTGAGCCATGAGAGCTGTTTGTGTTTATTTACAGGTATGCATTTTAAATTGTGAAACAACATTAGCCTCGCATGCATTTTTTAAAATTCAGTTTGCCACTTGTAACTTTTGTTCTGTAACTTCATGTTAAATTCAGCTATCAGTGTGAAGTTGGAAGCATCTTTCACTGCAAATTAGCTGGCTGAGGTGCCCAGCTTGGGGGTTTTCGTAGTACATGAGGTCTCCTCAAGCTTGTTTTGGGGATACTCAAAAGCCACCAGACACAGAGATTGAAAACGTTTTACCAGGACATTACCCCATCTTTGGACACAATGTCTAAAGACCAGTAAAGAGTCAATGTGAAAGGAGATTTCTGAGACTGGCAAAGCTAACGCATATCTGCCACCAACACTGTGCCTCCTCAGCTCGTGTTTTCTGCCACCAGAATCAGTTTGACCCCTATGAGCTCCTGACTGACACCGTCCATGTGTCCATGCTCAACTTATCAATAAGAACAAGTATGCAGAAAACTGAACACTGGGAGTCAGTGATGCTTCTCTGTCCAGTTTCTTTGCTGGAGCATTTTTAGGTTTTGTTGTTTGAGACTTACTCTGTATGATGGTATGTTGTACTGATTATTATAAATATATATGATTTGGGGAAATTTGTTATTCCTTTTTTCATAGGAAAATTTTAAATTTGTCATTGATTAATTGATCACTGATCATTAAGGTTTCTGAAGATAGATGGGTAATAAAACGGCATCCCTATTCTGAGGATTTATCCTAAGAACAGAGCAGTTTTTAAACATACTATGATTAGTACAAACTGAATAATCAGAACATTGTTGCTGTTGTCTTTGCATGGTAATACTTTGTAATGATGAGATCAGAAGTCGCCCTAGGCTCCTCTCCCATGCAGGTGTAAGTGAGAGTTGCCGTGGTTACATCCATGGTCTGTGTCTGGAGCTGAAAGGGATCCTCTCTTTATTGCATGGACTGTGCTCTCTGATATTATGTGTCATAGAAATGAATCACAGTCTGAATGATGATCATAGGGTTACACTCTAACCTTGGTTCTGTGAGTGAAGAGACAATCTTTCAAGCTTGCACATGTGATGGAGAGGAAGTTGATAGAGAACAAGTTTTGGGGATTTTGTTTGACCTGTGTTGTAAATGCACAAAATGAACATTTGAGTCATGTAGTTCAAGGCTGTGTATTCACAGCCTTCAACTATAGAAATCATGAATTGTGAGCTATAGCTGACCAGGAAAAACAGATATGCTCATTTCGTACATGGTTTTACATTACCTGAAAAAATCTGAATGTGTGTTATTGTGTGTTTCAGTTGTGGGGGGCAATCTTTTTTGTGGTACCAATCACATCCTTGATAAAGAGTTGATCTGTACGTTCCCTTCTTTGTTCTTTAAAAAAGAAAAGCACACAAATAAGATGTATGCTATTTTATCAGAAACAATTATCCCAGCTTTAATTGTTGATTTGGAACAAACCTTGTAAAGGAACTATGAGGGCAAAAAAGTCAAAAACAAAAAAATAAATTCATTGATCATATTTGAGGTAAAATGTTCAATTAATCATGATATTGATTTCAGGCCAGTTTAGGTTTTCAGCCCAAAGCTTCAGACCAAAGGTGAGGGTTGTAACTTAGATTTTCTGATACCACAAGAAGCCTTCCTTCCAGGTGAGCTCACTCAGACAGAACAAGAAAGACTTTAACTTTGTAATATGATATTTGAAATGTTATTCAATGAAGCATAGGTATCATTCTCTCTTAATTATAGTCTCTTCTTCACTAACAACCCAGGATGAACAGAGCCAGATGAGTTCAAAGGATAATTAATAGTCTTTGAGCTTCATGAATATGTTTTGCCGTCACTGAACTGAAGAGCTCAAAACAACCATTGATAAAGAAATGTACGGTCAGCTTATACAGCCTAATGAAGTGATATTAGCGCCATTTTGAGCACTGTGTCTTGCTGAGTTAATTTATCCAGTGTCTTTTAACATAATGTGTTAAAGTGCAACGTCTAAATTCCGTCTAAAAATATACAGAATCTAGACGGTTGAAATTAGGTCTAAAAAATAACTAGACGTCTATTGTTCAGTGGGCATCGCTTTATAGCGCCCTTTAGGAAAACAAATCATTACTCTAAATCTTTCATTGCTTCTGCCATCAGGCCTAGAACCTTGACAGTCATCACTCGAAGTGGCCACATAGGTGCAAAGTGCGAGAGCACTTATTATCTATCGTCTCTGACATGTACCTGTCTGACTTTGTTTGTAAATGTTCTGTATGCAGAGTCTGAGTTGACTGCTGAAACCTAAATTGCCCCTTTGGGATTGATAAAGTTGTCAAAACTGAACTGAGCAACAATATAACAAGGGTGTTTCATAGTGTTGCAACAATGTGAAAGAACACGTCATTATGTTTAAAGATACAGTGTAAGCTTTGAATGCTCACACACTGTGATACACATGCTTTGGGGGAACATTAAAATAGGTCTCTGCTATGGTTAGTGCTCCTGGAAATAATGACCAATATCATTATTACACCCACATAAGCATCTGGCTTCCAATAACTGGGCTGCCAAACCTGAGAATGTTAAAAATGTGTGACTTTTGTTTCAGAAGACAAGGCGGGGTCAGAAGATGGAGGTACTTGACAGTATTACTGAATGTGTAGACTTATTTAAAACAAAATGTGTTGGTACAGAAGTAGCTGGAAAAAATATTGACAAAAAAAAGTGATGGGGGTTGTTTTGAAGAGAAGCATGTTTCAGGCTGTGCATGCTTCACATTCTTAGCTGCTGACCTCCATGGAAAATAACAACAGCCGGGCTTGAAGGTCATCTTGCAGTGACCAGTGGCTGAGGCTGAGCAGTCAGTGGTACCAAACTAGATGTTTGTAAGCCCAGTGATCTTCTGCCCTGCTACGTATATGTTGAGGGTGGGGGGGTGACGTGATGATCATGAAACAGCGTGAGCGTATGGTCATTCGATGGTAGTAATCCTCATGTTCCAATAATCAAAGTACTTATGAACCATTTATTCAGTACACGCAAATTATACGTATTTTATCAGTCGGCTGATCATCAGTATTGCTTGTCGAAAGGACAGCAGCTTTCTATTCCCTGTTATGAATGTAATGACAAGTAATCATGGTAATGTACGACTCCGTGGATAGACCTGTCCATGAGTCTGTGGTGACAACCACTTTGTCAACACTCTAAGGCAGTCCCCGATCCGGCTGCACTTTCAGTTTTTTCCCCCTTTTCTCGTAGTTGTCTGCAGAGATAGTGGCTTGAACTCCGGCTCAACAAATGCCAACAACTTACAGAAGCCTTCCCCTCTCACAAAACTCAGTCAGGTTATCATCACACCGGCGTCCAGTAACAGCACTAGCAAATGCTGTGATGCGAGACTTAGAGTGCATGTGGTTAAGGATCCAGCTAGTATTTCTATGGTTTCTTTTTTTGTCAAAATACTTTTGGATGTCAGTTTTCACACAATGCATGCACAAGTAGTGTAACGATACTCGAATAACGACGGTAACCATAAGTTCTTGAGTAATCGAGTATTCGTCTCCATCCTTATAATACACACACCAGTGCTGGTGCTCGTTTTATGTACAGATTCAGCTGTGCTGGAGGCCTGTCACCACACACACACACACACACACACACACACACACACACACACACACACACACACACACACACACACACACACACACACACACACACACACCATCAGGGTTAATGAATATCATTGCAAACAGTGCATATTGAGTGCCTTTGAACCAGTGAATTCATGTATGGATTAGTTTTGTGCTTTGTGTTAAGACAGGGGGGTAAAGATAACTGGTCTGAACCTGCTCTTTTCTCTGAGGTCGGACAGCCCCTCATAAAAAAAACGACTCTAATAAACTAACTCCTGGTGTGCCTGCCAGACCACACGCTTGCTGTCGGCTGTAAAATATGACCAGGCTGCTTCCCCTTTTTCTCTTCTCACTCTTTGCCCTTTTGACCCCTTCTCATCTCCTCTTTTTTCTCGCTCTACCTCTTTCCCCGTGTCTTTTCCTTTTCTGTCTGTTCCTGTTTGCACTTCCCCTGCTTTTGTCAGCCACTGCTTTTCCGTATTTGTCTAGTTAAAGAAGTATGGATTATTTGATGTGACAAGAATAATGTAAGAGTTAAATAGATACCAGACTTTTGTTTGTTTTGGTACCTATTCAACAATTCACCTGTTTGATGATGCCTAAAGTGAAACTTGTCTTTGCTGTCCATACAAAGAGAAAGCAGAGATTGTACTAAACTTTTATGATTTCCTGAGCCTTTGCAAAGCTAAATCCAGTAATTTGAAGCAGCAAGTGAGTTACACGGTTCCAGCAAAGCATATGAATTATAAAATTCATACACATGTTTAAATCAATGTGTAATCACTAAGTTGTCAAAGTAGTTTTGTTTTTGTTAACTTATAATGAGCCTTTTGTATCGATACAGGAGCACGTTTCTGTCCATGGAGACAACCCTCCTGTTCTGACATGTTTCTACAGCAGGGCAAAACAAACTGGAAACAAATACTTTTTGTATTAAGTGAGTGGAAATTAACCAGTTGAAAGACAGAAGAAGTTGTTTGTATTGTGAGTTGTATTGGAAGTTGTTTCTGATGGTAAAAACTTGACAAATGAAGGAGCAAACTTGTCATGCATCATGGGAGTTCCTTGTCCTTGAGGGCCAATGTCGTTTCACCTACAGAAGGGGTGAACAGGTGAGCATTTATATCTCTGACCAATAGATATTGCTAGATATTCCCTTTTCTACAGATATTACTTTTAATTTGAAAAACCTACCACCTTTTCAAAAAACAAAAACTTGTATCCATGCTTTGAAAGCTCAGCTCCCCCTAAGCCTAACTCGTGAAATTTTTTGTTTGGAAAAATGTAAATATGTTCCATTTAGTGATTTTTCCAGAATGCGAAAAAAACAACCAAAAAAACCAACATATTTTTAGGGATAAAACCCAGCATGTGATGTTGCATGAAGCAGACATAAGTTGTCTTGACAAACAGGCCTGTGTGTTTCTGTTTGCTGAACAGATATATATAATCGCTGGAGTCGAGGATGGCTTCGTACCAGCTGGATCTTTTTCCTCTCTGAAGGGCCTCACTCTGTCAGTCTCAGTAACCTGGGGGTTGTTTCTTAGAAATCTGGCTTTTGACCAGAGGACTGGACCAAAAAAAAACAAAAAAAAAACAACATACTGAGAGGGATTAGGAGTGTGGAAGAGCTTCTAAAATTACAGCCCTCAGAACATATCCAGATGTTGCTGTCCTGATTCTCCCCAGGTAACACACATGACAGAGTCGCAGTGTGGAGGGGCCAAAAGTGGAGAGAGTGGCTCTTGTAGAGCAACCCCGATCCCCAATTTTATTAGTTTTTTTTTGGTCCTCCTGGACTCCAGCTGGTGATATCAACCTGCCACAGAGACAGAGGCTCTAACAGTGTGAGTTAGTGTGAAGCAGTTGGGCTCTGTGTCTGCTGCTGATCACATACTGAACCAGTGAGAAATGCACAGCAGTATGAGCTACTGTGCAAAGGGCTTGTTAACTGTTACACACCCATCTGACATCTTCACGATGTTTGATCTTTGAAGTCATGAGTTCATGCTTTCAGAGAGACAAATGTACATTTTCTTACAAAGCCAAGAGGCTTTAACCTTTGCTTTAGATCTGATGTGTTTGAAAAACGTGGAACTGAAGTACTCTGGGGGAAGCAACATCAGTTATCTTAATCTTTAGAAAAAATGGATCGTCAAAAGAGGGTACAAATTTTACAGTTCAGTCCAGTTCACAGGTCAAGAGTCAGTTAAGTTCATGGAGCTTAGCCGGGATTTAAACTGTTATTTGTAAAGACCATTTCTGTATTGCTTTTGCTTTTCGGATAAGCGGAAAGAAATTGTATTCTGATCGAGAGGGGTGGTTCATGCGATCATTATTCTGAAATCTGTCCATGTATACACTCATTCCGATCGTGACTCTCTGTTGGGGCAAAACTAATCTGACTGCACTTGTGTTCCCAAAGTCAGCGTGACACAGTCCACTGTTAGTGACAAGACGTAAACATTGCGGGATCCAAGAGTGATTGGTCTGTGTCTGACACAACTTTCTTGCTAGATACAGTCTCCTCATGTAACGCAGGATCAGTATGTGCTGCTGGACCCGCTTGATGATCATGTATGCTAGGAGCAATATAACTACTCAGAACCTGGCTCGGGTCCATTCTGAGCAGAGGGAAAAATCCTGAATTAGATGGAGTGGGACAACATCGCGTTTGTTGGTTTGTTGACAGCACAGGTGTAAATACAACTCTTCTGCAGTTGTTTTAGCGAAATTAGACAATTACACATGTCCAAATGCTTCTAATCTGAATAAAGCTTGGTGCATGTATTTTGCGCCTATATAAACAGTGGATTCAGGTTTTCTGATCCCCCAGATTTTTAATTTAATCAAGAAATTTTGCACATCTAAACGTGGCTTCTGAGTGTGCCGGTGTTTCAGTTATGGGCACTGCAGATGATGTGAAATGTTCCTGTACTTGTTTTACTACTCTGCTCATGTTTTGGGATTTTTACCAAGCATAATTACTGTTCCTGCTCTCACTGTGACTGTTGCGCATCCATGAGTGGAGTCATGCATTGTCTCTGACCAGTTGTCCTTATGTCTCTTTTCTTGGTTACATGGTGAATTTGAAAAACTTTGATATGCACATTGTGCAAGCATCATCAGGTTGCTGCCTCTGATGTTTCTCTGTGCCTGTAGTGACCCCTGTATTCTTTTATTTTACAATTCCTTTGCATCTGTCTCTTCTCACAGCATGGACAGGCAGGGCCAAGACAGACAGGCATCTATCTCATGCACGTATCAGTTTCAAGCAGAGGCGAAACATGAAAAGCCAGTGATGATTAATTTTTCATTCATCTGTGGATCACGCATAGGCTGTGATCAGCTGGGTGGCCTGAAACAGATCGACTGATTCGTCACTCCACAAATTGCAAGAGAATGGGTGCATCTAAATTTTGAGATATGACAAAATAAATCAGTGTTCAAACAGAGTGTCAAACAGTTGATATACAGTGATACTACTGCCTAGCATCTGTGACTGGCAGCAGGGGACAGAGAGTGATATAAATGATGTTTCTCCCACACAGATTATGTCAAAAAAAAAATAAAACAAACAAACATAAACAATAAAACCTTCTCAGTCCCCCCTTCCGTCTTCTGGGTCCTAGTTTAGTTAATTCTCCAGTCAGAGTACAAGTCCCAGTCATCACTGGTCATGTCCAAGTCAAGTCATGAGTACTGGACTTGAGCACTACAACACTCTGCAAATGAACTCAAAAGGCCATAAATAGGCAAGGGCAGGCCTATTAGTCTGTCTGAGGGTTAATGCTGTGAAATCACAATGACACTTGTCGAGACTTTCTGCAAATTTCTTGAAATTTGGCGGTCAAAGGTCAAGGCTTCTGTAACCTGTCAGCAAATAAATACTCTTTGTCACCTCCCCACAAATATCTTAGAGTTGTTGGATGATATGAAGGATGGTAATTCTTATTTTGTTTTTACAAGGTCTGCTTCTCTTGAAAAAGGTTACAGATGAATTTTGGAAATAAGTTTTAGAAACCACTCACATGGAAAGTACTTAAGTGGTTGCAGTTAATTTTCACCTCAGCCACAACTTTTTTTCTTGTTTTTAAGAACCTTTTCTCAACTGGTCTGGGGAATGAGGTTAAAAAGTGAGTACACTCTGACCCATATTTTGATCCCTGGCTTGTTGAAGTAGTGTGCATTCATTTAGAACTGTACATCCAAACAAAAACACCTTACTGCCGCTCCAGTCCTGGTTTATAACACCAATAGCCAAGAGGATAATCAATTTCATCAGCTGAGATTTGGCTTTGAAAGGATTTACATCTATGAAAGTCATGAGGAAAAACCAAATACTGATATTTGCCTTTAATGTGGAAGGTTTGTCTCAAGAGCATGAGATACAGAGGCAACATCGGCGTCATAGCAGTTCTTCCCATTACTTTCCACACTGTTCTCATGGTAAGCCTCTGCATTGTGTCTAATCCATGAGTGGAAATGCAGACCCTTTAAGCAAGTGGAAAGAATGATGCTCCAGTGTATTGGATGGACCTTGTGTGCAATTTTTGATGTGGCCAACAGTCAGATGGGGACAAAGTTTCTACCACAAACGCTGATAGGTCTTGCCTAGTTGCTCTTATATCCTCTATTCATATTGAGAAGACATGATATATGGATGTGATATGGAAATACATGGTGGTTACCAGAAAAATGCAGTGTATTTTACGTACTTATATGATTAAGATTTTGATATTCCCCTATAATAGTGATAATAACCTTTTTCTTTTTCCTTGTGCAAAAAGGAATCACTCTGGGGTCCTGTTGTAGCCTGCAGGATGAACAGGAATATGCTGTTATAATACATGTCTCACAAGAAGTCAGCTCTGTGTGTTTTTACAGGAGGGGCTGCATAAAAGTGATAGTAGATTGGTAGTGGACATAAGAGAGATTTACCTCCCCATCACCCACGCAGACACAGATATGTATGTGAAAAGTAGTGTAATGAAGTAGTTTGTGAGTGACAACAACCAGACTGCATCCTGGTCAGAGCAGAATTACAGAAATCTTAGATCTCTACATTTCTCATCAGTTTAGATGTTGGCAGCGAACAGTGCTGCTGAATTTTATTTCCATTCGAACAGGCCTACCTGCTTAAAAGTGTACTTCAACTGATGATTTTGTTTTCTTCAGTCCAAACTGATAAAGAGAAGTGGGCCGTTGATGTTACTTCTCAAAGTACCATCTGTTATTCCCAACAATCACCACTGAATTATGAGCTGCTCTAGCTATGCTAAACTTTCTCATTTCTAACAAACTCTTCACAGCAAAAGTCTTTTAGTTTTATTGAAGTTTTTTTTATTCTAAAACAGCCATCTTATATATTTCAGCAGTAACTCAAAACAACACATTGTATACAAAGGAGTAGGAGAGAAATTAATTTTACATCACCGAGACTCGGTAAGAAACTACAATGTCAAAAATCAGACTCCCTGACTTGTTTTAGGAGGAGAGGGGTTTTATTGAGTCAACATATGTTCACATTAGTGATTCCTATACATACTTCTGTACATTTTCTTAAACCACAATAAAATTCCATCATCACAAAACCACTGCGCATATACACATCAGGGTTTGGACTAGGGCTGGGCGATATGGCTGATAACGATAAATGGACGATAACTTTTCCACAAGCTGCTCACCTCCTCCCACATTAACTTTGTCTACTTCAGCCGCTACAACTTTTGAACCGTCCTCCATCTCCTCACCCGTCTTTCCTTCTATGTTATGGACTGGATGGGGTGGAGTCACGTCTCTGACGTAGGACAGCGTCTTAAAGGGACATGAGACCATAGCCTACCTACACACATCTAAAACCAAATTTTCTTTAATTTTTTGACACCGAATATACCGATATGGGCACAATGATGTCAGTTATCGTCGTAAATTTCGGTATGGCTAAATTTTCGATTTATCGCCCATCCCTAGTTGGGATGGTCAAATATAAAACAGCCCTTTTTTGTAACTAGCAGTAATAATTTTATGAGCCCTTTATCTGAAATTGGACAAATGTATGACGCATGTATGTAAATGTATGAGATGTATGACATTTAACAAAGATTGTCTGCTGGAAAACAAATTAAAAAAATCATAGTTTTACAGAATACTGTCCTGCCATCAGGATAACCAGAGTTTTATAATTAGCTATGGTTTCATACATGCATAATAATGCTACATCAGTCTTGCTTGAAATCAAAATCAACTTCAGAGTCACACATTTGATTGGATTATCGTTGCTAACCTTACTAAACCAGTGACAGATACAGGTACAGACACTAGTCCAAAGAAAGTTCTGACCTCTGATTAAGTCATCTCATCGTCACACCCACAGGCGTTTCCTGTGTGTCTGAGAGTTTGATGCGTCAAGGTTGACAGTTGCCACAAGACATTTAGCAGAGTGGCCAGCACCCAGCTCGTAATATTTTTCACAGACGTCTGGATGTCACTGAGGGGCTTTTAATGCAATAAGCACAGGTTTCATGCAGTGGCTCTTATTTTATTTGATTAAAATGAAGAAAAACAGACCTATCATCACATCTGAAAGGAACATTTTTTATGTACTTGCCTGTCATTATATCTGGGATCATATAAAGTTGAAGTCGAGTAGAGTGGATCAGTCTAGGCCTGGTGGAGCATCGTTCCACAGCCCTCTGGTGGTGTGTGCTTTTCATCTTCTTGACTCCCTGGTCAGTTGTCTGCTCTTTGGAAAGAACACATTCCAGGGCCATTAGGGCAGGGATCGCTTTCAGCTGTAGGTGTAGTCTATACACCCACTGTTCTTCAAAGGGAGGTCAAACCTTGACTGCCTTCTCCACTAGTTTCCACTGGTTTGCTGTCAGTGAAGTTGGGAGTTCTCCATAGAATATTTTGTTTCCAGATGAACTGATTGTGTTAAATGCAGCTCCACTGCTACCACAGAACAGTTATATCGCATGTATTGTTTGGTCGGACAGTTTTTTCTTTCTAGTTTTGAATTTTTCCACACTGCTGACATTTTAGCCCCATGAGAGCTAATGCTGAGTTACTCTTGCATTTTGCTACATTTGCTGATCCCTGATCAGTTTGAAAAACACCCTAATCAACTCCGATTGTACAGTTAAAGTCAGGATTATCCTTATATATGCAGTATATATATAATTTTTTAAATCTAACCTTTATTTAACCAGGTAAGAAACCCATTGAGATCGAGATCTCTTTTACAAGGGTGACTTGGCCAAGAGGTCAGCAGAACACGTTACAATGATAATATTACAATTCAGAGACAGAGAATATGCAGGTGTAGTTTGATGAGGGGAGGTGGTTATTCGGCTTGTTTACTAGGACCTAAGCCTCACACATAGTGGTCTTGTGTGCTTGTGTTTGATATGGTGGGATTCCTATTTCAAAACAAAAAACACAATCTATGTTTTGAAATTTTACAGTTTGTAAATTACCACACATTAGCTTCTCATATGCATAAAGTGAGGTGTACTGATATCCTCTCTGGTCTCTAAGTGTATGTATTACATTGTCTCCTGTCTGCTTATGAATAGTTTTGGTGTTCAATTCTCACACCTGGCTTGACATTTTCATGGTTTTATTTATACTTTGCGGTACTTATGTTACTCATATGTGCATAAATCCTTGCCCTCATCATCACTGTTTACGAACAGTATAGCATAACTCTATTTCTTTTCTCTGTAAACAGTGAAATTGTAATGAGAAAAAGCGTGAATAAGAGAGTCTCATAAAAGTTTGAAATGACGAGGCTCTTGCGTTTTCTGTTGCTACTGTGTAAACTGAGACTGAATGCTTTGTTGACGTTTTCCTGAAAGTCAGGTCAGAAAAAATGTAGCTTCTCGCTCTTTGTACCACCCGTCACAGTAGTGTCGCTGGTTTGTTGTTTTTCCCCTTCTTTGTTGAAGCTGGAAATTCTGTAACTCACTATTTTGTCATGCATAAAAATCTGAAAGTACTTCAGAGAGATGTTCCAAATGCTTTCTTTGCCTCAGTATTGTGCTGTTGTTGTAACTGTGTGATTGACAGCAGTTGGCATGCTGATCTCTGGCAGGGGCACAGAGAGACAATGAAAACAAACAAACCCTAACCCTGGGAACTGTGGCTAACAAGCCTTTGACATGTTTTGTAAGATATTATTAGCAGCTGTTTCCATGAGTAAAGGCCACGTGCTATTGGCTAAACATAAAAAAAGAAATACTAGAAAGTCTCAAGCTGTTGTTGTAATTTTCATGTACAATGTGTTTGATACTATCTACAACAGTTTGATACTGTTTATCAGAATATCTCAACAAATATTGATTAGGTTGATGTGAATTGCCCAATGGACTAAGACTTTTGGCGTCCCTCACAGGATGAACTGTAATAACCTTTAATCTTGTGAACTTGTAATCTATCACCATCAAGAGCTCCAAGTGTCACTGTTGCAATCATTTATCAAAGATCTGCTAAAGTAATGACATTTTCAGCAGTCACAGGCATCATGATAGTAAGCAGACACATTAAAGGACAGGTAAACACTGTCAACTTACACCTGCTTCATGTTAGTAGCATTGCTTTTACTAATTAGTTGTACTTAGAGTTTTGCATATCTGTGTCCTCTTACTCTGCATCCTTTCAGATTTTTTTTTTCTGTTGACAGTCTTCATCTTACGAAGGAGTATTAGGGCCATATTAAGAAAAAAAAAGACTTAAAGATTAAAATAATTAATTTACGAGAATAAAATAATTACTTTCGAGAATAAAGTCGTAATAAAGTAATTACTTGCAAGAATAGAGTCGTAATAAAATCATTATGATACTCATGATAATGTTGTGCTGATGTGCTAAAAGATAAAGAATCTCTTTGATTGAGAAACCTTTATTGAAGTAAATTTTCATGAAATGCGCCATGGCTTTTATTTCAACAACTGTTATCTGAAACAACAGGTCAGAATATGAGGACTTAATTCTGACTTTATTCTCATAAGTAATTACTTCGTTACGACTTTGTTCTCGTGAGGAAATATTTGATTATTACTTTAGTCTTGTAAGTAATGATTTAACTAAGACTTTTAGCTCATAAGTAATTACTTTATTATGACTTCATTCTTGTTAGTAATGACTGTATTCCTGTTAGTAATGACTTTATTACGACTTCATTCTTGTTAGTAATGACTTTATTTTTGTTAGTAATGGCTTTATTAGGACTTTAATCTTGTTAGTTCTTGTAACTTAACAACTTTAATCTCAAAGTCTTATTTTTTTTTCTTAATGTGGCCCTGATACTCTGTTGTTTCATCTTTCCTCTCATTTTCAATAAAGTACTTTGTCTTCTTGGGTTTGGGAACCACAGGACCTTGGGCTTTATTTATTTATCATCTGCAAACAGAAGTATGAAAATATTTTTTAGTTGCTCTAAGTTGCTTTAAATCCCCGGTAACGCAACAGTAACACACTTGATTTTTGGATTAGTTTGGTATGAGTTGTATTGATTAGTTGTGCATGCCAGTGACAAAGGGGACAAGAGACAAGTATTTTTGACCTCTAGTCTCAATGGCCCCAGTTATGACAGCAAGACGCAGGTTGAAGAGTACCAGAGTCTGCCTTCAACAGTGCCACATTGTGCCTGATCATTCACCTCTCACACTATTTAGACTTAATTGGCTGCAGCTGTTTCACCCTCTACAGAAGATAGGTGCCTCCTGTTCTCTGTACTTTTCATGCTGAGCTACATACATTGTGTGTAAAGAAAATCTCAGCTTATGTTTCTTTATCGTCTTACAGAGGTATAATTGTCTGTGTATGTGCATTCTAGTTCTTCGTGCGAGTGTAAACAAACACTCATGCTTTCACTCATGCCCATGCAAACTGTACCTGATGAGCAGTAAATGGAACGGAGTAGGGCCACCTGGTTCCTGTGTGTTTCGGAGAGCTTTACTTTTAGGGCGAGCCTTGCTACTTAGTTAAACAAAGGGCCTCCATGTTGGTCCTCTAGATAAACACACTTTCCTGAGAAAACACGGACACGGTTACACTTTAACCTGCCCAGGGAGGCCTCAGCTACATCCTCCCGGACAGTTTAGGTCAGACCGGGCTACAGTTCAGACCCGCAGTGAGAATCATGCGCTGCACGTGAAACCATGCTGGCCTGTCAAACAATGGAGCCTTTGACAACCATACCCCCCTTCCTCGTCTACAGTACAGTCAGAGTACTGTCTCTCCAGGGCTTGGGTGTCACTCCACATCTCTGTTGTGCTCCCCTGGAGCTGACCAGCTGGCTTCTAGGCTCTGGGATGTGAGAGCAGCAGCACAGAGGAGCTACAGTCAAAGTTCAAACCAGATTAGCCCAGCAGAGGGGCCAGCAGTGACCCAACCCAGTCAAGTCCAGGCTATTCCTGCATAAATAACTTGATAAGCTGCGCCACTTGAGAGGAGGTTGAACCAGTCTTTTTTAGTCTGACCCTCCCTGGATAATCTCAGCTCTGGTCTGGCCCCACGGTCCCACCAAGGGATGCTTGTGACTTTGACTTTGACTCCTTGGTAGGAGAGTTGATGGTTTTACATGCAACAAGGCGCCAAGGGTTCAGTGTCAAACTCATGCAAAGAAAAACAGCATTATGTGATGTATAAAGTTAGTTTGAATCTATTTTTATCAATGAACTTAGAACCCAGATTGAACACATTTATAAGCCTTGCAGCAAAGTTGTGATAAACAGCTCTAGTTTTTGCATCTACTAAAGGAAGTGTTTGGCCAATAGTGACAAATCCTTCTGCATTTTTAGGCATCACTGAATTCAATATTCCATATACAAAAAAAAAAAAAATTACAAGGTATCTTCATGAAGTTTAATTATAGTTCTGGGAGGCTTATTTGTATAATGACAGTGTTGAATGTCATTAATAAAAATGTCAGTCGTACGTGGATTACAGGTGCTGTCTGCTATGTTTAGTTAAGTCTGAGTCTTATCACATGTTTTCGCTCACTATCTCTGCGCATGTTAAACACAAAATGAAAGGAGTAAGTGAACAGCATATCACTCTGCCTATATTACTGGATAAACAAAAGGTTTGACTGGTTATGCAAGAAGGCAAGAATCTTGTTTCTGCGCTGAAGTTGACTCTGAAGCTGTTGGAAGTGTAAAGATAAGGAAAATGAAGGGTCAAATGAAGTTAAAAAGCTTCAACATTTGAAACAATGAATAAAGGACTCTTATCTCTATGGTAGATGATGAACATAAATACATGCAATAAGTGTTATCTGATGGTGTAGTTATGCAGAGCTGCCACCTCCCCCTCGGCACAGCGTCAGTCGTGTAAACACACAGCGCTCTGGAGGAATGCTGGACTCTGTGACCTCCCGCCCCGAGTGCTGTTACAGTGCACTGAGTTCAGTGAAACAGCCCGCCCCATGCTGCGCCTCCCCAAAGCTCCGCCTCACCCTATCCCAGCCTGAGGCCCCACAGGGTGGAAAAAAACACACCTCCCTCACCCAACACCACCACAGCCTCCTCAAATACACACACACACATACACAAACATGAACGGACAGACACACACAGACATAAAGACAGACAAGTGCTCCCTTTCTTTACCCCCCAGCTGTCAGAGCTGTATGTTCTTGTAGCTTCAACAACTTTGCCATTTGAGGATCTACTTGCAAGGTAGTTTAGCGTACTTCTCCCTTTTTCAATTGTGTTATCCGGCAGAGTGAAGACGAATAATAAAAACAGAAGTTCCAAACTTTAGTGAGCTCTTTAAATTTTCAGTAAAAACTCAAAATCACATCCAAATACTATGAAACGTTGGAAGCCTGTTCTCTTTGTCATGAGTATCTGAAATCTATGAATGAAAAGCACACAGAAAAAAACAGAAACAAGCTAGATTATTTTATTTTTCTCAAGAAATAAGCTCTGTCACTGACTCCAACTAAACATCCAATGCATGTAGTTTGGTGGAGGCATAGTATAAGTAGGGTCAAGCAGACACTGCCCTCTGCTGGAGAATGACTGAGGAGGGAGGGCAGCTGAACATCGAAGAGATGTGAGTTTGATGAAGTCGCACACAAAGTAATGAGGAACCCATGCAAGGCAGAGACGGTGAAGTCCAGGACTGATAGAAATTCAATGTAATCTCTAATAGCTGCACGCCAGCTGTAACCCCCTTCAGTGGATTCTTTCATTGATCGCAGAGAAGGCACAGTAAAGCGAACATCAGTGATTACCACTCTGCTGCACCTCATCATATTAAACACAAGGGGCCCTACACATGTGTGCGATACCCATGGACACACACACACGCACGCACGTGTGCAGACTCACATGCACACACAGGCACACAGTCACAGTTAGCTGTTGTCTGAGGAAACGAGGAGCTGTCTGGTGCCATAGCAACCAATGCGGATATCCCACCCTACCAGAGTGAGGGCGAAAAAAACAGAAATGGCAGTGACAGATTGACAAGACCCTAATGAGATCTTCCACACAGACACTAATCTATCTATCTATCTATCTATCTATCTATCTATCTATCTATCTATCTATCTATCTATCTATCTATCTATCTATCTATCTATCTATCTATCTATCTATCTATCTATCTATCTATCTATCTATCTATCTATCTATCTATCTATCTATCTTGTCTGTCCATCTGTCTGAGTAATACTGTATGTGTGTCTGTCTGCCACTCTATCAGCTTGTCTGGCACTTTGTCACAGTGAGACTAAATGGAGAAGTGGAAGCATCAAAGTGCAGACGATGGCGACATCTGAGAATTTGAGAAAACACAATATAAGAAACAGAATAGCTGAGCGTGGGTGAGGGGAAGTGGGGAGAGCACAAACTGGTGGGGTCGGAGCGATGAAATGAGGCAAGAAGAAAAGACTCTGACTACTCTCTGGGGCATGTCTGTCCATCACAAGCCTGCAAACACAGACACTGCCGCAGTCTGCACCAGCCTGCCTTCTTCACCAGCGTGACTCCCATTTGAACTGCAATCTCATATGTAATGCTATTATTCTGGCCCATATTCCAGGTTACATAACACTCCAAGCCAAATCCTGCCCTCAATCTGTGAAAAAACAGCCACACTAGCTGTGATAAAAATATAAGACTTAGTATTACTTCTGAGGCACCAGAATAAAACAGTCCAACATTCCCATATCGTGTAAAGTCGGTGTTTTACTCAGGTAATTGTTGCATGTATGCTCTGTTTACGGTTGTTTTTGTCTCTCATAGGTGGCTGCTGGAGTTCAGAAGTGAATGGAAAGAAGACACCATGTACTAACTGGTAAGTTGAGACTTAATCAAGCCTAAATTCCCGCGGCTGGCCTGCAGGTGGAAGTCACACCCACTGCTGTGTTTGCTCAACACAGTACAATACTAGCACCTACACCAAAACTCTCCACTCCCATTTTTACCAATCCTGTCTGCCAGGTTTTGGTGTGATGTGGCAATGCGACATAATATTAATACTCCCTCAACTTTTGCACCAATCTGTGTAAGTGAGAACCTGTGTTTGTTTTTGTTTTCACCTCATGATCTTGATGCTATTTATGTCGGTAGTATTCGGCAAAAGACCTCACGGAGTGACTCACAGCACTGGTGTGACCTATTTATTTCTTTTCTTTTCTTTCTTTCTTTTTTTTTATACCATGGTGTCACTCTGAGGTCTATGTGCAATGCCAGCCTACTGTTGAGCTTTGATGTGCTGCCCTGAAGTGAGCCCGGAGCTCGTCAGCGAGTCTGTTCAGTCAGAAAGGATTCAATTGAGACTTGTGAAGAGGCCATGACTTTGACTTATCTGCAAAAAAAAGTGGATTATAGCTTAAAATTAACATGTCTCTCTTCCTATTATGGAGTGGTATGACCCCTTATTCTGTGATCATCATAAGACAGATAACCCTCAGTGTAAACCCAAATGAACAGCTTTTCAAAATCCTTTTCCTTAAAATACTTTATCCTCGTATGACCCAGTTTCATCATTTTGATGCGACTTGCTCGGATAAATTTGCACATTACATTTGACTCAGTAAATCACAAGCTAAGCACAGACGCTTTTGCCATCCGTTGCACTCGACTATCTGTGAATGAAATTCAAGGGTAGTGAGAGGCATCCACTTGCTCCACTGTCCCCATTCTGGCTCTCGGTTACCTGGGATGGCCCTGGCTTCCTCCTCCTCCTCCCCCTCCTCTTCCTCCTCCTCCTCCTCCTACTGTTTTACGAGCACAGCCCCACCTGATGCGCACATCTGCTTGCCCACTCATCTACGCCACAGCTTTGGTAGGTGGGTGATTGGCGGGGGTGGAGTGGGGTCGGCGCATCAGCCAATCACATGCATAATCGTGACAGCGTTGGAGTGATTTGACACTTGTGTCTGGCCAATCACAGAGCACTGCAGCAAAGAAAGCAGCAGTAGTTAGAAAAAAAAAAGAGTAAGTGCAGTAAGAATTTATTCAAAGGGGAAATCTTTGCAATGCTGTATTTTTTCACATTTTACGAGTCTCAGTGCTATGTATACGACTTTACCAACAAAATTCGTGCATAATGACAAAACTCGAGTGAGAGCATGTAAAAAGTGTTCATCAGAAACACACAAGATATGCAAATATCCACTGGGTGTGAGGTGTCTCCTAGACTATCATCCATTTTATCTCCTTTTATTCCATCTTTTGATTACTTCTCAGCTCACCTTGATCTCAAACAGATCTGTATGATCATCTGGCACAATAAATAAGGATAACAACCACACACATTCATCCAACATCAGTGTGACAGCGTTTAGTTGTTGTTAGGAGAGGAACCAGATGATGCTACGGTTGAAATATTGACACAGTGGAACATAAAAACAAACATTGTATGTCGTATTGAATGTACAATCAAAATAACTCTGTAAGCTGTGTGCCTTCTAGTGAATTCACTTGCATATCTATGATGATATAAAAACTTTAAATCAGAAAATTGAAATGGATGTTTACTTTGTGCAGAGCAGTACCAGAATTTTAGATAATGGTGCAGGTCAGGGGAATTTTCAGTGCATACTGTATCCCTAAAAGATTAATTTTTCACCATCCTTCCATAAATTACTAACTCTTTTGTTAAAGTATGATTTAGCATGAAAAAAACTTTGGTGTAGATTCTTGTTGTGGATAAAATCTTTCTAAGAATGTTGCAGATTTTTAGCAGAGATATGCTTCCCCTCACAATGAAATTACTATTATTTTTTTCTGTCAGCCTAAACTCATTTTAGTTTATTAAAAGAATCAGCTTGTATTCGTCAGGTCTGTTTACCACACAGTGGAATATTTTGTATTTTGTCTTTAGTTTAGCACAGAAGAAACCTCTTTGGTTCCAGTAAAGGTAAACCGATTCCATCGTCTCTGTGGGATGTTGCAGTGTTTGCTCGTTGAATACATTTCTTGAGTCAGGTGAAGGAGGTTTTTACAGCGGAAGCCAGTATGTATGAACAGTTTGATCAGATAGCACACAAGGTTATTTTATTATGTTTTTCGAAATTCAGCAGTAAATGTTGATGACGATTTTATAGATTCACAGAGAGAAAGAGAGAGGCATCACTGAGATTCTTACCATTTTCACAAGACACGACAAGAATTTATCTTCTTTAGATTGACATGGTCATGGCCATTTGACTGAACTGCCTTTTCACTTCACAGTTGAATTCAGAGAAATGATTCATGAAAGTAAAGCCAACACAACTATGTCTGTATACAGAAGAAAGATCCCTCATATTAATAAGAGAATAAGGATATTATAGGTGTGTGACTGGTGTTTACTATCTGGTTTGATGCCATTCAAATGTGTCTCTCGGTGATCTTTAATATTGTGTAACAGTTCTGTGAATGTCCTGATTTGTTGATGTGTTTTTCTTGGACAATTATTTAATCTTGGTCAGTGAGGCTTGACTGAAAAATGATGATTCTATACTTGGTCTAAATCCTGCTCAGTCTGCAGTTGAGTCTGACAGTCCACTGTGGTGTTATCATAATTAAGCTTTCAGAAATGTGATTGAAGGGCGCATCGTATATTGTCCTCTCACTGTGGAGAGAGAGACTGTAGACCATGTCTGTCTGTGTGCGTGTGTGTGTGTCCCTCCCTCACAGCCCTCACAGCCTTACAGCCTCACACACACATGACTCACATTGTAATGAGTGTGTGTGTGTGTGTGTGTGTTCTCACTTGTACGTCTGCTCTGGAAAGGCTAAGCAGCGCAGGCTGAAGTGCAGACTTGGGTGGATCTGTGTCTGTGGACCTCTCCACTGCACAAGATGATGACAAAGAGGTTTGTGCTGGACTGTTATACATCAAGAGTGTGTGTGTGTGTTTGTGGTTGTGGTCAAGGATGTGATTCATTGAGAGTTTGTCTCATGTGTTCACTACAAGAGAAAGTGCAACTGAGTCATCAGACGGACACAATCGTTCAGGAAACCGCAGGAGTGTCTCCACACTCTGTTGGCGTAAGCACGCACACACATTCATGCACACACAGTCACACAGCGGAGTTTCTTGATTGATGAAATTAGGTCTTTTTTTCCTGCTCGGTATGACTTCGCAATGTTCGGAATGACGCCCCTGATGGTTGTGGAAAGACACACCTTACAGAGATTTTTGATTCATAGCTTTGAGAAAAAAGCAGAAGAGAGACACAGACAGGGTTGAGTCACTTCTCTGAACTACTGACCCACAGTTGAAGAGGAGGACAGGGAAACTAATCTAGTCAAATCGTGAACGAAGGGATGTAATGAAAGACAAATATCCCAAATTTGATGTGTCTTACCTTTTGATCCTTCAAGACTTTCACCAATTATTTTATTGAATTACTATCATGGATGATTGTCAAAGTCAACCGCTCTGAGGTAAAATATGTGTGTAACCAGTCTGCATTGACACACAGATGTTCCACTGATTAATTGATTAGGTGGTAACTTTAAGAAATTAGGTTCAGGATTGTATAGATGTTGTGGTGTTATTTCTGTTTACAATCATTTATAGTGTGATCATTAAACAGGAAGATATCTGCTCTGAATAACAGGGGTAAGAGCGTTGTGTTGATAAAGTTACCTTTTTGTAATCTATGGTAGAAAGAGGGTCGGCTGAGTTGCATATTTTTTCATCCACAACTATTATCTTTGATCGCTGCGATCAGTTTGTGCACATCCTCATGAATCTGTTTACCTTTTTTGGCTCAATAAAAAGTCAAATATACTTCTTTGAGATTTGAGTGACCTTTTTTGGTTAAATAGGTCCAACCTCAGCCTCTCAGAAGCTTATTGTTCTCTACAAGTTAGCTTTGATTTATTATTGAATATATACTAACTTGGAGTGATGTCTTGTCACTGGAAATGAAGACAATCATGTTTGTCATAAAAAACTGGATGACAGAGACAAACATTAGTCGCTCATTTGGATTGGATTTCATGGATTTACTTTTAGCCTTACATAAATGTTTGACCTCTTAAAGGGACATTTCTTCTTTTTTAATGAGGGTTGTATTCGGAACTTGTCAATAATTTCCTCAGTAATTGTATCACCCATCAGGGATGCCGGTTAAGTCGGGCCCTTTTGTTGAGCAAGTTCCTGGAGAACTGGAACGGAAGCTGGCTATCAGCTGCAGAACAAAGGGGCCAGCTCGACTATGTAATTTAGCTAATTTTAACGAACTCCAGCCAAAGCACGGTTCTGGTGTAAGTGAACACTGTTTGGAAACTTTTAGCATTTTACTCTGCAGTCAGAAGACCCATCTGTTTTTGCACATTTACGGATGTGACACGTCTTCTTTTGCCTGCATCCCATTGATCGGCCAGACAGTGTTATAATATAGGATTTGATTTGATTTATTTTGGATCCACCATTAGTTACAACAAGATATGCAGTAACTGTTCCTCCTGGGGTCCTTATCTTCTTTTCCATTTTCCATCTGAGCTTAGACATATACTTTGAAAAAAAAGTGAAGAAACAAAAAAGAAAAACAGAACTTATCTTAGGGATAACAAAAAAAATCATATAATACGATTTTTTTATATCTCTATATCAATATCTTAGTCTGACATTATTTTACGCCACAGGAAGATTACTGAATGTAAAGATTTGATGTTATTTAGAATTCAAGCAAAAAAAGACGGGTTTAGGATCCTGTGGCGTCTTCAGGGTGGTCAAAACCCACCACCACGACCACAGAACAAGTTGAATTTAAAAAATAACCATCAATATAAAGACTCAAACAAAATGTGTCATTTATCTTTCCCAAGAAAACAAACAAAAAATGAAGAGAAGCAGCCCTGTTCCCCCCACAGACTGCAGAAAGAGAAAATCATTGGCATGGATGTCAGTTTCTCTGAGTAATGCAGTGTTGCTGATTGAAAAGAGAGAGATATGATTTAAAGTTGACTGTCATCCAGGAGCACCTGCACAACCTGCTATCGAGATGACCAATTAACTGTCAGTTAATGCCTCTTTGTGCATACTTTACAAGCACACACACGCACTCGAACACCTGCTGCAAGTCATGCATATTGAGTTAGACTGACAATGCAGATCATGTATGAATTGCACAACATCACACAGTAAAGAAAGTAGATTTTCCTTTTAAGCTCAAGCAGTCCAGTCCAAATTAGGGAAATAACCCTGTTCATTGCTTTTACAGTAATAACTACGTTTTCTGTTGTTTAGATAAGGGGTCAGGAATAATGAAGATTTATTATAATACAGGTGGCTTTAATCCTAGTCCTTTCTTGAGTCGACCTTTTTCTGAATAAACTGTTATACTGCGACAGAAAGCTGCACGATTTAGTTACCACTTGTTTGTTGAGTCTCGTTTTTTTTTTTTCAGACTAATTGCAGCCGTCTCCTCGATTCAGATCACTGCCTGTCCTTTCCCTCCCCTGCAAGCAGACGCGTGTAACGGTCTGGTAATGTGTGTGTAATGTTTGGCATTTTCCAAACCGGAGTGCTCCGCTATTTGTTTATTAAAATGTCTCAGTGACGCAGCTTCCAGAGTGCGACGTCCAGAATGAAAAGGAGTAACTTGTCAGAGGTTTGAGGCGTGACCACAGACTGCAGACGTTGAGAGGAGGCTGTGTCTGTGACATCACCCCCTGGTGTCTGAAGGGAGGGTTTCAGACTTTCATTTGGGCTGGGCAATAGGGATGCAGTCTGCCGTGGCAAACAAGAGTTAACTCAAATCACTGACTGTGAGAGGCTCAGAGGCCTGTCAGTTAAGACTCCCCAGAGCTTGCCAAGAATTTTTATCTTCGCTTCCTCTTTTGATATTGAGAATCTCCTGATAACAGGTCTGGTTTGGTATATACGGTTTCTGTGAGGTTTTTTTTTTGCCAGGTATGAAACAGACAAAACAAAAACTGATGCCTCTGTATGAAGTACAAAAGGACATGAAACCACCAGGAATAAGGCTGACCATATAGGTAAAAGCATGTATTAACTATTAGACTATTTATTGGAATACTTTTTAATATATTTCTATCTTTATATTTGACAAAGTACAGTACAGAAGTATTTTTATATTGTCTATTCTGTATTGTCCAAGTTGTTTGTTTTTTTGTGGGACAGTGTATGAATTTGTGTATGGCTGTTGTCTTTGTGTATGTTTTTTAAACTCACTGTAAATGAATTTCCTTACAAGGAAAATAAATTCAACCTTACCTAACCTTAAAGATGATGAAATAAATCTGAATAGGCTTAACATTAATTTGACGAGGTCAATGTTTACCCCATTGATGGATCAATCCAAACTTAGAGCTATAACATTTTACACAACAGAGATTCCCAGAAAGTAATATATTAATCTCGTCGAAATATTGCTCCAAGAAAAAAATATTGGATGCTCCATGTGTAGAGACTCTTGTTTACAGTTAGGCAGCTTTTCGCATGCTGTTTTGCACTCTCTGAATAAATGCATAAAAGCCAGACAAAGTTAAAATTGATGCCAGCTACAAGTTTTAAAAGAAGTTAGAACAGGAGCAACAAAACACAAGTTCCCTGACCAGGTATTAAAAAAGGAAATCAAGAAAGGTGAAGTCTCTCAGAAGTAAAAATGGGAATAGGTCATTAGAGGGATATTCCGGCGTAAAATAATTTAGGGTCAAACACACCCTAACACTGAGTTAGAACCCCCCCGAATGTTGCCGACCGCTTGCTTCTCTAGTTATACCAACTTAAGTAATGACTGCACGATAGCAATACACAGCGGTCTGAGGAGCCACACACAAACCTTATCCAAAACGCCACTCTATAGCCACAAATAATGCTCAGAACAGCACCTAACTTCACCTAACCACCTAACCAAACATCTTTTTAACTTTGCCTGATTTCTTTAGCAAAGAGACTAAATACAACTCACCTACTCTCTTCCAGCTGCCGCTTGTTTGTAGCGAGACCTCGGACCAGTCCATTATGGACTGCTGCGGGGTGATGCAGCTGATTTAAGATGGTCCACAGAATGAGGAGTAGTCCTTCACCAAAGGGGCAAGGCTGGGAACTGATACAAATACTGGTACTGAATGGCCATGATCTTTAGGTCCTCAGATAGCACTCCATTAAAACAGCCATGGCTTTGTCGTAAAATTCACTGCATGACTAAAAACCACGCTTAGATACCATTCTCTTTAAAGACAGTTTGTTGCTGCATCCAAAACCTGTGCCATGCAAAAAGGAAACCATGTATAAAAACAATCAAAAGCACCAACCATTGAGATGCACTTGGGCCAAATGGAAGACTGCCCTGTGTTTTGACATTTATAAAATTGAAGTTTTATATTGCTGTATTTTTTGTCTTAAAGACGAGGGGAACCACCCAGCTTGTTATCAACATACAGTCCAAAAGCTAGCATCCATGATGGCACAAGTGCCCATGGCATAGGTAGCTAACACTTCTGTAATCAGCACTTAACAGGTTTGAAGGCTTCATATGCTGCAATGAGTTTTTCAGGAAAGACCTCTCATATTTCAGTAAGAGCACTTCAAACCCCATTCTGCACGTATAACACAACATGGCTCTACAGCATAACAGTCAGGGGGACAAGTCAGGTGACCTGACTTGTCATCCTTTCAAAACATTTGGCTTAACATGACACAGAAACTACTATGGAGAGGACCACATACTGTTTATCAGCTGACATCTTAAATCAGGCAAGAATGAGTCAGCATCTCACTTTTATAGCTCTATACTCTGGTCTCCTACATTCCTAAATGTTTACAATATTGTGAAAAAGTAGAAGAGATGATCCAATACAACGGCCAACATGTTTGTCTCCAAATTTCCTTGAATCTCAGTGTTGAGACCAAATTTAAAATGAGAATGCATTTTTTCATAAAGGAGTAAGTAAGTTTTCTGTTTTAACATTTGACTTGTTGTCTTTTTACAAAATGAAATGAAACGAAGGTTTGAATGATAAGCAAACAATCAAAAACAGTTTTTAATCAACATTTTAAACTGAGTCTCAGCTTTGCTGAAGTTGAGGTTGTATCATTTTTGGTCATTCTGCATTTATTTAATGGCAAAAGCAGAGGAGGGACAGGAAGAGAGGGGGTGATGTGCTGCAAAGGCAGTGATAAAAAGCTTCACGCTCCACCAGGTGAGAGCTATCCGGGTGCTCTTCTGCCCTGGATACAATCATTATATTATTTATAATACTTTACTACAGTGCTGTTGTCTGCTGCAATTAGGTAATACCAGGTTTTGACATCCTAAATACCCACAATGAATAATTATCACGTTAAATAAAGTTAGTTTTGAGAACCTCTATTAGCTCTGATTTGGTACTGTATCATTTGATCAGTAGTTGCCCAAATTGCCCTTAATTGTTTGTGGCTCAGTTGCACAAGCTCACTTGATGATTCTCAGAGACGTTTATGCAAATGAAGCTGTGGCACAAATATGCCCCCAGTAATAATACGAGAAGAGAACTATGCCAATGACTAGCAATTGAAGCATAATTTACACACACAGATGGAGGTCCTGCAGCAGTCATCATAGTTAAAAGGAGAACATTCAGAAAGCAGTCTTAAAAGCAGTCTCAAAAGACCTGCACCTTTTCCTTTGCTCTGATTACTAACAGAGTTCACGCCTGACTCTACGAGAAGTTTATTCAGTATGTTAGATAGATCCTCTCTTGATGTCACTACCATTTACAAGTTTAGTTTCTCTGTATTTTTGCTTTGGCAAATCTCTATCTACTCAGGGTGGGAATCACCAGTGACGATACTATCTTATTACGATATTTGATACACGATACGATATTATTGCAATTTTTAACATTTTGCAGTACAGTAAGTATTTTGATACAATATATTGCGATTTATACATTTCTTTTCAACTGTTTAGCTAATTTAGCGTTTGTCTTTCCTTTATGTTTGTCTGATTTACGCTGTATTTTATTTTCATGTCGTACATCTTGCAAACCTTTGGTCGTGTTCACACCTAAAGGTCCATTTCCTGATTCGAATCCAAGGCAAGACGATACATTTGTTTTGATTGGTTAACTGGTCCTGTTTGCGTTCACAAAGGACAAATTCAATCGCTCCAGAAAATGGAACCGTAAGTCACGTGACCGCGAATATCGTTCGGCTATTGGTCATTACTTTATGCTGGAATACAAACCCCGCTCTGCTGTCTTCACCTGTCATGGAGCATCGTAGACTGATTTTGCTTTTGCTACTCATCTGGAGTGTGTATCAGAAGACGCTAGTCGATCGCACGAATGAACGGCTCGTTAGCCAGCGAGCGTGAACTGCAACATTAATTGATACATTCCGGAGTAGACATGCTGCAAACAACAGACGGATAAAGACGAGACGGCGACAGGCATTAATTATGTGTGTGGTGCGTTTCCTGTGATTGGTGTGGATGACATTCACACCAGAAATGAACCGCTCCAGAGTTCACTTGAAAGCGGTCCGAGACCACCTCTTCAGGCGGACCAGAGTTTGTTTATTTGGTACGCACCAGAGTTCGAGGTTAGCGTTCACACCGACCCAAACGAACCGCACCAAGGGGGTAAATGGTCCAGGGTTCAGTTCAACCTGAGGGTGGTGTGAACGCGCCCTTATTTGTTGCAGTAACTTTCTCCTGCTCTATGATGTCATCTCTGCCGACCTCACAGTTGAATTTATTTTTCCATTATCATAGATTTGACTTCATGTTTACAATTAATTTGAAAAAAATCGATACTTGGTAAATGAGACGATATGATTTATCACCAGGCAAAATATCACAATACTATGCTGTGTCGATTTTTTCTCCCACCCCTACTATCTACATTTCAAATAAGGCTGTTAAAAACAAGGTACACTGTGCAATATTCTGCGACAGGATTCCTTTATTCTGTGCTGTAAAATTGTTGATTTTGAAACAGGTCAACCAACATGAAAATGTCTTTGAGATGTCTTTGCAGACTATGTCCTGTCAGCTGCAGTCTATACATTAAATCAGCCTCTCTGTAAAGCCACTAGGAGTCTTGTGGCCAAGCACACCATTAACTGTGGAATTAGAAACCCTGAGAAGTTGTTAATCACCGCAGTCATTCACATTCCACATAGACTCTACTCTGCTCAGGACCTCCATGAGCTGGGGATGGGGCATGGTCTGGGCCAATGCTATTGGACCCGATGGTCTTTAATTAGAGGGAGAGCTTGGCAGGGACTGATGGAGGAGAAAGGCTCTCAGGATGTGAGTCCAGGGTGAGAGGGTTCACACACAAAACACTGGCTTTTCATCACCGCATGACTCACTCAGTTTGTGTGTAAAGTGCAGTGTATGTGTGGATGTGTGTAAGGCAGAGAAAGTGAGAAAAAGTGTGTGTGTCCACTCGGTACTGTATACATGTGTGCGGACAATGCTGCGCGTGCGTGTGTTTCTTACCTCACTGCTCAGGCATTCCAGTAGAGAAAGTGGTGTGAAGAGAAAGAGCGGCTCTCACAGTGTGGGTATTCATGTCTGTGAACACTGGAGCCCAGTCCGGGCTCCAGTGTTCACAGACAAAGCCTCTCCAGCAGGACCCAGACACACTCACACAGAAAGGGAGCGACATAAGCAGAGGGACACAGGATTGGGGGAGACTAGGTAACAAGGGGGAGAAAACAGAGAAGGGGCGGGAGAGGGTAAATATGTGGCAGCTCCCTTTCAACTGTGAATGCAGGTGTGATGGTTTGTCATCTATACTGGACAAAGCATCACACCTGCTCTGCACTGCAACGGTTTTGTCACCAAAATGACCAGTTCATTAAGTCACTGCCCTCAGACTATGAAGTCCCAAATTTCAGAGTTAGAGGGGATAACTGTCACTCAGATGTATTGTTCTCTTTCCTCGAAGACATAACAGCGTTGGAAGACACTTGCACAACCTGCTGCTTACCGCCATCTTTATAGTTTTTTTCTAGCGCTGTTGGCAGAGTTCATAAATCCACCACATCTCTCCTCCTAAAAGGGTCCTCCCTCTCTTACTTATACCAGCCAATCCCGTCGCTCTCTTTCAGTGCTCTCTACTCCCTCTAGCTTTGAGCCAGCAGCCCAAGCTCTTAGGATTTCATGAGACTTTCTTCCACTTGGCCGTCCCGTCACTGCTCCCCCTGCCTGGCCCCTTCCCTAGATCGGGTAGCCTGGTTCACTGTGTCCTTAAACAACCTGTGTGCATGTACAGGAAAGGGGCCCCAAAGTGGGGAGGACCATCTCTAACCCTTCATTTCGAAAAAGAGACATAGTCGTACTAGAAAATGACTGCACTGACTTTTCTTAATCAATAAACGTCAGTGCATCATTTCCACTGTCTCCATCACCAAAAATCTCAGTGTTATCTGCAGAGTAAATATCGACAGGCAGAGTCGATTTACATACAAACTCATCTTTCCGCATGCGGCTCTTTAACCAGTGCCGTTAAGGGTTTGCTCTATCTGTTAGAATCCTTATATTTGACTTCAGGGTGAAACCTCATCAAGGGATTCGCTCTTGTTGATTTAAAGCATTTTAAGCAAGGCTGGGGGTCGAGTTATTTGATGATATTTCAGGACACATTTCTTTATTTTCACCTGGATTAGATAAAGGAAAAAAAAAATCAGTTTTGAAATTCTTCTTAATAAAAACTACTTTTTAACACATGCAGTAAACCACTTTTTTTAATAGCAGAAACTGTAACTTTTGACTTTGATCACCATACTGCTCACCCCATCTCTCCATCTATATTACTCACCCTCACATGAGGCACTTGTCGTTTTTGAGATCGATGAATCTATAGGTGGATGGATAGATGGCACCAGCTCGTAATAGATGGCCTCTCCCTGAATGTGCTGAGTCACAGAGCATGAGTCTGCAGGAGCCAGAAAACAGGCAGCAGACAGATGATGTTGGATGTGGTTTCTGGAGTGATATTAATGATCCGGGTAGAGTTATGCATCAGCAGTTATATGTTTGAAGAGTTAAAGTCGATATTACAGACTTTATGGGCATGTCAGTGATTTTGGTGGTCTGTTAATTCTGCACATTCACTGCATTCATCATAAATTTGTACAAACTTTAACAGCTCGGTCTTTACTCAAAGGCTGCACCAGTACAGATTTATGTTAGGTGTATGTTAGATCCCACACTGATAAAGTAGCAGCAACTAAATCATGTGCATGTTGTCTATAGAAAAGGTTTCTGTGGAAGAACGAACAGATGCTGCTGCTGCTGTTGTTGTTTTTTTCACTGGATTGCTTCACAGTGTTGGGGATGGAAGGCAGTAAATGTTGTCAGTGTGCTCCTAATTTTTCTTAAGATAAATACAACATCTGATTAGCTCTTCTGCTGCAAAGAAAGTGTTACAATCAGTTTCAAGGCTGCACCTCAAATTAAGTGAGTGAACCTGCTTAAATGAAGACAAGAGAAGCCTCTGATTGGGTTTGATTTGCAGATGTTTTTGGATGCACTTCAAGTATCGGACTGATTAGAATCAGCCTCCTTTATTGTTAGCAATACATGTATAAATGAAGCTGGCAATTCTATGGGTGTTAAGAAAAAAAACAACACTTATTTCTCTTTATTAAGATGAATATTTAGATCACAAAACAGACAAGCCATCTGAAATATATCTAAGTGAAGTTGGGGTTTGTGGATTTAAGAAATTTGATGAGGAACACACATGTTATGGCTCTGTCTTCATTTTTTTAAAGATTTTTTCTGCAGCAGCTGTGGTGGTGAATGAGTTAAGTCTCATCGGGTATATGTCTCAGTAAGTCATTCATAACATAATGCAGGTGCAGTCTGCAGAGGGGATGCGCAATATTGTTTTCTTGCCATTTTTTTTTTTCAAACTGATTTTGGCCAGTATCAGTATTGAGATATGCACACCATTTAATTTTTTTATCGTAGTGAATGCAAAGTTTTTCCAGTACCAGAATTTACATATTACTTGTCTATTTATTATAATTATAAATCCTTTTTAAATGTCTACATTCAGAAATGCATCTATGGTCTGTTTCTAAGACCTCACATCACTTCTTTTCAGCATCAGCACACTCATGTACATGATAAATGCATCACTTTTTTTGGTTGATAATTATATCTGCAGTCATTTTCATATCTGTTTTTAACTTTTTTAGCTATTTTTTGCCAGTACTGATATCATTCCAGTAACACTGCAGTACCTAATTTGCACGTCTGCCTCCATGTTGAAAAATGCTCGGGCCAGACCAGTTAGTCACATGCATGCACACAGACACTAAAACCCTCATCCATCATCGACATGCACTCTGTCACCTACAGATAAACCACTGAAGGTATTACAAAAACTCACACAACCTTTCATAAATATCAGTAACCAGAACATGAGTGATTGTCCAGTTAAATATAGGGACATTAATGGCCCAGTAGACACTCTTGTCATATGGCTTTATGATCCCTTTGACTCCTGATCCCCTCAAATCCCTGATGACCCAGAGGCCATGACCCTAGCATCTGCCAGCAGCCGCAGAAAGGGGGAGGCAAGCGCCGACTGTACCCAGACAGATGCTCTATAAGATAAAGTCTCTGTATAGTGAAGCCTCTCGTACACTCTCTGTCTCACAGGGCAAGATGAGTCATTGGACATGGATCCTGACTTCTCTGGCTTCGAGCTACATTCAATGATTTGAAGCAGACTCTTGAGATATCTGGAGGGAACGCCCTATAAGGGTCCTGTTTGGTCTAATACTGTGTCTCCGAGTAAAAAATGGATGCCTGCGTCTGAGGCCAAACTTTTGAACTTTATTGTGTTGGCTCAGTGTTACCGAGAAAGGGATGCCATTTAAATGCCACTGGTAATATTTGGTATATTATGTAAGTGTGTAAAAACTTTCAGCAGTGTCAGAATAGTGAAACAGACTAGAGAGTTCAGAGAGAGATCAAGTGAGTATGCTTAATCTCATCTTTCTGTGAACACATGATTATCCTTATGGTCTCTGGTTTTCAAAAGGAGATTTGATCGCTCTTTTCCCTGAAAGTCCACCTTTCTTAAGTTCACTTTATCATTGTTCGTTACTGATGTAGGTCTGTATAGAATAAGCAAGACACTTGAGGCTGCCATGATTTAAAAAATTGGATCCATACTTCAAACCATCCCTCCATCTCTCTCTCTCTCTCTCCTGACAGAAACTTGGCTCTCTTTGGAGCTTCAGAGGACTCTGTACTGCTCCCTTTACATATCCAAACAGCTCTTTCAACGGGCATGTCAGTCAGAAAAAAATGATCTAGAAAGACTGGAAGACACCAACTTCTCCATGCTTCAGAAAGTGGTTGCATGAACTGGTCTCAGTGATACACATGGAGAAATTGCGAGTTAATGATTCAGAATGTAAATATAAATGGGAAGAATCTTGGGGTCTCTTCCTGCAACATTTGCACTTACCTGGACAGCAGTGGTACCTGCATGTATTCACTGATTTTATTGTATATATGGACATTTCTATTGCAGACACCTTGGATGTAGTGCTAACACATATAGGATGTGCAATGATTTTGACCTTGGAACAGGGTTTAGATGAACTATTTGTCATATATGTACCTCCTCTCTGGCTGCGAGAGAGAGAGAGTGTGTGTGTGTGTGTGTGTGTGTGTGTGTGTGTGTGTGTGTGTTCTAGTGTAGGATATTTTTTTTGTTTGCATTTTGTTGTCATAAAAAAACAAAAAAACAAAACAGTCTTTCATAAGTCATGGGATGGCATAGCCCGTAACAAAGTATAGCTTTTTCATAACAACAAATTTACTCTCATGAGCATCTTGGAATGAAGTTACACACAGAAAAAAAGTAAAATAAAAATGTTTATTTTCTGATAATTCATCATCATTCATAAACACTTTTTTCCTTAGTATGTTTCCCAATGAAAAACTGACTCATGTATGAATTTTCATTACTATATGGATCTGCTTTTTTTATTTTTTGTTCTTAAGGAAAGGGTTCAGTTGAAATGTGTGTTATGTCTCCTTTCATTTTTAATACTCCAATTTAACAAATTTAAAATATTTTTTGCGATAGTTGCAGTAGAAGAGAAAAAAAAACATGAAGCGAAGCTTGAAAATGTTTCTTTGCGTAATGTTTGACCTTCATTTTAATTAATTTTTGCCAGAGTTTCGTATTACCTTAACTTTTTGAGTCAATGGTGAAGGTTCTTGTTTGTTTTTTTTGCAGAATAGTTAGATATCCACTTGCTCACAGCTCACCTTTTTATGCTTGAGAAAGATGAGTTGACTCTCTAAGTAGAGGAAACTTAGTTAATGTTGAAGTTAATCATTTAAGTAGAATCCACATTTAAGCATATCCTATGTGAGGGCTTCCATTGTATTATTAATATGTGCGATTATTGGATCTGCTGCCTGTGCTCTTTATGTGTGCAGCGGTGCACGAGTTTGATGTGTGCAAGTAAAGCTGTTTTCTCTCTCCTTCCTGTGTGTTCTGAAATCTCCTCTGCTGCAGACAGTCTGGGGTGCAGAGATGGTGGATGGGGGGGGCGGCGGCGTTGGGGGTGGGGAGGAAGGCAGCGGACGTGGCGGCAGGCCAGAATCAATTGGCAGTGTAATGAGATGGCCTGGTGCCAGGTAACCATGGAGCTCCCCTCTCTGCCTGTCTACCAGCACAGAGTTCAAAATTAAACTGAATGAATGAGAGAGAGAGAGACAGAGAGAGAGAGAGAGAGGAGGGAGGGGAAATACGGGTCTGAAATGGAAGGAGTGGAGGGTGATAGAAGGGAAGAAATGGCTGGAGAGGAGGGTGGTTGATGAGGCTCTGTGGGCTATTTTCAAGCACTGCTGAAAAATTTAACCTCAGCTTCATTTCAAAGAAGGAAGAGGTAGAGGTAAACTCAATTCCACCTGAGATTTAGGTTCACAGGAATTTTTCAAAATACCACCGTACCTGGTGATGCCTGTATTTCAGTGAAGAATAAGTGCTCTTCACAAAGAAAAGAAAACGTGACCTTCCTAAGTACTCTTCCTCAATATCCACACTGAGCTGCTCCTTTTAAAAGTCTGACGGCATTAGTGGCTTTAATGTGCCTGCAAATCTCATCCCTTCATCCCCTTCTCGACCCACACTCTTCCTCCTGTCATGGAAGATGTGTTAATATTGAGCATTTGGCTGCATTCTTAAAGTGATTAGTTCGAGCCAATGAATCCTGTAGATGAAAAGAAATTAAGTAATTAATACAGTAATTAGATCTTTTTCTTCCTCCTACAGCTTTACCCCTGCTAAGTCATTGTGCTGGCTCCTTTCTTAACTCCCTGTGCATAAAGCATGTTAGGAAGCCGTGTGCCACCCATGATGGATGGTTTTACTTGGTAATTTGTCTCTGTCTGGTGAATACAATTTCCTGCTATGTTGTCAAACACTGAAGGACAGTCAGAGGATTATTGAAACTGTAAAAATTTTAAATTGGTATGTTTATATTAAGATTAAAATTAGATTTAGCCTACAATAGCTGGATGAAGGTGCAGTTTTTGGAGTGTGTCAAGAGGAAACTGAGTTTATGTCCAAAAGCACAGAATCATTCACTACCTCCCTGCTCAGTGAAATGAATGCAGTGGACTATATAGTGGGCTCAATAGTGAGCATAATAGAAAACAGTTCAGACGTTCTCCTTGCTAGGGATGCACAATATTGGCAAAAACTAATAATACTCTATACGTTTCCTTTTTGGGAAATATAATGCAAAATGAAAAATATTGGTGTTCATAAATTGGGTTTTATATACCTATCAACAATTGAAATTTCAGTAATTCTATTTCCATCATTTTAATCTTGAAATGTTCTTTTCTGCTTCTAAATCAAATCCCCATCCTACTTTTACCACACTGTGTCCAACTCCCTGACAGCAGCTCCTACACTCACAGGAGAAGCTGAGGGACGAGATGAGGAGAGAGTGCAGGTGGAGAGACACGTCGCTTCATAAACTTTACATATAAACACAATTAACTAACCTCACACCAGTCTCAGACAAGGCTAGAAAATATGTTTAATCTCCCCCACTAACCCTGTGAGAGTAACTTCTAACTAAACAAAAATCCATTGACTTCTTGTACTATTCTTGTGGCAATGAAATGGTTGACACAATGAGCCCACCACCATGCAGATACAATATGTGTCTGGGGTATTAAAGTTCTCTCTTAGAATTCAGACAGCACTATAAAACGGCATATTCGCTAAATTGTGAATTATATGGAGATGTGGGGGTGATTTTGGTCCCAGCACGACTTGGATATTCGTCTTAATGGGTTAAGTAGGACTAAAAGTTTGAGCTTGGTGATACTTGTCTTTTTTTTGTTCTTCGTGTCTCACAAAGATAAGATTTTTAAAAAGTTGATTGATGTCTTACACATTTAAATTTCGGAAGATGCAGTATGCCTGCTTTCTTGCACAGAGAGGAAAAAGTTACAAAGTGTGGCGGTTTCAACCCTCAGCACATCTAATCAACACAGTCTCTGGACATACTATTAGCCACAACAACAATAATCTAGTCCCCACCAAACAGGCTTGAGAAACGAAGCAAATGCGGAAGTGCTCAAAACTGCAGTTACCCAAGTACCCGCTTGACGCTGGTTGCAGAAGCATTAAAAACCAGAAACATATTAATTTAGGGGGGAAAAAGGCTATTTCTAGAGCAAAAGACCATGTTTACAGCCTGGTTCAAAAAATGTTCTTGGTCTAAGTACTTCTGATTTCTCACAGCACAAACTGGAGTGAATTTTCTTCTAAACCAATTTGCTTTGAAGGTACTAAGATTACGAGTTTCGCCAGAGATGTGAGTGGCTTGACTATTGGTAGATCCACTAAAAGTTAAGCTGAGTCAGCGTTTACAATATGGCAGCAGCTACCAATAATCTTTGAAACTCTATTTATTATACATTCGATGGTCAACACAGATTTTGTTTAATCAGTTACAGATATAAACTTATAAACTAAAATGGTTCATAAACTCACATTTCCATCAATATTGTTGTTTGTCACATTCTTAGATTATCAGTGGCCACAATATATAAGATTAGATAAAATAAGATTAGATAAGAAGAGCTTTATTGATCCCCAAAGGGAAATTCAATATATGTCTGTTTCACAGCACTTTTAAAAAAAATGCTTATTGCTCACATGTGCTTTACTTGACTCATATTTTATTTGGTTTTTGATTATGTTGAGTCATAAAATAGTTTTTTTATGTCGAGTAAATATTTCAGTTGGTTCTTTTTAAGCTTTTTTAAATTTACTCTCTTAGTCATAGACACACTTTGAATATAGCTGGGCATGTTTGTTATTTATGACCACATCCCATTATACCAACATCAAACAATTTTTATTAAGGGTCCTTTCAGTCTCCTAAACGTCCACCTGTGGATGTTTGAGAGAAGCGCTGCATTGAAAACCTTTCAATATCAACATCACTGATGATTAATGAACCTGTTAGAGTAATCAAAGCATAGGAAAAAATACACACAATGTTATAGTTATATCAAATAATGACAAAAATAGAATTAAATACTGGAAACATGAGGTGTATTTTAATTTAATGAATCTAAAGGACTTCAAATTGTGTCATTGCACAGAAAGAATAATGAAAACACTTTTGATACGCCTGTAGTAAAACATAGTGCGGTTGTTTTGTAGATTATAAAAGATGGGTTTGATAATTTGACAGTCTGGATTCGTGGTTACACAAGGGTCAAAGGAAGTATCTGTCTGATCAAACATAGATTGAAAAAGTCAGAAGCTGCAGATTCCCTGTGTCTCTGAATTGGGGCCAGCATCTTCACTGTCTTTAGAAACCAGCTCAAACAGGGCAGAGCCAGCCACATATCTCAGGCTGGCCAGAGCCGGCTGAAGCAGGCCATCCGTTTGCTTTGTGCTGTTTTTCCTGCAGTAGTGCGAGTAAATGTTAGGCATGGCTGAACATACAGGTTTTATACTGAGTAAGGACTGGAGTGCTGCTTATCCTGATATGACCTCTGCTCTCAATGGGATGCTGTCTTCCAATCAGCGGTATTTAAAGTGGGAGGGAGACGTGATATACTCATCTGTCTGTACAGTAAAAAGCATGTTCAGCAGTGGGCCTCATGGCCTCTGAAAAATGTCCGGGCACTCTCCACTGAAACGGCCCAGACTTTGAGAGTTTTGAGTGCACATTGAGAGAGAGAGACGAGACAGTGGGCCAAGATGTCTGTGGTGTGGATTAATGGGGAGGACTGGAGAAAGGGTGCCGCAGTTGTGCGTGAGCAGAATATTTGATGGGGGAAGCATGAGGAGGGAAAAGTGAGGGACAAGCAACTGCATGAGATGGGCAAGATGAAAGGGGGGAACAGATAAAATTGGACTGAAACATCGAGATGTATGAACATGAATCAAAATCTACAGTATTAAATACTTCTGCTGTCTGGCGTCTCCCACTGGTGCTTTATCTTGTCTGATAGCACTTCACAGTGTGCGCTTTACACTGTGGTCTGTTGCACTGAGCTCAGCACAGGGATAAAATCTACATAAAGGCCTTCACAGAGAGTTGAAATAAAGCCTGAGTGGGACATAGATACCTCTGAATGAAACACATACAGAGACCAATTTGAGTCAAAGAATGAACAAAGCAAGTCACGTCTTTTGGAGTGCTCGCCCAAAATAATTTTGTTTCTGTGAGGCTCTGCTGTGTGCATAACTGTAACCTCTATGAAATAACTGAAGTACTTCTTTTGTCTTTGCTTTTCCCACGAAGTTTCTGGCTCACAGATGGATACAGCTCGTGTCCTTATGTCTGCTTTTGGTTGCTGTGACCATTCTGGTAAACAACATTTCTTTGTAGACAAATGCTGACTTCACATTCACTGTAGTTTTTTTGATCCTGGTATATTCATTAAGATATTATTTTAAGTTGTGTGTGAAGCAGATCAAAGCATGGAGATACTGTTAAAACCAATTAAATGTTTCATTCACATTTTTACTGACTTTACCTTCACTGATTCTTTTTAAAACAAAAACCAAATAAATGTCAGAGATATAACTAACTTTTGCAAGCTTTTGAGCGTGGACTGTGGGTGTCTAGGGAAGGATTTGACAGCTGTAACCAAACTATTAATATCAGCCATTATTACTGCCCGCCCCCTGGGGTGTTGGATTAAGCTTTAGTGACTCTAAAAAGATTCTGACTTTCCCTGAAAAGTGTGCAGACAAGAACAAAATCCAAAAAGACGAGCAGTAGTGGACATGCTGGGAAACAAAAGATACTCACAAGTACCATGGTTATAAATGACTCTGACATATACATGAGACATAAAGCTGCTCCGACTGAAATATTATTACAACCTTAGAGGAGAAATATAAACATTAACAAGAAGGTAGTAAATTACTGATGTGGCTCAAGTCTCCCTGTGATATTCTGTGCATAAAGTAAACCCTATATTCTTACTTGTATAGATTATTGTAGACATATACATAATTTAACATGTTTTAGTTGAATGAAAAGATTCAGTTTCATAAATTTTTGTCAGTCTTAATGTGAAACTCACTGTTAAAATGTTGCTGTGCCTCATAATCTGAAGTAAGATTTAATTCTGGATTATATGTAACCTAATGATACACAAACGTGAGGATGCTTTGAAAAACCAGATAACTTCAATAGAGACAACTATGGCTAAAATGTTGTGTTAGAATTTTTTGATGGCTACATAGGCACTCCTTTTTTACAGTTTAAATCATTTAATATAATGTGATGTACATCTATGCTGAAGCTGTATAATTTACCAGTGCCATAAAACAACACATGACTCAGATAGGAGAGTCACCGGGGAGATTTGTCATGAAGTCGTCTTTTACTGAATGTGGCTGTAAAATGCAAAATTAAGTCAAAAGTTTGAAAGCCCAACAACAACAAAAGTGTTTCTCTATTAAATCGTTCACCTCACCACTTGCTTGACCGATTGACTTGCTAAGTTACGAGATTGTACCCCGGCGTCACTGCAGTTTCTTTTACATTACTGTACAAATAACGTGGTATGGTTGTTCCCCTGTTGGTGGCCCACTTTTTAGTGCTCGCTTTCCCAGGCTCTGAGAGTGCCTTTCAGGGGTTACCTTGTGAGAAGTTTGGGGTTATGCCCATGTCAGTTGCTCTGTTTTCTTCAACCTTGTGTTTTGGAGAGGCTCTTTTCTGCGACAGGTTTCTTGGCAATATCCTGAAAGTCAAATCTGGTCATTTAGATTCAAGTGGTGACCATGGAACAGACAGCAGCCCATTGGCATGCTGTTGCAAAACTAGTAGTCAGGACTCTTGAAATCTAAAACAGCATACATAGACTAGTCTTTTGGAGCAATGGGGAGACACTTAAGCTAAAAGACACTCAAGTAGGGGAGATTTTTCTAAGTATGGTGCTTTAATTTAGTGCAGGTACACAACAGAGTCAAACAGCGACTTTTAGGTACAAAATGATGCTTCCAGTCTTAGCGAAGACGAGGGCTGGATGAAATTATTGTGCAGTGTTTTACATAGAGAAAGAGGACACCCATATATTTATATTGCACTGTATGAAAGCGGGATAGATTTTGATCAATTTATTAGATTAGTCTTTAGATCAATAATTTGGAGTGTGGAAAAACAAAATACGTTTGTAAGGTAGCATGAATTTAGCAAGCAGCGTTTGAGCGAACGGACCACGTTTTCCTCAGCAATGTAGCATTTTTACTCTTCTTCTTGCTCTTCATGCTCTAAGCCTCATCATTTCTTTCTTTTAAGTCTTTGTCATATTCTGTATCTGAGGAAAGTTTTAGGAACAAGGCTCATAAGCAATGAACAGAGGCCCGAGAACAGAGCCATGAGATACTCCTCTAGAAATGCCCAAAATTGGTATGTAGCACTTTCACTGTGCTGTTCACTCTTATACTGTGTTGTTATAGGTGCTATTCAGGATGATATTCATGATCATCTAATGTTATAAGTCTGGGTAGAAAATATACATGGTACATTAGCGTGATGAAATTAAGAGCACACAGTTAAATTGAAGAAATTAAAAAATATATATCTTCAAATCCAGTGCTTAAAAAAAGAGATGAAATACTGATAAGCTATCATTGTCATAGAAACTAAAAGCGACTTGTCCTGTCAGGTGTTCAGGGTACATTCAAACAGAGTGTAATAAAACATGGGGACAGCACATTACCATAGACAGCAGGTCGGAGCGTTAGGATGTGGGCACACAGTAAGCCGTATCATCCTCACTCGTTTGGAGTCGAAGCCTTCCCCTGCATGGTGGCCCAAATAGAGTTTCTCATGGACTCACAGCACAGCTGTATGCCAATCCTCTGTTCTGAAAGACGGCTAATGGGACAAAGGGCACGAGTGAGGCAAAGGGAAACGAGGGAGAGATGCTTGCTGAGTCGCCCAGCCCTCCCCTGAGCAGGACGGGGAGCACCACTCTTCCTCACTGCTCAGAGCTGCTTTCCCCCGGCCCTCAGCCATTTTGGAGAGAGGAAAAAGTGGCTGCTTTCTCTCTCCCTCTCTCACTACGTGGCATAGCTTTGGAAAGGTTTCGGCTGCTGTTTTGTAGGAGCAGAGAAGAGACATTTTGCAGCTCGCGTTTGGGGGATAATGTGTTTGCAGGGAAAAAATCTGACGCGAAAAACAACGTTCTTCCATCTTGACTTTTTTTTTTTAATGAATTTTCGTTTCCCTTGCATTCAGCTGCTAAGCCTCTCTCCTCTTTGCTGTGCACTTTCAGTCATGCTGTGCTCTTTCTTTCATAACTTGTGCTCTAGTTTAGTTGTCGGGTGCTTTCCCTTGTCTATTTTAAATTATACCTTTTGTCATTTCTCAATTTGACTGTGTTTAAGACTAAAGGATAGGTCCAAATTTTGGCAGAAGTACGAAGAGACAGAGCTGTAGCCAGAGATCCTGCTGGGATCCAAAAAAGCCAAACAGAATGAAGCACCAAAAAAAAAAAAAAAAAGAAAACACCACCCTTTCCTTTGCCTGATCACAAATTCCACTTTTTCTGTGGCCAGCCCTGCGCTGCGACTCCTCCTCATCCACATCTTACCGCATTCAACCTTTTGCCGTTTCTCTCTTGCCGTACCTTTTTTTAAAGGCGATTTGAGGTTTTTGTGTCCCGGAAAAACAGTAAATGGACAACGGGTCAGGAGGGCTAACAGGGGGAGAACAAGGGGATGTTATTTTCCTACTTTTGCTTGTTATTCAATTTTTTTCTTCTGTTGCACTGTAACTGTTTTCGGGTCGTTGTTGTAGTGCTAGTAGTGTTTAGTTTTGTGTGCTGTGAGGAGGTGCTTGGATCACCACGTGTTTCTCGTTGTGTGGTTTAAGGAATATGTGTGCAGGGGTATCTAATCTGTCAGTTTAAGACATTCTGTTCTGCTCCCAGTAATGATTTGTAAATCTGCTTTTTCTAGGTGTCTTGATTACGCTGAAGGATTGGCCTACACTGCTCCTCATGCTTGACTCCAGCTGATTCCAGAGGATGTCTTGACCATCACTTCCAGCGTGTGCCTCACTGGTACGTTAGCGATTATTTCACTTACAGTTTTCTTGTTTCTTTTTCTTTCTTTTTGTATCCTAAACCCCACCCAGTGATGCATACCTGGTGTGTTGTTCACGTTTTTTTTTTTGTTTAAAGGTAGTAAGGTCAAGAGAGACAGCGTTACTTACTGAGGAAATGCAGAATTTCTTACATAGTTGCAAGGACATATTCACAAATTTGCTACTTCTCTTTAAAAATGATACTCCTGTCATACTGTGTATTCTGTAGAGGTTTGATTTCATATGTTTTATCACTCTCACCTGATCTTACTTGACAATATTCACCTGCAGACGTTGGATTTTTGTGTGTGGATTTTTTTGTCTGTGGACAGCGTATTTGTTCAGAATCTTTCTGCTGAGAGACAATTGCTCTCCTCGTGGTTTTGGGACATTTTGTTCACATCGTGGTCATTTCCAAAAAATGCCAGAAATTCTGTTTTTAACTCAAATTCATTTTCAGGATTCGAATTATTGATCAGAAGACTGCAATCTACATGTTTGTGTCTTGAAATGAAAAGATTCATTTTGTTATTCTGTCTGACATTTGTAAAGTAAGTGTTGACCTCAGAAGAATGTGATCAGTAGGTTACACAAACACCACGTCTGTCTCACAGTCATGTGCTTTCGGCCTGTGCGTTGGGCCATGGTTAAATTCGAAGGCTTTTCTTTATGAGGTACACAAACAGCAGATATACTAAATAGCTGCATTTAAAAAGTTATTAGTAAATAATAACACAGCGAATATTTAAAAATAACAGTATTTAATTTGATTCTCGGGCAAAGCGATTGATTCAGACACTACTTTAAAACTAAGAATCACTCGACTCTTTCTCAGGTCATTTAATACACTTAAGAAGATTTTCAATTCAACGCTGAGAATTATTTTAACTTCAGTTTTGTGTTTTTCGCTCTGACGCGTTTGCGTTAACGCCCATGGTTTGCATGTTGAATAAGTCGTGTCTACAGGTCCAGATTGTAGTTTGTCTTCCTGCTCCCATGTTTTGTGAGATATGTCCTTCTTATTTGCTCTTGAAGGGGTTATGCCAGCTGCCACAAACCCGTAGATCCGAACTTGTGGTGACTGGCTGCACAAGCTCGTATCTATAGGTATGTGTCTTCCTGGCAAACACAGCACCTGCCCTACAGCATGCCTGTAAATACACAAGAATAATAATAATAATAATAATAAAAAGTAACTCAATGTATTTATCTTCAAAACAAACACCTTTGTAACATCGAGGGTTATTCTTAGACTTCTCACATGTTCTCTTTAGTGTTTTTAAAATCAAGCTTTGATGGTACTCTGATGACTGACAACACCCATGTCTGTCAGAACAGGATATTCTCCTCTAAACTTCTCCCTTGTGTCCCATCTGTATGCAGTAACCCCACCCAAGTGGGAGGGCTGGACTCTATGACGATGTGACACGACATAAAAATCTTCCTCGTATCCTTGGGCAGTGCAGCAAATCAATGAACAGAACTATTTCATAGTAATACTGACTTTGCAGGACACATGAATAAAGGGTAAAAGAAGACCATTTCCTCTGCTTTATTTCAGCTAAAGACTGTTTTTTTTTAAAATATTGCACCAGAGTTTGATCTCCTCATTAAGTTTGCTTTCACATCATATTGTAAAATTTCGTTCACCCTGATAAGTTTACTCCATGTCCCCCCTGCAGAGTAGTCATCCTACTGTTTCCTCCAGTGTTCCCGCAGGTTGAGGTAGTAGGTTGTATAGTTCAGAGTGACACCACAGGAGATAACTGTACAGCCTCCTAGCTTTCCCTGAGGAAACACCACACACGCTGAATACTGATGGAGTATTTTTTTTTACCAATCATCACTTTTTTGTGTAACACAAAACTAGGCGTAATCGGACTATTAAACATGTTTCATGTTTTATCCCAGGTTTTGTTTTTGGCCCTAAAATTTTGATTTTGAAGTTTTGCAATTTGACTTTTACATGGATCGCTTCCCGTTTTCACCCGGGCAAAAATAGTCATATGGGCAAACAATAACATGTATGATCCTTTTTGGCAGAGACTCAAAATTAAAACATTCAGTGATCAGGGGACAGCAAGGACACAATGTTGAAGAGATGTGTACAAGCAGGATAATGCTGCAGCAGCAGCAGCGAGGTCTGTGGGCCGCTCTAATGAAAAAGATGCCACTGAAGGGAAACACCGTACAGCAGCAGGGGGAAAAATACAGTCCTGGCAGCCAATTAGATACAAAGTTCAGTTTCATGAAACCAAAACGATATACTTCCACTGCTCAGCTGTGTGCTAAAGATACTGCTGGGATGAAAACAACCAGCAACGACTGTCATTGCTTCAAACCAAGAAAACCCTAGGCCCCTCAAATCAGCTATACCCCCTACAGCTAAAATACAGCAGATTATTGCTCTGTTTGAAGCAAATTATAAAACCGTTTCTTGTGATTTTCTTAGACTTTGGCCGGCCTTTAGCTCCTCTTTACCGTCATATTTTAGTGACATTTTTATCTCATTCGTAGATCTCAAACTCCACTTTAAAATGTCTGGAATCTCAGTTATGAGACGGCAAACATGTCAAACAAATTAAAAATCCTTATAAAGCAAATTCTTTCTTTCCACACATATTTATGTCGTCACTTCTATGTTTATGAAATCATACCGTGGTGAGGAATGAGGCGCAGCATTTTATCACCAAAGTGCTGGCTGGTTTACTTGAGTTTTGCCGTTTTAAAAATAAGTTAATCCTGAAAATGTTAAATAAAGTATTTTTTATATTATACTTTTAACCAGCCTACCAAATAAAACACGACAGTGGATGTAGTTAAAGATGGTATCCTTGTAATGCAGTGTGCTACAGTGTGCAGATGTGTGAGGTATGAAGTGGTGTGGTGATGAAAGACTGTTTCCACTTAAACTCTTCACTCTGTCCCGAGGCCACCGGGTTCGATGGAGGTGGAGTAAGGAGCTCTGTTGGCCTGAGTGGAGCGGGGGCCCTTGGTACGGGGCAGCTCCTGCAGAGCGATAGAGCAAGCAGTCAGTTGCAGCAGATACAAAATTAAAGACGAGATGTTTTGCCTTTCTTTTAATGATACCTTTAATTAACCATGATAAGCCTGTTTTCCTTGTACCAGCATAATGTTTTTCATTTGTTTTGCTGCTTGTGTGCGATGTTTTGTTGTGGCATTGGAGTGGTGTGTTACTGTATACAGCAGGAGGCATACAGGAGCGCTCCCTGGTGACCCCCTAAGCACACACACCACGCCTTTTGTGTATAATCTAAATGTAGTTTTTTTTGTCTTCAGTGAGTATCACTAAAAATAGTCTCATTTAGCTGTTCTAATGTTGGCTCTGTGTGTGGCTGACTTACAGTACAGCATCAACAGCACTGCAGAGAAGGTTGATTATTTTCTTATAGTAATATAACATGAAATGCACCCCCCACTGCTCTGTTATATGTTGATTTTGTGAGATACTACACCGTCTTGTTTCTCTGAACTGAAGGGATGCCTTTGCTAAAAAAATCAGCTGGAAGAGTTTAAAATAGAAAGTGTCCCAAAAACTCTTAGAGAAGGTATTTCACTATTTTTATTCAATAATTCTTTATTGATCTTTCAACGAAAGACAATACTCTTTTAAATAAATCTATTCGATTGGATGACAGTGTGGGACCACACAGGCTTTTTTACTGCTGTCAATTATATTAGGCCATCGGGAGTTGTCCGTCAAAAAGACCCTGCCCTGGTGATTCCCTTTTCTCCCCATTTGTCTCGCTGTCTTACCATCGTGTCTCTCGTCTCCTCACGAGTCCTATTTGCTTCTTTAACCAGCTTATACTTAAAACATCTATATAACACCACCACCTTGAGTTACTATCCCTAAACTGCTTCAAGAGTTGGAGGGTTCCTCTCCCCCATCTCCTCTTTTTCTCTTTATTCCCTAACTTTGTTTGTTTGAAATAAATATTGTTCTTGTCAGATTATGGTGTAAGATAAGAATCTTTGTCTTAATTTAGTTTCCCAGGCAACCTTTGATTACAAAAGAAAAACAGGCCTGCTTTATATCGTTGAAATTCTAACTCTGAATGACAGAGGCCGCCCAAGAGCTTATCACATGGCTTGAATGACAATAAGGCAGGAAAATGGAGTTTCATTTCAAAATCTCCTACGTAAGAAAGTGCTTCTGAAGACAGATTTATTCTAGAAATTCTCAAATGAGGAAAGTAAATCATCCAGCTATAACAATGGAAGATTGATTGGAAGTTTCAGAATGGGATTTTAGGGATAAAAAAGGGATTTTGTAAATAGCAGCAATCAAAACTGATAAGTTATTGTTTGAATGGCCTCACAACTTTTTTACCAAACCTGCTAGAGAGGTGGAGTAAAATACTTTGTTTTGGTTTTTGCAGGAGGAGAGTTAGCCTGAAAAAATATGAATGAGCACATCAAGGTGGTCATTTAGCCTTTAAACAGTTAACTTTATATTTGCTAAATTTACAGATCCAAGTTCAAGAGCAAAATATTTGTTATATGTCTGACAACTTGGTTTGAGCATAGATGTTAAACTACATGAGTACATGTGGAAAGAATATCCATTTGTATAGAATTTAGACAATCTGAAGCAGACTGGTAAATGTATCCTGAGATAAGACTCTGTCTGACCTTTCAGAGGAAAAGATTGTCTGAGAGAAGATAAGAAAATGAATCAGTATGACAAACACAGAGGGAAAGTTGCTACAGCATACAGAGGAGACATTTTGTATTGCCAGGCTTCATAGTTGATGGAAAACAGTTCACCAATTTGCAGATTTAGGTGTAGCTAGCTAGAATATAAATCCAGTGAAAGATGGGAAGCAGTATTTAAGTAGGAGTAGATCATCTGCATACGGTGTAACCTTGTGTCTTTGTGCCAGCGTTTTGATACCTACTGTTTTGTCTTCCATGACCAGGACTCAATGATCAAAAGTCAGGTCATACTCACAAATTAAGGGTTGAAGAGGGCAGAACTGTGGGAGACTGGATAATTAGCCGAACTAATGTTATAAACTTTTCAAGTAACTCAAATATCTCAGAAATCAGGCAGCTTTATTCAACCTGAAAAAGGCCCTCATAGGATCTGGGAGGACTGCAAGCTCGAGAGTATGCCTAGAGATATTATTTCGAATATATTAGGCAAAACTTTTAAGGTACAAAAGTAATTTGATGTCAGCAAAAAATCGGAGTGTGGGCTACAGTGTATTTTCTTCCATTGCATAGGTTAAGCCATTTTGCTAAATTTGTAGTTATCTAGAAGTGTCATCTGTTTTTCTTGGTGGATGTCCCTCGTAGGCTAATACAAGTCGTTAATATTGAAGTCAGAAAAAAACTCAGAAGTCAGGTACAAAATGTGGTTTTTTTTAAAGCCACATTGACCATGTCTAGTTAATGCTGGGTGAATGATTGTTTGGCTCCCCTGGTAGGTTTGCTCAAAACTTTATTCATCAGCAGTGCCAAAGAAGGCAACTTAGACATATCCCTGAGCTGCTTCCATGAGCCCCAAAAAGCAGCTTTCTTCTTTATCGTGGTGATTGTGAGGTTGATCATGATATTCTATGATGTGCCAAAGACAAAATCCCTTTAAAACTCATAGGAAATAATGAGCAGCGGGATGCTGAAACAGTGAATCCTGATGTTCAGGTATTTGGCTTCTCTTTCTAGACCTCTGAGATCTCCCTGATTAACACTTTGCTTGAAGGTTTTTGACATCAGCTCCTGACAGAGATGGCTCACCAGCTACTGTTTTTTTCACGGCCTTTAAACTTCTGCCCGTCTCGTTCCTCTGTATTGAGGCCACCAACGGCAGTACCCATGTATGAACAGCCATCTTTGTGTAAATGTCACTCTTTGGGGAGTCCAGAGCCTGTTGACAAAGCAGAACATACTAGTCCCCCCTTCTGCTGAGCTAGCATTAGCATCAGATGTGGCCCGATTGTTCATAGTTATTTAATCTGAGTCTTCATGGTCAGCTGTTAAAGTCAGACAGTCTGTGCTTTGGTACTTTCATACAATGGGGAACATTGTTTGACAAGGCATGGAGGTTGGAATTTGCTGTTTGTATCAAAATGAGAAAGTCACCTCATGCTGCTTGCATAAAGTTCGCCTACATCTCTTCCGCGCAACAGCGCCCCGCTCCCCCCTCCCCCCTCCTCCTGCTCCTTTCCTCTTTCAATCTTCTCTTGTCCCACCCTCCTTTTCCTCCATGATTGCACGCTGTAATACCCAGTCAGTCTCGCAGACACAGAGGGGAGAGAGGCAGGAACAGAATACCGGACTTGCCGATAGAAGAAGGACTTTTTTCTTTTCTTAAATGAAAGGGAGCTTGAAAAGAGACATTGTAAGATAAAAACGTGATTATCTCTGCCTTCTCTCTTTCTCCTTCTGCTAGTGTTTGTCTTCGTCTTTACTACTTTCTCCCTCCTCGCTCTATACCTTTTCCTATCTCTGTTTCGCTGTATAAAGCAGGCCTGTAGAGACTGCGATTTCAGCTTTGGGGAGAAATGAATGGACGATATTTATTTGTCTTTTCTCCGCTCTGCCTCTGCCGTTTCAGTGCTGTATGTCACAGGCAGAGGGGCAAGCAGAGCCTCTACTGTTTCTCTGCCCTGGGGACTTGAGCCTGCAATCCATGAAGCATGCGAGGCAGAGGAGGGAAAGAAAATACAGAGGCACAGACACAGGCAGAGAGGTGTGATAAAGTGAGACTAAAGCGGTGAGCAGGAGCAGATAGAAAATGTGACACAGATGGAGACAGGAGACAGGGGACAGACAGGGGAAGGAAATGATGGGTAGTAGTGTCACATGGAGAAAGAGGGGTGAGTAGCAGCGGCCACAGGCACTACAGCAACAGGCGTTACACATTTTTTCCTATTATTCACTTCTGTGGCTGTTTGGACACACTGTGTGAGCTTATTTTCATAACTTTTAGACATATCTGCTGAATCCATAAGATAACAAGCACTTGTGTTTCTCTCATGTTTGTGTTTTAGGGTCGTCTGTAAAGCTATAATTAATGTGGAAAAACTAAAGCAGAAGCTGAGAATGTAAGCTAAAGTGAACGATATTGTGTCGTACGCCTCATGCATAAATATGAATGTAGTGTGTCGCTTTAGCTTTTAAAATCAACACAGACAGTCACATATTTTAATACCTTAATACCGACTTGATTGGACTCTTTCTTTTGTCTCTTTTTTCCGATCTGTCTCTCACTTTTCATTCCTCTCCTTTACGAGGAAGCATGCATGTAGCGGTACAGGCCTATCGATCTGCTCATTCTTTCCTTGTGCGTTGTGCCACTTTTCTGCTCACGCCCACCGTAATACATCTTTGATTTATTAGAATCTTTAAGAAGAAAGGTTTTTCTCGTCAGTCTGTTTTATCAACAGCTGCTTCGTGACGTGTAAAGTGGCCTCTTTCCTCTGTGTTCTTCTGAATTGACAGTAGTGTCAGTCAGTCTTACTTCTTTTCTTTTTTAATCCCATCTTTGTTACATTCTTTGTTCACCTAAAATAACCTTTTAACCTCACACCTGCCCTCCCTTTCATCTCTCTGTCTCTGTATCTCTCTCGCTCCCTCTCTCTCTCCCTCTCTCTCCTCTCTCTCTCTCTCTCTCTCTCGCTGCACATGGTATAGTCTTGCATGTCTGAGCAGCAGACGGCGAGACAGCAGCAATCTGCTACAGCAGCCTCATGTGCTAGTGCGAATGATCCATTCAACAAAGCCTGAGCTAGCAGCACTAAAACCTCTTCCTCTGCTTCCCTCTCCAGCTATCTCTTTCATCGCAGATCTCTCTTTCTCTGTTCGTCTGGCCACATCCTCCGCTCCTCTGCTCCTCTGACCGGCACAGACGTACAGCGAGGACTGCGGCAGCCTTCACCACCTCTGTCAGCTGGGTGAGCTTTCTCCTTTCGCTCCTTCCTCACATCTTGCCTTCACCCTCCTTTTCCCACCCAGTTTTATCTCCCTGTGCTTTCCCCTCCGTAAAATCAAAACTGCATGATTGACAGGGGTGGTCTCGCTGGGATGACAACGCTGGCATGTCAGGGGGATGGTATATCTCATAACTGTAAATGGAAAGAAGCTTTGGCTTTTTTAGCAACGTGGAGAGATTTTTAACCGTGGCGGTCCAGTTGTAGGACCCCGCTGCTCTCCTTGTTGTGTAGTTGTTGCATGCAGTGTGCAGGATTTTGGCATGTTCAGTGAGAAATCAAAGATAATCAGACCACTGTTTGGCTGAGCCAGGCTGTGGCAGCGACAGGGAGGCCGAAATACGCTGAGGCAGAACCCCTCTTATGAACATCATGTGATGATTAAGTGCTGTCTGCCTGTCTGTCTGTCTGGGTTAGTTTCGCTATATAGTGGCAGCACAAGTGTTCATACTATATACCTGTTATCACTTGCAGTGTGATGATTTGTGGTGAGGTTCATTTGTGTGATGTGATTTGCTTGTGATACACAATGTGAAACGGTACTTTGGCCCGTGTTCAGATCACAATGTCGCTTATCGTCTAAAAACGTCATGAATGAGGCGATGCAAGTGTGTCGGGGTAGTGCGGACTTGACTTACTGATCCCAAACTGGATTTAGAGACAAAACTTACACTCAGGGAAGAGAACAGCACAGAGCTAGGAAGAGAGGAAGCTGGCATTGTCTGCTCCAGTCTCTGCCACAGTGCTCATGCAGCAGATGATCTACTGTTTGTCGCATATGAAAAAAGCCCTTAAAAAAAAAACAACAACCTGTACCTCTCTCATTCCCTGAGACCCTAACTTGTGACGTTTTCCTGTGATGTGCACGGGTTGGGTTCTTGGGAGCTGCGAGGGGCACTCACACATCTCTGTAAGCAAAAGCTAAAAAAAAAAAAAAAAGACTAACATGGCGGAAAGACAAAGCGAAGCAAAGAGGGGGACGGCTTCCCTTTTCTGAAGCTAGGCTCGGCGATGGGGAAATGTACGTGTCATCCACCCACGCCGCGAAAAAACAGCGAAAGAGGGGATGGAAAGGGAAGAACACTTTTTTTTTTGCGTTACACGAACGAGTTGGACCCAGAGGCAGGCACAGCGTGTGGGGCGTGGGGTGTGGGGTGGGGGAGATGGATAGAGGAATGTGGGTATGAAGGACATGTGACTGGGATAGAGGGATGTCCAGACAAGGTGGGGGTGACGTGTCCAAACACTGAGTCGTTTACTGTATCCCTGTGTTTTGGGCAGGTACAATTAATGAATGAGAAATTTGTGAAGGTTACACCCACAGTGACTAATACTACACGTGCTCACACAGACCGACAGCACAAGGACCTCAGTCAGACTGTTGAACACACACTGCGCTGTGTATACTGTACAGACACACAGTCATAATTCGTAGAAACACACTGACAGTATGTTGATGAAGTTGTCTTTGTGTATCACAAGGGAAAAACCCCATTGTGTAAATAATTACGATTCGTGCTTTTCGTCCTGTTAATCAAACGAAAGTCGCAGTTTCCTCATGACACTTCTTCACGCCTTATCTTGAGAGCAGCACAAAGTACTGGTGAGAGCGTGACCCTGAAAGCTCAGTACACTTGTGTTTGACCTCATGAAAATTCTCATCTTTCTGTTTTACGCATCCGTCGGCGTGTGCCTCCTCGCTCCTTAATCAGGGTAGTAAATAAAAGGCGTACATAATCCATGTATGACACATGTATGTGTGTGCAGCAGGGTGACACCCCCATGGTCGCCGGGTCATTAAACCAGGGTTTGAACACAAAATGACTATATAAACAATCGTAGTGTTCACTGTGTTTTTTAAGTGGCTCTTAAAATGAGAGTTCGTATTCGGTCGATGGTTCACTTAATGTACGTGTTCAGCTAGCGGTCACTGTATCATGCATAAGACTACTGTTGTCTCACTCCTCACTGTTCTGGAAAAAACTGCCGCTCAGTATGTTGTAATGTGTCTGGAGGCAAATGTCTGTTTCTATAATTGGTGGTTGATCTGTGATCACAGCAACAGCTTCATTTCCAGCTCTTACCCACACCTCCTGTATATGTAACCCTTTACATGTCTGCTTCCTTCTCTTCAGCCACTCTGAAGTTTGCTCTCTCCCTCTTTCAGGGAGCTTCAGCGGCACTCAAACGAGGGATGCTTTTTTGATGTTTTGTCCTCATTCTTTCATTAGCTTGTATTATGCAGGATGTGATGCGGTGATTATGTGGTTGAAGGACAGGTAGCTTTGAGCTCTGATTCTATTTTCAGCTTTGATTTGAAGGAATTTTTAGCCATGTCTGATGAATGCTTGAAGAAACAGCTGACATTTTTTGTTACAACCCCCCCTACCCCACCTCAAGCAATTCATAAAAGCTCTCTTATTTTGGTGGTCAACTGCTTCTGAGGAGTAATGACTTCATAATGTCTTTAACTCACTCACACTCTCATGCACCTTGTATCCTACTGGGAGTTTTGCACCACAGCATGGTTTCAGTTTACTGGATGAGAGGATGCAGGATGTGTTAGTTTTTTTTTGTTAAAGTGAAGCAGCATGTGATACCTGAAATCATCTTCTCAATCATAACCACCTCCATCGATAGAGGGAGAAAACTGCAATGTTGAGGGGAGTCTGGCTAAGCATGTGTTAATCTGAGGTACATGTTAAATCCATATTTTGTTTGCAGCTTTAATTGTGTTTGCCAGTTACTCTTCACTCCTGAGGTTTATGAGTGTGTGATCCTCGCATTTTCAAACGTTTTCTAACGCCATTTCTCAATCTCTTTGCGGCGAGCGTCGCAGAGAGAGTCAGTGAGGGATGGTTCGTCATCTTTCTCTTCTCATATGTGCTAAAATGTAAATGTGATCATGTGATGTCAGCGGGGTTTCCTTCTCTGAGCAGCAGTAGGTCACGGTGTCACTGTTTTCCTTGTTCAGCAGAAACATTGCAATGAAAGATTACATCCAGACAGACAGCGATGAAAAGGAAACAAACATAAAACATGAAGAATATTTGCAGAGCGGCTGCTGATTTGATTTCTGTTTGGGTCTGAAATGCCATCTCTGCTCCGACCAAAAGTAACAGCCGAGGAAAAGGAAAGCAATAACTTTCATGCGTGCCATTCAAGCATCACACTATGTGTATGTATGTGTGTGTGTGTGTGTCTGCGATCGGTGTGTCTGTGTGTGCATGCACCAGCCACATTATTGAGACCTCCCACTACAGCCTTGCCCCCCGGCCTCTGCTGGATTTCTTTCCAACTTGTAAAATGGCCGACCGATGAAAGAAGCACAGATCTTTCAATTTCTTAAATTTACAGCCTGTGAGTGTTTTCTATTTATTTATCTATTTTCAGTAGATGTAGAGAAAATTCGAGTGCAGGAAATGGATTGACAAGTAATCATAGCAACTGTCAATCCTTGAGATTTTGGACTGACAGAATTTGGATGAATCAGGGTGAATGTAGATCAGCTATTTATTTTTTCTGCCTTCTCTGCCTGTTTTTTAGATAAAAATTCAATCTTGTTATCGATTTCTGAACAGTTCTTCACTTCAGTTGTCGAGAAGTACATACAGAAACCTTGTCCTGGTGTTTCAAAATGTTTGGCTGCACTAAAATCGGGGCTGTACTGTAAACCACCAAACAACCCTCAGGGATTTGCTGCTGAGGAAACTGGGAGCAAACCTCAAATGTAAAATGCAGTTTTCATGTTTCATGTCTCAATGCATGAATAAACACATCTGTTGTGTGTGTGTGCGTGTGCAGCATATGTCAGGGAGTATGGTTTTGTCAGCTTTCTGCCTCCTCTCCTCTCCTCTGTCATTTCCAGCTCTTTCTCTGTGCTGTGATCTCACTCACACTCTCACGGCACAGGGGATGAGTCCTCAGATGCCCTCTGATCGCTGCATGAGAGGCTGGACGCATGTTTGAATCTGCCTCTGTCTCTCTCGTTTTCTCTCTGCTTGGTACAGTGGCTGCTGCTGTTGCTCCAGCGGCAGGAGCAGGTGTGTCTACCTCCTGTGTTGCCCCCCCTCCTTCCTGTTCCCTTATCACTGCAGTACGGCAGCTCTGTCTGGGAGGCAGCCATTCCATTGTTCTCGCGCCCCCTGCACCTATCGGTGCCCCTGTGGGTGCCGTCTCCGCTCTGCCCGCCCCTACCGGTAGATGGGACTGGCTCCAAATCACTGTGATACTTGGCCCTTGGTGCCCTGAGCAAGTTACGCTCTGTTACTCAGGCTTTCTGTCTCTTTCCTCCCTGGACAGAGCTCAGTACTCTGCTGCAGACCGCCGCCATCTTGTTACTGCTTGTGCTGCTGGTCTGCTGCCTCTGCTGCGCTCATACCAAATCGAACCCAGCCTCAACTGTTTGAAAGTGTCTCACTTCTTCTACAATTGTTGTCCTCCATGCTTGTCTTTATCACAACGCACTCTCAGATAAGTGAAGCTTTTTGAACACATGCATCAAACCTGATGATTTATGCTGCCGACACGATCATCGCTACTCACAGTGAATTTATTCCTCTCTCTGCAAATAAGTTGATATTTTTGGAGTATAAGACATACTCATATCTGAACCAATGTCTGGTTCAGGAAGCCCAAATAATACCGATCACAACTGTAAATGTAGCATCAATCACTTACTGTTACTAACATGATTCAACGTGAAGACCAACCACCAAAGAGAGTTAAGTAAAACTGGGACTGCTATTTTACAGATTCACAAATCCCACTTGGTAATAGACGGCTATTAAACGTCTAGTTTTTTTGGTTAGACCTAATTTCAACCGTCTAGATACTGTATAGATGAAATTTAGACGTTGCACTTTAACCCATTATTCGATAACTGTTTGATCAAAAAGCAACTGTAATTTAGACGTCTCATAAACTTTCATTTTTAGACCTGTGGTAGCCTGATTTTAGACCAGTCCTCTAGGCTACATTTTGACGTCTATTAGACCTCTTTTAGACCAAAAAATGCTCAGTGGGATGATGTTATTAAAAATCTAATTTTTGCATTTGATGCTGATGGAAAGGTAACATCTGCATCCCAGTCCATCTCTGATACGGGGGGAGTTCATGCAGCCCTGTAGGTAGCACATAAATGCTGTCTGAACATGTGCAGCTGTATTTGGAGGGAATACAAATGATCCAATCACTTTTTATATTCGGATCAAGTACTTTTTTTATCATCTATGTGTCACATATTTACTCTTGCCAAAAAGAAGCCTCACACTTCTCTCAGCAGAATATGATAGCAGATATGAGTCAAAGACAAACATCGGTCACCGGCATATTTAACATGTCAGCAATGCAGCGTGAATAGCTTGACCATGAAAACTGCGTAGGATGACCCGAGCTAATTACACTCATTAAAGCCCTCATGACAGCTGAAAGAGAAAACAAAGACACAAAGTTTGAAGCCACAAGTTGGATGATGAGGACATGAAAAAATTGTTATAACAGAATGAATTACCTATGAGCCGAGGTACAAAAAAAAAGTGAGGCCTTCCTCGTTTGTGCAGGTAGAATCAAGGTTAAAGCGAAGGGTAAATTTTCAGAGGGCTTATTTCAACCCAACTGTATGGAAATGTTATTGCTGTATTGAACTGTGCTTTGGTGAAAAACGAGTGTATGTGTGTAGGTGGAGGCCAGAGTGATGCAGCAGTGAGTTCAGAAGGTCCCCAGTTTTCTCAGTCACTCTGCCAAGAAGAAACTATACGAATGCAATCATAGAGACAGAAGAAAACACAGACCATCTCTCAAGGGTACTTCTATGCATCTGAGGTCACCAGATTCACTTTTTTCCTTGTGTCTTTGAGCATTCACACTCTGTAGCTTTGTGCTGATTCTGTATATGGAAGGTTAAAGGCTGCCTTGCTTCAGGGTTAAATGTTGTCAGCTTTTATCTTATGTCTCTCCATCAGGCCAGTTGTTAAGTGACTCCTCATTCCAGTACCAGCTACGTGCTTGTATGTAAATGCCTCTGCATAAATTGTGTAAGCAGGCAGACCTTAGATGACTCCAAATTTCAAGATGAAGAAGAAGAACTTTTTTGAGTCATCTTATCATGGGAGATGTTTCATGTAAAAAAAGCCCTTGTTAAGGTGAATCCATATAGGGATGGTGCAACCGGCAAAATTCCTGGATGAAGCATGAAAGTCATTACACAGGGTTACATTACACTCTCGTCCCTAGTTTGGCTTCAACATAAACGGTATAATTAAAATGTACAACATTTGATATCATAGAATCACAGGTAACCATAGAAACTAACATAACAATAAAACTGTTTATCATAAAATAAATACACCCAAAATATATATATGTTAATATAAACTATCAGATTTAAAATACTACATGTTTAAAATGAACCTAGCGCTTGGGATAGTTTTATTTTAATTCCAGAATTAACAGGCCATAATGCAGAGGGCTGATTGTCTAAATTTAGATCTACAATTCTATATGTTATGGTTTCCAATTATAGTGCTGTTAGATACTCTGTAACTGCCCTGTATTCACACATATCTGCAAATAGGGGGGTAATAGGGGATTCAGGGGCTAAATTGTCGATAAATTTGAAAACTAGTTTGAGATTAAATAAATGCATAAAACTCCAAAACTGAATTGATGATAATTTGTGTCAGTAATGCCAAAGCTGGAGTCCTGTGTCTGTGATATGTGGGGCCCGGCTGTATGTATAAGAGAGTAGGGTTTCTGACTGTAGAGGGTGAAGCTTCAACCTATACAGTTATACAAAATAATAGATTAGAGGAAGTAAGAGTATACATGAAAACTGGTCTATTTGGTTTGATATTCATCTTGTCTGTTTTCAAAATGCTCCTCACACGTTGATCAACTGTTCCTGAGAACGTAAAATCAGTCCCCCGCTCTATTGCTTGATTCTCTATCTCAATCGTGAGATTTTCAGGTGAGCATCGTTTTCTAGTGGGACAATACCAACACCACCGTAAAGGTCATCATATTTGACATTTTTTTATAAGAAGACATTATTTTATGTTGTACAAAATACAGACATGCTGTTGAACAGTTAGCATAAAATTTAACTCGATCCATAATTGTATTCAGTCAGGCCTGAACTTCATTGTATTGTTATGTTAGTTTGTACCCTTTAATGTCAACTCTGTGTTTACGTTGTGTTGTTTTTGCTTCACCTGTCAGTAAGTGAGACTGTGTCAGTTTGTCGCTGGCCCACACTGTAGTATCTCATCAACTTTTGACTGTTGTTTTACAGATTTCCATGCTGACTTTTGAAGATGAGTCCCAATGACTTTAGTTTTTTCTCAAGAGCCAGGAACAGGTAATATTTTTCTTTTATCCACTGACACATACCAATATCAATCAGTTGAACTGGCACACAGTTTTACACATTCATGGTTACCAGCTAATGAAGGACGTGCTGATTGGGATCCAACATTTGTGGCTTTATAATGAGTGTTACAACATCTACTGAGAGGAATTCCATTATTTTCATGTTCCTCTGTAATCCCTAAATTTGTCATCCAGCACCATCATCTGATCAAAATTTGAATCTGTGCTTCCAGTACTTTGCTTAATAACCAAACACATGCCGAATAGAGGGAGACCTGCAAGCTAGTTTAGGCTGGCACCTTCAGCTGCACTGATTTAGCATTTGTCAGTTGTCATACTATCACATGACACACATTTGACAGTCTATTTAAGCTGACAGATTTCTGGTATCTGCCTCTGATCTGCCATTGACACTGCTGCTTTGAACCAGGGTTGCACTCAGATTTCTCAGCCCCACCAGTACTTCAGCATTCACCTCCAGGCTTCAGCTAGGGAGCTTATGATACTGTCTCATCACTTCTCTAACTTTGGTAAAAAAAAAAAAAAAACGTGGCAGTGATGATGTTGGCGAACAAACGCCAAACACAATCAATGTTCCCCAGCTTTAATAAACATTTCAAATCACTTAAACATGAGTTGTCTAAATGAACTAATGATTTTATCAACCTCAGCTCTGCTTACAAGAATGCAGGACATCTTAATTGAAATGTAGGACACTCTGCCTAAAGTCACCACATTAGCATTATCTTCATGAGCATGTTAGCATGCTGGTGATACAGTTTGACTCACAACACGGCTGTTTTCCACTTTGCATGCAGCCTCGTGGTACTGCTAGCATAGCTGTAGACTAGAGATTGGCTGTGTCCAAAATGAATCACTCAATCCCTAACCCCTAACCCCCATATGGGATTTTACTATATAGCTGACTATGTAGTGAACTCAATCACCGGAGGTTTCGGACACTACATGGCATGACGCAATGCATGACGGGATGCCCACCACCGGTGAGTGACCATCGGATGGTCACTACATTTTGCAATGCTCTATGGGAAATTTTGAGTCGCTTATAAAGGGCACTGGAATTGATCACTGAGATTTCGGACACCCCTCAAAATGGCGCGAACCCCCATGTAGTCACCTATATAGGGGTTAGGGATCCATTTAGTACAACGCCTTAGACTGATTAATCGATCGGCCAGTCGATAGCATTTTTATGTAATCAGCTCTACAAGGTTGCTTTCATCATCATCATCATCATCATCCTCCACATAAAAAAAAGCATTTGACAACACAAATCTCAACCACTGGCTAGTGATAAATATAAATTCTGTAATAATGTTAAGAATAATGCAACTTAATATTAATGATATTAACATTTACCTTGTATATTTCTTTCTCTCTTATTAATTTTAGATAGCAGGACAGAAATCCAAGGCAATGTTTGATTGAGCTGAGCTTTTTCTTTCATCTACGTTTACATAGAAAAAAAAATCAATCAAGGTTAGCAATTTTGTTTCTCATTTGGTAATATTGTTATAATTACAAAAATAAACTAACTATGAAAAAAATAAAGAAAAAGAAAAGATATACACAATTTTATATCAGCATTGTATATCGGCGGTCGGCCAACCTGCTGTCTCATTATCAGTACTTGTGTCGGCCTTTGAAAATCTGATATCATTCGACTGCAGCTCTAGACTCTGTTTTACTTTTGTAGAACGAAAACAAATTGGGTTGTGTATAATTTTTTCAGTCACAATGTTTTTCTTTTTTGTCACTTATGTAGTTTTCTCATCAGTAGGATGAGATTTCTATCTTCTATTTATTCTCATACAAGTGTCTTCTTAAAGGTTCAGAGTGATTGCATTTTGACATGAGTCAGAGAAGGGAAATCATAGAAGTAGAAACTATAATCATACCCTGATTATAGCAGATATCTTGTTTTAAAAAGTTTAGTTAAGTTAAGCAAGTTGCCATTTCTCAAATTCATCATTTGTTCCTCTACTTACTCTTGATGTAAGTCTAAGCTAACTGTACATACTGGTACCTAAAATCACAGAGAGAAATAAGAGAGTGGTGAGGGATCTCTGGTGCAGCAGAGTGGGCAGAGATTGCATGACATGGTGCAGTTTGCACATGGAATGTAGAGAGATTTCAGGCACTCAGTGATGAAGGCCAGATGTTTGAGTTATGCATAGGAAGTTGATTGTCCACAGTTGCTACTGGTTATGACAGTGATGAAGCCAAGCACCAGCGCTGGTATCTACTGTATAATCCAATTTAAGAAGGTCCTCTTACTTTTTACAGCTTTTATGTGACCAATACATGTTCCCAGTTTTTAAAACGGTCTTCAAACTACATTACATTAAACGAAGAGCATAAATATAAATAGAAACAGCATATATTAGCGAGTAGTTAAGGGGAGTTGCTCATAATTCCCTAGTTACATTTTGCATAGCAACTAATCCTAAAGCTCGAGAGACTGGGATTGGTTGACAAGAGTGTTGATCACCCTGATAGATGTAAAACTAAAAAAAATAAATAAATAAACTAAAAATAGTTAAATAAAAAAACTGAAAAATTCTCCAAGGCAAGAGCGTCACAGGTCAGATGAAGAATATTTATTATTCAGTCTTGTTGTTGGGTTGAATGTTTCTGTGTGGGATGAAATGGTTAAAATAATGCTGCTCCTTCAAAACTGTGAAGTCAGTTACAAGATTTTTTTAAGTAAGTAAAGAAAAGAAGAAGTCAACTTTCCCTGAGGTTTTGATTTCTTTTCAGTCCAGAACGATGACAGAAAATCAATCATCTGCCAAAGTTTTTGACCTGAGCTTGATCAGTAATGCATATTTATACGCAACCATCAGAGTTACATACGAAAACTCCCCCTCCTCTTACTGTAGCTCTTTTCCCTCATTCCTTCTCCCTGCTTTTTCCTCCTCGTCTTACACAGATCCACACACACCCAGCCAGTCTCAGTGTCTTACACACACACACACACACACACACACACACACACACACACACACACACACACACACACACACACACACACACACACACACACACACACACACACACAGTCTTTTGTTTGGATTCAGACGGCATTGAAGGCAGATCCTGTGGCCCTTCTGAGGAGAATGTTAATATGGCTGCTCTGGTCTCTCTGGGGACGCAAAGAATGGACTCTGGCTGCTAATGCACTGTCACACTAACCCACCCGATCCTCTCTCACAATCAGAATCAGCAGTGGTGCACTCATGCAAGCTCTGAAAACTATTTAACCATACTCACAACTTACTGATTCATTCATATTCTTCCAGTTAAATATATTTAACTTTCCCTCATGAATCCGCGTGTAAAAACAGAGGGATGCCAGGTGTACCTCTGTATTGTTTTAGTTTTGTTCGGGGACTTTCATTACTCTTCTTTTTCAGTCTGTTGTTAAGGTCAGAGTATCATAGTACCTTCTTCAGTAGATGTCTACAGAAATCCTAAACCCATGTTTATTTCAAATATTTTAATCTGGAGTTCAATTCATCACCCAACGTGAATTGATGAATTACACCAGCAACAGGATCACAAACTTACAATGACAACTGAGAACTACTTTTTGACCAGCTAATCCCTAATGTGTTTAATCTCCATTTGTCCATCACCCATCCATTCAATTACCGCAGAACTGGGAAACATGCAAATCTACTTCATGCCCAATCTAGAGAAAAGGAAATCAACAGTTTTTTTTAATATTTGAGTTGGTTATTTAAACTAAAAACAACTCATGTAGCTTCTGTTTCCAACAACTAGTTATAAAGTTATCTATTGAAAAAGATGCATATGCAGATTTGTTAAATGGGGAGTATATGAAGGGAGTATAACATATCAGACAAACATATTGATTCACAGATAATGAGATGGCTGAGAGCCTTCTGGTTAGTTGAATTAAAGGGTTTAACAGTGTTTATTTTAAATCACACCTTTAACTCATGGCTATCTCAAGCTTTCATTAGGTATACAAAAATTAATTATTTTTGTGTTTCCTTATGGGTAACTACTTTAATGATTTGTGGATGTTAAATGTTATTTCTCCATATTTCATTTTTCAGACATTGATTTTTTAGCAGGTAAAAGGAAAACTCTCAACTTAAGCCGTCAAAGATTTAACTCTCGTGCAGCACCTGGGTTAGCAAGTGGGCACCTTACTTCTTAGGTTCACAACACCTCAGGAAGACTGAACCACACCCTTCAGTCTCTCATTCCTCCACTTGGAGAAGGAAACAAGAAAATGCAGAAAGAGGAGTCTGTGAAGAGCTGTAAAAAAAGGAGATAAATAATGTATCATACCAACTGTGCATATCATGTAGTTGTAATGTTCATCCACAGTTATAGTGCAAGTGAGTGCACTTACTTACATAAACAATTTAATCCCCAGACGGCATGTAGCTGAACACTTTCAAATCAGGGTCACCTAATTTTCTTATTCTTGGAGGTTGGGAACACAGTCACTTATTTTCAAAGCAGGAAACCCCTCACATTTTCAGACCTGTGTACTGTATGTCTCAATAACAAAGGTGTCGTGTTTCTTTCACTCATTCGCTCTTTTTGCTTCTGTTTCCAAGCTGTGAGCAGGGAAAATGCGTTGCACCGTCCCCTCCTCTCCCAGTTTACTGAAGTCCTTTCATAATGAATGGCAAGGTACGATAATAGCCTTCAGGTTGCCATAGAAATGAGACAGGGGCCCTGTATGTGATTTTTTCTTCTTCTTCTTCTTCTTTTTTTTCGCTTCAAGCACAGATGACAGAGGACCGTAAGGAAAACTCCTCCTCCCCACAGTCCTCTTTTGTGAGACAGGGTATATTAACAACTTGCTGCTATTGCTAACAGTCCAGACAGTTTTTATACCTCAGAGGGCTCAGAGGTGACCTGTGGTTAAGATCACTCTCACTTTCCGTCAAATGAAGATGAACGGTTCAAAACTTGGAAAGCAGAGGAATGGTTTTCTCTCATCAGGTCTCCTCCCTGCATCAAGCATCTTGTGTGCAGCTGCTTTTTTGATGAGTAAAGCTAAGCTCTTGAGTTCTTACTGTCCCAAAGTATTGATTTAGCCCGTCAGTTTCACACTGTCAGTGATGATCTTGGACATGCTGATGTCAAGAACGGCTTGGTTGTAATGTGACAAGTTTTGACTGATTGTTCATTTCTAAAGCGCCTCCACTGGACCAGACTGAGTGAGTACTATTTTAGGCAGAGCTTTAGACAAAGACATGATAGGAAGACCTTTTATCAGCCTGAGCTTAAAAAAATCCTCAAACAGCAGCCTAGAAGCACGGCTCATTTTAACCATCATCACAAATGGTACGTTTCCAAAGCTGAAAATACTTTAGAAGTAAACTTACACAAACAGTCATCACCTGCATTGATGCCACATGACATAAAAATGAGCTAAGCATATGTGGAAATACTCCATCTGCAAAGTATCCACATAAGAAGAATAACATTGTATTTATAAATATGTACAAAGAAACTAAAGAAATTTGACAAACATTCCACTTTAATGTATTTCAAGGTTGCTGAGGTGGTATTCCTTCAGAGGCATTATGAGATATTTGTAGTCTCTGTGAGCTTGTTCGATTGTAGTTGGACTGAAGGTGTGCGTCATATAGAGGCCTACAATGAGATCGTATAAATTCAGAGTCCTTTCTCTGTATCCTTAGAGAGTTTCTGTTTCTACATATAGTAAACCTGTGTGAAAGGATCTTTGTTTGTACACACATCTTTCTACAAACCTGCAGATGTTATTATCTGTCATTTGGTTGTTGATTTGGTGTTTTTGACAAAGCAAAACAACACCTCTAAACTGTGTCACCAACAGTTTATTTGTTCAATACAATTTAAATCCCACGAAATGGACCACATAGAGGACACCTAACCATACATACTGTTCACTGTACCTGTTGAGTGTGCAGTAATGTAGCTTTTGATTGTTTTGACACAACACCATAGAAACGTTGATAAGATTCTGGTACATCATTTCCTTTCTGCTTATACTTAGATGGGTCCGGGATACAGTGAACCTTATTTAACTGATATTTACAGTTTTTGGACTAAAAGAAGGCTTTATATACGTGCCCTTTTTTTCTGTGTGGCTGTGATGAGCACTTTTCATTATATTTTGATATGTGGTATATTAAACATTAATCCTCAATGAGACAGTGCATAGATTTTACCACGAAGTGATTCCTGCACATTTTGAAACTTGTAAAACATAATCTGATCTGCTGATTAAGTCCTCAAACAGTAGCTTGATCAAAATGAAGGGAACTTAGTTAGGGCTGGGCGATAAACCGAAAACTTATCGATACCGAAATTTACGTCAATAATCGACATCATTTTGCCCATGTCAATATATTCAGCGTCAAAAAAAGTTAATAAATAAAAGTTGGTTTTGGATGTGTGTATGTAGGCTATGGTCTCATGTCCCTTTAAGACACTAGTCTGTAACAAAGAGGGAAAGACAGGTGAGGAGGTGGAGGATGGTTCAAAAGTTGTAGCAGCTGGAGCGGCTAAAGTAGACGAAGTTAATGTGGGAGGGGGTGAGCAGCTTGTGGAGTAGTTTCTATTTATCGTTACCAAGGTGAACTGCTCAATATATTGTGATATTGATTTGAGGCCATATCGCCCAGCCCTACAACTAATTCTTATCAACAAGTTAAAGATGGAAGAGTAACAGTGAGTAGATTGGAGATACAGCTAACTTCTTTTATAATCTCAGTCCATTGACGAACACTTTACACAGCACACTGTTTTATTGTGAAGTAAAAACAAAAGTAACCATTTTTAATACTGAAGAAATTTAACAGACCCTGAAACCTTGCCTGCAGAGCTAACAAATGTAGGCTGTTAAAGATTTATTAAAAAACAGGGAAAAAAACACACAAGCAACAATCAAATTAGTCACAGCAGCGGTGTGCTTCATCAGGACTGTGTTTGTGATAGATCTGATTTGATTGACAGTGAAATCGAGCAAATGAAGAAAACAGCCTGTAAACAAAAATCAAAGTTAGAGACAGGTTTAACAGGTTTTTTAAAGCTGAACACAGCTGTGATGGAGGAGAGCAGCCTTCCTCTGGTTACTGAAACACCAGTATTTGGTTTTTAGCACTTCTGAGGGGAAGTAACTACAGTTTATGTACCTCCGCTTTTACCAAGTCTCTCCAGCAAAAGAAGTTATGTATTAAAAATGAGTAATTTCCGTGCTAGAACTGAAGCAGAAAGTAACATTTTAGGCTCAGTCTAAAATCCTCATGATCAGATTTTAGATTTGAAATTTGTTGACATCTAGAAAATGCGTAACAACTTCTGAAATCTGAAAAAGTGTGAACTGGTTACCGTTCATAACTGTGCAGCGATGTGTAGAGACAACTGTGTTTTTTAACCACCATTCACCACAAACAAGACTTACGACAGAGGAAATGAGGTTATTGTATTATTATTACTAGCACATTTTAATCACCTTTGTTCAGATGTCAGTTGTTAATTCCTCTTCCTGTTTCTCTCATTAGGAAAGAGCCAAAGCTGTGTTTTGATTCTATAGTTTTTTGGAGCAAAGTGTCACATCAATTCCTCTCGCTGGACTGATCACGAGTCTCATTGTGTTCACACTGCAGCAGCTGCACAAACCTGATGCCCTGATGATTATTTAGATCACATTTTGTGTAAAAAGACAGACTTGATTGTTGATCAGGGGCAGCTTTAGAGAACTTTAAATGAGTTTACCCACCCTGTGTGTTTTCAAAGTAAACTCAGGGTCAGGTACAGTTCATTTACCACCACGTCTGTGGTGTATTCAGAGTGTTTCTGGTGAGCAGTCAGCTTTTACCTGGTTTTATAATTTCAGTCAGCACAGTGTTGAATAGTAGTGCTTATGTCCTTTATGTTTTTGCATTAAAAAAATAAACAAATCTTCTTATTCAGGCAAACAAAATAAAGTAATTCATTCAGCTGCTGCAGCTGCATCATGCAGTGTCTCCCACAGTTTCTTTCTCAATGATAATTTTATTACCACAGTTAGTAGCAGTTTGTAAATGCCATCAAACTGAGTCAGATATAGTTCACTTCTGACTTTCTCTGGACTGGTTTCTAGTTACTGTACATGGAGCTGTCATCGAGTTAAGAGCAAATGTTCTAGCCCGATCAGTTGCTTTAATATTTTTCTCAAGATAAATCTTTTTATTAATAATTTTATCCATTTCAGGAACAATTTTAGCATCTTTTAAGTCTTACTGGTTTTCTTAAAAACATGCTAATTTTGTGAACGTCTGTGTGTTAATTTAGCTTTAAATGTTGACCAGAGAATCTCACGTTGCTCAAAAAGTGTTTAAAACATTTCAAAAGCAGAAAACAGGCGTCTTATGCACTACATTGCCTTTTTTTGATGACTTGAAAGGTCTTTGATAAGTAAAGACAACACTACAGGCATGTTAAAATCACCAGCAGCAAGAGATGTTTATGAGGTTAGCAGCAACTGTTTTTCAGTAACAACCACACGTTTGCCACACAAGTGATTTGTGTTTGAAAATATGCATTTGATTCAAAACTGCCATAACAACACTGAGGTTTACCACAACAATTTGTGTGTGTGGGTCGACATTTCTCCCAGTCTGGCAGTCGCTTCATACAGAAGAGTTTCTCTCTTTTTTGAGCAGCTTTTGCTTGACCTCACTGAGAAGCGAAATTAAGCCTATGTCATTTTATATTAAGTCTAACCCGAGGTTAAAATACCCCTCAAGGGTTAAGACCATGTTAATGTTATAATTCATGATATTCTGTAACATTACTGGAGATTAATGTAGTGTGAGATTTTTGTAGAAGAGCAAAAGTCCAGGAGATATTTTTTACACTGTTTTGTATCATGGTGTGAGTTACAGTGACAGAAAAAAAAATTAATTGATTCAAAAATTGATTCATGAAGTCATCCATAATTATATAACATGTACAGTAAGTTGTAACTTTACTTGAATATTCATAAAACTCCCCTGTGTAAGTGGTCTTTCTAAAATACTATCTTGTTCAGTTATTTAATGTAAATCCTGTAAATGAATCAGATCAGCTTAGGTGTAGAAAAGTTACATATGAGTGATTGTGTCGTGACCTTAAGACCCAGAGCTGCTAAGGTTTCAAAGGGGGGCTCAAACTGCCGGCTGTGACTGCTCATGTAAAGGTCAGGATCACACTTCAGGTCTTCGAAAGACATCTGCCTGTGTTCATTTGAACATCATTTTAAAAACTGTTTGAATCGTTGACCTGTATTTTGGAGTTTCATCTCTGATATTGACCCACTCTTATCCATGTGTCACAAAGCTTCAAGACTTTTCCACACGTGTTTTGAAACGTTGGATTATGCGCACATAAAAAGTGACAAAATCAGTACACGTGTTTAGCTTGCTGGCTACCAACATGAAGATGACGACGGTAAGGAGTGTCCATCTTTCTGTCATGGACCTCTCTTCCACAGGTCTCTGTGGCCTTTGCAACCCGAAGGCTCTCTTGGCCAAAGTCCACGTGGCACAAAAAGGCAGCAGCATTCCTGATGTCTGTGGCTAATCTGTGGTGTCAGCTTGTGTTAACGCCGCACCGTCAAATTTGAGGGCACACAGGGCCGGGGAATATTAAAAACTCCCATCAGCAGCATTCCTCCACAGAGGAGGGCGGGTCTGACGAGAGCAAGGGTCAGCTAAGGTTGAACACTGGTTTGTGTGTTCGAGCTGTTCGTACTGTAACGGTCTGATCCGGTGGACAGGAGGTGGGGCCAGAGCAGGACGGAGGGAACACACTTCAAAGGGAGAGCGCTCTTTCCTTGTCTGTCCTCATTGAAAGCGGGCTAAATGAGCTTTGTGGGGGCTTTTGTTCCTGCTGTTAGACAATTCAGAGACTGGACGGAAGATGCCGAAAAGGACAGGAGGTCAGATGGGTAGTTAATTATCTGCCTCTCAAGCCGCCAGACGTTTTTTGCCTCCCCCTTCCCCAATTGACTTATAATGACCATGAGATATTGTTCGCTAAGTTTGAGGAGTCCGGTAAGTGTAAGGTCAAACTGTTCCTGCAATTGGTACATGACAAATTTCACACAGACATGAGACGGAGACTTTGAACCACAGTGCCAGCATTTTCCTCCACATGGTGAGCCCTGCCCCTTTTTATCCTCATTGAAATATACAATTACCCTTTAGCCAGTTTGCAAAGAGTCCACGACAGCAAGTTTGATGAAAAGGACTTCCAAACTTCTAAAGCATCGTCCAACCCATACCTGCTTTCACAATGAGAAACATGATGGCTGAAAAAATTCAGCTTATTCCTGGCTGTCTGAAGCTGCGGTGCAGACATGTAACATGTGCTCGGCTCTCTCTGACTCCCAGAGGGGCAAGGACAGGAATGCAGCGAGGGTCAGGGGTCGGACAGCCATGTGCACGTGCACCGCTGTAGCCTGGCAACAGGTGCTGTACATGAGCAACAGCAAAGTCACTTACAGCAAACTACAATCAAGCTAAATTTCTATGTGACATAAGGTTTCTTTTTCATTTGTTGCTCGTTGAAACATCTTTGTTATAAAACTTTTTATCGTCAAAGATTCGGGCTTATTTTCTCATAACTTTTTGTTGAGACTGAAGCCTCGAGTGTAACATCTGCACAGGAAGAGAGAGAGAGAGAGAGAGAGGGAGAAGCTCGTAGCCGAGCAGTTGGTAGTGTCTCGGGGAAACGATAGCTCTGTGCCAAGGTATTCCTTCTCCCTCCTGAGAGAGGCCCCGCCATTCAGCGCTGTGAGGTCAACAAGTACAGACCATTACCCACAATGCCCCTGAACTGAAGAGGGGGGAAAAAAAAACTTAAATATGCAGGGCTGTTCCTTTAAGATGGTAAGACAGGAGCTTCCTGAATGTGCTCACAGACAGAGCTGCGGCCAAGATGGAGAGAAGGAGGGAGAGGAGGAGAAATCAGAGATTCTTTATTGATGAGGAAACTTGTGTTTTCCTGATTCTACTGCAGAGCTGTTATGTTGTAATTATTCATTTTGTTAAATTACGGGTGTCAGTTTGCTGATTGCACCGCGCAGAGAAAAAGGAGTCTTGTTGCTAGGAGAGGAGGGATTTAGCCTTCTCTTATTGGCCGCTAGGATGCGTAAGATGGCCCAATGAGAGCCCTCCCCCTCGCTGCACAGAGCAATAGTAGAGCTACCCCCACATGCAGACCTGATTAATATGTCAGACATGTTTTATGGGTTAACTTGAATCAGGCTGGATGAATTGAAAGGGCTGCAGCGGGATTTGTGTGTGTGTGTGTGTGTGTGTGTGTGTGTGTGTGTGTGTGTGTGTGTGTGTGTGTGTGTGTGTGTGTGTGTGTGTGTGTGTAAGTCTATACAGTATGCATGCCGGGGGGAACACCACACTGACATATCACACACACACACACACACACACACACACTCCTCTGAGGTCAAGTGTTGCTCTCGTTCTGAAAAATGTTAGCATACACACATACGCAGCACATTCACTGTAGTAACAGAGTAACTGGAAACAGACCGGTGCTGAGTGGGAATAGGAAATAGGATTCCTCACATGTGCATGATTATCAGGAGAATGCAGCTTACAAAAGAGAAACAGAAGTGAAAAACTTTACTGGGTTTTTTTTGTAGTTTTTGAGGACATTAATGCTCTGCAGTAGATATGAAGCACACACACCGCAAATCTCTAAACAAACCACTCATTCTGTCGTGTTTTCTTACCTGCCAAGACTGAAAAAAGTCAATACCTTCATTTTTTGTCTGATTGAGTGATGCCTAATGTTTCGTTTTCTGTGTTTCTGTCACAGGCGGGCTTTTTCTGTCTCCTCAAAGCGAAGCTGGAATTATACAGAAAAAGCAGCATTTGGTCTGAAATATTTGTGATTATGTCTGGATGTGTCGCTAAATTCTTCACGCTCCAAACTTATACTAGCCTTCTCACTACAGCTTACCTTCCTTTTATCAATTACAGCAACATTTAGTGCACAGTCAGTAACTGGATGGTGTTCACATGAGGGTCATAGTTGAAAGAAGCTGTTGGACCTTGTGTTTTTTTAAAGAACATATTGTCAGCAGTGAGGGTTATTAACTTTATTAATAACTTGTGTGAAAATCTAGCTGATCAGACACACTTTTTGTCCACACAACTTCCTCACACTGGATATTTTCTCTTATTCGGACCATTCTCTGTAAACCCTAGAGGTGGTTGTGTGTGAAAATCCCAGAAGATCAGCAGTTTCCAACATACTCAGACCAGCTTGTCTGGAACCACGTTCAAAGTCACTTAATAAATCCCCTTTATTCCCCATTCTGTTGTTCAGTTTGAACTTCAGCAAGTCATCTTGACCACCTCCACATGCCTAAATACATTGAGTTGCAGCCATGTGATTGGCTGATTATTAGCTATTTGAGTTAACGAGCACTTGAACAGGTGCACCTAATTAAGCTTATGTAGAAGGCCTGGAGCTAAACATAGATGTCGCTGAGACATGTTTTAAAACTACATGAAAAACTGCGTCCGACTTTCCTACTGATAGAGTAATACTCCCACTTTATCATCTTTGACCATTAATAAGAGCCACACCTGTGTTTGCAGCACCTTCATATGTCACACAAGATGCTTAATGTTTATTTAACAGGGACAATACATACAATATTGCAGCAAGAAATGGAAAATGTGATACAAGACGTCTAGCTTCAGCTAATTTGCAGTCTTTGTCCCTGGTCAGGCTTTAGTGTAAGATAAAATATACTGAATACTATAAATGCAATAATACAAATACAGTGGATAATACAGTGAATGGCTTGGTGACATGAAAATAAATACCTCTTCTCTGCATCAGCAGTTTGGTTTACAAGCATGCAAGTAAAACAACTAAAACACACTGACATCAGTTAAAAGCCCTATACGTGGATGATTTTTGTCATTAGAGCCACTATTGGTTGACTCCAGTGTTACAGCGGATACAGTGATGCATCCCAAAACATTACTAACACATGGTTAACAAGTTTATATCACAAACTGAAGAGAAATTAAGACAACACAACTTCTCCACAAAAGTAAAAACAAAGCTTTAAGCTGTCATATTTAAACTCTTTGAATGACAGGAATGAAATGGTGTACTTACACTACAGTCTGAACAAAGTCTTTACAACAATATGATGAACTGGTGAAATGAGAAGAAGTTACAGAGTAAACACTAGCAAACAGGATGGTGATGAGGAGCTTAGCCCTTTTCCCTCCAAATAAACTGGTTAGTGGTTCAGCTCCTGGCTTTTCTGGGACTTTCCACATGATGTTGAGATGTAATGTTTTCCTCACTCTGCAGTCGGAGCTGTGTTTTTTGGACAATCATCAAAAAAAGAAAAAAAAAACTTCTTGAATGAAATGACGTAGAAGTGCTGCAAGAGAGGCCTGGTGTGGTGGTTAGAGCAACCATACTTATGTGAAATGGTCTTGGGTTTCAGTCTTCATTTGGGACCTTTGTGAGGCACAAATAAAACGCTTTGCTCACATTGAACTTTAATCTAAAAAATAAATAAATAAATGGTCAAATGTTGTTATAAAACAGCTTTATTATCATTTTTGAAGCTGAACTGTTTAGGGTGAAGATCTGCTACCTTAAAGTCAATCATTGGCCTTTCTGCCAGGACCATTGTAAATAAAATACAGTAATTAAAAGTAAAACTTGTACTTTTGGTAAGTACGTAATGAAATGCTTAAAAGAAATGACTTAAAGAGGCTGTTATAGACAGGTGGACAGATTCTTTTAGAGTCGTCTGACTTCAAACACTTTCTTCAGCTCAAATCTAATGCAGGAGCAGTGGAAGGCTGGGGCAGGGTAAAGAAAAGTAGACGGCAGAGGGAAGTAAAAGAGGGAAGCAGGGAGAATGCGAAAGAGATAGAAATACAGTTATTAAAAGTAACTTTTACTTTTGATAAGTACAATAAGTCTAAAAAGTTTCCTGTAGACCAAGACAGTACAGATTCTTTTAGAGTCGTCTGACTTCAAACACTTTCTTCAGTTCACACAGAAGGCAGCAGCTTTCTGAGCTATTCATATATCAAAAAAGAAACAAGCTAAAAATAACCGCTGTGCTTTTTCTGACACAGCTGATCACAAAATACTTCCCAGCTGGAAAGTCATGTTTCCTGACCTCAGACAGTACTGACTGACTTAAAAAGTATTACGCACATTTATTCCCTGGAGTACAGTCTGTGCTAAATAAAAAAAATTAACCAGCCTTTATCTGAAGAGTTTATACATAATTTATACGTAACCTGCTGTTGTGCAACATACCTTGTTTTTCATTTCACATCCAGTTGAATGTGCCTCATGTGGTTTGTTTGTGGCTTCTATGTTCATTGCTGCTGTGAAAGCAACTAGATGTGTACAGTGTTTAAATACAAGATAGATTAACAGATTGTTGGTATCGTATCACATTGAATCATACTGCATTGTATCATATCACATCTTATTGTATCAAATCGTATTATATCGAATCGCATCACAGCACATTGTAATATATCTTCTTGTAATGTATCGCACCGTACCATATCACATCAAAGCGCATCGTCTTGTATCATAACGCACCTTGCCATATCACATCACATCACATCACAGCACATCGTCTTGTATCGTAACGCACCTTGCCATATTGCATCACATCACAGCACTTGTATCGTATTGCATCACAGCGCATCGTATTGTATTATATTGTTATGTATCGCACCATACCATATTGCATCACATCATAGCGCATTGCATTGTATTGTATCGTATCGCACCTTACCATATCGCATCACATCACAGCACATTGTATCGTATCAGATCGGATCAGATTTGAGCCAATACGATCGTAATTTTACGACTCCCAGAACAATATGAAGATACAACTGCTGCTACTGTACATCCTAATGGCATTAGTTGAGATGTTAAGATTCAGTGGCAAGAGAAAGGACTAAGAAAAAATAGCTTAGTCCTTTAATAGTCATAGCTTGTGTTATATTATCTTGTGTCAAACACTATGTCTAAGGGGACCTAGAGTGTGTGAAGGATGCATGTTCAAGGTACTCTCAGTACTGTATTGTATTTTATCACATTGTGTCATGTAGTATCACATCATATTAAATCCTATAACACAACATTATTATTTATTTAGACTTAAATAAATTCAAGTCCAAATAAATGTTCATGTATTGTATAGCAAAGAATCTGAGCATATATTACTAAATTGAAATAGATTGAATCATAACATACTCAATTAAGGAAACTATCATATGGTATCGTATTGTATCATGTTGTAATTTGCCACCACATCACAGTGTCATTGTTGATCACGCTGTATTTTATCGTATCGTATCACACCCCATGGTATGATGCGGTGGTATGATATCATGTACACATCTTCTCATATCTCAGGGATTCATAGCTGACTTTACTTGCTGAGCAACAAAACAAATGAAAGAGTTTGAAGCAAAGTTTTTATCTAGTGCGAGTTGAAAAGAATACAGAACTTTCTGGATTGGTATAATAAAAGTTATTTTGTGCTGATCATGACAGGGATTGGTTTGTTTCAAGACTTTGAACAGGACTAAAAAATCTGTCAGCACTTCTCTCTGCAGAATAAATCAAAAGAAACAGCTGCTAGATTTCAGTTCTGTGAGCTGTTCTTACTGAAGCAGTTCAATGTAAAACCAAGTCCATACTTCTGATTTATCGTTGCAGTTATTCTTGATTGGTTTATTTCATCTTAATATTCCACACTCCTGCAAAATTACCTCACTACTGTATTGACTGTGAGGCTTCCTGCAAAGAATAACGCGCACTCTGAAGCCTGCAATGTGTGTGCTGAATGTGGAAGAAAAGTAGCACAATCACAAACCGTGTAAAAAAAGTCATTTGATTTGTAGGTTTAACTGCAGCTCAAACGTAACGTATCATCTACAGTGTTTCAACCTTCAGTTGTGTTTTTATTGTGTTTTCTATCCTTCATTAGAACCACTTAACTCTGAAAAATAAATGTGGCTTCAAAATTAAACAAAATTTCCAGATTTTGCGTGTTTTTGATGAGACTTTGGTTCCTGTTTCTTTAACTGGCTGTCAGGAACACACAGAGTTTTTTTTCTCCTTCTCTCTTTTCTTCACTCCTCTATGGAAACGTGCATCTGTTCTCTGACCACACACGCTGCCGAAAACTTGAACTAGAAAGCTGCAGCAAGTCTTTCGCTTCGATTAATCTCTTCCAAATCTTTCTATTTGTGGTTTTCTCTTTCAACCAAAGTGCTCTTGTACTTTTACCTCATCTTCAGTTATCTCTTTGAGGACACAGACCTATTTTCTTGCATGTTGTCTTTGTGTTTGTTCCTGTTGAGACTCTCTGTCTCAAGTGTCCTGTAAATGCAGTCGTTAAGGTCACAGACTTGGAAATAGCCCCTCTTGGGTTCCATGCCAGCCTTCTCTAGTGTTTGTAGTATGTTTTTGAAGTGGCACACAGGGCTGGCGTTTGCCGACGGAGCAATTGTCAGAGAGTTACAGGTTTGAGCCCTCTGAAAGTCGCTCTTCTTGTGTTGAGCCCACCTCTCTCATAGATGTTGCTCCTGCCCAACCCCTTTTGTTGAAACCGTTATATGAACCAGAAAGAAGATCTGTTAAGCTCCTCAATCGTATGACTGAAAGCAGCTTCTGTTCACAGAGGTAGTAGAACAGAGAGAGCCATGGTCAGTGCATTTACCGAGCCGATTATTGCAGACCTTCAAGTCTTCTTGTCAGATTACACACAAATTACTCAAACACATTTCACACTGGCCTTTTTTATTCAATAACTTTTATTAACAAATTCTGATTTGGTGAGTACAGGTCCTGCCTCTGATTCCCTCCAACCGCATCAGAAACAGGATCCCGTGCTGACGTCTAGTGGACAATAAGCGAATTCTTTCTACAAAAGACTAAAAAATAACCTCAGTAACACATTTGGCTTCAGCATTTTTCTGTTGGTTTGAGTGTTTTCAGGTGAAACTCGAGTAGGACTCTAATTCGTAAAAACTACAACCATATCTGAATCAGACCCTCATGGTAGTTTAACAGTCAAGGGAAGACCGTACTCTTAGCAGTCTGTAATTTATATGCACTCTTAACATAACCTATTCAAATAATAGTGTGTTCTTGACTGCCGTTTCAAATGACTAGATCTAATCTTGTGTGATCACTGTGAATTTGAGACGTAGTTACAAGAAAGCTTTTAAAAGAAAACAGAAAGATGAAATATTAAAGCTACCCTCTGTGGTTGACTGATTTTTGACAGGCCTTGATATATCAGAATAGCATCAGTTTTCCGTCTAAGTGACTATTGCGACTAATTTATTTGAAAAAATAGATTGCAGATGAATTTGTGCTCGCCAATAGTACATTCTATACTTCTGTTATATGTGAAAAGATAAATCATACAGTAACTTAGATCGATATGTTATTTTGAAAAGACGTCTTACTCACCGTGAAATAATCCAGGGGGTTTCCAGATCCTCTTGAAAGATCTGGAACTGTTGTACTAACATTTTTATCAGACTCTTATTTTGATAGTCTGATTAGAAGGACTGCCTCATAGAATATTTTAATGTGTTTGTATCTGTGAGTATTGTGTCCAAACAAAATTGATAATAGTTGACACATATAGAAGATTATTATTCATCACTGCACTTTTGTTATGAGTCACATGAATTCTGTATTTCATGTGCATTGCAGAGGTCAGGCAACTTTTTTAATTTCGCTTTAAGACATGCTTATTGATCACAGATGTTCTGAGAATTTTCGTTCTGTGAACTGTAATTTTCCAGGTTGTGAAAGAAAAAGAAAAAAAAAAGTTTTTGGATCTGTTTTGAAGGGAAAGAATTGGAAATCGAATTCAGTTTGAAAAACTCCAAATAAAAAAAAAAATCAGAAAAAAAGGGGATGAGAGTTTTAAGAGTCCAAATAGATCAAACCTAGAGGAGAAATTTAGCAACTACTGCATTTACTGCTTAAGTAACACGTATCAATTAAATTTGTAGAACTTGATATGAGGTTCAGATTACATACTAAAGATGGAAATATGAATATTGGCCATAAACGCCCTCCATTTAGAGCTGTGCTGCATATACTGCTTTGTTTTCAGGCACTCTGTTTTAGCGTATTATGATACAATAACACTCATGGAGCTTTTCACCAAACATTGTCGGCAGGAAGAGCTGGTTTTACTTGGTGGCACATTTAAATAAAAATAATTATCGACAGAGATATTGAGCCAATCGATTTTTATTACAGATTTATGATTTTCTTTTTTTTCACTTCACAAAAATAGCAGGTCTAGGCTGCGATCTTTTCTTATATCATCTCCACACATTAACCTACCATGTGCAGAGCACTTCGCAGCATTCTGCAAGTAATGGTGGCAATGAAAACCTTCCCTTTAACAAGCAGAAAGCCTCAGCTCCACCACACATCGGCTGTGACGCCATGTGCATAGAAGTGAGGATTAACAGAAGATACAGGACAACTTTAACCAGTCCATGATAAAAGATTGATGCCAAGAAAATGACAAGAGTCATCCTGCATCACAAACATTGAGTTAAAAAAGGAGAGTACAAAAGAAAAAGGTCATTTGGCACTTTGTGGTCTGATGTTTAGTGCAGTCAGGGTCCTAGAATCCACAGTATTACAAGGCATGCGTTCTTTGTAACGGAATGTAAACTTCATTTTAAAACCAAAGGAATAAAGCTTCAGTGATACATACAAAAAGTTTGAATTTGGTGATAAATGCCATCACAGTTTCATACTAAGATACACCAGACATCAAACAAGAGAAGAAACTCACTGACTTTAAGTCAGTGACAGAGGACTACATTCAGTTTCATATAAGGCAGCAGTACGTCAGTACCATAGACTGTATACTATGGACAACTTTAAAGCCCAATTACCCTTGGTATTTCTGAGATTTTCTCCACTTTCTGAAACCACCACTTGTGCAGTAATATTGTACGCATTTGGCGGGAGAGTCGCTGTGATGACCAGCTCCATAGGGTTTGCTAGAGGAGGTGGGATTTATGACATATACTGCAGCCTGTCACCAGAGGGTGCTGTTCTCGTACCAGTGAGGAGGCAGAGGCGTCCATTCTATATACAGTCTGTGGTCAGTACCATCAGGAATATAGTGGTTATGAGAATTAACACTGCATTGTATTCTGTGGTAAATAGCTAATATCACAAACACTTAAAGTGTTTTAAGCACTTGAGTCGAAGGTCCCATGGAAGCCGTAAGCCATGTTAACTGGTACGTTAGCTCTGGCCAGCTCTTTAAACGTCTTTGCATCCAAAACCAGGAGGAATGTTGCTTTATCCTGCAAAGAAAAGTCAGGTAGAGTTACAATCAAATCCAACCAAGAGTTTACAATTAGAATTGTTTCATACAGATATTCAACAGTATGACGTATAGACAGAAGTTATCTGTTTGTACCCAAGGCTAAATCTCAAGCTAGACCAAATACTTTAAAACCCAGCTGCCGTGTGGTTTAGAGTGGCATATGTCTGAGGACGGGCCGCTCCCATGGCCCTCAAGTTCCAAACTATCATTGTAAAAGTGCATACGTACACAATATTGAGATTATTTGAGGGACAAAATAATTATAAAAAGACAAGGGGTCCAAAGATTTAAAAATAAATAAATTTGCTGTAAAACAAATATTTTGTACTTGGGTGGCATCATCTCACAGTCCTCCACTGTGCTGAGTGACAGACTATAAAAGCTGCTGCTGGTCAAAACACACTCTTATTCTTCTGAGAAATCTGATTGGTTTCATTCTTCCAGCTGTCTTCTTTTGCTTTTCTGTTTGTTATTGTCAAACACGTTTTGGCATCTGCTGGAGAAAGGTGTTGTATAAGACAGCATTGTAAAATGAGGAGATTAATAACATGCTGTCACACAACTTTGATTTAAGCTGTCAGACATGCTGGGGGCGAAGAGAGGAACCAAATCCACCCAAGATGGTTTGCTTTATTATAATCCTTTCTCAAAAGGGTAATATTTTAGTTTAAGTCCTCCATATGCAGAACCTTCAGGTTTACATGAATATGAAAGCATAATACTCATCATAAAGGCAGGCTTAATCATTAGAGGAAGTTATTTAGGCTTGGATAGATTTAATACACATACTTATATAACTGGCATCACAAACATGAGTTTGAGATTGGCTCACAGTTTTCTCCATCGCTCTCATATACATGTAGAGTTCATTCCCTCAAAATCATGAATATTTATGACTGTTCTTTTTCATAAATATTCATGATGGATTATGTGTCTGACTGATGAGAGACTAGGCAGAAAATTAAGAAAGCTCACGCTGACTTACAGACCTCCTACCTGCAAGAAATTAGAGCTTGAGAAAGCAACAGGCCTTGTTGCTTCTTACCCAGATATTAATAGTCTACAAGGGCTTACTATAACACAGATATAACCCAGGATCCAAAATTTCAACTTAATCTGACATTGTCTTTTATCTTATGTTTTTTAATCTGTTTGTCTCCTATTGTTTTTAAACCTTTTATCCTCTTCAGGCTTTACCTGTGAGGGGGTGAGGACCACAGAGAGGATGACACCATCATCCTCCTCCACAGCGTCAGGTGAAGGCACGAACACCGGCTCTGATGGGTAGAAACCTTCCTGGTACCACACCTGAGTTTAAGCACACAACATGTTTAAAAACAACTTATATAAAAAAGCTCAGTATATCTGCACCTTATCTTTTACTATTTAAATATCAAGAGTGAAATTAGGGCAGATTTGTTTCTGTTTTTGTGTGTGAGTGTGTGTTTTAACTCTCTTTAAGCTTCTGTGTGGGTGTTTTCTCTGATTTGAAATGGACTGGAATTTACAGTAAAACCTCTTAATGAGCTTATAGAAGTTCAATAAAACATCAACAACAAGACTGACTCTCCTGTGTTAAAATTTTTAATGTCTGAAACTACTGTATGCCTAAAACTTATGCAGGAAAGACACAGCCTTTTTTAAATTTACTTTTTCAACAGCAAATATTTACAGTGAAAGGAAATTTTGACTGTTCAAAGAGAGCAGGGGGAGACTTTTTGTGTTAAAGGATGAACTACACTTGTACAGGACAAAAATAGCAAAGAGATGAGAGGTACCACTTTGTTCACTAGAGGGCACTAGAATCAACCTCCCAGGATTTTCATGTGGGATACTGTCAAATATATAATAAATTTTACTATCAGACAACCAAACAGCATTCATGAAGTGATTTTTTAAAACATAAACATAGAGAAATTACCATTAGTTTTATTGTTAAACCTGTGTTTGAGAGAATCATGGTCTTGTCCACAAATAAAGTAGTCAGGGGGTCTCCTGTGGACATTTGATTAACTTATCCAATAACCATACCCACACACACACACGCACCTTCAGTGACTTGTCCTTGAGGTCCATCTTGAGCAGAGAGTCTCCCACCAGGTGTCTGAAGCCACAGCCATAGAAATACCGGTATGTTTTTGTGTTATATTTGCCGTAATTGATGTGAGGGAACTCCAGGCCGCCATAATCATGCAGGTCATCTCCATGAAGGTTTTCGTGTTCGCAGAACACCTGTTAAAAGTGCAGAGAGAAACAACTTCTGACTATGACTCACTGTCAGTTTCAATTTTAGTTTTAGATATCCTTTTGTATATAAGATGTTTTGTGTCTCAAATAAATCAAACGTATACTGTTGATTTCATAAAACCTTCTGAACTTGAATTATTGAATTTGTTAGAACAACAAACTCATGTCAACTGTACCTTCCTGGCTGGTCAAATATTTAAAGAGGAGGGTAAAAGGCAGACATTCTCTCTCAGTTTCTGTGAGAAACTGACAAACTGATCAACAAAATCCTGTAAGGGCTGGTAACATACAGGCTTATTTTTTCATCAAAGATCTGCTACTTATGCAAAAACATGCAAAATAGATTCTTACAATGAGTAAAGCGCCCACACTTAGATCATATTTGGTTTAGGGGTTGAATAATCTGACACGCCAGACGCACTGTTTACATAACCGTGATGTAAGATATTTTGTTTGTAGATGGTGTTTGAGAAGGCTGAAGAAAAACCTCAGGAGGTGATTGGACAAACATTCTGTCTGTCACATTCATTATAGACCAACAACAAACATAATGCAGTGAACGCTGCAGTCTCCGCTGATTAAACTGTATGTGAACTGTTAGCTTCAATGATATTGCAGTTTAAAGACTATTTGTCTGTTCTTGAATTTAACAACTATATTCATATTTCACTTACCATTTGCAGGTGACAGTTAACCAGTTCTTCAATAGCTGCATCTATGCTAATCCCTTCAGCTTAGATATCCACAAATACATAGGTTACCACCTCTTCCTCCCTTAGATGATGCTGATTTCTCCAGTTATTCTATTACCAGGAACACTAGACCCACTATCTTTGTTATAAAGGGAACTATATCTACAAATCTAAGTTAGAAAATACACTCTACATCTCAAACTCACCTGATCTTTGCTGATTTTCACGCTGGTTGCCTTGCTGTTGGGTCGAGTGTTCAGGTTTTGGTCCATTGGTGTTTCATGGGTCACATTAAGAGGAAGAACAAAACGCCGGGGGTAAGCCCGGCTCAGAGTGTTGTAAACCTGGGAAAGATGTGTCAGGAATGCAGTGGTTAAATTTATGTAAGCTTACTGCTGAAGCATGCCTATTTCACTCTTAGGCCAGAGAGGGGAATGTGATGTTATATAACATTACTGTAATCGTATCTCAGCGGACTTCCTCTCCCTCCCCCTTAATGTATGTTTGAATCATTATGTGCTGACCTCATCTAAAGCATCTCCCGACTTGCGTAAGTTTTGGATGAGGTAGTTGTTGATGGCCTGGCCGTCGTCGGAGCAGCACATGTCCAGCATCAAGAACCCATCCTCTTCAAAAGCGTTGATCTGGTGGAAGACGGAGATGGCTTTGGTGTGGTACTTCACGGAGCTGACCTCGCCAGTGCGCTTGTTGACGAGATGGAAGACAGTCTGCTGAGTTGGATCCCAGAAGATGCCCTCGCTGAGAGCCTTCCCTCTTAGCTTGCATGTGATGATCTTGAGCAGGTCCATCTTGATTGGCTGCTCAATGAACACCACGTAGTTCTCAGACATGGCTGGAAGCAGAGAAGATTTACTTTGAAGAAGCATGAATGACACAGACAGAGCTAATGCTGTCAGGGAGAGCTCACTCACCAAAGCTGTGGTAGTAGGAGGGACGGATCTTATCTGACGGCACAATAGAGCAGAGTATTTTGGCTCCTTGAAGGGTGTCTTTGGCATCTGTCTTCTCTGGAGGTACTCTGATGATGTTGTACAAAGCCCCTGAATAAAAAGCATACTTTGTAATCGCTTTAAAACACATTTAAACTGACACCTCATAAATACAAGATGAGCTATGGGAAAGCTTAAGGAAAGACATAAATGTAACACCTCTCTGTGGTCTAGTGGTGCACAGATGGACCAACCTTTGCCTCCATATGAGTTGCCCATATTGTAGGTGGTACCATCGGGGTCAAAGTGTGGGTGGGCAGTGGCTCCATTCACAGCAATGAATTTGCTCCAGTCTACCTACAAAACAAAGCAGAGAATGATTACTGCTCATGCTCCTGTTTGAGCAGAGATGAGATTGATATCCCTGGACAAAAAACATAATTAGATACTGACAACAGTTGATGAGGAAAAACTATGATGAGTTAGCTAGATTCTGGGAGTTTCAAACCGTAAGCCAACAAACAAGCTCAAGGGAGACGAGCACATTGCAACAGTGTCTTTGCTCACCATATAAGACTATGTTTCTCTGCTGCTCTTTTTAGATTTATGGTGTATATTTAACTGAGAAGCTTAGTAGTTAGCTTGTGGAACATTCCACCCACGCACTTTAGGTCTATGGGAGAGCGCCTGTGTTATTTCAGACGCATTCTGACGTACAGATGTGGGACAACCAATCATTTCAATCAACGAGTTAGGCTTTTTAAAAGGCCCGCATTTGCAATAGCTGACAGATTATTTGTTATTGTTGGAGCTTTTGATTTATCTCTCATCAGTTAATGTAAAGTATTAAAAGATTAATTAACCAGCTTTGTTATTAATATCTACAAATACACAATCTCTTGCTATTTTCACCAGTAATTCAGTCTCAGGGAGAAACATTTAATTTTCAGACTTTTGGAGTGGTCATATGTTATTTAAATGAGGGATAAAAACACCTTGGCCATGACTTCTGTTGGTATTTTAGTCTTTTTTATAGTCAACTTGAGATAATAGCTTAAATTTGAAGTGGAAACAACATCGACCACTGCATTTTATCTTAAAATGATAAGCAGAAATCTTATATGTATTACGACATAGTATGCCTTGTGGTTGTCTGATTCAAATCCGTAGGTACCTGGACTGCATTACAGCCGCTCCTGACAGCTATATGTGCTCCCAGCAGCCCCTGCCAAGAGATTCTGCATGTATATACAGAGGAATAAATCACTGAGGATCATGTCCGTACCTTTTCCAATGTTTCCAGATTTTCAGGGTTCACTCTGTGCATGAAGTTTGTCTCGGTGCTCACATAGTAGTCACCTTTGTATTTCACAAAGTTCACACTTGCATTGTCGGTGGGCTCTATAGGAGAGGAAAACAAAAGATGAATAATGAATCTTTCAGTGGAGGAAAATGTTCTTCTTTTGACAGACATCTGGGTCAATCCTTCTGCTTTATAATTTGCTGCTTGTAGTTTGACTGAATTGTGTCATGGACATTTAAAAGAGCCCCCCCCCTTCCCCGCTCAGGTCCCCTACTGTGCCAGTTCACGCACTTATGTAAGCTTTGGGTGCACAGAGCTTACATAATACTGTTTACCCAAGAGGCTCTGACCAAGGCCTTAACACAGATGGAACAAGACAAAGTTTGCACAACCAGTAATTTAAATTTCTCTTTTTTTTAATCTTGTATTGACTTTTTCACCAGCTGCCCTGCCCCCCCATCTGCTCTTCATTTAGCTTGGCCAGTCCCACTGTGTCACAGGTCAGCGTTTGCAGTTACATTTATACCTCAGAGGCTGACCGGAATAAATTACGACAACATTATTGCACAATGAATCAGCTAATCAAATTACAGCTGTTGCAATGAGCCTCATTTTTTTATACTCACCGATCATCACAAAACGGGACAGAAAGCGCTGGAAAATGTTCTTACAGGGGTCAGGCATGGCGAGGGTACCAAACTCCGACATCACGATGCGATCGCTCTCACTGTTTTTCTTGAAGGCGTCACTGCGCAAGAATCGGCTCATGTAGGTCACTTTGCCATCAACGATCTTAAACCGATGCAGCATGGCCATCCCATCAAACCAGTGGTTGTATCTGTGTTGAAATAAAGACACTAAGTTGTTAGTTAATGTGATTAGAAATGTTTTTAATTTGTTTCTGTCTCATGCAGGAATGTACAGAGGTGCACTCACTGTGTGTTCCCAAACTCAAACTTCCCTGGGCCATTGCGGAGCAGGTTTCCCTTGATCCAGGAAGGAATGGTGCCGTGGACTTCAGTGGAGATGGGCTCAGGTGTCTCTTCTACAGAGGTGACCAGAGGGGCAATCGACTCTAGCCCCTTTCTGACTGGGGCGGCGCAGTCTTTGGCCTTCCCATTTTTACAAGACACGGTGCCATCTGTCAAAACACAAACCTAAATAATATCTTCCTCTTCAAAATGATGTAGATCAGATAATGGAGTGAACTGCCATGGAGTGAAACTGAAGGATGTGTGCTATTTCTGGCACATTCCTACACTGACAAAACCATGTGAGTTAATTTACCACCAACAGTCGACTCTCTTTTTCCCTCGCCCTCTTCAACACAAACTCCAGCACGGTGTTTTGTTCTGAAGAGTTACTTATTTTTGAGAGAAGAACAAAGGTGAAGTTGAATGCTCTGGAAATTTTCATGAAGTCTCCATCAACAGTGAAGGGGAAAATTTTCACACGTTATGTTGCATGTGCTGCTGAAATTAGGGATGGGCATTTCCAGTTATCCAATGTCCATCCCAATCAAATTCCTTTTTGAACAATTAATTGAGTACTGTTTAATATCTTACATGAAAATTAAACATTTTCAATGGTCGACCAAGACTCTACGGTATGCCGTCCATCAGTACTGGGGGTCTGAAGGACAGCGATCTTGTCAAGCTGTCAAGTGTCTCCACCATCTTCTCCCAGTGCTTTACGGGCACGTCTTTAAACAACGATCAGGTATTTCTATGGTATACACATTTAACGCTGCATGACTGGCACAGCATGTTATTTTCGTCGACGAGCAAAAAAAACCTCTTATATCTTTATATACTGGTGAGTCCACCTTCCGCCGCGCCAATTACATGTATGAGTATTCGAACTTTAACTCGGTAAACGGCCCACCCCCCTTTTCCTGTAATTGGCTAACACGTTGCCTTCGATCGATTGGATTGGTTGGATTGATTGACATGTCAAGATAGATGGGATTAACTGAAGACGACTACTCCGACAGAAAAAACAAACCCCAAATCAAATTAATAGAAAATTTTGCTTTAAGTCCAGGGCGGGCACAGCTGACTCGGTGGGCGGGCACGGCCCCCCAATGCCCGCCCATGCTGTTATTCTGTTGCATGTTTTTTTTTTTTTAATCCTCTTCCCACCTACACATAGATTCATGGGTCATTTATGATTCATGTCCCTGTTTTGAGTGAGACAGTCTTGTTTTTTTTTTAACAAACAAAACAGTAAGTCCTTCTAAAAGCAGAGTAAACCTTTTTTTCTGAGAACATACCTGAGGGAACAGACGAAGTTCCTACCACAACGCCAAAATACAGGCCTATGGCAAGACCTACAAGGACCTGCATCCTAAAGAAGGGACAATGATAAACATCTTTTATATATAAAGTAGACCTCTATTAAAATGAATGTGGCTTGATGGTGGCAGGCGTTGTTTACCTTTAAGTGTTTCTAAAAGGTTTTGCTGCTTTTCACTGGATGTGTTTGGCAGGATCAACAACTCTATGTGTAGTCTGTAGGAAATTAACCCTTTATGTCCCGACCGCAGATGGGGGCGTGTACTTTCCGATGCATCCCATTCACAGTGTTACATTACTTGACACGGTAACCACAATTTAAGCGTTTCAACATAGTAGATTAGAAATGCTAAGCATAACACGCAAATTTGGCTGCTAAACTAGAGAGGAAGGGTCCAAATTCATGCAAAGTAAAAGTTTCAGTCTCTATGAAAGTATTTTTCAGTATTTTTCTTAATTCGTCACATGCACTGGTTTTCGCTTATTGAATATAATACTCGGAAACTAATCATTTAATAAGATTTAAGTGGTTTTTGTAGGAACGGATGCAGCTCTATCGCAGTTGAGTGGGTTGGACAGCACGTTCTGCCGACACACGCGGTCTCCATCTGTGTCCCACGGGGGTGTGCTCTGCACAGACAGTCCAAAATAAAACACCCGATCTGATCGTCCATTGTTATGAGAAAACATGCGAAATGTGCAGTGGATGATTATGTGAAGTGTTTCTCTTTTGCGCACTTGCTTCAGTTGCTGTTTATAATACAAGCGCGGCGGAACCATTAGCAGGTGAATAATAGGAAGTGTTTCTCTCCACAATAAACAGACGACAATATCCAGTCGACAATCCAACAATATAATGTAGGCTGCTTACCTTCGCTGTCGAGCTTCACAGGAGCCATGGTAAATAATAGTTTAGATGGGCACAGTCTCTTCTATCTGCCTCTGCGTCCCTCTGCACCATAATATACTGCCCGGCAGTGGTGGGTGTGTGCGGCGGTAATATTACGTAAGCCACCTAAATTCAATTCAGCGTAATACAATATGTGTAGCGGGGAAGGATGGGGGAGGGGACAGGGGAATCTCGAAACAGATGTAAAAAAAAAAAGAAAAAAGGAATTTGATTGCTTTTAGAAAAAGTTTTCAGCACATGACAAAGGTGGAGAAAGAACTTCGTGTACTTTTACAAACTGTCGAAGACACCAGCCTGCATCCAAACCCTTATGTAAGAAAAGAAAAAAGATAATTATACTGTATGAACCCCAAAAAGCCAAAGACAGAGAGCACAAATGCTCATTTCAGAATGATAAAAGTTAGAAAAGAGGATATTCAATGTTGATGCATTAATATTTACCACATATTTATGACTGCGATATGCGTTATTTTAATATTGCAACTTTTCCAACTTTTGGATATTGTGATATTCAATAATTGTGTTTTTAATGTATATGTTCAACCAATAATCCAATTCTTAATACAACAAGAATGTGACCCTGTAAGGTTTTGATGGTCATAAAACCTCTAAACGGAATGGAACCAAGCGGTAGTGAAGATCTCCAGCATGAGGAAAAAAGGATGGTGTCAGACAGCAGGTTTCAGAGCTCTGATATTTTTTAATAAATCCAAGTGATCACACACAGAAGTCTTAACAATGATCATCCTTTGAGTAGCCGGCTGCAGAAAGCCACCCACACCTCCCTCCACTCACACAGGTGTGTCCACTTTTAAGCTGAGTGGGGCTCTCTCACCTGCTCCCCCCTCCCTCTTTCTCTCACCTGCATGACAGTGATTAGTGATAGGTATGTGCAAATCTGACCTCTAACAACTTAACCCGGATATACAATAGCCCTAATACTTAATAGAAAGAACATAAATGAATATAAATTAACCCAAAATAGCTGGATAACCCAAAACAGACCAAACTAAAGCTAAATCCCACTAAATAACTCTACCCCTCCCCCTTTCTCTGCTCACTAACCCAGCCTAACAAGCTGATTTGCTACTGCTGGGACCTGTTTGCTGCATCCCCATGTGTGCACTCCATGCGGACACGCCCCCACAAGATGGTGACCTCGAAGAGAGGAGAGGTTAGCAGTGTTTACCAAAATAAAATAAACAAAAAACCATGTCCATGAATAGTCAGATATTGTACAGACTTCACCTCAGTGAGGGGAGGGTTTTCCAGCTCCCTCACAGACCCTTTGACACTCAGTGCTAGAAACTGTCTTAAACCCACATGTTCCCCTTTACATGCTACCACAAAAAGATAGTTTTTGTTCCCTCTTTCATTCCTCACAGTGTTTAGGTTTTGTTTGCCCTGCATTTGGGTCATGAATATACAAAATTTGCAAACTGTTTTGTCAAACTGGATTTGTCAAAAAAATAGAAGCCTCAGTAAAAACCCTGAAATATTTCATTTAAACTATTTCAAAGACTTCAACATATAGATATTTGGTAATTGTGGTGAAAAAGTAACAGATTTATAACATTTAGTCATTACACTCCTCACATGCTCTATGCTCTATGACTGAAAAATATACAAATGAAAATAAAATGACTGATGATGCTACTCTCATTCATGCTATAAAAGTTGCATTGTAACTCTGGTCTTTTCTGGTTGTTTTCTGGTGTTGTGTCCAGTTTGTGGAAAGCAAGGTGGATTGTTCTGGTAGGGTTTGTTCAATGGAAGTCATGAACAACAACGTCAGTTCATTGATGAGATGAGGATGATGGGATAATGCTTTGACCACCTAAAACACCTCGATGATGTCTGGTTAATGCAGTCACAAGAAGACAGCACCAAGTGCAGCTTAATGCTTAACTAACTTAATGCCAGTTATCTCAGTGGTTGACTATATCACCATTTGGAAACATCGGTTCTCTCCTACACTTTTTAATGTATATAAATTAACTTATGGAAATAAGGGAAGCAGTTGTTGGTGGTGGTAAAGTAGTATTTTAAGAGTTGCCTCCCCCGTTGTGTGGAATTGTAACAGCAGAAACTGAAAGAAACCTCCATTGAATATTGTTAAATGCTGGAGTAGTAAATGGAGACTAAAGATAAAAAACAAAACTCAGGTCATACATTTCAGGTAGAAATGTGAATCAATACCTACATACTGCAGATGAACATCTTACATTCAACAAAGGGTTAAAAGCTTCACCAGACTCTGCAGGGAGACTTTAGAAGTAATAAAACTCAGTTATAAAACATACACATGGCTATTTAAATCATGCATGTGTCCTGTTTTACAGTGCAGGGGTTTGTAGTTATTGTAAGCAATTCAAATATGGAGCAGTTCAGAACAGGGGTACGTACTGTGAACAAAATGTCCTTAAAATTGCCTCATATGGTGACATGTGATGGTGACCATATGACTCATGACAAGGATGACAATAATGTGACTGAAACAGATTCATTAAGATGTTGGACAACAGACGAACAAAACAAATCGTCAAAACCCAGAATCAAGAGTGTCTTAACTAAAACTAGAGGTTCAGAGTTTCTTGTCACTCTTGATCGAATCAGAGTGCAAAAGTCTGTCTGTGCACAGTTGAGATGTGGTATCCTTCCTCCAGTTTTAGAAACAGCCAGCTTTCACTTAATACCAGTGCAGGATAGAAAGTGTTTTGTACACAACAGTTTGTATTTTATGTTTTCTATAAATACTTTTCTATGTATCAAATAATATGTCTCTTATATGTGTGTTTCCTTTTGTGCGGACAGTGCTGTAAATAGGGTTGTTCTTTGTTGTTCCAGTCTATATGTATGTAAAGAGCTGAGGCAACTGGAGTCTGATCCACTGTATACACATGGCTAATATGTACATATATTCTGTGCATTTCCTTCTCTTGCATTTTCTCTAATTTCTCCCCCGGCATTGTCCCAATCTCATCAACCAGCACCAGCTCTAATCCACCAACCCTCTCCCTATAAGGCTGCATTGTTAACCGTCACACTATTGTGATGTCTGTATAGGGCTTACTCTGCAGGGTCTCTACACTTTTTAGCACCTTAGTCTGCTGAACTTTTAAAACTTGACCAGCATTCCAGTGGAGGGAAGCATTTCAGTTCCACAGAAGACAGGCCCAGGTCTGGATTTAGACCCCAAACAGGCTTGCTGTGAGGCAGCCATGCTAACAATTGTACTATCTACAGGCAGTTGCCACTTGCTTGAGTTTATTGACATTCCAGATATGTAGGTAGTTCAATCATGGTCCACATTACAGTGAAAGCCAGAAGACATAAGTACCACAGGGTAGACCCAAGCTTGCATTTGAACCCCAAACTGACTTGTTATATGGCAGCAGTGCTACCTGCTACACCTAAGTGTCTGACACTGTTCTAACTTGTCAGGGTTGATTTTCAGCCAAGTTCCCCTCGGCAGTTTAAATCATAGTCCTTACTTGAGTTGTAAAAAGTCCAAAAAACTCCAGCTCCACGTAGGTAAGGTCCAAACCAGGTTCAGTGTTTGTGAAACATGTTCCTGAAAGCATGATGTAACTAACTGCATTATGTTTTTAAGCTTGTCAGTGTTATTGTGAAGGCTTAATTTTCCACAATGTTTGTTTTTGTGTTGCAAAATTGTGGTCCACACTCCAGTTAGAGGGAACCAGAATGATAATTCTCCACACACACAGGCCCCAACCTGGATTACAACCCAAATTCAGAGTCATGAGGTAGTGTGATCCATGTCCCCAAAGCACCATCTTTCAGTGCTTACGTCTTTCATTTTATAAACTTTCAAGTACAATCTGGTTGTTCCTGTTTGAAACTTCAGTGTGAGGAAGCCAGAGCACTTAAAGTTCACTTGTCAAAATCTTTTCATCTAAAAACTATTCCCCCTGCCTCCTCCTCTCTCCTGTCTTTAATATCCTGATTTTGCTCTTTCTAGGAAGACAGACATGGGGCTTCAGTTATAATCATTTGGCACTTTTGACTGCAGTCAGCTGAATTCTATTTAGCTGTGGACTAAACCATGTTTTGCATTTGATAGGGGTGAGAGGAGCCTCACAGAACTTTAAAACCCAGGGTTTAAAACTTTCAAACTAAAACTTGATTTTCATTTTAGGCCAATTAAGGGCCACCTTCCCGAATCCATTTGTTAGATGGTTTTGTTACACCTCTGTTTCCAGGTCCAAGCAGCTTGCAAATTGTATTTTCAACATCATATTGTGTTATTTGCCTATTATAACAGGCCAGAGTCTCAAAGAGCCTCATTTTTAAATTTACAGATTTCCATGTGCTAAGAAAGAGAATATGTAATGGCTGACTTTGTTACTGCTCCATCTTATTTTAGGTTGGTCAGTTGGGCTAAGGAGGCAGCTGTAATCAAGCCAATTACTGATTACATCAAAGTCCTGTGACCAATCCTACCCTACAGCAACAAACGCTACCTGAAAGGGAGGAGTGAAGAAGGGAGGAAAGGTAGGAAATGAGGAGGGAAAGCATGAGCTCAGAACACTGGTGAAAAGAAAGGAACAAGGAAAGACAGACAGTAAAGCAAACATTTATAGGCTAAATTGTCAGAAATAACACCATTGTAAGCAAGGGAAAACAAATGAACACATTTCAATAAAGTCTTGTATAAAAAAAAAACAGTCAAGTTATGATGCATTGTTGTAGGGCTTTCAGTTTTTGCTCCTTTATGTTTGAACTAATTAATTTATCAACTACTTGTTACCTCTCAACTCAGTCTGGTAGTGGACACTTAAGTTTTTGTTCTTCCACAAAGCTATGAAGGCACAGCAGTGTTTATCATGTCTTGGCCTGCAGGTCAAGTAGACACCTAAGTGCTAGTTATCCGTCCAGATGGGCCATGTGTGTCTCCTCTTGCAGTCTGATCCAGATAATCTTTGTTGGAGGATTAAAGCCATGGAGTCGGACGGGAGGAGGAGGCTGAATACTTTGTGTATTCGCTTATAAAAGCTTCTTCAATAGGTGATGTATATTTTACCGTGTACTGCTTGTTTTTTTTTAGAGCAAAGATGAGCTTTATCTGGTAACTGCAGGCCAAGATCAGTATGTTTATGGTTAATCTACAGGCTAACAAGCTAGCTACAGGTGTGCTTAGTGCTAAGGTGAACATTAGCCTACATTTGTCAACAGGTTTTGCATTTGGCTTCCTCCTCAATGGAAGATAATGGCCTCTGTGTTTTAGCTTGTGTTCCTCCAATAGACAAGAAGAGAATAGTTGTTGAGGTTTACATATTGCCATGGCAACAAGAACCTGTTTGACAATTGTGCATAGACAATAGAGCTAGATAGAGCTAGAGCTAGTTCACACTGGCAAAGATGAAGAACATTTCATGAAACTATAAATGTAGTTCTAGAGTACGAAGTGTGAACTTAATTAATAATAACGACAGGTAGCCTATAACTTTTTCAGGCTGGTCAAAGACCAGTCAAACTATAACTGTTTCAATAACAACATGGGGTTTCTGGAATTACTACACAGGTAAGGCAGATAGATGGTGAAGCTGGAAGACTGAGTTTGCTTGAGTGCAGGTAAACATAAAAAAAAAGGGGGAATACAGTTACTAATGATAAAACACTTAAGGTCTTCAATGAATATGAACATTATTTGAACAGAAATAGGTAATAGATATACAAATAGAAAGATTCTATCTTGCTTGAACAGCAAATAGGAGTATCTGAAAAAGTTTTGTAGTGCAAGGACTGAGAGACGTTGTGTTAAGTATCTCCTGAAGTGGGGCCGAACTATTGATTCAGCAGATTAGTAATGTTCTACAAAGCCAATCAATTTAGGACTTCAAGACCAGACATATCTTCACCAGTGAAGAACATCACTGTCATCAAGCTGGTAAAAGATATTCATTTAAAGCAGATTTATTTGTATGATTAGAATTAAAGGAAAAGTCATTGATTTTACACCATGGTGAACAGTAGTGATGGGAATTTTTTTTTTTTTAGTGAGCTAGATCATTCGGCTCAGCATCACCAAGAAGAGCTCCCAAACATCTCTTCATTTTACCACTCATACATTTTCTTATTCAGCCAAATTTATCCTTGTTTAAATTATGATATGTACGTATGTGTACACAAACCTCTAAAATAACTCAATACACCCTTTGTACTGAAGTATTCACAAGTAAAAATTACATTTTGTGCTTGTGCTCATCTGTCCATTGAGCACATGGTACACCCCAGCCCCCCTCTGCTTGGTGTATCCTCTCGTGACTGGTTGCACACAGCATGCACATGACAGACATGCACTGCACGCATGGAGCACCTGTCACCCCGTCATTCTGCCTTGGAGTTTTTTTCTACAATCTGTGGAGGGGTAGGGGGGTGAGGAAGTAAAAGAGGAAAAAACGTCCCACAGACAGGAGCCAGCCCCCATTGTTCATGTTAAAGAGCCGGCTCTTTGAACCGGTTCGTTTGTGACCGACACATCACTAGTGAACAGATACAAACAGCTGGGGGGGTGTACAAATTTTGGATTTGGACTTTGGCTGGTTTGTTTTCATGTTGAAAGCAAATAAATACTGTGCAGACTGTGTTCTCTGTGTTTACCTGAAATATTGAACATTAGATAAATAAGCAACTGTTGAAAAAGAAAACTGAGCAGCCTAAGCAGGACAGAAAAAAAGAAGTGTCATTGCTTGCTGTGTGTTCTTTGGAAAATGTCCACGGAAAGCAAAAGTCAAATCATCATACAGAAAAACTGTGTACCTCAGGTTTCACAACTGTATTTTGCAGCTTACTTTATACTGTATTTATTTATTTATTAGTTGATTTACTTTCAAATCTGTGTTGTTTCATTATTCAGGGTTAAAGCCAATCAAAGTAAGAAAGAAATTCAAAGCACCACCACCCTCTTGCCAGATCACGCCTCCAGACAGAAATGCCTTCCACAAAGAGCTCCAGTCACTGGACTCTGACCGAGTTACTGGGTCAGCGGAGGTTATTGGGTCTTGGAGCTCTGCTGGCATGGCTTGTCCTCTTTCACCTCCTTGTGAATGTCTGGCTGCTTTGTGTCTTTACCAGCCTCCTGGTAGTTCTCGGGGGCTGGTTGGGGTCCCGTGCTGCCCTGGATGCAAACAGCCTTCTCCACCTGGAGCACTTCCTACCTCTGGGTAAAGTCAACCCACCTCTGTGTTCACCTGAACATGAGTGGAGGTTGAACCATGAGATCCACAGCGCTGTCCACAAAGCCGTGCGTGACTTTGTTTCCTCTTGGTACCGAACTCTCCTGCCTGAGGTGGAGGGGGAGTTTGAACGCGCGGTGCGTAATTCGATGCTGGAGTCTGTGATGGAGCTGAAGGAGCGTGCACGGCACCTGGACAGGAAAGTGCTGGTTCAAAGACTTCTGGAGCTGTATGGCTGTCACCTGCAGAGCTACATGACAGCGAGACAGATCCAGGCCTCTGAAAAAGAGCGAATCAGCCTGTGGCGGCTCTACAGCGAGGTAGACTCCCCTCACCCAGCTGTGAGCAGTGCAGCGGCTGAACTCAGCTACTCCAGAGCTCTGGTAAACCTCGTCCTACATGTGCTAGTTCCCTATCCTCAGATGGAAACAAGAACTGGGGGATATGTTGTTACAGAACTCATCACGTGCAATGTTCTGCTTCCCCTCATAAGCAGGGTGTCTGAACCTGACTGGCTCAACCAAACCATCGTAGACGTAATCACCAGATCTAGAGAACCGAATAATCAATCGATCAATGTGGATGAGCTCCCTGTAGATGCTCTTTACAGGTGTCCCATCCAGCGGGAGTCTTGGACCACATGTAAATCAGAGTCGTCTTCTGATCAGGCTGGATTTCCCAGCAGAAGTACCTCAGACTGTGATGATCAACAGAGCCAGAAAGATTCCCCACAGGGCAGCATGGTCAGCCTGCTGTCTGCAGGGAGACTAGAGGGATGCCACCCAGGTTTGCTCTCACCGTGCAAAGTCAACTGCTGCTCTCTCACACCCGGCCATTACTGTCGCTCATCAGGGGCCAAAATGACTTGTTTGGACCCGCTGATTCGGTCCGACTCTGAAGATGACCTCACTGGGGGCTTCTGTGACTGTGGTCCTCCGAAGAACTTCTGCACTCTGAAGGATGACGAAGACTTCGGCTGCTTTGCTCCTCTGAAAAATCTTGGGCCAAAAGTGGTGGTGCCTGAAGACTCTCTGTGGCCTGCTGGCATGGCTCAGGAGAAATCCCCAGTTTGTCCGCCTAGAAGACTTTGTCCAAGCCCCTGCAACTTTGACACGCTCAACAACCAGGCTGCCGCTTTGAACATTCAGAACGTGCAGATCTCTGGCACTGTCACTGCGATGGAGCAGCGCGGCACAGGCACACACCCCTACACTCTCTACACCATAAAGGTAACACCTCTTCCTTCTCCTTTTCATGCATCATATTCAAAATAAAGAGATTAATTCTCACTTCTTTTTGTTATAGTATGATACAGTTGGTGAAACAGAGACAGATGGGGGTCTGCGGCCTGTGTCCTGTCACACTGTCAACAGGAGATACAGCGAGTTCCTCAACTTACAGACGCGTTTAGAGGAGAAGCCTGACGTCAAGAAGTTAATCAAGAGTGAGAAATGATGACCCTCTCCTTTAACAGACCAATAAGTTTAGTGATAAGTTTTAATAATAAATAATAATAAGTTTTCCCTGAACAACTACTGATAGATACGAGGTAGCAAAGGCCTTTATGCATTAGCCTGGCTGGACCATCCAGGCAAATTTAGCATTAATGAATCTGTGTTTTTGGTCCCAGGTGTCAAAGGTCCAAAGAAAATGTTCCCTGACCTTCTGTTCGGAAATGCAGACAGTGAAAGAGTTGAAGCCCGTAGAAGCCAACTGGATTCGTTTCTTAAGGTAGGAGCAGTAATTCAGTAATCTAATTGCTCCTGTGTGTCAGCAGTTTTATTGTATGTGTCTTGTTTGTTTTAGCAATTGAGCATCATCCCTGAGACATCCAACAGTGATGACATGCAGGAGTTCTTGGCTCTCAACTCAGACGTTTGCACGTATTTTGAAAAGAAGCCTTTTGCCAAGTCAAGATTCGATAAGGTGAGATATCCCCAAAATACTGCAGGTCTTTCTTATACTCAGCGTGATTGCAGGAAATTGCTGACCTTTCTCCCTTTCTTTCTGAGAATGGAATCAACAATACTTGATGCTTTTTCTCTTGTTACTTTTTTATTCATTTCAAATATGGTACAATCAGTTTTTTTCAGATTTCTTTTGCCTTTCCAGATGGTAGAAAATGCATTTGACACTCTGAAGACAGCGTTCCCTCATCCTGATCTCCTCAGTCCAACAGAGGAGCTGGAGGGAGAGGCAGAGGGACGAGCAATGGACAGCAGGAAGTACAGGTGAGTGTTATTTACAGTGGACACCACCAGAATGACGCCATTCATTCTTTACAGACTTATTTATACAAACCTCGTAGTCATACAGAGAAAACATTATCAAGGTATTCATTAGAAATAAGGCAAAGAAATAATTTGATTTTACTTTGTGTAGCACTAAAGTTTTCTCGTTTTTTATCCACGTTCTCTGATTTATAGAGGTTCCCTGACCGGCAGGTGAGTGAACATGTTTTTATGTTTCACACACTAAGTTCAGTCATACACAGCAGAATCACTGAAAGTATCATTTCACGAGTGTGTTTTTTTATGCCTTTTTCGTGTCATGCATCAGGAGACTTATGTTCCCCAGCAAACTCTCCACATCTCTCAACATCCCCGAACTTCACCCTAAAGTGACGTACTGCTACAGTGAAGGCAGCGCCGTGAGTCACCTTCCTCCGCTTACGGTCTCTGATTGAAAAACTGTGTTCCTGTAACAGAAAATGAGCACAGGTTTTTTTCTTCTATTTGTGGCTTTTTAGGTCCTCAATGGTATGTCGCTGTCAGGCCTGGAAAGCTTTGTCTGGGAGCAGGAAAGACTCCTGAGTGAGCCGAGTGAAAAAAAGGATGCCAGGCAGAGCTGTGAGCGGCCCGGCAAAGACAAGAGGACTTCAGTGAAAACTCATGGGACAGGTTAAGACTTCAACAACAGACTTGTTGACAGTTCTCACACTTTGGGTGTTTCATTTGTTGCAGCCTTATACATTTTTTTATTTTATTTTATTCAACCTTTATTTAACCAGGTAAAATCCCATTAAGATCATGATCTAATTTACAAGTGTGACCCTTCCAAGAGGTCAGCAGCACACGTAGTAATAAATGCAATAGATACATGAGAACCAACAACAAATTCACGGTTAAAGTGCAACAAACATTTTGGGACAATTACAATTTAAAAAACAGGCATTTTTCAGAGTATTCTCACTGCTTAGCGAATAAAATGGAATGAAAGTCTTAAAATGAAACCAGTTCTGTCATTTTCAGCTCCGGTTGTATAGTATTCTAGGCCTGTGGGGGCAGCATAACAAAAAAATTTCCCCAATTCAGTTCGGACTCTGGGCACATTGAAATAATAAGTTGCACATGACCTTTAAGCATAGGCACTTCTTGTTTTACTGCAGAAGAGAACAGAGGTAAATAAGCCTGCAGTAACACAAAGCGTCCACTAAGGTGCAGCAGAGAACTACTAATAAATCAGTAAACTGCTGAGTACTTTTCCATCAGTTCTTACTTCTTCCCTCTACTATGTCTGATGAGTGTGTTGTTAATATTTTGTTAAATGATTTTATTGTCATTCTGCAGACACAGCTGTGGCAGATGTTGCTCTGAACATTTTGTGTCTGCTGATGAAGGATCAGTGGAGCTGGCTGTGCACAGAGAACATACAGAAGACCATCAGGCTGCTCTTTGGCACTTTCATTGAGAGGTATGACTTCTCACAACTCATAACCCTACATCAGTTATCATCACTGGAACTGAATTTTTAAATAAGTTCCCTGCTGTCGATACTACTTGCATGTAAAATGGTATTGTATTTCCTCTGGACAGTTGGCCATAGATGCTGGATCCTTTTCTGTGTAAGAGACAACACTAAAGGGTTTGTAGCTGCACAGATAAGCTGCATGATATCCTCATATATCCTCTCTCAAACTGTTCTTTCCTCTCCTGATTGCAATGTTTTTGGCTACCCGGGAATCAGGAATTACCACTGGGAGTGTTTTTACCACACAGTCTGTGGGAACTGTGCTTTAACAAATCTCCAGTGTCCTGCTGCCATTTACCGATCATACTGACCTTTGTTTTTTAACACGACCCCAGCCTCTGGGGGTTGCAGGGTTCGCTGAGTATGTCAGTAAACAATATTTCTGCTGTGGTCTATGGAGATTTGAGCATGCTTTGTTTGTGCCGCTTCCTCTTGCCTTTCATTCGCTCTGTCATTCAAAGCATATTTCTGTGTATCCTGTAGAAAAAGCAGACATTAAAGTGAAAGGGACACTGTTTTATTGTTTAATTCTATCTTAGATGGTTGGATGTAGGAGTTGCCCACCTTACCAGCGCCCCCTGCTGGGTGATTTACCTCCAAGTGCTGCAGGAAGCTGTATGGCCTGGTGGCACACTACCTGCTCAACCACGACCAGAGCGCAGCGCTGCGGAAAGAGAGGAGACAAAAGAGCAATGTTTGGACTGTCTGGTGCAGCTGCTACCAGGTATGAAGCAGCTTCAAGATTCAGACTGCGACTGTTTGATTGTCAATTACACACAAGCCCTCTGTGATTTGTCTCACTGTTGAAACAGAGCTGATCACTGACTTGTTGGGAAGTGAGAAGTACAGACTCACCCTGGAGACAATGCTTGAGTCCTTACAAGACCATCAGATAAACAAGTGAGTTTAACATTGGTACACTCAAGAGCTTTTTAAATATACAAGCAGTATAGAAGGAACAACATTTGTACCAAAGAAAGTCTGTAAAAACTCATTCACATCTTCTTAATCTCATCAGCCAAATTTAGTTTAATGCAGCCACAACATAAATAAGAAGTAAAAGTGATTGCCACTCTGAAGAAGAAAACCGTTATGCATTCCATGTAGGGTATTGTTGAAGACGAGAATTATATAGTTGGTGTGTTTGACGTTATAATGTCTTCTCGAGCATCTGCCAACAGCTGGTTGGTTAAATTTAGCCTCTCTGTAACACTGTTTGTGCAATCACTTACAGACATCTGATCTACTGCATCTGTGACCTGCTGCTGGAGGTCCTGATCCCAGAGTCACGTGACGAGAGCTTCCAGAGGTCACTGCTGCAGAGTCTGTCCAAAGATGCAGAGAGAGAAAACTCACATGTATGATCAGCAGCACATGACAAACGTTGTGATGACTCAGAAATGTGTGAAATTACAGGTCTGGTTATGGCATAAATACCAGCAGTCATACCTGAAAAGGGGATTTTCTTATTCATTTGCACATCAGAATCATGGGATTTATATATTTACATAATAAAATCAAGTTTTTTGTAACTTGACTCCTGAATGAAAGGGGTTAGATGAGAAATCGTAAGTATACGACAGGAGGGGACACTCCACAGGGTGTAGATAATACACAGAGAAAGACATTCTATTTTAGCCCTTCTTTGCTTACATGACATTTTTTGTTTTTTCCTCATAAATTTATAGCTTTTTATTCCCATGCTGCACACTCTCTTTATTGGGCCATAAGTCTATCAAAGGATGTTTGACTCTTTTATGGTGTCTTTAACTTTTATTTGTGTATTACTATTGTATGTAAGAGCCAATCATTAAATTAAACACATGTTTTATGATTGTATAAAGAGATCATCTCATACAGCTTTTTTTTTTTTTGTTAAACTTTGATCTGATGCTTGATTTTTGACCCTTCTCCATGCGGTGGGTACACACTTAATCTTGTTGTGGTGGTTTTCACAAAGAGCTCTGATCAGTGTCTGAAGGGAACTCAAGACTGAGAGAGGGACTCTAAGCATGATCACGATCTCAGAGTAACACCTGTCACATAGACTATATCGTTTAACTGAAAGTTATCCTGTTATCAGAGTTTGAGAATTCAAAACTATTGAATCAGCCTCTTCAACTTCAACATATTCCCTAAACGAAACTGTACAATTTGAATAAAAGTACTTCTCATTCGGTACATAGTGTACCCAAGTTTGTGTCATCATGAATTGTAGTTTTTGAATGTATACTCATCTGGAAGGTTCACAAGACCATTTCTCAGTTCATAGTCAAGCTTCAAAACCACACTTCAAAAATAAGTATTATGCCTCAATCAAAGTTTTAAAGACTTGATTTTACTTTAACATCTGCAGGAACAGTCTGTAAACTCACAAAGTAGTCAGACCTTCACATTAAGAGCACTTAATGTGTCAAAGATTTTAAGATTTAACTCAAGCTTTTGGTGTGATTTACTTCGGATCCTTGACTGAAATTTCATCAATAGAAAGTGATTGAAGTAAAGTGCGAGGGCGGGCAGGGTGAAGGTCTTCCCATGATCTTTTGATCCTGAGCAGGCTTTGAAAATCGCTCACTGAGACTCTCTTTGATGAGGCCATTACAGCGTGGAAGATTAACACCTTACTGCATGACTTATGCAACTGCAGTGAAAAAGTCTCCTCTTATAGTTGATTTATGTCCCGAATTACAAAAATGGGAAACAAAACCAGCAGCAACTTTGATGCGTTTCCATAAACGAAAAGAAATACTGTTGTCCGAAAAAACAGCAAAGCAGCTTTTTCCTTTGGACAAGTGTTTCCTGAACTGAACTTAAATTATAATCATATATATTTTATATTTCTGGTCTTGGATCTGTGTGAATAAATCCAGATCACACTCCTATTTTTCCTCTGCTTGTTTTTCTCCAAGCCCATTGGAGGTGCTGACATTTTATTGAATCCAACTATGTGCTTGTTTTGATGTTGTGTGTCCCTATAGGCAACGGCTTTAAATTGAGGGGTGTTGTACCACAAACTGTGGACCACTTAGAGAAAATAATATTTAATGGCTTCCAGCTCCAAACGGATGCTGAAGAACTGATGCGTTCACTTAACTCTGGCAAACATTCAGTGTTTGAGTGGATTCAAAGACACAGGTCTTCATGTGCTGGAATAAGGCAAGGTATTTTTGGTCTTGAAGGGAAATGAATGTGAGTCAAAAGAACAAATGCCAAACTTAATGGTTTTCTTCTTAAAGGGATATTAAGTTAGGGTAAAATTAAAGTTAGGGTCAAACACACTGTAACACCGAGTTAGACGCCCCCTCCAGAGATAAATGTCGACCGCTTGCTTCTCTATTTATACCAATTTAGTAATGACCGCACGATAGCAATACAGAGCAGTCTCAGGAGCCTCACGCTCAACCAACTCTATAGCCACAAATAATGCTCAGAACAGCCCCTAACTTCATCAACAGGACATATACGGTCCCAGCCACAGCACTAGCCACTAAACATCTATTTAGCTTTGCCTGATTTCTTTAGCAAAGAGACCAAACACAACTCACCTACTCTCTTCCAGCAGCCGCTTATTTGTAGGGAGACCTTGGACGAGTCCATCACCGACTGCAGTGGGGTGACGCAGCTCAAGGAAGAACATTTACAATAATTTCTTTATCATTTCCTTGAAGTTATGATCATATTAATTATTTGGCACTGTAGATGCCATAGTTCTTCTACCTTAGTACCTTCTACCTCTTAGTCTGATTGCATTTCCATGAAGGAATAATCATAAATGTTCTTCCTTGAGCTGCGTCACCCCACTGCAGTCAGTGATGGACTCGTCTGAGGTCTCCCTACAAATAAGTGGCTGCTGGAAGAGAGAGGGTAAGTTGTGTTTAGTCTCTTTGTTAAAGAAATCAGGCAAATTAGGCTAAAAAGATGTTTGGTGGCTAGTACTATGGCTGGGACCCTATATGTACTGTTGATGAAGTTAGGTGCTGTTCTGAACATTATTTGTGGTTTGGTTTTGGTTGAGGTGTGCACGTGGATCCAGAGACCGCTGTGTATTGCTATCGTGCGGACAATTTTTAAGTTGGTATAACTAGAGAAGCAAGCAGCTGTTACGGTGTGTTTGACCCTAACTTAATTTTACGCCAGAATATCCCTTTAAGTTGTATATATACAGTATATAATACAATACAATGTTTCCTGAAGCCCAAATCTGTGAAACGTTTAAAGATACAGAGTGAAGAAATGGGAATATTTAGTGATATTTAGGTGACTGTGCACTAATGTTATCATACCTACAAGTATCCTTTTGTGTTCCCATTCAGTCTGTTCTGTGAATGTGGAACACCACACCTTCAAGATGTCAGAGTCTAAATGGAGAAGTGAACACAATTGCAGGAACACCTGACAACACACAGTTTTCCTGACGCTGACACCCACTTATAGGATCTGATGTCAGATGTCAGCGTGTAAACCTCTGTCTGTTTCCACGTGCCGATGGGAAGAGCTTCATAAATTGGACCTTTGGAACATTTAACACAGCTCGCTTCCTTTCTCATGATATCATGGGCTGATACTGGCCGGCTCCCACCTCCTGGCTCATGCTTTGGGATTTCACTGGCAGCCAGGGGAGACAAAACAGTTGATCTGCACTGAAGGTGGCCCATACGTCTCAGAGACAAGGCAGCTGTATTTCAACACATTTCTCTCAGTGGGACAAACTTCTGGGAAATTTCTCAACCAATCTCTGACTGTCCTGTAGACTGATAAATCACACTGTTATCATCTACTATAATGGATTAACCATGATAAGATATTGATCATTTCATTGAAAAAAACCTACTTTTAATCAAGCTGGTTAATTTCACTGTAATTGTTGAAGCCATGGCTTTAACTGTGTTTTCCCATAATAACTTAAAGGTGTTTTTGCCTTTGGTTTAAAATCAAAGTTACAGCTGAAGTTTATTGAAGGACTTGAAACCTCTTCATATCAAATTCAAATAAAAAAAATCCAGAAAATGTGTGTGAACAGTCCCTCACAGTAGGTGTCCCTGGTTGTGTTGAAATCTGATGCTATGTGATCTTTCTCCTCACATCATCTGCTGTCTGCATTCAGGTCATGAGGGATGCAGCTCCATAAATCAGCTTTATGATATTTGATCCAAAATTAGGAGGATCCTCTAAAGCAGATGTCCTGCCTGTTCTGAGTTTTGGAAGTTATCCATCCTCTGGTTGGACAAAGCTCACTGTGATCCAGTTCAATGAAGTCTGAAGACTATTATGATGTGGGTCTTGATTCTGCTTGCAGACATGCTCCATTTACATGATGATGATGATGATGATGATGATGACGACGGTATTAATGAACTGGGCCCTCTTTGTGCCAAACATCAGCTGTCCTGCAGGCCTACATGTGTGGGATATGTGAATAACAGCCAGAGATGACACTTCGCTCACTGATCGCAGTGAGCCCCACCTTTAAACCGCAGAGCTGACTGTCAAGCTCAAGCAGCTGCAGCATCATGAAGCGAGTATTGGGGGATTTCCATCTTTAAAAGATGAATGTACACACTCATGCACACTTGTGCGCACTCTCCCAGATGCAGCGATTACTCAGAGCAGAGGAGTATCACAAATGTGCCTGTGCTGCGTCTGAATCATGACGTAAAGCCACGTTTTTTTTCCCCTCATCAGTTTGATATATTGACAACGTTTGATTAAAACCAGGATGCTCTCGATTCTTTGCAGATTAAAGTGTTGTCATTCATGATAACTCTCAAAACAATGTTGGACTAAAACTGTGAATGATGCAGTAATGAGCAAACTTCTCCTGGTTGAGCGTGCCTAAGTGCTGATTCTAGTGTCTGACCCTTGTGATGAAGTGAATCTGGTTCATGTTAGCGTTCTGTCCTCTGCAGCACACTGCAGATGTGCTGTAAGGCTCTTGAGGAACTCTGACACCCCCGCCTCAGTGCCCTACTTACATCTGCTTACTCTGGAAAAACTCAGATGATCAAATTTTCTGGGAAACACCAAATTTCACTCATAATATGATGCTATTCAACTGCCATCTTTGCTCCATTACTCCACCCTGAGCTGGTTTTTGTTGACCAGTATGATGTGCTGAAGGGTCAACAAGGAGGTGTGCCTCACAGCAGACAGAGAGGTGGGTTAATTTTGCCGTAGACGTCTGTGTTTCTGTTGTGTTTGAGATTTGAGACTCAACCCTGATAAGCAGAGGGAAAAACACGAAACCTCATTGTTGGGAAGAGTAAAAAGGGTGAAGTTGACCTCCTCCTCACCCCGCCTTAAGACAGCTGTCTGAGTCAAACCATCAGTCACTCTCAGTTCTGGAAACCATCTATCTATAATAACT